ATAATAAATATTTCTTTAGTTTATAATTCTATTTCTTAAATATATAATTAATTTTATTAATAGTAACTAATTCAATTAAGTTATTAGAATCTTTAGTATTTAATTAGAAAATAGCTATTTTAATAAAATAATAGAAATAGTCTAGTAACTTATTTATTTTTAGAATATTAAAATCTAGCTCTTTTTTCTTTATCTAATATTTGGCTTTTCTTATAAGAAGGTTTTATAAAAGAATAAAAAGTATATCTTTTTACTTTTCGGGTCTAGTTTTACTAGTTTCTTTTAGAATTCTAGTTAAAATATTTTCGGAATAGTTATTTTTTTAATATTTCTTATTAAAATATCGAATTTTCTAAATAAAACCCGACTAATTTGCCTTATAATTCTCTAGCTAATAAAGTTAAATCCATTAATAGTCTAATAGGATATTATATTTTACTAGCTATTTTCTTTCCAGAATTATATTATAAGAGCCAAAATTAGTAATAAATAAATATTATTAAGTTTGGGAATATTAATTAATAACTAGATATTAAATAGCTTTACTAGGTTATTTATTAAAACCTTATAAGAAAACGGGAGTTTTGAGTTTATATAAAGGTATTTATAATACTTTTATTAAAAAGCAAATATATTTTTAATTAATTAGAATATATATATTTATTTTAGTATTTATTAAATACTAGAAAGTTATAGTTTTATTTTTCTAATATATTTTATAATTAATAAAAAACTAGTTTCTATTAATTAGCTAAATAAGATTTATAGACCCTTAATAGAATTCTTATTTTAGAAAAGCTACTTTTATATCTAAAGCTAAACTTTTCCCGATTTATTAATATTATATTCTTTATTAAATAATAAATAAGAATTAGTATTTTTATTATTTATTTCTAAATTATTAGCTTTCTTTAAATAATTCTCTTTAATAAATATAATCTTATTAAAATTAAAACAAGTATTTTTTATATATTTAGGCTTTCTATAGCTATAATAATAAAGATTCTCTAACTAGTCTAATCTCTTTTTAAATTCTTAGTAAACTATTTCCTTTAGCTATAAGAATACTAGCTACTAAAGTTAATCTACTAAATATAAAGTTATTATAGTTTTTTAGATTCTAATAGGCTTTCTAGTCCGGAATAATATTTAATAATAAATGATTTCTATTAGTTATTTCTCCTGAAATTACTAATTCTTAATTAAAATAAGTCTATTTTCTTATTCTATATACTATTTAATAAGGTCCCTAAATATATTAAACTTCTTATTATTTAAGCTTTTAAATAGCTCGAGATTTATTTTATTTATTAAATTATTATATTAATTATTTAGTAACTTCTCTAGTTTTATTATTAAGTAAATAAACTCTATCTAAAATACCAGAAATAGCTTATTTCTTTACTTTAAATACTAGTATATCTCTTTTATTTCCTAATATTTTATTTCTTTGCTTTTACTATAAGCTTACTAAAGAATCTTAAAGATCTATTTAATAGTCGAAATCTATTTAACTAATCTAAGTTCTAGTTAATTATAAATAAAGTTATAGGTATTTCCGGTAACTAGTTATATTATATAAGTAATTTTTAATAGTTTATTATTAAATTTAGAAGAATTCTATATTAGTTTATTTCTTATATTAAATATCTAATTATTAATCTAATAATTATCTTTACTTATAAATAGAACAGAATTCTTAATTCTAATAAATTATAATTAATTATTAAAAATTAAAAGCAAAAGAAAGCCTTAGTATTAGCTTTTATATAATTCTTCTAATAGGAACTTATAATATTTCTAGATATTTATCTATTTGAATTTTTATTTTATAGCTTCTTTTTATAGTAGTTTTTTTCTTATATAAAGTCGACTAATAATTACCTTTAGCTTATTAACTTTTTTAGTAAATTAGTTAATATATAAATGAAATTTCTAATAGTATTCTACTTATTTATTAGCTATAAAGTAATATTTATTAATAAGGTTATTTTATATAAGTAATTTCTACTAGGCCTTATTTGTTTTTAGGGCATTTATACTAATTTTAAGTTCTAAGTCGGCTAGTTATTTCTTAATATCTTTTTCTGAAATAGTATTATAATAGCTTTTCCGGTAATATAGGTTTATAATATTAAAGTCCGGCTTTTCTATTTTATTATATTAGGGCCTTTTATCTAATATATTTATAATAGTAATATTTGATTCCGGGCCGTTTATAATAGCTTTAAAAGAAGTATTAGCTATAGAGATAAATACTAAATAAGTTCTTTTTATTTAATATTAGTAAACTATAACTAATTATTATCTTATTTAGTTTTAAGTTAGTAAATTAAAACCGACTATTATCTTTTCTTGTTTTAAATTAGTAAATTATTACTAATTCTTTATATATTAGAGAAAGGGGCCGGTTCTTTTATTCTTATTAGTATTAAGGAAATATTATTTATTCTAATTAAGAATTAGGCTCCGAGATTAACCGGATTATAAAGAATAATATTTTTCTTCTTTTATATTAGTAAAAAACTAATTATTAGAAAGGAAATATTATTTATTCTAGTTAAGGGTTAGGCTCCGAAATTAACTAAATTATAAAGAATATTATATTTCTAGTTAAGCTCTCTAGTTCTTTATAGTTTAAGGAGATTATTAAATATTAAAAGTAGTATTTTATTTTTGCTTTCTAAAAATAAATACGAGTTCTTTACTAGTAGTATTATATTGCCTCTATAGGCCGAGTTAAATAAGCTTAGTATTATATAATAGCGGGATTAATATAATAGTTAAAGGCTTAAAGTTTAAAGAATCTCATATATTAGAAAATACTAAACTATAAAATAAAGTAGAAAGAATACTTTAATCTTTAGTATTATTCTATTTAAGTAATTCCGGCTTTGCTTTATTTTATATCTATTTCTAATATCTTATTCTTAGCAGATTATACTCTTATACTAGCTATTATAGTTTCTAAAAGAATTTCTAATATATTATTAATATATATTAATAAAAATAAAAATAAAAATATTTAATATTTTTAAAAATTCTAAAACTTTTTATTTTTATTATTTTAAAATCTATTACTTATATTTTTAAGATTTTAAGATTTTAAGATTTTAATAATATTTATATTTCTAATAGTTTTAAACTAGTTTATTTAAAATCTTTTATAAAATAAAAAAAAATAAACTTTAAATACTATTATAAATATAATATTTAAAGCTTAGAAAATAAAACAGAAGATTTTTTATAAAAATAATTTAAAGTTAAAAAAGAGAAAACTAGAATACAAAAGATTAATTTTTTTTTAATAATATATAAATTTATAAAAGGCTTAGTTTTCTAAATATTTCAAATATATATTTTTTAATAAAATTATAATAACTAGTATTATATAATTAGTTTTAATTAAAGAAATTAGTTTTAGTTAAAGAAATTAGTTTTAGCTAAAAGAATTAGTTTTAGCTAAGGTTCTAAGCTATAATTCAAATCAAGTTCACTTTTAAAACTCGGTATTTTAATAGTTTTTAGCTATATTTACTTATTTATTATTATATTTTACTCTTATTTCTTTTTAGCTTTAAATTCTTAAAATATAAGAAATTATTAATTTTTGAGCCTTATTTTATTGCTTTATTTCTATTATTATAAAAATATAAATAATAATATTAGATAATAAAATTAAAAGTTAAATTATAATATATATTATTATATTTAAAATATAAAAGTTCTTAAATTAGAAAATAATTTTATATTTATTAATATAATAAAATAGAATTTCTTAGATTAAAAAATGGCTTTTAATATAAAATACTATAATAGATATTTCTTGTATTATATATATAGAACTCGAATTCTTAAGAATAAACCGGTTTTAAAATAAGAAATCATAGTAGCTATTACTTGGAATGGATTTTATGGCTATATTCTTAAGAGGAAAGTAAAAAGGCCTCGAGCAAAGCTAGCTATCTTCAAAAAGCCTTAGCTATGGCGTTTCCTCCTTTTAAACGTCGCCCATCTCTTGGACATATATGAAAGGTGGACAGTCGAAGGGACTGTAGTGAAGCGTGACCCCTCCTTGTCTTAAAGATACCTTTGCAGTCGATCCTTGTTATTGCTGTGGCAATCTCGACCAAGAAATACCAGCTTGAGACGGACTCGTGATTACACGAGCAGATCTGTAGCTAATCTGCTGCCCGAGAATAAAGATATAGGAACTTGATTGTTTTACTGCAAAGGAGCAATGCCAGATGTGGAACCAAGGCAGAGACTGCTGCATCAGAAAGCTGATACAGAAAGCAAATTGTCTAGTCGCTGAACAGCGATGCCAAAGATGGCACCAAGGCCCAAAAGGGCTATTTCACAGGGCAGAAAAACTATCAGGAAGAACTGCGAGCAAAGTCTTGTACCCGCCCTGCAACTTGCAGGCTGTTTGTGAGGCCAGAAGTCAGGCCTGTACAAGTACCGGTACCCTTGATAGCGGCCAATTCTGATCGTCAATAGCTTGGTGATATCTTTGCGTACAGCAATCATGTAAAAATGGCCCTCATACCAGTGAACAAGACAGTGCAGACTTCAACGAACTCTATGCAAATGTCAACTTAGGCTGGACAAGCCCCGTTGCAAGCTTTGAAATTGCGGGGGCCAGTACATGCAGCGATCTTGGTGCAGCGGCAGTTGTAAGGTTCTGCACTCTAACGGAGCGTCAGGATCTGAGATGAACAGGTCGAGATATGGCTAAGGTCTTTCAGTGTTGAACGTTTGCTTGGACATTCAGCTGATTGATGCCCACGGAAACCTGGGGGCGGTTGAACTTACGAGTTACAGGATAGTGGCGCCGCAGTCGCTTAATTTAACACTGCAATACAGTATAGGGGCTTGGAGGGGCCACACCACATTGGGCATTTTCTTACCGGAATCTGCGTTTCCTCGAGTTCACCTGGAGACACCTGGATAATCATACATCGACATCAACTTGACTGGATACGAAGCACTTAAGCGCAGGCTGAAGGCAACCTATAAGATTCTAAATTTGTTTCATTTTGTCATGTTATCATGAAGACCGTGAAGTCGTATGCAGCAATTAGTCGTAACTGACCACCGTCTCTACGCGTCCGAGGAAGCATGCAAATGATCCAAAGAGCCGCCTCCCACGAGAACGTACTTCATCCCTCCCCTCCCCTGCCACAAAGATTATACAAGCTACAGGCCGGACCGGGTGAGAAGATGAATTCACCACTCCAAAGGTTCCTTGACCTCCTCACCGCGGTTTGTCTTTGGAACTGGAACTGCCTTCGCAGCCAACTTTCCAGACTTGCCACGCTTCAAGTATCCCGATCCATCCAACCAAGGGGTGTTTTGGGTCATCTTCTTCTCGAAAGCGTTAATTTTTTCCTCCATCTGCATAGTCAGACCAATGTCATCAAGACCGTTGACCAAGCAGTGTTTTCGAAATTCTTCGACGTCAAAGCGGCAAATATGCTTTCCACTTCCGTCCCTGATGACTTGATTCGGAAGATCAACCTCAATCTCTTTGCCAGCATAGGCCTCAGCCGCAATAGCATCAAGGTCGGCTTTGTTCGTGATGGCAATAGGGAGCATGCCGTTCTTGAAGGTGTTGTTGAAGAAGATATCAGCATATGATGGAGCAATAACGCATTTAATTCCGAAATCAAGGAGAGCCCAAGGGGCATGTTCACGAGAACTACCGCATCCGAAATTCGGTCCTGTGACGATGAGGATTTTGGATTTACGATAAGGTTCTTGGTTGAGGACGAAATCCGGCTTTTCAGAACCATCGGGATTGAAGCGAAGAGCAAAGAAGAGTGCAGAGCCGAGACCGGTTCGCTTGATGGTCTTCAAGAATTGCTTAGGGATGATAGCATCAGTGTCGACATTTGCTCGATCCATGGGTGCAGCAATGCCCTTGAACACCGTGAATTTTGGAAGGCCAGCAGAGGTGTGAGGAGCCATGGTGTTGGTGTGCGGGCTGTTGTCTTGTGGCTGATCACCGATCATCTCCCGCTCGTCGTCATCAGACTCAACTTGCTCATCTACGTGAGGCTTGACTTCCATAGGAGGTGGAGAAGCCTTTCGAGGTGTGGCGTTACGATCACTTAGCTTTCGGACATCCGTAAGCTTACCAACGATTGCGCATGCTGCGGCAGTGACAGGAGATACAAGATGGGTACGCCCACCTGCTCCTTGCCGTCCCTCGAAATTCCGGTTGCTGGTGCTTGCACAGCGTTCCTTTGGCGACAGGATATCAGGGTTCATGCCAAGACACATGCTGCATCCAGCTTCACGCCATTCGAAGCCAGCTTCAACAAAGGTCTTATCCAGACCTTCAGCCTCTGCTCGCTCCTTAACAAGGCCACTACCAGGAACGATCATTGCTCGTCTGATATTCGGTGCAACCTTTCTGCCCTTGACAACTGCTGCAGCAGCTCGGAGGTCCTCGATACGGGCGTTGGTACAGGAGCCAATGAAGACCTTGTCCAAAACGATATCCTCCATTGGGGTACCAGCTGTAAGGCCCATGTACTCGAGCATTCTGCGACCAGCCTCCTGCTTCTCCGCAGTTGGGAATGTTTCAGGGTCTGGAACGTTGCCAGTAATTGGTACAACATCCTCCGGACTCGTGCCCCAGGTGACCGTGGGGGTGATGTCCTTTGCATCAATGAACACATCAATGTCGTATTTTGCGCCAGGATCCGATTTGAGGCTCTTCCAGTAGCTGATTGCCCTGTTCCATTCGTCTGAACGGTACTTCGGAGCGAGAGGACGACCTCTGAGGTACTCAAAGGTAATCTCATCAGGAGCAACCATTCCAGCTCTCGCACCACCCTCAATTGACATGTTACAGATCGACATTCGGGCCTCCATGCTCAAAGCCTCTATGGCAGAGCCGCAGTATTCAATGACCGCACCAGTTCCACCTGCAGTACCGATTTGTCCGATAGCATGAAGAATAATGTCCTTGGAGCTAACACCTGGTGCAAGTTCACCATCGACTTGAATTCGCATGTTCTTACTCCGCTTTGTGATCAAAGTTTGAGTAGCAAGAACATGCTCAACTTCACTTGTTCCAATGCCGAAAGCCAAGGAGCCAAAGGCACCGTGGGTCGAGGTGTGGCTATCACCACAGACAACAGTGGTGCCTGGCAGAGTGAAGCCTTGCTCGGGACCAATGATGTGGACAATACCCTGGCGCTTGTCTCCAAGACCGAAGTACGTGATACCGAAGTCCTTTACATTATCCTCGAGGGTCATGCATTGGAGTTTGGAATCCTCCTCTTCGACAAAGGTCTCGATGTTCTTGAGGTTCTTTCTTGAGGAAGTGGGAACGTTCTGTGTCATAGGTTAGACCTGCATGTTTGAGCATGTGCAAGTGGGACTTACGTGGTCGGTGGTTGCGAGGGTGCAATCTGGTCGTCTGACCTTTCGCCCTGCAGCTTTCAATCCCTCAAAGGCTTGCTAAGAACACCAGTCAGTGTGCGTTTGCGCGATGCAGCAGAAGTGCTCACAGGTGAGGTAACTTCATGGACCAAGTGTCGGTCTGTACAGAGGTAAGCACGGGCGGAGGGATTTTGCGAATGTATATGTACCAATGTAAAGCAAGATTGTGCCGTCCAGTCTCTCGTCTACAATATGGTCTTGGAAAACCTTATCGTAGAGAGTTCGCGGCCTACCTTCAGCAGAAGGCATGACTGTAGATTTTCAGGGTTGGAATTGAGGAATTGGAGGTGAGGTGTAATTGAGTTGAGTTGAGTTGAGTGGAGGGGACAGACAGTATGGCCCGAGTAGTACAGAAGAGAGAGCCTTTTCAAAGAGGAGCTGGAAGTTCGAAAAGTGAGCACAGCCAGTCCCAGTAAATAAACTGAGGCGAGAGCTCCAGGCCCGGTATCGGCGCGGGGTGGCTCCGTGGGTTTGCGTGGCGGGGCAAGACCGGCCCAATCAGCGGTGCAACATTACCAGACAGGCCAGGGCAAGGCAAGGCAAGGCAAGGCAAGGCAAGGCACGACAAGGCGAGGCCATAGTCATGGCAATGTGGCAATGGGTACTGTGCAATTATGGCAATACTCGCAATTCGACGGAATGGCAACCGGTGGGCTGAATGAGCTGAGGGGGGGGTTAAGTGCAGCGAGGAGAGAAGCTTGACCAATTTGAGACATGCCTGTGAGAGGTGATCCATCCGCACGTCTTCCGCACGTCTGCAAAATGCTGTGTAACGTCGATCTTGGGGACCTTTGTGCCACCTGGCTGTGTTCCGAAAAGAAAAGAACAAAACTAGAGCCCAGCTTGTACCATCTGGCCCAGGTGGAATACGATGCTTGCTTTGCCTCACTTCTGTCCAGCCGGTGTTGGATTGAGGGCCGAAGCTGCTGTTGCTCTTTTCAGCACCAGGGGCCACGGCCATTTATTATTCTTGAATTGATTCTATTCCAATCCCGAGGTTCCATTGCTTCGAGCCACCTGCATAATCTGACCTGCAGCCCAAAGCAACCCTTCAATCAGCAGCGCCATCAGGCGATCCACATTTCTGCACTGCACTGCCATACATGCACCATACACCGCTCCAGTGACCAGCACTGCGAGGCTCCTTATCAAATATCAATCGTTCCGAAGTCCACTTAAGAATACTCGACCCTCCTGTTTCATCAACGATTCAACACAGCGGGGACAAACCAGACCAAACACCACCCCCGTCCTTAGAACACAGTAAAGAGCCAAAATACAGGCCCCAAAGCCTTCACGGCCTGCAATCCGAGCCCCATGACCCGCGCAAAAACAACCGTTGCCAGAAACGTGCCCGTCATGAACATCGCCGCGGCAACAAACAAACCCACGTCCTGCCAAGTTAGGCGTTGTCGCTCAAATCTCCTCCTGATGCCGGACTCGGGATCGAATACTGGTTCGACTACGAGCCAGCCGTTTTGTGCCATGCCAATGACAACCTGTCCAATTGATTGAGGGGGTCGACCCGGTGTCGGAAGCCCTCTTCCTGAAGAAACACCGCGTCTCTGATGCAGCACTATCGCCTTCATGTGTGCACCCTGCTTCCCCGTCTCCCCCACCCCTTTCTCCGCACTCGGCTCTGGATGCCAAACTGCAAGCTTGTCGCCTGCCGCATTCCTCGACGTTATTGCCCTTGCAGCAACAGGGCTGGGTTGTGTCGCTTTCCACCCTCCCTTTCCCTGCTCCCCTCTAGTCTCTGAAGGATGCCCTGTGTCTACGTTTTCGCCTTGGGCTAATTTGTGAGCCCCTCTCGTGTTGGTCTCTTTCGATTCTTCCACCCTCTGCCTTCTTATCTTCGGAGGAGTGAGTTGTCCTCCGGTCTGACCTTCCGTCTTCTTGATTGCTGCTCGGCGTCTCAGTTGTTGAAACGCTAGCAGAGCGGCGCTTTGAGCCGCCTCCTTCTGCTTCTCCGGGCTTTGAGGGCACGTAGATATGGATATGGGTGTGCTCTTCAGTTCTGCCTTCTCGACCCCTGGAGAAGTTCTCTGACATAACTTTATGCTCCGTTCTTTTGTCAAACCGAGCTGGTGTTCCGATGATATGACGATGTCTGCTGGATGAGTTTGGGACACTGTCTTGTGCGTTCCTCTCGATCTTTGCCTCTGATGGGAGCTTGTTCGTAGAGGAATCTGAGTAATTTGGTGATGAAAACACTGCCGTCTCGATGGAGTGTCGCTTCGGATGTCGTTCGCTCCGTCCACTTGTCCTGGGAGGAGCGGAAGAGGAGCGCACCCAGTAGTGGTGATGGTGGATGTGTTGATGAACGATGCTACTTTGTCCGGCTCTGTTTTGATAATTGTTGGTGGTGCCCAGGCAGTGGGAAGCCCCTTCGGTGTTTGGTAACTCGACGGGATCCTGGCCGCGATGGGATCTTTCAGAGACACCGGCGGTAGTTCGTTCAGGGAAATGATACGGCGAATGCTGGGGCTTCGGGCCAACGGGGGGTGGATCACGACTTGTTTCATCGAAACCGACCGGAATGAGATCGCTGTAGCTTTTCTTTCGAGCAGGCCTGCTGCTTTGAATATAGGGGCTTCTTTTCCTAAAAAAGGAAGCTGTGTTGATCGGGCAGCGCTCCTGTTCAGTTCAGGTGTAGCCAAGACCAGATCGACAGCTAAGCCAGATTGAGGCTGTTGCACTTTTCCTGGGACTGACTTTTGGGCTAAATCAGGAGATGGGTGACCATGATTATGGACGATTGTCTCTTTACCGGGGAGGGGCTTTGGGACTGGAATAGGAGATGGGCGACCATGATTATGGACGATGGTCTCTGAAGATTCTTCGTTGCGTTGACGACTGGGCGACCCAATCGGCTTTCGTGGTATGGATATGCTTCGAGTCGTAAAGGAAGATACATCAGTGCGTTGGCCGAGCCGTTGTAGTGAAAGTGGCGAAGAGACTGCGCGGTGGCCGAAATAGTCGCCTTGCTTGATAGGAGTGTTCACATATGGATTCGGGTCTGCTGCACAGGGCATTGGAAAGAGGCGGTCACCAGGAGCAAGTTCTATAAGCCTGTGTTAGCTGCGCTGCTTCGTGCCGAGCGCTTAGAACTCACTAGCGATGGGAGTGCTAGCCGCCGATTGCTGGATCGGGCTCAACTCTGGCTCGGCGACGCTGCTCCAGCCATTCTCGCTCACTCTCCACTTCCCGTGTCTCCTCTGTCTCATCTTCAACTCCGTCCTCTTCTGCTCCCCCTTCTCTTTCTTCAACTCCTTCAATGTTTGGATTCTCACCAACTCTTCTTGGTGTGATTTTTGGGCCTCTTCATACCTCTTCTTCTGCTCAGTTAACTCTATGGCTTGTAGATCAAGTTTGAGCTTGGTAGTTTCGCTGATCTGACTGGGTTCACTGCTGCTTGTTGCATCACTGATGTCCCAATACCCTGTTCTTGGATTTGCACCTTGGACGCCCAGGAAGTCCCCACTCTCGCGGAGGCTTCTTCTTTGCTCCCTTCGCGACTTCTTGTCATCATATATCTGCTGCGTCTTCGTAATTTCCTTCCCGTCCGAGGACATGGTCGTCTCAGGGCGAGGCTCCTTGCTCTCCAGAATCTGTGGAGCTTGAGAAGAAGAAGGCTCCGAATTGCTCCGTTCTCTTACCTTTTCTCCTCTTGCCCTTTTGAGAGAACCAATAATTCTTCTCAAAGTCTTAACCTTCTTTTTCTCTCCTGCATTTGACGTTGTCTGAACTTCATCGCCTCCGCTTTGTCCAGAAGCTGCTCTTCCTGGAATGCCCCCCATGCCTCCAAGTGAAAACCTTCTAGCCTGTCCTACTTGTTCAGAGACCCGCGGCAATTGATCACCTAGAGCGCTTGGCGTCTGAGCATCCTTCGTGGGATGAGAAATTTTCCTTGGAAGCCAACTTTTCTTAACCTCGCCGTTGATATGTTCGCGCTCTGATGAGCTCTTGCAACATTGGGAATTTGCAAGGTCAAATACAAGTCCAACAGGATCCTGAGCACCGTCGTCATTGAACTTTGAGCGCAAGGTATGACCTTTCTCCTGACGATGAGAAGGCAAGAGACGAGAAACAAAGCCACCGAAGGAAGAAGAGCGAGTATGCCCTCGTCTTGCGGATCGAATGTTGAATGCCACGGGAGGAGAATTGCTAAGCTTCTCTTTGTGGACGCGCGCAGAGCTCCGGTCCGGAGGAGTTGGTGGTTGAACTTCTATGGACATGTTTGTGGCGAGCAATTGATGTGCGTGAGTTCATGTATTTCTGGGAAGAGAGGCTGTGATATGCTGAGGTGTAGTTGAGAAGAGACGTTATGAAGGGAGACGAGAGTGGCGCCAAATAACATTGGTCTCTTGGGCTCAAGCACGGAAGGCACAAAAGAACGTGCCCAACCACGGAAGGGGCGAGTTGCGCAGCAACATGGGGCGGCATAACTCCCGAGATACCTAAGCAAAAATTAAAACTCACTGGTGCAGCAGAAGGGCTTGAATGCTTCAATTACTACTGTGGTGCAAACCGCCCAGAATTCAAGTTTAGTGTCATTTGCTCCCAATCATTGCGGATCCATGAATTCAAAATCTCGGGGGCGCTCTCTTATAAGGGCTTTCATAATTTCCAGGTCGTTGCTTCAATCCAAGTGCGTTTGGAGCACTGGTTCTTCTTTCATACTCGGCCTCCGAAAAAATTGCCCTGCCAAAGGCTGGAACTGGTCTTGCTACATCGCTCTGCCTCTTGGCTGGACTCTTGCTTCGTTCCCTCTCTTCTTGAATTTCCCGGCGTGCCATCTCGACTGAATTCCTTGGCGTTTCACGTCGTCCATTTCCTTGAATATCATACATGCTGGTTGCTTTTTTGAGAGGGGAATTAGCATGGCTATATATGCCGAGACTGCCGCCATCACTCGTGCTGGTACCTGAAGAAACGACCCCGGACAAACTCTGTCGAAATTGAGGCTGCCGGAGAGGAGGTCGTGGTGTTACACCCGTGAAAGGAGTTGGTTCTCGTGAGGTGTATGCTGCTGGCGTGAAAGATGGCGTCGGAGAAAATGACCGTCGTGGTACGGCGCCAGTGTTGTCAGGATCAAGGTGTTTTGCGTAATTTGGATTAGGATTGGGGCGGAATCCTCGTTTGAGAATTACCGTCGGAGTGTAAGTATCTACCTCGCCCTGTTCCGGTCTGGTCTCAGAACCCGGACCTGAAAATTGAGTGCCTACATCACGAACAAGCGGGTTCAGTCGAGGGTGAACATATTTGATATCATATTCGTTCATGACCTCCTTGTGAATGATGGAAGAATCCTTCTCTTGCTGCGAAAAGGCTGACTGGAGGAGAAATAACTGCGACGACAGTAAGATTTCCAGGATTATGGCAGTAAAGACTGTAACGCTGGGCCGAGGATCCGAGGCCAAGGTTGGCAGAAAAAGCCAGTAGACAAGAACATGACCCGGGCTAAAGAAGCAGAACAACCGCAAGCAAATTGGGATAGGGTCCCAAACCGCAAGCTCCCACACGTCTCGAGTAGGATCAGGATGCGCTCTAGATTCGGCACTTGTATCTCCAAGAATGCTTGTAAGAAATCTCAGCGGCGAAGAGGCGACTGGAGAAGAATCGACACGAACCCGGTGTGCGGAAGGAGTGGACTGTGGGGCATCGATGGAGCTCTCAAACAACCGGTAATGCCGCCTTCGAGTGAAAGTATACACCGCGTTTCCAATGGAAAAGTAGGTCAAGAGGTGAACGGTCACTGTTGCCTGCAATATATAAGCATGTTGAACAGCAACATAGTTGAAAGATGTCTTACCATGTAGCTGAACCAACCCGTCCCCGAGTAATCATCTCCAAACACATCATCTCCTCCACTCCTGCCAGAAGTACCACAATTTGCCCTCGATATGAGAAAAACAATATGCAATCCAAGGGCGAAGGGTGTTGCAAATTGTTTGGAGTCCCAATCCCGCGTTTCGATCTCTTCAGACAGCCACAGCAAGAAATCTCCCGGGTTAAGGTAGTCTTTTATTCGCTCGACCAGCGGCTTCCTTCGTATGAGTCTCGGCATCGTGAGCGCGACCGTTGATTCTTTTCACATTATCGGCTTGGTGTTGTGTTTTTGAGACTCGGTGCGGTTTTGTTTACAAGGGTTGAGGTTAGGATTTCGCGAGCTGTGTACGCTCCGTACAGCTTTATTGCCAAGTACAGGGGTAAGATACTGTGGTAGCGCTAAAATAGTGGGGTGCCGCCCCAGTGAAGCTCCCAACTCGTCCTCCTCATGAAGCTCATCTGAAGGCCATCCAGCTACACTGCTGAAGAAATAAGCCGAGAATGGCAGCACCAACCTCTGCCTACAAGGATAGGCAATTTCTTGCTGTCATCGGAGATGAAGTAAGCTCTGTTCACCCCTCGAACGCCAGACGTCGTGCTAATGTCCCTCTCAGGACTCAGTTACTGGTCTGCTTCTAGCTGGGATTGGTGTAAGAAATCTCCCAGTCCTTGGGCAAACATCGAAGCTGATGGGAAGGCAGCATGTCACGCAACCCCCGGACTCGCAGAAAAACTTCCTTGTCGTTGACAGCAAGACGGATAATGCGGCTATCGAAGAAGCTTTTGAAAGGTTCACAACCGAGAGAAAGGATATTGGAATCTTGTTGATCAACCAACATGTGGGTCTGCCTGCTGCCATCACGAGCATTGGAGCTAACCACTGCATAGATTGCTGAGAGAATACGCCACCGGGTCGATACATATACCACTGCTTTCCCAGCTCTACTCGAAATTCCAAGCAAGGATCATCCGTACGACCCCGAGAAGGATAGTGTGTTGAGGAGAGTGCGAAGACTTTTTGGCGAGTAGATGGAACAGTGCCTGTCTTTATTATTGCACTGATCGTGGCATGGCTATGCTAGACGCTTTTAGAAGATAGGCAATGGCGTTTGGCAGCAATACAACTTTTTAAACTCGGATTCAAACCTCTCGCAAAGCCGCCGCTCAAAGGATCAAATTATGTTCGTGAAATGGGAGATAATGCTCCAGTCCCTCGTAAATGAACCATGGTAGAAGTTGTATCAGGAGTTCAAAATTGCCCGCCCAGCATTGAATCTTCTGATACGAGCCTTATTGGTCATACTATAGTGATATGATTTAGAAGTCCAATGCATTCAGATGATAGAACCACACCATAGTTACAAAGCATATCCTTAGGAAAGAGACTCCGTTGCCAAAGACACCTGCAACATAGCCAGTAATGCAAGGAAAGGAATCATCGCACAATGATGTCCCCCATACGGACCCGCATGTCCTGGACAATATCCCAAGGCCCTTCTACAAATCAAGCCTCGAGCTGCCTCCGAATGTCACGGTTGCTTCCAAGCAGACGATCTTCCTCTTATCTTTAGTGTAGGCATCAGCAAAGACGGTGTAGGTTCCCTCGTCACTGGGTCAGCAGCTGATTTTTCAATTCGAGGAAGCGGGGACTCACAGGAGGAATCTCCTTTGGCAGCTCGACGTCCTTTGTGATCGTAACCTTTCCCTTCTTGATTGGGCACTCTAAATCAACATTGGAGACTTGTTGGCAGAGATCTGCTTCAGTGTTGACGAGTCTGATCAATCCATATTTGACTTGTAAGATGACCTTGGCCTCCTCCTCGATATCTTCCAGCAACGTCCCAACCGCCTCGATGGTGAGCGTCTTACCACTGGAAGCAAGTTAGCCAGTGCAATAGCAGGATATTGCGCAAGTATTTATGCATACGCTTGCGGAGGGTTTGGGGTCAAGTTGACGTGATCGAGAACCAGAATATCATCACCATGCTCTGCTTTGCAGTATGAAAGCGGGTTGTCGCCGGGAACAGGCTTCCCGTCACCGAGGGGTTTTTGTCCACCGAAAGAGAACGATAAGCCTTCCGAGGCAACAAGGGAGCTCAAGAGCAGTGTGATCAGGCTGAGTGAGAACTTCATCGTTATCTGGCCACTTTTGGGGAGTGGTGGAGTTGTTGTTGATGGAGAGGCGGAGGAGGCGCAGGAATCTGGAGATAGACGATTAGTGCTGGCAGCCTAGGCCGTGCTGGTTGGTGGCTTCGTTAAACGAAGAGGTCAGATGCTCAAGTGGAGTAACCTTCGATGAAACTGTTGCAAGTTTACAAAGTACAGCAAGAGTATTGGGCATTTAGATGTGAAAACGAATTGGCCTGCCCCGATTGAGCATTTTGTTGGGGCATCAATTTATCTTAACCGTTTGTCTACGCAAACCTGATTCTGGTACGGAGGTACATGGCTATTTGCCCCCCTCATTCCTGAGGATACTACTTGCACCTTGGAGATCCAGTACAATGATGGGCAGCTTCCCATGGAGACCCCCTGGAAGAGGTTATTCTACTCAATCTAGTGACTGGGCAACAACATTCCATCAAATTCTCGACGATTACGTCCTCTTCTTTTCAGGTCCATCGTTAACTTTGTCAGCCACAGCAAATGCATTGGCCGAGGCTGAAATGCTGTTGCTCAAACAGACTTCTTCTTGTCAGTAGAGATCTGATGATCCTGAGAGCACACTTACTAGCGGGCTATACCCAAGATCTTCCGGTCAGTATTGCAGGCAAGGAGATGGATGCGTATTCATTGGGGGCAGACAACTCGCAAGATATGTTGAGGGGGGTAATAGCTCGAGAAAGTGAGAACTCACAATGACAAGCCAGAAAGTATTCATCAAGACGAAATACCACCAGAAATAGTACGGCTCCGGGCGATAGTAACGCTTTCCGAGAGCGAAACCTTCATACAAGCAGGTTGAATAATAGATGAGGTTCCCGTAAAAGTGGCCGGTCGATACCAGAGCTTGGACGGGATGGCGGAACTGTGACTGCCTTGTAATCAGTACAGCTGTCAATAGAGACAGAGGGCCCCAGGTAAGCTGTCTTTATGTTAGTGGGTGAAAGTAAGGTTAAATAGGGTGAGATCAAAGTCCTCACCACTGTCAAGCTCTCTGTACAGAGGACTAAACTGTCGGATGACATGTACCTCGAATCGCTCAATGCATACTCTTTCCATAGTTGGCCAAAGAAGTCTTGCATGCTTGGCATTCGAGAATGGTTGTAAACAAAGTAACCCTCGAAGAAGACGTGAATAGAGCCAGCTAAGATGTTGTTAGGCCGGGTCACCTGGCAGACTTGGGGAGCGCACTCAGGACAAACCAGAGGACTTTCCACTGATCCGGGGGCTTCAATGCTGGATTTGCATGTCGAACGGCCACAAAAGTCACGAAGAGTAGCAGAGCACACCCAGTTGCAAAGGTCAGGATGAGTGTTGGCACGCTCCAGGTATTTCCGATGAACTCTTCTGACAGAAGAACACCCTCGGGGTAATAGGGGTGCGAAGGAGGAAGCATGGTGAAGTTGTCAGCTGTGACCATTGAGGGTGGTGACTGGTTCGAAGACGCAGAGGTGAAAAGAGGCTCAAAAGTGCAGGGGCCTTCTCCTCTCATTTAACCTTACAGTACATGCAAGTCCTCTCACATTGGACAAGACCGTCCGTAGTCAGTGATCACTTCACTTCTTCACTTCCAACAGCCATTGGATTTCCCTGTCGAGTTTCCAGTTTCCGGTTTCCGGTTTCCAGTCTGCAAATGTTACACCATAAGTCTTCTCCCCAAGCCACTCGCTCACGCGCTCACACGCTCGCGCACTCACTCCACCAGCTCCTAGCTCCCCTCAAGCTCAGGCACAGCCACAGCCACTGCGTTCAATATCGCTATCGCGATCGGGATGCCAGGTTCAAATGCCATACCATGCCCGGCCTTCCTTGCCTTGCCTTGCTCTTATTTTTACGCGCAGTGCTGATACGCCGAATCCTCGCCCGCATCGACGCCAGGCAGCAGCGCCTTTTGGCGAGGCAAGCCCAGCGTGCGACCAACGCCGACCATTCGCACTTCCTTGGCCACGCTAATTGCGCGCTGTTGGCTGGCCGCCCAATCAGCAACCGCTGTGGCCGGCCTCCCAGGCTCCCAGCCGGATTCAACCCTTCCTCGCGCTTTTAGACTTCGTTCGTCATGTTCGCGACCCCCCCCCACGACCTCGCCCATGCATCATCGCCATCGTCGCGATCACGACGCTGGAGCATCGCTTCTTCGCCCGCTGCCTGACTGGCAAGTGTCGAACTCGAGGCAGAATCTGGAGCATGTCAACAGATTAAAGTCTTCACTCCAAAATCAAATTACCTCGCGGCTTCGGGGTGCGTCGTGCTGCCAATCTGCACAGGCACAGGACAGGCATGGGCGGGTCTAGCGTTAGTAGCTTGTTAAAAGCGGCAGCACTTCTGCTGTCGCTTGGCTACTCGCTCAGCACTCTCTCCCCAATTCCCCTCTGCCTCTGCAACTTTCATGCAGCATCCTCTTCCTCTCCTCGAAGGACAACGTGAGGCTACATTCTAACACCAGTGCCATCGCCGAATCGATCCTTCGAGACCCTCAACGACGCGTTGCGACAACTCTCCTTACCTGTTGACAGCCCCTCGAGTCACCCTCAGCAGCGCCTTCGCCTCCACCCAATCTGAAAAGCCTTCACCCGCCTCTACGACTTCATTGACCATCTGCTACGGCAATTCAGGGCCATATCTTCGCTTCCTACTACCATATCCGGACTGCGAAAGTGACGGCAAGTCGTTGGCTGCTCCCGGACGTGCCCTGCCTCTGGGTCCGCTGGCGACGATCGAGGACCCAAACGTTCTACAGTCTTTTCCAACAACTGATGACAGCTTTCATCGATCTCGATTGTTCTCGCTCTGCGACACCGTTTTCGATCGAGTCGCTGTTTCCTTCGTCATGCGACTCCGGCAAAAAAATCAGTGAACGCACCCTCTCACTCGTACAGCCACCAAGAGGCTCTTTCTAGATTATGACAGAAAGGCCTCTATCGATCACAACGCAGATCGCGACTCCTCTCCAGGCCGCTTTCAATTCGATTTCTGCGAATGATGCGCTTCCGGTCATCGAGTCCGCAGACGAAGAACCTTACACCATCAAGTGTATCTGCGACTTCTCGGACGACGATGGGAACACAATTTATTGCGAGACGTGCGATACGTGGCAGCATATCGAGTGTTTCTATCCTGGCCGGGTGGATGATGCTTCCAGAGAAGAGTTCGATCATTCCTGCGCTGACTGCAAACCACGATCTCTAGACCGGCGCCTTGCGACCGAACGACAGCGGCACCAGAGGCAGAACAAAGCAATCAACGACACAGGCGACAAGAAAACTAAGCGGCCACCTTCGAAGAGCCACAAGAAAAAGTCGAAGCCATCCGACCTTCAAGTAAATGGCTACCACGATCACGACGGTCATAAAGGTGGCAGCCCTCAAGAACACCACCCGCATACGAAGAAGGCAAAGGGCCACCGATCGAACCAGTCTGTCAGCTCGCAATTAAAACGAAGCCCGCCGTTCAATGCCCGTCCGCATAACCACGCACACCCACCCAGTCCTGCCCATACACCGCCGGATCTACCAATCAATTTCCAAATCCACACCTACTCCGAGATCTTCCTGACCCTCTACGATCAAGACCACCCGAGTCGACTTTCATCGTCAAATTCCTTCGCAAGCTTGCTCGTCACCAATGCATTAGCGCTTTGGCTACAGGATCCAGGTAAGCTTCAAGGAGACGTAGGTGTGGACAAGGAAGACGTATTTCAATATCTCAAAGTCCCTACGGATCAGTTGAAGTGGCCCGAGCTACGAGTTGAACGCAAGGAAAATACGAACAATGACAGAACGCTTCGATGGCGACAGTTGATCACTCCTACCAATCTGCCTCAAGCCGGTCGTATTGGGGAGCTCAATGGCCTGATCGGGTTCCAGAAGGATTACTGCGATGCCACCGAGAATTGTTGGAAAGCATCTGCTCACCCTCGTCCTTTCGTTTTCTTTCACCCTCGACTTCCGCTATTTATCGACACCAGACAAGAGGGCTCCATTTGCCGCTACGTGCGACGTAGCTGCCGTCCGAACACAAACTTGGAGACATTCATCGCTCTTGGAAATGAGTACCACTTCTGGTTGACCAGCGAACGACCACTAGCTGCCAACGAACAAATCACGATTCCATGGGACTTTCGATTTCCAGGTCAATATCGATCCAGATTCCTACACCTGCTGCATCTGAGTGATGATGACGGTGCGCCGTTTGATGGGGCGGGCATCAACGATGAAGAATACGAACAACTCACTTCAACGATTGAGATGGTTCTCTCTGACCATGGCGGCTGCGCATGTGATCTCGGCAATGACTGCGCGTTTGCACGGTTCCATCGAAGCTACCACGGAAGATCGCATACTCAATCGAACGGAGTGAGGTCAAAAAAGGGTCGCAAGCCCAAGCAGAACCATGTTTCTCCCACGAGTACGGGCCATGCGACCAACAGCCGAGCTGCCAGCGAAGGACAGCAAGAACAATATGACGATGATGATGGCAGATCCGTGTCGGATTCTGCGCGGAGCAAGCCTCACAGTCGGGATCTAACGCCTTCCCAAGGAGCTGGCGAAACGAATGGCATTCTCACGGAGCCTTCAGATCGGGAGAAGAGAAAGTTGGCAATGCTTGAAGAGTCGTTCCGAAAGATGGACCAGGGCCAACCGCCACGCAAGAAGAAACGACCATCCGATAGTTCGACGGCGAATGTACCGGTGAACACTCCACAGCCGACCCCGAAACCAAGACAACGGTCTGTTGCTCCCCGCATGTCGATCTCGCAGCCCACACCGTCAAATTCGAATGGCAATCGATCACGGCAGTATGTGGATGCGAGCACGTTGAGACGGCAGTCTGGATCACCCTTCAGCGCACTATCGCCGACTGCAGCATTGCCTTCTCCTGACAATCAAGCATCCCGCAACGGATCAGCGACAATTCGATCTAGGCAAACATCTGTGGCGCCGAAGAGCATTTACACTGACGCCGCAACACAGACGGAAGAGGTTGAGAATGCGTGGTGGAACGATCCCAAACCAAAACAAAGACGTTCGATGGTGCCTTTGTCGAAGCGGCTCCTCAAGAATCGGCATAAGCTACAAGCTCAATCAGAGGCACAGACATGCCAGCAAACACTTGTATCAAATGACGGGGAAGAACAGAATGTGCGAGCATCTCCGACGGCCTCGATGGACTTGGATGCATCGACCCACGAAGACCGGTATCATATGGAATCCCCAACGGATGCAAAGGCTCGCAATTCAAGTATTTCATCCTCGACACCGTCAGTAGACGTCCCACCTACCTCCGTTGACACGGCCATGATCGATGCTCCTGCTATCGCTGTAAGTACCACGATAAAGCCACCTCCGCCACCTTGGCCTGGCCAACTAAATACTGCACTTGTTGGTTCACAACCTCCCTCTGGTCAGAAATCGCCAGGTTTGCGAGTACAGATGCCTCCAGCACCCATTTTTTCCACTCCGAACATGTCTGGACCCATGTCCGGCCCCGCAACCCCATCCTCTGCATCTGGATCCCTTGCACAGTCACCACTTGGGACCGTGCATCCTACAGCCGTGTTCGCATTGCCCATGGTCAATGGTGCTAGTCAACATCCGAGCCCCGTCAAAACGACCAAGAAGCTGAGCTTAAGCGATTACAAAGCTGCGCGGATGAAGAAGTCGGACACGTTTGGTACGAACAAGGCGTCATCTGGGACCAGCCCCACTGTAACATCTTCGTTATCGACAGTGGAGGAGGCTAAGGCGCTGGGGACCTTGCAAGGCTCTGCAATCATTGATTCCCCTGTGGTTGAGAAATCGGCAGACTCGTTAGGTTTGGCGGCTGATACTGCTGTGAAGCATGACATGCCATCAGGAAAATCTAATGGCACGTTGTAACATACATAGATTTGTGCAAGGCGTTTTGCTATTGGCACGAGTTTTCTTTCTTTTATGGGCTTTGAGCGTTTTCGGCGGGTGGCTACCCATGAATTCAAAAGGGGTTTGGGACAGGCGTAACGGAGGCGGCCGGCTCACTTTGTCTGATCCTTTGCTGGACAGCACGTTGATCTCTCGGGGGAGAGCAATACCTTGGGTTGTACCAGTAGTATGAAAGCCTCAATGGCATTTCAAAAATTATCAAAAATTATCAAAAACGAAGAAGTAATTGTCCATGAGATGCAAGCTTGCTTTTCGAGCAAGCTATGATGACATCATGGTCTCGACGTCTGTTGCGAAATTTTCTTGTAAGGAACTTGAACTACGCTTGATTCTGCCATGATTCGCACATGTAAATAAATCATTGTGATGATTTTACAGACCAATTATCTGACTCAAATATCCAGAGGGCAAAGTTGTGCCTCACAAACAGTCCAAATAGTCCACAGAATGTCTGCATCACCAAGAGCTCGATGGCCAGTCTATCCTCTCTCCTGGGCCCAAACCACACTAACCACAGATTCAGGATGGTAAAGTTCGTACTCTCAGTGATCTGTCCGCCGTGATTCGTCGTTACCCGTAAGAGGTGCAAACGGTGCAGCAGCTTCAAAAATACAGCAACAATTGGCTTAGGCGGATACTGCCATTCTGTCACTGAAGGCTCCATCAAGCCTGTTCTGGCGTTGAAGCGAGGCAGGCGATGGCGTGGACAGGGTATTAGGCGGAACAGTTGCGGCGCTGAGTATACGAAGTTGAATATTTGCGGGATGAATAGGAGGAGGAGCGTTTTAGAGAAATGTCCGAGAATACCAACGACCGCAAATACCATCCCAGCAAAGTAGCAGTATGTATCTCCCACAAAGACCCTAGAAGGATACCAATTGTGCCACCAGAGGGCCAGTGAAACGCCAATGAAAGGAAGTAGCATGTACAAGGAGAAAAGATGTGAATCCGTTGCTGGGTGGGGATACGGTGCCAACAGGTAGAAGCAATCGTTGAGAACGAGGAGGAATGCAATCACCAATGATTGGGATACTTCAATGCCGTTGATGCCAGCAAGAATGTTAATGCTGTTCGGACAGAATATTGCCACTGCAGCCATGTAAACGTAGTAGAGAAATCCTAGGTCGAAAAGCCCTCCAAGATATGGCCGTAGTGGTATGGGGATGACAATCTGAGTTACCCCAAAGTCTACAAAGTAGACAATGAGGATAGGTATGCTGGCAATCCCGGGTATGAAAAACTTGTGTCGCCACCGAATATCAAAGAGATCATCGCCGATCCCGAGGATAGATACGGATTGTAGGGAAAGGATGGCAGAGAGGTATGATGCTAGCTGGTTTCTATCAGCTCAAAGCCCCAAGATTGTCAGAAGTAAAGTGGCCAGGAAACTTTTGCACTCGCGCTATAACGTTCCCCAGATGTAAGTAATGTTGAATCCGTGGGAGACTTGCCTTGCTATGTGGGAATCTGTGTAAAAATCGACCTGTCTGTACGTGCTCAAGCTCAATGACAACATCTCGGTTTCCTCCTCCAGAAGTAGCCGCCACAATATCCTTGTAAAAGGGGAAAGGTATAAAAACAATGATTATGAGAAGATAGACAACGGCGCAAACAGCGCCCATGGTTTCAGGGATCTCTTTTTTGTGCACTTTTGACATGTCCTTCCCCTTCAGCCCTGCCTTCATAAATGTTGGCCCAAGCCACCGAATCATGGCATACGTCGCCGCAAATGCAATTCCGCTGAGTGCAAGAGAAACGATGAGAGGTTCGCCATCGCCACGGAAGGTGTTGGCGATGATGCCGAACGACGCAAGGAAAAGAGACAGGAGACTGAGGGTCTCGGTGAAAGAAAGAGCTGAAGGAGTTGATGCGTTCATTGGCGAATCCCGGACCACCATTGCGGTGGCAGTAGCGGTGAGTCTGCTAGATGGAGGTGCGGGTGGGAATTAGGATTGGAATTAAGATTGGAATTGGAATTGGAATTAGAATGGGGGTTCCAGAGAGTAATAGTGTGAAGTCGGTTGAAGGTTGAAGTGAGCATGACGAAGCGAGGCTTGAAACGAGGCTGTGAAGTGCACCGTCTTTCTTTTAACGTGGCCTTCGGGAGAAGAGAAATGGAATAGCCGGCGCTAGTCCTACTGGAGAGCGCGCAGAAGCGAGCCCCTGACTGGCTCGTCGCCAGGAACCGCTGGACCGCAGAACGTCTGCGGTATTCTGCCATAGATCTAATCGAGCTTTAGGTTGTTTATCATTATTTAGCCTGGGGAGATATACACGAAAGGGACAGTCTAAACCAAGAAAGCCTTGTCTACAGCCCCAGACTAACCCAGCACGACCACCTTTTGGACCTCCAGGCCATCCGCCTCGGGAGAAAGCCCGAAAACTCCCCTTCTGGATCTCGATCCGGTTATTGCTCCTCCAGGATAAGTTAATTTAACGTTCAGGGACGGACTCCGGCCATAGACGCTAATGCTTAAAGGAAAAGGGACGAAAATTATTCTACTAAAGTCTTCTTATTATCCGTAAATAATTCTTATATAATCTCTAAGCCTTAATATGCCTCTATAGCCTAAACCTCTTAATAATATAAATAAATCCAAGTATAAAAATGCCCGTTAAATATATCCCTAATATCTTCTTAACCCCGGTTAAGGGTATATATTATTAGTATATAAAGGGTCGGACTTCCTTTATTAGCGAGCGGAATAAGGTACCGATTTCTTATAAAGTCTCAGTTAATTAGAGACGGGCGGGCGAATCTTGTATATTGATATTAAATAATAGAGGAGATACTATATCTCGAGTCGAGGGGAGGAGTCGATTCGAGTCGGAGCGGTGGCGGCGGTGAAGGAGGAGGAGATTCGATCATTGTCACTAGTTCGGGACTCAATCCTAGCCCTGTACTTCTCCAAAGAGATAGAGCAATCGGTGGACCGATTGCTACAGGTTACCAGTCCGCATCACGAGGAGGTGTTGAGTCGTCGCGGTCCTGCCATAGATCTAATCTGATTTTTCCACAAGTGCATCTACAATCTAGACGTATCTACACGTATCTCGGTGCCGCATCGTATCTACCTACCTTTCTCCAACGTTCCGCACCATACAAACGGTCGTGTTCACACCCTCGCCGCCTTATTACTTGCCCAAATCTATGAGAATATTCTCAACATTCTCGAAACCCAGCTTTTGATAAAGCCTGCGCCCTCTGGCGGACGCTTCCAGCCACGCAGACAATTTTTCTCGATCAGCGATTTGCAACCCTTCATTGCAGAGGAGCCTGCCCACACCTCGGCCTTGAAATTCTGGAGCCGTGACTAAAATTGCCGGGACTGGAAGACCGGAAGGAGTTAGCGGATGCGGAAGGATAAGTGCAATCGAAACAGAAATGCTTACCAGCACAACGCTCTCCCACCCATTGTCCCTTTTCTTGCCTTCTCCATGGACCCAAAGGAAGCATCACACAAAGGTCCGGTTGCTCCCTCGCCCCAATTTGACGGTAAGTCGTCCTCAACGGGCATGGGTTCTACGAAGTAGTGCCATTGAGCAAATCCGACAATCTGCCCGTCCACCACAGCTTTGGTTAGCTTGCAGCTGGCGTCCACGAGACACTTTCTCAGGTATTGTTGGGTATGAGCGATTTGCTCCTCCTCGTTCTGATTTCCGAACATCAGTAAATTGATAGGAGTAGCGCTAAAGCCGTGGTAATTAAGTCGGCCAAGCTGAATGAAATCCTCCGTTTTGGCGGGCGTGATGTCGATTTGGGACATGTTGGCTGGCTGGCTGGCTGGCTGGCTGTCAGACGGACGACTCGGGATTAACGGTACGTGGCCTAAAGATTGGTATTTTGCTGATGGAAACGGCTAGTCCTGTGTTTGAAGCCGGAGTCCGGACTTATTTGGACTTTATTCATATGCATTGACAGGAAGACGATATGTATGTTGGAGTCAAGGAAAAGGTACGAAGCCGGGGTCGTTGAAGAGGTCGGTTGGATTGGTATTCATTGGCATTGGTTCCGTGTGGCCAAAGGCCTGGTCATGTTCAAATTCGAGTTGTCATTGGGCACGTGCCACCCAGCGGCATACCTGTCCTGGGTACTGTAAGTAGGTTAGTAGACAGCGACGACTCCCTTCTCCTCTGAAAATTCACGGTCAACTTTCAACTTCGGCCTCAGCACAGCAACTCTCCTCTCCGATGACAACCACAGACCAGCCAAACTCCCCGGCCCCGATAACCGGGCAGACAGACAACATGATCACCTTTCTTCAGATCTTCAGACAAACCGCAGGATACCTCCGCAGCAGCTGATATGTGCCGGACACGACCTGACGATGAGCCCACGTGTGGAACGACGAACAACGAGGGAAGAATGGAATACTTTTATCCAAACATCATGCAATCAAGTTGCTGACGTTGCGGACTCACGAGCTTTCAGTAGCCAGTGCCATTGTCAGCAGGATTAATCCCCATCGCCCTTCTGTCTTACGATTCGGCTCATGGCTAATGACACCTGCGTCCGGCTTGTCGGGTTCTCTATACTTTCTCATCACGCAGACCCGCATCGGGGCATGCACAGCGTTGGGCATCCGAAAATGGTCTTGAAAGGCCCCCCTAAATGCCTTTAACTCCATTGTAACGCCACGACTCGGCCGTGGGGCCGTATGATTCTCGGGCTTGGCTGCGTTCAAGTGGTGCCGTCTGGTCCTTCCCTCACTCGTTCTCTCCATATTTGCCTATTTCCTCGTACCTCGCTTTAGACCAGACACGAAACAGCCTTCCATCGGGACAGATGGTTCCTTGGCCCGAACAAGGGAACCGAGCGGCGTTCCTCTCGGGCTGGGCGCGAAGTTGGTTGCGGTCCATATGATTAGAGCACGCGTTCCCCTCTGTATGTTAGACTCACATTGATGCTAGCTCTTTTCCTGTCAACCTATTGTTCACTGCTCCAAGTGTTTCGTCCCCATTCGTCGTCCTGAAATTTTTCAGGCAATTATAGGGTGCGGCTGGTGAAATGGTGCCTGGCTCTAGTTTTACTATACTCCCATGTTCCCTTTCATCAGGATCTATAGTTTCGGCAGATAAGACAGATGAAGATGATGAAAGGCCTTTTCCTTCCCGCCATCATCCATGCAAATGGCGAGGTGTAAAGTAATAAAGTCCTGGACATCTGCTCCGCTGAGAAAGTAGCTATAGCTCGAGCTCCTAATCTAGCCGTGCCTAAGTGAGCCACAACTGCAGCGGATGTCCTTCGTCTCTTCTGCGATATTACTGCCCCGGCTGGAATTGGTATGATTCTCATTCTTTTCATCGAGCCCACATTAGTCAAGTCCAGCTTGCTCTCAATCCCCGCAAAATGTGCCATTCTGCGATGTTGTAACTTCGATTTGCTATGCCTCGTATACAAACGAGCGAGGCGTTGCCTACTGTGTCGCCCTTCCCAATGTGGCCGACAAAACGGTGCCTACATATGCTATCCTTCAGATCGTTGCTCCTATCAGCATAGGCTGGTCTGGGTTTACCTGGGGGGGCAATATGCTGGGTAATCCGCTATCTGTTGGCTGGTCGAGCGGTAGCGGTGCTGGTAAAGAATTAGTTTCCCCTCGCTGGGCATGGTGAGAGACTCCTTGAGCTTGACATTCGGTGCAATGGTTAACCAAAAGCAGCACCAATGCCTATCCTCAACCGTACGCTGGGACCGAATACACATATTTTAAAGGGACTGGGACAAATAAAACCCACGGTGAGCTCCCTTTTAGCATTTCCCATGCTGTTTGTGCTCTAAGGATTGCAGGATACTGATTCAGTAATTTTTGCAGGGACCGTTATGGCTCGATATCGTAGATGCACATCTTGGATAAATGCTGACGGGAACCGGACTACCATAAGTCCCACTGGAACTTCGCGATTTTCCCGGACAATGTCTTCGACTGCGCCAAAGACACCAAGAAGTAACACATCGACGTTTGAAGAACACGGCCATGTCAACAATTATGAGCACAATATGGAATATGCCCGCAGCCCGCTTTTCGACACTTAAGTAGCTAGTAATCTGCTTCCTTCTACTACGAGCTCAACAGACGCCCCGGCCCCACAACTCGCCGTGCAGCATCAACTCGCTCTCTCGCAAGACCCACAGCAACCGCCACTCGCGCCGTCCCCATTGAATTGCTTGTTCGTACGGACAAAAATACGCAACAGAGGGCCCTTGAGCGGCGTTCCATGCCAACTGCTTGTGCTGGAGTCCCCGCAGCACAATATCCTGCTGAAGTGGCCAGCGGATGGGCTGCCGTCAACGTCAAGGGCGGCATGCTCTCAGCTCGCAGGTTAATCTTGGACACGGCTGGCAACTTTCTTGTCGCTGAGAGCGGCAAAAGCATCACGGCTCATATCTTAGATGCCTCGAGATGCATTGCGTCCAGCAAAACACTTATTAAACAGAACAACCTCAGCCGCGGGATTTATTTGACCGGCACGACTTTGTACGCCAGCTCGATGTCAACCGTATGGAAATGGACTTACGACCCCCAAGCGATAGCTGTGGGAGTGACCAAGACAGTCGTCGTTACTGGTATGTACAATGGTGATCATCTTACGCGAAGTCTCATCATATCACTGAATCATCCAAATCTGTTGATTGTGTCTCATGGCTCAAACGACAACTTTGACTTTACCTCTGGGAATATCAACATCGCCCGGTCCAATATCAAGGTATTCGACATGAACGCTGTCCCAACCGGTGGCCATGATTATGTAACAGGTGGAAACACTCTGGCATACGGACTTCGGAATGAGGTTGGACTCACTTTCGACCCAAACAATATGTTGTTAACACTGCTCAAACCCTAACATGTATGTGCTAACAACACAACAGGTTATGGGGAGTAGAAAACAGCTCTGACGATATCAAACGTACGATAAATGGCATAGATAATGACGTCCACATAGATAACCCAGCGGATGCTCTTCACTACTTCGGAGATATTACAGCGCCAAATGCAATTCGGTACGGGTATCCCGACTTGCTACACGGTTTGAAATCCAAGCCCTTTCACAGACAAGACATTTTCTGTCGGTGATCAAATTGTACTCGCACCCGACGACATGTACACCGGTGCAAACTGTACAAAATCGACACCGGCATGATTGTCGTTCCATGCCTACAGCGCGCCTCTGGACTGCAAATTCGACTCCGCATACAAGAGCATGTGTGTTACTTTCCACGGCTCTTACGACCGGCCCCCGTCAACGGGATCAAGTTGGTTCAAATACCATTCACGAAGACCAGCACTGGAAATTATGAACTTGTAGCTCCCGCAGACAGCGTGAACGCATACACAGATATCTGGTGGAACCAAAATATCACGAACTGCAGTCAGATTGAGTGTTTCAGGCCAGTTTCGATTGTGATGGATAGCGCAGATAGAACGTACGTAACGAGTGGTGCTGCTGTTGAGGGGGAGATTTGGCTGGTAGGGAAGGTTTGAGGGATGATCGTGTAATAAGAGAATTAGATGAATTAGAAGTTTTTCATGCTTGGGAGTTCACGGAGCCCATGCTAGAAGCCTCAAATCGACCGTCGCCCCGAATCTTATGAATTGGTGGACTCAATCCAGTTGACACCACACGCAGATGGCCCACGGTTGGTGGAAGGAGCTGTCATCGAGTACATCGATGAAAGCAGTGTCTGCCCTTGTTGCGACAGCCTCTAGACTTAAGTGGGAAAATGACTTAGGCTCGTCCCTGTCGCTCTCGATCCTGGATCTCGAGCTCAAATGTCAAGACTTGACGACAATTCATAAACGGATACTTATGATTGCACCTACTTTATTTCATCTCTAATCATAGCAGTATAACGTAGGATCTGCTCTTTGACATAATCATGATCAATTACAGTAAATGCTCCTCGCTGCTATTATGAAGGAGGAAACGCCTAAATTGCCACGCAGCCAAGTGATATCACGGAAGAAATGCCTCATAACTTGACAGGGTGGTTCTTCCTAATCCTGCCACCAAACTTATAAATCATTAAAGGTGCAGGAATCAGCGCTATTGCGATGAAACCCAATACAGAGTTTCCCCAACCAAGACCAAGGGCTTGGTACATTGACGGCCCAGCCAGCGGAAGGAAAGCGCCAAAGAGGGAACGCGAGACTGTGAGAGCCGCGATGCCAGAGGCAGCAAATGCAGGGAAGGAATCGATGGTATACGTTTGTATGGGGATGAAGATACCCATCATGCCGAAGCCAAATGGAACAAGACCTATCACGGGAACGATCCACTAGAATTTGATTAATATCATGGCACAGATTTAGGGAAATGAGGAGAACTTACGTGAACGCCCTCGTCAGCAGACCAGCCGTACCAGAAGAATGTCACCGGAAGCCAGCAGGCAAAGAAAATGCAAGCAGGAAGACGCATCTCGGGCTCGAATACGCCTAAACCCCAATTTCACAGGTCAGTAACACACTGAAGGGTGGATTTTGGAGTAGATATGGTGAATTGCGACGAGGGTGCTCTCGATACATATCTATAGAGACAGCTCGCACAACATCAAGGTAGGAAATGATGCTGTGGAACTTACCATCGTTTGCTTTCGTCATTCTGACCACGGTAGCATCGGACAGTCTTGCAACAAGAACGAGACCGCAGAGAAAGCCAATTCCAAGACCAATGTAGGCCAAACCACATATATCAGGGTCCCAGCCATAAGTTTCAATAAATACTTGAGTGATAGTCGTGAAGAGCAAATATAGAAGGCCATAAGCGACTGACATGTACAAACTGAGGAGGAATATAATTGGGGAGAAGAACAGCATCTTGAGCGGCCGGACAATCCCATTGAGGAGAATTTGAGCTGGGGTATGTTGCTGAGTATCTGTGTCATAGCAACTACGCAGCTCTGGGCGGTTGAGTTCTCTTTGGAGCCGCCGTACTTTTCGACGGATTAAAACTCTTGGGTTGGTCTCTCTGTTCAGAAGCTCGATTCCAATGGTAACACAGGTACCAGAGATCAGGAGGACCCAAAATACCCCTGGGTAGCGGGTGGGTTAGCATTTGCTCAACACAAAAGGTTTCTGGAGCTGTCTGGGGAAAGAATTACAAGACAGCCAGAACCAGGAAAGGGTTTCTCCCCAATACCTACATCTCCAGCCAATTCGTTGGGAAATAAAGCCACCACAGATTGGACCAACGACTGGCATCGAGTTAGTACGGAATTTTCGCAGAGTGTTTTGGAGGGTCAGGGTCAGGAGCTGAGAAGCCAAGGAAGACAATTGCGCATGCCCGCTCCCGTGGAGCTCTCGGGCTCTCAGCTCACAGAGGAAGACAACCTAATCTTATGGGAACAAGGCTCACCTGGACCAAACAAAGGCCCGAAGCTGTAGACTGAGGAGGCAAGACCACGACGATCAGGATGAAAGAGGTCTGCAATCACGCCGCCACCGATTGTCAAACATCCGGATCCCCCAATTCCAGCCAAGAATCGAAAGACTATCAGCGCGGAGAGATTGGGAGATAATGCAGCCCCGATTTGCCACACGCAGAAAAAGACATTTGCGCCAGTTAGGACGAATCTGCGGCCATATATCTCGGACAATGGGGCCAGCAGAAGAGGGCCACAAACAAAGCCCAGCACAAAGATCGACACGGCTAGGGAGCTCAAGAGGAGAGAGTCGTTGTGAAATGCGGCGTCCATGAAGGATACGGCAGGAGCAAACATAGAAGAAGCCAGAGGAGAGATAAACGTGATGCTTGAGAGCAATGATATCAAAAGCCATTTCTTAGTCTCAGGGAAATTGAGAGGCATGGATTCATCGGTTTGGGATTCCCACCCCACAATTCCATTGTCTAAATCGGACAAAGGTAAAGGCTCCGGGGCAAGTCGTGGTTTCTTGCTTTTGGGGGTGAGGTTGGTGGCTATCCTCGATAGTTTACTCTTCGAGCTTGATTTGGAAATTACTCTTTGGATATCATTCTCGTCTCTCCGGGAGCCAGCCCTGATAGATGCCACAGCCTGACAGAATAAGCCAAGGGGTTTCTTGCGGGGAGTTGGAACTGACGAGTTGTCTTGCTACATCGTCTAAATGGCCCTTGTCCATTACCTCTACCTCCTCGTGATCCGAATCTGGTTCACCATAAGTACCTTCGAGTGCTTTCCCAGGTTCGACCTTCTCACGGTCGGCCGGTGATGCCGTGGCAGTGGTGGGGTCCAGATCTCTGGCCTTTTCGACATCGTCGTCGGAAATCATGTTCTCTGAGTAATTGGGTTCTAGCAAGAAAATATGGGGGCCCAAAGGAAGGCTTTCAGCGCCGGAGACAGTAAAAGTGACACAAGGGGAATTCGGGACTGCAGATTGTGCGATAGTTGAGAGAATGGGAGAAAGAGAGAAAACGAAACGAAATGAAAAAGAAGGATAGGGAAGACGGAACAACAAGAAAACATAAAACAGTAACGCTAGCTGTGTTGAAAGGAGGGAGGCGGGTTGTGCACTCGCACTACCACTACTCTGTGCAACGTCCGAGTCCCTTTTGCGCAGAGAAAATCTACTGTACGGTATCTTCATTCCAGCACAGTCATATGCAAAAACTCCCTGTTTTAGCGATTTTTTTGGCAAAAGCATACTTTTTTAAGAGTAGAAATTGACTTTTACCAAAACCACAAATTTCTTAATAAAAAGTAGATATTTAGAAAGGCCTTTTGAATATTTTAAATAACCATTGAACTAAGGGTTTTTTTTAGGGAGTATTGTAATTTTAAGAATTAAAAGTAAAGAAATTTTGGTATTTCTTGTTCTTGCCTAAATTTCGTCTATATAAGGCTTGCCAGAGTAAATTTGGCAAGAAAAGGGCCAAAAATTCACTTAGAAAGGTATCTTAAAAGAAGAGCTTAAAAGCTTTTTTAAAATTAATAATATATTTTAATAAAGGGCTATTAGTTCTAATAAAGTACTTAAAGAGAAAAAATTCTATAGTAAGAATATAAAATTAAAGGTAATAATATATAATTTTCGTGTGCTTTTTACTAGTCATTCGAGCTTTGCAAGAATAAAATTTTAAACAAGAATAAGAAATACTAAAATTCTTTTCCTTAGATCTTATAAAATTAATTGAGAACTTACCTAGAATCTTATAAAAAGTATATACTTAGATTCCTTAAAGTAGTGCAAATCTTAATATTTACTTTTTATTAAGAAATTTGTGGTTTTAGTAAAAGTTAAAGTGTACTTTTTAAAACTATATGGTTTTGTCAAAAATTCGCTAAAACAGGGAGTTTTTGCATATGACTATTCGGCACAAATTGCCGTGCCAGCCCACCCACCAGCCCAAAATGAAGGCACCAAACGGAACCCCGGGGACACGGCAAGTGCTGGCCCATGTCGCTTCTCCCTCCCAATTATTAATCCCCTCTCTCACCGACTCGAATACTTGGCCGCAGGAGCACATTGGAGCACATTCAAGCATGTCGGGTGCAGCATGCTCCTGGCAAGCACACTCGAATCAACAGCCGTCGCTTGACAAGGCGAGTTCGGCTGCTGCGAAGGCCAGGCAATCAATCACTTCTGGCGGAATCGAGAACGAGAGTCGACCCCCTATCCTGGTTGTGGGGAACAAGTGCTTCACTTGATCGTCGCCAGCATCGCCAACGGGGGCGTGGTTTGTTCTATTTTTATCGGGGTTTGCCTTCGTTCGCATCTGGAAGTACAGACTAATAGCATCATCCCTTCAACATAACCGTCGAAGGGTCGTTGCTAAGGCGAGAAGACACGACCTCCGATCAGCGGCTAGCCGTCCACTCATAGTTGCGGAGGAATTAAATCACATCTCGTGCAAGAACACCGCACCCTGTGTTCCGGGCTAAGCAGCCAGAGGATGCAGAATAGATCATGCAGTAGGCAGGGTGGGTTGACAATGGCAGACTCGGATAGCGTTGCCTTTTATTGCTCTTCGACTTGAAACCTCCATCCTTTCCATGTAGACATTCCTTAAATACCTATCACGGAATGGTTCGTTACTGGCCGTATCTACATTCCGCAGACTGATTTCAATCTCTGGAATGCAAGGAAGTATGTCCTCGCAACAATGGTCGAGCGTTTCCGCGGGTTTTTGGTCTTCTGCTACAACTAAATTATTGGAGCTGATGGTTTTCGCTATTCAAAGAATCATTGGCATCAATTATCGAATTCAAAATGCATCCAAAGGCGTGGGATATAGAGGAGCTGATTTTGGCTAAAGCACTAAGTAAGTACTTGTTAGCGCCCCCAACGATGCGCTACATGCTGATATGGCAAAGATGTTGGAACAGTACGGATACCTGATCTCAAGAACAATTTACACAGAATATTTCTTCCCGGACGTTGGCAAGTAACCAAGGAAGAGTATGAAGCGCTTGTCCCCAGTATGCGACTTGCTTCCCACCTCATTGAAATAAGCATAACGTATCTATCCAACTTTCTTCCCTCAGATCAACTACACCAGGTCCTTGCACCGAAGACGAGGAATGCCGATGGCAGCTGTTCGGGTTATACGGTTCACTTGAGAACGGACAACGTTTCGCCAAGGAAATTGGAGGAAACGAGGGCGGAGCTCAACGCTGTCTCTGAGATTGTCTTCTGGCAGGTGAATTATGAGATGTATCAGACCTTGTCGTGGCAAGGTATCACTAGGACCGTCTTTGATGCTCCACGTCCTTGGGCAGAGATACTGCCCGAAGAAACGATGACATCGGACACCCGACTCAAGAGTCAGGGTTATACGCGCCGACCCCTAACAATCGGAATTATGGGCGAGTATGTGATGGCCCTGAGGCAGCTTACTCCAGGGAGTGAAGCCCATTTACGGGCGATCTTCTTGGCTGCTATAACAATGACCCACGAAGTTAGCCATCTTGTATTTCAACAAGATTTTAGGTCTTTGGACTATGATCCCACCCAGGGATATGAACCATGGGTAGAAAGGGACTGCTGGGCGGACCTCGGTCTTTCCTGCGTTGGTTGGATTTTCAGTGGATACAACCCCATGCCGTGTGTAATAGGAAGCATTGATTACCCATGGGACTTCCAAGCTCCTCTTGCTTGGTTCAAGCAATTCACAATTGATGAGCAACCACTTTATGAAACCGCTTACTCTATTGGAGTTCCGTATCTGGAGGAGATTTTATCGACTACGTTTTGGGACAGTCTTGGAGTTCCAGACGCCAGCAGATTTTCGAAAGAGGCAAAGAGAAGGCTGAAACCGGCGACAGGATCCGTTGAGCCACAGCCCGCCACAGCCATGCTTCCTCAGTGGAAGTGGACAAGGCTCGAAAGTGCATCGTGGAAGACTAAGTTCAACGACAGAAGAGTGGGGAGCAGACCTATGGTAACACCTGACGAAATTCAATGGGAGCAAGCCCAACTCCGGATACAATACCCGCACTCTCGTCCAACTTTATGGAATGGCGATCCCAATCCCAGGATAAACCTCTTAGACGTTGCGGACGAGGACGAAGACGGAGAATTTGGCGTTGGACCTTCAGCCAAGTTATATTTGGGACGCAACCTCAATTCGCTGCGGCTGGCAGATCTTCCGCCGAGGGAGATGGACGACGGATTCATAAGTCCAGATTTACCCGGATATCAAGGAGGGTCAGCAAATGTTCTCTTGACTGTGAGATACCGCCCCGAGCGGGTTTTGGCTCGACCCCCCATAAGCCACTCCAAGAAATATATGAACAGCCCCAACGACCCTGAGAAAGGAGAAAGATTCAACGGCGAAGGTTACGACCCAAACGACCTCACCACCATCTTACACAGCAAAGTTGACCACAAAATCTCGAGGATGACACATGAACAGGCCTTCAAATACTGCAAGGCTCGAGGTATAAGGTTTGGGTTGGGCTACGAGGATGACGAGACCTGGCAAAAGAGCAGACTCGATCGGTCTAATTACAAGGAACAGGGCTTGATTCAAAGGATCAAACAGTATTCCTTTCATCGACTTCAGGAGCGCTTCAGAAACCCGCCAAGCGAAGTGGTTCAGGTCAAAGAATTTGCTTCTCCTGACAGCGATTGGGTGAACGAGGATCTGATGTGGTTTTGCAGGACTCACGGCCTCAACACTAGCGGAGACATTCAGGATCGCATGCAGCGGGTTCGGAATTGGATTGGTATGGACTTTGAAGGAGCATGGGCAGCGCTTTCGGTTCGAGATGCGGCGAAGTTTGTGCAAACGGTTGGAGGTTACCAAATTCTGAATGAAGATGACGTGACTAAGTGGACTAAAGCGGACTTAATGGCATTTTTCAGCAAGAACAAACTCCCCACCTGGGGCTCAAGGGACACGTGGGAACAACGAGTCCTCAGATCCCGAGACGAAGAAACTGCGTGTGGAGAGGTTTCCCGCTGGGCCATCAACCAAGATGCCCTGGTGAGAAGAACTAACTATGCCAAGGGCAACAACCAGATGCCTGCGCCGGACCCATCACTTAAGCGTACCTACGACATCATGGAGGGAAATGTAGCACCGACCATTACAGAACGCATACAGCAAGTTGGCCAGCTTGCTTCTCGACTTATGCAAGCTACTGAGGCAGGGGGAGGAAGAGAGATCCTGCATCCGCATCTGAACGGGCGGAAGTCGACCAGCGGGGCGGAAATCTTGGATAACCTGGAGAATATGGAAGAGGTGCAGGAGCAGAGGAGGGAGGCTCTGAAGCGGGCTGTGGGAGGTGGGAAAGAGAATGAGGTGCCGAGTGATGGCGGGGATGGTGCAATTCCGAGGGGGCATGAGGGGACATTCATGGCCGAGACGTATCGGTCTATCGATTCTCACTGCTCGTGAGTTGTTTGGCGGAATCGAGAATGGCTGCGGCGGGGTGGAAGGTACTTCGAACTGAGGTTTGAGTTAAGATTTGCGGACTTGGCTGACCTTTGCAATGGGCATGAGAACCTGCAGGCCAGGGCCATGCCATTGAGGTTGGTGGTTTATCTCTTTGGGTTGGCATGCTGAAGTAATATATTGATATTCATTGACTTGGGACAAAGGGGGCTAGGGGTTTGTGATAGCATCCTATGTGGTTTGGTAGTGATTGTCTTAATAATATTTCCCAATTTCTGGCTTTTATCACCTCTTCCTAACAGTGTTCGAATGATGTGATTTTGAAACATCTTGGGTTGATCGCAGTACTCCAGCCCTTGCTCGCGGGGAGAGGTCAATTCGACTACTGTACGGCCTTGCTACGCTCTAGAATTGCTGAACAGGATGAGGAGATTTCTGTAAGTAGTTGACTCATTTATTCATTGCGCACACTTTCCCCCGTCTCTAGAATGATCGGCCTTTCTGGCCTTTGATCCCCGAAAATACAAATTATAGAACGCAATCGTACTAAGTGCAAGTGACAAGATAACTTACACCCTCGCTAAAACGCCCTCAAAACGCCCTCAAAACGCCGCCTAATGCCCAAGTCTACCACCCAAATCCTTCTATTTCAGTCTCCCAGATGATAAGTCGACACTTTCTTCGAGTAGCAGCCGAACTCAGTCTTCGTCATCGGCCTCAGTCAGTAATACAGTGTGCACAAGTTCTTTGCTCCCATCCCCGAAATCCATTTCATTCCTCTGTCTCTTGATTGAAAAACATTGAACTGCTCCAATGCACGCCACGAATGTGCTTCCATACCATGCGAGACCAGTAAAATCCATCCTTGCGCCAAGTGTGTAGAGATATCCAGAGACGGGTGGCGCGACGGTCCTGCAGGCAGCTCCTGCAGAAGCAGCCAGACCGTTGATCTTCCCCAAAACGCAAGGAGAGGGGGTCGCCTCTTTGATCAAGATCAAGAGCACTGGATATGCAAGAATCGACAGCACGTTTCGGATTGCGAGACAGGAATAGATTCCAAGCGTGACGTACGATTCTGGTAGGAATACCAGATAGGGCACGATAAAGTAGGCGATCGGATGTAGAATAGATACCACGATGAAGAGTCTGTGGATCCCAAGCCTTTCTGCTGCAAGCGGGAATATAGCAGCTTGAACAAACAAGGCAATGATGCCGTTGATACTCATTATCATGCCGACTCTCTGAACACTCAGTCCCAAGCCGCCAGGGCAGTAAAAGGGGTTTATCCCAAATGCGGATTGCGCGAACACCGAGATGGAGGACATTGGATCACGGCGGTCGTCTTCAAGGAAGATAGGGAGCAGGTGATCGTAAGTCATGGAGTGGTAAGTGAAAATTCCTAAGGCAATGATCAATGCAACAACCCGCTTGGTGAAGATCTTCGGGCCTTTCGTTTTGTCCACTGTACGTCTCCAAACACTATCGTCACTGCCTTCAAACGTGCCATAAGATTCAGAACGGAGGTCCACAGCTGGCTTCTTGATGGCATCTGCGGTTTGTACTAGAGGCGTCTCCTCGGAAACATAAGTTGAGTCTGGAAGGAGCACATTGGGTTGCATATCTGGGTGTGTCTCATCCAACAGGAGCCATCCGGCCAAGATGCTCACCCCGAGCATAGTTGCGCAGATCAGATTCGGCAGCAGATAGGGGAAGCGTCCAAAGAGACCACCTGCAGAAAAGGTGGCTGGAAACGATGACACTGGATCTGCGAATGTCCCACCAATGCAGGGCCCGATAATCGTACCGATGGACCAGACGAAAGGCATCACAGAGTAGGCACGGGGCTCGTGTTCTGGCTTGGTGACCAGCTCTGCCACCATTGTCTGGATGACCCCAATATTTCCGTTCAGAAAGCCTCCGATTGCTCTCCCAGCCAACGCCACCCAGATATTCGAGGCAAATCCCACCATCACCATACTCAGCATGGTTCCCGCACAGCCTGCGAGCAGCACAGGCTTTCTTCCAATTCTGTCTGACAGGCCACCCCAGAACATTCCCGTCAATGACTCGGCCAGCGCGAACGCGGAGATGAGGAGCCCCGCGTAGAATGAGGCATCGTTCTCGTCGCCAACATGGAATTTCTTGACAAGTGGCCAGGCATAGGGAAAGATGCTGGTGAGGGCGATAGGCTCTGCGAGACGGACAATGGCTACATAATCAACATTTAGTATGGCTCACATGTTTACGGTCCACCAATCGGGTAGTGACGTGTAGCTGGGATATAGGGTAACCCACCAAGCAAGAACAACTGCGCGGTGGGGAACTTCTCCGGGTCTCGACTCGATCTCTGTCTGGTTAGGCTCATGTCTCCTTTCCTGGCCCGACTCTTACGGCTTGGCGGTCGCGGAACAAACTCTGTTGCAAAGAAGTGGTCGACAGAGAAATGCGCCCAACGTGACTCTTCTCTCTATTGATTGTGTGTAAGAGGAGAGGAACAGCAGGGTCTGAGGTAGACCCTACGCGAAAGCAAGCAGTAGGGGAGAGAAGAGTTGACGGTAGGGACTGTATAGGAGGAGAACAGACAGAGAAGGAGGGTGGAGGGAAAAGAGGAGGGAGTTATAGGAAAAATGGCAGTGGGGTCAGTGAATCGGCCGGTGTTGATGTGCAGAGAACTTGGCTCCGTCGAGTTTGTGAATATTCGGGCCCAAGAAAAAAAATTGTGGACTGGCATGGACTGCCCTGCCCTGCCCTGCCCTGGGCTGGGCTGCCTGTAGCTTGAGCTGGCTGTTTGTCTGTACTCTGTACTTCTCCTGCGTAGGCTCAAGTCGAGATCTGCAGCAAGGGCGGTCCAGAGATAGCAATTGAGCGCGCCCATTGGGTGGATGGATGGGTGGATGCAAGCAGCGAAGCACGACCTTTATCCGCGAACAAGCGCGACCTGCAACCTGCGACCTGGATGGTGGTGGGGTGAGAAGCACCGAGGAGCAATCGCCGGCGAGCAGAAATTGCCTTTGCTCAACAGGATAGAACATAGGAAGCAGAAACAAGCCAAATATCTTTCTGCGTTGCTGGAGCTGGGCTACAGTGGGCGGTTTTGAGTCAAGTATTACTACTACTATTACCTTTTACCTATTACCTATTACAGCATCTGATATTTGTGGCCTGGGATGGCATAGCATGGCATGTCGAGATGCCGTCGAGGCCAAACCCTCCCCCCTGGAGGCGCGACAAAACAGCCGACGCCGAACTCGCTCATCGCACGGGCCCATCAGAGGCTCCAGCTCGCCTGGCGGTGAGGAGCAGAGAGCCAAAGAGAGAGAGATCCCACGCGTCACTCGTTGTATGATTGTATCACTCAACCTCCGACGCACTTCCAGCATTGCTGCAGCACGGCACCTGTCTGCCAGCGACCGTGTCCTGATATGATATGCTACGATATGCTACGATATGCTATAATATGGTATGATATGATTGATATGATATGATACGCGTGATGCATGGGCATAGATAGGCGTTTCTGTGCAACCAAAGGATCGACCTCGTTTTATCTTCCCCGGCCCGGATGCGCCGTTGCGGCCTGCCGACAGGAATCCTAGAATCCTAGAATGATGCCACGTTTTTTGATAAGAGCGAGAGCGAGAGAACGAGCACGAGAAGGGGGCACGACATTACGGTGCCGGGTGCCGTGCAAAACCTGCGGATTGGGTCTTGCTGCCCGCTCTGATGCAACGCCGATTATCACTCACAGCTCAGGTTGCTGATAGACTGGACAGAAGGGGAAGTGATAACTCCCGTTACATAACTGCTGTCGTGCTCTTTCGAAGAGCGAAGGGAACAAGCATCGCAGAAGCTGTTCCAAATCGCATGTGATAACTGTGACACTTGCCTTGATGTCTTTGGCTTGTGAAGGCCATGCGGGCCCATCTGTGCTTCTTGCTTGAGAAGCTATGGAAGAGGTGTAGCTATTGGAAGCCATCCTCGGAGCTGGCACTTCGAGTAGACGTCTGTAATTGCGGAATGGTAGGAAGAGCTATGCATAGCTCTCAACATGTGAGATGCCACAGCAAGGGTCTTCGATAAGCATAGCGCCATAACAAGGGGTGTACTACCCCTTCTGCGGGTTGTTACTGTATCATTTCATTCGTTCAGCCCAGAAAATGGGGCTTTTCGCTTAAAAAGGAGGAGGGCGGGACAACCCAGACTCCAAGGTAGTTGGCCAAATAAACTACTGTCCTGACTTAAAGTCGATATACAAAGTTTGCAGACTTCCTTCGCCGCTTCTCCTCGTACTCAAATCTATGAGTTCTGAGATTTCACTCTCCACTTCGAGAACATTCCCAATGTACCAGAAAGTCTCTGAACTTTGAAGCGATGTGCAACAAAACACATTTCCTCGCATTTACTCTCTTCCCATATCATCAGAGAAATGTCACTTGTCGTCTCAACTTTACCGCACAGTAGTAAAATACCTTTCCCTCGTATTTACTCTTCCTATATTTTCGGATGAAAGATCACTTGTCGTCTGAACTTCTATATTCACTTTGCCCCTGTATCCTCGGATGAAAATTAATTTGCATCGAAACTTCTATAAATACTCGATAGAATATATTTCCCTGGCATCGCTTTCCTCCCATATCCTCAGATGAAAGATAGTTGGGGCCTAAATTTCCACAGAAACTTTTGCGATGTACAACAAAAAACTTCACTCCCACGATTCATGCTCGACTTTAAGGACAATCTCTCAATGTACCGGAATATGTAGAATATTGAAGCGGTGTGCAACGAGAAAACCCCCCCCCCCCCCAATTACATGGATTCCCTCCCAGTCTTGAAAACGATCTCAATCTAATAAGATCATTTGAATTCCGAGGCATCCAATACACAGAGCATAAAATCTCCCCCGTGATCTCGAGCATACAATCAATACTTGTGCAACCTCCACGCTCTACCCTCTCAAGCTTCCAACTCCAAGGTTTGCTCGATTGATTCGAGGCCCTCAAAAACCCGTCAACCCCGACATTCCGCAAAGAATTGGAAAGGAAAACATGGAAAGGAAAACAAGATCCTCTTCTTTTCGTCTCTATCCTCCCATCGTGTTTAGTCCGTTTCATCGATTCATCGTGCTAAGCCAAAGACCTCCAGCGATAAGTCTCCATATTGGGGCGACCGTTGAGAAGTCAATGGGTCTGTCTCACCCTCGGTTCTGACCTTGGTCTCTGTTGCTTCTTCATGATTGACAGATCTGGATGCTTACGCTCACACTCGGTAGGGACCTTTAGTAAGTATACTACTAAAGCTCAAATGGGTGAACACCACTACGGGTTCCGATTTCGTGCCAAAGCTTCAGACGAGGCGGGAATTCCTCTCCGGAGAATACAACAAAAACCCTTGCACTTAAAGACTGATCGCGAGAGAGATAGCAGCCCATCTCCGCTCTCTATAGGACGTTTCCAAAGTGCCAATCCCGAGGCTTCTGCAGGATTGAGAGCGGTGCGCGCACCGGCAAGAACCTAGGTGCTGTATATACAAAATAAGAAACCAGTCAAAAAAGCATCAGGTAAAACGAAGTCACGGCTCAAAATTCGATGCTCATTCTCACTAATGCTAAACAAACTACTTGCTCACCGCATCCGCTTCTATATACGTATACCTCCCCCATCTCAGTTGTCATCACCCACCAAGTTCGTTCCCTCCCTCAAGCCCTCAACAACGAGCTCATGGCCCTCGGCCCGACGGTAGATATCCTTGACGTCATCTGTTGTGGTCTCGAAGTGGCTGGTTGCGTCATAGCTTTTGGAGATGAAGATATTGTCGTTCATACCGCTCTCAAGAGGCTCGTACAATGGAATTGGGGGACCCTGAGAATGTCAGCTGATCTGCAAGGCTGACGCAAGTTGATGAGCTTACCATGAACTTCTCTTCGATCTTGCCGAGGCGTTCAAAACCTGGTGCCAACTCCAGATGGTGATTTGCGGTCGTCTCGGCAATTGTGGACACAATGGCAATGTAATAACCCTTGGGACAAACGCTGTGGGCGCTTGAAACGACAGCGATGTAGATATCTAAGCCCATTAGTTCCGCTAACAGATGTCCGAAGGAGATAATTACCGTGATTACGTCCAACCTGAGATTGGGGAATGATCAATTGGCAGGAGTCGCTGTTGTCTGTTCCAGCAAGAGGATGGTTCAGAATGCAGATGGCTTTCAAAACGTGTCCAGTAACTTGAACCTTGCCCGGGAAGTAAGACGGATCAGCTAGAATCTTCTTGCACTTTGTTGTGAACTTCATGGGCTCCTCTCCACCGCGATCTTGCATCGTCGCCTTAATTCCAACTGCCTTCGAACCTTCGTAGATGATTTCATCGATGTTGGTGTTGAGCATGTAAGTTCCACCGTAGATAGCAGACAGACGAGCAAATCCTTGCGGGAGTTCTCCAAGACCGTAAAGAGGGTAGATGTATGGGGACTTTCCATATCTCGATACGGAGTTGCCATAGAGTCGAATGCGTTCAATGGCCTCTGGAGCGCGTCCTTTCTCAGTAAGGTAATCATCGGTTTGGTAGAGAGCCATAGCATGACCAATAAAGTCCCGAGTCCCAGTCTCAAGCCCGAATTTGTCATAAACGTCCTTCATTGTGCATGTGTTGATGTTGAGTCCTATTTGGGTTAGCCAGGAACCGCGCGCAAACTTGAAGGTATGTACCCTTATGGCTGGCAGAATCAGCTTCGTTGAATGTGCCAATCCACTCGATGAAGCTCTTCATTCTCCTCTTCTCAAATATGCCCATCAAGGACGAACGCAGAGCCTCTCCAGCATCTGAAGGCACCTTGGCCACAGCTGCCTTGGCCCCCGAGTATTGTTGGACATAGCTTCCTGCCACCTGCCTGAACTCTAGGTATCTTGTAACATCGGTGGAAACGAGGATGTTCGTCAGTTCGCCGGAGGACATCAAGAGCTTGGGGACGAGGTCGATGTTCCAGTCGTTGACGCGGCCGTACTTCTTCCATGGTTCCTCCCCCTTGTTATAGTTGCCGTACTTTTTGAAGAGCTAGCAGCGGTCAGAAAAGGTACGCATATGTTTCGGGTAGTACGGACAGCTTCGATATTGACTGAAGCTGCTTCACTGTGTCTTGTTAGCAGGGCTCGGGGGATTGGCAGGTGTGAAACCGTACCCTCCGTAGTGATCATTGCGGTCAATGTGCAAGACTTTCTTGCCCTTCACACTCAGCACACTATACAGCTTGTCAGAACCTTGGACTCGAACTTTCTCTTGATTCCTGCATACCCCGAGAGCACGCATTCAGTGAGACCTGCTTGTTGTTAGCTATGCTGATGCCCCTCATGCGGGGTCATTCCTACCGGTTCCAAGGACGACGACATCGTATTCGGGGGCTATCTCATCCATAGCGACGTCAACTGGAGATAGTAAGTCAGGGAGACGTAGGAAAGAGCAACTCAAATTTGGCAATTATCGGTGAATGCAAGCTAAAGTTGCGTCTCGTTGCTTGAGATGCTATCAGGGATGATTGGTCTCGGTTAGAGAGGTTGACCGCTTCAACTGTCTCGGAATGTTTATGCCACCGAAATTTGTATTAAAATCACAGACTTCAACGACATATCATACGCATGGAGTGTTTTGGTATTTCCACGCAACATTGTGATACAAGTCCCTTTACAGCTGTATATTCCAGCATCGTAGCTGTCATAAATGTATGATTTCTCACACACACAAACCACCCAAATGACCTCCTTATCACTCCAATCGTACAAGTCTATGTTCCCAATGTCCACCGATCATGCATGTCTGATGCCTCTACAGAGTTGGTGAATACTTCTGCTCTGGCTTCACCTCAGGGTCCAGCGGTATATCTTGCTCCGGCTTGACACCCGATTCCAGGGAAACTTCCTCCTCTGGCACATATTTCTCAACGAAATCGGTAGGGTTGTATGGAGGACCCTCTCCAGATAGATCGACCTCTGGGTCATTCTTTGCAATAGCTTCCGCATCTTGCCAGGAATAATACCTCTCCGTCAGGACCTGCTTGATAGCTCGTTGTGTCCGTCGCACCTAAACCACGTAATCAGTACCCGGCTTGCTCTGATCCAGTGATAGAGCTCACAGTGATATCTCTTCTCTCGCTTTCAGAATCTCCATAGCCAGCCTCTAGCCTCTTCCTCTCAAATGCCTCCGTAGCAATTCTATTCCGCTCCTTGCAACAAATCCACCACAGCGCATGCAAATCTTCCCAACTCTTCCCCCGCAGCTCTTCTACACACCAAGGCCTCCCATGTTCAAAGTCCTCCTCTGGAGTATTCATCGGCTTCTCCTTGCTGTGAAAAAAATCCCATAATCCATGATCCTCATCCACTTCTACTCTGGAGCGTTTCGAGGGGTCGAGGACTGGTTTGGGTAGAGGCGTTTTGGATACAGAGAGAGGTTGTCGGAGACCGGTCCGTCGTGCGGTTGATACTCCTCGTTCGCGATTGTTGTCTCGTGGGTAGAGGTTGAAGGTCGTGCTGGAGAAGGAGCTTTTTTGCTGAATAGGGGCTAGCAGGGAGGGTAGGAGGAACGCTGGGGGAATATGCTGGGCTCTGGTAGGCTTTAGAAGCCTCCTTGCAACAGGCCGCATAGCAATTGATGTCGACATTGTGAATTGAAGCACTCAACTCTGATGCGCGGAGTTTGATATTCGAGCCTCGTCAATATGGAAATATTTCCGGCTGCATGGGATTGGACAGTTCGGGCCACCGTAGTTCTCCGGAGCTTCAGTCTATCAAACCCGCTATTCCACCTGACTTCCAACACATGCTGTGGAAGCTCACATGATGACAACGCATCAAAGTCCACCATGGTCCAGTGCCATGAACTCACCAAATTCTGTTGCACATCTGCATCCGATGCCTTCCACATGCTTCGCGCAGGCCAACTACCTTGGGGGAGATCGCCAACTTATTACCAATGAACGTTCGAGCCGCCCCTCCTCGCGACGTTTTGGGCGTGTCGCACAGGAGGAGGACTCTCCTCGAGATCTGAAAGGAAGCATATCTTACGGTTCAGGATAAGCTGAACGGATGGTTGCTCAATGCTTCCGTGTCGTTCCCATCGGAGAAGTCAAAGTGCAACTATTGGACCGCATCAAATTTTCGTTGCCGCCCTGCCCCAACAGGAATGTCACTCTCATCAACGTCGCCGATGTCACACCACAGACCTGAAATCCATGTTCATAAAATGAAGATTTCGCTTGTTCGCTCTACAGTATGAATCAAATCCGATGTGAAAATCTCTTCTTCTGTGCAACGTCCTTTATGCCGAGTCGGCCATAAAAAGAGGATTTTCCACCAATGGCCAATTGGCAAAAGACGGCAATTCGCTGGCTGTTCTTCTTTCTGCTTTGGGCTATCCGGATTGCCACCAGTGGCCAAGCTGCAGGAAAACCAGCCGTGATCTGTTTGCTGGTCAAACTCGATACAGCTCAGGCCGCCTTTACCGTCATCGGATTTATCGAAGACATCACGGCCTTATTGTCGGATTGATTACAGAATGAACGCGACTCCGACAGCGGCCGCTCCAACGATACCGTGGCTTCGAACATTGACCGAATTGAGAGCACCAGCATTGGCGATTGGAGAAGGCGCTGCGAAGCCGAAGGAACTTGATGGCCTTGTCGGGCAAGAAGAGCTGGACGAGCTGGACGACTCGGTAGAAGTTACGGTTCTAGAAGCGGCGAGGCTAGTGGAGATCGAGCTGCCATGGCTAGAAACGCTGACTGCTGAGGTGGTTCATTGTAAGAATGCTTGCGTTGGCTGAAAGCCTGTGAACATGGCCGCCGATGGCACAAGGTGTGTAGGAGAAACATAAGTGGTCGAGGGTGCCGTTCCGTCATTGGAACTTGGAGAGTGAGCAGCTTGACTGTAAGGGGCAGCCTGGCACTGTCATCTTGGGTAGTGCTCACAACCCCCACTGTCCAAGAAACAAAAGATCTCTCCAGTGTCAGGAGCATACCACAGAGTCAACTGGCTGCGCAATGTGCAACGGTCTCAGAAGATACGCAGCCAAAGAGATATGTTCTGACAGTAGCAAGAACCGCGAAAGAGACTAAAGCCAGAATGAACGCATTCTGAATCCAGCAGGAAAAAAAGAAAGACGATTTCGCTGAGGTGAAGATTGGAGACGAACAGAAACTTTAGATCAATTTGAAATTTGAAAATTTTTAAGTTCGGATGCTCCCATACTAGCTAATTTACAATATATCATTGAGAGAAGTCCTTGGGGCATTGCACTGCTGCTTCTAAGGCGCGAGAAATTGAATAGTCGAACCAAAGGGGGACTGTTGAAAATGGAGATTTAGGAAATAATCTTGGAAAGAAGTATGCGAGTCTCTCAGTCCGGCCCTAGAAATGCTGATTGCGCCGGGACCATCCACAAGTTGGCTGTCTTTCACATTACCCCACGCAGAATATCCTGTAAGGCTTCGCCGATTGACTTCAAGATCGTCTAGCCTATCTGCCATCCTGACCAAGCAAGGACCTCATGCTTGCCATATTCATCGCGAGTCGTCTGGACATGCAAAGCCACGGCTCAATGTTGGATTTACCGTACCTTAAGGGCTGGCTGACTGATATCACGGCACAAAGTTTCAGATGATGGCCAACGACCTTGCCCTCAATCCCGCCATACAGTAATGCCCCTCGAAGCCCACTTTTTGCGGCGGCGATGATGCATGACTCGCGCCGGGAGTGGACAAACTGGTGCTGCTGTAAACTTTTGGCTGTCGTCGCAAGATCCCAAGAAAGCGGAAACCGCGCGCCTCCCAAAAAAACAAAACCATACGCTTTTGGATACCGCAGCTCCGAGAGCAAGTCAACATCCCTGCGGACCATGTTTTGGTTGACAGGCCGGCCCTTGCGGTGTCAACACGCGAAGACCCTGCATATTCCCCTGCACAAGTTGAGCATGTCACGGGGTGACGAGGCTTTTGATCTGAGGGTCGCAGACTCCAGTGAACGGAGGAGACGGTTGATCGAGGTGTTTGAAGCCCCCTGCCAGGTTCTTGCGGAGCGGCCAGCCTTGATTCGATGGGTCTCACGATTGACGAATGAGATACACCAATAGCCATCCTCGTGGGCTTCCCTTGGGAGCTCTGTCCAGCCCAGAAACATCGATCGAGGATCCAGATTGAGAAGCGCCCCGGGTCTTGGCATGTTTTTGACAGCAACAATGGAATTGTGGAGCGCTTCCTGATCAGTCAATTTGGTAGCCTTTGATTCTCTACTACTCTGAGTGATCTGCGCTATATTTCCTGACGTGTGAAGGTTGAGACGAGCCACGGCGACCTTCTCGGAGCAGTCAGTGTTTGTGGCAAGCCGAGTTGAGATGGCCTTCGCATGCACGGGCGTCACGTCCGGAGAGCAGAGAAGCCTCAGTTGCTTATTATTGAAATGAGAGCCAAGAATTATATGCCCAAGTAGGACAAGAGCTCTCTGATCGGCCCATTAGGGGTTGGAACCTGGCATGTTGCGCGGCCCTCCGGAAATGGGCTGGCAATAAGACGAAGGGCAGGAATAATGATCATGATTTATGATTAACAATCGCGGACGGCGCTCGGTAAAAGATCGGGGGGTCAGGAAATTAGCGCCAGCCATATGCACGCCATGACCAGAGTCTCAACGGTGCAGTTGAAGCGGCGATGGCGATGGCGATGGCGATGGCCACGGCGACGGAGATGGCGATGGACAAGAACGTGAAGAAGGCGAAGAGAAGCTTTTTGAGGCAGGGTCGTCGGGCGGAGGAAGGTTCAGAGTGGGTTATCGGCATGACTAGCATAAACTTTGTCTCTGCTGTCAAGCTACGGAGGCTGAACATTAAATAATGGAGCAATCTGGCAAATACGGTTTTGATAGTATTGCTACTGTAGGAGCTCAGGCCATGCATGGCCCGTACGGAGGTATCGACGCGCTGGTTGGATTCTTGGAAGAGCTTGGCTCGGTCAGACCCAGGGACCCAGCGCTGAAGTCAGCCTGTAAAATACCAAATGTACCAATACTTACTGTATAGTCGGTACAGTCTGTACTGGACTGTACTGTGCCTAGGCACGCCTTCTGGGCTGATCGTCCAGGCCGGTTCCGGTGCCCTAATCGCGCTGGGGGTGGCGTGAATGGCGCTGCTTCGACCCTTGGCCGCCTCGATAAGACGACGCCAGCGGCCAGCCACCGACCGTGCAAGCCGCTCGATCTCGAGTAAGTGCTTCCTTTCCCTCTGCTGCTTCCTGAGTCATTCATCTTGCCACGAGGGGGAGAGGGGGAGAGGGGGAGAGAGAGAGACGGAGACGGAGAGGGAGAGAGAGAGCGAGCGCGTGCGAGAGAGAGAAAATGAAGGCCGTCATCGGGGCATGTTCAGCTGCAACGCGCAGGGGGCTCTCTTCGACCAGCGCTGCCGATTTTCGAGAAATCGAGATGACTCGCGCGCTTTCTCCAGCTAGACCGCAAAGATCCAGACCCCGCTACAGTAGCACCAGAGCGCCAGAGCATCAGGAGCATCAGGAGCATCAGGGCATCAGGGCATCAGGGCATCAGGGCATCAGGGCATCAGGGCATCAGGGCATCAGGGCATCAGGGCATCAGGGCATCAGGGCATCAGGGCATCAGGGCATCAGGGCATCAGGGCATCAGGGCATCAGGGCATCAGGGCATCAGGGCATCAGGGCATCAGGGCATCAGGGCATCAGGGCACCAGAGCATCAGAGCATCAGGAGCACGGCTCCTCGGCATACCTGCCGATTGATGAATCGTCATCAGCTGCTGAGGGCGGCACTCGAAATTGCACGCAGCGAACAAAGCTTCAAAAGGTCCAAAAGGTCCAAAAGGCTCCCAGAGGGCTCTTCGACGTCGCGGATGCTTGCCACTGCCACTGCCAGGCCCCGTGGATGCCGAATCTCTTGCACATCTATTCGTAATGGAACAGTCGATCATGCCCCCCCGGAGCGACAATCCACGACAGCCTCGTGCGGACTGGGGTGTGAGATCGCGGCGTCGAGGGGGGGATTAAAACATTGCCGTCGCGTTTCGGTTGCGATGTGGTTCAAGCCATAAAGCAGTAAACGAGAAACAAGTGGACGGCGAGGACGGGCAGCGGTCGCGACTCGCGACCCGCGACTCGCCAGCCAAATCAGCGCAATGATCGATGTTCAATGGCGGTGCAAGTATCCTCTTCGGGACTACTGCTGTCATCACCACCCTCCGCGCATACATCGTACGGCCACTCTCGGTTTCACTCTTCTGATATCGGACTTGGCGGCATGGACGTCGTGCCAGGCGGCGTGAATCAATGGTGGTTTCCCTGGCCTCGCAAAGCCCACGTAGCAGGCGGTTTTGCGCGTGTGGTGTTGGGTTGGAGCAACGGCCGACTGGGATTCGGGGATTCGGAGATTCTGGGCCTCTGGGATTCTGGAATGTTTCAATGCTGCTGTTCTCGCTGGGTTGTTGGCAGTGTGCTCGAAGACTCGCAGAACCGTCGTGGCCCCCAAACGCTGGCGTCACCGAACGACTTGCAAGAGCTAGTACGGGCAGGACTTGGTGCTGCAAGCAAGCAGACTTAGCAGAGAGGCAAAGGGAGAGCTAGCCAAAAAATGTTAGCAATAATTGACGAGGAAGAAGCCGTCAAGCAGCGCGCCTTGGGTACGGTCAACAACAGTCTGGTCCACATGGGCGAGTCAACGACTCAACGAGGCGTGTCCTCCAGCAGAAGAGTAATTAATAATGATGATGAATCTTGATTCCCGTTAAGTGACAAGCGAATCGTATATCGCCTTCGCAGGAAGCTCGGTAAATAGTTGCAGCAGGAGCCAGAGCGGGGGCAGTCTGGGACCTTGATTCAAAGCTCCCCAGAGATTCAGAGAATAATCGTTGCTGGCCAAACCATCCCATCCCATCCCATCCCATCCTATCCCATACCATCCCAGCAAGCAGCAAGCAAACGGTGCGCAACTGCGTTGCGTGTGTTGCGTGTTTTTGCGTGCGGTGCGCCTGCCCTCCCTCGGCCTTCGCATTCTCCCTCCCCATTACTATCCCCCCCCTAGTCCAAAACGCGATCACGATATTGATAACACCACGCCTGCACGGGCCCTATCAAGGGTCGATAGCGAATAGAGACTCTCTAAAGCACCTGAGGTTTCCTATGTTGGGGATATAAACGAGGTTTTGGGGTGGCGTTACTAATCTCGTGATGGCGCTTTGGACTGGGGGGGGGATAGTAGAAGTAGTACCTTCCCTGCCCATCTGCACCCCTGCCCTCGCCTCCCACGCCTACGCCAAAACTTAAAGCGGCGCCTGCAATATTCGTCCAACCTTTTCTCCTCTGTCCTTCAACTTTTTCTTGCTGGAAGACTTCTTCTTCCTTCAACGAACCTTTCGCATGCCCGCCACGGCCGTCTCGCCGAGTTAGCAGCCAATTGTCCCTCCGCACACGATTGCAAAGAATCGGGCATCAAGTCCTAGTCACGGCCGTTGCGTTCGAGGTGTTTGTTCGAACGACCGAGTGGATCAACGCCTTCTCGCAGAGAAAGTCCCCACCTACCGCGTTTATTCCAGCCGCCCACCTTTGCACCACTGGGACGGATAAAGCCCTCGTGGGATCCACTTTCTTCTACCTCCATCAACAACTCTGTTCAGCCTCAACTCCACCGCGAACCCTCTCTTCCACCACAAAGAAACAGCAGGCGCGACCGTCGTCGACTGGTATCGGACATCGGCTCGATAGTACCGAGGGGTCGATCCGGTCTGCGGCCGAGCCTCGATACTACCACACCAGCCCAGATACTCCCTTGAGGACTGCTGGTGTTTGTGATTTGAACCTTTGCAATTATTGACAAACAAAACAAAAAAAAACAAAACAAAAACACAAAGAAGAGTTTGAGTGGGCTGCGGCAGGGGAACTGAGTGGAGTTGAAGTTTGGGCCGCACCTGTTTTTGGTCAGATCCGTGACGCAAGCCCAGATCGGATGCTTTCCTCAGACACAACTTCCACCACCTTTCGACCTTCCCTATTATGGACCCTTCTCAATACCATCAAAACGGTTTGAGCAACAACAATTCTCCGTACTCATTGCCAGGCGTCTCGCCTCATCAACTTCAGCAAGGCTCGAGCCACCCACAACATACGTTACCCCCCCTCCAGGGCTCTCAGCATGCCATGATGTATAATGGAAGCGCCCCTCACACACCAAGGACACCTGCTACACCAAATACTCCCGGATCTGCCAATAACATGGGCAATTTTCCGCAGCAGCTCGGAGGACAACGCAACTATCCGATGATGGCTGGCAACAGCTACCCGCAACAAAACCAAGGCTACCCAACCTCACGCCCAATGACGTCTCAAGCACCAACAGCCATGTCCTACCCTCAACCCATTGCTCCAGCTCCAGCTTCCCGGATGATTCAACCTTTGAGACCAATGCCACCAAATGGATTGCAGCATATGCAGGGAGGGATGCAGCAATATGGCCAAAATAACATGCTTTCGCAAATGCCAGATATGGAACCACCAACCCATGTTGTGGGCTCTCAGGGCCGCAGAGGTATCTTGCCGAGTGCTCCAGGACGTCCGGCAGTGTCGCAGACAGGAACTGGGACTGGCAAGAATGCTTTGATACCTGCCAAAGATGCCGATGGAAAATTTCCTTGTCCTCACTGCACCAAGACTTATTTACATGCAAAGCATTTGAAGCGCCACCTTCTTCGACGTAAGCTTGAATGTTTTCCCTCTGTTGAGCAGATCTAACCTCGAACAGACACTGGAGATCGACCGTACATGTGTGTACTTTGCCGTGACACTTTCTCCAGGAGCGACATCTTGAAGCGCCATTTCCAAAAATGCTCCATTCGTCGTGGCAACCCAACTGGTGCTAGCCATCTGTCTCACGCTCAAGCTCATTTGAAGAAATCGCACCCTGGTCCTCACAAAAGCTCCAACTCCATGTCAAATGAGAACGATCTCATGGGTGTGAACGGAATGTCAAATGTTTTTGGAGTTGTTCCCAATGGAGAGCTTCCAGATGCTGCTTCTGGCTTGACCGACCAACAAGCTCAGGACGCACTCTCTCGATCTAACAGCTTGAAACGCCTCAGCGCAGGAGATGGAAGAGATGGGAGAGGCATGGCTGGGCTTGGCTCAGGAACCTCGAACCGTGCTAGTTTTGATCAGAGCTATGGTGGAGCATTAGGAGGGAGTCCCATGCCCGGCACTGGTATGAATCCTTCACTCGCGTTCAATCTACCCCACGGACAGAATGGTCACTCATATGGTCAGGGTCAGGGCTATGAATACGTCTCTCACGGCAACAGCTCGAGTGTCCAGTCACACTCCGCCTCTGGACAGGACTCTTGGTCTCAAATGTTTCAACCCAGCGGTCCAGATGGCTTCATGAGCGCATATAATCCAAGCATCACCAATTCTCACGTATCCATCAAAACCGAGCCCTCCATCACCAACTCCGCCCACGTCATCTTCTCTGGCATTTATCCTGGCATCGCTACCTCGTCAAGCATTCCTTCCTGGAACCTTCAGAATGACCCACTGGAAGAAATCTCCAGCAGACTTATTTACTTCTGCTTTCCAAGCGAGCAAATTATTGGTCGCAGCAACGACATTCGAACCTATTTGTCGGCAGACAACATCAAGCACTTTTTAGAACACTTCACCAGTTTTCAAGGTCACTTCCCCATTCTCCATATACCTACCTTTAGGATTGCCGAAGCTTTCGACGGTCTGCTTCTCGCTATGATTTGCATTGGTGCAGTGTATTCTTCGCGCATGGCATCAACACAAGTACGCGAGATGATGGAACTCGCCAAGTCTGTCATAGAGCGCAATTCGCCAATTTATTCCATAGTATCACGAGAGCAAACCAGGGACAGTGGCTTTGGTGACGAAACCATTGGTTCAAGTACGATTGGCTCAAGCAAGTCAGACCTAGAGCAGATAACCGCTATATTCATGATGCAAGTATTGTTTACGTGGCATGGTACTCCCCTTCAACGTGAGAAGGCGCGCCGCGAATTTCCTTTGGTTGCTGAGATTGCGAGAAGGGCTGGCCTGACGAAACCGATGACAAGTTCGCCATTCAGCGTCTTGCACCAGCCGAATGCTACGGTCGAGAACTTCAACGCCGCAAGCTTTGATTGGAATGCTTGGGTTGAGCAAGAGAAGCGTTCGAGACTTATGCTTTCTATATTTCTTGAGGACATTGCATTATCATTGTACTTCAACATGACGCCACAATTTGAAAAGGACGAAATTCGACTTCCACTACCTGCGGATGATGCTGCTTGGGATGCCGCAACCTCTGCTGAATGTGCTGAGGCGCTTGGTCTCCATGGTCCGGTCGTAGCTCGCTCGAGGAACCCTGAAGGCAGTCGCCGCCCGAAGCAACCCGAAATGCACTCTGCTTTGAATGCCTTGATGCACAATGTTTGGGACCTTCAACCGGGAACAACCAATCTTTATTCGAAGTTTATCTTGGTACATGCGTTGCATATTGAGCTGTGGACAGCTCTACGCCAGATGAGTCTCCAGGAATCTGATCAGCTTAATCCCCAGAACCTGTCATTCCCTTCTAGTGGTACAAGCACCCCGATCAACCAACACGACTGGGTACAACGCGTAGACCCTACCAGCAGCGGTCTCCATAGTGCAAGCACCAGTGGGAGAGCGACACCTGTCATTGAAGCATCCAGCCAATCATCGCTTTTGAGAAGTATCAACAGTGCATTTGATAAGTGGAAGAAAGCTTGGGATGAGGATATGGCAGCTCAGTATCCGCCATCATCCATGCGCTATCATCGTTTCGGCTTCTGTCGGGATGCTGTGCATTTCTATTGGCTTGCAAAATACCTTATGAAGAACAATCACTCGATGGACTGGAAAATCGCTCCAGACCAGCGGTTTGCACAGGTCATTAATCTCTTGAAGTCGGTCAAATCCTGGGTTGTTTCAGATAGCGCGAAGCGGGGCGAGGAGCTCGGCAGTGTCAGTGACATTGGCAGTGACTACGGTGCGACGGACTTGACTTTAGACATGGCGCAGCTTTTCAGACCGATCAACAAGCAAATCGATTCTCCGGTTCCGGGCGTTCATACAAGCATCGGGGCGGCTTAGACTTGATTTGGGTGGCACTTTTTTTTTTTTAGAGGACTTTTGCCTTCGAGGCAGCATTGCATCGGCGTTCTTACTTTCAACTATTTTCGACCTACCTGTCTCGACCCTTGTCGATGACCGGTACTTGAACGAAATTAAAAGTTTTACCCTTTCCCCTGATGGTACATATTGCATTTGATGGCGAAGGACGGTCAAATTGCTGGGGTTATTGCACGAGCCGGTGTGTTTTTATGGCAATATGAGATGAGAGCCTGGACGTGGCGATGAGGTGATGACGATGAACTTGCATTATAGACTGGGCTGGCTTCGCATTCGATGCTGTTGTTGATGTTGATGACAAATTATTTTAAGGGAGCACCCGACTTGCTTCCTCTGTTATGGCTTAGACTTTGCATATATTAGACACTGAACGAAAAATGGATGAATTTTAGATTCCCACATTTAATGTGTCATGTCTCGTGGTGGCCAGAAAAGGCATCCCAAATTCTCCATCTTCCAAGTCAACGTGGACTATTTCAATTGGATCCCGTTGGAGAGTTCCTTCGATTTGGGATTGAAGCCGAACTATCTGATGATACTTAACGGAAAGAAGAAAAGAACGATTGAAAATTAATCTATGACATACTCCCGCAGTCTCTCCTCAAGTTCAGCATGGTCCAAGACCCAACGTTCCCCGCTCTCTACCGCCACTAGATCTCCTTGGATCCTAAGCTCTTTTAAATCCAGCTCAGTCCTTAGCCGACCAAAGAGTCCCCTGAAGCTGCCTTCTTTTAAATGCAACCCTCCATTCGAAGGTTGGTGTGGCGCTCTGACGCCTAGTCCACCAAGTTGCAAGATCTTCAAGCTCTCCTGCGCCGTGAGAAAATCCCCCAGCTCCATCTCCGTGCTGACGATCCCCTTTAATGTCAGTTCTACCAGACTCGAGAATCGATGGCCCGCTTCCCTGAACAAGGATAAGAGTGGTGAGATGTCGATTTTCTTCCTTCCCTCGAATGCAAAATCTAGACGCTGAAGTGACGCAGCAGCTCGGAGACAGTGAGATAGGTTTTGGAATGCCTGAGGAGAATGCAGGTTATTTGGCATGTCGCTGTAATCAATAGCCAACTTCAACGTCGTGAGAGATTGGAAGGCTGTTGAGAGAAGGGAGTTCACGATTGCCTTCTGGGCGAAGAATTCGAAGGGTAAGCGGTCGTGGGAGAGATTCTTGATGCGGATGGTCGAGACGTTCGAGGATATGGCTGTGAGAACATTGGTAAAGCGTTCTGTAGTCGCAACCCGAGGAAGGAGACGGCTCGAGGGGATTCGCCAGATATCCTTCAGGAGTTCGGGGTGCCTCTCCTCTTCGAAGGGACAGGTTGTAAGCGTTACTTCGATACTCCTTAGATTCGGTAGCCTGCCGAAGATTGTTGTGAGTGTATTTGTTTCACATGATGTTGGAAGGTAACGCTCCTTGTCTTCTTTGAGCTGAGCGTAAATGCCCCAAGCAGAGGTTTGCGCCTCCAGACGGGACTCCGGTTCTCGCATGTACTGCAAGAAGTAGGTGTTGTGACGAGCATGATATTCATTAAGTTCTCCGTGATTGAGAATTAGACTTCGAACCCTATGCTTGAAACTTGGATGTTGCGAGAGAGCCTGAAGTCGAGGGATATCGGGGCAGTGTGGTAGTGAAGTGAAGACCGACGAGATTAAATATTCCTCCCCAAGATCTGCCCAGGCTTTAGACGTGAGTCTTAGAGATTTGAGGGACGGAATGTCGGCGTGTCGAATAACGGCTCGACGAAGTTCAATGGGAAGATGCTCCATAAGTGAGAAAACTTGGAGTTTCTTGGGAAGGCGGTTATGAGAGTTTTCATAAATATCCTTCAAGCTCAGCCCTGTCCACCATTTCCAGATTTCGTGTTCAGCAGGCTCGGAGGCTGAAGCGCTGTCTAAGATCGAATTCGGACCGAGCACTTTTATACTCGATGGTTTTTCTCTTCGAATTCTTGGACGAGGTACCAAATGACGCTCAATAACCTCAATAGCGGTAGCATTCAGCTGTTCCTCAACCCGGCCGGAAACTGAGGGGTGATGAGCTTCTTCCCCCATTTTTGTAGTGAAGGCGTCGAAATGAGAGCAACTGCGAGGAGAATGACAGACTTACTAGAACTTTCTTTTACTTAAACACTTGTCTGCTTGTGGGTGAGGCTGAAAGCTGAAACGAGACATCTACTACGGGTGAAGAATGTAGGGCTGTCGTCGATAGCGGGGCTCCAAAGGGCGAAGGGCAAGGGGCGACCACTCGCCTCGGAGCTTTCCCAACGACCATCATTCTCGCCACTTCCTCCACAACAGCAAATCGACCCACAATGTCTCTCTTCCAGTAGGTTGTGCTCCAGAGCCATCTACCTCCGTGGCAGCTTCACAGTCCGCTAACATACCCCAAGAAGCTTCCGCAACCTCCCCCAAAAAACTCGCATCGGAGTCGGGCTAGCTTTTCTCGCATGGGGCGCAGTTGGCCTCTACATATCAGACACCGCGGAGAAGAAGCTAGGATTCGAACCTAGTCAGAAGGATAAAGATGCTTTGGAAGCTGTGGTCCCGAAGATTACGCTGGTGGAGCGAGATGGGGAGAGCTAAGAGCAGATGGAAGACATCAGACAAAATATCCGTTGGCTACAATGAGAAAACGCTGGATGGAATTGGGGTGATTGACGGCGAAGATTGAACCCTGATCCATCTCCTTTCACTGTTCTGGTTTATCGGAATGGGGTCGGCTCCTGGTGGGAAGTTTAAGAGTTTGGCTGAGGGCTTGATATCAGGAGATATGCCTGTCGGTCAATGACATTGATGGCCCACTCCATTGGGGCCTTGGCATTGGGCTCAAGGTATGGAAGTGGCTGGAGTTGTGCGGGATCTGGGGGACAAGGATGCTTGATACAACGCTTGGTCGGGTCCATTGTTACCTCGAAAAGGGGTGTTCAGTGCAGGACCAAGAAAGACACAGACGTTTCAAGCTTGCAGAAATGGATACGTCTATTTTGAAGCATTTCTACTGGGCAATGGTCAAGTACCAGATTTTGGAACAGTCTCGTCTCTTATTATTCCTTGAAAATAGTGCCTTTGTAACGTCTTATGTGCTGTTTGGAAAGCCGTTTTAATTGTGGCTTGCATGTGCCAAGACATTGGGGACCAGAAGTCACTTGCGCAGATATCGGGGTTTTCAACCAGGGTTCATATTTCCCGTAGACACGCGCATTTTGGAAGTCCAAAGTGGCTCACGATTCAGCTAAGAATATTACCATACAAATTTGCACTCCGTGTAGACACCAAGTGCGATCATACCGATCATGCTATAAGCAGAGCAAGATTCCCAAACGAGAATGCGACTTTCAAGTACCATAGCATGTAATCCACATATGGCTTCATTATCGCTCCTCCTTGGCAAATCCAACGGTCGAGGTTATACGAATCCAATCCTCATCGCTATCCCCTCTGCTACCGGCCCTGCTTACCATTGATGTTGCGCCTGATCTCCCAGCCCCAAGCGCTTTAAGATCAAACGTAAGCATCTCCTGGCCATAGTGATTGGTAGAAATAACGACAGTATGAGTTGAGCGCTGTTGTGTTCGCTGTCGAGAACCTTGGAATATATGAGAGCGCACAGTAGCCAATGGGCTGAAAATTTGGGGAAGATAGCTTGTGAAGAACGGCTTAGTCGCCAGGATCGAGGCACAAATCCGGTTTGGTTAGTTATTTTGCAAATAGGAAGAAAGGAGGAAAGGTCTACCATTCATGGTTAGAACACACCCTTCCAATGTATAATTCTACGGCACTTGTAATCCAGACTGAAAACGAATTCCATGTCTGATCATACTGCTTAATGGCCCTAGACATGAAATACGTCCGGATTACCCCAGCGATGCAAGACATAAAACCAAGGCTGAATAGAAGAATGACAATGATTACCTGTCTAGCTGGTAGTTGCAAAGTCCAAACGATTCGGATCGGGAGAAGGACAACAATCAAGTCAGTCAGAGTATTGGTGACTCCTATAACGAAAAGAGACCAAGTCTGGTTAATGTAATTGGAATCTGGAACCTTCGTAATTTTCCAATAGTCTTGCGGTGGTCTAGATTTGGGAGGATGAAGTCAGGTTAACAAGCACGGTAACGCAGGTACGAGCGCCCAGTATGACTCTCTCACCTGCACTAAAAGATCACCGTAAGGCTGAACACACTGCCCTTCTGGCACAAATGCTGATGGCTAGGCATGTGATTCTGCGCCAAAACAGGGTGGCACTTGATAGCATTCTCCGCACCAACACAAGCATGGATAGCCTCGAGAGCGTATGCAAGCCGCGGCAAAGACGACCTCCGTAGCCAATACCATTTTGAGACCGGTGACAACACGGCTAACGGGTATGTCATACACAGGGCGTACCTGAAGGAATTTAACGTCCGCAAGAACGCTTATGACTAATAAGGATGATGCCGGTATCTATCCAAACATAGAGTCAGTGAGATAAAAGTTCCAATGTTAGAAAGGGGGGACCACATGCTAGAGCAAGTAAAATAAAACATCATTGGCCCCAAAAGAGCTTCTCAGAGAGGTTCGAGTGAAGATTCGAAAGCCAATGAAAAATAGCAACAGTGCGGAGAGAACGATATTGAGGATAACACTAGCACTGCCCCTCGTTTTGGGGTTAACATAGTTTGGAGCTGGCCAAGAATGGATTACACCCAGAGGCGGTGGCTGCATGCTCGGTGTCATGTTGTGAGACTCTAATATAATCCTGAGGAACTGTAAACGAAGGTTGAAATAGTCGGAAGTTTAAAGGACAAGAAAGACGGCAATGATCAACTAATGAAAGAAAGTATAATGAGGGGGAACACCGAGAAAAGGGAACGAGTCCTGTTTGGTCTCTGGAGCGAGGTTGTGAGCCACTTGGGCTCTTGTTGCGCCAAAGGGCTGGAGAGACCCATCAAATCTACTCATGGAACTCTCCTGCAGAAGATCTGTACTCCGCAACTGTCCGTGCCGAGTCAATGCTGGTATGGAGGGTACTTTTCGAGATGCAAGGAATGCGGTCAACCACGTTGTGTGGTGGGAACTAGGCCAAAGGGTGCATGCATTTCAACGCCTCTCGGTCACCTGCTCCCATCAGCATTTTCAACAGTCACAATACTTGAGCCGAATCTAATGAGTTAGTCATTCTTATCTTCCTGCTCGAGCCTCTGCTAGATCTATCGTGCTCGTGGTGGCTTGCTTGTGGTCGAATAAAGTCTAATTGCCTCGAGTCCAGGTCCTACCTGCTGGGTCCGTCGACGTTTTTCCTCGCAATCAGCCGGCCGAAGGATAGGGGAGATCGGACGAACCCTAGCAACCTCTGAGCGCTCCTGCCCTCTCCATGACCCAGAGAAACCCCTTAAAGTGACTTTCAATGCTGAGGGGGCACACTCTTCAGTTGGGAAATTAGCTGCTTGTGAACAAAACATCCATTGTCAAGGCAACAGGTTGGAGCGGCGGGAAAGGAGGTCAGCGAAGTCTATTTCGTGACGGAGCAGCTTGCTCTTGTGGTTTTCGTACTACAATACATGCCCCGTTTGATGGTATCTACGCAGCTTTCTTGGCAAATTCAACTCTCAAGATCAGATGCTTAAAGCCATAACCATCCATCTTCTCGCACGCTTTGGCAGCATCTGTTCTTTCCTGAAAACTAATGAACGCAAAGCCCTTTGCAAGACCAGTTTCTCTGTCCTTGGCGAGAAAGACTCTGGTGACACGGCCGAACCGCTCAAACATATCTCGGAGCTCCTGTTCTTCTGCCATTTCGGAGACCTGTCATATGTTAGTATGTGTAGATGTAGAAGAAAGAACGGAATATACATTTGTAACACGAAGCGTAGACTCGTCGTTCCGCTCATACTTGCCACCACCCATTCTGTCTCCCCCACTTGCTGCAGCACCGTTTCGCATGTGTGGCGGAACATAGGAGCTTTTTCCTGATCCGAGGCCGCCGGGTCCCTCAACAACATCAGCAGGTCCAGCAGCCACATCTGCAGACCCCTCTTCTCCAACTGGAGCCATAGTATCCTTGAACGGACATCTCGCAGTGAAATGCTCGCCGTTACAAATACGACATTTGACTTTCTTGTCCTTGAGCTTGTCCTTCATGCTTCCGGCCTCAGTCTTCTCCTCCTTCGCATCCTTCCGCCAGTTCGTGCTCGGTCTGAATATGATGTTCTCTCCTACGCTCGTTGTATCTGATGCAGGGCCAGCTCCGTCCTTTGCTGAGAGACCAAACTTTGACCATTGCTTCCGCTCGGCAACGCGTGGATTGACAACTTCTTTGTGTGTGGTAAACCGAATTCGACGAGTCGTCTTAACCTTCTTCCCATCCTCGTTGAACCTATAACTGATGATTGTCTTAGTGCCATCTTTGTTTGTGGTGACGGTCTGGGGAGGGAGGGCGTCGTTGGCGGTATCATCGAGCTCTTCGTCGTCAGCCCAGTCTGGGCGACTGTCACGGTGTCAGACGGTGATCATAGCATAGAGTAAAACAGGGTGGAGGGGACGGAAGGTCTTACCTTGCGACTTTGGACATTTTTGAGGTTGATCTGGTGGGGCTCGCGGGGTGTCTTCAGCGGTGCCTTCTTGAGATGTTTTCTGATGTCTTTGATGTTTTCAGAAGAGTCCAGGATACCTTCTGCTCGATATCTGAGGTGTTTATCAGGTTCAGTCGTCCAAGGCGTGGTTGTGTTGTCAAGGGGCGAGCATGACTCTCGCGCTCACAAAATATAAATCGCATCGTGCGGTTGACGCCTTCCCAAACCCCGCTTAGCCCATCCCCGTCTAGTCTTGCCTTTCACGTGATACAGATCCAAGACCCGACATACTCAAACCAAGGATTTGAGAGTGTTCTGGCTTCGTTGATTGGGTCATAGTTTATGCATGCTCACATGCGGCATCACTTAATGAATCCTGCCTTTATTGGTGTCATTAAGCAGAAGATGTGCCTTTTTCTGTATCAAACGCCAAGGCATGCACCCCGACCGAGCGAGTCCGTCGTGGAGTAAATAGCCTAATCTGGTTCATCATTATGATCTATAATTTACAAATATATCTACTTCGAGGACCCAACTCCAATCCTCTCAGTGATCATTAGGTATGTGATGGTTTGACCTGCAAAGGCGGCCGGAGGAGCTTCGGCAGCCAATACAGCAGAACCTCGCTATAGCGATCCCCGATATAGCGATATCCTTAGTAATACGATACGGCCGTAGGGTCCTGCACTTTTTTAGCCTTAGGCTTACGATATCCTTGGCATTACGATTATCGTAAGGTTTTTCGGTCCCAACCCTTAATTTTTGGTGGTATATCGTTCTACTTTAGCCTGAAAATGGATTAATTTATTAATACTCCAGGGCCCTCCGGTACCTCTCAGGCTCTCGATCTCACCGAATCACAGCCCCTTGATCTTACCTCTGGTTCTCTAGCCCCTGAACAGCCCAAAAAAAAACGAAGAGGCATGACAGAAGCTGATCGCCGAGCGCTACAGAGGCACAAGCAATCCCATCCTAAAGCTACGTATACTAATCTTATTAAATGGTTCCAGGACGAGTTCCACTACAAAATTAACTAATCCACTATTTCCTTTAGCCTCAGTACTCAATTCGATTACCTTAATACTAATATACGAAAAGATATAAGCCTTACGGGTTAATGTTCGAGCCAATCTAATTAGCCTGATCTTGAATTAGTACTCTTTAAATAATAGCAGAAGATGCAGTAGCAAAAAGTAATAATTACGGGCGATATTCTCAAGCAAAAGACATACGAAATCTGGCACCTTCTTCCCTAATACTGCGAGTAACCAGAGCCTAAATAGTCTAATGGGTAGTTAACTAACTTTAAGAATCGCTTCTATATTAAGGAATATATTTACTATGGCAAAGGCGATACGGCAGATATTAAAAGCCCTGAAAATATTAAGCAAATACAGGAAAATTAAGACCTGGCAGCCACATATCTTCCTGAGAACGTCTTGAATATGGATAAGACTGGTTTATACTAGAAAATATTACTAAATCATATACTAGTAACTGAGGCTAGTAATAGGGGCAAAAGAAGCAAAGAGCGAATTACTCTTGCTCTCACAGTCAATACTACAGGTACTAATAAGTAGGAGCCTTGGTTAATTGGGAAAAGTAAGAACCCTCGATACTTTAAGCATATTAATTATTGACTTTTGGGTATATAATACCGGTATAATAATTCCAAGTAAATAACTGGTATTATCTATATAGAATATCTCTATTAGCTTAATCGCAAGTATTCTGCTCAAGGCCGGCATGTCCTTCTCTTTATAAATAACTTCTCAGGATATGAATATGGCATTAACCTCATTAGTAGAAAACGAGCTCTTTCTTACGTACGAGTGGAATGGCTACCTCCCAATATGATATCGCATTAGTAACTGGCAGATCAGGGCATTATTAATACCTTTAAGCTTTATTATTACAAGTAATAGGTTAGTTATATAATTAAGTAATTTGAGGTAAACAAGGACCCTAATAAAACAGTCACTTTGCTCCATGCGATTAACTAGATAGTATATGCTTGGAATAACCACGTTAAAGCTTCTATAATTACTAATTACTAGTACAAATCAAGTCTTATCGCAAAACCTCTTCTTGGTAGAGATCTCGATGCCCATGGCGAACTGGACGAGGAATGGGCTGCTTAACAAGCAAAAGACAAGGAAACCATTAAAGCCCTTTAATTGGCCATTCAGAGTACTACCTAATTTAACGATCCTCTTCCCATTAGCCAATTTATTACACCAATTGACGAGGCAATCGTGGAAGAAGAGAGTGTGACGCTGGAGGTAATTATAAATCGCTATGCTCGGGGAGGTTCAGGGGATACTTAGTCTGATATGGAGGGGGAGGAGCAGGAGGAAGAGATTAGGAAAGTGAAGCTAGCTAAAGTGATAGCTGCACTTGATTTGGTAAATCTTTATGAGAAGCAACAGGAGGATGGACAAAGTGAGGTTATACGTAAGCTTGACGCTTTGAAAGCTACGTTTATCCAAAGGAACGTGGGAAAAGCAAAGCAGGCTTATTTAGAGCTTTTAGGAGGTACTTTACAAGTAGTGAGGCGTTAGGATTGAGAGGTTCTTTATATATCTTCAGTTCTTCCTTATTTTTTATATGTGCACGTGATCCTTGATTTAATGATACCTCGGTATATCGTTAGAAAAAGGCGCTAAAATTGATATCGTTATATCGAGGTTCTGCTGTACTTCGAAGCAAAAAAATCCGAGCAAATCGGATTTAGCCTCAAAGAGTACTTCAAGATCTGAGATATTCTTTCGGAAGGCATAAGACTGAAACTCACTATGAATGTGCGCAATGCAACAAGAACTTTGGACGTCTCTTAGAATATGCAACACCCTCCACTGGTCCATCCGTCATTTCCTTCTACCCTCTCACAGGGTAATTGTCCACGTCCCGTGCCGCACCTCGCATAGCTGGGCATGGCGAGCAAGGAATCCAAGATGTACTGCTAGGATGTCATATGTTATGAGAGGGGATGTCATATTATTCGTCGTCTTATCCTAAGTTTTATACAGCCACAGTTATGCGCTTTTTCTGTGCAGCCATCCTCCACATAAGCTCCGAACGCTGTAAAAGAAGCGCAAAGCAATGCGAGCTCTCCAACGCCTTTTGCCCCCAAAGCTATGAGAAACAAGATGTAGGTAGGTATGACAACAGAGAAGAGTTGCCAGTGCAACATATGGTACAGGTGGGTACAGGAGAGGTCTATGCAAGCTGCCCAGAACACTAACAACACAACGAAATCGTCTTTCTATTTCATTTTTCATGACTTCTTCTCACCATCCTTGGCTTCACCTTCTGAAGTGTTCGCCTCTCCAGTGTTCCCAGGTTGAGCTTCCCCGGACTCCGTACGAGCCTTGTGCATCTTGTCGAACAGGTTCAAGCTGGCCATTTGGAGCTCATCGGTCTTTTCCTTGAGCTCAGCAGCCGTGGCTGTGCCCTCGCCAGATTGGCTCTTGCTGACAAATTCACGGAGAGTGGTGATCTTCTCGCGGATCTGGTCAGCCTCAGCCTTGTCGAGTCTGTCGGCAAACTCGTTCAGGGCCTTTTCGGTATCGTTCAAGACGCTGTCAGATCGGTTGGCAGCTTCGATAGCAGCCTTTCGCTCCTTATCTTGCTCTGCGTAACGCTCAGAGTCATCAACCATGTTTTGAATCTCTTGATCGGAGAGACCAGATCCTGAAGCAATGGTGATGGACTGATCCTTGTTCGTAGACTTGTCTTTGGCGTGGACATGGACGATTGCATCGGCATCAATGTCGAAAGTAACCTCGACTTGCGGTACACCTCGGTGCGCAGGTGGAATACCGGTTAGCTGGAAGTTTCCAAGCATCTTGTTGTCGCGAACAAGTTCACGCTCACCCTGGTAGACCTTGATTTCGACTGCGGTCTGGAAGTCGGCAGCGGTGGAGAAGACTTGAGACTTCTTGGTTGGGATGGTGGTGTTGCGGTTGATCAAGCGAGTGAAAACACCTCCGAGAGTTTCGATACCGAGAGAGAGGGGTGTGACATCCAAAAGGAGGACATCAGTAACGTTGCCAGCAAGAACGCCACCTTGAATAGCAGCTCCCATGGCAACAGCCTCATCCGGGTTGACAGACTTCGCTGGGTCACGACCGAAAATGCTTTTAACAGACTCCGCAACCTTTGGCATACGAGTCATCCCACCAACCAAGATAACCTCCTGGATATCTTTTGCCTGAAGGTTGGCATCCTTCAGGGCCTTACGAACTGGGTCTATGGTGCGGCTAATAAGAGGGTCAACAAGCTTCTCAAGTTGTGATCGAGAGAGCTTAGAGTTGATGTGCTTGGGTCCAGACGAGTCGGCAGTGATGAAGGGGAGGTTGATATCAGTCTGCATGGAAGATGACAGTTCAATCTTGGCCTTCTCGGCAGCCTCGCGGATCCGCTGGATAGCCATACGGTCGCTGGAGAGGTCGATACCAGAGTCCTTCTTGAACTGTTGGACCAAGTGGCGGACCAAATGGATATCAAAATCTTCACCACCCAAATGAGTATCACCGTTGGTGGACTTGACCTCGAAAACACCCTTTTGGATTTCAAGAACGGAGATATCGAAAGTTCCTCCACCCAAGTCATAGACTGCAATGATCTTGTCCTGGTCCTTGTCAAGGCCATAGGCCAGGGCAGCTGCAGTAGGCTCGTTGACTACTCGGAGAACATTGAGACCAGCGATTTGGCCGGCATCTTTTGTTGCTTGACGCTGGGAGTCGTTGAAGTAAGCAGGGACAGTGACGACGGCGTTTTGGACGGGCTTGGTGAGGTATGCCTCCGCTGTCTCCTTCATCTTTTGTAGAACAAATCCTCCAATTTGAGAAGGCGAGTATTTTTGGCCGCGTGCCTCAACCCAAGCGTCGCCGTTTGTGTGCTGCACAATCTTGTATGGAACCTCCTTGATGTCCCGTTGAACCTCAGCGTCAGTGAACTTGCGTCCAATCAGACGCTTTGTGGCGAACAGAGTATTCTCGGGGTTGACAACAGCTTGTCGCTTTGCAGAGACACCAACCAATCTCTCACCATCTTGTGCAAATGCGACCACCGACGGCGTTGTTCTAGCACCTATGGCAGTCAGCGCCAGGGAGTCGATAAGATGCATATGAATGCCTTACCTTCAGAGTTCTCAATTATCTTCGCAGCCGTGCCTTCCATGATAGCTACTGCAGAATTGGTGGTTCCTATGGAAGAAAGATGTGAGCATGCCATCAAAATTTTCATCCAGTGGAAAGGGGCAAAGCATACCCAAGTCAATACCAATGACTGGTCCCCGAACCTTCTTGTCGGCATCATCTGAGTACTTTCTAACAAACGATGGACCGAGAAGTGGGCGAAGAAGATTTGCTGATCGTGTGGCGGAAGATGTAGCTCTGGGGAGCTATTCAGAATCATCATCAGACAATGCACGCAGACCATCAAAGGATAAGGGGACTTACAGCTCTGGATAATCTTGAAGCCAACATATTTGTAGTCGCTACAAGGGAAGCAGGTATCTAGAAGACTGACGACGAGATGAAGAGGTGTTCGAAGAGAAGGGTGATGGTCAACGGTCTGCAGAAAAACAATGGTCGGGTCGGGGATCAAATGGCGAGGAAGAATTTCTTAGCGTCATTATTTTCTCGAAGTCAATGGAAAGAGCCGGGGCCCGTGAGAAACACGTGATTTGTTCTTGCATAAATGAGCCACTCCACCACTCAAGCCACATTTCACCTTACTGGAGCTCTCCACCTGGTTGACGTCGTGTCGCAGCACAGAACGTGTTGATAGAGAGGTGATCCCCCTTCACCAGAAAAATACACCAGAAATCACGGACTGCACAGCGTAACGACTTCCTCCCAATCTCTTCATATCAGTACCAGTATCCGATGGTTTCATTGTCAGATTATCAACGATCCTATTCATGACCGCTAGGCTGTGAGCGTACGACAGCATGGCTGTTAAAGAGGAAACCTTGTACGCTGTCTAACGTTACTCCACATTACCGAAGACTAACATGTTTCTCGGACAGACACCATGCCACTCATGACCTAATTCTACCGAAGCCTCGAAAGTACTACCGTGCTTCCATAGCTACTGAGTATGTTACGCCCGAAGGAAGGCAGCTGAACAATCATCTCTGATGTTACTTGTTTAGACATTGGCAACTTCGCTCTCTTGTGAGCTCGCCGGAGAAGAGCATAATATACTTCCCCAGCGGAAACAATGTCGTTGCTTTAAACACCAAAACTCGAGAGCGCGAGGTGATCGCGAAATTGTCCTTCTCCCCGAGATGCCTTACCGCATCGAAAGAGTGGTTATGCTGTGGAGGAGATAAGGGGGATTATACAGCCGTATGCCTAGACGATATTACATCGAGCGTAGAATCAACTCAAGAGGCGGACCCGGACGCTCGGCTGCCTCTCGATCTCGACGTACCCCGTCGGGCAATTTCCATTGAAGGGCCCTCCGACGCGCGCAGCTCTCGTGGACATCGCCCTGCCGTAGCTGATGCTATAAAGATTGGAAGGGAAATTGTCAACTGCATAACTCTTTGGTCTCCCAGTGAGGATGCATCTACTGCGGCCTACAAAATGCCAGTCGCTGTGGTCTCGAATAATGATTGCACGGTGTCTATTCTAAATGTCAGAACCTCGGAAACTCTGGAAAAGTTGATCATGCCCGATTTTGTCAACCGCTCGGTCCTGTCTCCGGACGGAAGATTGCTGGCCACCATCGTAGGTGTATTTCTTTTAGCATGGAATAATGTGTCAGCTCGCGAATATCCTCCTGGTTAGGAAGTGCTAACTCGGCGATAATTTAGTGCGATGACCCTTTCCTCTACATTCACGAACGAAAACAAAGGGGCGAATTCAAGAAAGAACGATTCGGAAAACCTGGGCCGGGCTACGATTGGTCATTAACTGGAAGGATACAATTAGAGGGACAATATCAGGGCGACAAGTCGGTCATGCGAGGAAGCTTCGCGGCCTGCTTCTCGAAATCCGGCAAATATCTCGCTGTTGCAACCCAATATGGTCTCATTTCTGTATTTGATGTTGAAAGCCTGCCAGAACCCATTAGTCCATTGGTTGTGTTCACCAGCTCGAGGCCCGGTGTTGAGAGTGGGGCTATAAGAGCGATGGAATTTTCACCTGGACCTTTCGATCTCCTCGCATGGACGGAGGCCAGCGGCAGAGTGGGAGTTGCTGATGTTCGAACGTTGTTTTTGTCCCGTCAACGGCTTGACATTGACTCTCATGCTAGTGGAGTAGAGAGAGTCATCGTATCAGACAGAGCAGGCGAACCCATGATAGACCCAAGGCTCCGTACCTTTCGAACGGATTCCCCAAGCACTCCTGATTACTTGGGTCTCGATCTCGAACGGAGACAGTTACGGCATTTGACTCGGGAGATGTTAGATAGGCACCAGGCCCCATTAACAGCAGAAGAGTAAGTGATTTGGACTCTCTCACGCAAAATCGGCGACATTCCACTGTTTTCTTTAACTAAAACCAGGGTGAACTTGTTCCCCTATGTTGTTTTGTTCGGACCCTTTTATTTTCACATCTTTCCATGACTAATTATCGCTAATTACTCCGATATGGATCAGACTTGAGGTGCTCCAAGCCCATAGAATTGCTAGGCGACAAAGAGATGCTGCGAATGCTGCACGGGAAGCTCGTGAAGCACTTGCTGAGGCATCCGCTACATTAAGATTGGAATCACGGGCTGACGATCAGCGATCAACGACCGCATCAACAAGCACCGCAAATCCTGAGCCAAGTGGAAGCAATGAGCGCCGAATCTCGACAGCTGGTCTCCCAGCCGCTCTACGAGAGTTTGTGAATCCAACAGACCGCACCGCGGCTTCAATTCGAACATTTATCAACGAGCGGAACCGTGAGAGCGAAAGGCGAAACCGTAGTTCGATGATCCTAGCTGCTGCTGAAAATGCGACTGAGCAAGAGACGATAGGCCCGAGCAATTCCAGAAGTAACAACGAAACACCATCGGCCCTTGAACGTCTTGGGATCACACTGCCTCGCCTACCGGACATTGTCACAGACTTTCCTAGTAATCCGTGGGCAGAGATAGATGCTCTCTATCGCTCGCGATATACGGACCCCCCTCTTGATAGGACAACTCGTCTTCGGATTGAGATCGAGGAAGAGGATCGCCGAGACTTTGTTCATCGGTTGAGACAGCCCTGGCGCCCATTAGATGATCATAGTGAGCCTGCAGATCGACAAGAGAATGATTTGAGAGATGCGCTGGGCCACCCCGACGAAACAATGGGCTGTTGTTGGAGTGAAGATGGTCGGATTTTGTAAGTACACCACTATACTCTGTATCTCAACTAACAAAGATAGGTATATTGGCGCAAAGGATGGTATTCACGAATTTCATGTCAATTTGGCAGGAAGGAAAATATTTCCCAGCCTTGTATTACGATGATATGCCTGAGGGGGCGTTTTGGATCTTACGGCATAATGGTGTAAGATAATTGCATCTTGGATATTTCAGCAAGAATCCATTGATTTCTCCCAAAACGATAGCTACATTGAACCTTCCCGTCATGGGTGAGTTGGCAATCGACTATTTGATCTTGTATTGAGGTCGGCGTTGTAACAGAGAAGGCATTGACCAGCCCATAAAAAAAGGCGAGAAATAGTGAGCCCCTTCAGTGCTCGTCAGTTGGTGTTGTATGAATCGGTATTGCTTGTCCAATAGTCTGTATCATTTCTAGGCAACTAGTGACTCACGGTCCTCAAGTCAGGGGTAGTAGTCAGCTGATGCCTAGAATAGGGTCCCGCCTACCGGTACCTGACCCGTGCCGTACGTGCGCAAAGCATCGCAACATTGATATAAACTAGAACCTCCACATAAGAATTAGAAGTAAATATTTCTAAGTCCGATTGAATCACATTTGATATTTACCTTTCCTAACATGGACCAATCAATGGATTATCTCAAGGCCGTCAAGTTATGTTCCTTTCTCGAAATTCGAATCCCCTTTCCGCGTCCCAGTAGTACCTTTATTCATGACTGGCTTTGGCTACTGTTACGCGAGTCTAGAGCCTGTGTGTTTGGTGGAAACTGGGTTCTAACATATTTGACAGACTCGATGGCTGGCCCGTCGTCCCTTTGGCTGGAGTGAGTTCGAGCAACTCATGGGGATTCTCCGAGCATGGAGAAAGAAAACATGGCCGATCCATGAACTTCTCCAAGCTGTGAAGCTTCTATTCCTCAGAGATCTTGATCTTTTTGTGGGATTTGAGGGATTTGTTGCGCATTCATATCCGAAAGGCAAGGCCACATATTCAAATACGTGAAGTCAGATAAACTTCGAAGAAAGGTTACTGACGCCAGAATAATAGAGACCGAAAAAGCGAAGGCCATCAGTGCTGCCGAGATGGTAGCTCACAGGCAGGCTTGCGAACGACAGTCAGACTCCAGGCTCCTGACTCTTCCGAGAGAGATTCGTGACAAAATCTGGGAGGATGTCGTGACAGGAAATGTCATCCATGTCTCTACATGTTCAGAAATTCACGTTAAACGTCGTCGCTCAGGTCGTCCCAAACGCCCCCATTGGAATTACCACAGCTGCATGGCTTTGAAGGGGCTCGAGAGCTCAGCATGTCCACCTGGCTCAGGAGATCATATCCACTGCCCCACCTCTGGCCCGAGCAATTATGCTATCATTCATCTCGTTTGCAAGCAGATTCACATGGAACTAGACTCAGCAGACACATTCTTCTCGCACAATGCTTTGCAATTTGCAGATCTTGTTGTTGCCTACAAGTACCTCTTCGGTCTCAAGGAAGATGATCGAGCGGCCATTACTCATTTGAGGCTTTCTATCCCCTACTCCTTGACGAGTGTTGAACACGAGCCCTACCACCGACCCGGAAATGTTCCCGAGTGGCACGCTATTTGTAATTATTTCTCTAACCCTTGGAATAGGAGAACGGTACGCCATAAATCCAAACCCAGCAATTTCCACAGACTTTTGTTGAAACGCTTGCTAACTGACCGGCGGCTCAGCTCAACATGTATCCCCAGCCAGGAGACAAATCATGGCTTCTGAAAGAGCCAATTTACTTCCGCTATTCAGACCGCTATGACTACGAAAATGCAGACCGAATGAATAAAAAATGGCAAGTTGGTCGGGGCAATACTAGTTGGGACATTGATATTGCAGAGTTGAAGTACAAAGGTTCTCCCCGACTGGACTTGGCAATGGAACTACCAGAATTTGGTGAGCGCGTTCTTCTCTTTTTGCTTTTGAAAACGAAACGTCGAACTAATACATTCATGCCAGAGTTTCGAATCGATGCAGAACCCTCGCTTGATGCCCTTTGGGATGCAGAGGACTTCGATAACTTTCCCAAACCATGGCTCAAACCACTCTTGCAGTTCAGAAACCACGATGGAGTCACTCTTCAATTCTGCGATAACAAAGGCCTACGGACGAAACCGAAGCTCGAGGCTTTTACTTCTGCCTTGAAGGAATACATGTCTGGTCCTCCGATCGGGCCCAGAATATGCGCTTTCTTTCATGGTAGGTCTTATGGAAATGGTAACGATCCATATCCCACAGGGTATCCAAGATGGTAGTTTCCGGGTGATAACAGCTTGAGGCAAGATGTTGAGGAGAGAGCCCCAAGATATATATAGTTGATCATACTGCTACAATCATTTGTGCTACTGAAGACCGCATAAAAGTCGAATTCCTAGGCAATCATGTACTTAATCACATATACGACTCATCAATAACGGCAATTTGAAAATCCTTCTCGGTCTTAATTCTTCCACTTGTTGCTTCGCGACCTCAGCCTTGTCAGCCTTGTGCAGATCCGGCCCATTTCGGCAGTTTGCTCCGCATGTACAGCATCTTGTCCCCTGCAAGCTCTCCACGTCTCCAATATAATATCTCAAAGCTTAAACACTTTCTGATATAGTACTTCTTGATGAAGGAAATTCATTTAGAAGATGTTTTCACGTGCTTTGCGGAGCCAATTGAAGGCCAGATGTGCGTGGCGAGTTTTCTCAACGACAGCCTTTCGAGAGGCTGACTTCACTCATGCTGTATGCGTGCTCGTTCCCTCCAAACTCATGTGAGGGGCGACAGCTGATGAGGTCAATACCAGGTCATTGGCGGAGGGGCAGTGGGTCTTGCCATTGCAAGGCAATTGGCTGCACGAAACGGAACAAGTACCGTGCTCATCGAGAGGAACAGTGCGGTTGGGATGGAAACAAGCTCCCGGAACTCAGAGGTCTATGTTCCTCCAAGATCCTCTATACCTATACTAAGTTCTCACTAGGTAATTCATGCCGGCTTGTATTATGGCGCCACGTCGCTGAAAACAACCCTTTGCATCCGTGGCCGCCAGCTGATGTATACCCTCTGCCAAAAATATGAGATCCCGCACCACAACATGGGCAAATGGATTGTCGCCCAAACAGACCAACAATGGGAGGAACTCGTCAAAGTCCACAAGCTCACTCGCTCCATCGAAGGTGTGCCCACGCACTTCGTATCCCTAGAACAGGCCGCCAAGGAAGAGCCTTTCGTGCAAGCCAAAGCTGGGATCCTGGCTTCCCCAACAACAGGAATCATTGACAGCCACGCATACATGCAATTTCTGCTTGGAGATTTCCAAGACAGGGGCGGAGATATCGCGCTCTTCAGCCCCGTAACTTGTATCGAGGCTCTTGGTGAGTGCGGGTCCCAGGGTTGGGCTATAACGACCAAGGATAAACAGTCTGGGGAAGAAAGCACGATTACCTCTGAGACGATTATCAATTCGGCCGGTGTAGGTGGTGCTTGTGATATAAATAATATGATCTTACCGCCAGCCAGACACCAGACACAGTATTACGCGAAAGGAAATTACTTTTCATACGCTGCATCGACACCCAGCGTAAAGCGCCTCATATATCCCGCCCCAGAGCCCGGATTAGGAGGACTAGGAACACATCTCACACTGGACATCGCTGGTAGAATTAGGTTCGGCCCTGATGTTCAATGGGTCGACGATCCCAACGATCTGGCCGTTGATAGTTCTCGACTGGGAGAAGCAATCACACAGATCAAGAAGTTCTTGCCGTCGATTAAAGAGGAGGCAATCACGCCGGACTATGCAGGAATTCGTCCGAAGTTGGGAAAAGATAGCGCGGTTGCGAGTGGAAAGGGGTTTCAGGATTTCGTTATCAGGAAGGAGGAGGATTTTGTAGGGTTTGTGAATCTTTTGGGGATTGAGAGCCCTGGGTTGACTAGTAGTTTGGCGATTGCGGAGATGGTGGAGAGGTTGCTTTATAAGTGATTGGTAGGAGGGTTGAGGGTTGAGAAAGGTTTGAAGTGATAGATGTATGGGTCTGGGAAGTGGAGATGTCGTGATGATGGTGTGAATGGGCGAGTTTCTGTGTCCGCTTATTTGGCTAAACTGGGGCCCAGGCGTTGAAGTTAACGCGCGAACGTATGTACATTTGATAGGATTATCATTGCTCTATCCTTATTTAACTTGATATTTCCCCCTATCATTGATGTGAAGGGGGCAGAAGCGAGTGCAAGGTAGCACTTAGAGAGGTGCAAATCACTCAACAGAATATTTACTACATTAAAAACTCAACGTCTCACTCTTATATAAGAGTACCAATAGAACACTAGCAATGCTGGCGCCTATATATAAGACTGAAATAACAAGTGAATTTTGCGCGACTCATTTTTTGTCTAGCTTAAATAAACTGTCACGGTGGGATCGATGCAATAGTCGAAGCACAAAGCTCAAAGGATCTCATGTATTGAAAATACTAAGCTAAAGAGCAGGGGAGAAGGGAATGCCTCGACATTTACTGGTCCTTCGCCGATCTCTAGCTTACTTGCTTGTTTCAGCCATTCCTCTCGTGTGATATTTGCGGCAGGTTATGCTGATCTGCCAGCCATCACATAAATTAGTTTCTAATTACTAATAAGTAAACTAATTAAAAAGAAGCTTAAGTTTATAGAAAATTCCAATATCTAAATTAAAGATAATATGTGAATCGGACCTTTTACAAAGTTTAAACGTTTTGTTGCGCATCTGCACTTTTTATTAAAAGCGCTAGCAAAGACTAGCAGTGCTAGCGCACTTATAAAAAATGCAGATGCGCAACAAAACGTCTGTAGTTCGGTTGAGAGTGAATCTCAAATAGGACGTTCAGCCGAAAAACTGGTCTTGCAAAGAAACCTCTCTTAGCCATGAGAATAGTAGGATGGGAGGTTACCCGCTAGAGTAAACACAGCGTACCGCATATCTATCGTTTCAACCTCGAGGGAAGATTTGATGAGAGTGTGCGCTATCAGAAGAACTCATCCTACTTCTAGATCTCGGAATCCCCACGAAGCACGGGTATTTGTATTGCACAGCAAGGATTCATCATTGGTAAATCTCCAGAGCGAATGTTTGATAAGTGGGGTCGAGTATGCTTTTATTTTTTTGTCTGCATGAGCACCATAACTCATCCTCCATAATGCAAGTCGCAGATCAAAGATTACGCCGGTGCCTCCAGGCCATGCCCATGCTTAGACTCCATTGAACCCCCCAACCGGATTTAACATCGCCTTAGCCTCCCATTTAACGCCTCCCAGATTTATAGGGGAAAGGAAACATGTATAGTTCATTCTTCCTTCGGCGGTTCTCCAGCAGCACCAGAAGTAGAGATTACACCTGAGATCGGAGGTGCAGTCATTTCGGAAACAGACTGAGAACGAAGTAGATGGGACGGAGTGACAGGCTCATGCGTGATCGATGAGTTCGCATGCAATTCAGAGACTTGGCGTTCTGGTGCATTGTTAGTCAACATCCCATGAAAGTTAGCGCTCCAAATTGGACATACCCAGTTCTCTGATTCTCTGTCTCAACATTTGGTTCTCTCTAATCATCATCTGTGTTTCTGCTTGGTAGAAAGCACTCTCATCGCGTCCGCCTAGACTCCAAGCATCCCCGCCCTCGCCACTAATAGAAGTAGATCTTAATCTTGGTGAGGCGGTGCGACTAGGAGTTCTTGAACGTCGTTGCTGAAGGTCTGCCCTTGCGAGATCAAAGGAGCTTCGTGGGTGGAGGACAGTCGAGGGCGAACGGGGTGTTGAGGTGCTTGATTGTTGTGGAATGTTTGGATTAGAGAAGGACATTGATCTTTCTGAGGTTGGTGTGGACTCGTCGATCACTGGAGGTGTGCCGTGGCTTTGACCGGTTTGTGCTTGGAGCTGTTGGAGATGTTGCTGCTGTGTCCGAATCATTTGGAGCAGGCGGTTCTGAAGACGGCTGTTAGTATCCATTTTGAATGTAACTTCATGCAGTCGTGTCCTGATTCTCTCGGCGATCCACTGAGATCTCCAAGAAGCCTCAAGACTACTATAAGGGAACCTTCACAAATATTTTCGATCGTGTCTAAGGAGAACCACCAGACCACTTGTAGGGAAGGCTGACGTACCACTTGCGCCTCTTGTTCTTGCTCTAGCTCCTGATGTATCTCCCCAAGGCTCGGTGTGCGGTAGTGATGCGGATCTGGAATACCGCCAATAGTAGGTGAACCTGTCATCGACAGAGGACTTGTTGCTCGATATGTACTGGCGGCAGCTTCATTGATCATCTCGCCAGGCGGAGGAATAGCGGGGTCGTTGAGTTGCAAGTTCATCAAGACGGTGGAACGTCGTCGGCCTGTATGAGATGGTTGTCTATTTCGAGTGGATGTGCTGGATGAGCCTGCGGCATGATTAGCATTGTCCTTGCACAACTCCAAACTAGCAAACCAGCGAAAGAGTTGGCGACGACAATCTGCTGGAGTGGAAAGGGTGCGGGGAGTTTCGCCTAGTTACTAAATCTAGCTCAATGAATGAGTGGAGATGAGTATTTGGGCAGTCTCTCTATCCTAACGAATCTTCGATAAGGAACCGCGTCGTACGTACGTCTTGCAATCTGGTCCTCCTGCTGAAGTCCGGCGTTGACGGCCGCGGCAGCTTGAAGAGATGTCGAAGCTGATCGTGGAGAAGGTGAAGGACTTTGGCCGCGCAAGGCAGCTGCCTCTCCGGAGTTTGATAGAGTTCGAGCCATTGCTGGTGATCCGGATAATGATCTTGAGGGAGGAAGGGAGTTGAGGTCTGGAGCCATTGAAGCTTCGTTATATGGGGCTAGGATGGGAGGGGGTGGACGGCGAAGGTGGAAGGAATCGGAAGGAGGGCAGGACGCTCAGAGAATGTGTGTGGAGGGTTCCGGAGGAGAGAGAGATCAAGGTATTGGCAGGAATGAAGGGCGATGTCATCGGACTGCGTTGGTGCACACTAGGTGTAGGTCTGGGCGTGAGCAAGCAACAGTCAGGAGGTACATTGAGTTCTGCGGTGATCCATCACGATGATGCGGTTTCGCTGTGCCCGCCAGCCTGCCAGCCCTGCGCTCGCTAAAACAGCTCAGGGGTCTTCCTCCAGTAACGCCATCAGGCCTTGGCGGGGAGATTTTCAGCCACAAACATGCCATATCCTGATTCATCGGTTCAAACGGTCGACAAGGCCAAATCATGTGCCACAGGACTCTCTCAAATGACGGTGGTTGGTAGTGTGATTGTTGAAAATTGGTAAGGGGTGTCGTTGCTTCTCGTTTTGCGCTGGCGTGGAGTCAAAATCAGCCCACAGCAAAAGCACTCGATTCTCTGGGAATGACGACCGCTGAAATACCGGCGATCTCAAATCATGATCTAGATCTTGATGAATGCCGGACGGTCTTGGATCTGAAAAAACTCGGCCTTTGGATGTGGATCACCTCCCCGCAAACGCTGGAGTACCGGGCTGGCCATCCGTAAAACCTGTGATGGAGATCATATCCACAATTTGCACGTGATAGTTTCATTGTGCCACTGACAGCTAAATCTCCTTTCAAGCCATGGAATCATATACTCCGCACCGCATCATTTCAAACCCATACAGCAAAGAATAAGAGGTTTGTTCAAGGGAAACCTCATTCCAGTGATAGTTCCTTGTCGCTTCGCCAAGAATTGCTACCCCTGAAAATTAAGCGAAGGCTGGACTGAACGGTTCTTAATATAAGAATTCTTAGACAAGTGGAAGGCTGAAGCAAGAGAAGATGCTTAGGTGAAGGTTCGGTGACTGAGGAGTTCTATGAGAAGGTTGAAATACGGAACAACGGATGAAATCCATGCTAGAAAATGGGATGAAAGCACTTAGAATTCATGGTGCGATGTGTCTCAATTCCCTTTCAATCCGAATCCAATCCATTCATTGCAAGGGAATATCTTTCTGCTTTGATGTAGATAATTCTTACCACTTCAGTTGGCAGTTTCACCTCGTACAGCAATACTTCCTAACCTCCCTCTCCCTCTCCACCTCTCCTAACTCAACCGGCAACTTATTTACCAAAACACTCTTCCTCCTAACATTATTCGGCCAAACACTCACCTCCGTCCCCCCCACCTCCCCAGTCTCCACTGCAAGCCGTGATGTCTCATCAGCGCTCACCTCCTGAATTCCCGGATACGGATCATTGGGTCTCTGTATCAGTCGTTTGCTGATTAGTCTCTCGTCGGGCGGTCGAGTTCTCTGGTGAGTGGCGTCTCGTTGGGCGCGGGCGCATTCGCCGAGCCATGTTGTGCCATGTATTGGGGTGAGGTTTCGGTCGAGGCGGTCCATTGCGTGGCGACGGCTTGAGTGGGGGTCAGAGCTTGGTTGTTGGGAGGGAGAACATTCGTTCTCTCCTAGCGTTTTACATACATTTTGCTTGACTCAAACCACCCTTAGTAGAAAGCAGACAACTAGATCTTGGTAACTTTCGCGAACTTTTGCAAGGAAGTCTCGGCTTGAAAGGAGGAGAGAGGTTGAAGGCTGCACCACATAGCTACTCGTACAGCCACTTTGGTAGTTTCAAGCCCTTTGAAGCAGCAGCAGGATCTGCGGGGCGTGATACAATCGGGATTCCCATAACCGCACGTAAATAACGCGAAATGATTGGCATACTCGGGGACGGCTTATTGATCAGTTAGCCGACCCGATCACAGGAAGGCTTGTTCTAATCCAAGCTTTGGGCAACGCTTGCGTGCACGACCCACTCCGAATGTGGGGATCCTGGAGTCCGATGGGGCTCTGCCTTGTTTGATTCGGCACGGAGAATATCGTTGAATGTGGGCTGATGTTACCAGTACCCGTTTTCTCTCACTGTCCTTCAAAACTGAGATCATCGTAGAGAATATCCTTGAGCTATCTCATAGAATGGGTGTTTCGAACAAAGAATACAGTGATATGTTCCGCAACGTTTCCCACAAGTTGCACTAGGAACATCTCGCGAAGGAAAACAAACTCCATGCCGTATTCGAGTACACGAGTCGATTTTACAACATACGCAAAGTCTCGGTCACAGCGTTTTTGTCTGGTATCGAGCCCCATCGCATACGCAAAGGCCACTGTGACATACACCTTTAATCAGAATCCCGACAACCCAGAACCCCTGTGAAACGTCTTTTGAATCGTATAATTAACCACTGAGTCCAGAAAAGAGGGATGGGCCAGGGGGATTGCTCTGGACCAATGTTGCCCACTGGGAATCAGGGAATCAAGCATCAAGTTGCCCGCGGGACCATAATGACGGAATATGTCAGCGCAAATTCACTGAGAGATTCGCAGGCCAATTGAAAATTCGGAAGTGCTCTTGCTCTACTTCTTGGCCAGAGATTTAGGAGATAAGGTTACAAGGAAGTGGTGTAGACATTGCTATCAGAGGCAATACCCATCTCACAAATGAGAGACCAGAGACCAGAATATTAACAGACGTTTCGACACCGCCCTCCCAAGAATCACTCCCAGTACCATGTCAGCCATCCACGAGAAAAGCTTCCCCACCTGATCTGTAATGGAGAACCCTTGACACGTGATCAATGCAAGTTAGGGGGCAGGAGCAGTCTCCCAACTTGTCAGATAGGATTTAACCAGCCAAAATTTGGAATTTCACAAGCCCTTGGCTCTTGGCTTCCTCAAAGTATTTCGTACGTAAGGTGTCACTCTATTTTTCTCATGTCATCACTGATGAAGGAAACATTGGCGTGTTGCCCCAACAACTTCCATATCTCATAATGCTTGCCCGTAGGTATCTCTTCCAGAACCGCCATAAGCTATGTTATCCCATTCCAGAGTCCCAGAGTCTCGGAGAAGAGATCCCATAGGGAGCAAATGTTATTTTTTGGGTTTGCCTGAGGAAGTGAAGCATCGGCTGATCCCAGGAAACAGTATTGCCATTGAGCCTCCACTCGGAGCTGAAACGTGAACGAGAGGCCTGAGACGACAGTGGCAAGCCAGACAGCGACAGCAAAAGTTTTGCTTGATCACCATCCCCATTTCCATGGTTGAGTTGGCAATAGTACCCCAGAAACAATCTGGAGGAGAGCATGATTCTGCTGCCCCGCCTTTTGGACCCAGCACTCGAATCAACTGGGGGATCCGGAACTCTTTCTTCAGGTGGGAATAATGCAGCTGCACGGACGGAACGCACAGATCGAAGAGATGACCCCTGCATCTTAACGGGCAAACCTTGTCTCATAAGGCTCCGAGCCTCCTGCCAACTCTGAGCAGTGGGCAGTGGGCAGGCAGTGAGCAGTGAGCAGTGAGTAGACATGATCGACGAGGAAGATTTTGTGCGCTCGGCAAGCCAGCTCTGTTCATCCGCAAGCAGGACAGCACTGGCGGGCGCCCACGCAAAACAAAACTTCAAACATCGGCCTCCTTCGACCGCGGTCGATGCGAATGGCTGCCGATGGCGGCCCTTGGATGGCCGGCTGGGATGGCGAGTCATTTCAATCGTGCAGCAGCATCTCATCGCCGAGTGACGGCATGCCGGGCGTGCAGTTTGAATTGCCATTGCAGGTGGGCCAGCAAGACGCGCCAGTGGAGCGTCGACGCCGTCGAGGGGCAGACACAGCCGTGTATGGTTCAATGGTTGGGCAACCTCTAGGACAAGCCTTGCAGGAGTAAATTTAGTCAGGAACAAGCGCAGGCCTTGTGAAGTTTGTGGGCCAGTTTTTCCTGTCCACACGCAGGAACTGGACGCCGGCTCCGGCACCGAAAAGCCACCCCCGAGAGCAACGAATGGTGACCCGATCAGAGGGCTGCTTTTCAAACACGCATTCAAACACCCCATCGCCGACGTGAGACGCGCCCATAGGCGGTCGATATTGCAGCGCTGAGAATAATCTCCAGCATACAAGACAATCCGGAGGATCCTGATGGAGCGGCTCAGCAGCTGCTCAATGTTCTCCTGACATGGGTTGGGTTGGGCTGACCGTATCGAGGCCGAGCAACGCCTCGTTAGCTCAGCAACTGCGCTTTAATTTGCAGGTGGGCAGTCCTCGCCGGCCGCGACAGGGAAGGCGGTCCAAAATGCTCCCCGGTCCCTGTCTGGACTCTCTCTGGTGGAGGAGAGACTCTTCACGAGGTGACGAGGGAAACAAGGAGTATCCGTGCGTCAGCGTGTGAGAGTAAGCTCTGTTTTCATCCCGTACTGGCTTGCCGTGATGCAGCTGCGTTCTCACCTCCTCCTTCCTCTCTTCGTTGCTGGACTTCCTTTTCATGCTTCGAGAGATCTTCGACGGATACGGCCTCCGCCATATTTGCTTTGCAGCCGCCCCTGAGACGAAACCATTTCTTCTTCCAGATGTGGACCTCCTCACACCCCACAAGCGTCAGCCTCAAGAGCCACCCATAGATCGGCCACCTCCCTCATGTCTCCATTTTCCCACCCTTGAAGTTCACTTTCTTCTTGCACACTGTGGGTCTTGACATCCACTACTGCCGAACTTTCTCTCACTATGTATATTCTTCAAGGTCTTTCAAAAGTTCAGCGAAGGTTTCCGCACAACCAACCCCGCGCCTGACTGGCACCTTCGAAACACCCAAACCATTGTTGTAAATGAAGCATATCCGATTCAAAAACACCCCAGATCTGCGAGATCCTTGTCATTCATTCCCAAAACATCGATCCTGACCCAGAAATCGAAACACAAGAGAGGCGCTTTAGGGAAATCCTTCTCCCCAACGAAATCGGTTCGCAATGGCGTACTCAACTGACACCACCGATACTGCCAGCTTGAAAGACACAAACGCCCCAGATGCATTTTATCCCATACAATCGTCGTTTACATTCGCCCGTCGTGAAAGACCACCGGAGGTTTATGTCTCACCCGAGGAGGGAAACGAGAGTCGAGTTCCGTTGAAACAACCCAAAGTTCAAAGGAGGGAGTCGAAAGGTGGGTTACGGGGGATGTTCACACGCAATAAGACGGAGAAAAAGCCTGTGCACCCAGTACTAGAAGAATCTACTCCTGCATTGTCGTCATCAGAACCCCCAGATACCCAACGAGAGTCAGCTCTTCCTCGAACCATTTCCATCAGGAGAACCGGGACTGCCTCGGAATCCATACCTGCTACACCTGTTACTCCTGGGAGGCCTGCAAGTAGGCATTCTCGAATAAATATGAGATCGAAATCGGTGAAGCACAAGACCCCAGTTAAACCGAGTCCCAAATCGTCAAATTCCGCCTCAAAAACTTCTCCCAAACGACCGTCAGCAGCTTGGGACCCACCTCCACTTTTCCAAGCATATCCTCAATCAATCAAACATGCACAATTATCAGCTTCAACCTTGTCCGCGGACTCAATCCTGCGAATCAGCAATCACCAAAGAAACAACAGTCTGAGAGAAGGAATCGCCCAGGTACGGCCTGTAGATGGACAAGACCAGAGCACTGCTGCCAAAAAGTCGGAGAAGGCGAGAGCAAAGCATCGAAGACAAGTTTCAGGATCAATCTCGAAGGCAGAATGGACTCAAAAGATATTTGTTCTCGTGACATCTGGTTATCTACTGCAATATGCTGGGGAGGGATCGTTTGACAGGCTCCCAGAGAAAATGATGCTACTTGGAAAAGATTCTGTGGCATTTGCAAGTGATGTGATTCCTGGGAAGCATTGGGTTCTCCAGATTTCTCAAGCTATGGACGCTGACGGCACGCCCGCGTCTGACTCGCGATCTCTCCTATCACGACTTGCCTTTAGGGGCGCGGATTATCGAAGAACGGCGACGAGTTTACTTTTAGTACTCAATAGTGCAGAAGAAATGGATTCATGGCTTGCAGTTGTGAGGAGGGAAATCGAGGCTCTTGGTGGGAAGAAACATGTTTCGGAAACTGGAAAGCCAAAACCAGATGATAAAATCATGCAGTTGAAAGCGCAACCAAGCCACCGATATCTTGTTCAGAGAGATCCGGACCAATTTCCTGATTCCTCCTCACCAAGATTGCCCTCTTTTGGTCCACCGCCTTGGGTGAAACAGAAAGACGACGAACTTCAGCAGAAACTGGAAGATGCCGCTGCTGCATTGTCAGGACCCCAAAATGATCTGGCACGCCCCTCGACCGGACACCAGTCGATCAGCCATCACTCGATCACCACTAGTATCACATCTCATGACGAACAGCAGCTTGAAAGTCTGAGAAATAGCTCAAATCGATTCTCGTACATGTCATCAGGTCAGCGAACTCTCATCACATCTAACGGTTCATCACCAGCGACGTCGCCCACTCGCGACACATTTGATGATTTTCCTCTAAAGATCTCAACGGAAGAAGTTCGACCCAGACCAAATGCTGCTGCAATCAACGAGCGTCGGAGGTCGATGCAAACTATGCATGTTCCAATTCTTGAGGCTCAGCAAGCCCCCAAGGCATATCGTCACTCCACATATGGTGGACCGGCTAGATCAGCTCGAGTCCATTCGCCTGCGACGCCAAACTTCAGCGTCCCAAATTCATCAAGTAAGAGGTACTCAACAATGAAAAGCTCCGCCACGGACGCCCCCCCGGTGCCATCAATCATCAAGACAACTCCTGGCAAAACACAAGAATCGATGTGGAATGGGACAAGGAAACCAGCGCCAACAGCACTCAATACAACTCGACCTCTTTCTCCGGTTGAGGACTCGAGCCCGTCCAAGCGCAAGTCTGCGCTTAAAACACCCATAGACTCACCATTCAGTGAGCAGCGGCAATCAAAACCTTCAATGGTCGAGATACTACCTAAATTCATGGCCTCACCACCTCCCGACGATGGCCCAGCTCTCCCAAGCCGGATATCAAGTCTGACACCCTTAAACTCCTCAGAAATCGCCCCCATCGACGTCCAATTTCCCCGTCGGTTTTCAAGTATGCAAGCCTTGCGTGAAGATCGCCAACGAGAGCTCCCATTCAGATCGTCTCCCCTCCCACCAGCTGAAATCCCAACACCCCTCTCCACCTCCTCGGCGATCCACGAAGTCGAAATCGAGGACGAATTCGCAGTGCACGAAACAGAAAGAGAAAACCTTTCTCCACTCCCCATCCTCGCAAACACAAAGTCCAAGATCCGCCGACCAAACAGCATGCAAGTCCGCACTTCATCCCTCGCTGCTCTGAACGGGCACACGCCAGAACACTCCGCCGATTTCCAGGTCTTGCCCTTCCAGGTCCCCTCATCTGCAAACCAACATCGTCCGTTCTCAATCACCTCCACTGCGTCAAGCGGTGCGCTGAACCGTGACTTGAACATGAGCGCCCAGCCAATCTCGCTCGTCTCGCCGCATCTTCAGCGGTTAAAAGCTGATTCAAAGAAGGCGTTGGTGAATAGGAGGAGTATGCCGACGCTTGTTAATGGACCGCCGCCTGCTCCGCCGCCTGACTGCGCGTTGCCTCCTCTACCGCCGGGAAGCGGGATGCGGAGCCCGGTTAGATTGAGGAATTCTGTACGGGTTTGAAGAACTTTCCCACTTCCAAATTCTTCAATGAAACGTCATAGAATAAATTTATTTCTATTGTTAACACTTTACAAATACAACTTATATACGGAGCGAGCAATCGCGGGGAGGCTCAAGGAGGGACCATGTGCAGTGACTAAACAGAGTTGGGTGAAAGAGCCGGACTGACTTTTGTTTTGTTTTTTTGTTGTCTCTATATGGGCGGTTCTTCTGATGTTCTTCAGCGAGCGACATGAGCGTTCAGGGTTCATTTGTCAATTTAGGGGCATGAGATAAATGGCTGTATATTAGGTGTCATGTATATATGAGTGTATGGATGTGTAACAATAGATATTGATGAGGATGAAACATGACAAATAGAAGATTTGAAAATTTTCTGATCTTGGTTGCTATGATGATTCTGTAGAAAATAAACTTTGGATATGACAGTTTGGAAATATACAACTCATAGTTGCCAGCTCGGCAGGGAGTGGACCTTACGAATGGGGCATCAGCAGTTTCAAGATTTTTAAGTACAGAGAGATGTTCTGACGGGACTTGATTTCCTCAAACCATGGTATTGCATCAGAAGTCGGCCAAAAACGCCCCTATAATACATTTTTTGCGTCCAAATCTCACGCTCCCCTTCCCACACTTGCCAAATCAAAATGCCAACATCACTCGCTTAATCCTCGTCAAAGACCTCCTCAACTCTGGGAGACAAGTTTCTTTGCTGTGGCGTCGAGGTGGCAATTTGAGGTGCTGTGGATGTGGTTGTTGCAGATGCTGGAGCGGGTTGGCCCGTCATTGCTGCCATCGTAGAAGCGGCATTTGCAGAGCCAGCATGCTTCGTGGACTTCTTCTTTCCTTTCTTCTTCTCCTATTCTCAAATCAGTACCGCCCCTCACCTACTTTCAGTGCAAGGACTCACCTCTTGCCAACCCCAAACGGGTCTAAAACTATCAAAGAATCCCACATCCTCGAACAAATTTGGATACAACCACAATCCCGGCGGAACCGCAAACATTGTGATTGCAAACAGAATAAGTCTGAATATCGCCATGGCGAAGAATAATCCGATTAGGCCCAGCATGCCCATACTTAGATACCAAACTCCGAGTCTCATCTTCATTGGCCAGAGAGGGAACATGACGATTGCAAAAACGACAGCCAGCGCACCAGCTGCGTACAGTTTTTGCTTGATCTGTGAACCTTCATAGAGCCAGACGAAGTGGAGCTCCTCTCGGCATTCTTGCTGCTGCTCGATCTTGACTGTCCAGAGGCCCTTTACACGCTTCGTCTTGTGTGCCCCCGGTGCGTGGTCGTGTCCCTCATGGGGATCGCTTTTGGATACTCGGAGAGCGAGGAGGGAGAGGGGGAGGAGCTTGAAGGTGTTTTCGAGGGAGGCACGGTCCGTGATCTCAGGGAGGAGGGGGTTCTTCTTGCGGGCTTTGGTGTATGCTGGCGATTCAAGAGCTCGGAGTGCACGCTTAACTGGGAGGTTGTTAACACCTTAAAATAGCCAGGTATCAGGGGTTCACTCTTACCTTTGAACATATCCTTCCGTTGTCCATTCAGAATACATGTCCTAGGCTTCAGGTCCTGGCTCTTCAAGAACTGTGCGACTGCGAGTGCCTCTGGCTTTGGGGGACCTGGAGTGATAGGTTGTGCTGCACCTTGTTGCAGTTGCCCTTGCTGTTGTGGCTGACCTCCTTGCTGAACAGCTTGTTGCTGGGCTTGAGCTTGTTGCATGGCCATCTGCTGTTGTTTCAGTTTCGCAACGAATTCTGGGACGGTCATTCCGTTCTTCTGAGCATCAATGGCCAGCTGTCTTTGCATGGCGGCGATTTGGTCTGGAGTAGGCTGTTGTCCTGGCCGGATATTGAAAGGGTTGCCCGGAGGCCCCTGAGGAGATCCTTGAGTTGCCATCGCGAAATGGTGGACTGATCTGTTGGATGGAAGAGAAGTGGGTGAAGGTAACGTGGAAGAGCGCCTCTATTTCGAGAGGTGTCCAAAATCTTTACGGCAACCGTGTTTGTTCAGCCACTCGGAACTGTGGCGCAGTAGATCTGTGGGGGCGCCTTCCCGGGCATAGCTCCGATTAAGCTCCAAAGCTAAAAACAGCGTCATCAGCATTATGGGCCGAGGAAAGTTCTCTCTTCAAATTCGAAGACCAGGCGACGAGGTTTTGGCGTTTCTCTCTCCTAGTAGCCAATTATCAAACTGTTTAATTATTTGTTGCTTCGAATGGTTTCTCATCCAAAGAGCCAGGTGCGGCCGTGAAAGTCTGCCGGCTCGTCCGGTCCGAGGGTCGAGGATATCATCACACCCAGGTTGAAGTTGCTGTCATGCTTCACTCTGGAAAATGAGTGAGAGTTTTTCTCCTGGCCCGGGAGTTGAGCCCCAGTCCCCATATTCAACTGTCTTTCTGGTAAGGTATCACGTCTTCTGACACTCCTCCTACGTTCTAACCCATGTATCAGTCGCAGAGGGATCTTGGACTCAGGGCCCCAATTAACTTTGTTACCGGCCCAGGCATCTCTTTGACAGCAGCCTGCTTTCCACACCTCAGATATGAGGATGACAGCTCAGGAGACTGCTTGTCGAATCTACTTGGAGTGGGTTTCCACAGATTCGAGATAGACTTGTATTGGGAGTAAGTTTATTCCCAAACTTATTTCTATATAAGAGCTGAAAGCCTGGAACTATTTTCGGAAGTTCTCGTGTCTACTGTCCACTTCATACTTGTGTCTTGGGAGCAAGCCACCTCCAAAACTCCCGATTCCCTCAAGCTTTCTTGGAATTTACGTTGCTAATTTGTTGGACAGTCAAGGAAGAGGGGTTTGGTCGTTCTGCCCTGTCAGTATTCCGATTTCGATCCCGAATGCGGCCCCCTCAGCAACGGCAACCCTAAGTTTCACTTCAAACACCCGCTCCTCATTGACGTCGGATACTACTGCGTCTATTTCTTCGTCCTCCCCCCAAAACTTGAATCCTCGACAAGTTAGTTCTAGGTCGATCACCAGCTCGTTAACTAGCTCAAGCTCCGAATCGATACGTACCGCTGTAACCTCTTTAGGAAATGTTCTTCCTACAATTGCAGTTCTGCCCGATACTCCAGACGAGCCCTTGGTATGAACCGAAAGCCTATCAACAACAAAGTAACAACATTTTGCTACCATGGGACTCAAGAGCTAACACGTACATTTATAGATATCTATCGGACCATACGTTTGTACCACCACCATAAATCTCTCTACTTTCACGAGTCAACTTCTGGATTATATTCAGAAAACTCAGATGACTTTAGATGCGCACCTCCTTTATGTTATACTTAATATACACGCTGCTGCCTCTGATGAATCGCCGGCCTCACCGGCTCCAGCTCCAATAAGCCTACCAGGACCATCGAGCCTTCTCGGAGGCATGGTTTCTGGAAATCTTTCCCAATACCTCTATACACTGTCAGACCTCCGATCAGACCGCGCAAATCTTAATGGATCCTGGTATTCGGTCTCTGAAACCTACCGCCCAGTCGAGGAATACTATTCCATTGATGTGAATGAAAATGGCATCTACTCAACTGAAGATGGCTGGCCATCCGAAGGCTACCTCGAGTTCTCGAAGAGCAAACGTTTGCTTGTTGGCTGGGGTACGATTGACCCTCAAATGGCGGGGTACAACTTCACGGGAGATTCGGGAGTCATATTTCCTACTGGATTCCTTCAAAACGTACAAGCGGATGTCACTGCTTCAAGCGCGGGACGATTGACGAGTGGCTGCTTTTTGGGCAATCTTACGGATGATTTGACTCAGATCAATTCCTCCTGGGCCTTTGATGCAATATTACCTGGCTTCGATTATCCCACAAGCGAATCATCAGGTATGTGGGCGACATCCTTTTTTTATTAATAGGAGCAGCGCAGATGTTGGACTTTTTCAAAAGACTGCAACTTGACTGCTGGAAGTTTGCCATCACTCAACTCCGTGCCTGCATAATTCCAGTGCAGACAGGGATTGCCTCGCTGTTGCATCTTTCCTGGATTCACAGCCTTTCTTCTATACTCTAGCTTTTTCAGTTCTGACATTGTAAGATTACAGATATATATCCCCTTCTAAACCTCACCTCCAACTCCACAAATTGTGGAATTTCGCCCATCCTCAACGTGACACTCTTGAATAGTACCGCTCTTGATGACTATAAGCCTTACCAGAACTTCTCGTACGCCACGATCTGGTCTTGGGCGCCTGGCGAACCGAAAAACTACACCGAGTCACCATCCTCCAATTCAGGCTCTGTTTTCCGCTGTGCAACCTCGAACGTTGACCTTGACGGCCGCTGGATGGTGGCAGACTGCTCTCAAAAATATTACGCAGCTTGTCGAGCACACAATCAGCCATACAACTGGACAATCACAAATTACCCAATTTCGTATAGTTTTGCCAGCCAGGCTTGTAAAGATCCATATCATTTTACTGCTCCCAGAACAGCGTTAGAGAATTCTTACCTGACACAGGAGATGAGGCGGACCCGTCGAGATTTCGATGGGGGTGGAGCTTGGGTGGACTTCAACAGTTTAGACGTTGCTGGGTGTTGGGTTACAGGGGGACCAAACGCTACATGCCTTTGGAAAGATATCTTGTCACAGGAGAATGATCTGGAAAAGAAGGTGATCTTGGTACGTTAACAATGCCTCAACTTTGGGCAGATATTCTAATGAGGTATAGGTTCCCACTGTTGCTGCTATTATCGTGCTAGTTGTCACAGCTTTGACGATATTTGTGAAAGCTGCAGGGAACCGAAGGGTCAGAAAAAGGACGAGAAGGAGAGCTGAGAATGGGTTTGTGTATGAAGGTGTGCCTTCGTGAATTGCGGCTATTGGATTCTTTGATTCGAACCGGATTGTTTTTATGATATCAGGCCCTTTGTCAGAATATACCAACAACAATTCGAATTCCTAGCTTTAGAGACAGGAATCAACCCGGCTTCAACAAACGCTTTGCAAATGCTTTCCCCAAACCACTTGCTCTTAGTATTACTTAGACCAGTGCTGAAGATTGATCAAGAGTGAAAGGGTGCCTCTTGATCACAACTGACTTCCCCTTCAGCCACTCGAGATCGAAGTCTGAAGTGACAGTGATGGGACGATCTTGATACTCTGGGACGAGCATGGTAGGCTTATAATAGGTTGCTGGGATTCGGAAATGAGAGAGTAACTGTGAAGAGTGTAAAGTAGAAAGACTGCTCCTTATATTAATCCTATTACGGCGGGGTACGGGCTAATATAGCGATTGGTCGGGTCCGGTGTCTCGTGGTGTAAGCTCGTCCGCCGTAAAAGATGCGAGTTCAAGGCACGGTAACCTTGGTACATTGAAATGTGGTGTGAGATGTGGACCTCGAGAACCAATCCTAATCGCTTGAATCCATGTCTCCCCTGAGAATTGAGAACTAAGAGCAAGGTGGCCCAAGGCCCGAAGAATCATGTATCACTCGTTATACTGGACACTCAGCATAGTAATCAGAGTTGCATTTGCTCAGTGTTGTGAAAATATACCAAATACTCCAATGGACTACGCCTAACCAGCCTTGATATCCTTTCCAAAAAAAAGTGCCACAGCCCAGATGTGCACACTTTCCATTCCATAGCACCCTGACGCCCATCGCTATTACTCTACCCTATCATTTATTTGCAAGTGAAGCAAGTCTAATGATTTACACCAGCACCAACATCGTTCTCGCTGACAACACTGCCGACTTCCGTCCATGAACCTGGCGTGGAGATACCCTCCCCGTCTACGCTCATCACATCGGCCTCACTCGTGGCTCCACTTCTTGGCTGCCATACTTCCTCCCCAGATCCAGCCATGGAAGCGGAATCGGTGGGAGTGATATCGCCACTTCCTGGAACTGAAACATCTGGGTCGCTGAACAAAGGAGATCCGGGAACAGCCTCGTGTTGCTGGGGTGTAGCGGCTCTAGGAGTAGCAGGAAGAGGTGAGTAGAAGCTGTGGTTTGCGTTATCAGCCCATGCATGAATGGAAGCATAAGCATCCTCTCGTGCAGCCATGTTTGTGAAATTGGCAGCCTCAGCCATCATCGGCTCGTCCATCGTAGGATAAGAGACGGGTGGGTCAGGGACTGGCTCAGAGGTATCAACAAGAAGCTGCTCAGCAATTGTGTTGGTGGGCTTCTCCTCATTAGCGGAGTATAGGTTGGACATGACTTCGAATTTCTCGGAGGCTTCAGGAGACATAAGACTTGCATCGATAGCTCGCTGCTCGTCCAGGTCGATGTTGTGCTCGTCGCCGAAGGGATTGGCATAAACGGATCCTCTATTCAGTCCTCTAACGCCGCGCTGTCGAAGACCTTCCTCCTCTCGGTTCGTGTCTGCGCCAGTATTGTACACATATGTCCCTTTCTCAGCAGTCTGGTCGGGTTGTAAGAAATCATCGAAGCTGGATCGGCGGCTCTTGTTCGCCGGTCTTTCTGCTGCGAGCTTCCTCTCCTTCTCCAATTTCTCCAATTTCTCCATATGGACGGCGTTCCAGTACATCAGCTCCTCTCTCTGGCGTCTCCTGGACTCCTCATCTGCGTCAACACCAACTTCGGCATTGCCTTGGCTCTGAAGAAAGCCCTCCGCATCTTCGGGGCGGTTGAAGCGGGGCTGCGGGGCCGATGGGTTGATTTCGTCACCGAGCGAGTGCAGAGCAATGGCTACTCGGCGGCGGACATCTTCAGCAAACTGCCGAGCTTGTGGGGATTCGTAGACTGCGATTGCGGCCTTGTAATTGTTAGTAGAAGTTCGATGATTTCGGAGGCAAATAACTTACTGCAACGGCTACTGATATCACCACAATGGCGCCTGAAACGATGACCGGGTGGTTAGGCATTTGGTTTTGATTGCGATTCATTGAAAACAAACTTGAATGTGATGATGGATACGGTATTTTGGAAGATTGTTGAAGGAGTTGAAGGAACGTTGATAGGTAAATTCGCAAACTATGCTGCCTCGAGGAGTCTTGCGTGGACTTTGATCGACCTTACGCCACTGCGCTTGCAGGGACTCGAGACATCCAGCCTATCAGGTGATGCGAAGTGGACTGAGGGGTTCGGAGTGTGGCTGACCTTTGACGGCAACAGCTGGCATTTTGGCAGCTGCCTGTGGGCGTTCTGGTGTTGGGGGAGGAGGAAGGTGGGAGGAGGTGGTGGTGATTCTTGTAGGAGTTTCGAAGTTGGTGGATGGAGACGTCGGCGTGTGCCCCGCGGTCTCCACCAGGCTGCGCCGCTCTCCTTTTAGCAACTGTGGCGCCCGATAAGCCTCCCGGGACCGCTTGTCAGGCTTTCTACCGCCGGCCCTTGCTCGTACTTTGTATATAAAAAGGGGGAAAAGTGAGTGGGCATTGCTTGAATGTTCTAAATCTTTTCGAAGCCATGTGATTCTACGTAACTCAAAGACCTACAAAGTCATTTATTTCTTGGGCCTGGAGAAAGTCGCTTAGGGTACATACCATCTCGGGCTGGATGTTCTTTGTTCTTTGACCGCCACAGTTTGGCCTCGTGACAACTTTCCGTCCCAACAATAACTTTGTATTCGAACAAATCCAAAACGATCTCCCTCCTCCCCCTCTACCTATGCCATTTTCAATAAAGATCCTTGACGGCCACTTCTGTGTCTATCAGCCTTGTAGAATCTCAATTCCGTAAGATTGCATTCAGGGCTTGAAAAACAACCGCCTCGATACTTATTAGTCTTGACATGAAATCATTCTCGGGATAGAGCCCTAACTCTGTTGCCCATCTTGAACTAACAACAAAGTAAAAGTTCCGCATGGAGAAACCAACTGAATGAGCATGAGCATTCAAAGCGTGACCATGTCACGAGAAATATCACGAGACCACATCACGTGCACACTTCTCCTAACACTCCCGTCGGCACTCCGTCTTTCCACAAGGCGACTCCAACTCAAGGCTTTCGCCGCTTCTGTTAAAGAGAGTGAGAATGACAAAACAATTGTTACCCCGTCACACCTCAAGCCATGTCCGACGCGAGGCCTTGAATACCATTTCTACGCCCGAAACCTGGATTGTCCGAAAGCCTCTCAACCCATGGCTGTCCATTCACCAATGAGCACCCTCCCGAATTTCCAGAAAGATTAGATTCGGTGTGTTGACAGCGGTTAAGATAGTTTTGTAGATAGAAACAAGGCGTGAAAGGAGGGTCCAGGGGGTTGTCAGTTTACTTACTCGGCATGCCACGCGGATGAGGTTGATGTGTGGAAGGGGCGAAATCTCGGCATTGAGGCAACACAGTCGAGTAATATTCGGACTGTTGTGAAGGCGAGTTGCGAGGGATGGCATACAGGCCAGTGTTATTGGTATACGGCAGGTTAAGGTTCTCGGTGTAGGAAAGCATGTGCAGGAGCTTGCCTTCTCACCCAGTTCTCACCAAATATCTCAAACAAGACTCTCCCGCTAAATTTTCTCTTGTAAAAGGGTATTCCACGGTTCTGGTTCTCGAATGTACATAGTCCGCCTTGAAGAGTCTGTTGCTTCGGAATGCCTTCCCCGACAAGGCTTGAGGAGCAGATTTATGAAACCATGCGAGTAGGGAAAGAAGTGCTATTTACGTTCACCACTGGTGGCGTGAAATACAGGGCTGTTTTCCAACATAAGGAGGTTCGGTATGTCACCTTGTTCTCCAATTCATATCTCGTACTAAATAAGGAGAGCGATCGTCGGGTAGGCGTCTCTGGCTCGAAAACTGGAGACTCGAACCTTTCAGCCTCTTCCAGCAATTCCCAGTCTCTTTCTAGCGAGCCAAATTACTAGACACTGCTGTGTTTGGCGTTGTGAGATAGGTAGTATGGACTTATAGATGATATGATCTTGGGACACAGGAGTTTGAAAAGTAAAGGACGAGAAATGCCTTGTTTGAGAATTGTGAATTGAGGAATGTAATGCATTGAAGTACGTGGCAGAAAGATGATTCTGTGCTGCTTAGCATGGTCGTCCCAATCCTCTAATTCCCTATCACGAGTTTTAACGCGGCAATATCCAAAGCCCACCCTGAGTGGAGTTTTGAAGTCTCTCGTTTCGCGCATTTACTTCGAAGACTATTGCTCATCTTCCAGCTTTGTAGCTGGTGTGGCTGATTCTTCCACGCTTTTTGGCGTGCTTGCATCAAGCTTCTCAACTATCACACACTCCTCGTCGTCCTCGGTCTTTGTCTCCTTTTCAACTGCATCGGAATAATCTCCCCACAACTGCTCAACCGGCCGTCCTAACAATTCTGTCCAAAATCTCTTCTCTTCGTATTTTTGGATCCTTAACTTCTCGTTCATCCTCCTGACTGTGCCCTTTCCAAATCTTTGCTCCAGATATTCCAAGAAATAGCCTGTATGTTGATATCCAGCGTCCCACTTTCCAGTTGCCTCTTTCTTCCAATGTGGGGGACTCAAATCTGCGTTCAACCGAACCCAGTCTGCAATTCCCTCGATCAAACCCCCTGGGCATGTTCCGAATGCATTGTACTGATAACTGTCCAGAGAATTAGCGTTGCAAAATCAAGGAATTGTAAAGAGCCAGAAGTCAGATCTATCATTGCTCAAGAGATAAGGACAAAGAGGTCATTCCGCCACCTGAAGCTCCAAGGTTCTCAGTTTTCAGAGGAAGAACTCACCAATGTACCATCTCATGTGTGAGAACGCCCATGATTTCGTCGGTTTTTCGTTCATGAGAAATAGACTTGCGGATGTAGTCCAAAGAGAAGTGGATCTCCTTATGATCGCTATCTAAATCGCTGCCAGTTGTGTATGCCACCCCGTCCATTGGCCTCAGTATAAGGGTAACTGAGCGGGTGGGAGGAACCGTAGTTGTAGGCGAGTCGGGTGAGTGGTATAGGAGTTCGAGCACGCTTTTGACAGACACTGAGAGTGCATTACTGGCTATAACAGCCTGGAGGAAGGCTTCGGCGCCAGCATGGTTGAGATCTCGGATTTCGAGTCGGAGCTTAGGAAGGGGGAAAGCGGGAGCTTTCGAGGAAGGTGCGCTACTCGATGCTTCAGATTCTGCAGTTGAAAGCTTTTGAGTCGGACGAGGGACAGAAGTTGGTGCTGGACCCGACGTGCGAGAAGACTGGGCTGGCATGAATACCAAGGGAGGAAGAGGACTGGTTCCAGGAGGTGGAGGCTCCGTCTTCATTGGAGCGGCTGGTGCAAGTGTCTGGGCAATCTTTTCAAGCTCAGTTCGGAGTAAATATTCGCAATCTGCTACCCGAGTATTTCAAAAAGGGGAATACTCAGGTATTTGCAAATAACATATAAAGAGTTTAAAGCCAGGAAGAAGTCTGAAATTGTGCAACATCTGTGTTAAGCCTGAGATGCGGATGCGGGAAGGGATGCCCGGGACATCCCTGCAACAGGGGGGTATGAATTAGCGCGATAAACACGGTTGATGGGCAACATCAACGTTCAGTTGTTTTGATGGACAAAGTCATTCCACTAACCTCACCTTGCTGCCATAGCTCTCTTTGTAAGTCTCAATCTCTCAGAACTTCTCGTGTCTAGTATGAGGGAGCCGCTCACGAATATCGCGCGTGTTGACTGATCTCTCGTCCCTAGGCCTCCCTGGAATTCTTTCACCCCGCCAAAATGGGAGAGAAAATCAACGAAGAGCAAGTTTCAAACTTGCTGGCAATACTCCGAACTGATGCGTCCATTGATGCGAAGGTTAATCAAATCAATAATGTCAAATCCGGTATCAAACAGAACAATGTGCCGGAACCCTGTGTGCTCCCTCTCTTTGAGGCTACGCGCCAGTCGATGACATCGCAGCACGCTGCAATTGTCAATGCCGGCTTCTCTACTCTAAACCATCTACTCACGAGATTGTCCCGACAAGAGCCAAAATATGTTGTCAAAGAGGCTGGTCGGACCCTCCCGCTGGTTATTGAGAAGATGGGGGACCAAAAGGAGAAATATAGACAGCTTGCAGCGCAATGCCTGACGACTTTCTGGAAAGTGGCACCTATGGACGTGGAGCGAATAGTAAAGAATGCTGGTATGGTTGGTAAGAACCCACGGATGAAGGAAGCGTCTATGAACTGGCTCGTTCAGGTAATATTCCATTGGCGGTGATACCCTAGCTATTGCTGATACCTCGGCACAGATGCACCAAGAGAATGGCATGCCTTTCAAGAGCTTTGTGTCGACATTGATGGACCTTCTCGAGGATGCCGATGGCATGGTCAGGGACACTGCGAGGAATTCGGTCATTGCTCTCTTCCAGTAGGTCACAGCAGAAGCTCTGGGTAATAAAAGCTGATTATTACTAGGAACGCTCCAAATGCTGCAAAGTCCGACTTGAAGAAACAACTAAAGAATTTCAATGTACGACCGACAATAGTAGCGGCTATCACAGCTACTCTTGGACCCGGAAATGCTCCTGAGCCAGCAGAGCCAATAGTTGCCGAGATACCTTCACGCCCAACCTTGGCCAACAGTGTCTCCTCGATGTCGAGCGTCCGGCCATCGACTCCTGTTATAGAAGCTAAAGCTGAACAAGTCGAACCATCTTATGTGAACACACAGAGAGAGCTTGACGACACATTCCGAGATATGTATCCGTTTTTTGAAGGAAAGGAATCGGAGCAAAATTGGTTGAAACGAGAACAAAGCTGCACCAAATTACGAAGACTCAATGCTGGAAATGCACCCAGCGATTTCCACGATGCCTTCCTTGTCGGAATCAAAGGTCTCTTGGATGGAATTTTGAAGGCTGTAAACTCACTGAGAACCAGTCTTTCAAAAGAGGGTTGCAGCGTCGTTCAAGAAATTGCACGAACTGCTGGACCAGGGCTAGATCCTATGGTCGAAATTCTTCTCCAGAACCTAATCAAATTGTGCGGTGGTACAAAAAAGATCAGCTCCCAGCAAGGTAATGTAACGGTCGATATCATCATCAGCAAGGTTTCGTACAATATTCGAATCATGCAACATATCTTTGCAGCATGCCAAGACAAGAACGTTCAGCCAAGAACCTATGCAACCGGATGGCTGAAGACTTTGTTGAAGAAGGAAGCCCACCATAAGAGTCATATTGAACATACGGGAGGGCTCGACTTGATCGAAAAGTGTATCAAAAAGGGTCTGGCAGATGCAAATCCAGGCGTTCGAGAAAATATGAGATCGACTTTCTGGGCTTTCGCGCAGATTTGGCCTGCCAAGGCGGACGCGTAAGTGTTCTAAGCTGTAAAGAAGATTATGCATCTAACTCCATTCCAGTATTATGGCAACTCTGGATGCAACCCAGGCAAGACTTCTGGAAAACGCCCCAGACAATCCAAATTCACCCAAAAAGGCAGAGACTGTTGCTGCTCGACCCGGATTAGGATTCTCCAAGAGCACGACTGGACCACCCAAGCCTTCCTTAAGGGAGACGATGTTGGCTCAAAAGAAGGCTGTTTTGGCCAACAAGAATATTCCTGCTCGCCCGGGCTCAGCCATGTCCAGTTTCTCTCCTATGCGTACGGTCTCGACGTCGTCCAATGCATCCGCATCGTCCACAGCTTTAGAAATAGGACCAGTGAGACCCCGACCCGAGTCGACAACTGTTGCCCATGGTGGTCTTTCTGTCGCTCCAATGCGGCCTACCAAATTCCGTCCTGCCCCTCGACCGGAACTTACCGCAAGACCCGCAACAGCAGGCCCTTACTCAGTAAGACGTCCAGGTCACGGTCCTACTAACAGTGATGGCACTAGCCCATCGACAAGCAGAATGGTAAAGGCAAGAACACCTAGTGCTAGCAGTACAAGCCCACCAAAGCGACCGACTACGCGACCAAACACGAGTCACTCCAGTCATACTAGCCAATCCAGCCATGCAAGTCCTGTGAGGAGTACCGTCAGCAGAGTAGCAGCATCCCCTCGCGCCAGCCCAGCAAAACCTAAGTCTTCTCACACCGCTTTCACATCGTCGAGTCCATCAAAAGCCGATGAGGATTTCACCATGGTTGTTCCGACGTTGACGGGACTGAAGGGACCGCATCCTCAGAGTGTGCCACTGACAATTGAGTCTTCTGATGAAGATGAGATTGTCACACCTTTGAAGTCAATGAAGGTTTACGAAGATCCATTCTCAAGCGCGGATGACCAGACCACCCCAAGACCAGCGATCACAGCTCCGGTACTGGAAGAAGTCGCTGTTAATGAAGATGCCTCGAATTTGGTGCGAAATGGAATGAGCAGTATGAATGGCGCGGAGACAGCGAAGACAGCCCCAATTTCGCCGGAGCGTATGAAACAAAATTCTCGGCTGCTCGACAGCGGCATCACGAAGATAAAGGCAAAGTCGTTAGATGTCCATGGTTTCCGTAAACTCCAAGGAATGATTAAGGACAATAGAGCAGCTTGGTCTGACGACAGATTCGATGTTTTACTTCTAGGACTTTTCGAATATCTCGAAGCACCATTAACTTCGCTCTCACCAGAGAAAATCCAGGACGTCAAGGCTCAGATCTTGGCAACGATTATGCTTATGCACAAGAAAGATCACGATGCATTCCGGCCTCATGTCCCCAAAGGGCTAGAATCCCTCCTTACAACCCGAAGCTGCTATGATGCACGCGCACACATCGTTAGTGGACTCGAATTACTCGCTGCTGAGCTCGTCACCCTTGCAGACCCCAAGCAAACAACCAACAAGATCACCTCACAACTTCAGAACGAGCAAATGACACTCGAAGGCTGCCGAACCCTCTCCATGGGTCTCCATGTCCTGAAGAAGCTCCTCGATGCGAAGAATGAGTTCGTTCCGAGTGAAGAGGAAGTCCAGGAGATGTGCAAGCTTGCTGCGAGATGTTTAGAGAGTTCTGAGAGCGGCGTTCGGATGGATGCCGTGCAGCTTTGTGTTAGTGTTCATTCGAGGGTTGGGGAAGCGAGATTCTGGAAAGAATTGGGAGGCGTGAAAGATGACCCGAAGAGCCTGATTACTTATTACATCGTCAAGAAGCAGAGAGAGCTAGCGGCTAGTGGATGAGCGGTAGGTGATATGCGTGACGAACGGACAGACTCGGCACTTTTGGCGAGGTTTGATTACGGTCTTGGAGAGGGGCGAGCATACAAACAAGAGAGGTGCGTGTTGAGAAGATGGTGTACGAATACGCTTTGTAATTCATTTTTCTAATTTCCTTTCGCGCTCCGGGCTGTTAAGTTGCGAGGGAAGTTTTGGTGTTGGGGCGTTGACCCTTGGGGCGTGGAGAGAGCGGCCGGCGTTGGCTGTCTAGACTTATGAATAGTAATGCAATGCAATAAGTGATCTACTTCGTCTCCGTCCCCCTATTATACTGATAGTCTCCTTTCTAATTGTGAAGGTCCTTAATGATAATGACATCAACATCATAATTTATTCTGTCCGCTGCAAGGAGCGCATGAGGTACGTCCATCCTTGACTCGGCCAAAGCAGTCAAGGTCCACGAATGAAGCCAGAGAAACTTTCATTGCTCCAGAGTAATGTGGTACATCGAGTCGATGTGCAACAAAACCAGTGTTCCAGACGTTCACGCTTGAGATCAAGGTCGAGACGAAATCCAACTTTCATCTCAAAATCTCAGACGTAGGATGACATGAAATCTAACTTTCATCCCAAGATCTGCTGAAAAGGTTGTGATGTGCTACAATTCTCAGATTTGCTATCTGCTCCCTCCAGCCTGATTCGGTGAGAACCCCTTTTCATCTGAAAAGACAACCAGGCGTTATTGATATCCTCATTGGACCAGGAAGCTAGGAAGATGGAAACGACGTGCCACAAATGCTCGATTTTCTAGATTCACTCTGTAGATTGAGGAAAGAAATTTTCAATGTACCAAGTATTTTTTGGAACACTGAGGCGATGTGCAATAAAAGAGTTTGGTAATTATTCACTACGCAAGTCTTAAGAGTGGATCCCGTATTATGAAGTTGACTGGCAGGTGGTTCATGACACTTGTACTTCTTTCTTTCGTACTTTAAATCACGGGAGTATCTTGACACATTGGCATCGCCATATCATCAGGTTACGCGATTCATAGGTTCGGGGATAACTTCGAGGAATCGAGTGGTACCGGAGTCCATCTGGAAAGCCTCGCAAGCAGATTATCGGACGCGAAGCTCAATCTGTAGAAACTCGGAGGACCGGTGCAGTTCTGGTGGTCTGCTTGCTTCACCTCTTCTGTAAAACCGCATGAACCTTACCTCGTTAATCTCGAGGTTGTCGTCCGTAGGTAGCCGAACCGTAAAATCCTGCACTCATATATATTCTGATTCGACTCGTCCCCCTGTCATGTGAAGCGTGTCGCTATGAGATTTTCCATTTTAAGTGCTGATATCTGTGCTGTTCCTACAATCGTCCTTCTACTCCGAATGGAACGGGTGTTTCATTTGTTTTCGGGTGGACGGTGCCTGAGAGGGGTTTAAGCTGAGTCCCTTCTTGTGCATCAGCCCGTGTCGGCATGCTTTCCCCCCTGAATGCGTGTGTGAGTGGGTCGTCAGGCACAAGCAGTTGGAGGAGACTGATTGGAGGATGCATGTGGTGAGAATTACATTGTGAGTGTTATTCAGAGATTCTGCATGATGAATCGGTCCATGAACGTGCTCTGAATGTCGAAAAGGGGGATTGTTCACTAAATCACGGAGCGGAAGTCGAGCCGAGCGTTCCGCTTTAGTGTACAGGGAAGCAGTTGCCATCCAGAACCTCAAGTCCGACTGTAGAGGAAGGCTTACAACTGCTGTTGCAGTAAACGGCGCATGATAAGTTCCTCGAAACGAGGGCGGAGGACGCTTTGTCCCTGAATATGGGCAGTGCTGTGGCTTAAAATTCCCTGCTGGAGATCTTCGGGAGATGGAGATATCATCAGACAACTCTTGCCATTTGCATGAACGTATGGAGAAATGCCATGCTGGACATTTCTTGCTTGCCTAAATGTGTTATTTTATGCTTGGTATTGCCTTGCTTTGCGCCTCCTTTGCATTGCCCCAGATGTTCATTTGTCCTGTCGTCAAGTTCAAGCTGTCTGTGCGACATCGCCATGGGGGATTGAAGACGTGCCTCAGATCTTCGGAGATCTAAATCCTGCAACAGGTATTCCGGAGTATATCACGCTCGGATCTTGAGATCGAGGATTGACAATCGATCAGCCGCAGCAGTGAGCACTGACTTGAGTCCGTGTTGAGACCCATCTGGAGTCTCGTGAGTCGTCTTCGAGGCGCGGCACGTGATGAGCATAAAGTGAAATATTCAAATATGTCAGCGGGAGAGGGGCATGTAGATCCCGCAAAACCCCTGTTGGTTCCTTGCGCCATCTCCCCGGCCGCCAGGGGCGGATTTTTGAGAATTCCTGGCCGAATGAGAGGGACACGGATGGGGCGCCAGGAACGTACAAGTATGGATGGGAGAGGCGTAGCTGAAGGTTTGACAGGATAGGGACGATGCGATGTTAGACTGCAAAGCGCACTTGCAGTCTTAATTTCAAGCGCATGTGGAGCACTTATGGTGTGGTGGTGGTGATCCAAACAGACGCTCTGGCTGGAGAGTGTCAAGTGTCAACGAATCCCCTGTCGCAGCCCTCACATTGTGGAGCCGTGGACACACAAATTGTATGGGTGAGCAACTCCTCCCACTTGATGAAACGCGACGACGACCGCGAGATGGAGGCGTGGCACAATTATTGCTTGCTTCAATGGAATAATGTATGCCAAACGCCGATCGGGCCGGGGATGGCGATGTCTGCTCGGATGCCCCCATTCTTGAGAGGGATCATCCAAACCTGTCCCTGCTGCGCAAGTCATCATTGATCGGTTTCATGGATGTACTGTACGGAGTATAACCAGAAATAGGTGTGGGCAAGAGGTGTTTCTAATGGAGATGAGCTTATTCCGGGAAAAGCTAAATTGTGATTGAGTGGGCCGGGCTGGACTGGTGTTGCAGATTCACAGCAGCATTAGAAACACGCGTGCTGCTCCGGGGTTTGCAGCAGACCCCCAAGCCCCAAACCACAGGTTTCTTGATCGCGACTCTGGTGACAGAAATGTAGCTGCAACTGTTGCATGTCCTGGACTCAAATGAACCTGACGACGTCTCGCCGTATTCACTGCAGGCCCTTGGAGAAAGTTTCCGGGGGAATGCAACGCACGCAGGGAGGACAAAGGCTGAAGTATCACCCTGGCGATCTTGTGCAACGTGCAATAACCTCGTGCTTTGGGTGACACGAGGCTGCTATCTGCTATCTGTCGTGGAGGCCACTGGGAGGGAGGCCAGTTGGGGGGGGGGGGGGGGGACTTTGAAGAGATCGGGTTGAAAACGGGGAGGGACGAGAGGAACAAGGGGGAAGGATAAAAATAAAACTAGCCCGTGGCCGTTGTTTACTGTACTCAACTGGAGGAGGGAGGCAAAATTGCCCAGCAGTCAGCCTTTCGGAGAGCAGCGCGTGAAGGGAGGGAGAGAGAGAGAGAGTGAGTGAGTGAGTGAGAGTGAGAGTGAAGTCAAGGTGAAGTTTGCGTCGTCCCAAAATACTCGGCCATGCACAACTCCTCGCCTCTCCTTTCCTCTCCTCTCCCCTGCCACCCCCCTGCCACGCTCTCGTCCAGCCCAGCCGTTGTGCTGCACTGGTCGTGAGCCTTTCTATCTGAAACAGATCCACTGCTCGGCTTCGAGAAGAGACCATGCCCCTTTGAGACGCTTCCTTTCCTAAACAACACAACCCCGGCACTGGCACTCGACCCATCCCAGAACAGGAGAATCCAGGTGCCTCTCGAACTCAAGGTCTTGGCAAGGTGTTGGTGTTGCTATTGCTGTTGCCATTGCGACTGCGAGGCTTAGGTTTCTAGGCAGCGTCGTTCTTCCCTTGCCTTGCTTCCCTTCTGCCGCTCAGCTTCTCGACAGCATTTGTACACTTTGTACAGTTCAAGGGGTTCCGACTGCAGGCACTAACCCGCCAGTGGCCACTCGCAGCAGAGCGGCCCATTTCAAAGACATTTTCACCTCATTAACTTAACTGTACGAGAGCCACAATACCACCCCCCTCCCCCCCCAGTGCACATCTCGGCTCCGGCTTGGCCCTGGCCTGGAATGCTTTGTGGTCACTGGAGAGAAAGCCATCACTACTCAACAGCCTCAGCCTCCTTTGTTCCTCCATCGTATCTCTTCCCATTACACATCATCATCATCTTAAGCAACCATCAACAATGCCCACCGTTTAGCGCTTTTCAAACATAATTATTGATATTGTTCCTCACCCTGCCGTCGCTCAATCAACGATCCGCGGCCTGTGCTTCGCCCTGCCCATTGCACTCGCCGCGACCGTGACCGAGCGAGCGAGCGAGCAACTGTGGCACTACTGTCTTCACCCGACAACCTCGTCGAGAGACTGGATCTCCAATTCATGATCTAGCCCGATCTGCATTGCGCACACCTGCGGAGGACGCGTTGTTGGTGTTGTTGGAGATACAGGAGAACACAGGGCCGTAGACCGGCCTCACTTCAGAATGGACTCCCCAGCGGACTTCTTGGACGAAGATGAAGCGGTTTTTCCTTGCAAAGGATGTGGAGAAATTCTTGAGGAGGGCAAAGCTTTTGAGCTTGGTAGGTCTCTGAATCATATCCCCACACCACAGTCATCTTTCCCAGCGTTTCAGTCAGCATTCAGGTCTCGAGCATTCGTGGCCGAGGATCTCTGTCTCGCTGGCTTTGATGGTCTCTCTCCATCTTCAGCATCTTCATGGCACCTCCTACGTCCAAGTCCAACCCGGCTAACGAATCTGCAGCTGGTAATCGGTGGCATCTGAACTGCTTTCGATGCAATACCTGCGGAACGCTCCTCGACTCGGATGCGAACCTCCTCCTCCTCGGCGATGGCTCCCTGATTTGCAACAATTGTACATACAGCTGCAGTGCCTGCGGAAACAAGATCGAAGATCTAGCAATTCTCACAGGCGACCAGGCGTTCTGCGCAACATGCTTTCGTTGTAGGAACTGTAAGCGCAAGATCGAGAACCTCCGATACGCGCGAACTTCACAAGGCATATTTTGCATGAGTTGTCACGAGTCTTTGATGGCACGGAGAAGGAAGAAATCAAGAGCTGCAGCAAATGCGAAGTTGAAAAAGGACGACCAGTCTCCCATGCTTGTCGACAAGTCCCTCCCCGCCCTGCCGCCAAACGCGATGTCACAAAATGCTTTTTCCCCAGATCGAGAAACGCCTGATTCTTTAGACACTGATACTCCGACTGAACTTTCCCCCAGACCGCGTCAAGGCTACACGCAGAACGATTCCTCGTCACGAAGCAGCTCGCGACGACCCCCTGAGCGATCACCGGAACGTACATCCAGTGATACACAAACCAGAGACGGGTTGACCCTCCCCACGACAACTTATCGAAACAACCGCCATTCGACTATCTCACCGGCATCAGACGTCAATGGCGATGATGGCGAAAGCTTCTTCATACCCCTTGCTTTAGATCCAAGCCCCGCTCCGAATGTGACCCCGCGCTCAACCTCCGAGACAAGGGTTGACCCGTCGAAGAAAAGCAAGGAGAACAAGGCACCCGAGAAGGATTACTTTGGATCCAAGAGCAATGGACGGAGCGAGCCTCAGAAGTCCAGGGAACCAAGTTCGTCTTCCTCGACTCCGCATATCGCCTTCCAAGAAAAGGGTCGACAGCCTTCTGCGGAAGAGACGGCGCAGATTAAGGATAGCATTCGGAAGGCCCAGGCTGGAGGCAAGGCCTCGTCTACGAAAGCCTCCCCTGCCATTGGAGCTGACGATACTCGGGTTCAACACGCCAACTCTCCGAAGTCGAACGGGCATGGCAAGACTCAGTCCTCTGCTGACAAGTTCAAACTAGGAGAGGTCCCAAAGGGGAAGAAAGCGGGCAATTCAAGAAGCAACTCACAGTCTGAAATCAGTGATAGCAGTGTGTCTCGCTCCACGTCTGGTGGGCTATCGGCTCCGCCTCGGAAAGAAGTTGGTGTCACAATCACCAGGACTGATTCACCGAAGCCATTGCTCTCTGCAGAAAATACAGGGACGCCTCGTTCTTCTCAAGAGTCAAGACTGAGAGATGACTTGGAACCCCGACGATCCACAGAGTCTAGAGATTCGTCTTGGCCAATCTCAAGACTAGATTCTGGCAGCACATCAAGGTCGATACCTCGAAAGGAGTTGGCAACTGGAGCAGTAAAGAATACCATCAGCAGCTCCTTGGGCTCATCATCTGGTGCGGAAACATCGCCATCGTCTGATTCTTCCTCCGATACACCAGGCCTTACCCCAACGGTCAATGGGAAGAGCATTTCGGGACCCTTGAATTTGCAAGCCTTGGTGAAGGATGAATTGGCACCCCCAACTCGCGCACCCAATCGTCCATCAGGTCCACAACAGCAACTCAGCGATTCTTATATGGCTCCCCGCGCCCCGCCACAACCCCCGCCAGTCGGGTCCCATGCAGCAAAGGATTCTAGCGGCTCTTCCAATGGTGTCCCGGTCTCACCAAAATTGCCACGATGGAGCGCCGGCGGGGATTTCACGATGGATGAGGATATGGCGCGGATACTGGGAGGAACAGATGAGAGCTCACAATCGATTCTGCGCCGGGTTTCCAACGCTGTGCGTCACGGCAGGACCAACAGTGAAGCAAGCAACCCTGCCCGCTATCCCGGCCATGGACGCAGCGTAAGTGAGACGACGACACGGACAGCTGCGTCACCTCGTTGGCCAAAAACACCAATTATTGAAGATTCCAGCGCGCCTAGAGATATCAGCAGTCCCATATCAATTACCTCGCCTGTCTCTGGAGACGATCCTGCTCTACTTAGAAGACAACTTCGTAATTCAGAACAACGTGTCGCCGAACTCGAACGTCAATTCTCAAGCGAGAAGGACCTCAAATCAATCAACAAGAAGTTGATCGAGAAGAGGAAAACTGTCTCGGTCCTGGATTCGCAAGCAGAGCTCATGTTTCAACAGCTGGAGGTCCTGACAGCTCATGTGCAAAGGGCAAAGGATACTAAGCAGCCCATCAATATGGCAGAGTTAGAAGACTTGGCGATCAAGGACTTTGTGCAGAGAATAGAGCGATTGAAGCAGACCATGTCAACCAGCGTGGAGGCATTGTATGAGGAGCGAAATACACTTCTGGAGGAAAAGAGCGCGATCATGGCTGACCGGGACAGAGCTTTGGTAGACTTTGAACAGTTATCCTCGAAGAATGCCCAACTCGCCGATATGAATAACGATCTAACGCACCAAATACAAGAACGTTTCAAGGCTCAGAGTGGAAGCAGCATGGATAGTCCGAGACCACCAATAGGCGGATTGGGAATCTATACACACCATAGCAAGGACAAGTCGAATGTCTCTGTGCAGCTGGACGATAGTCTGCGGCCCTCAACTAGCACAGCCCTTTTCGGCTCGGTCAATGCCTATCCTCAGGCTATGGATCAGGATCCAAGTATGGAACCTGCGACAGTTCTCTCTGCTCCACATGTGGTCAACATCCGGAAGGGCCAGGCGAAGAAGTTCAATTGGAAGAAGGGTGGTCAAACAGTTGCAAAGGGCGTTTCCAAGGGTTTCAAGGGCGCATTCTCTTCAGCTCAGCAAGAACGTAATCAACAATGGGCAGGCCAAAATGGCGACAGCATTGGGATGCCGTACAATATGACGGTGGCTCCCATTGAATCCCCTGCTGCTACTCAATCTGGTAACCTTCCGCGACCCGGGACCAATGACCCTAGACAGGGGGGAGGCTTTGGTTTGTTCAAGAAGTCCAACACCATGCCGAAGCTGAGTTCGAATGGAGCACCCTCAGTTGCGGAACATCCCTCAACACTGTTTGGATCGGACTTGGTCGAACGAGCTGATTACGAACGCCGCCAAATCCCAAGCGTCGTCACACGTTGTATTGAGGAAGTTGAGCTACGAGGCATGGATATCGAGGGAATCTACCGGAAGACCGGCGGAAACAGCCAAGTCAAGCTGATCCAAGAAGGATTTGACAAGACCGAAGACTACGACATTTCGGATCCTGGATTGGATATCACTGCCGTGACGAGTGTTCTCAAGCAGTACTTCAGAAGACTACCAACACCACTCCTGACCTTCGACGTCTATGACCGTGTCCTGGAATCAATCTGTAAGTATCATGGCCGCAATGATTACCATGTCCATGCTAATCATATTCTAGCCATTGAGAATGACCAGGAGCGGTGCGCTCACCTGAGAACGACCTTCAATATGCTCCCTCCCAAGCATCGCGATTGTCTCGAGTTTTTAATCTTCCATCTCGTTCGCGTTGCCAATAGAGAAAGCGAGAACCTGGTATGCTCTGTCCTCCCGTTATCTCCGGACCCAACACTAACACATCAAAGATGACACCTAAGAATCTTGCCGTGGTCTTCGCACCTACGATCATGCGAGATCTCAGCATTGATCGAGAAATGACTGACATGCATGCCAAAAACAATGCAGTGCAATTTGTCATCGAGAACAGCAACGAAATATTCGGCCCTCCTTGAACGAACAACACCCCCTCTTTGAAACTTCAACATCTGGCTCGGAAGGAGATCCACTCGGAATTCCGAATTGTATATTTCTGCTTCATGGCCAATTGGCATACGACAGGCGTTACGCTTGGATGAACCGGCTGATTGAATTGACGGTTTTTCCAAATTCATACATCGGCGTTTGATTTGCCCTTTACGTTTCCTTCTTCGTGCTGGCGAGCCCGACTGGCTTACAACCGGTCAAATTGATATCCAATCTGTTTTTACGGAGAGGCGTTGTGTTTAAGCCTGCTGATCCATGTGGAAGGACAGGTGGAGATGGAGTGAGGCCTAAAGAGAGGCGAGGAATGTAACTATGATTCGACGCAGCGGAGGATTCGATTTGATTTACGTTCGTGGATGGAGCCATACTGGGGTGTGTCCCTTTGGTCTGCAGTGCTCGGCGTGGCAGAGCGCACCCATACCTTTGAAGAATAGCATGTTGTAGTACATATTCTCTTTCGACGATGATTGAAATGAATAGATTCTTCCATCCCGGCGTTACTTTTGTCCTGGAGTGAAATACAATCAATGAAAGGAGAATATACTGGCGCAAGGTTTATTTCGGAACTCACTTCTCGAGGAGTCTCGAATGCACTCAGATATTGTCTATCCACGAAGATCAATGGCTATCAAAGGAAGTTCCTCTCATGAAATCCTTGCTTCCTGTTTTAGGAGTCTTCCTGGGATTGAGAAAGTCCCATAAGTAAAGAGACGTTGAAGTAGCTTTGTTCTAAGATAGTTGTTAGTCAAGTGATGCCTGGCTTTAAGATACCTTTTAGAGTGGTTGCTTGTACAGTTTGGCATGGGACAATCTGTGCTGAATCTACAAGTTAGTGAAGAACTCTTAACCCCTTACCTTGCTCTGATGTCTGCCTTTTATTCTTGTATTTTAAGGTTGTGGTCAAATTTTAATATGGTTTTGATACTCGTCCTCTTTCCTGATCTGCAGTTTTAGCTGGTGTTTTCAACGCCCCTGTCATATTTTGTACTGGAAGATGTTTTCTACCATCGTTGCTTGCAGGGTGTTTCCTGTCTCGCTTGTTTCTTGCAAACTCGGGACATCGAGACTCGAGAGCGGTCGGGTTTGATTACAAGATTACTTTCCAATGCCCAGACCTTAGGGATCTTTGTTTTAGAATGTACAAAATGAAGAAAGAACTTTTAGAAGGATTGTCCACTGCAATTCAGAACATTGAGAGTATTAGTTTTTAGATATTCCACAGTGCCATATTTTAAAGCTGCCTGCCTATTATCAATGTTTCAAATCACCTGGAAGAATTATCTAAGCTTCTCAACTGGCTCTATCTCTTAATGTTCTCCACTCACTATGAGCATTTAATCCTCACACCTAATCTCATTCTATGCCCGCACCTTGAATAATCGTCCAATCTCCACCACCCTTCTGATAATTTCGCGCTTTCTACTTTCTATTGTTCGCCTCGTCTAGTCTTGTGGCTCCTTCTTGTAATGCCCTTCACTTCGTGTATATACATGGCTACTTCTCTTCGATTATCCGACTTTGTCCACACAACATCCACAACAGCCAACATCGACAAGATGCCTCCCAGACTCAGCCTCAAAGGCTTTCTGCGTAGAGATCTGCTTTCAAGACGCACGAGAGCACTCATTCCCTACTACAATGATCACAACGCTAGTCGCACGCCCAACCTCAAACGCGAATCGGTGCCGGATCTCACTTCTCCCCCTCGAACTGGCACCCCACCAAACGAAGCTGACTCGAAGCCAGCTCGAGAGGTCGACAGCATTTTTGGCGAGCCTATCTACACCAAGGAGGAGGTTTTCAAAGAAAAGTTTGAGCAACTCCTTGCTTCCGATCCTCAGCAAGAGCAAGTTGTCAGACCGCGCCGTCATAATCCCGAACTTGTCAAGTTGATGGATGAACTCAACGCTCTTGTCAAGCGAGAACTGGAGGCGAGCCCCGAGGAGAGGAAATTGATTCGAAACCAAAAGTTGGCTTTGACTAAGGAAATTGGAAAGCTGGAGGCAAAGATTGAGGAGAAGAGAGTCAAGAGGTGCAAAGGTACGTCTGTACTAATTTAAGAGTCCCAGGTTGCCTAGGCACAATTGCAAGACGGCTCAACTTTGCTGACACTTAGTCCAGTACCATTAGATGAAGAAGCAACATTGCCAGAGCCAATCAGTCCTGACGAGAAAAAGCATATTCAAGTGATGCAAGAAAGAGCATCCAAGGCGGTTTTGGGCTTAGAGGTACGGTTTCAGGCCCTTGTCACACCTTCTGACACCTTCCTAGGGACCACGCCAGAAGAAGCGAAAGCGGGAGGACGCGGATGACCCTTACGAACTGGACGGAGAGGATCGACTTCGCGCGGGAATCAGCCTCAATTCGCACAGGGAGATACCACTCACAGGCCGTTGGTATTCGAGGGTTCACGACTACTTCCCAGAGCCAGAGAATGGAGTGGATGGGGCAGGTGTTCTTGAGGACTTGACAGTTGAGGAGAGGCTCACGATGCGGAGGGAGCTGGCTGAGTATGGAGAGAAGTTGGCGAAGACGGCGAGGATGTTCAAGGAAGATGAGAGGAAGGCTGGGAAGGGTTGGTACGGAAAGTGAGGCTGAGAAGGCTGGGATAGGAATAGGGGCTATGGTCACGTGTTTGGCAGCAGTGCATCATTAACTGGGTTGCTTTGACATATTCCGCAGATGCATGGATTTAGCAAATAGAAGCGATGAGTATCTTCTCCCATCATCTTAGAATCGAATGGTTGCGCTAGGAAGAGTCGCTCTTATGAGTAGTCATATTTTCCGTCTATTTGTTTGACGCCGCTTGGCGCATTCTTGGCTCACCTTTGGAAGGAACGAACAATAGCTTGTTATCGCAATCGCCATCCTATTCACCTTCCTCGGAATTTCGCTTTGGGGCGCTACCACTTTCCTTTAGATTTCCCTCTGAGTTCGTTCTTGCCTTTCATGAACACAGCACATGGTCACCCGGAGACTTCGACACTAATGGACTCCAACAGCGCCCCAGCGAACATGGCGACGATGAACGACAGCCAGAACGGAATGTCCCAGTGGAATCCAGTCAATGAGGAGCAGGGGGGTAACGGCGGTAAGAAACCTCGGTGGAGCGACGACGAAGATAAGACACTTTGCGAGCTGTTGAAGACCCAGTAAGTTCCCCTTTCGGATGTCTCACGAGCTGTGGAACATCCCAGCTCCCTTACAGAATGACTATGGACGATGCTAACTATGATCTAGCTGGCAACTCGAAAAGGATAACTTGGCCAAGCTGAACGGCACGAAGTTCTGGCCACTCATCTCGGCGAAGCTTAAGGAATGTGGCTTCGACAGGACTTCGGAACAATGCAGAAGCTATTGGTACGGCCAACTGCGTCTTCGAACTGAGTTCAAGGACACTCTACAGTTCCGCTCAGTCAACGAACGCAACAATACGCCTCTATCTATGGCCTCCAAGACTGCAACGGATACCACCGCATCAGGAGCATCCATGTTTGGAAAACGCAGTAGCTCTGGATCATTCTCCACCATTGAGGCCGGAACAGGCACTACCTCTGGTTCATTGCTCAACACTGGGGCAGAACCTTCTGGGGAAACCACAACTGAGACTCCGAAGACTAGAAGTGACATTTCCTTTCAGTCAATGTCCAAGGCCGTCTTTGAAGCCGACCATACTCTTTCATCCTCAATGTCCAAATCAAAGAAGGAGAATGGCGGGATGGCCCGCTGGGCCGAACACGAGACTCAAAAGCTACGTGAACTCGTTATTGCCAAACGCAAATCTATGGGCATGGACAAAAAGGAACTCGGTCTCGCGTTCTGGACTTCAATCTCCCAGGAGCTCGAGAACAATCAAATCCACCGTTCCCCGCAAGCATGCGCACGTCGCTTCCAGAGAACCAGCAAATTAGGAGCGACAGAGCCAGGTCTTCGATCAGATGACACGCCTGATCCAATGCCTGAGAAGGCTAGCCCGTACTACCCAAAGCCGAACAATGAGGGTACCGACACCGATGCTGATGCTGATGATGGCTCCAAGTCGGACCTGAACGATGGCGATACCCCTTACGGCGAGCCACGACGTGGATCACGCAAGCGAGTAAGCAAGGGAGTTTGGACCGACGAGGAGCACAACAGATTGGTGCAGCTTATGAAAGCACGAAGACAATTGGAGAGCGAGGATGAGAGTCTGGAGAAGCTCAGCAACTATAAGCTATATGCTCTGGTCTCGAAGCAGCTCAAGCAATACCTCATCGAGAGAAGTGCTGGCGCTTGTAACCTTTACTGGAACAACAAAGGATTTGCTCGTTCCGGATTTGACAACTCTCCAGCAATTTCTCGGGAAGGAAACCTCAGAAAGTCTTCTACCCGGGAATTGTCTCCAGTAGGCAAGAACATCGAAAATGCCTTTTCTCGGCTGCCCCGTCAAGATTTTGATGACTCGCCTGTTATCCAAGGCTTTCGCAAGGTAAGAAGCCAGCCCATAACATTGTACAGTATTATTGAGCATAATGGAAAACGCATGATGCTGACAGGCTAGGAGGATGCTGGGCAGTTACCAGCTGCTGCTAAGCGCCCGAGGGGACTCAGTGAATTCCTTAGTGAGGAGGATCACGACAACGAGCCAAACGATCTGGACAGAGTCAAGCGTAGACGCTCTGCAGGGGACGCTTTGAGCAACAAAGAGAACATTGACGTAGGTTTGAATGACCCACATCGATATGTACATTGCTAAACTCTCTAGACCGCCGAAGGTACCCTTGGAACGAGCCCGGGCATGGTCAAGCGTCGTGCTCCAAAACGTGATCCCTCTTTACACTTGATCAAGCCCAATGGCAGCATGATTGATGGCTCTCCCATTGTCCCGCACAACGCAGGAACATCGGCAGGAAGCTCTGGAGCGTACGATGCAGAACTTCCGATGAAGATGAAGATTCAGGACTTGGAGAACGAAATCTCGTCCTTGGAGACAACCAAGAGGAAGACCGTTTCCGAGATACACGGCGACGAGTCGGAGATGTTGAGTATTCACAAAAAAATCGAGCTTCTACAAGTACAGAAGCAGAAGTTGCAGCAATCCAGGAGAGAGAAGGAAGGCCAGCTCGACGTCTACTCAAGCAAGATCGAGAAATTGACTTCCCAGAAGAAGCACCTGGAGGTCGCTCTTGACATCGTTAGAGGTAGAGCCTAGGTGAGACAAATGTCCCCCACTTATCCTGGTACATTTATTATGCTTGTCCTCTCAACGTCTAGGACAAGCATGTCATAAGATTGCTTGTATGTTTCTTTCCCGAATATTGGTCTTTCTCGGCATCATTCGAGGGAGCCGGGAGAGCGAATTATAACGGTCCCCAAAGGATCATGAGCCTCATGTATGATTGTATGACTAGCAACCAATATAAGACACTTCGCATGATATGCTCGTCCAAACTGGCTCGTGAATTTGGCGTTGACGCCTGGTTCTTGACCTCGCAGGGCAGCTGATAGACGAGCCGTTGACCTCCCGTCAACTGCCTAACAACTAACAAGCCTCTCTTGGACCATAATAGGGTACTTGGTTCTCAATCTTGAAGAACAAGCCTTTTTCATTCCCCAACAATCCTTCTGACTTTTTCCAGCAGCACCTTGCTCTCCTTTCCGAGCTTCCTCTGCCCATTCTTCCCCCCTGTCCGTGCCTTCGCCATAGCCTTCCGGAACCGTTCCCTCTCCTCGATCTTCTGCTTCTTCTCTTTTTCTCTCCTCTCAAACTCTAGCCGCCTAGCTTCAGCCTCTGCTTTCTTCTGCGCAGCAAATGCTTGCTCTTTCTCAAAATACCCCGGCCTCTTCGACCTCCGCTGCTGAGGGCCCTGAGAGAACGATTGTGTTTGGTTGACAGGTGGAGTAAGATCGCGCGGCGCATCGAGCATTGCCTGCCGCTCTGGATGGAGGTCTTGGGACGCTGGCTCGACGGGTTCTCCTGGTTCGGTGGGGATTGGTGTTGGTGTAATGGGTTCTCGTGCCTTTAGCTTTGCGTAGGATTTCTTGACTTTGGCTTTGTGGATGAGATCTTTCTTTATTTTTATTACTGGCGGGAAGTTAGCTCGCTTTCGAGGCAGGGTGGAGGAGGGAAGTAAGTGCCTTTCCGCCTGTGTGTTCCGTCTGGGAGGTTGTCTGGGCCAATCTTGAAGCCTGTGCGGTGCTTCTTGGGCTTTGGAGAGTCTGCATCATCCTCGAGGGGTCTTTTGGGCGCCATGGTGGAATCGAAGATGCTTGAGTTACCTTGATGTCGTGGACAAATGATACTCAAGTCTCTATCTGCGTATCGTGGACACTGAAAAGCCAGCGCAAAAGAATGATAGCGGTTGCGTCAGACTAGCAGGGATTGTGGGGGGCGGGGCGGTACCGGGAAATCGAAGTCTCGGTTACAGATCTTTCGCCCGCAGCTGATGCGCAGAGAGTGACGATGCTCTCCTATGACATGGGCTACCAACACCTACCTCTCTCTCGCTCTTCACGACTCACCGACTTTCTTTTGAGCCCTCTTTGCGAGTTGCCTTTCCTCGTCTTATCTTGTGTCGAATTTCATCCGAAATTGCCTTGTCTTTGCATAAGCGGAAACCTCCGCCTTTGATCGAGTCATCCATCCATCCTTTTGTGAAGTCTTGCATACAGCAGAGCACAACGAAGCGCCTCCGTCTCTCCCCGCTTTCCAGACGACCAACCTCCACGCCCTTGCTTCTTCACCGACACTCACTCTCGCAAATTGCCCAATTTCTTCACGATGCCTGTATAATAACAAACGGAGCTTATGATAACGCTCCGACATGCCAATCTTCCAAGATGACCTGGGCGGAGGCCGAGGTACTCCGCCAACAAAGCCTGTAAAGGTTCCGCTCTCGACAACGCCGCCCGATGAGAACGTGATAACAAGGAAGGTTTCCGAAGAAAGCATACGGACCGAGTTGTGTGAAGGGCCTGTTCTGGACAACCCTGAGGACGAGAGGATTATTCCTACTCGGGCCTTGGAATCTAACTTCAAGTTGCCGATACATGGAACGTCTGATAGAGTCGAGCTTATTGAGAGACTGAAGAGAGGGGAAAGTCCGACTTGGCTGCCAAATCGAAATGTTCGTTGAATTTCCTTCCCAGATAAATTATTTCATACTAATTTACTGCAGTTGGAATCTTTACTCCAAGATTACGACCAAACTCCCCGCAAGCCCTGTTCAAACGATTCGAAGTCCTCAGCACTACTACCCTCTCCCGAAATTCCAGAAAGGGCTGCCGCGATTGATATCGAGCGCTCCCAGGCTGGCTTGGAGATCCAGAGACCAGGATCGGCCTTACACAGTGGTGATTTTACGGAAGGGCCGCAGCGGAGTACAGACAGCAATCATGGCATTCTGCAGCAGGATTCGGATTTGTACAGATCAGAACGGCAGCCCTGGCTTGCCACGTCCCCTCCACGAAATTTCTCCCCTTTTCTGCTCGACCCAAGATTTCCAACTGCTGAGCAGACGCTAGGAGCACGTTCTCGAGCACCTTCGCTCTCCTCGTCATACTCCTCAAGCTTTGTACTCAAGCCACCTACCAGCCCCTTGGTTCAGTCGGAAAGCAATGACGAGCTTGAATGGCCTTCACGGAGAGAGCCCATCAATATTACTCCAGATTTTCAATCGCATCCCCGACGACACACTCTACAAGCATCACATTCGGTTCATTCGACACCATCCGTACCAACATCATCGACTTTCAATAGACCTTTACCACATCTCCGACGAGATAATACATATCCTTACCAAGCTCACCAACCACGACGGTCGCTCAATTCCAATCAAATGTCACACCCGGAATCATCACCTCAAACGCCCGTGTTCTCCCGTTCGAGGAGACCCTCGTTTACCTCGGATAGCTCACCACTCCTTCATGCGTCAATGGTCGGGTCATACGAAGAGAGCATTCTCCGAGGGCGTATGTCAACTACGCCATCAAAACCTCTAGACTTCTTGGCCCAGATCGGAGTCCTGGGTCTTGGTAAGTGCAAATCGAGTTTACGATGCCCAGCTCACGTGACGATACCATTTCCGGCGGTATTTTACAGCTACGAGACGACAAGCCACGGAAGGGCAGGCAAATCCGAAGATGGCCCAAGCCCTTATGTTGGTCAAATCGATCTCGAAAATAATTTGCCCAACCCAAACGAAGCTCGAGACAGCAAGCGAAAGCGACTGAGTGCTAATATTGGACGAACTCGAATGGACGATTTGGACATGGTCGATGGTCCAAATACCAACCAGCTGACAGAACGAGACATTCGCAGAGCAGAAAAGCAAAAACGAAGATCAACGTCCCCACGAGCACCTCCGGGCGGCAGTTACAGAATTCCAGAAAAGGGCCAACTCCAAATCATTATTAAGAATCCCAACAAGACAGCCGTGAAGCTATTCCTCGTACCCTATGATCTTGCTGGCATGGAGCCAGGCACAAAAACTTTCATTCGTCAGCGGAGCTATTCAGCTGGCCCAATCATCGACACAGCCCTGTCTTCCACACCTCAGACTCCTAGTGCGAGCCCCTTCGATCGACCTACACTACGCTACCTTGTACATCTGCACATATGTTCGCCATCCCGCGGTCGATTCTATCTGTATAAAAGTATTAGAGTTGTTTTTGCGAATCGAGTACCAGACGGAAAGGAAAAATTACGAAACGAAATATCGTTACCTGAACCACGATTCAGTGTATATAAACCTGGCCGGGACTCCAGTCTCGGTCTTGCTCTCAGCAGTGGCGCAGGTGCAAACCTAGCAGCCGAAAAAGCATATAGAAGGCGAAGTTCGGGGTTTGCTCTTGGCCCCTCAAATCGGACGTTCGACGCCATGGACGGCATCACTCGGGCTTTGGAGAAAGGATTCAACGGTGGTCCGGCATTTGGACATGGTCGTGACTCAAGTACCACTCCTGTTCAGCCTATACCGTTCAGCCTCTACCGCAAGCCTGATCGGAGTGATGACGATCCCCTTCGGGATGACGTTCAGTCTCCATCATCAAGCAAGAGCAGTCAGCCACCGACGTCGCACGGTTCTGGGATGTCAATATCCTGGAACAGCAACAGTCCCACCATTGGTGGTTATGACAAACTCAATAAAGGAGATTTTGGCTACGGAGGCAATATATTTGCCGGTTCCCCTGATGGAAAACAAGTGGTAGCCGAGGGTCTTTTAGCGAAGAAGTTGAGGGACCTCGGAGTCGGCATTCCAAGTCAACAAGACAATGACATTTAAGTCTATTGCCGGAGTATTGTTCACGTCTCATGGGAATACCCGGTTGGTGTAGGGAGCTTGGGTTTTTGGAAGGATTGGATATCATTTTCAGACGGGCAATTTGGACACCCCTGACGGCGTTTTTCTCCCTCTTTCTCCACCATTTACTGATTAGTACAATCAAATCGTATGTTAAACTATGATTCAGTCCCCTATATCAGATCTGCTTCGTGGTGCAACGACCCGAGCGATCTCGTGACCTCAATTGGACGATATACGTGTTTCACCACCGCCTTACAATATCCTTGCGCGGCTCTCTCTTCGAAACCTCACTCGCGACCCTGACTCGTCCTGGCAATCTAAATACCATGCAAAACACCCAGTACCAAGGCGATTGGATGTTTGAAGGACCCAGGGACCAGAATATCCGTGAGTAACTCCTTTGCAATGTCACTTTAGCCAGTGTTAGTCTTACCAGTCGTGTTTTCAAACTTCGGACCGGTTTGGAGCATGCTGCGTCACGGCAACCAGCGGCTACGAGCCTCACATTTCCATCTACCCTTGGCGGTCACCATGAGATATTCATCTTATTTAACGCTCATTGACGTAGACGCTCAGATCAGCGAGGTCCTAATCAAGCGCCGAGGCAGGGCACTCTATCGCTATGTATATGAATTTTTATCTTTCTCTTATCTACCTTCAATTAACAGCGTTTTCACCAGCTGTGGTAAGGGCTTCGTTTTCGTGCCCGGCGTCGATACCTCTGTGTCTAGGGAGCTTCTTTGAGGAATTGAATTCTTCGTCGGTTCTGGGGACGTTTCTTGGGGACCATGGGACGGTTATCTTTCAGAATGGGCTTTTGAAGAATACTACCGCGTGTCCTTCGATGTCCGTGATGTACGTGTATCTGGAGGCCTAGCTGTTTACCTGCACTTTTTGGCTAACTGGTTACTAGCTTCGCAAGAGGCACCGCTGAGCCTGGTAAGATTTGTTCCCAAACAACTCATTCAAACCAAACCTTCATATAAACATCAAAAGAAGCTTCAACCCAAGCTAACAGCTGCTCCAGGAAATGTTGGGATCCTCACCGGTCCGCCTTTCTTCGCTGCAGTGGCCGAGTACATGAATGGCACCAATCAGCTGGCTATTCAAGGCGTCGACTACCCCGCTGATATTGCAGGCTTTCTAGCAGGGGGCTCCCCAACGGGTGTAGTTGTAATGTGTGTCCTTATTCCTCATTCTCTTATCTTCCAACACTCTGACAACCCCCAGGGCCAAACTAATAAACCGCACCCTCGCCGCCTGCCCCAACACGCCCCTCCTCCTTTCGGGTTACTCGCAAGGCGCACAACTCGTGCACCAAGCTGCTGCCACCCTTCCCGCCAACACGACAGCCAAGATCTCCTCTGTGGTCCTGTTTGGGGATCCGAAGAACGGGACGGCGATTCAGGGGATATCGTCGGACAAAGTGTTGACGATTTGCCATACTGGTATGTTGCGGTACACTGAAAGCTCCTTAAGATAAGCATTGACCCTGTTCGTGCAGGTGATGATATATGTAAGGGAGGCGATGATATTGGGATCAGTCATCTAAATTATAGCCTTGATGCAGGCACAGCGGCTATGTTTGCGTTGGGGAGTGCTGGGGCGAAGTTGGGGATCACAAGTCAGAGGATGAGGCCTGCTGGCGGTGGCCTGGGTTGAATTCAAAGCACGCGTTGATCGTGGGAAATTATTTGGAATTTATGACTTTAAGACTTAAACGACTATTTATTGTACTTCTATTTGAAGTGGTGTTGCGAGAATACATAATAATTACATTTATGTACATGGATTGATTCTATACACTTTCTATCATATAACTCGCCATTATGTCCGTCCCCTAAGAATGTGTCGCTCCTCCTCATCGTCGCTTCGTGGCATTGTCTTGATTGCATCGATAGTCTTCGGGAAGTCACGCTCCAAATCCAACAGGGCATACTCACGAGCTGGCGACTCAGCAGCCGAGTCCTGTAGCTCAATATACTCTCTTGCCAGGTAAAGCATTGTATAATACATCGGTCTTAGATGTGTTGGCCACTGTCTGGATCGGCGAAGTTCGATCGGAAGACGATTTCGAACGGGAAGCTGCCATCGAATTCTTGCCCAGCCGGTCCAGCCGGGCATCAACTTCTCTTCGCAGATTCTAAACGCGAGGTCGTATTCGTGCCTGCGGGCCAGGAATTGGACATATTTGTTCCATGTATGGGCATCTAGAACGAAGCCGCGGTCCAAGACGTCTCTGACCGTTTCTGTCATACGTTGTATCTTGTTTTGGATGGCCAAAGACCGTAAGTAGACCACTAAGGAATCTGCCAACTCAAGATGGTGGGCTGGAATCACCTTCTCAGTTTGATCATTTTGTGCAACATTCATCGAAAGGCGACTCCTGTCGGACTCGGGTAACGCATTCCCCAGGATCTTAGCAGGAAGTGGACGAGTCCGTCCTTCCTTCATTGCTTGGTCGAGAATAAGATTCCAACATTCTTCAACGGCCTCGAAGTTCCTCCCTTGAAGTTTGGCAGACATCAAGGCTGATAACACACGAATGGGAGGACTGTCCCGTTTAGACTCGGGTACCGTTCGTTTGAATTCTTCGAATAGTTTGTTGACAGTCTCGAACTCCTCGTGTTGGCCGAGAACATACATGATGTAGCTGTAGAAGGTCGACGTGGGAGCAACATCGATTGCGAGGCGGCCATGACCCTTCCTTGGCCCTTGGGATACATCTTGGGGATCGACAGAAGCAATAACCTCCTGGAACATTTGTTTCGCCCTTTGGAATATCTCCACCTCAGATCCTTCATCGAGCAATGCTTGATCTTCAGCAATCTGAGCTTTGAAAGACATGAGCTTCGAGCTGGCAGTTGCCCTAATATTCCGCCGCCTCATTCGATTTTGAACCGCGAAGACCTTGCGACTTTCTCCAGTTGTGAGAAACCCTCCCATGATAACAGCATAGTGGAAGGCGGTCGCCTGTACTCCAGCCTCTACCATGACCTCTCTCAAAATATCATAGGCCTTGTTAGGTTGCTTCACCATGCACAGTGCCTGCATTAATGCCGAATAAGTATACTCGTCGTAGTTGATGTCCGCCTCGGCCATACGCTGAAGTACCCGATTTACATTGGTCAGATCTCGGCGAACGGCATAGGCAACGATAAGATAGTTCCACATTCGTGTTCGTGTTCGAGAACCCTTGAGGTCCAGATTTACAGCATCTTCGCAAAGCTGCTCAGCTTTTTGAAGGTCTCCTTCTGATATGTACGCTGATACAAGTGAATCAATCATCGCCTCGCTTTTCTCAATTTTCAATTCCTCAGCGAGCATATAGAGCTCAATTGTTCGTTCGAGATCACCCCTGGACGCGCAGATACCCATCATGGTCCCAAAGGTATAGTCATCCGGACGGGTGTTTGGACTTTCTAAGAGTTTCTCAAAACATTCGTACGCACTGCTGGTGTCTTGAACCTTCCCGTAGGCGTTGAGAAGAATGTTCCAGCACATGATTGTTGGTTGCAGGTTGTACATTCCCTCAATCTGGTTGAAGATGGATACGACTTTGGATACTTCGCCTCGCTTCGCGTGTACGTGGAGCAGTGGAGCAATCTCATCGGCGCTGTGTAGAGACGATTGTAAGGACGAGTTACGCCCCTCCACAGGTCGACCAGGCGTTTGCTCCCTGCGGCTGATAAACTGCTCGAACAAGGCGTGGACAGTCGTTGCATCACCTTGCGAGGCGAACTCTCTCATGCACAACTTATATGCCCATGTAGTCGGCCGCGAGTGGAATTTGAAGAAGTCATCGAGGACTTGCTGCATGCCGAGGATGCTGTGGTGATCGCAGAGTACCTTCAGTACTTTGTGCAAAATTGGTTTTGACAGACTAGCCCCTCTGCCTTGGCGTGCGAGCCGATAGCATTTGACAACCATTTTGGTTTGATTCAGGGACAGGAGGGTTTCTATGGCCTCCTCGTACACCAGAGGCTCATCGACTTGCCAAAGACGAAGAAAGTCCAGGAGGGTAGAAAAGCTAGAGGGGCTAAAAGCGCCGAGAGTGTTCAGAGTTCTGCGAATTATCGTAGATGCAAATTCCACAAGCTTGGAATTGTCCTCCGTGGAGTCGGGAGAAGTATTTCGAATTCTTCTGCTCACGTATTCGGCCAACTCAATTGCTTGATATCCCAGGTTAGGCATATTGACCACAAGTTCAAAAAGGTCGTATTGCCCAAAATGACATTCCCCGTCTCTCGCCTGAAATTCAGTCCAAAGAGAAAACGCTCGCCACCACGAAGAGTTTTGCAAAAAATGCGCCAAAAGTTCTGCAGATCCCGCTGGTGTTTTGAGGGCTTCAAAGGCCGCCTTGTGCAATTCCATTGCGTCCGCGAGGTTCCGTAACTTCAAGTGAGCCCGGATCGTGACCTGATAAACTACCGGGGCCCGACGTCGTTCCTTTACCATTTCGAATAGTTCCGTTATTCTTTCAGCATCGACGACTCTATCCGACTTCGAGAGATATTGCATAAGGGGCTTTCGAAGTAACAATTGGTCAGCGCCATCCAGAAGCATATATTGCCGCCATGCTTCCTCGTAATCGTAGCTCTTCGTGAGACCCATCTTTTCATAAAGGGTTTGCAGGGTACCATCTTTTGTATCCGGTTCTTGATCCTGCACCACTTCTTCCTTTGTCGTTTGTTCCGTGCTCGAGGTATCCTTGGCAAACGAAGTATACTGGCGATATCCAAGCTTCCCCAGCCCACCTCTTCCCCATCTTCCATCCTGCCTATCTACACCCCAGCCCGAGTACAGGCGAAGGAAGTTAATGGTGCCTGCTGGATAAAGAAAGTCTAAGAGCATGGCACTGTGGCTCGTCGAAGCTTTCTGTAGGACATCATTTTGTTGATCCACAGGCTCAGTTGCTCGAACCAAAGCTGCCCACAGCGGAGAGAGTTCGATGTCACCTGCCCCGTGGTGCCAGAAACTCGAGTGAAGTGTACGGCGACTCTTCAGGGACTTCTTCGGTGTTGGGAGCAGGCGCCGCAGACTGCCTGATTCTAGACATCCTGCCGTACGCTCCAGCATGCCCTATCCGCGCAAATTGGGATCTGATGAAGGTTCCAGTCGTATGTTCTCGTTGTCGGGTGTCACCGTTGTCTTTTGAGGGACGGGATGAAAGCTGCGGAAGAGTGGAATCAGCCTGTTATCCAGGACGAAAAAAATGACTGCTCAAGTTACCGTAAATCATGCTTTATGGAGCACTCTGGAAATAGAAATCTGGAATTTTTGATAACTGAAGCGTTAATCAAGCTCCAAGAAGAAAGATCTGTGCAGAACACAGCATTGACAAAATGTGGAGGGAGGCGAAGAGCTTCAGGAGCACGAGAGTCTTCGGGCGACAACATTTCTTATGGGGTTAGCGCGCCTCGGTGGTCCTTTCAACATGGGCCGATGCATTAGTCAGCCTCCATCCAACTTGACCCCACCACAGAATATTGACCAAAAAGAGGATGTATGCAGACCCCATAGAGTTATGGAGGTCACCAAATTCGTCGTCTCTGGACGGGACAAGGCAAAACTCTACGGTGACTATGCGACGTACCGGACGCAACTATCAAATCGAATCCACAACCTCCGCACGAAGTTGGGCATAGCAACCAAACCCCGCGCGAAATACTCAAGTAAGGGCCCAGTAACCGCAGAAGATATTGCCAGCAACCATGAGTAAGTTGGATAGCTTCTAGTCTCTAAGGTGGTATATGCAGTGGCTGATGTTTTCAAAGATTCATAAATCTCCTGCTGCTCACTTCAGAGCGAGCTTGGGCGCATGCCATGTCCATGAGAGAGATCCACTCCACAGACAGCAAAGGAATATCTGGCTCAACTCGATCACATATCATATCTCGATTCCGCAAGTCCGCTATCTATGCGAACAATCTCTTCCAATGTCTCACCGACCAGACCCAAACTGGCGCAACCAACGAGGATGTGCTCGAAGCACGTGCATATGCCGCTGCACTCACTGGGGCCATGGAATTCCAGAAAGATAAGTGGGAGGCATGTATTAAGAGCTATTCTGAGGCTAGGATTATATACAGTGCATTGGCGACAGCTACAAAGAGCGATATTTTCAAGGACCTGGTTTCAAATGAGGTTGACCAAAGTATTCGGTATGGCGCGTATCAAATGAAGCTGCCCCGAACGGTGGCTGTGCCCACCATCGCTCGGAAGTTCTTCCCTCGATCGGACACGGAGTTGGTAGTACAGGTTGAGAAGCTGGACCCTGATGTACTCAATGAACAGCCAATGAAAGCCAGGGCGGAATCTGCGGACATTGGAGCAGTACCGAAGACCATAACATGGAGATCCCGTACGGTTGACTTGGAAGATGCAGCGATTGCTTCTGCACTGGCGTCGGTGAACAGTGCTGCTCAGAAGTTATCTAAAACCCTCGCGTCTGTCACTGCTGCGCAAGCTAAAGAAAGAGCTTCTGCGTATGATGATATCTTGATCGCCAGCCAAGATGCTGCAGATGCAACCAAGCATGCCATTGAGGAGTTATTGGGAGAAGGTGTTGGCCAAGGAGATAAGAGGATACAAAGCCTACAAATCACTAGGACTGCTGTGGGTTATGACCTGGTCAGCTGGAGAATAGGCCGAAACAGGGTGCTTGTCGGTGAGCGGGACGGATCCGTGGTCGACGGCCCAGTCATCCGCCAAAGCAAAAAGAAAAATCAGAAACCTATGAAAGAAGAAGGAACAGGACGCAAATTGGCTCATCTACGGGAGAAAGCCGTGCTCTACGATTCAATCCTGCAAAGTTTGGATTCTATCAAGGAACTTCCCGGTATTGCAGCCGACGAGGCATTGCAGGAGGAGCTGAAAGCCAAATACAACTACTTCTCCGCCCTGAAGTGAGTACAACCCCAATTTGCCCCTTGAAATTATGCTTATCGCAATCTAGATGCCTGACAATAGCTCGCTCCCATGCCCTCCTACTGAACCCCAAGAACGCACTCGCTCTCCTCGCCCGCGCCTCAGAAAAATGTAACTCCGCCCACTCCTATCTCTCCACCTCAATGGACACCGACTCCTCCTCTCCTCCAAATATCAATGTCTCCCCCACAGAAGTCCAATCCCTAAAAGATCTTCTCGACGGCGAAGTGCAGCATTACCGAGCCTTGGTCGAGCTTTCCAACCTCTCTCAAACGCAAAATTCCCTCTCTGCAAACAAAGTGCCTCTAATCGAGAGACTCTCCGAGTATCCTGCCCAAGGTGTGGACCTCGAGAATCTGGTCACCTATCCACCGAAACTGGAGCCCGTTCCTGTCAAGCCCTTGTTCTTCGACGCAGCGTGGAATTACATCGAGTACCCTGGCCGAGAGGTAGAGAAGCCAGCTGCTCAAAATGGGGTGAAAGGATCATTTTCCTCGGAATCAAAGAGTGCAGAACAAACGGCACAGCAGAAGAAGGGATGGTTCGGGTTCGGTAGATGAGTAGAAAAGTCATGGCTCGATGAGATGAACTTGCACCAGCTTCTCTTCCAGTCGAATTGATGTGTTTCACAAGTAAAGACTGCGGGAGTGCGTGTGTGTGTCTGTGTGCTAATCATACTCAGCCTGAGATACCATATCACAAAGACGATGCTTTGTGCCGAGTCAGAAGTCAAGTAATATAGACCATGGAACGAATAACCCCTTGCTAACAACTTCCCCCCCTTCTCTCCCGCAAAAACAAGAATGAAAACATTTCAACCCTCCTTCCCATTCTCTAGTTCTCTTCTTTACTTCTTCACTCAACCCTTAAGCGAGCTCGACCCCTTTTCAAAACTGCCAAAAACCAAAAAAAAAAACACCACAGAAATAAATACTCGTAGGCATCTCCACACCCAGTTCGGGCGAGGTGAGGTGGCCCAATCTCGGTGAGGAATAGCCAAAGAGTTTTTATTTCTGTGGTGTTTTTTTTGGGGGTTTTTATAAAATAAAAAAAAGGAGTTTGTCTTACAAAAAACAGCAAAAACTCCCGGACCCCGGGTGGTCCCTTAGAAATCCCCCAACCGGATTTTTAAAGCCGCTTCACACTCAGACGTATACTGAGGCAGGTTGGAAAGCAGGTCCTCCAATCCGTGACTACGAGATTATTTCCTGGGAGATCTAGGCTTTTAGCAGTCACTTCACATCTCTTATTTAGCTTTTGGAGCCCTGCAATACAAGCTGCATTTCTAGATATCTGGAAGGCGAGTGGATATCCCAATCAACTCGCTTAGCTCAAAAGTGAGGCCATAACGACGAGGTGGAAAGGAAACTCTGCAAAAAAATCTTGGAAGCGAGCAGCTATCAAAAATAATTTAGAGGACTGGGAGGCAAAAGGTTCGTCGCACCCGTGGCGTTAACGGGGTTACATCCTTGTCGTCGCTCCACGCTCAGAGCCGTATACTGAGGTGGGTTGTCGTCGCTCCACCCTCAAAGTCGAGTATCGAGGAGGTAGGTTATCGTCGCTCCACGCTCAGAGCCGTGTACTGAGGTGGGTTACCGTCGCTCCACTCTCAAAGTCGAGTATTGAGGAGGTGGGTTTTCGTATGTGGCTTAACCACTCGTCCAGACCTATCGATCCTCATCAATGTTAGTTCAGACGAAATGCCCGCGCTGGTCCGCACTTGTCTGCAGTCTAACAAGGACTTGTTGTGGCGAAAAAGTCGCTTATTTGAGTATATCAGGGTGGGTCTGCCCAAATTCGCACAGCACGTGATTAACAAAAAATCTTGAAGGCATATTTATATTCGAGCGAACCCACTGATTACATCCCACAAGACGTTCGCAAAGGTATTAAGCAGGCTATCATTCAGCCTTGAAACTGGTGACCGGATGTTTTCTTGCTGGGTTTCATGAAAACTGAACATCATGGCATGTGACTTTGACGAGGAGCTCCCGGCATTTCAGCTCAGAACTTTCAGTCAGGCCCCTGTGATGTGTGAGTGAGTGCCCAAAGGAAAATACTAGATGACTGATATCTCGGGGCCAAGTCAGGAACAAAAGCGAGAAAGTGTTGCATCCAAAGAATTGCCCAAAAGTTCAAGTAGTGCACTCGATTAATTTAGTCATTATGTGTGTGGTATGCAGTAATGTACACTGGCATGCATGCCAGATAGTTCGAGAATCCCATCTTCACTATACAGCTCGTGGGAGTTATGCAGGTCTCTAATGCTCTATAAAGCAAAACGCCGCCAAGTTTTAACTGCCATGCTATGCTGAAAATGCAAGAAAAATCACGCTTAAAAAAAGGAACGCCGGCTCCAGTGCCCTAGGTATCATAACTCTGGTTGAACTAGAAAAACTGTCCATGATGAAGGTCCGTCTAAGGACCACGAGATGGCCCCGCTTTCGACAGGGATTGTCGGTGCGAATCTGGAGATGGTGATTGATGTCTCTGATCCTCCAGTTCAATGCCCGGTTCATCATTTGATGAGGTCCTGATCAAGCTGACTCTGGCCAACGGGCTTCTTCCACTTCTCCTGTTCTGGCCCGAAGAAGTGGACTGCGGTACGCTCAAAGGACCAGAACCTGGCGATGTCTCAGGTGGGTATTGCTCTGGTGATCCATCCATGCCGTTATAGCCTTCGATCTGCTTTTGGTCTGGTCGATCATGATAGGACTCCAACGACTCCACCGAATCCCTAAAGCCTGCCTTTCTGAGATCTGTTTCCTTTATCTCATACACATGGCCTGGGCGGTACATATTACCCAGGGGAGGCCCGCCCATGAAATAAGCACCCCCGGGATCTCGTTGACTGGCTTGCGCCATAGCGTATTTCTTCCTGTCTTCCTCTCCCATAATGCTCTCAACTCTTCGCGGCATGTATACTGACGTATTGGTGCCTTGAGAAAAATTACTGTCGAGTGAGTCTCTTGGGTTCAAAGGATTCCGTGCCGGGGCAGTTGATAGTGGACCGGGTCCACTACTGACCACCGATGAGTCGTTTCCTTGCTGATACCAGCCTCCTGGAAGTTTCTCTGCAGCAGTGAATCGACCCTCAACTTGATCGGGAGGTAGTAAAGTGCTTTTGGCCCGGACGAGTTGGTGATTGTGGGCTTCGGCCGCGGGCTTGAATGTTTCCGGAATAACATTCAGATCATCTCCAGCATTCATGGCTTTCTCAATAACCTGCTGAGGAGTTGTGTGGGCATCCGCTGTTCCCGCGTCTGCGCGAGGTCCACCCCAAGTCCGTTGGCCGGCAGTGAAGATACCGTACACCATCTAGGATATAATTAGCACTTGGTTGAGATAGAGAGGAAAGAATTTGTTGCTTACATAGAACCAATTGAAGAACGGATTGATACAAAACATGATTGGGTAAAGCCATATCTTGTATCGCTTCAACTTAAAGCCGAAGTATATCATCATGACCCAGTTGAGGCCGAGAGAGATCCCAATAAACCCAACAGGTAGATCCTGGACTTTTTTAGACGTGCTGACAATGGATATGAGCATGATGAAGAACAGGAGAGCGGTCGTTCGAATGGTGTTTTGCATGAATCTGACGATGGCCAAAATAGGGTAGCGTTTCCATATTCTCATGTCTGTCAGCATGCAGACCTCATTCGTTATGAAACCTAGAAACCATCGGCGCCGCTGCTTGATTAACGAACGATAGGTTTGGACTGCTTCAGTCTTGCAAAATGCTGAAGTGCACATCTGGATTTGGTACCGCTTCTTTGCTCCAATCATGAAAAGATGTGTGAGCCATCTATCCTCGCCAAGATGGCATTTTCCATAGTCAAAAAGATCCTCGCACTGTTCTGCCTTGTCTGCAAAGTAGTACTTCGCCATCCTTCGAAAAGCTGAGAATCGCAGCATGGTCAAAGCTCCTGGTAAGCAGGTGACAGCTCCGCAGCCAGACTCCACAGTTCGCTCGAACAGTTGACCGTGGATGTATTCCATATCCTGAAGAAGTGTGATAAGGCTGTGCTTCTTTGTTGTCGCTGTGATTACCCCTGTCATTGCAAGCATGTCCCTCGAGTTTCCTGGGCTCAGTTCCATATCGTAGACGAAGTTCTGGAGGCATACACGGTCCAGAATACAATCCGAGTCGATGAACAGAATGAAGAGGTTATCGTTCCGCTTGAGATATTCGGTGTAGACCTTATCAATGAGCTTGAAGGTAGCTTTCTGACAATGCCTCTTTCCTCCATGAGGAAACCGAGAGACCGTGATCCGGGCAGTACGGTAGGTGACATCGATGCTCTTTGGGTAAGAATCCAGAGATAGCGGCACACCAAGCTTTTCGATTGTATTCAGATATAATTCATCCTCTTGATCTCCATCAAACGAAAGAAATACATGAATGCAAGATGGTGGGTAATCGCAGTCAACAACCGAATCGACAGCTGTGACCAGGACATCGGGCTCTTCCTTGTAGCAAGGCATCACAATGACAACCTTCGGTGCCGTGTGTTCGTCGAGAACCTGTTTTATACGCTTCGTTCGTCCAAGCGAATGGGTAACAAGCTGATAAATGCAGAACAGCCATGGTACCGTCAACAGTGCAGCGAATGTCCAAAACCCGAACCATTGGAGGACCTTCACCACCGTCTCTGGAAAGTACTGAGTAATGTGGTCCGGCAAAGGAAGCGTAACGACCATGATAGGAAGGAAAATTAATCTGTGAGAGGTAATGTCAGCACAGCCCGAAAACAAGTCCCAGGAAAACGCATACCTCAACAGTGTAAATACGATGCCAACAAGCACAGCCAACACGGCGACCGACCAATGCTCAGCCTTTTGATAGACCTTAACTAGACAATACAAAAAAGCTCCGATCCAGAGGAACCATTCTAGGAAAGCCATTGCCATCACCGAGCCAACAATGGAGGTATAGACGATCTGGATAAATGTTAGCGGGCAGCCCCGCTATGGGGGATATACTCAGACACCTGATAAGAGATAGTGGCTTACGTCTTTTACAGGCCATGGAGATGTATCGATTTGAGACATGTTGGAAGTCTTCCACCGGGGATTATATTTTTTGAAAGGTCGACAAGAACTTCCAGATCGCTCTTCAAGAACGATCGCTTGTGTGAGGTGTGGTAACGAGTGTGACGCAGGGTCCCGGGAAGAAGCCTTGCGAAGGGTAACTGCAGAGCAGTGCGTCAGTATTGAATTTGCTTCTTCTTCGAATCATCCTGGGGGGTTCGGAGGCCTCGCAAGAAAATATATAAACTCACATCTACCTCAGGGCCTGGCTCCAGTTATTCCACAAACCGGATTACTGTTTGACGTTTACCCCCGTTTGCAGCCTTGTTGCACACTTCCGATCTTCCGTGGTACGGCGCGTGGAAAGTGTTGCAGATGCGGGAGGTTGCGTCGATTCAGAATATTCGAGTAATGGAAATGGGAAAACGAGTGGCTGAAGCAGTTGTGAAAGGCTTCACAACGTTGTGCAGGAGGTATCCGTATTATTGTGGGAGAGGGAGGCGAATTCCAAATGCAGGTGATTTTCGTGGCGGCTGCAGGTTACGATGCTCCAACATGGAGCTGCAGTGTCTCAGTCTGAAAAGACACTTGCGCTGGAACGAATGCAAAAGACTTCCAGTAACGAGGGTTGTCAAAAAGGAAGTTCAGCAGAAGAAAGACATAACAGCGGATGGACAAGACTACCGATCTACGTCTTCCATGGGAGGAAGAGATTGATACGGCGGGGGAGGTGAAGAGAAGAGAGGGGAAGAGGAAGAGGAAGAGGAAGAGAGAAGTTGAGAGGCAGAGGCAGAAGTGGAGGAATAGGAAGTCACCACCAAGGCCGTGGAGTGGACAGTCCAAAAGGGTGCACGCTCGCTCTTTCCGGACATACGGGGTCATCGGGCTATTCTGCAACGAGGTTTGACTTCACGCGCGGATGTGCTTGGCTGTAGACCTCATACTTCACCTGCATGGGCCGTGGACCTCGGAGTGCTGGGCCTGAGCTGAGGCGAAGCAGGTTGCAGCAGGTCGGTCGATGTCGTTCCCAAGAGGGTGGGAGGAAAACTGAATTTAGAAAGCTGCATGTCGGCAGCAACCTTGACCCTGAACTCTGCTAAGCGAGCGAGAGCTTCTGGTGCATGAGTGGGTTGAACGCCGCCGCCAGTGGGCGCCGCGAATCCGAGCCCCCTTGTCCAGCTTCTCTCACTTTGAGTCTTCTCAAGTTCTCCTTCTCTTCCTCCCCTGCCCTCCCCCCTTCGCCAGCCTCGCTTGTCACCCACCACGCCTGCGAAAAAGCACTTTCAATTATTGAGCATTGAACATAGAACATTGTCCATTGATCGATATTGGCAGAATACATTGAACGCATTGAACGCATAAGACTTCGAAGATTGCCTTCATTTCAATTGCCGTGTCCCCTTCAACAATCCCACATCGACAGTACAGCACCAGAAAGGCAATCAACTGCGTACTGGACACGAAATCAGGTCACCCAGGGGCCAGGAGGAGACAGATCAAGGCACGGAAGTTTTCTTACTTTGCAGCCGCACGTGCTTCTCAGTCGAACCATCACGACCATCGCCTCAAACCGCACCATTTAGGCCTACACCAGCTAGAGCTTCGGCTCTTTAAATGTCAATCGTCGTTGGCATCAATCTCCGTCATCGTCTAGCGCCGCCGGACTGCTCAAAATTCTCCATCGCCCGCACGCCGTCGAAAGCCACTCAGGGGTAGTGGATGACTTTAAATCGACCTCTCCGGACGGCCAAGGGGCCAAGCAGGAACACCATACAGTACCTAACGGCGTATGATTTCTACGCTCTTAGACTCGAACACCTTTGCCCTCTGTCTTACACCCTGACGTCCAAGGGTCTCTGGCGGCCCTCCACGGCCTCTACGGAGCCTCGACTGTCGTTGAAACCCGGAAACCAGTTTCCTGCAGGTCAAAGTGTCAGTTGTAAGATATCTCAGATACGAGCCCCATCAGCAGCACGAATCGACGCGATTGAACCTCGTTACGACTTTCTGACTCCCGAGTGATTCTCTTCGTTGCTCGGGCTGTGAAGCCCGTGCGCGCAGCAAGAACAAGGAACGTCCACGTTTTGAGCCCCCAGATGCGCCTCCAGATCTCACTTTGACCTCGCAGCTCCCACTCTCATCATGATCAGCAAACATTTCCATGTCCTGCGTACAGTCAGGGCTCGACCTTGTATTTTCGACATCTCGAGAAGCCTCAGCAGACATCGGACCACATGTACTTCGTTTGCCACAACCACTCATTCAAGACAACTCGCAACCCTACAACGGCTAGGTGCTGCAGACAGCACATCGTGCATCCATCTCCAAACGCAATCAGAAAATTTCTCCCCTCCCCAAATATCCAATCGGGCACAATCCCCCCCTGAACCGTCGTCATCGCACACCGGACTCCTTCCACTCGGAGAATTCACCCCTCGTGTTGACAACATCACGTGCATGCAAAAAGCAAGTGAGGGGACCAATGGTGCTTCGTAGCACGTTTCATCCGCTGAAGTGTCTTGACACGAAACTTTGGGGTCTCTGTCTTTGTGTGGGTGCGTATTTTTAGCTCCCGTCCAGGACCGCCGTTTTCTTTTTCGAGTGGCAATACAGTATCGACAGAAGGCGAAAGGACCCTATATCACCTCGTTATATACATTTGGAGCTGCATATTTCCCCACTTCCTGAACACGAAGCAACGAAAAACATGTTCACGTTTTCAGCTAATATTGGCGAGGTGAGCAATTGTGCATATTGCGGCGCAGATCGCGCTCACTTGAATACGAAGTTGAGAGAGGAGGCGCACGTTTCGGCTGACAAATGACGAGTAGGTCAGTGTCCGATTTTGCTCAAGTGAGTGGAATAATTGGGCCTTCTTGTCGCAAAGCAGGCGATGACAGCATGCGTAAGATGTGTAGTTCACAAAAGAAACCCGCCAATCCACGCTCCCCTTCTCAATTTTTTGTCCGCTTCCGGCTGTTCACTTCCGCATCCCATCACCTGATATCGCAACCATCCCGTCCATCTCCAATTGCCAACAGAGAGTCCGAAACCGAATCCAGACGTCCCATCTCAATCGTTCGCCACAGTGTAGTATCGCAGTGAAGCACACCTCGACCACCTCGCCGTCCATTTCCGTCTACGAGATGAGCCATTCTCAAGTCTCTCCGTCCTCCCACAATCCGTACATAGGATGCGTGAGCGTCGACTCTCGTGATTCGCATCGATGAGCAGAGAAGAAGTACTAGTTATTAGCAGCCAAGAGACAACGCTCAGCGGCAATTAACAAGAAGTCTAATCATGTCCTATTATCCCCACAACAAGCGGGGTTATAATCAGCAAATTGGTACTCGTACAATGACTGATAACAAAATAAAGCAACAGAACATCTTTTGCTGAGGCTACTTTTTGCCACCCTTGGCGCCTGCTTGTATTGATGAATGCGCCTCGAGCATCACCTTCCGAGTGAGTCTGCCAACTTGAGCAGTGGCTCGAGCTGGGCGTATGGCCCGCTGTTGGGCTGCGAAACTGCTCGGAGGATTGACCGTTGACTGTCTCTCAGGACTACCAGCTGTGGTGTTCTGATTTGCAGGAGGTCTTTTGTTTTCACCGTGAGAAATGCTTCGTTTGGGATCATACCAGTCGAGGTCATTGAGCTGCAACTTCCGAGCACGCTGGCCACTGCGATTGTTCACAGACTTATCAGGTCTGGTATAGTTCAACCCAGCGGCCTTCTCGAGACCTGCATTTTCATCGTGAATATTTGGGTTAGGGAGTAAGGGGGCTAGTGCTGAGTCACCATCTTGGTCTTCGCCATCTCGAAGATCGTAGTTCAAGACCAAGTTCTTGATCCGCTGTTGCTCTTCCCGCTCGGCCGCCTGTTGTGTTTTCATGGCAATTGCGAAGGTGGAGTCGGAGGGGAGGGCGACGGTGCGAGTCTGAATTCCACAATGTTAGAAATTTCTCTCCGAGCTAGAAGAATGTACAACTAACCTGCTGTCGATTGCCACGTTTTGTGAGAAGTGAGAACGCCATTGTGCCTGCAGGAGTAGAACTGCTATTCACAGTCTCTTCAGGCAACTCACCCGCAGTATTGGCATCTTTGCGTCGAATGGGGAGAGGGACGTCGAAGGTGGCTTTGCGTTCGTGTTTTCGGGAGTCTAGACTTTCAGCCATCATTTTTGCATACTCACGCTCAAAGTCAGCTTCATCTTCAGGGTCGACTTCTTCTTCCTCTCGTGTAACCACAATTGCTTCATCCTCCGAGTCAGTTCCTGGTGCAGACAGCATTGGGTCGCCATTGAGTTCGGCCTTGTCCATAAAGTTAGTATTCACCATGGACAAACGATTGAGGAAAGTACTCACATCCACATCTTCATCTGACTCGGAATCCTCTTCGGCATCTGCTTCTGGCATGCCGGTTTCAGGGTCATTATCACCAATGCCATCATCGGAAGATCCATCACTGTCTGGTTCTTCAGGTTCGGCAACTTTATCAATCCCAGAAGTCTTCTGGTCTTGAGCCATGGCGAGTTGGAATGCCCGACTAGCTTCTTCCAGATTTGAAGCAAGCTTCCACTGAGGTCTTGTCAAAGCGAAGACGTCCTGCACAATGAATTCAATATCCATAGGAAGTGTGTCTTTAGTGTAAATGTAGTACTGTACGCTATTAGCCTCGTCATTTCGTTGTGATGCTGTGTCCTCACCTGAAGGAAAGAAAGAAAATAGTCAAGCTTCTTGCCGGAAGCACCACGATTGAAAAAGATACCACAAGTCTCGAGGAGAGTCGCTACAAGACGAATGCGGAAGAAGTCATCTGGCATGTCAAAAGGATTAATACGACCTGGGATTGGTGGTCCACCTGCGTTTGTAAGTTTAGTCTGTTTCATTGGTCTACAGTGCAATATACGTACCATGTCCGAATGTCATGATACGATACAAGGTATCGAAGATCACAGGATGATCAACCATGCGATAGTTATACAGCTCACCCAAATATTTGACTTCTGCAATTCGTCGCTGATTGTACTTGAAATCATTCTGTTCCAGACCTAGCACGATGTATTCCAGGACGTTGTCGATGACGGTCGTAACAAAGTCTTGATGATATCGATACAACGCACTGGCTATGATAGCAAGCAGATGAATGTTGCCATACTTGACTTTGCCAGGTTTGGAGAAAATTTTCTCAAGGATAGCAACAACCTCAGTCTCTTCCCAATGAAGGCGGCGAATTTGTTTGAGAATTTTTGTATAATTGCGGTTGTTCATATCCAAGTAGATAAGCTTGCGGATGAACAGATCAATTGGGGTTCTCTCTTTCTGCTGAATGGCTGCTCTGATTGGTGGATCGACATAATACACCGCGTTTTCAATAAGCATTCGTTCCTGTTGCCCAATATGTTGGACAGATTTCTTGCGTTTCAAGGTCTCCAAGAAAGACGTCATGCGCGGAGAAGTCTCCGGGTTACGCAACAAGTATCGACCGCAGTTCTCGAGTAGGTTGCAAATGATCTCGATGTTCATTCTTGAAAAGTCGTCAAGACTAACCTTCAAGCAATGGAAGATTACGTGCTCTGGCACAACGCCGAACTTAGTAAGTTCCGCAAGATATCGAATGTTTCCCAATCGAGCCTGCCCCAGAAATTCCTTCTCCTTTCGACGTTGGAGGCTCCGGAACTCTTGATCGAGATGATCAACCAGCCCTTTGGTGACGTCCGGCATATATTTGCCTAGAGTAGCAACGAGCCGAGAGTATGAAGGCAGTAAGTCACTACGACCCTTTGGAATCTCTTGCACTGCCTTAACCAAGCGATTCCGAGAAGCCTTGGAGTTCAGAAAGCAGAAATCAATAGCAGCCTGGTCGATCAAATCCTTGTTCGTAAGATCCGGAAGCCGTGCCAGGAGAGCATCGACCTGGGCGCCAACAGTCTTGTTCGCAATGGCGGTTGACTGGTCATCTTCCTTGCTGATCGTTGAAGTGGTGTCAGCTGAGGCATCCGCAGAGTCAATTTTCTTGCCAACTTGTTCGTCAGTGTCGGCTTTCTTCTTCTTTCCATCCTCAAGCAGCATTCCCGGAACTTTGCCTTTCAAGTCGACGAGGTTCTCGTAGAATCGTCTCTCGTCTTCGTCTTCCCAAATACCCGCGCCGTCTCCCTCGCCTCGCAAGTACTCGCCAGTTTTCACAAGACCAATGCCACCACTACCGCCAGCTGAGTTGTCTTCAGAATCCTTGAGATCAGGCATTTCTCCACCAATAGCATCTGCAAGAACCTGGGCATTAGCGACAAGTCGCTCTTGTGCTTTGACCACCTTTTCGTAACTTGCTTGTCTGTCTTCAAATACCTGGCCGGATTTGACATACGCCTCCGCATCTTTGCGAGCTTGCTTACTGATAGATTTCTGATCCCGGATGAGATGGGCTTGGACATCTTCAAAGTAGCGCTTCAAAATATTGCGGAATCGTTCTTGGAGCTCCGGTGAAGCAAGAGGTGGGTCGTCGGAGTTGTTGTCTCCTGGGAGAGGCTCTTCAGAAGATTCGTCGTCCGCCTCCATAGACCCATTGGTGCTTTTGGTATTCCCATCTTCCTCCACAGTCTTTCGGCCCTCAGAACCAGCTTCCTTAACACCCAGAATATCCCAGCCAAATGCCTTCACAAATATAACCAGCAGAGGGAGATTCGCGTGCTCTCTGTCGTGTCCAAGCAGATCCTTGAGAACCTCCAAGGGGAAGGGTTCCGCACCGCCACCCTTTCCTGTAGGATTGACCTTTGCCTTGGCATCTGATGCCTTTCCTGGCGCCCCCGAAAGTGATTCCTTGCCTCTTGACGCGTCATCTGGGCGGGTAACCTCGTCCAGTGTTCTCAAAACACCAACAAGCCATAATTCGGTTACGACTCTCAACAGCACCCTTTGGCGCGTGATGCGCTCTTTCTCCTCCTTCTCCCTGGCTTCAGTAGCAAGCGTCTTCAGAACTGACTTCTCAGGAGTAGCTAGACCCTTCCCCACAAGCCATCCTAGGAACTCGGTGAATTCTGTAGGTCCGAAACGTTGGTGTAATGCGCTGACGATTTCCACCCCAGCCTCAATTTCACCAGGTGATTTCAGCTTGCATAATCCTTCATAGCACGCGGAAATGATCTCAGATAGGTACTTGTGTAGACTGAGCGTTCGAATCTCTTGTAGGAAGGTGCTGAGGGTTGCAGGAGATACTGCAGTTCGTAATCGCTTGATGAACGCGGTATTCTTCTTAAGAGAGGAATCGAGGGATTTGTTGACTTCGTAGATTCCTATGGTGAAACGATATCAGTAAGATGACCACAGTTTCCTTCCAATCTACTGACCTTTCTCACCATTCCAAGCACGGCTGTTCAATTCGCGCAGCTCGCCTAGGGTAAGATATCAGCAAACATTCAGGGCTCCAGCTTTGGTGCTATCACTCACGCTTCCTCTTGCGATCCATAGGGACTGAACTGAGCCTATCTTGGCGCGCTCGTACTTAGAAGTTGTAGGGTTGTACGTTGTCCCTCTGCCCCTCTCATCAGGGTTCCGGCAGGAAGGACCGTGGGAGCTTAGACCTAGCAGAAGCAATGAAATGCATCTGAATCCGCTGATAGTAGACAAGAAGTCTGCTCAGTTTGCTTGCAAGGTTGTCCGGCACAGTGGGAGTAATTGCGTCGCTTTTCCGGAGAAAGTTGAAGGAGCTCTAGGGTATCGAATATCTCAAGCATCGGCACGCTAAATCGTCATTCCGCCTCGGGCTAGGCCAGATCTGGAGAACTGATCTCTGTGTCAAACATCCAGAAGAAATTTTATTTGTACATTCACAAATTAGCAACTGCATTTCGATCTCATGCATGGAAACCACAAGCAGGATCAAGCAAGATGTATGAGTTCTTTCTCAAATTGTGTTCGGCCTTCTCTCCGCTCAGCCCCTCATTCATCCGCACTGACCACATCTTCCATCCTCAACCTCATCCCTCCAACTCCTGAGGCCAAATGTCACTTTTACTCCTGAAGATTTTCCCGGAGTGCCTGGTTTTTACATCTACGCATAAAGGAGACCAGTACATTTTGTTATGAGCTTTGCTCAGCCTTTAGAAGGTCCAGTACCATCCACTCCGACCGGGTCAGACCTCTTGTCTGGGGATTGTTGGTTCTTTGCATCCCAATTACACACACATGCGAGTTGCTGATAAAGATCTGGAATTAAGTCTGGCATTTTTTCCGAGTTGCTTTATAGGCACCAGAGCTTGTTTCAAAAGTTTGTCATGAATCGAGCCTTGGATAAGTCAGATGTGCACTTGAAAGGAGGCTTAAGAGAAGCTTCAGCCTTGCTCCGAACGTCCTTCAAGGGTGGTCACAACCTTTTATACAGTCATTCGCGAGGCTGATTATAAGTCCGGAGACCGATAGAGGCGGCGAGGTGATTTGTACATTACTACAGGTATCCACCAGCGGTCTGGCTTGTCTGCCAAGTTTGAAGTCGACTCTCGGAGAAGTCTCTCCGCCAACAAGATATTTAGGAGTGGGATGCAATGGCGCCAAGGTTTGACACCGCGAGCGGCTGAGAGGATTGGAAATTCCCCCTCTTTCGCACTTGTTTCGGGACGCTACAATTAGAGAGGTTTTTTGCAATTCCTCATATTCAATCTCAGAAGGGAATCAATTGCTAACTTTGCTATAGGTATACATATCTTACGAGATGCCCCTTGTGAGTCTTTTCCTCTGACTCTCAAAGTCAGACTTCTCGAGAGAAGACCTCCATCCTCGAGAAGGTAACAATATGAGAAATCAAGAATAACTACCAAGACGGACACCACGATATCCAAAGACGTTCCCGTTGTTCGGAGGCACAGGTCCAAAGCCAACATTTTCACTGCACCCATACCACGTATATGCTCTATGGGTCCTGGGTCCGTCATGGGAAAAGACTCTCCCGGGTTATTGGAACAACACCTACCCTCGAGTAATGGACCAATATAAGCATGTGTATTGCGAGAGTATTCACTTGACAATTGTTTCTAACTCTCCACGAAAGTTTCCACCAACCAGCATCGGCACATATCCGACCTCAGTCTGTCCTCCGCGGAGAATCACGAACCTGGTCTTATCTCAACATAAATTAAACCTCGCCAGCCTGTTCACATGGGATTTCACCCATAGTCGCAGTGTCTCCTGGCAGAATTTAGAGCAAGCTGTACATGAGAGGAGAAGGATCGACTCCTCTCCTGTCGCTGAACAGGCTTTCCAGGATCTACTATGAGTTTTCATGAAAGCATACGCTGCGTTTCCGACTTGGACGAGAGGACGGCACCGTTATGCCAACGGCTGAGAAATATGGTTCCATGCGTTGGTGGTCAAGTGCCATCAACGGAGCTTGCTCCGCATGCAGTCATATGTATGTCTAGGGTCTGCAGAAACATGTCATTGTTGCAGGCTTGCAGCTCTTTGTGTAACAGATCCATTGAGGTCTGGACAAATGAGGACAAAACCATGTGCCATTGGAAACTTCTCTCAAGATCAGGGCGGGTCTGCAATGGCAGGAACTGGGTTTGCTCAAAAACAACACACAGAAGCACTTCGGTTCAGCAGTAAGTCCTGTCTTGGAACTCGAATCGTGGCACTTTTGTCTCGGGTTGCGCGTGTCTGACTCCATTTATTTCCTGCCAACATTACTTGCATTTACAAAGCAAAGCCGGATGAACTCTGTCGCGTTCCTCGAAGCTTGAAATGAACCATTGTCCAGTGATATATGGCCATTGAACAAACCTAGGGCGTTTGCTCTGGAGAGACGCCTCAATGGCGGGGTAAAATAGCTCTCGGGAACGCACTAGGAAATCTGCCAATCTGGGCGCCGACGGCTTCACTAGCAGTACTGCACAGTATTTCCAAGGAGGATCCTCGATCGGATTACCAAGGAGAAATGTTACACAACTATTCTGGGCGTTTGAAGGGTTGTCTAGGCTCGCTAATGGCCAAAGATAAGGCTAGTGGTCAAGTTTTGTAAAGCACTGGCGGGAGCTAGACCACGGCCCAATCACGCAGCCGCTTGTGGATATTTGTCGCCGATAAGGAGAGTTCGCCAGGGTTTCCGCGGAAGATCTCCAGAAAGACTCGTCCGCCTGGGGGCAACTTCCATATTATTTTGCACTGCGTGAGCTGGTGAGCTGAAGAACTGCAAGTCCCAGCATCCCGCATTCTGGAAGCCCCGCTGGCCGGGCCTAACCAATGTCCTCCATCTTCCGACCTCCGCGCAGATATCGTCACCATGACCATGAGCTTGGCCCTGACCCTTCCCCTTCCAGCCTTCCAGGTTGATCTCATTAAAACCGGCCGGCCGGTCTTTATGGGTACTTGTCAAGTATTACGGGGAAGTCGTTTTCATTCGCTGCTTCTCCAGAATCTCCACGTATCTCTCTCTTTCTCTGAACTCTCTGGTTCTCAGTACTCTTCTGTACATATACGGTTTCAGTACTGCAACGCACAGCAGCTCCTTTCCTTCATTTGTTGACACCGGGGCTGTTCCTGTAACATTTCAATACCCCCGCCTACCCGCTGCCACTGACCCTGGGCCGTCTTCAAAATCTATCACGCGAATTATTCTCTGATCAAAAACGAACCATGTCTGCCGAAGCCGTGAATATTCCAGAGTCGCCTCCCTTTACGGACGCACACACACAGAAACCTGGGACAGAGTTACCAGATACCAGTCTTCGATTACCTCCCACGCCTCCAAAATCCGAGGTCAACACTGATTCAACTCCAAATTCAAGGCGGGGCAGCTCTGCCACCGCTGAACCTCGATATCCCCTTCCGCCACCCACCAGTCTGCCTAAGGATATCTTAAAAGAAGACCTCAAGACCCCAGACAACCATGTACCCAGAGATCCCCGACTGATTCGATTGACTGGAATCCACCCATTCAACGTCGAGGCCCCCTTAAGTGCTCTTTACGATGAAGGATTTCTCACATCACCCGAATTATTCTACGTTCGAAATCATGGTGCCGTTCCACAAGTTGACGACGCCACAATCCCAGATTGGGAGTTCTCGATCGAGGGGCTGGTCAAGCATCCTACCACCATGACGCTCAAGCAACTCATTGCAGACTACGAACAAATCACAGTCCCTATTACCCTTGTCTGTGCTGGAAATCGACGAAAAGAGCAGAACCAGGTTCGAAAATCGAAAGGGTTCTCTTGGGGAGCGGCTGGTGTTTCTACAGCGCTATGGACTGGTGTTCCCATTGCCGAGTTGATAAGAAGAGCTTTTCCGATGCGAGGAGCAAAATACGTCTGCATGGAAGGTGCTGACAAGTTGCCCAACGGGTATTATGGCACCTCCGTGAAGCTGAACTGGGCAATGGATCCAAATAGAGGTATTATGCTGGCGCACAAGATGAACGGGGAAATACTTCGTCCTGATCACGGAAAGCCTTTACGAGTCGTTGTTCCTGGCCAAATCGGCGGTCGTAGCGTCAAGTGGTTGAAGAAGCTCATTGTTACGGCCGAGCCCAGCGACAATTGGTACCACATCTATGACAATCGAGTACTACCTACGATGGTCAGCCCGGAGCAAAGCGCCAATGAGCCAAAGTGGTGGATGGATGAGCGTTATGCCATCTATGATCTGAGTACGAACAGTGCCACGGTATATCCCGCCCATGAAGAGCAAATGTGCCTCGTTAATGGCCCAGAAATGTACCGAGCGCGTGGATATGCTTACGGTGGTGGTGGAAGAAGAGTTACGAGAGTTGAAGTCACCCTAGACAAAGGGAAATCGTGGGCGTTGGCGGACATCAAATATCACGAGGATGATTACCGAAATGCCGATGAGAATGATACGCTGTTCGGAGGCAAACTGGACATGGCATGGCGGGAAACCTGTTTCGCTTGGTGTTTCTGGGAGATTGATCTCAAAGTGGAGGACTTGAAGCTGTCGGGAGACATCATGGTGCGGGCGATGGATGAGAGTATGAACGTCCAACCCCGCGACATGTATTGGAGTGTGCTTGGGATGATGAACAATCCATGGTATCGAATTACGATCAGCAAGGAGGGTGACTATCTTCGATTCGAGCATCCTACGCAACCTGCTCTCATCCCAGGTGGATGGATGGAGAAGGTTAAGGCGAGAGGTGGTAATCTTGCAAATGGATTCTGGGGCGAGAAGGTGGGTGGTGAAGGGGAGGATGAAGGTGTCGTTGAGCCGAAGAAAGAGATTAAGATGACGAAAGATGGTCTGGACAGAAACATCACTATCGATGAGTTGCGAAAACACGATGGCGACGCAAATCCATGGTTCGTTGTCAACGGCGAGGTGTATGATGGGACCGCGTTTCTTGAAGGACATCCGGGAGGAGCAACCAGTATCTTCGGTGCAGCAGGTCAAGATGCCACCGATGAGTTCATGGCGATTCGTATGTACCCTATTCCTATTTTACTCATCTTCACTAACAGAAGCAGATTCGGAAACAGCGAAAGGTATGATGCAAGCATATCACATCGGTTCCCTGGACGAAGCATCTCGTGCCGTTCTCCAGACTGGTGACGAAGTGCATTCCGAATCCTCAGAACCCCGCAAAGTCTTTCTGCAATCCAAGACCTGGACAAAAGCTATCCTCTCCTCGAGGCAGGTGATCTCTTCCGACACCCGCATATTCAACTTCACACTTGAGCACGAAAATCAAACGATCGGTCTTCCAATCGGCCAACATCTGATGATGCGGTTACGGGACCCAGCCACTCGCGAAGCAATCATCCGTTCTTACACACCGATATCAGAGGGTACTGACAAGGGCGTTCTTCGCGTTCTCGTGAAGGTGTACTTTGACACGAAAGAGCGTGCAGGAGGGAAGATGACCAAGGCTCTCGATGCCATCCCTGTTGGCCACTTTGTCGACTTCAAAGGCCCAATCGGCAAATTTGAATATCTCTCCCGCGGCCACTGCACGATTGGAGGGAAGCCACGATTTGTCAAGCGCTTCATTATGATTTGTGCTGGGTCTGGAATTACTCCCATTTTCCAGGTGTTGAGAGCTGTGCTGAAAGATCCTGAAGATGAGACGAGATGCTTGGTACTTGATGGGAATCGACTTGAAGAGGATATCCTTTGCAAGGAGGATATGGATGCTTTGGTAAAGGGGAAGGCGGATCGATGTCGACTTCTCTATTCCCTAACGAAGCCCAGCGAAGGGTGGCAAGGACTTAAAGGTCGCGTGAGCAAGGAGCTGCTCGAGAAGGAAGTCGGTACCTGCGAGTCTCAAAACGGCGAAGAGCTGGTTCTGATCTGCGGACCTGAGACGCTAGAGAAGAGCGTGCATGGGTTCTTGAATGATATGAGGTGGAAAGATGAAGATTTGTTGTTCTTTTAGGGAGGTGTATAGAACGATTAGCCGTGCGCGTACGTATGAGTTAGCATTTTCGGGCAGCTGTCATGCTGTAGAACCCGTATGAGTTGTCGATGTACATCCTATGCTGAAAACGAATTTATGTTTATATATCATTATAGCCCCCGCTTTGCAACTTTCGTTGTTACTACTTAGACTGCCAACTTCAGCCTTGAATATCAAGGTTACCCCTGCTGGGTAAATTGAAGATTCAGGGGAACTTGAGCACAAATCCCACAGGATAGCAGTGAACCAAGCTTCATGGAAACCATTCATATCTCATTGTTTATTCTAATCAAGTCGTCCCCTGGGATGAGTAGGACGGAGATCACCTCGCATTGATGCAATTGATGTGGTGCAAAACTTAGCGAGAATGGGAAAGGACCTGCGCTGGATTCACCTGTCTCCTCACTCTGGGTGATCTGCAGGTGTGCAACAGAACAATATCTGCTGCAGCAGAACATATCTCACAACCGATCGCAGCTTGCAGCAGGCTCGACTAATGAATCAAGGCTGATTCGTTTCAAGGGATCGAAAAGCTTCTCACTTTCCTACTCCAAGTTGAGTCTCCAACCACAATTGCGATATCTATTACTTTTATCTTGCTTTGTGTTATCAAAATAATAGACGGAGCACTCCTGCTCCACCTTCGTAACTGTGGCCCATTCTGCTAAAAATAGCAATGTATTAAGAGGAACACAATATTTCTTTTGTTGAAAATAAAGTACAATCCTTATAGTGTGAATGCTAGATAATGGTGGAATCAAAAAGCATGCAAATTGACAACTATCAACAATGTTCGCAGGATATAAAAGCGACCAGAACCCGATGAATGCCTTGGTAGCACAGTGATAAAGACAAACCTAAAAGCTTTGATTTGCCGTCGTATTCAAGGCGAAGATGTTGAGGGATGTCTCCCGTAAGAGTAATTCCATGTCGTCAAGCAGTAACCCTAGTGATGGCTCCTGGCTCCCCACCTAGCCCCACCAAACAACACACAGCTGTTATCAGAGGGCAATCTTTTATCGCCTTGTCCCTCTATATCACGTGATATTGACATTTTTGATGCGCCACGTGTCTACCAGATGATGACAGCATTGAAAAAAGAATACGATGAGGTTCTGGTGAATCAGATGTAAAGATTGCCTTCTACAGTCTGTCCTCAAGCCCTGTTCTGAGGCGGCGTTGTACGAAAGTACTTTCGAAGCCTGACGAAGCATCGAGAAGGCGGTCGCACTTGGTAGAAAAATTAACTTTAAACGAGGCGCCCGGGGCTCAAGAAATTCAACAACAAACCCGGGAACGAGACCACACCTTTTCCTCTACTCTACTCTACTCTACTCTGCAACCTCGTTCTGGATCGCATCCATCCGTACTCATCCATAAACACATTGCACAGCACCTACCATACGAGAAGTCAGATAGGCCGCAAATATGAGTGGTAGGCCAACAAACTTGTTCCTCAGCCTTCCGGGAATCTGCTAACACTCATGCCAACAGTTGTCGGCGTGGACTTCGGGACTCTTAATACAGTCATTGCTGTTGCTCGGAATCGTGGTGTCGATGTCGTATGTATAGCCTATTCTCTAGTTTGAAGATCCAGACATGCTGATGATTCGCAGATCACCAATGAAGTCTCAAATCGAGCTACACCGTAAGTCATCCCATAGCTTGTCTCACCCTCCACGCAATAGCTAACTCTTTGACCAGGTCTTTAGTCGGCTTTGGACCTAAGAGCCGGTATCTCGGCGAGCCTGCGAAGACACAGGAGATCTCGAACCTGAAGAATACCGTTTCATCTTTGAAGCGATTAGCAGGCCGCACCCTCAACGATCCCGATGTGCAAGTGGAACAGCAGTTCGTCTCTGCACCCCTCGTCGATGTCAACGGTCAAGTTGGCGCGGAGGTCACATATTTGGGCAAGAAGGAGAAATTTACGGGTACACAGCTTGTGTCCATGTTCCTGAGCAAGGTCAAGAGCACGGCATCAGCAGAATTGAAGCTCCCAGTCTCGGATATTGTTATGAGCGTTCCGGCTTGGTTCACAGATATCCAGCGAAGAAGTTTGATGGATGCTGCTGAAATTGCTGGACTCAAGCTGCTCCGCCTCATGAATGATACTACGGCGGCTGCTCTTGGTTACGGTATTACGAAGCTCGATCTCCCTACCGCTGAAGAGAAGCCAAGACGCGTGGCATTCATCGATATTGGACACAGCAACTACACATGTTCTATTGTAGAGTTCAAAAAGGGCGAGTTGACTGTCAAGTCGACTGCTTATGATCGTCATTTCGGTGGTCGGGATTTTGACAAGGCTCTGGTTGATCATTTGGCTGCGGAGTTCAAGGAGAAGTACAAGATTGACATCAACACCAACCCCAAGGCTTTGGTCCGTGTCCATGCAGCTGCGGAGAAATTAAAGAAGATCCTGTCAGCCAATCAGCAAGCGCCCGTCAATATCGAGTCATTGATGAACGATGTCGACGTTGCAACAATGATGACTCGTGAGGGCCTTGAGACGCTTGTCGAGCCTCTCCTCAAGCGTGCTCATGTACCTCTGGAGGCAGCCCTGGCCGAGGCGAAACTGAAGGTAGAAGATATCGACATCATTGAGTTGGTTGGTGGATGCACGCGTGTCCCAGCTCTCAAGGATCGCATTCAAAAGTTCTTCGGCAAGACCCTCTCCTTCACGCTCAACCAGGACGAGGCTATTGCACGAGGCTGCGCTTTCAGCTGCGCCATTCTTTCCCCCGTCTTCCGTGTCCGAGACTTCGCCATCCACGATATCGTCAATTATCCAATCGAGTTTACATGGGAGAAATCTCCTGATATTCCTGATGAGGATACCAGCTTGACAGTTTTCAACAAGGGCAATGTCATGCCATCAACCAAGATCCTCACCTTCTACCGGAAAGAGCCGTTCCAACTCGAGGCCAAATACGCTAAACCTGAATTGCTCCCCGGAAAGGTTAACCCGTGGATTGGACGATTTTCGGTCAAGGGCGTCAAGGCTGATTCTAAGGACGACTTCATGATTTGCAAGCTCAAGGCTCGTCTCAATTTGCACGGCATCCTGAATGTAGAGCAAGGATACTATGTTGAGGATATGGAGGTTGAGGAGCCCATACCTGAGGAGAAGAAGGACGACGAAAAGAAGGACCCAGATGTGAGTCTCAAGCTACCTCCACCACTAATACCAGTTCAAGCTTCTTGCGAGGATGAACGTGCAGCGAAACGTCCCCGTTTGGGACAAACATTACTGACACCTCCTTTGAAGGCAATGGACACCGAAGCTGCCGAGAAGCCAAAGACAAGAAAGGTCAAGAAGCAAGTCCGAAAAGGCGATTTGCCAATCGTCTCTGGCACCTCTTCCCTCGATGAGCAATCAAAGCAAACCGCAGCCGAGCAGGAATCTTCTATGATTATGGAGGACAAGCTCGTTGCCGACACCGAGGAGAAGAAGAACGAGCTTGAGACTTATATCTATGATATGAGAAACAAGATTGATGACCAGTACTCTGAATTCGCGAGCGAGGACGAGAAGACTAAGTTGAAGGCAAAGCTTGAGACTGTTGAGGTAGGCATTCTTGAGACCCAATAAGCGCAGTATACTAATGTGGAAACAGGAATGGCTCTATGATGAGGGTGATGACTCCACAAAGGCGATCTACATCTCCAAGATGGACGAAATCCGCGGTCTAGCTGGCCCCATTGCCCAACGCTACTTCGACAAGGTCGAGGAGGAGCGTCAAGCTGCCCAGGCTATTGCGGAGGCCGAAGCAGCCAAGAAGCGTGAGATGGCAGAGGCAGCACGAAAGGCGGCCATGGCACAGGAGGCTGCAAGCAAGGATGAGGAGATGACTGATGCCGAGACAATAAAGCCGGATGAGGTCTCTGAGCCGGAGGAGAAGAAGTAAAATCATGTGACGGACATTAATGATTTGATGATGGGGCGGATGGCACTTGCATAGGCGGATCCGGGCCAGGATTCTCTCTCTCTTTGGTTGCCTGACCCATCTCCTGCGTGCGAGAATTACTTGCTTGTTGGTTCCGGTGCGTTATAGATGGCGATGCAAGGTTAGATATTCAAGTATTACAAGCCACAGTTGAGACTCTTTGTGAAATTGATGCTCTTCAAAGTGTGTATTCTTCATTCATAAGACTTTGCAACCAATCTTGGTAAGGATAATACTAATCTAAACCGCTGTTCCTGCAACCCCTACTCACTGGATGATTTGCATTCGAATGCACCGAACGAGAAGCATAGGGGTCGTGTCCAAGGTGGGGAAACTCGTCCTTATGCTCATCGAAGAGGTGATGCTAGAACGCTTGTCGTTGGTCCCTTTTGAAGTTCATATAAGTAGTACAAGATGGCACAGGACACCTCATCCGTGACTTCCTGCTGCTTTTGGACTTGCTCCTCCACCGGTTGGTCTGTACCGTTGTCATAGAAGAAGTCGTCAGACGTTTGCAGAAAGCCATCTTCGGAGTCATCGCCTGTTGTCACCACATCCACATCCAGCACCTGCTCCACAGCCCCGCTTGCCTTGACTTGTAGCTCATTGTTGGGTTCTTGCTCGTCGTTGACTTGTTGCTCGCCGAATATAGTGCATGTCTGGTTAGTCTTCAACCTGCACTCGCCATTGCACTGGCTATAACAAGTAGGACATAGAAAGGATATCGCAAGGCGTGTAACGCTAAAGCAGTGTGTAAATGTAAAGCTGAAGAATAAGGGGAAAATAAGCGAGTTTTGGATGAAGGTGTCAAAGAAGCTGGGTCTTGATCCATCCATGTTTTGAAGGAACCACTCACACTCGTGGTGGACTGCATGAGTGACACTCATCACCCTTGTCCCATTTCGAAGTAGGGCATTTATTTTCATCACACGGTGGTAGGAAGCTAGCTTTCAAAAGCCCCGAGACAACAAGAGGAGCGACTGTAAAGTGTACTTTAAATCGAGGAAACATTTAAAGGGGAAGCGTCTGAAATAATACAGTATGTTTTGGGATGTTCGAAATCCAGTGCTGCTGTTTTCGTCCACCACGAGGTACATCTCCTTGCCAAAATGCGTTGGGGCAACAAAATAGAAAGAAGAGAAACACCCGAACTGGAAAAGGTCTCCTTGGCTTGTCCAAATGAAAGGAGGATTATCCTCCAAGAGCACAGCATTAATTTGATACCCGAGAGAGGTCGGATAGTAGCCACATGCTAGATCACACCAAGCATTAGTCCCTCAAACGTTGGTGAAGGAGAAACTGCAGGACGGCTCACTGGCACGCTTTCCATTATAGATATGCTATACAAGGTCTTGTACATCGCATCCGTTAATGCAGGTCGAATGATAATTCAGAACCCCTCAATTACAACCCCCCTCACACTCCCGGCTTCCCCTGGCCACCCTCCGCCGCAACCTTAGCCTCCATCTTCCTCCTCGCAGCCAGAATCATCTCCTCTCTCCTCCTCTGTAGTAAAGCCTGCCTTTCCGTTTTGTTTGAACTCCAAGCTTGTCCCTGCTTTTGCTTCCCAGGCGTCACATCCTCTTCCGTACTTTCCGACCCCTCCCGTCTCGTAGCTTCATCTGCGATCCTCGTTTTAAGGTTATATCGAGTTATAAGGTCCGGTTGTAAAGGCTTCACTTGTGCTGGTGTAGAGGTGGCTGTTGATGAGGAGGAAGCTGGAACTGGCAGAGGAGGTTGGAAAGACTGCGGAGGCTATAGAAGACGACCATTAGCATGAACTGAAGTTGAAACAGTCCAGAAACTAGCTGCAGTATCTCTAAGCAAGAGGGTCTACAAGCTGTGCCGGGCCAAAGAAACGAGCAGGACTCACCACTTCCAATCCGCGCCCGCTCAATATCCTCTCCGTAGTAGCCACCACGTTTCCCCCGTTCCGCTGTAGATCCCACATTATACTCCGCCGCGAAACTTGCGGGAACATCTGCTGTATCCTTTCCACATCTGCTTCCCTCGCGCGTATGTTGTTTGCTGACGTCGTGCTTCGATTTTGCGACGAAGTGTTGCCTGACGAGAAGAAGATGTATCGAATCGCGAATGCGCCAAGAACTAGCAATATGAGCAGCTGAGGGAGCCCTATTGTTTGGTCGGCCATCGTCTCTGTGCCTGAAAGGATCGAGGGTGGAGGGTGGAATTAGTTGCAAAGAAGGGATTCTGCTGGCAGGCGCGATTTAGTCTCTCTTTAGTACATGCAGCTGGCAATGCGAAGATTGTACGACAGGATTCCGAGCGCTGTGTAGGATGTATCGAATGTCATCAAAAAAGTGCAATATGGATGAGGTCTACTTCGTTGGGATCAAGTCAGATTCAAAGCATGGCATGGGCTCGATATTTATGAATCACGTGCTGTTTTAATCTTTCTCACAGATGCCGGCAGGAAACATTGGACAACTCGATCACGGTCTGTCACGATTCAGCACAACGTATTCTGTGGACTCTTTGGTGCAATATGAATTATTCATGATCATTACGCCTCATGAACCTCTTGCTGCCATTGTGCAAACCTAGCCAGGTCGCTAGAACGCCCATTACAGAAAAAGATCCAGTTCAGGCCTCCCTGGCCCAGAAACTCCGATTGTATGTAAGCCAGTGGTTGAAATGAACGCCATCGTTTGAGTTCGTGTCGAAGTGCAGAATTTTATCCCGCGATGTTCGGCAGCAACTAGGGAGATGATGTACCCTCCAGCCATTTTCGAATATCAAACACATCCAGGTCTCCATTTTGAAATGGAATATAATCAAACACGGCAGATCGCCAACGGGGAGGTCCTGAAATGCGCCTATCTGTCCAGAGTCCGGGGAACGGTGGGGATATTCTCCAGGTCATCGTAGACTAAGGTGAACTCTCGCTATGTAATATGTCAATTTGAGATTTGCTTTCGGGATAGGGTTTACGTACACGCTCTCGGACCCACGATTGGATGTCGAAAAAGACATAATAACCACGTTCAGTACCATTTCCGAGGGGTTGAGGAACCATCATTTCGTCTTTAGTCAACCAAACTCGCAATTTCTTGTGGTACCGCCAGTTACGATTGTGGCTGTAATTGCAGTCAGCCCCCAATTGTAAACGTGAAAACGAAACCTAGAGCAAAGCATTTCAGATATAACGAGAAAAATCTTACAGTTCTTGTGCTGCCATAATCTGCTGGACATCACCCGGGTTGCTGTAGAACATAAAGAGAAGCGCCTCATCATTGAAGCCGGTCATCTTGGTGTCCAGTCGCGCGACATTACTTACGGTGTAGCAATCAGGAAGCTTAAACTTAGGAACGGCAGGCCGCGGTGGCTCGTTGTCCCAAAGCGAGTAAACCTGATCGGAGATCATTCTTAGCAAAGTTAGTCAGTCTTCCATCGTCAGATTTGGAGGTTGCGGACGTACTCGTTAGAGTTGAGATCGAGACCAAGCGCTGTCAGATCCATGCCAGTGACCAGAGCGGCGTAATCGGGGAAGTTATTCATCATGAAAGTAAAGCCCTTGAGGCCCCATTTATCGATTTCGCTCATATGGGCTAAGGGGTCTTGAACTTCAGGTCCTGTTTCTTCAGGGTTGCCTTGGGAGGAGCCGCCTGTTGAATCAAGATTTTGTGAGCGTGATGCTCCTCCATCATTCTGTGCATGAGAGTCTGTTCTAGAAATAGCGGGTTGCGGTGCACTTTCTTCACGCTGCGGCTGTGCCATCGAGGAACCGAATTGGGCAGCTGAAAAGGCCTTCGATATTGTTTAGCACTTGTTCAAGGGACTAAAGTTACGGCAAACTCACACTTCCATCATTCTCCTGACGAGCAGGTTCAATGGGCGATCGCGAGTTTGTGACGGCTGTAAGACTGATGAGCAAAATCCCACAGGGGCTATTGTCAAGTCCACTTACCAGGCATATTTGCGGGAGAGGCTCCTCGGTTTGCTGAAGGAATTCGACTACTACCAGACAACACATTCAGAAGACCGTTGTTACGAGGCGGTTGTGGAGGATTCGAAGAACCAAAACCTAAACCATTCGATTGAGCACCAAAACCAACATTTTGGATCAAATTCGAGCCCCTATCTTGGCCTATCTCACCGTTGGCATTTCGATTCAGAGGAGGGAATTCATCAACGGGGTTGGGTTGAGAGGATTGACCAACAGCGTTCTGAGCTCCGAACCGAAAACCACCTTGGCTACTGGGTAATTGCGACGAAGAGCTGAATAAATCATCATGTTGTTGCTGCGCTTGTTGTTGAGCGTTTATTTGCTGTTGTGAAGAGAGAGAGGGTTGTTGCTGTTGCAACCGCATGCTTGCAGAAGGACCCAGTCCTCGAGCACCAGAAGCCGCCCACGTCGATTGACTTGGTTGCGGTTGGTTATTTGACAAGGAAGGGAATTCCCTAATTAAGATCAGTTACAAAGCTTCCTTCAGAATATTGTGAGTAGCATTGCTTGTTGGTAGCTGCGGCGAGCTATCCAATCTCTCAAAACCGGGTTGTACTCACGACAGATCGAGGGGGGTAGCTGGTTGCGAGGAACCTCCAATGGTCTGCGCAAAGCTCGACATTGGCGCATTATTTGGACGTGGATTTCCGAGACCTGCATTGCCCATTGGTACACCTCCGCCGAATGCCCAAGTCGCGCCGTTGCCTGCTACACGCGCAAATCAACATCAGCATGTGTCTTCCCTAATCCAGTGACTCCAGTTGCAGAAGGGGCTTCCATACCCATCTTTCCACTCGGCGGTAGCCTCGACGAAACACTCCTGTTCTGTGGTATTTGTTGCTGACTTGGAAAGCCGTTTGGCAAGCCGCGTAGGGATTGAGGTCCAACTGCTAGAACGAAACAGGTCAGTACGAGTCGTGTGATGATTTTGCGTACAGCGTCGACAGCTGCAAACGGGAAAAAAAGGAACATCTTTTCTTTCGGGCCCGAGCACCGGTGTGTGACTTGGGAAGAGTTGGGGAGAGCTATGAGGGGAAAAGAGGAGAGGCTCTGGGGGTGATGGCGAAGCTCCGCTTGCAAGTTCGCAGCAACAAGCCCCGCCAGCCTCCATCTCGCGCTGATTGCTTTGACAATGGCGAAGCAACCCAAATTATTCAAGGATATATTGCGCGACAACCGTCCCGTCAAGACAGGCAAGTCCAGGCTCATTGACTGCAGTGCAGTGGGGCAACTCTGTGGGGAAGGAGTAAAGATTCAAATCCATACCTGGCCGATTCATTGTTGCACCTGCTGTCCCTGGAACTAGTATAGAACTTCTGATCACCGGATCGAAAGGGCCTGTGAGGTATGGGCGAAAGGAGTCGGTAGCATTGAATTGTTGATTTTCAGGATCAAGTCAAGTTACTTTCGAGGTTCCATCAAGGCAAGCTCCCTCGTGACCGCCGTAGTCCTCTTTAGGACTACAATGCTCGCCGCTCTAACACTTACGCTGTCTCAGCAGGGGCAAAGAAAGCGGCACTGAACTGGTTTACCACAGTGTCTGTCCGTCCTTTCACAACTCAAAAGCTGGCATCCCTGTGGATGGCGGGTCTATTAAGGTTATTGTGTAGAGAACCTTTATTGTTTGTCCTGAGTCAGGTCATTTGAAAGTACATTGTCAAATTCTCCTCTATTGATCTGATCAATTAAGTAAGGTTTAAGAGTGATAGAAACATATATTGAAAGCCTCAGAGGGTACAGTACTTAGACATTGAAATTAGCCAATCGCCCCTTCACGGCCAATTCTCACCGAATCTCTTCAACATCAAACTATAGCCTCACCTTTATATTAACAATTGTTATTCCACTCCTTTTAGTTTTTATACTAGAGCCGTTCTTATTCTTTTAATAGTTAAGTTGCAACGGACTTCTTTAATTTTTATTAAACGAGAACCTAGGAACATCAAACCTCCAAATCTTGAAAGTTATATAACTTATTGCGATCTTTAAAAGTATTCGATTCTTATTAAAAGGGAGGGCTCCTCGTGTTCGATTCTCTGCTGAAAATAATTACTAAGTTTGCACCGGGTGTGGTTGTAAAGTTATTCCTTTCTACACGTACTTTTTGTATTGCTTTTTGGTATCTTTATCTTCAACATACCGCCAATAAATCTATATTATAGTCCATATTTAGGTCGTTCAAGTTCAGTTCCGCCTCTGTAGTCCGTCGCTCGGACTCGAATGTCAATCAATTCGTCCCGCACTGTCCAGTGGCAACCAAACGCTTTCGATTCCACATCATCGAAATGACCTCTTGCCGAACCGCCGGATTCGAGGAGTATAGATGCTCGGAATAGAGCGAGGGGAAGCCCCCAATGCTAACAGAGATTCATAGCCTTTCGGAACTTATTTTCAATGTTTGCATTCCTCTGCGTGTGTATCGCCATTAAAAAAGCATGTCTAGGTCGAGCAGATGAAAGGCTTTCCTCGCGAACATTTGTATGTTGAGAGTTGGAGCGCTGTAGACTATTCCGTAGAGTGCAAGTCGCTGGATTGATTCCTCCCAGCTCGTCCTCGCGGCCTGTGTCCATCCCTCAGAACCTCGGCGATGTTTCTCATCTTCGTCTTTGTTTCAAAATCCTAATCCGTTGTCGAAGTCAAGTCCATAAGCATCCCTCTCGGGGTCCATACTCGCCAAGTTGTCGTGTCCTAAGTACGAATCGTGGGTAGCTGCAACAGCTATACCGATGGTCGAATTTGACTTGACTCCAGGGGCCGGAGCGCTGGGTATCCCATCGTCGAGTTTCAGAGATGCAAATATTGCTTTCATATCTCGGAGGTCTTCGGCTGGTAGAGTTTTAGCTTCAGATGTGCGCTCCTCGACAAAGTTTCGAATAGAGCGAATGATTGGTGGGTAGTCTTCATCATTCGGAAGCCACCAATGCATACATGACCGGTCCCGAAAGAGGTCTGCCATTTTGGTTCGAAAGGTGTATGGATATATGTAGCTTTCAAGGGAAAATTAGCACAGCGAAAGACTACGGTGTACTCAAGAGATGGCTTACCCGTTTGTTTCTATTGTTGCCAGTTTGCGACGCGCCCACATTGCATGTTGTAAATCTCTTGGAAGGAACAACAAAGCCATGCCCAAGCTCGCCTGAATCGACAAGACGGCCCCGGGTGGGCTTCTTGGATAGAACTCGATGGCTTCGAACAACTGGCACGTTGCGTATGCCTTCATTCCAAGCTCCTGGTTGGGCTGTGTCCTCAAAGTAAGAGCTGTTTGGTATTTGTGCATCAAATCGATTGAGTACCAGTCAATTGTTGCTATGTTCATCACAAACAGGGGGCCGCCGTACAAAGTGCCGGCGATGTATGGGTCGACGATATCGTCCGGGTCCAGAGGTCGGCTGCCAGAGAAGTCCGCCACCAAATAGCGACAATCTTGGAGAGCTGGGTCCATTTTGCTTTTCCACTCCTCAATTCTCCTCCCAATGTCTCCATTGTCTTTGACGAATTCTTCGGGGGAAATCTCACCTTTTCCCATCTTCGCGAAAAGGAGTGACATGTCCGTAGCAATTAGGCGATGCTTTGCGATTGCGTGCTCGATCTTCCAGTCAAGGTTTGCCGGCTGATTAGCAACCTGCTGTCGGTAGAAATCATGTGCGTACGAAAACCATTCTCTCGATAGTACGGTTTCAAAGCCGCCCATTAGGCCCGCGAAGACATCAAATCGCATGTACCAGCCAAGCATCACTCGCGTCATGTCATCCTCCATCACCGTCTGCGGAGTATATAGCTCTGTCAGCAGTTCATACGCAGCTTTCTGGTGGCCAAGCAAGTTAGGCCAGTCGCCAAGAAATTCCTTCACAAATATTAGCCCCCTCAAAAGAGTTCTGACGTAACTTGGCGCTCTTACCTCTATCGTTGCGAGCTGCAAGATAGCCAGTATCATAGCAGTGTTGTGTCTCGCACCACTCCTCAATGAAGTGAGGAGGAGAGACACAGCCTTGTTGTAATACTGCAGGAAGTCGTTTATCTTGCCCTCGGGGTTGTGTAGTGTACGCTGGTAGGCGGAGAACCCAACAACGGCATGAAGTAGGGCCTCATTGCGGAGAGCCGCATCCAGGAAGCGGGTTCGCAGAAAATTACCCGAATCAAACTTCAAGGAGTAATGCAAGTGGGTAAGGTTTTGGTAAAAGTACGCCAGGTAAAATTGAAGATCTTGCGGAAGATGGGACCAATCGCTTTTAAGGGTGTCAGGGGAAGATGCAGAAGCCACGCTCGACATTCTCGTCCTTGCACTTCCGGCGGTTTGGTATGCAGGATATCCCACGGATCCTTCAGTCGATGGAGTTGGCGAATTGCCTCCATCTTGAACCAGTGACGGTGCTTCGGAACTGTGTCTGGTGGTTGGCTTCTGTCCACTGAAGGCTGGGTTATTGATAACTCGCTGCGGGGCAAGTTTCAAGATACTCGGCCCTGGAATAACATCGTGCGAGTCTTCATCTTCGTCTTCGTCTCGGATCGCCTCTAGGGGTTCTGGCCCAGCTCCTTCGTCATATTCATCCGACGATGACCCAGGGCTCTCCCGTTTTGCTGTCTTCGATGATCCCGAACCCGACGATTTCGATGTTGTGGGGCTTTCTGGATATAGACAATCCCGGCCACCCTTCTTGCATCCTAGAGAAGATAAGTTCAGATGAAGATGATATGATTATGCTCTAGGCTTACTTTCACAGATTGGGTGGGCCTCGTCGCACTACAACAGAATAAGTTATTGCTATTCAAGCTGGGGGCCATTTGCCTACCTTGACTCGCCTTGAGCGGCAAGTGTAGCACCCACTTCTAGTTCGGCGATGTTTCGTATGCTCAGAGCCTTGACTAGACTTGCGACGACTGCGATTGGGTTTCGGTGCAATCATTGTCGTGTCTTGTACCCCGAATAGATAATTGAGGTCAGCGTAAGAACTGGCAGAGCTAAGTTGTTGAGCTTGGGTAGTCTGCAGAACAGCACTCTGGACTGAAGCCACTGGCTGGTAAGAGCCTGTTGCTATTCTCCCTATTGTGTCGTTGTAGTTCAAATCTGTCATGACGGCTCAAAGGATAACATGGGAAGCTTCATCGACCATAGAGATACCGTGAGAGTCAGTGTTGACCTGGAGCGTGAGCGAGCTCTCACGTCGTGAGAAGTGATAGCCGAGGAAGCCCAGTCGCACCAGGAACGACCCACTAACATAGACCAGTGCCAAAATTTGAGCTGTCCAGTCCTTTCAAGACTCGACCAAGGCGCAAGTTTGATGGGAGGGGAAGACAAAGAGGGGAGGGGAGTTGGAGTCCTGCAGCAAGATTCAAGATTTGCAAAGGAATGGAGCCTGCTTTGACTTAGGATTGGCGTCACCACCCCGTTGGCCGAATTATGTTCTTAAGAACACTTGGCTCTCCACCTAAAGAGGGTACCTGAAGACACAAAGCTAGAAGAGTGCCGTCCCGCAAGGATCTCAGAGCTTATCGGCAAGTACTGCCAGGGGGAGTGTCTATGGTAGCACCAGATGCTTGACTCCTTCGACCTGCCCGAAAAGTAGACTTAAAATGTTATCCTTTCTCAATTTGGCAACCAAGTAGAATGGGCGTCGAAGAATTCTCGGAGCTTCCCTAGACTTGAACCGGGATGCCTACCTGTCGATATATGATCTGACGACTAGGATTGTTGATTGTAGCAAAATTGGACGGATGGATCCTGTTCTTGGCTGATCTCGCCGGGAATTTCTTGCTGACTGTGGATGCTGATGAGGAATGTCCTTGGAGCATGTGAACCAGAAGCTGATGTGTCGAGTCTTGTTGGGACCCATGAGTTTGCTCCAACTTCCCAGTATCCGGATGACAAGGTTAAAACTCCTCGAATTGCTCAGAAAACCAGATCGCCGACAAACAGGGAAGCCGGGCTCACTGTCAGATTCTGTATTGTGGCGGGGGATGCAGTGAAAGGAGATTTGATCCACAGCAATAACAACTCCACGCAGATTGGGAGGCAACAAGTGTAATGGAGCTCCTAAGAAGATGATTGGGAAAATTTCGGCGGGTTTTTAGGGTGAAGAGCCGGTGCTGAATTGGCAGTTGCTAGTTGGACATTCAACTCGTGCAAGAGGTGTCAACGACCGCAGGTGTGACGAGGGTGGCATGCAGTTTCCACCGGGTGTGGAGATGGCCGGCCTTTTGACTGGAGAAAGCGTTTGTCTGTGCAATGGGGGCAAAGGCAGGGGGCGAGCCGGGTTCCTGATCTTCAGATGTCGGAGACCAGGAGCAGGAGTGGCTGTCAGCTCCAGGGCATGAATATTGTGATGTAGGAGCTCGGGAGGCCGCAAATGTGCACTTGAAGCTAAGACCAGACGAAACCAGATGTCAAAGTCGAAGTGCACCAGAAAAGCTTAGCCGAGTCAAGAAAGAAGACCATTCGCACTGCGGCACCAGCATGTGCCCTCCGACTTACGAGATCCCGAGTGAACATCACCCAAGAAGCCCTCCTCCCCAAGGTGGCCCAAGCGGGCAAGCTGCAGGCCGGGATAGGTGGCGGTTCGCATCAAGAAGGGACTGTACAGTACACTTTCCCAGACTCTGCAGCAGGCCACGCAGGTTGATCTGACGGCACCTTACTTAAAAGGCGGAAATATAGGCTTCTCCCGGCAGCACCCACTGGGCCCCTGCTCCACCGATCATGGGGACCGGGACGGGGTCCCAGGCTCATCGAACTTCGAAGGGGGCATGGTGGTCGGCCAGAGTTCCAGAACTAGGTGAGGCGCAAGATCCCTCGCTCGATTGGGAACGGCGCAATATTGGCACGACCAAAAGGACTCGTGGGTTAATATGAATTCATTTCACACAACGTGAACTTCGCGCGTTCTGCGGCGTGGCGTTGGCAGCTGGCGGAAGAAGGGAAGGGAGAAGGCGTCCTGGGCCATTTCATCCGTGAGGCGTGGCCCAAATCCAGCCCTACGCTCTCCCTTTTGCCAGGTCAGCGTTGATTAACTTGATTGCCTTGAAGATTAGCCGCAAGGCGGTGCAAGTGCAAGTGCACGAACTTCGAGAGGAGGCCATTGCAGCGCGATAGGCAGAATAGGGCCAATGTCGGTCTCTTTCCAGTGCCACCCGTGCGGGCGTTGAGAGTGTGTTCAGAACTCGAGCAGTTTGACGACTAAGGCAATACGACCGGAGGAATGCACTGATGGAGTCAAGGAGGCCACTCCATCCTCACTAGTGCCGCAGCGCCAGGATCGAGGGAGTCCTGTCAGGTGTCAGGGGAGAGAACTGTCTTCAGCATGGGGTTCCATGGAAGTGACCGCACGACTGATGACACAATTACGACGGCCCGGACACTACCACTACCCAATCTTCCGGGTCCATCGTTCATCGACTCCATCTACCGTCGATCCTGCCCCCTACAGTAGTACTGTACTTCGTTAGCCCACATCATTCTCGCTGTTAAGGCACAGGGGGGTATATGGCGTCTATCGGACACCCTTCCGGGGTGTCTGTGGGCAATGTTGGCATCCATGAGGGAGGCACGGCCTGGAAGGTCGTAGAGCTGGAGGAAACTCAAAAGAAATCCTTCTCGAATGATTTCGGGCTCCCCTGTACTCGGATCAACTACGGCCACATGATACGTGTGATATGAGAGTGGAAATTTCTCAATAACAATCCTAGAATCCTGACAACGGCTTCCTTGACGACTAAGAGTTTAAGACAACGTTCCCTACCTGACGTATTCCAGAACCGTTTCCGGAGATTGGTCCTGCACTCCTCGACACTCGACTCATTGTACAAAAGCGAGCGGCATTGAAATCCGTCCAACTCGATAAGCGAGGACGGGCGCAATTTTAACGCTCGCATTACAAAAATTCTCATAATTCCGTATTATATTCTATTATTATAAAAATTTCGCCAAAGTTAGATCTGCTTCTTTTCTATTACATAAAGCACTTTTGAAGAGTGTCGGGCGTTCCATTGAGATTTGGTGTAATTTTCTGAACGTAGCGATTTTGGTGTTCCTTGCATTTTGGCAGATGGACGGTTTTCAACGCCGCGCGCTTTTGTAAAGTCAACCGGTCTAAGGGGTCTATCACCGTGGCCCGAATACCGGTTTGACCTTGGGCGGCAAGCTCTGATCTCTCTGATCTGCCCCGAATCCGTCTTAGATTGTCCGATGGACATCTTGTGCAGTCTCATGCATGGCATTTCTGCTCATGATTTTTCAGATCATCCCGTAATTGGACGCACAGTCGAAGGCGCACGGATAGGCAATGTCGCACGAGTTGCGCACTGAGAGGATTGCCGTGCTGTTACACAGAAACCCCAATCCTCTTCTCTGGAACCTTTCCCCGGGACTGGGTAGCGTATCATTGGGGGAGATGCAAAGCTTGACTATAAGGGCAATTATTAATAATAAGGCAAGTTATTGTTCTGCAGCTATCCGCTTTTTGACACGACCCTGAAAACCCAGTCGAAAATCCACACCTCTATCTCCACAGCATTCCATTCTGCAAGCCACTCATGCAGAAACAACCCGGATAGTTCACAGCACGTGTGAGAGAAGCCCCATGTTTTTCCATTTCAACGCCCACGCGAACTCAATTGAATCGAAGCCGCGAGGCTGAAACGTGGTCCCCATAGCTGACAAAAAGTTAAAGCTGGCACTAGTTTATTGAGACGACTTGTCATGGAGAAAAGCTGTCGCTCCAGATGGGGTGGCGCCCATGGCCGTAGTTTCAGACTGCTCCAATTCGACCTATCCTTATCGACGTTTGGCTGCTGTCGATCATGCTGTTCGACGACGATCGAGTCCCACGCCACAGAGGCGCTACGTTTTCAAGCGTGAACTTCAGTCGGCCGTGCATATCTGACAAGAGCTGGTTCAAGCCACAGAACCCAATGTGACCAAGCCGCTACCCTTTCATTCGAAGATGCGATTTGGCGGGGTAAAAAGGACTACAGAGGCTGGCGATCTAGCGCAAGTCACGCTGGAGTATTGGGCTAATATCAGCAAGTTCGATATGGGTGTGGCCATTAATATGTTACCAGCCTCGCGGTGGACAGAAAGGCACCAGTCATATTCAATGTCCTAAGTCAAGCTGGATATTGCAAGTTCTGCCACTCTAAATATACGCATACAACACTGTATGTTGAAAGTCTACTCTTTATGGACATCTCGGAAACTCTAAAAAATTGATTCCAACTCCTCTCCACTCTAATTAAGTGTTCCCATTTGACTTGGGAATTCAAGATGAGTGCCGCTTTTTCTGCCCACCAGGAGCTCGCGTTGATCTCTCAGTAGTCTGCCTTTGTCTTTCTGGCTTGAAGAATCTCCGAACAATATACTCGAGTTCCGCGAGCAGGCAAGCTAAAGCGAATTGAGTTGCATTTCTTCTTGCTACACTTAAACACTCTTTGCGAATATGTCGAGGATGCCCAAGTGGAACTTACCTAAGGATCTGTACTTCAGCCTCGAAGGTTGCAACTGAGCACTGATCGCCGTCTCAATTGCACTCTGGCCAGTTTGGAAATCGTCATCTCATAGATAGGGGCGATCAAAGCATTCCCGTGCTATTCCTCAACGAATATGTCCTTCCATATCACTCAATTCTTTAGCGTGTCTTAAATCCCGCATGATCCAACACCGAACGTCCAGCCAAGCGTCTCAGTCTCAGTTCCAGCCTCAGTGGATGAGATTTAAGCTCCTTCAAAGCATTACCAAAACCCAGCCACCAGCAATCTACCAAGCAAATACATCCCATCAACTACCAACTTGGCATTTGATTTTTGCCTGCCTCCAAGCTCTATGTGAATTAAACTTTAGCTATGAATTCAGGCTATATGTACGTCTTTAAGTGTCATCCATTCCTTCGGTATGGGCTTTTCGCGGTGCTCAGATTTTTCAAACATCTTCTTATTGTCAGATAAACTAAGCATCAATATTATGCTACAAATTCTCTGCAGGCTCGATTCTACAGCAATCTTGAAGAACAAATCGGAACTCCATCTCGGCTTATCTCAGCTCAGCTTTGGTGGAAATTGTCCGGTGCTCGCATAGAACTGGGGTCCTGGACATTATAACGGGAGTTAGCTCACGGGAAGCCGATGTCCTGCGTCACAATGTAGTTCCTTGAAAACTGCAATTTAATTCACTGATACTCGTATTCAAAGAGCTTGAGATGCTGAATTATTCGGTCGCAATAGTCTCCCGAGGCTCGCGATCGTCACTCGAGTGAGGAAGGATATTGCACAGTGTGTCCGGAAATTTCCACGAGATCATTGAATTCGGCCGAGGTGGGGGGCACAAAAGCCTTCAAAACCTGGGGTCAACATGGCATTTTACATCCTCCCCTGGCTATACACGTTTAGCTGCGGGTAGGACCGGTGAAATTGACTGACAAGGTGGATTTCGAATACTTTGGGTGGGGGTGGGGTTTGGGTTTGGATGTACTGTATCTTTTAACATATTGAATTTTCTAGCGCGACTGGAGACTCTCGGTCCCTGATGTCCAAGTGAATTCGTACCTTGGTGGGTATGGTTGTTTCGAGTCCAACTTTAGCATGGAGTAGGCCCGATTGTTCATGTACAGTCGGCTCCTTCAAGATTTCCAAGTTTTCACACCTGAGAGGTGCATCAAGTAGGCCCGAATGTCCCAAGTGAGATCATATTTCCAAAGTATCCGATTTTGCTTCAGATCTTTGCTTCGATCGGGGGGGGTGCCGTGTGAACACTGACTACTCAGCCCATTCCAGTCTTTTGAGGCGGGGTTCGGGTTCTGCTCTCAGACATCCGAGATCCGGCCTCCAAGTGTGATCCCGGAGCCAAACTGTTCAAATGTTCAAGTAATCTTTATCAATGTAGAAGTCCAGCTGCCCAAGCAACATATTGGAGTTTCAAAGTTGATGTCTATGTTGCAACAGAGATTACAGTAGCGAAGTGAAAGACCCCAGCAGCACTTTCCATATTTAGATCATTCACCTTCAAATGAATTTGAATTTGCACCACCACCCGCAATATGTTACAATACATTGTCCATATATTTAAGGGAGCTTTGAGTATTCGCAAGGAGCAATAAAGACTTACCTTGCCCACAATCACGATTCCAAACTTGGTGAAGGAGACACTCATTATCCAAACTGCAAGTTATGCTACATGCTTTGACTCCTTTCCATGCTCCGAAAGAGTGCTCTGCATAAATTGTGAAGTTGTACTAGCCATTTGGATCCTTCTTCTCTTGTTGTCAAAGATCTTCTTGTTGACATGGTCCTGTACATGGAGTTACATGATCGGGCAATGATCTGGGCTAGCCGTACTGCCGCAATGCAAGGTGTTGGAGATTACTTCAGCTTGATTCAGAGTCCATCTTGGCCTTTCCCACTATCTGACGGAATCAGAGATAAGATTTCCCGTCACGGGATAGAGAATCTCGCTCGATACGTCGCTACCGGCTTTCTTTATGGAGTTCCTCATTTGCTTACCATGGGAGCTGGATAGGAGAAGCAAAGCTCGAAAATCCTCATGCCAGATGCCGCATCCCGCCGACTTCGTGTTGTCTATTCAAACTGGACAGCGCTTCCACAACCTGGAATCCAACCGGTGCTAGACTAGGTATATGCTGGATATATTACACGGCTTTTCGAGGACAGTCTAGGATTTCACAACTTCAAGTCAAAGCATGAAAAGCATCCGTGCTCCTTTTATGAGCTCATGGATCTTTCTGACGTTGAATGCAGATGGTGGATGCTTGCCACGTACGGCGACGCTGAACCGGAATTTCTTGAGATCACCGAAGGGTTCTTCATCGCAGCAATGGGGCTTGGCCATCACCCGCCTTCTTGAGAGTCACAGAATGTATCCGTTTACCAATAGTGGCACACCGACGCCCTGGTATCGGATTAAAATCTCACCATGGAGTCAGTGACGGAAGAAACCTCGGCCCAGCGCCCGACCAATTATTTCTCAAAGCAGAGAAAGATACTGTCGTTGGCCTTCGAGACGCTTGGCGACTGGCTACATCCGGCCTCCCTGTTTTCTTTACCTCGAAGAACAGCTGCAAATCTGGGAGTCCTCAGTTCTAAATGGCCTGTCTTTCAACCCCCCAACCAGCGTTCCTTAATAGGCACGCTGCCTTGAAGGAAAATGATAAGGCAATGCTCCAAGTCTCGTTCGTGATCAGAAGCTATCCTAGCCGATTCTATAACATGAGAGGAAACAAAGACTTACGGTTGCAAAGACTCGGTTTGCTAATAACTTTCCCAGATGGCGACCAAGTCTAGTTGGAAGCAGTCGCTCCTGCTCTCAGGGATCATGCGCGGACACTCGCTGAGTTGTTTTGTTTGTGAATAGAGGGAATGGACCCGGTGACTTTGATGTCTTGAGTGCGAGATAGGAGACTCTCTTTTATGGGGATTCTCTTTGGTGTTGTATCCTGCTGAAGATGTCTGAATTGGGAGCGATTCTGACGTGTGTAAGGGATGTACTCTTATCTTTTGCTCTGCTGAAAGATAGTACAAAATATGACTTAACGGGCCTGTCCTTTTCTTGAAGTATTTACGGGAGGGGGAGATCGCAAAAGAGGGGGCAGGTGGCTTTATTATCATAGCAGATGAAGCGATAGAAGCAGATTGAAGGATTTAGCAAATCAGATATCTTGTATCACTTCAACTCGGCTGTGTTTTTGTGAAACTCTCCAGGGTCTTCCAAATCGGGACGTTTCTCGGAAGTTCCTACTGCGGGTGACTCGGGTTGGAAGTCAAAGTCCATTTGGGGTCGCAGCCCTTGGTGGCGACGTTATGGCAACTCAAAGTACGGCATGGTGCAACTCAGGCCTGAAGGCAGGAGCTTCTCAAAAACATAGTGATAAAAGCAGAGGGTGATGCAGTCGTTCGTCTTCGTGCTCCATGGACATTTGGATATAGAGAGTAATGCTTGGAATATGACTGGATGAATGAATGAATGGAGAGCGACGGTGGAACAGGTGTTGACAGCCAATGTCTAAACATCGGACGATTAGAGTATGAAGTTTACATGTGCAGGACTGGAAAAGGGGATGAACTCTAGGAATCATCCGCAGGCTTCAAAGAACAAAGAATGCCACAGCACTTGCTCTCGCCTCACTTCCAACCCAAGCTTTCTGCAAATGCGATGAAATGATAAAATACACTAGATAGGCATCTCAATTCTTGTATTCCCTATGCACCCGTGGAGACTCTAACAAACTCCGTCATGCACAAAGTTGAAGAAAGCTATGGACGAACAAGAAAAACGCGAAAGAATGGTGATGTATTACAAAGAAGTAGTCTCTTTTCCCAATCTCGCCCAGTCATTCGAGATCAGCTTATATGGGTATCCTCATTCGTGTTGTGTCCATTGCATTCTCATGATCAAATTCCCATACCGCAATTCTTGCAAAGTATGCCCCAACAAACCAGCAGAAAAAAGTCACAACATCCGCAACGCCCGAGCAGCTCCAACGCTAATAGTCGTTATTGCTTAATGTAAACATGTTCCCCAACCTCTAAAACCGTGATCTCGTCTCCCACTCTCAGCGCTCCTTCTCTAGCGATCGGTACCATTTGCATTCCTAGGCATCCGATGTTTGGGCCCGTTCCTGGATCCACTGCTCGGAAGCTTCTCAGCGTCTTGTCTGGCTCACTGGGGTGTACTTCTCCCGTTAAGTTGTCCACATTCGGCATCTTACAACGGGCGGTGCGGGACGATACGTCGTATTCGTAGTAACCGATTTTGATACGGCGCCAAGTATCTTCGTGGTAGGCATCCGGGCCCGTGATTATGAGGTTTGCTCGGAAGCGTGCTGCCGAGAGGCGGGGGGCCCCCTTGACCTTTGGCATCTTACTCTCGACATCGCGAATGCTGGCGAGGTTGACAAGGTGGAGAGGATACTGCAAGTGTCAGCGGGGGAGAGTATGAAACAATTGGCTTCACTTACAGCATCTTGGAAGCCTGTTACTGGTTGATATCCCAACTCCGCCTTGGTCGGTGCATTCCTGTGCACCTCCCGCAGCTTCGAGTTGTCAATCCTGAACAAACCCAACTTGTTGCTGATGCCCAAGTAGTACCTAAGCTCCTCCGGGATCTCAATCTCCAAGTTCAAGGCGCTGATCGTATCCTTCCAAATCGTCATCTTCTCGTAGGAGTACCCAGCCTTCTCGATCTGCACCTCGGAAGGGTTGAATGGGACACGGAACTGCTTCTCAGGAATCGTGCCCTTCACGGCAGCACCCCACTTCGCTACCATACCCTTCCAGCCAGCTTCTTGGTAAGGAAAGCTCATTATGATTACTCCCCCGGACTCAACGTCCTCGGCGTGAGGCGCGTACGTATCCACACTCTGATCCGGAACCCACATCTCTGTTCGAACCTTGGCCAACAAAGGAAACTGTCTTTGGGTAATGAACTCCCATTTGTGTGCCGCCTTCTCCTTATCTGGGGTATTGGCGCCAACTGGGAAGGGGCTCTTGAGCTGAGCAAAGGTGAATTGGCGGTCATATTCCATGCCAGTCGTAATGACGGTCCCCCTGTTCAACTCAACACCTCTGCAAGACTTGACAGGATAGATCCATAACGACTTCAATCTCCACCACTCAGCTGATGTCTCCTCGGTACTTGGGGGACGACCCTAAAAGGTGAAGTTAGCAAGGTACGGTCTCAATTGGGAGAAAATTGTTGGCATCGTGAAACGTACCTCGGAGAACTTCCTATCGAATTCATTGAGCAAATTCGACTCGATTTTCAGGCCCAGTTTCCTGCATCCCTTCGGCTGCTCTGCTCGAAGTCTGGCTTGTTCCCGTTCGTAGAAGATCAGGGCAATGATGGGAGGTATGCAGATGGCGAGGATGGTCAAGACGTATGTCCTCGTGGAGATGACAGGGATTCGTTCGAGCAATTCTTCGTAGTAGATGTCGTAGTAGTCCTCGAGAACCTCGCGGTAATGTTCTATGAAAGCAGCCATGTCGAATCTAGGAAGGTAGGAAGGAACAAAGAGCACAAGATGTGCCGTCTATCTGCTGCAGGCACAACAAATATTAGCCTCCTTTTCCTGGGTTAAGGGTGAATGTGGTGGCAGAAGCAATTATTTACCAAATGATGTACATGAAGTGGATTGCAAAAGAGCGTAAGAAGAAGAACAGCGGACTGAAGAGAGGGGGAGGAGGTAGAAAAAAGACGCGTGAGCTTTCTCTTCCTTGGATTTTAGGGTTGTGGTGTCAATTGGCAGGTTCAAAGGATTTGTCCTGTCTTGTGGAAGGGACGACCAGTTGCTAGCTTGTCTCGACCAGGACCCAGGCCGCGTCCTGCAGGCGACTCAAGAGGGATGGGATGAGACACGCAAAACTTCTAGGCGAGATCCATTGCCAAGACCATGGGCAACCAAGATGAGCGTAGGTGCTGCAACTGCCCGGTGCTGGAGCTGGGCTGTTGGCTGTCACTTCAGGCTGGGCATTGGGGGGGAGGGGGGGGAGCGCAGGTGCAGGTGCAAGCGCAGGCGCAGCCAAGTGCAGCGGGACACAGCAGTTTGCCGCTCCACACTTCACTCCAGTCTCCAGGTCCAGCAGGGCAGGCAGGCAGGCGGTTCTGCACAATTCCCATTCTCACATTTTCAGGGTCTCAGATCGGTCCATTTTTGGCGCAGGGCCGTGGACCCTGCTTGCAGCAAATCTTTTGTCTTCCACCAGTTGAAATTGCCAGATGTCAGGCTAAGCACGCGTCAGGCTGCCTTTCTACGGTCGACGATAGCCTTGTCCGGGTCTATTGGCAGCACATCTCCGGCATCGTGGCGCAGTCCAGCCAGCAAGCTCTGGATGAGGAAGGCAAGAAGTTAAAGAAGCCGTGGAGAAGTGGACCCGCTGTAGCGGGAGTGGGCAGTAGGAGAGGGCAGGACGCCGTGTTGGAGAGCGTACTCGTACGCAAAAAGGAATGTATGGAGAAGAAAGAGCGAGAAACGAACACGAGAGGCTCAACTCAAATAAATAAAAGCACGTGCATCTTGTGCTGTGCACCGCCTCCCGCCTCCCCGTATCGCTGCTGCGCCCTTGCGTCACCCTCTTGGCCTCTTGAAGTAAAGCTCCCTCCCAGAGCCTTCTCCCCGAGAAACTGAGCATCTCGAACGGCCGGAGTGGGCGAAGCTGAAAAGGAGGTTTGAATCTCGGAGATTGCACCCGCCTCCCCACGTCCATCGAGACTACCACACCAACTACAGTACAGTACCGCATTGTTGGATTGTTTCTGCACACCGAGGACTTTGGCTTGTGATGACCCTCATTGAGTCATATCCAATGGGTTGGTGCACGCCATTGGATGTTGGCGCGGCAGAATGCAAATCCGACGAGGGCGTGTATCTCCAATGTATCAAGATCTCAACTTCAAACAGGTCACGTGCAATGTTTAAACTTCTTCCCCTATTCATCTGTCCATTCATGTTCGTGTTCGTACAATCATTAACCGCCCGAAGCGATACCGGAACCACAAACCTCCATTACCCAAACTCCAAATTCCAATATGCGACGCAAACATTGACTCCTAGTTTTGACATGCTGCCGAACACCAAACCAGACGCATGACCTACTTGAAATCCGCCGCCTGTTACGGTCAGTAATGCTCGCAAGTAAATAGAGTTTGTGGATCATACCGTCAATGCCTGCACCATCGATGTGCCTTCCGAGAATCTTGTCCTAAAGATTCGATTCGCATTCACGAACATCCCATCCTTCAGACTAACGACGATAAACTGGCTGCCCTTGAACCTTGTTTTGATCAATCGGCCGATGTTCTGTGTATGGGAAAGATCCAGGGCCGCGTCAACCTCATCGAGAATATACATTGGAGCCGGTTTGAATTGTAGCAGAGACATGATGAGTGATATCGCGATGAGTGAGCGCTGTCCACCGGAAAGCTCGGTCAAGCTCTGCTTCCATACTTTGCCTGTTGATGGAATCAGCTCATTTTGTACACGTATCAGACGGGTAACGTGGCAGCAAACCTAGCGAAACTTTGACCTCCAACCCTTCATTGATTGTTTTGCCCTCAGGGGGATCAAGCTTGGCAAAACTGCCAGGAAGCAACTCTGCGAATATCTCCCCAAAATTCCGGTTGACTTCAACCCAAGTCTCATGGAGAGCCTTCTTCTTGTATTCATCCAGGGTAACGATTGTCTCCTCGATCTTCTTCTTATCCCTGATAACTGTCTTCATCATGTTCTTCAGTGCGACTTCTTTCTTCTCAACACTGTCGATCATATTCATGACTTTCGGGTTGATCTTCTTCTTCATCCCCTGGAACCGTTCCGTCAAGTTTCTCAGTGATGCTTTGCATTCGGCGATGTTCTGACCTTTGAAGTCGTATGGCGTGCCAGTCCGGCCAAAGTTGTCCTTCTCATCTGCAATCCATTCGTGCTCCTTTTCCATGTGAGCAACGGTCTGAACAGCCGCTTGTTGCTCCTTGTGGAACTTTTCGATTTGATGGCCAAGTTTCTGCATCTCGAGACTTTCTTCCGTGATTCGAGCCGACTTTGATCGTGAGGCATCCTCCAATGAGCGAAGCTCGTCATCATAGCCAGTCAACTTTGCTCGTTCATCATCAAGATGAGCTTGTGCAATATCAAGCGTGTCCTAAAGTCGTCAGCTTTCTTGTACCTATAATTCAAGGGATGTACAAACCTTCAGTTGGGCTTGCTCAGACACCAATTCAGCGATTTCCTCAGCCTGTGCCTTCAGTGTCTGTTCGACCTCTTGAAGTTGCTCTTGAGCAGCAGCAAGATCACCCCCAACTTGCTCGGAATCCAACCGAGCCCCTTGAAGCTCTTTTTGAAGGACTTTAACTGAAGCCGAGTTCTTCGTAAGGGCCTTTCTTAGGCTGTCAAGAGAACTCTGCAACTCAACAAGCTTACCATCCTTGTTATTGTCGAAGTCTTTCATATCTTTCTCAATACGTTTGACATCCTTGTTGGCCTCATCTTGTCGTTTCTTTGCCTCTGCAAGATCGGTCTTCAGTTGAATGACAGACGCCTTCATGTTCTCAACCTCTTGAATGATGGAAGAAGATGAGTTGCCGCTGATCTGCTCTTCGGTAAGCTTGATCTCGTGGGATTTGAGGTCCAACTCTTGCTTGATTTTCTTGGCCTGATCAAGCTTCTTCTTTTCCCGCGCTATTGTGGATTGGAGATTTGCCAATGCTTTTTCTTGCACTCCCAACTCCTTGGTAAGCTCATTGAGCTTTTGCAGGGTGACCAAGACTCCACTTGAGTTCGGCGAACTACCTCCAGACAGAGTTCCGGATGGGTCGTACGAGTCACCTTCCAGAGTGATGCTCTTCATCCGAACAGCAGGGTCAAACGTCACCCTCTTAGCAGTTGCAGCGTCAGCACAGATTAAGGTATTTCCGAACACGTAGTCCATGGCAGTAGACACCTCTTCATCGTAGCCAATTAATGACAAGGCAAGGTCGACCTTTCCAGGTGCAATTTTTTGAGCAGCTCCGATCTTCTCAGCGGCTGCTCGGAATGCGGCAATCTTGTTCAAGGGAATGATTGTGACCCGCTTCCTAAGCTTGCCATTCTGAAGTAATTGGGTGCCGGTGACTTCTGTGTCGACAACCACGTTGTACAATCGGCCTCCAGCGCAAATCTCCAACGCTGTTCCGGCATCTGTGCGATCTTTGTCCAGGGTGAAGAGCTGGGCGACCAGTCCTTTCACCTTGGACCGATCAAACTTGGGCGTAGGATCAGAATAGTTAAAGTCGATATTGGCTACTTTTCGCTTCATTCCATCGGACTGCTCGCGGAGTTTTCGAATCGTCTGTTGAAGGCTGGATTCCTGCTTGTACATATCGTCCTCTTTGCCCAGCTCAAAACCAAGTTTACCCAACTCCTTTTCAAGTTTTTGCGCCTGTGATCGAAGTCCCTCGAGATCATTGAGAAGACCAGCATTTTGCTCCTTCGCTTTCTTCGCACGTGGCTCCTCTTCCTTGATTCGTTTCTCAAGATGGGTCATCTTGAGCTTCGCTTGTTCTTGCTCAGTCGAGGCAGCGCTGGCTCGATTTCGTGCGTCTTGGAGCTGCCCTTGGTAGCCGCTTTCCTGGCCCTCTTTCGAAGCAACACCGGTTTGCAACGTTTGGAGTAGTTCTTCCTTGGTTTCAGCCTCCTCGTTTAGTTTTTCCAATTCCTCCTTCGCCTTGTCATATTGTGCCTGGATCTTCTCGTAGACTTTCGTCTTTTGCTTCAATAAAGTCTCGAGTTCTGAAACAGTCTTGTGAATGGTCGACTTTCGTTCCTTCTCTTCGGTCATACTGGACTTCTTAAGATCCATCACAGTCGATAGTCGGACAAGCTCGTTCGAGTGTTTCTTTACTTCCTCCTCGAGGGCTTGCGCTCTGCCTCCCTTCTTCAACTCCTTCTCTCGTTGAGCCTTGACCCGCTTCACGTCTTCCACAAGATGCTCGATTTCGTTTTTTAATCGCACAGCGTTATCCTCAAGATCCTTCGCCCGCTGCTTCTTCAGCTCCAAATCGCCTGCAGACTGCTTGAGCTTCTCTTGGTTCTTGACATAGTCATGGGCAACCACGACTCTTGTCAGTCTCTCGAGATCATTTTGGGTCTGTTGGAAGTCCAAGAAAGCTCTCTTCTCCGTCCGTAACTTCTCCAACTTCGGCTCAATCTCGTCCTTCAGCAGCTCGGTGATCTCTTGGACCTTCATCTCCTTCTTTGCCATCGTCTTGAAAGCTTTATCTCTTCGGTCCTCAAACATTCTGGTCCCAGCCGCCTCCTCAATCATAGCCAGTATCTCCACAGCTTTCATATTCAACACCTTTGTAATCCGCCCCTGCATAATCAAGAAATTCGGATTGTTGATATTCAACTGCACTGAATGGAACAGATTCTGGACCGTCTGTTGCTGTGCTCGGTGTCCATTGATCAGGTACTTCGTTGTACCTCCCAGTACAATCTGCCGAGTAACACTGATCTGTGCATACTCTTCAAAACCGATGGGAGATTTCTTCTTGTCGCGATTGTCGAAGACAATCGTTACGCTGGCCTTGGTAACTCCGGCTTGGCCACGTTTGTAGATGAGATCTTGTAGGTTTTGCGCACGAACTACGTTCATCGCAGTGATTCCCAAACAAAATACAATGGCGTCGAGAATGTTACTCTTGCCTGAGCCATTGAGACCCGTTACTGTTAAAAATGTCAGCAAAAGTCAACAAAACTGTGGAGAATCTCCCATACTCGAGTTGAACGAATCATCCCACCCAGAGATAACTGTCCGTACAGCATAACTCTTAAAACCATCAATTATAACCTCCACGATCCGCATGTTGGCGATTTGTCGTCGTTGTCGTTGTTGCGTTGAATCCTATGTTGACTTTCGGAAATCGTAAAACGCGGTTTGTTTACGCGCCATCAGGCAGTATCGCCTCGGTTTCCAGGCACCAAGGGCCGGCAATCTTATCGCGAGTGGACCTCGGCCAAACTCACGCGTCTAAGCGAGAGCTCAGAACACCGAAATCTCTACGTTTTCAAACTCGTATTTTAATATCAGCCGATTCTATGAATTTTCAATTGAGGACTGATGAGATAGAGGAGAAGCAGCTCTCTTATTACATATAGATTTTGAGATAATTAAATCTGAGGTGTATTTACGTTGTATTATCACGACCGAATAATGCAGGTAGCGCTTACGTCCGGATTTCAGAACCGTCAGCCTTCGAACTTCAGATTTGGGGATGGACTTCTACAATCACATTTGTGGAAGGACAATGGTGGGTCCTTGACATATTCCCTCTTTTGATAATTGATAGTTCACTGCGAGACGAGGACAATGACGCCTCAGAAGTCAAAGGTCAATATGCCTGGCGTTGCGCCGGGGAAAGCATTGGCTGGAATACCCGTCGGCGATGAGTCTGCTGAAGAGCGTGTCCTTGCTCTCTTAGAAGGAAGTGTAGCTGGGGATGCAGACCAAGTGAGTGGCCTCTTCAGCTTATTTCAGATTGAGCGTCATTGTATTCTTCTCTTCAAAATCGTTCACTTTCTCCCTCAAGATCCTCCTCGACCTGAAAGAGAAGCACGCAAATTGAGGCATTCCGAGTTCCTGTATCCTTTCTTTACTCATCGTTCTCAAAGTATCCCAAATGTATTCAGTCACCGCTTACCATCATTCACATGTTCCCACTTTCTGCTTTCTAACAATACTCCAGGGCTGGTCAACTCTCCTCCAAGACTCTCTCAGTTTCGTCTCCGCCACTGCTTCCCCTGCCGGCCGCACCGTATTCCGCTTCACCGTCCTCCCCTCGCACTGCAACCGCCTCGGAAACCTCCATGGCGGGTGCACCGCCACGATCTTCGACATCTGCACGACTACCGCGCTCGCTCCAATCGCTAAACCCGGATACTGGCAGTACGCAGGCGTTAGTAGAGGATTAAGTGTTACGTATCTAAAGCCGGTGCCGGAAGGAGAGAAGGTGCTGGTGGAGAGTGAGGTGGTGAGTGCTGGCAAGAGGATGTGTGTTTTGAAGGCAACGATGAGGAGGGAGAGTGATGGGGAAGCGTTGGCTGTTTGTGAACACGGGAAGGTTAGTATTGATCCCCCTGTTTCGAAGATCTGAGGATGGCCTACGAGATAAGAGGGGGACGATAGACGGAGCGGTGATAGACTCTCGATGGTCATACATAGATTTTGATACCTGAAATGGGAAAGTTTTACATTTGTTGGTTTTGAGAGGTCGAATGAGAGTGAGCAAGTCCTCACGGAGTACAGTACAGTACATCCTATGAGACGTTCAGCAGAGAAATGTTAACCCACATCTTGAAGTCAAGCCCCATACTCCAATGACGTCAACTCCCTTGATCAATTCTGCTTCCGTTAAGACATTTTACATGCAATTCTTCACATGTATATCTCTCTCCTAGCACTCTTCCATCTCTCCCACGAGGTCATCCATGTAACACCAATCCACATTCACATGCCTCCTAGTGCCCTCCCTTTCCCCCAACCTCCCCTCCCCACTCAACTCCCATCTCCTCACAGAAACTGTTGGGTCGCTCAGATCATGGGAAATAAGATTATGAGGTGGTACTGTACACGTTTCGTTGGGCATGCATCAGCCGAACGAAGAAAACATGTGATTTCTGCATTCCCGAGCGTGTTTAATAGCGTGAATTTGGGCGTGAGTGGTGTCAGCACTGGCAGGCGGGAAGGGCCGGGGGAAGGGGTTGCCGTCGTATCATTTTGAACTTTTGAGATCATTGATAGAAAGTCAAGTTGTGGCAGTTACAGATGTCACGGCAACTGGAACAGATATTTGGGGGAATTCTTCATATTTTGTATTTCGACGTTCGAATATGTTTATAGCCCGCAGGCATGATTTGTTCGTTCTTCTCCCCCCAAGCCTCAAATGGCCAAAGCCTTGATACAGAAAGCGTGCTCGAATGTATCTTCTTTCTGAGTACAACAAAACGCACCCGTCCAAACGCCCACCATTCTAATAGACAAAGCCCACGCTCGGAAACACATCAGATGCAATTTTTTCAGCCAGACAGCCCTTGTCATTGACTCATTAAATGTGCTCCATGCACATACGCGCAACGGACATAGAAAACCTACGCAGCATCGGCTGACGCAACAGGCTCAGCGATACGAGTGACCTGAAAACCCGCGCGATAAATCTTCTGGCCGGCTGTATCGCTGACGAATGAGATGTCCTTGTTTTCGCGCTGAGCTCGCTTCCAGATCTCTACCTCACATCCTCCTCGGATAACACCAACACGCATTGTCGACAACAAGTTGTGTGCGGCGTTAGAGTGATTGTAGACACCACCGTTGAAGATGGCGGTAGCATCCTTTCCAATACCGGAAGAGATAAGAGCCTTTCCACCAGGGTGGTCCTTGATGAAGGCGGTAACATCGTGGATAACACCGGCGACAGCAACCAGGGCACGGCCATTCTTGGCCTCAGTCTGGTAGTCTTCCCAGTCGATGATTGGCAATTGCTCAAGAGGAATACCCCAGTCGAGAGTCTGTCTCTTCTGGTCGAGCTTCTTCTGCAATTGTTGGAGACGACCCTTCTCAATCTCATTTTGCTTGAACTGCTTCAGGTCATAGGCGAGGCCGAGTTGCTTCCAGACCCAGATGGCCCACTTTGTCGGGTCGTATTGATGCCATTCGATGGCATTGCGGTAGTCTGAAGGGAACTCGTGGTGGAAGTTATGGTAGCCCTCACCAAGAGTGACAAGAGCAGTGACGACGTGATCACGGGGAGAGTTGCGGTCGTCGAATGGCTGGTCACCGAGCCAGTGTGCCAGGGAGTTGACACAGAAGGTGGCTTGTTGGACGAAGAAGATTCGGAGGATACCAGCGTAGATGAATCCACCCATCCAATCTCCCCATCCAAGACCGGTTACGAGGCAGGGGAAGATCATTCCCATGAAGATGACGGTCTTGATGTAGTTGCGATGTTGCCAGACAACGACGGGGTCATCGTTCAAATCGGAGATGTCGGTTCGACCAATACGCTTTGGGTTCTGCTTCATGATCATCCATCCGATGTGCGAGTAGAGAAGACCCTTTCGAACGGAGTATGGGTCCTTGTCGGTGTCGGTGTATCTGTGATGTGCCCGGTGATCTCTCGACCACCATCTGATTGAACCTTCAACTGCTCCCCCTCCAACGGCGGCGAGGAAAATCTTCAAAGGTGTTCTCGCAGAGTATGATGTGTGTGCCCATAGTCTGTGGTAACCTGTCAAAACAAGAAGTGTTAGCAATAGATCAGAGCGCTCGTTCAGCATTTCAACAACTTACCGGCGGTGATACCAAGACCAGTCATGAAATAGTATGCAATTGCCCAGACGGCCGTCTTCAGTTGGAGTGGTGTCCAGTATGCCGCAATGAGACCGTAGATGGGAAGCCCAATAATGAGGGTGACGTTCAACCAGTTGACATGCTTGTACCAGTTGGATTTCGTAATTGGCTCCTCCGTGATGTGAGACTTTTTGGGATCGTACTTCTTGCGAGTCGGCTCAAGAGGTTTGGCCATGCCGGATGGCGGTTGCTGTACTTGCGAGGCCATGATGTGTGATGGCGAAGACAGAATTGTAGTCGTGAAGAAGAAAGCTGGCTCGGGTGGGGGGGGACGGCGGTGTTATAAAGCTCAATGTGTTTCGGCAAAATGCCCTAACAGATCAAAAACGTCGGCAAAACCGCGTGGGGAACGTTTGGCTGCAAGGGTTTTACAAGTTCGAGAAGGGGAAGGGGGCCGGGAGGGCTCTGTTGGGTTCTGGTGGGAGGGAGCTACGCGCCACCGTCTTTGCTGAGCGGTTGCCCTTCGTGCCCTGTGTTCTCCAAAGCTTCCAATCGCTGGAACTAGAATTGGCTGAGATTTCCAGTTTGCTGTCATCGAACGGCCAGATCGAATGGCAATCTTCACAAGGAATTTCGATTTGGACCGAGGAGCAAAGGAAGCCCGCCCTTAGCCCTGTCGTGGTGGTGTGGTGTGCAGCCCTCCCTTCGCTCCACTCCGTCCCCAAACTTTTGGAGCGAAGTCTCAACATTTTTGATGAGCGAGCAGGGGTCCTTTCCCCATCCGGACCTGCCCTGCGCACACTCGCAGGCTGGCAAACCAGTGGTAGAAAGCCAGTGCCAGTTTCTTCACCAGCGGATAAAACCACCTCATCTCCTGGCCCCTTGGTCAGGACTATTTTCCTGGATACGGTTGTCCTCATGTCAATCACTCTTCAATTGCTTCTCTCGTGACCTCGTCCGACCCATGATCCGAGTTCTCAAACCTCGATGAGCTGTGCAAGCTGCGGCCCCGCGGCCCCTAAAATAAGCGTGGATAGGGGTTCAACGTTCCTGCACGAGCGCGTCACTCAGCTCGCCGCAGGAGGACCCTGATTATTCCCTGCGATCAAGACGCGTACTCATATTCGCATCGTCCAGAGCTATGGGACGCCTCTTCCAAAGTCCCAAGTCCAGAGCCATACGCAAAGGCCAGCTTTCATGTTTATGAGGCTTCTGATGGACACATGCAAACCCCAGCAGTCGGAATTTTCTCAAACCGCTGCCAGACAGGCAAAAGGCCATGTTTCCGATTTTGCATTAGCGCCTTTTTTGTCCCAACAAATTCTTGGTCACGTGGTGACTGTTTCCGGGCCCATGGATGGCTGGCGATCTCTCGCTTCTTCAAGCCTCAGGAGTCAAGCCACCTCCACGCGAAAAGTATGCGGGGCACGCGGCTCCGGTCAGTCATGATGCACCGAAATCCGGTCCGAAAATCAATGTTTTTTATATTAACTTCCATAGCAGTGACAATACAGTTTTTACACTTTCCTCTAGAGTAATGCTATAGACTGCCCTTAACTGATGTTAGTTTTTAAGAGAACCTAAGTGTGCTGCTGGCTGTTAAAGAAAGTGATCGGGGGGTTGATTTTCGGCCCAGAGTTCGGTGTATCACGACTAACCGGAGGTGCGTGCGGGGCTCAAGGGGCTGGGAGATAAATGGTTTGCCACATCCTCGTGGCAGCGATCAAGCCCGTTTTACCACGTGGCGTTACTCAAGGCTGCCTTCTACTACCTACTCAGAACTTAGATTAATGAAGGCTAAGCTGTCATTCTCATCACTTTCTATGCTAAAGTAGATTTGCGTTCGGACATCCGGGCATCTTCTTCATACCTCGGTATTATCAGAATTCATTTGTTACTATTCGTTGCGTGTGTTCGCTTGGTCGTACGCATCCTCCTCCTAGACGACATCTTATTTGTTTAATGATGGTTTGCTTCTCATTCTACGAGGGTGCGTTTCAAGTGCGTTCATCTCTCGCTTTTGTCATCTTTTGGTAGGGCCTCTAATAAGAGATCCAGTGAAACGTGCAAGGAGGCAGCAGTTGCACTTATTCCTCACCCCTCGGATTCTTGATTAGACGCAAGTGTAAATTGTTGTCTGCGAGGTAATTCGTAGTCATCTCCTCAATTCTCTAGCAAGTCCCAGGTCTCATTACGAGTATTTTACCCAAGAGCTCCAAACCCCCATCTCCTACTTCACAAAAACTTCGAATACTCCGCCAAAACTTTAATCTTCTCCCCACCACTCTCCATATCCCACCAAAACAACGAGCAGCCCCTCGCCTCAAACTCCTGCCCAACTGCGTACGGCACCCCCGGGATCTCTTTCTTCACCGTTCCCTTAGCTGTCCACTCCCAAGCCGTGAACTCTTTCGTGCCGTTCACCGAGACGGTCTCGAAACCCAGCTGTGAGACGGAAGAGAATACGGATTCGGCGAGTGCGCGGAGTGAGGCCCCGTCGATGTGTGCTACACCGAGTCCTGCGAACATTAGATGGGGTGATAGCGATGGAGAGATAGGAAACGGGTAGTGACCATGATCAGAGTAATCACAATCGTCGGTCATTAATGACATCAACTTATCTGCGTCAAGGGAGTTGTGGGCTACTCTCCAACGCTCTTGGCGAGCTGCGATGAAATCCGAGTCGGACATGATTTTAGTTTGTAAGACTGTTTGACAAAGGGCTGGGATTCGAAGCGGGCTTGAAGCCGTGTAGGCTTCGATACTTATATATCTTGGCAGAAATCCCCTTCATGCCTATCTGCTGACGTGATGAGGAATAGCCTTCTTGCCGGCTATCTTGGAGTGCCACAGGTGGTTCCATCGGTATTTGGTCCAATCAGCTGTACTTCGTGCATCGATGTCAATGGCGCTTAGTCATTCGCCTGCATATCCCTTTGGTGTTGTGAGATGGGTATCTCCTTGCTTCGTGATGTTCCAACAAATGATTATTGAGTGTGCTGACATCGTGATCGAAGGAGAAGGTTGGTTTACGCGAAGGACTGTGAAAAGAGGAGATCATGCCTCGCCATCGATCAGCAACGGCAATGCTACATTTCGTTTCTGGAAGAATAGTCCCCTTTGTCAGACGTGCACTACCTCCGCCCCGAGAAACTACTTGAGATGTCTCGGGGATAAAAAAGTATGCCCGTGAACCACCAATTTTCCGTGGGAATATGGCACCTTTATTTCGTCCCGCTACCAACTTTGAAAGGAGTTGAGGATGTGATACAGGGAAGAAGAAAAGAACACAAGATTCGGAATGTAAAGAGTTCAACGCTAACAATGGAAATTAACATGAGAAAGAAGACAGAGTTATGCGATAGAGAAACTCCGTACTCACCACAGACTATTGTCCACTGGCCGAAGTAGACAAAATGCGGCACGGGATACCCTTCTATAAACAGAAGAGATGCAGACCCGATTGTTGCGTCGGCAATCCGAAAAGAAAATCCGGATGGAGCAAGGGCTTGGAACAGCTCTGCGGTAGTCTATCCTGCCTGTTTCCATTTTTGATATATGCACACTTGCCACCTCGAGCCTGCAACTCGTCAACGTCTTCGATGGGTTGAAGCAGTTGTCGAATTATCCACTGTGATCCCACTACGTAACCGTCTTCATCCATGATGATTCTGCCTATGTGTAATCAGGTGACGTGTGGGAATTGAGAAATTGGTGTGATTTGGCATAGCAATGTCACTTCCAGTTCGGTAGGGAGATACGGGCTTCCACTTTTGATGGGCGAGCATCTCTAAGTAAGCTAAGTTCGGCCAATGATCGTTTCCCCTTTCGAACACCTTGAAGAAACGAAACTTCATCTCTGAGGGTAGTGCAGCCGTGGAGTCATTTTTGTCGGAGTGTTACCATGGATTGTTGCCAGCCCCAGAATTTTTGAAATACAGTAGAACCTCGATATAACGATATCAATTTTAGCGCCTTTCTAACGATACACCGAGGTATGGTTAAATCAGGGATTACGTGCACATATAATAAATAGGGAAGGACCTCCGTAACGTTTGTCGATTAGCTTCTGTTATGCCTCCGTCTCTTTTTGGGCTGTTCAGGGGCTAGAGAACCAGTGGTATAATCAAGGGGCTGTGATTCGGTGAGATCGATAGCCTAAGAGGTTGTGCTACCAGTGCCAGAGGGCCCTGGAGCATTGATAAATTGCTCCTTCTCTTAATAAATTAGAACGATATACCACCAAAAATTAAAGGTTGGGACCGAAAAACCTTACGATAATCGTAATGCCAAGGATATCGTAAGCCTAAGGCTAAAAAAGTGCGGGACCTTACGGTCGTATTGTATTACCAAGGATATCGCTATGTCAGGAACCGTTATATCGAGGTTCTACTGTATGTCCATCTGATAGGCATGAGGAAGGACCCACTTTCAACTCGCAGAACCAGTAAGCTCCTCGCGTGGCCAGGACCCGCTATCTTTTGCACACTTCCATCGAGGGCAGTGCATTGCTGTAGTCGCAATCTGACAGCAACGCCCAGCTCGTCTTGCTGTAGCCTTACTACGTGAATCTCGCAGGAACCAATGGGCTGTCCACCTGAACAAGAGATGAGTTTTTCCAGAGCTTCACCAGGAGGGCAGTGAAATCAGCGTCGCACATTGCCAGACTTCTCGTTACGCCAGCCGCCCCGACACTTTTCAAAGTTCTCTTCTATATCGCCTTGCTCCGTTTGGTTGGCATTCACTGTGATCCACTTTCGGTCACCAAGACCAGTGAGCGCCTCGATCAACCACGGGGTCAACTACTTTACTCTTCCACGAGGAGGGCAGTGCTCCAACTGCGCTAGAAGACTAGATCTGCGGACAGAGGAGTCGCGCGTGAGCCTCGTGTACCATCCTTTATTTTGGCAAATGAAAGAATCGTCTGGCGACGACGTATGGCCCCCGTTCTCGTGGGCAGTGAAAGCTGGCAAGGCATGAGGCTTCGTACAACTGGTGTCAGGCGTGAGGCCCGTTGAGTCCGCAGCTGGACTAACGGCTGACGATGGGTGGTGCAAACTTTCTTTGTCTTCAAACCAATGAAAGTCTCTTCTAGCAAAGCCGTGCAAATTTCAGATCGTGGAGCTTCAGCGCACTGAAAGTTTAGAAACATAGGGCTCGAGAGCCAGTCCTGATTTAGCAAGTAAATCGAAACAGAGTTGGTCCCTCCGTTTGTTATTCGTACTGATGATATGCACTATGCCACACCAATTGCCGATTGCAGGGCGAAGAGCGCGGCGAGAAAAGACCCTGTTTTAAGCCAATGGAAGTCTGGTCTGGCGAAGGTGTCAAAGTTTCTGCTCTTTGATTTCGAGGGCAGTGAAGGTGGGCCGCCGCTAGCTTCGTTGACGCCTAGAGCAACGTTATAGCAATGACCAAACGAGCCAATACATGGTCTGGCTGACCGAACTCATCAATTTTGCGCTTCATGGAAAGAAGGGCAGTGCCCAAAAATCGACGGAATATTAGAAGCTCTCTCATCTGACAAAGTTTTCCATTTTTTGCTGTTTTGAATGTGACCAATATAGAAGAATTCCGTTCTTGTCCTTCCTTCCTGCTGTCTTCGAAATTCCATCAGTACTGCTCATCACTTACTTCCCAAGCAAGACATCCACTTTATGACGCTAGATCTAGTCACTTTTCCGCCCAATCTCCTTCGGTACGGTTGAGTCGTCGACGTAGGGTCAATCTCCTAGCCGTGGAGCATTATAGACTGAGTTTTCATTAGTTTCAGTCTTGAATAGTAGTTTTATGGGGGCTAGCTTACCTTTAGTTTTTGGAGTTGTTCAATTCTTTGCGCGGGGCCCTTTACGTCGAACCCTCCACATGCGAGGCCAAGTTTTCTCAGTTGCTTGTTCTTCACATTCTAAAACAAGAGATTTAGTTGCTTCAGTAGCCCAAGAGGTGAGATCAAGACCTACCTCTTCTATTGTTTTATCCATAATATATCGTATCACCGTCACCGGCCTCTCTTGGCCGAGCCGGAAAATTGGACCAATTGCTTGACTTTCGACAGACGGGTTCCACTGGGGTTCGAGAAGGTAAATTCGGCTTGCAATGGACAGGTTGTTGAGGCTGGAAATGTCAGCAAGGCTCGCTGTGCGGCAGGCTAGCAATATCCAGCAGAGCAGTGACATACCCAACGGCTCCAGTACCTAGAGTCATAACCAGAACTCCTACTTCTGGATTTCCTTGGAACTCGGCTAGAACTGTCTTGCGTTTTCCGAGAGACAGAGAACCATCGACACGGCAATATCGAACCCCGTTAGCATTGAACAGATCCCCGATGAGATCAAGACTCTTTTTCCAGAAAGAGAAAACGATGCTATTCGATTGTGAGTTACGATATCCACAACAAAAAAAAATCGAATTGGAGTTAATACCTTTTCTCGTAAAGAGGGTTTCTTTGGATATCCTCGAGCAAAGCCAACAGTTTCGAAGGATATGTTTTTCTAATAACAGCTCCTCCCTCGCGAACTTTAGTCTCTTTTCGGATATGGTTGTCCGTGCAATGCTTTCCGGAACAGAATGGACATGATTGTGCTCCATCTTTTGGGGTCTTTCTGAGTTCTTGCTGGTATTGAGGGATGCATTCGGCACAGATCATTATACGGCATTCCGTCATGTGGACGAAGTCTAGATTTTCCGATATATCCAAGGATAGGATATCGCAAGAGCAAAATTTGCAGACAACTTCTCCAGTCTGTTGGAGAAGGCTCAAGATCTCTTCGGAGTCCATAGGGGAAGATGAAGAGGGACTGCTGTTCTCCTCGGGGGAACCGTTGTTGCAGTATAAGCGAAGTCGGAGCAATGCCTCGATTACTCTTTGATGGGTTTCCTTGGTATTGTGGCCACTCAATGCTAAATCAAGGACAATTCTGCCTTTCAGAAGAAGATCGTTGTACTCTTGTCGTTCTACAGCAGAGAATTGCGGTGTTCGCTCCTCTACTTTCAAGCCAAACAGGCAAAGAATATCCTTGGGACGTCGAAGACAGATCGAACTGAGTAGGAGGCGGAGATTCTTGAAGTCGACTTGCAGATTACATTTAGACGAGTGAGTAACATCGTTGATATACTTTCGAAAGATCGCAGGCTCCTGCAGGATCGGAACACCTAGGAAAGAAACGAGTGCAGAGAGATCTGTCAAGGAGTTTTGAATGGGGGTACCGGTCAAGCACCATCGAATATGAGAGGGAATTCTGTTCACGGCCCGGAATTGTTTGGTGGATAAATTTCGAATTACATGCGCTGGAGCAAAGTTATTCGATGCAAATGTGCTATTGGGGCAATATCTCTGGGGACCAAATACCTTCATCAGCAATAAGGCGATACCATTTGACATTCTCAAGGACTTTGTGCGGTCGATTAAAGTCTGCGACAACTGTGCCATAGGTGGTGAGAACGATGTCGTATCGAACAAGAATAGATGGATCCTTGGGTCTATCTTGACCATGGTACTTGCAGTACCTGAGCGACCCTCGAAAAATATGTCTACAAATATCAGCGGCGGACGACACACACACACACACACTTCCGGGGCGTCGAACTTATCAATCTCTTCGATCCAACTATCAAGCAGCACTATGGCATGATCAGATTCATTCTTACGACTCTACAATTCCTGGAACTACACTCACGTGCAGAGGGTACAATGATCAAAGTGGACTTAGCAGCCCTTGGACCTTCAACGGGCGGTCCGACGTAAGATATTGGCCCAGCAAACTCGCTCGCTCGATCTAGAGACCCCACGATTGCACATAACATCGCTAAAGACTTGCCAAGGCCCATATCGTCAGCCAGAATGCCTCCCAAGAAATCGTTTCGGAATGGACTTTTAGCTCCTGTGATGACGTGTTGGTAACTGTGGTTGGAATGACAATCAACGAGAGTCCAAGAGTTTTCCAGTCATAAAAATGGAAGGCTTTACTGATTATTGAAAGTCTTTCGTTGAATTCTCGAGTTCCCAAAGACTCCGGGAGACCGGTGAGTTCAAAGTTTCGCGCCTAACCACATAGTCCACCGCCTCCCCTTGGTGGCTGACCCTGTTAGTTGCGCCGAGTGAACTGAATTCAATTAAGTATTTACCTTAACAACTTCGTCATTACACGAATATCCACAACTGCTTCTTTTAAGTAGTCATGCCGTGGAAGTTCCTCAAGAATTTTGTCGAAATCAGGATATCCATCATTCTGAACCAACGCTTTGTTGTCTCCCGAATCGGTGTGAGCTCCAGCACTAGGAGTTTGTGAATTTGAAAAGACAGGCAACTCAAGCACTTGCACAAGACCCGGGAGATCTAGGTATTGTGGGTTCTGATAGGGAAGATTAGAGGTTCCATAATGGGGCGGCTGCAGGAAAAGCTGCACTCGAGACAGTCCTTTTGCTGTGGCATCCAGCTCGCATCTAGGCCCCGAGATATTTATATCAAGACCGATACACCTCCGTTTCGAATCTTTACCACCGGGGAAGATTCTCTCCTGCCAAGCGTTCCAGGCAATTAGAGCAGTATATTCTAAATCCGGGAAACAGTTCAATCCAGCGAGGCTTCGAAAAACCCTTTTGTTCAAAATTCCGAAGGCACAACCTTCTTTCGTCTGAAGCACACAATACTCATCCTTGAATAAAAGCTGAAGAGGTAGAAAGCCAAGTGGTTCTGTATCCATGTCCTGGGATGCCACAGCTGGTATTTTCAAAGCGTCGATGTCAAGACTCTCGTCGATCTGGACCTTCACATCACAGAGCTGTGGTATTCAGCATATGGATATATCGCAAGAAGGGCTGCTGAACACCTACCGATCCATAACAAACCTCGACAATTTTTGGAGCAGGCTCGGAAGCAAACGACGATTCCGTGGGTATTTCGTAACTTGAATCTGTCGGCGCTACCCCTTCAAAAGCATCCAGGTCATATCCCGCAGATATGGAAGGGTTCAAATTGAACTCTTGCCCACTGTAGAACATGGTGTGTTCCTCGAGCTGGCACAGGCTATTGTCGAAGCCCTGTTGGCCTTGCCACAAATCTTGAACTGAAGGGATTGAGTCGTCAGGTAGGGCGTTCACGGCTGGCAAGATCCTAGAAATCGAGGCTTGAGTACAAGCGGCATTCTCATTGTTTTCAAACCAAGTCTGCCGTAGATCTTGTCCCCCATAGTCGTAGCCGTGGCATTCAGGCTCGTAAAAAAGTCGCTTGTCTCGGGGCATGTCAACATCCCGTCCCCATTCAGTCGCTCGTGGCCGTTTCAAACTCGACATGGTCCTTTATCTTCACTGAAAGGTATATTGAAAAATCGGCTTGAAAATGGATATATGTTCGCAATATTGTGTCCGAACCCAATCGTTTTGACGGCAAGGCTCTCGTTGCCTCGATTACTCGTGATCGTGGTTTGCTTCCGAAACTCTGCAATTGGAGGACATCGCATGCATGCACTGCCCCCATCATTTGCACACCCACATGACTATAAAGTGAGGCTGACTTCGCGAAAGCACATATTGAAGGAGTCCACCTTGCGAATTAGCCTTGCGTGAACATCAACGTCCGAAGTCGTCAATCTATGTCAAGTTTTTCAACAGGAGCTTGACTTTCACAACTCATCACACTCTCAATTCATTCCGCCATTGTTCGTTTCTTTCAAGGATTGAAGCTCTTTGTAGCTCGCTTCATTGAGCAATAGAAAACGTCGTGCCACAGCTTCCCTGACTTGCCGAAGGTGCTGGTAAAAGGGAACCCAGATCACTGCATTACTTGTCGATAAATCTCACCAGCAGATATGGCGACGGCGATATCCGACTTCGAAAGAGCGGTCGAAGCCTTCAAGAAAAACTCAGCCCTGAATGAGGCTGAACTGGTTGATTTCCAACTTACGGACCTTCAGAGTCTTCAACAGGCGATCAATGCAATCCAGAATCAGCAGGCGAAAAACAAAAAATTAATGTATATGAGAAGGCTAAAACCCTTTTTAGACACTATGGAAGACTACGGCCAGATCCTCAAAGCTTTCTTGAATACTTCCAATTACATCGCTTTTGTTTGGGTAAGAACTCTTGCGCCACCCATCCCGCAAATGCTTGTTGACATGTACAAGGGTCCTATGAAGTTTATATTGTTGGTACGCTTTTGTGAAAGTACTTAATTTGGTACGGTGTTGACCATAGTCAGGTCGCCTCCAATATGTCAGAAGCACTAAACTCTCTCCTCGATGCATATCAACAAATTGGAGAGCAGATACCTCAACTTTCGCAATACCAGGATCTTTTTTCCTCAAGCCCACACATGGGGACGGCATTGTTCATGATCTTCCAGGACATCCTGGAGTTTCATCGAGAAGCCTTGGGATTCTTCAAAAGGCGAAGTACAAAGCCCCCTCCCTGTATCTTGTTTGTCCGCTAAGAAAGCATGAAGAGTGGGAAAGGCTTTTTCAATCATCGTGGAGAGGCTTCAACTCCAAGATAAATGGACTGAGGGACAAGATGCAGCAGCACAGGCGTCTCATCGAAAGCCAAGCGAGCATTGTTGAGTTCGAAGAAATCCAGAAGATTCGAAAGCTCGCAGAAGTTGAATTCCAGAACGTAAGAGATGCCGACCTAGACCGTCGCCGCTCGAAAGTCCTGCAATGGCTGTCACCTGCGAGCTCCGAGACTATTCAAGAGGGTTGCGAGAAGGCCAGGTCGGAGTATCCACGGACGGGCGAATGGTTACTCACAGATGATAAATTTAGCAAATGGTTCCATCCAAATTTCTGTTCTAACCCATTGCTTTGGCTCAGTGGAATTCCTGGCGCGGGTAAGCTGCAACTCACTTTAACAAGTGAAAATGTCTACTGACCATGATCAGGTAAAAGTGTGCTGGCATCACTCGTCATAGAAGAAGCACGGGCGCTTCCAAACACTACAGTTACCTTCTTCTACTGCAAATACGGCGACGAGTCACGAAACAATTTCTTGGCTGTTGCAAGAGGTATTTTGTCTCAAGTGTTGAATTCCGAGAAATCCAACGATATCCTTCTTTATGTGGATGAAAAGGCTTCAAGCAGTGGTGAAACGGTGCTCAGCAGCTCAAAGCTTGCGAAAGAACTCCTCGAAACGATCTTTCAAAGTTGCAAGAAGACCTATATTATCCTCGATGGCCTTGACGAGTGCAATCGAGATGAGCGCAAAGAAATAGCTACCTGGTTCCGCCAACTTGTGGACGGTCTTCCTCGAAGAGAAATGGACACTATTCGTTGCCTATTTGTCAGCCAGGATGATGGCTTTGCACGAAAGGATCTTTCCATGCTTCCATCAATTAAACTGACATTGAACAGCAACAAGAGCGATATCGAAACGTATGCAAAAGTGTGGCATCAACGAATTGAGGAGAGATTCGGACCCCTTGATCCAAAAAAGCTGAATATAGTTAATATTGTTATTGTGAGGGCTCAAGGTGATTGTCATTTGTCCCATTTCTGCCCTGTACAATGGACTGATTTTTTCAGGCATGTTCCTGTTCGCAAAATTGGTCGTGCTGAACCTCTACAACCAGACATCGCGCAAAAAGCTCATGGAAGAGATGCAGGAAAGATTTCCTCGGAATCTAGAAGAAGCGTAAGCAAGAAAACAAACATGAGGGAGAGCATTTCTAATGTCTTTTACAGCTACGCAAGGATAATGGACAGAATACTAGAACCGAGTACAGCAATTGGACGACAGAACGATGCAAAGCAACTTTTGGGATGGATTGCATGTGCGAAACGTCCGATGAAGTGGTACGAGATTCAAGGTGCGGTGGCCATTGACCTTGAAAATCAAGCAGTGGACTACGAGGGCCGCATGCACCGTGTGGATCCGAAAGTCCTCTGTGCTTCTTTAGTTGAAATACGTTCAGACAATTCCATAGAGCTAGTACATACCACTGCCAGGGAGTGAGGTTTCTTTCCGTCCGCATGAGAGATCATATCTTACTAAGGACTTCTACAGATACCTTATCAGGAGCAAACATATCAATCCCACCAAAGTCGAATACGACTTAGCGATTCTAAGTGTGTCGTATCTCAGTCTACCAGAGATAACCAAAGGCAGAGAAGACTGCGACACCGAGGAAGCACTGCTTCAAGGTTTCTTTTCATTCTACGAATACGCCGTCTCATCGTGGGTCTTTCATCTCGAAGCCGGAGTTTCAGTTCCAGCGAAAGAGCTCCTAGCTCAACTAGAAGAGGCACTCGAAGTATTCCTAGATCTTCATTGGACTGATTCGCCCGAAGTGCTCGTGGTTTCGAAGACCACTAAAGACAAATTACAACCACTGCATGAGTATGGCATCTACAGCAGGCTAGCACAAGCTGTATTGTCTACTCGAAAACAATTCGGGCGTCATGGGCAAGGTCCAAGTGATGATGAAATTTTGGACCTGTCCAGTCTCACTGCCAAAGTAAGGACAGTTCTCGAGAGATTGACTCCTACTTCAACTGACCCGCAGAGACAATTGACACTGGAGAGTTTCTACGGCCCAAATCGATTCAAATGTCCGCGAGTTAACTGCCAGTACTTCTACAAAGGATTTCCCAAAGAGGAGCCTCGTAAACAGCATGTAGCGCGGCACGAGCGTGCTTTCTTGTGCTACTTTGAGGGGTGTCCATCAAGCATTTTCGGTTACTCTTTCCCCAAAGAGCTTGAAGACCATATGTTCAACGATCATGGAATTGATACGTCAGATGACCTAGATTTCCCTAAAACTGCTTTGACGCTACTGCAGAAAACACATCCTTCAATTTATCAGTGTGATAAGTGTCCCAAGAGTTTTACTCGGAAGTACAACTTAATGGTACATTTGAGAGTGTATGAGGGTGATAAGTCATTCGTCTGTAACGAATGTGGCCTCGCCTTCACGCGAGAGAACGACAAGAAGCGACACGAAGCACTCCACGGTGGAGAGAAGGCCTTTGTCTGCAAAGGCACTCTCGATGGTGGCGGCGAATGGGGATGCGGCTTGAGCTTTCTTCGAGCTGACAAGCTGTCCTCACACCATAAAAGCGCCATAGGATCGCGGTGTATTAGACCAGTCCTGGAGGAGAGGGCCGAGGCCAAGAGAAATCTCGAAGAGCAGGAAAGAGCCATGCACGTGGAAAATGCTGGAGAAAGTGACCCGACAAATTCACTATCAACACTTCTTCCGTCACTTCCCCCTTTCCTAGAAAGTGCTGCGATGATCCGAGCTCCATCGGTACCCTACGAAGACAGAGCTCGCCGTCGTTTTCTCGATGTCCCCACCAATCAGGCAATGGCCCCGCTGATTCCCAAAGGCGGTAGCGAAGACACTCCCAAGTCCCGAGATAACCCATCACAATCGATGAGGGGATCCGAATCGGACGGGTCAATAGACAAAGTCCTTATTTCGTCGAAACATACTTACCAACGACCAAAACATAAGCGAGTATTTTGCAACCTGTGTTCTCATAACTGGGAGGGCTTTCGAGGCGAACACGAGCTTCGCAGACACGTAGATCGTGAACACAGATCAATTGTTCAGAAATGGATTTGCGTCGAGCCGGATGATGGCTCACCTCATCCGAGGCCTGTATTGCCTCTATCAAGATGCAAGGCTTGCAAACAACAGAAGAAAAAATATACAGCTTATTACAATGCGGCTGCACATCTTCGACGTGCGCACTTCAGGCCGAAGAAGCTTAAAGGTGACAATGGTAATGATATTGAGAGACGTGGTGCAGACTGGCCGCCGATGTCAGAGCTGAAGTTTTGGATGAAGGAAGTTGAAGATCAAAATGATGATCAGGGTTTCCGTGACAACAGCGAAGGCCTTGATGACAATGATGTCCATTTGGGGGGGCTGCAGGGTATGGAGGCTTTCGAAGGCTCCAATTTCTGGACTTCCTTCGATCCTTCACTGAACCAAATGCCGACGGATGCTACAATTCTCGACCCAGCAGCTTTCCCAACGCAGCCTCTCGAATCGATGACAGAATTTGGAGGCGGCTTGGCAGGGAACGAAACCTTGTTTGGAGGTGCCCACTGGGAATATCATTGAGCGGCTGAGCAGGTTGTCGAAGACGAAATGTATGCCCCTCGATCTAGTGGCGAACACCCAGCATAAGGGAGACGAGTCCTTTTCGACAGCAGCCGATGTCTCATGTGTTGGTAGACTTGTAAACCAATTTGGACAAGGTCGGGTTTATGATGAGAGATGCAGGGTTTCAGCTCTCGAAATTCGAGACATGACAAGAAAGTTGGCCGGGTTTTCCCACCGCCCCTTTTTTTATTGTGGTAAATTGGTGGAAGATGAGTTGTCAGTAAAGAAGTACTGGGGCGTCAGAAATTATGAGATAGCGGAGTTCATTTTCGAGCCATATTCAAGGTTGGATTTGGAATGAAGTTGCGTGATTCATCACCTGAAAAATCCTTTAGGTAATAAAGAGTATTAAGAGATAGCTGTCACAATCTATGAAGCTGCATCACTCTTTCTGACTTGGTACTTGAAGGTCACCAAAGGCGACCTTCACTGGGAATGTTTGAACGATTAATTGCTCTGTTTATCACCCTAGTAAGAGCTGGTTTGCCATCGGATAATCCTGACGACCTCTCGACCAAGACCCACCACGAACTGTCACGCCCCACCAATAAACATTTCTCGTTTCCGCCTCCCAACCGGCCCAGATACTTTCGAGAATCACCTGTGCCGTCTCAAACATATAATATCGACATCTTGAACTCCAATGGCTGTTATACTGCCTCGCAAAAGCCCGATCGGACTCGTTTCCAGCTTCTGCTGCCGCAAGGAAGATCGGGATCAGGACTTGTTTCTGAATGAGTGCTTCTTGCTTAATACAACGAATATGATCAAGAATTATTCGAGAAAGGAAGCTGATCGACTGTAGACCGCGCTGGTCTTGCTTCTTAGCAAAAACTCGAACAGCGTAAAGCATTATGGCGTATCTCCAAGCTTCGCTGCAATGGAACCTATCTCTTTTCGCGTCAGGATCTTCATGGTCTTCCAGGTCCTTAAATGAGCAATCATCTTCGTTTTTCCAGTTCTTGAGTTCTTCAACTTGGAGATCAACCGGGAGAAGGTTGAAGGTTGTCCATTCGCAATTAAGTGAAGCCACCTTTTCGTATGTCGACGCTAGCTTTGCGAGATGTGCCATAACACGCACGAATGGACCTGGACACCCGTTCAAGTTGAAGAATGTCCAACCGTCGTCTGGGTTGCATTCCAAGAGTGTCTCCAGATACGTCAGAGGGAATATCGGCTCTTGCCGAGATAACAAGGCAACTGTGATGTCCCACCTGAGATGTGTAAGCTTGGTTTGTTGCCAAATAAGAGCTTCTTGACTCACCAAACGAGCATTGCTATTTGAGCTCTCCTCCTGGGATTCTGTTTGCAGACCTCCACGCCTCCAGCACTTTCGAGCAGCTTGAAAGCGCCAAGTAAGTGCACATCCCATGTGCCAGAAGCAGATTCTAGGTAACGGGGGAGTCAGCAATTGCTCAATTGCGATGGTTTCGGAAGGGCACATTGTCTCGGGAGAATATCACGAAAGAGTCAAAAGTAGGAAAGAGATTTTCCCCCAGCACGTACGTGTAACCTTAAGAAATTCATTAGATTCCACTAAAATCCATAAACTGACAGACACTTACATCGAGATTTACTAAGATAAGTAATGTGTCGAGGAGGACGAGAGCATCGGATTTGCTTAGAGCTTCGCTAAACAGGTGCGTGGCAGCCGAACGATGGACTTGCATCTCTTGTGCCAATGCCTCATCCTGACTCTTTTTTGCTAAATGTTGCATAGAAAGAGCCAGTATAGCATGCAGTAAGTATTGAGAGCCTTGGACACACTCCTGCCGAACCCTGAATGGATTCGCAGTGCAGTCCATAGTCAAGGGTATAACGCAGAATTCTTCGTCATCTGTGCATGTGAGTCAGCTATCTTAAGCGGACAGGTATCTGATTTTGGGTAAACCCAACGTACATAGTGAAAGAACTGGACTGAATTTATGGTGTGTATTGTTGTACAAGACTCCATACGATAAATGATTCCTTGAGCCCTGGAATAGCTGGAGGCTCAGATTTGGGTCACCGGTCTGAGACAAATGCTCAATATCAGAGAGAATCTCCGAGTCTGGACTGTCAGTCGAGCTTGTGGCGTCTGTGGCATTACCTATGTCAAATGAGAATGGGTTTCCGAATTGATCTGGGCTGTTGGAGAACAATGGCCCAGGCGAGAGTCCCGCAAAGCTCCCTGCTGCTTCCAATGGATCCTGCCAAAGATTCTCATCATTTGCAATCCAGGAAGGTGTGGAAGGCCAATTCTGGATTTCAAAAGCTGTAATCGGGCTTCGAACTGATGCCTCATTGTCAGTCTATGTACGGCTCTGGGAAGGATTCTGAAAAGGCTACCTTCAGACACGCTCCCTTCCGCTTGAATCCAGGCATCTCCCGGATTCTCCGTGTCTTGTTCTCTGAGAGGCAGCAGTACACCCGGCTCTTCGACGATTTCTTGTTGAGGACTTGGTCTCAACGGCCTAACATTCACCTCATCACGGGACAGCGATGGACCCGGAGTTCGAGCATGATCTACGACGCTGTTTTCATTGTCCGTAGGCTTTTGGACTTTCCTCTTCTTCTTCGGTCTCCCTTGCTTGAACTTGAATCGTCGTTCCGATGCCACAGCAAGACCGGGCGATGGAGGAACGGAACCTCGACCTGGAGAGTTTCCACTGGGCTGTTTCCACGTGAGATCCAGGACATATCCACCGCATTTCCGTCGATGTTTTATGCAAGTGCCACACTGCGGACGTTGCCTGTCACACCATCTCTTCAGCTCGGAGCAAGTGTGGCAATCCGATTTTGCAAATGCGAGTGAGTTGGTTCGGTGACGAGCAGCCATGACGTGAGAAGTAATCTGAGAGTCTTTTGAAGATCACATGCTTGAAATGAATAGAAGGTGGCTTGTCTTTCTGGATATCTGCGCTGGATTGTGTTGGGTGAAGGAAAGTGAGGTACAGTAGATTGAGGAGAACAAAGGTTGATAAGGATGCCAAGTGCAGATCCGCTGACTAGAACTACCGCGATTCCAACTAGTGTTAAAACCCGGAAGTAAGCGAGGGCGTAAGAAGACCCAAAATGCGAGAATTACCTTACGATATTACATGCTACGATTTCTCTGCAACGATAGCCTTAAACGAGACCGTGAAGGCTTATAAAGAATGGGTACTGTTGCATGGCACGTGGGCCACTCCTGAATGCCCCCGCATGCCGATCTCACGTGATTCCGGGGGCCTGTTCCTGGGCTCATTTCCACCTATGTCAACTCTCCGGAGCACTCAAAAATCCATGCTCTTTAAAGCGTCCTTCGCGTACGACAGGTACCTACACTTCCTCATTTTTGAGTATGCGCTTAGATTCTAGTGAAGTAATTATACTATAATACAATTAGGGCATTTTTGGGGAAAATCGAGGGGCTGGCTAATCGCGAATTTGGACGATTTCAACGAACTTTACTAATATATATCTAGAGTATAAATCCTAGGGCCCAAATAAAACGCCTTAGTACACCCCTGCTTTCGATAAGAGGGTTAGCTATTTAAATTAAAATTAAGCATAAGGCTAGGCTAGTACCCGCTCGTAAAGGTACGAACGGGTACTAAATTACAGCGCACCATCGCTAATTTATAGTGGGCCCTTCCCCTCTTAAGATTAACCCAAAAGCTATTTAATCTGGTCTTACAATTGTTTGATATTAGCTGAGGGGATTTCCGAAACGTTCATCATTTTATTTCTAAAACGTCAAGCCCATCGAGTTATATCCAATACTCCAGATCAGAATATAGAAACTACCTTACACAAATCTGTTGATTGCTTACATGTCTTGGAACCATGCCAGAAATTCCTCGGATGCAGCAGAAAGCTACTGGTCATACACAAGCACTTAATCCATCCTCTTCATACTTGTCACGTATTCCGTAGCATGTTGTTCAGTTCCTTCAATGCTTGAAGACCCACCCATTGCAGCCAACCGTCTTGCTTCCAATTCTGCCATATTGATCTTGGGGCCAACGAACTTGCCCCTTTTCGATGTAAACCAAAGACCGAGAACAAACAGTGTTAGCCCAATAGTAACGACCGATACAAAGTTCATGTTCTGAGGGGTAACTGGCATGGCTGTTGGAAAGCAGTAAATGATATCGAGAAATATCACCCAGATCACTGCAGTTGCATTGACAGCGGTTCCGTATTGACCAAGCGAGAAGTAGCGGGGAGGAAGGACCTTGTCACGGCCACGGTAGAGGAGGATAGCTTGTGGGGCTATGCATGAAGTCTGAAGGAAGACAATGGCTGCAGAGACCATGGCAGAAAAAGCAGCAGTTGAGCCGAGAAAGATGAGTCCGTAGAGCTGCCAAAGGTCAGATTGCTCAACGAGCTCGGGAGCAATCAACTTACAGAGACTACAGTGCCAGAGAGACACATAGCATTGAGAGGCATTTTGAAGCGGTGGCTGACACGCATCCACAGAGAAGAATATGGCAAAGCGTTATCACGAGACACAGCCCAAAGCGTGCGTGATGCAGTTGTAGCATTTCCAGTGAGACAGCCAAAGAAACAAAATGCAAACAGAGCCATCAGTACTGAAGCAGCAGCTCTCGAGCCCGTCCCTTGATAGTAGATCTCGATGAGGGGTAACCCTACATGGAAATCGTCAGCAAAATTTCAGGTTGGACCTTACGATGGGCCCAGCTTACCAGTAGCAGTGGTGATGACAGAGTCAAGGTCCACGATCGCTGCCATACAGGACACGGCGAATGGCCAGGCGGTAATAAGTCCAATTACAAGGGGCCACAGCATGACTTTGGGCACATTTCGGCCTGGGTTTTGGATTTCTTCGCAAAGATGGGCCCCACAATCGCTACCCAGAAAGGCGTAAACAGAATTGCTAATGCTCAAAATGAATGCAAAGCCATCGCTTGGCCACCCGGTCGAGTTTGTGGTGTCGCTAAAAACCCAGGAACTGGAGGGATAATGATTTCTGCTGCAGACTAGGAGAGTGATCGTGGTAGCAGACAAGGTGAGTACTGCAAGAAAGAACAAGAACTGATTGAATAATGGGATGAGGCCAGAACCAAAGACGTTGAGTGCAATTGCGAGCCATACGAGTCCACAATATATCAGCCACTGATGCCATCGTTGCATCTCATAATCTGGATACCAGAGTGTGACAATGGCAAGAATCATCGAAGCAACGAAGTTGGAAACAGATGCTGATCCAAGCCACCAGCCTACCAACGAATTAGTAATGTATTTCTGTAGGGGCGAGAGGGCCGGGAGGTAGCCGGGAGCATGAAACATCCTCTCCACCAGCGGGATAAGGAGCTCGGAATATAGGACAGAGGAATGGGTTGATTACCTAGAACCGAGAGCCAGCCGTTGCTTTGAGCTAGTCAGTGACTATCAATAAATGCTACAATAGATCACTCACACATATGCAGCAAACGGTTTGTAGTCCTCTCTAGCAACCATGAAAGACCAATAATACTGTGCTCCAGCAGCCGGGTATGCGGATGCCAGCTCTGCCATGCCAAGTGTGACAACCATGGTCATAATGCCAGCGATAGGCAATGACCAGATTGTTCCAGCTGAAGAAGCCTCAGTCAAGCTAATGCCCACAGAGGATCCAGTTCCGAGCCAAGTGCAAGTGAGAGTAAAGGAGAGTGCGCCCAGACTGAGCGTAGAGAATTGCCTGGGCATCTCCCTCTGGTAGCCAAGAGCTTCCAGCTCTCCATCATCGATGAAGGTATGATCTTCTTGGGTCATCTTGGCTGTAATTTAGGAATAATGGGTTGAGATTTGAAGACACGGATGTTGCAGAGCTTATGGACGACGAAACGGCGGAACAAAGAGCTTTATGTAAGTTAAAGATTCGATATATCGAGACATTCTGATATGTTGACGTGGCTTGAAACCTTATCATCAGATACATCCTTTCAGCTCTGATTGAAAACATCGGTAGCTTGCTCATGCTAGTCGACGCATGGACCCCAGAGTGGTTTGTGGAGAAGTTCGCCCAGAGAAGGTAGGATCTCGGTTGCCAAATCGGGTAATTCTGGGATATCATCACGGGCGCAAGCATTCAAAGTTGTGATGGGTTGGTACGTCGCGCATCATCTCTTGTCTTAGATTGTGGGGCATACAGAATCGATATTGAGTTGGTTTTTTAGCTTTTACAGTAGTTGAGGTCCTTTAGTAAATTTGAGGGATCGAGGTACGAGTCACGTGTTACTGATATCGTCCTGGTGATTGTGTATGGGTTTCCAGGAAAGCATGATGAACAAGCAGCTTGCTATAGATTGCTCCGGGGGAGCATATGGATCTCAAATAGACAGTTCGGTTCCGGAAGGGCGGATACTTTGTCATTGAAATTCGTTCGAGCTTTTGATTCCCTGTATTGTCTCATTAGAAGTTGCTGAGAGGAGGCAGCTCAGAAATCTCCGAAGGTCAACCATATTTTAATCCTTGACTCCATCTTCTTCGAATTGACTCAGACGACTTTGGTGGTCTCACATATTGAGATCTTTGTAGTACAAATTATCATATTTACGCAGAAATTTCGAAGTGTTCTAGTTGAGTTGTGTTCAATGAGCGAGACGAATCTTTGAGCTGGAGGGAATACTATCGACTTTCAATTGAGCAGACTAGTCACATCTACAAAAAAATATCAAATTTGATAGTTCTAGGGAAACCAAAAGAATTAAATACCAAATACTATGGACTTGTGTGAGAACGAAATGAATACATGAAAAATGCATTGCGTAAAAATATGTTATAGAAAGCGCAATAATAGTTGCTAACCAACACTAAAGCCAATTTATACATAAAATGAAAGTCTGCCATATTTCTAGAGCTCTCCCTCTACCGTAGCATACCTTGGATCATGCAGGCTGTGCAGTTTTTGCAAAGCTGTCCTCCTTTTGGAAAAGGTCTTTGTTTCCCTACAGCTCATATTAGCAAGGCTCCAGAGGTGATAAAAATAATTCTTACCACGCCGGCGCTCGGATCTAAGACCACCATGGGCTTGGGAAATGAATTAGCTTTGACATCCATGAGGGGTTCCAACCTACTCACATCCGTACTCTTTACCCAACCCAAGAACGGCTCACTCAGTTGATAACCAGCAATCTTCTGAACATCCTTATCCATTGCCAGAGTCTCCTCCCGAGTGAAAGAAATGTATTGATTCTCCTCCTGTCTCAACCATCCTCTGGTCATAAAGCAGCTGAAAAGTAATCGCTCCTGATCCTTGGTCGTATTGGCGCCTCCTCCATGGTAACAGCTTGCGAACATCATAAAAGCATCGCCACGTTTTAGTTCTGCATACGATACTAAGTTATCGTCTGGCTCCCTGCCATGCTCCCAAAGATGGCTTCCTGGAATGAATCGCGTAGCACCGTTTTCGAAAGTTGCGTCCTTTCCAGCAACGAACCATCCAATGCCAGTATCACGTTGCAAATCATCGGGGTACCTGTCAGCCTTTTGCGCAACAACTTGATAACACCAATCATCACGATGCAGTGGCTGAGCGTGAGCTCCCGGGTTAATCGAGAAACAGACAGTGTTCATGATTTGCGGCTTGCTTGTGGCGAAGGTTTTCTCATGGCCTGACCAGAACCAATTTCTAGTGGTGAGAAATCTGTCGCATGTTTCTTGGTATAGCGGATGCATGACAACCTAACGTGCGCAGGTTGGGGATGAAAGCAGCTGGTAAGCGCGTCGTGTCTGCTTGGGAAAGAAGTCTCCCTCCCAAGGGCTATCCGCGTTGAGTCTGGGCCGCATGTCCTCTGTGCAGGATTGTTAATGAGGACTCTCTGGAAGGTGAGGAATTGTTGAATAACTTACTTTCGATCAAATCCAACGCATCATGAGATACAGCATTTCGAATGATGACCCCACCAGTCACCTTCATGGCGTCGACGATTTCTTCGACGGTACATGTCTTGGAATCCAAGGCAAGGACCTTGGGGAGTGTGGCTTTGGCCATCTCAATCTCCTCCTTCGTTTTTGTCGGTGGGATGGAATATCCTTTGCTTGCATGAAAGCTTGACGCGCTGTCATGACCAAGACCAAGTCTTGGTGCCATTTTGATAATTTGGAGAAGAGTTGTGGAGACTGGTGAATTTGAGAATAATGAAAGTGAAGTATGTCTAACGAAATTGGAGCATCACTTGCTTTCATTTAACAAGGTAACTATTCTGTCGCTCCTTTCTGTCATCATGCGAGGCAAAGAGTCAAGTCTGGAATTACCCAACTAGGCAGGTGGGCCTGATGCAGGGGTTACCAGAAAAGGGGTGGCGAATTTAAGCGAAGTTAATTGGCCCAGCTTTTCGCTTCCCCTATTTCACGAAGTGCTGTTTGTGGAGGGAGCTAGGTTGGCATGGCTGGCTCAGGTTGCAAGGAGCTTCGAGCAATAGCGATTTCGTAAAATAACACATACACAGCTCGAAAAGGAGGCCACGAGTGAGTATGGTAGCTTGGCAAAATACTTTGCGTCCAGATACCTTCCGACGCTTATTTCGTTTCCCGGGGGAAATCCTTGGCAGAAGTCATGTCAGGGAGAGCACGAGGATGTAAAGGACTGGAATTCAGGAGTGATTTGAGTCCTGGTTCCCCCAGGCTGCGCTTCGTCCTTCAACGGCCCATGATTCCATTGTGGCCCATCGTCCTTCCGCTCTCCCTCTTCAAACTCCAACAAACCCCTCAGGGGATGGTAGCCTCCGCTTGAATCTCGACCACCATGCCCTTTATGCAGAGACCAGCCACTCCAACTGCCGTCCAAGTAGGTCTCACATCAGGATATCGCTTCTTCCAGATTTCCATCATCAAAGGCTCGTTCCTTGCATCAGTGAAGTAGCTGACCTAGATGATCTCGGATCAGCATTTCTTCATAGGGAAGTTCGCGATGTTCCAGTAGCCTTAAAATATTTTTCAAAGCAAAATGTCGTGACTGCACTGCAATTTGCCATATATTCAACAGGGAAATGAATCACAAAAATTCTTACCATCTTATGCACCGAAGCAAGCCCATCCTTCACACCCCCAGATCGCAGTGCTGCGTCCACGCAATCAAAAGCAGCCGATATCTGATCTTCCACAGATGTCTCGACCAAAATTCCTGTTTTCAGATCAAACCCCGCTTGGCCTGCAGTGATGACAATACGAGAGCTCGCGGGAATTGACACAGCTTGCGAAAAGCCTGTCGTTTGACAAACAGTCCCTACAAGGTCATTCGTCTGAGAGAACTTGACGGCGCTCATTGTTTAGTAGCTTGGAAAGTGTGTTGGGGTTGTTGATGAGTTGTTGTTAGGTCGTAGATGAAGTTGGGAGGGTCGTAGATTCGCCGACGTGCTCTGATTTTCTGGAAAACACTTCATCCCTTGAGTTTCGGGGTTCTTGATATATGTGAATTCCTTCGCAACATCAGTGTGACTAAATCCACACACACTATCCATTCCTTAGCCCCACCTTACGTATCGGGTAGTAAGACGAAAGCTGTTGTTGGGTAGCTTTTTGAGATGCACCACCGGCAGCGTTGGGTCGAAGCTCCCTCTCATGATGATCAACATGCTAGCTGACGGTGAGAAGTCTCTAGATTCAATGCAAGGGAAGGCTATTTGCATTCGCAAGAACAATGGAATTGTCTACTCTCTTAAATTCCCGAGGTCAAAGAGCAAAGCGCCAGAATTATACTAATTTCTTTTCCCCGTTTCGATGCTCCGGATGTCCAACATAATTCCCACTTTCCTTATTAAAAGATGATAAGTTGATAACTTCGCCTAGTCCTGAATCGTCTTTGTACTTTTACTGAGTCCTTTAGCATCTGAAGGTGATGCCGAATCTTGTTGAACAGGGGCCATCAGTGCCGATATCCTCCAGCACCACTATCATATTGGTTTCCTTCATCCAATATTTGAAGATGGGAAGGACGAAGAGGAGTCCTCCATCCACGAATGTCCAGCTCGTTCCAAGCATGAATTCCTTATTCCTTCGAGTAATCTGAGTCACATTATAAGTTCCGACTGTCGGAAACAGAACACAGCCCAGCAAGGAAGTCCGAGCACGAGGGTGACTGTATATCATGACCTCAAAACCGAGAAGGCGGTATGGATTTGGCAACTGTGGGAAGTGTAAGTTGCTGGTTCAAGAGCTTTTGCAATAAGCTTCACTCACCTCAAACCCCAAGAGAACCTGCTACTCCTTGATGGACTGCTCGACTTGTTTGACATTCCGCACGGCCGAGAGGCCCCATCGCGTCAGCTACTGGAGAGGGTTGCATCTTCTCGGAACTGGAGTCTTGTGAAGCTATTTTTGGTGGTGTGTTAGCTTCTGTTATGTGGTAGGGAAATGATTGAAATCCGTTTCTGCAGCTAGGAGCTACTTTATAAGTTAGATTTTGAAAGTTGCATGAGAATGGGAGTAATTTACCTAGCGTAATCAAGACAATATGATAGATGCGTCAATTGATAGAGATGCTTGTCTACTGAGTAGATGGTTCCTAGGGGAGCCACCCAAATCCGCCGAGAAAGGCAGTTTGCTGAAGCATATCGTACTGTATGCTCCTAAGATAAGACTGGCATTGATAGAGAACGGCCAATAGCAGTTGTTGCAAAATCAAATCCTTGATAATGGGAGATGGCCCTTCGAAAGTCTGTCCTACTTCAGCAGAAATGGGGGCTCGGGGGTCGGACTTTAGCGATCGATTTTAGCGAGCAAGCGCTGGAATCTAGGGGCCGATAGTGCACGGTCCGGGGTCTGTTATCTGCCCCCTTTAAAATCAGGTAATGATCAGCAACACGGAAGACCCACCTCGATAATCATGACCACCCAGCCTCTAAATTACTCAAACAGGCATCCAAGGCATGATAGCTGGCCTAGAAAGCACGTGCAAGTATGGGAAACATCCCAGACTTGTCTATGCCCATGTTTAACGTGGACTTGAAGATGGGGATATTTCATCAGTAAATTCCATTTCCCAGGCCCAACGGCATTTCATCCGAAGATATTTACTTCAAATCCGAGATTTCGATCCTTTCCGCAGTCTTGCCGACATGGCTCAACCTGTAACTACCACAGAACTAATAGGATATGTCGAGCCATGGATCGTTTCTCCTGGAGAAAAAGCTAATGTCAAAGAACGTTTTACCTTAACCCCACTTTACACCCCAAGGCAGATGATATTCAAGGTATCAAGTACGGAAGGGCAATACTCTTCTCGCCTCATACTCTTGATCCAAGGCCACAGCGGCTCTTACGCACCGCCAGTAGAAGAGGAGCAAATCCATGAAGTGGAAGTTCGACAACATGCTTGTTAGAAATACCAGGATGCCAAGCCAGGGTCATATGCTCCCGTGAAGGGCTGGCAAGAAATATCTGTCGGCAGTGGCCTCGAAGTATAGTTCTATCTCCAGCCATACTTGCTTGTTGTCAGCTACTGTCAGACTCTGATATCATGTCTCGATGTTCAAGCTGGAAGTGGCTTCGCAGTTGTTTTGAAAAAGTCTAAGCTTCAGCCGTGGATCGGAACTCAGACTGGAAAGATCCAGGTATTGTAGAGTCAGTCCCCAGTTGGTAGGTGGCGGTGGTTGGAAGTGCGTTTTTCGTTGACTGGCACAATATTCCAATCTCATGTCGAACGACTTCATCGTGTTGCAGAGAAAATCCACAAAGCGGAAGATATCACCGTTGGCCTTTCGGCACCATTAGTTTTGGGATCGACTGCTTTGTCCCTTGCAGCGGGAACGTTTCAAAGCAGTGAAGTTCTGAGGTCAGACCTCTCTCCTCATTCTTCAATGGAAGGCTCGGCTCGCTGTCTTTCAAGTCTCTTGGGTTCAGCATACAACACTCTAACCCAGTATAACTTTCCCAAGGAAATTGGTAGTGATACCATTGCCGACATCTCGGGGAATATCAGGCATGGTGTTCTGAACAACGCTCCAAGCAGAGCAGTAAAAAGCTACGATTGGGATGGATGTGGGCTAGATTGGACAAAAGCGAAGTATGGTTATGGAGTGATCCACTTTCACGAAGATGATCTAGACGACGCAGAATGGACCACAGAATTCTCCATTACCATTCCAGAAACCGCTCGCTCTGGAGCTTACGCCGTACGGATATCGCGGCATAAAGTCATGCGACTTCAGTGTATGTGCCCTGTGGTGCCAGTAGCTATCGCCACACTGTGGGCAGAAGCCACTCCCTTAGCAGTTGCCCGGAGCTCACAAGTGAGTTGTTAAGAAGGGGTAAGGGTCACGTGAACTCTCGCTTACACTCAACTGAGAAAAGGGGTTCCTTCGACTGAGTTTCAATGTCCCAGATGCAAGTTGGACAATCATCTCGGAGAGAGGGTTTCGATGTTCCAGCATTTGGAGCAAATTTGAAGTGACTAGGCTTTGAATGTAGTAATACTTTTGAGAACATTCGGAGGCGAAGTATTTGAGAAATCCAACTTGACTTCGAACATTGAAAATCAGTGCCTCGTTATTGTCAACAGCTAGAGAGGTGCTCAATAAACTTGATCGCATTTAACACTTGAAATAGAAATATTTTCGTACAAATACAAGGGTATTTCTCAACTTCTCAACGAGCGTTCTTCAAATAAACTCAAACCTTCTCACCACCATCAACACTCTCACCGTTCTGGAGCGTGTGCGTGGCAATCCTCGGAGACTCTCCTGACTCTCCCTTAGACGGATGCGCAAACTTAGGATCCTCAGCGTTCTCAATTTCAGCCTCGTTCCTGTCGGCAATATCGCCAGCCAGGGATTCAGTCTCTTCATTGATGTCTTCTTCTGGGAGCAGCAGATTCAGTGCTACGGCGATGAAGGCGGTGACAGCGAATCCTAGGACGAATTAGCTATGTAAAACCAAGATATATCGAAGATGCTTACCAGTTTCCAGAACAAGGACAATAGCATCGAAGAAGCCTGCCTTCGCCTTGTTCCCACCGGTGTAGGTACTATCAACGAATTAGTAACATATTTCTTTAGGGAGGAGAGGGCCGGGAGCGAGCGGGAGCATGAAGCATCCTCCCGACCAATGAGGTAAGGAGCTCTGGATATGGGACACAGAAATAGGTTGCTTACAAAACATATGAAAACCAATTGGGCACTAAGATCGCGCCGAAGCCGAGGGACATCGCGGAAGTGAGGATGAAACGCGTGCGTCTAGTGAAGGGTACGGTGGCGATAATTCTGATACCAGAGATCGCGACGGAGGCAAACAGGAAGGTCGTCATGCCGCCGAGGACCGCGGATGGGATGGACGTCAAGGCAGCCGCGAACTTCGAGAATAAGCCCATGATAATCAGGAAGAAGCATGCAGCGTATCCGGCCTTACGGTTTGCGCATCGGGTGAGGGCGATGACACCGTTGTTCTGGGCAAAAGTAGACATCGGGGTGATGGTGCAGAGGCCTGCAAGCATGCCGTTGATGCCGTCTGCCAAGATACCACCTTGGATTCTCGAGTCGAAGAGCTTACCCTCCACCTGGAGTCTTGAAACATCGCAAGTAGCTGTGATGTCACCAATGGCTTCCATCATCAGGATAAGGTAAACGGCCATTAAAGGCAGGATGAGGGGTCCGTAGACGGAGAGTGGGAATGTGTGTACCCAAATGAAGGATGCGACGGGCGCGGCATCGATACCACTTCGATCAAAATAGCCACATGCTGCCGCGATGATACAACCAACCAGTAGGCCCAAAATAACGCTCACTGGGACACTGTTAGCTCTGCTCCTAAGCGGCAACTGGAAATAACTTACATGACTTCATAATCGGAGCACCAAATCTCTCGAACAGAATAATGGAGACGAAGACCGAGAATCCAAGACCGATGAACTCAGCGCTTCCCCATGGCAGAGGATGAGGGGCAAAGTTCGTCGGGCAGTTCTGGAAGATGCCAGTCTCAGGTCTCCCAAAACAGCTTCCTGCTCCTCCGGCCCAATCCTGGAGACCGCTCTGGATCAAGGAGACACCAATAAGGGTGACGGTTGGACCTGTGACGATGGGTGGGAAGAGCTTCTTTAAGAGAGCGGGCGTCATAAACGAAAGCCCGATCTCTAGCAATGCGCAGAGAGAAGCTGTGCCGAGAATAGCGCCGTATCCTTCCTAGAATTGAAATCAGTATTGCTCACTCCTCAAAGCTTAGGTGGCTTACAGGGCAAGGAAGCTTGGTGCCATCAGCTGCAGTGGGGCACATTCCATTACCGTACATTCTGAATTGGCGTTAGCTTGCATCGGCTACAAGGAATTCAAAAGAAACGTACTGTGCCAATCCCTTGGTCGCAACAGGAATGATAGCGAAAGAGGTCCCTACCACAGAGCTGTTTGCATGTCAGTGGGTAGCTCCCAATTTCGTCTCGAAGGATTCTTACATAAGACCAGTCCCAATATAGTACGGAGTCTTGTAAAGGTGGAAGCGAGTAACTTGGATGGCCGAGAGGATACCGCAGACAACTGGATGGCTGTTAGTATCTCATTGTACAGGGGAGTCTTCAGACAATCAGCAACTTACTCAACGAGGTTGAGACGAGATATTGTTCCGTAGTTGCATCAAAGTTTGCGGACCCGGAGATGATAATTGGAGGAGTAATGATACCAGCCAACATAGCAAGAGCTAATTGGGAGTCAGCGGGCTGTTGTCTTAAAACACCTGGCAAGGAGTCGCAGGGAAGGCGGGCACGGAGAGGGCTCTGCTAAGCGAAACACCGCCGCAAACAGTAACAGAGAAAAATACACTAACCATGCTGGAACCCAAGCAGAAGAGCCAAGACCACTGGCATGCGATCCTGAAGACCAAAGAAAGGAGCTGTTCTCTTCGGCTTGCTCATGAAGGGAATATTCGGCGTGAATAAGAATGCTGCAGCAATTGATTATTAGCCACAACCCCGCATTCCCAATTGCGCGGGAGCTCACCATAATCATAGTCCCCAACAAGACCATCCTTGGTGGTGAAAGCTTTGAAGATGTGAGAGATGTGCTCGCCAAAGGACCGCTTGGGGGAAGCTTCGTTTGGGGGGATGATCATATCTGGCCCATCGTGTGGGCCTTGGTCAATGGTAACAGCCATTTCGGTGTAGAATTCGACTTCAGTCAAAGACGAAGAAGCACTTTTAAGAGTTGGGTGGCACCTTCGTCAGCTCAAGCTCAGTAGAGTGTATATGCCAATGCCAATGGGCTGCTTGTAACTGTTGTTGTTGCTGCTGTTGTTGCTGCTGTGACACACAACCCCAACGCAACTGGGCGTCTCAAGATATATACACGCGACGTTTCGACCGAAGCAGCGGCATCCATCTGGACCGTCGTAGGCCAGGCTCAACCAGCACCATTGCTTTTCCGCTCGCGATAAAAAGCCTTTCTTTCCTCGAGTGAGCCCAGAGATCTCACGCTTCGTGACGTCGGCGCCAGCCGTCCTGCGACGGCCCCGCTTGAGATGCAGCCGGAGCACCAATCACCGCGAGCGGAGACAAACTTCCTTGGTTCGAAAGTCCAATCCGACCACTGACGGGAAATTGTCTTATCGTGTGTGTTATCGGGTGGGCCGCGGGCTGCCCCCGCTGATCCAGATCCGCTCCGCTGCAAATCGTGGCCTCTCATTTTGGGGGAGGGGGAGGGGTCAGGTCGGGTCGGGCCCGAGATGAGCTGTACAGACAGGCAGATCGAGAGTGAGATCTGAAGCAGAGCTTAAACTGGAAGCGTGCCGAGGCCGGTCACGAGGGGATCCGGCCGCCTCCGACGACGGAACAAAGATTTGCCCTGAACTTTTCTTCTCTTTTCTCTCTCTTTTCTTTCTCTTGTGGGGCAGATTTGCTGTCTAATTGATATCACGTGTGGCGAATACACTCCTGCCTTTACCTTCATACGCCGAACTGTCGCGTGGGCTTCAAGCAAGCAGAAACAGAGTTGAGACACCCAGACATCGATAGCCATCTGATCTGGGAGATTTGATGAACCAATCAAGCGCAACTATCTCATTGTATCCAGTTCCGTCCCGTAGATTGGAGGTTGTGCTTTTAAGATACGATTGCACTTGCAATTCTGGTTGACATCGAAGCTGACGATCCGAGACAACGACCAACATCATTGACTGATGGTGATAAATTTTAGTCCATCAACTCCTCAAGCTCCATTTTGTGCTGATAACGCGTCAACTGGTGTAATGTACAACTGGAGCAGAGCCCCATATATCCCAGAAACCCTCCGGTGGTGTCTCACTGTCGCCAGATGAAGCACACCCCTATTAGTCCTTCTCAGATGTAGAAATGATGCCCCCCCCCCTATCCTGCGGCCGTAGTTTTAACAACAAGTTCCTCGTTATGCGTGTCGGTCATTAATTCGTCATCTAAATTCGCTGTTGGGATCTCGAAATGAGAATGCGCGCTGCCAACGCCTGCTAAGTCTGCATGGTATGCTGTCGATGGTTCAACTGCCGCTGCTGTGTCTCGCGGTCCATCAGATGCTGATATGGCCTGTGGTTCCATATTATGCTGTGTAATGTTCTGTGTGCGGTCTTCCTTCGTCTCCACGGTTGAAAGTTTTACTTCATCCGCAGCTGTATCGCGAGAAATATCCACTAAATCGGATCCTGAATTTGATATGGGTAATGGGATCTCTGCAGGAATAATCTGGTATCTCACGGGCGCAGGGCGAGATCTGCCACGCCTGGGAAAGTAATCCTCCTCGCCGGATGTGTCAGTGATCGCATAATCATACACATCGAAAGGCTTTCCACCGGGCCCCTGCCACTCCAGCGTCCTTGGAGTATCCAATTCTTCATGATTGGGAAGGTGCTTCTCCTCTGGGTAGCATGCATCAACCACAACTGGTATTGAGCGTCCAGAAGAATGGTACTCCTCGACATCTGGAAACAAAGTGAGGAGGGCCGAGGCTTGCGATCGACACCTTGGATCATGGTTCAGACAACGATGGCATAAATCCGAGTAATAGTCTGGTATTTCTGCTGGAAAGCTGTCCAGGCTCAAGGGCCGATGGTTCTCTGGTTCGTCTTGTTGGGTAGCTAAAGCGTACAAAACCATGCCCAACTGATACAAATCCGACTTGACCCCTATGTACATGGAGATTCGTTGGTTACTGTCAATGAGTGCAGCAACCTCTGGGGGTTCCCAACCGACGGGGCATCCTCGCCTGTTGATGTCGATAATTTTTGCGTTGTCGTTCGAATCAATGACGATGTTGGAGAGTGTAAAATCACCCTGAACGAAGCCAGCCTCATGGATTTCTGCAAGTCCTTGGACAATCTCTTTGGCCCATCTTTCGCGGCGGCGCCAGGGAATTTTTCCTTCTCCATCGTAGATAACGTCAATTAATGCTCCTTGTTCTGCGAAGCTGATGAGAAGGCCCTTCACAACTTCGCCCTTGGTGTCAAGAACAACGCCACCAAATTGGATCACACTATGGGAGCCAGATAACTGATGTAGTGCGTTGATCTCGTACAGGAACTCGTCTACCGTGTCAGGTCCAGGAATTTCTTTCTTGATGAACGCCTCACCATCAACTGTGACTTTGTAGACGAAACCAGAGAGATGCGAGTCAAAAACAACCTCATCCTCACGGACTCTTCGACAGTTGAGATGATTGATAGCTTTAACCGGAGGGTACGGGATGATCTCTGAAAGATCCTCAACCACGTGAACATGAAGTCTCTCATTTTCAGTCTGCAACTTCAGATTTGTGACCGTATCGTAAAATTGGATATCTGGAAGTGATTCGCGAATCGCCTCATATATGCGGGCACTTTTGTCACGCTGGAATTTTGTGCGTAGCAGCTCTTCTTCCAGTGATCCTTCAGGAGCGTTTCGGTAGTCCAGAGAAAGAGTTACACGCCTCCAATGAGTCGGTGTTTCTGCGAAGGTCACAAAAAACTTCTCCCTCTTCGACTTGTCCCTGAAGTGCATGCTGAGGTTCAAGATCCACCTCTTTTCCAGCTCCTCGAGAATCATCTCATCAAATGCCTCGGTCGAAATCGACTGCGTGTCGATATTCGAAGCCTCATTCCGAATATCCACAAATTCCTTCGCCTCATCTTGTGTTTGTGGTGTGTGTATATCGCTCCTCCCTAGCACGCTCTCGATAGTCTCCGTCGTTTCCAAGAACTCGGGGGCGCTCAACCTTGGTTGCGCCATCACCGCCGCCGCTGAGTTTCGGCACGAGTTAGAGATTCGACGTCGGTCCACTGATAGTGTTCGTCGTTCATCAGGAAGTGGCTGGTTCGGTTCCAGTCTATCTCGAAGTTCTGATTGTTGTCTCTTGAACGTGGGTGCGCGAGGCAGCTCTGGCACGACCTTTCTAGAGAGGCGGCGGACAATGCCAGCCTGTTGTTCATCCTCCGGTGGTGGTGCAGGAGGGTTTGCATTCGCATCAGTTTTCCCCAACAGCCTTTTCCAAGACCATGATGTTCTGTGTTCGATAGATGGGCTTCTTGCATGCGCTTTCTCAGCTTGAGCCATTGCGTTTGTCAGGATGATCCTAGGACCCCACCGTGGATCGTCAGCAACCTCACAATGGTGGAATGCAGCTTGCGGGGAGAATGTACATACAACGTCAACTATCCACTGCGTTGGGATTTCTTGCGGAGAACAAACACCGCCCACAAGTCGGATGGCTGGTCGTGCTTGAGGACATGTATTACGCAGCGTGGTTTTGAGAGAGCAATGGCACTCTCTGACTATAAGAGAAGCGTGTCATTGCATTGGTGCCCTACGCGTCTGGGGGTTTGTTTGTATAAGGCGGACGTGGTGAACAGCCCTGAGGGAGTAAATGTGGAGGCTGTAGGTGAGGTTTGGAAAAAGGTCGTGCTCAGCCACATCGAATTGCTGCGCTGGCATTTCCGCCTCACTTCTCTAAGTGGTTAATGGCTTCTCAGAAACGTGTGACAGATCAGTGCGTGCATTGCAGTTAGAAATGGCCCGAAGCCGTCTCTGTCACCGTTCGGCAGCTTGGATGCCAGAAAGTTGTAAATTGCTAACAACCAATCACGGCGCGAGAAAAGCTTTTATCCAGAACCAGCTCTTGCCTGTCATGCTAATTTTCATCCCATGTCGGCCAAACAGCACATCGTCTACATGATCTCCTTCCGCAAAGTACCTTGTGGACACCCGCAAAGCAAGCAATTTCACGCCCATAAGAAGTACTCATTAGCAAAATTGGGGGTGGCAGGCAAACGACGTGGGCTTCCGTGGGGAGCGGGGACCCCCAAGGTACATTGGTAACATCCCTTGGGCGCCGCTGTGTGGATAGTTGCACCTGTTTCCGGTTCGAAGAACCGCTCTGCAAGATCCATGTGACATTTTGTCTCGTGCCGGGGCATGCGTCGGGCAGCAAGAAGGCAGGCGCTTTGGGTAGTGGTGAGGCTAGTTATTGATGTATGGTTCTTGGACGCTGGGCTCGATGTTCCACGTCAGACCCTCTCCATGGGAGAGAGCGAGTCGGCTGTTAAGTCGAGCCTTCCGCATACGAGTCTCCTCAAATCTACCAATGCCCTATGCAGGAGTGCATGCATTGGAAGGCTCGGCTCGTTCACTGGTTCGAAAGGGGTTGCAGGCGGCCTTTTCTGCAACCTGCGTGGAACTTGCATACGCCTTGCAAAGTTTAGTGGTTGTCGAGTTGTCGCGAAATCTACTGACATGCGACCCTAATCCAGAGTTAGGTTTAGCTACAGGAGGAGGGCTGGGGCCTTGATCACGCCTTGATCACTAGATGGTAGCATTTGTTAGGGAAATTTTCTGATGGTTCGTTCGTTTGCGGAGAGGGATGGGCGAGTAACGGCCTTGCCCACTCTTAGGTTGGCAGATATTTCTACATTGGCTAATTTACATTATCTACTGCATAATGTCGCGTGGATGTCTATCTAGATGCTGCGGAGAGGAGATATCTCTTCTGTCGTCATTCGACGCACTCGAAACGCCGATGTATGCGCCCCCTTTTACCCCACGTGCACCATATGCTCTCCGTATGAGTCCGAACATCCACTCAATGAACAAGGTATCTACAGTGTGAGCTGTTCAATCGTCGTCCTCGCCCTCTTTTTCTTTCTTTGGTTTCGTGAGTTGTTCCTTCCATAGGTTGTTGGCTACGTCCTTGTCCAGATTTGGAAACACCAAATCGAACACATCAGAAAACCATTTTACTGGGTGTCCTTCGATGCCCTCTTTTATGTTCTTGTGACAGGTTAGTCTCATATTATCCAAAACTTGAGGGACAGAGATCTACATACGTCTGGTAGTTCAAGCCAGTCTGACATGTTGTCGTCTGGGAAGATGATCATCTTTGATCCCGCGCGTCGAGCGGCAACAGTCTTTTCACGAAGACCCCCAATTCTCAAAACCTTACCAGTAACCGTCAACTCACCAGTCATTGCGATGGTTGGATCTAGTGGCTTGTCCAAAGCCAGCGAGAGCAAAGAGGTCGCCATTGTAATGCCGGCGGATGGTCCGTCTTTCTGGACTGCTCCTTCGGGGCAGTGAAGGTGCAATTTAGCTTTATCGAAGAAATGGTTCTCGGGGAACTGTTTGGCCATCACCGACTTCGCGAATGAATAGGCAATACTTGTCGACTCCTTCATAACCGATTTCAAATTCCCCGTCGTCGTTAAACCAGCACGGGAGTCAGAAGTCAAAGCGCTTTCCAAAATAGACTCAACATAGAGAGCAGCTCCGCCCATCTGCGTCCAAGCAAGACCCATTGCTACTCCTGGCGGCGTTACATCATACAGGCGATCAGATGTAAATACTGGAGGACCGACATAATCCTTCAGGTTATCCTGATCGATGGTAACATGGACCGTATCTGGGACATGAAGACTGACTCTCGGGGTTTCAGTAGTTTCCTTCTCGATATTCTCTGGCGTCTCCTTAACATCGGTCTCATCCTTCTTCGATTCCTCCATTGCCGCTTTGCCTTCTTCAGTCAAAGCCTCTTCTTCGGGGAGAACAGATTCGCCAAGGTCTTGCACAATTTTCAGTGCCGACTTGCGATACACCTTTTCAATCTGCTTCTTCAAATTTCGAACTCCAGATTCTCGACAATAGGACTTGATCAGCTCCTTAATAGCTTCCATAGTAAGATTGACATCGACGTCCTTCAGACCTGCCAATTCTTTTGCAGCAGGTCCAAGATACCTTTCGGCAATCGCCATCTTCTCATCAGCGACATAACCAGAGAGCTCGATCATCTCCATTCGATCGAGGAGTGGTCGAGGGATTGTATCAGTCATGTTTGCCGTACAGACGAAGAGGACCTTGGAGAGATCGACGGGCACGTCGAGATAATGGTCCAAGAACGAGTTGTTCTGCTCGGGATCAAGCAGCTCCAACAGTGCCGACGCTGGGTCGCCTTGATGTCCCCTACCAATTTTATCGATCTCATCAATCAATATCAATGGATTCTCAGTCTGGCACTTCTTCAACGCTTGAATGATTCGACCGGGTAAGGCCCCGACGTATGTTCTTCGGTGGCCCTTGATCTCGGCAACATCTGTGAGACCTCCAACACTGAATCTGTAGTACTGCCTGTTGAGCGCCCTGGCAATACTCTTTCCAATACTCGTTTTGCCGACACCAGGTGGGCCAACAAAACATAATATTTTGCCCTCGACTGTCCCTCGCAGCTTTCCCACCGCGATGAATTCCAGTATACGATCTTTGACATCCTTTAGTCCGTAGTGATCTTCCTCCAAAACAGTCATGGCGTTATTGATTCCGAAATTCTCTGCGCTTCTTTGGCCCCATGGGATTTGCGTTAACCAATCCAGATAATTTCTCGTCACATTGAACTCCGAGGCGGCAGGTTCTAGATGCGCCAGCTTGTTAAGTTCATCATCGAAAACTTTCTTAACTGCCTCTGGCATGGCCAGTTTCAAGCTCTTTTCTCTGAACTTTTCAACCAGCTTATCTTTGCCGTCAGATTCAATACCGAGCTCTCTGCGGATTCCTTTCATTTGTTCCATCAAGAAGTATTCTCGTTGACGTTTTTGGATGGATCTCTCGACATCCTTGGAGATTTTCGATTGGAGCTGAGCATTCATAAGCTCCTTCTTTAGGACGACCAAGGCTTTCTGTAATCTCTCTTCAACATTCAATGTCTCCAGGATGTCTTGAAGCTCAGGGACTTCTCCAGCAGAGACCGCTGCAGCAAAATCGGCAAGTTTTGCTGGCTCTTGCATGACGTTGCCAGCAGACTGGCTCATCGAGAAGGTCGAGATCTGGTCTCGGAACAAGCTGTTGAGGCTTGCAACTTCCTTGAAGACGTTGACAATCTCGTTGGTGACAGCTCGAATAATGGGGCTTTTGGGATCATGAGGTTCTTCGACAAGGTTCTCCACCTTGACGAGACTGATGGGAGAATTCCGCAAGAACGCTGTTGGCTCCCATGGCGGTGTTGTTTCTGTTGACTTTTGCTGCACTGCACCCTCCTCAAAACTGGCAACCACATCACCCTTCTTTTCTTCTGGCTTCGGTGGAATCACATCGGGCACTACTGCAGGATCCGCAGGATCCGCAGGAGTATCTGGCTTCTTGACATCGGCACTGGCAGGACTGATGAGAGCAGACATTTTTATCCGCCGGTGAGGATATAAAACAGCTGTGAGGGCGTTTTCGTCGCCGTGAACAGGAAATGCGCTGGTAATCTGAGCAAAAACACCAACATCATGAACATCGTCCATGTTCTCGATTATATCTCCATCCGCATTCTCGTCTTTGAACAGAAAAGCTCCGATGTATGGCTGCCCCCTCTTGATCATCTCTTGTATGGCAGCAACTACATTGTGATCCCGAACCGTAACTGCTTTATAAAACCCAGGGAAGAGAGGTCGTTTTGTAATTGGGATTGCCATGACCTGAGGGTAAACGTCCGGAACGGTAGCCTTCTGCAAAGCTTTTTCAATAGACGGTTTGCGTCCCTTCTTCCCCCCATCACCGCTGCCAGAATCACCTGCACCTCCCGAGGATGCACTGCTACCTCGGCCGTCGACGGGCTTTCCAGATGAAGCATTGCCACTCGCGGGCGATGACTCGGGGCTTTTGCTCTTGCTCTCTACCACGGCCTCTTCACTCTTTTCCTTGACGTTCTCAGCTTTGTCTTTTGCATTTTCCTCCGAGTTTTCCTCTGCTGCATCTTTCGGACTCTTTATGGCTTCTTTCCGGCGGGCAGGGGACGTGGAAAACTTCGAGCTACCGGGTATCGCGTGTGCAGGAAGATAGGGTCGCAAACATGGTGACGTGCTCGCAGAAAGCTGAAATCGTCTCGAAGTACTATAGAGTCTGCTGGTAGTATTCGAGCTTTGTCTAAGAGAACTTCGGGATGTGTTTCGGAGCGCAATTCGTAGATTCTGACCGTATAACATCTTCGAGGAATAAGGACTGAGGCGTGAAGTCCTTTGAAATGGAATACACTTCTTTGGCAGGAGTCTTTGGATGTATGCCGAATCCAATCCGACGCCCAAAATGAAAGGAGAGCTATAATGTACTAGAAACTCAATTCGGGGGCGGCAGGAAGAAAAGGCACCAACGTTTGCGCACTCTCATTTATTTGGTGATCATGATGCTTTCAAATCCGGGGCGGATTTTCTTATCGCCGACGTTGATTCCTTGTTTATGGGGCCAAACAAGCCCCTTTCTTGATTATCACGTGGAAAAGCTTTGCGGTGTTCGCAAAGGTCATTGATTGTTCTTTTTCAGAGTCGGACATTTCGGGATACGGTGTGTGTATTCTAGAAAACTCGCGAGCGGTCACCTTTTATATCCTAGAGAATTGTGAATCTTCATTGAATGTGTTGACCGCAATCGTTCCGTTTCCCAACCAATCCCCTATTTTTAAGCGGCCGAAGTCAGGATTTCAGTTGCAAGCGTCACAAGTAACTTCCAAGGGATTTGTCTTATCATTCCATTACTGAAACTACACTTTCTAAATCAGCCCCGAAACAAACCTTTGCTCCACTTCGTTGGCCGGTTGCAAAATCATCATTTCCATGCGTTAAGCCCAGCCCAAGGGTCACCCGAACTTTGCTGCGGACCACCCCTTTGCTGTGCAGCCGGATTTCCATATCCGTATTCACCAAGACCAACTGCCGGGGTGGGACCAGATTGCGGGAATGTCTGTTGAGGGCCAAGAGGTGGTGGTCCAGGAGGGGGTGGTGGAGGCACATAACCATGAGGTACGAATTGCTGGTTGATCGGTGTGTGTTGCATTGGCCGGCTGTAACCAATCTGGCTCTGCGAGAATGACGTCTGGGTTGGAGGAGGAGAGACGGGTGGATATGTGCCGGGATTGTAACTTTGCGCTGGAGCTAATGGCGCTGGTTTATGACTTGAAAATGGTTCTGGTCGATTTTGCTGCTGCTGCTGCTGCTGTTGCTGTTGCTGTTGCTGTTGCTGTTGCTGTTGCTGTTGCTGTTGCTGTTGCTGCGTTGGGAAGAATGCACCGTTTTGTGGGGATGCATAAGCAGGGTGCGCAGATTGGGGATGTTGTTGAGGTGAAGTCGGTACCTGATACTGGCCAGCAAAGTTGGTCGTTGGGTATGAGGCAGTGTAAGCAGCAGATTGTGCCCGTGGTTGTTTAGCCGATGGCGATGACGGGGACGTAGATGGATCCATGGACATTCTCTCCATGAGGCCTCGAAGGCGCTCCCGTTCTCGGTCAGCCTGTCCACTGGCGCTGGCTGCTCTATCTTGCTCGATCTGGCTAAGAAGCTGGGCTCCTTCAGATCGCCGGTTGTTCACAAAGGTCTCAACATTCTTGTCCAAGCTGTCGACGGTGTCTTTCATCTCACTATACCATTGTTTTGCGCTCTGAAGGCCGGCCACGAGATCTACAAATTCCTGGTATATTCGCTTGTACTTCGACATCACCGAGGATCGTTGCCGGGTAATAGATTCGTACTTGCTTTGCTCTGCTCTGACTCTCTTATCTTGTAACAGAGCATTGAAGGTTGCTGTGAGCTCTTTCATAAGTGATGACTGCTTATGATTTGCTGAAAGAAGCCTGTTCTGGTGCTGCCGAAACTTTTCAAGCTCTGCTTGGAATAGCTGGGTTTCATAATTGGAGATGGACTTCTTGTTAAGGATGAGGACTTGCGAAATGTCGTCGTTGTGAACCTGTATCCCTATAAGCAGATGAATCGGTTAACAATATTGGGTACAAAAATACCTTCTCCTTCAAGTCCTTCAGCACCTGGCCTCGCTCCCGTTTGGTCATGTTGAGTTTCTTGAGAATCTCTTCTACTTTGGCAACTTGGTCCATGACGCTGGGACCGCTGTCCTGGAAGTCGTCATCAAGCAGATTGCCCTCACCACCAATCGGGCTTCCGACGTTATTCCTTGATTTCCCACCAACTTGTATCAGAGCTTTCTGGAAAAGAACATCCGCCTCGCCAGTCTCGCCAGCTGACCGCATCTCATCGAAATCGACCTCATGTTGCCGCATTTTTTGGTATAACTGATTATCACTCTGTGCAGCCTCGTCGAGAGCATCCCGATAATTCCGAACGTCGCTTCGAAGAGTCGAAGTCAATCTGGAACTGGGTTGCTGGGTCCAGTCTGCTTCGTATTTTGACCGCATCTTCTCACAAACACTCTCCTCCATGTCTAGTTGCTTACTGCTCCTGTCTAGTGTCGCCACAATACCCTCTTTACTCGACTTCAACATCTCAAAAGTAGATAAAGGACTCTCGTTATTCGCTACATCATCACACCAAGTCCGGAACTCGTCATCTGCAGTTAGTTCCTGGTCAAAGCCGCCCTTGAGAACCTGTAAGGCACCAGGTAGTCTCAAGTAATCCAAACTCGCAGCCATCTCGCTGTTGGCAGTCTCCACTCGCTCTGTTTCTGCTCGTACTAATTTGGCCTTTTCCTCGTCATACAAGCTTGCCGATTCTGTGACGGACATCGGAACGATCTTCTGGAAGATGTCCGGGCCAGTGATACGTTGTATATCTTGTCCAGCATATAGTTCACTGACAGGTATTGCCTTGGCCGCAGGAAGTTTCGGTATTACCGCAAGTCCAGCCTCTGCTGGCACAGGTTGGTGGTAAATGTAATCATTGTCCTTGACGAGCTCAACTAGCTTTTCTTGTACATTCGTTAGGTGTCGTTTGGTAATCTCAACCAGACTTGCTCCAGATTCTGCGGTTAGGTTCGAGTTTGCAGGTGCATTTCCAGGGAAGCTGCTGGCGACCTTGTTAGCTTCCTTGACTGCGGTTTCTGCAACTTGCAAACGTGAGATTGCTATGCCATGAGAATTTGCGTCGTCGTCGGCGAGAGCTTGATAGTACTGCGCTAATGATGCCATATAATTGGATTTGACCTGGTTTAGAAGTCAGTGTACTGCTCCACAGGAATATTTCCCGATCAACATGGAGGATGGACAGAGCCAGTAGCAGTAACCGCTCAAAACAGGGGAGTAAAATTTGGAAGACAGTGTTTATATCACCACGCATGAACGTACCTGGACAACTAGAAGCCAGACTTTCTCAAAGATAGCTTTGTTCACATTCTCTTGCGTGCCCTCAATAGCTCCAGAGTAGAGGTAAGCGGCCTGACTAGCAAGCTTTGCAAGGAGGCCAACTTTCTTCCCATCTGCGATTTGCTTTTCCAAGAACACCTCCTGCCCTTGAGCAAGCATAACTTGTATGAGCGTCTTGACAGTATCTCGGCTGAGGTCGGTAGATGGAGCGTGGAGAAAGTTTTCGTTGATATATGTGAACATGCCCGCGGATGCTTGGAAAGAGTGATACGCCGTCTTGAGGCCCGAATCCTCGGAACGAGTTTGATGTGCGGCGTGGCATGATAGAACAGCAGATATATTGAAGATAATCGAAGCCTTCTCGTAAGCTAACGAGTACTGAGAGGTCGGCTTATGTGTAAATGCGTCGAACCTTGGAGCAGCTTTGTTAGCTTGTCATATACTTGTAAGAGAGAGATGATCCCTACCAGGTAAAAGAGATCTTAATATGGTTTTCGTCAACGGGAAATCTAAGATCCAGCAACTCAAGCTGCCCGTAGTATCGGTAGAGCAGATCTCTTCCAGCAGCACTGTCCTTCCCCGCGCCTCTCATATCTTGCCGCAAACGGTTAAGTGTCGCGCACTCTTCTGCATAGCGCTCCGGATCATCCCCATAGGTCTGCCTGATATACTGCTTCAGCGGCTGGATCCAGTCGATCTCGTTTGTAGCCTTGAGAGGCACTGATATCATGGGCGCCTGCATCATGGCCTGCCTCGAGCCGGAGCTCTGCTTAATGGAGATCCACCGCCCAGAGAGGGAGAGTATAGCCGTAGGCGCAAGACGGTCGGTGTGAGGTGTTCGCAGACGTGTTGCGGTAGGAGGTGGGGTGCCCGAGAGGCTGTGGGCTTTGCGAAATGCGGAGGAGGGGTGCCTGTGCTACAACTTTGACCTTAGCTTGTTGTAGCGATTACAATAAAACCTCCTTCATGCATGCGATTCATGGTCGTCGAGGTACCAAAAGGGACGGTTTGCGAAAGGGAAAAAGATGCGTGTCAAGTGGTGACGGCGGATGTATGTCGTGTTCTCGAGATCTTGTCGCGGCTTACCACCAATGATTTCGTAGCTCTGCCTTGCGGCAACCTGCAGCGATTTTTCTGGCCCCTTAAAGGCCTGGGCTTGACTGCGGGCTTAGATAGTAGAGGATAAGCGCTTGATCACTCGGGATGTGCCAAGATCACTTCTGCTTTTGGGTTTTGTAAAAGAAATTGAGGGCATTTTTAGCCGCCGGCATGTTATTGTGCTTTCAACTCAGAAAGGCGCTGTTGACCACCCCGAAGATCTCTCTGGGACTTGGGCACCTGCGTGTGAATATCTGTACTGTCCTCAGGTGGCACACTGGTTCTATCCAGTCCGGACAAGCCTGTGCTGGTGACTGCGTTGAACATGGAAGCATGAGCCAGTCACATCGTCAAATTGTCTCGAGATCATTCTATTGGACAAGAATTCATGTGCCGGATTGAACAGCAGGGGGCTTGAGCGGCCCGACCAGATGCCCGCAGATCAACTCATGCGCAGCATGGGCCGTTATCGCGGCCTCCTTCATCCAGGGGCCAGTTAGATGGATATGTTGATACAACACGCACCCAAGAATCTTCATCAAACGTCCTCCTTTCTCCCTCTTTGGGCAGCAAGAAGGACGGCCTCCGACGAGTGCTGCTAATAAGTACTAACCGGGTGAGCTTGTGATTGTGGCTTGCGTCGGTTGAACGGTCTAACTTTGTCTCAGCCCTGAGTTCATACCACAGACGGGGTTCCTGCTCGATCTTATGCTCTACCCGGCCGCTTAAAAAAAGCTTGATTCTTCTGACAAGGTTCCTGAGCAGAGAATCATTACATATGAGTCTTTCTAGATGTACAAGGTGGGTATGTGCCCAGGAGCAGACCTAATCCTCTCCAAAATACAGACGCCCATGCACCTGATCTCCCACAGTCTTCTAGCCTCGCTGATGCAATACAATGTTCAACATGAAGACAATAAACATATTATACATCAAAATTAAGACCCCGTCCCGGAATCCTTCTTGGCTTCATTGTCGTCTTTAGATTTTCCATCCTTTGAGTCTTTTGCGGAAGTATCTTCTGAGGAAGTATTGTTTTCGCTAGTTCCATCTTTCGGGTGGCCCGTTAGCTTGTGCCAAACAGACCCTAAGAATCCTTCGTCCTTGGAAGATGAGGATGAGGACTTAGCACTTGAAGAGCTAAGCTTGTTAGAAGAAGAAACCGAGTCTCTGATATCTTCAAACTTACCTGGCCTTTTCCACGTTCATGATCCTTTTGGCGGTTTTGTCATCGAACTCGTCTGCAAGCATTTCGATAATCGTTCGTTGGTTGGCGCTGAGATACTTCGGCATGGAAACCTTGAATTCAACCTTAAGATCTCCGGATTCGCCTCTTCTTCTTTGTAACTTCTTCATACCCTTACCACCAAGCGTGATCTTGTCTCCTGTCCCAGTGCCTGTAGCAATCTTGACGTTAACTTCGCCATCCAAAGTAGGTATTTTGACCTCTCCACCAAGCAGAGCGGTTGTCAGGGGTATTGTGGCGGTATATAATATGTCGGATCCAGAACGGCTGAACTTGGGATCTGTAGCAACTCTCACCAGAACGTAAAGATCCCCCCGATGAGATCTAGCGCCCGGATTTGTAGCCGCGCCAGTTGCAGGCGCATCACCCTCACGTTCTATCTGTAGACGCATGCCATCTTCTATCCCTCCGGGTATATCCACCTTAATAGTTTTTCTCTCCCTCACAACTCCATTGCCTGAGCAAGTCCGGCATTCTCCTCCCTTAGGAGTTGTCACCCCTTGACCACCGCAAACGCCGCAAGAAGATGCCATCTGAAATCCTCCCGACATAAAGTGGACCCGTGTCCCAGTTCCCCCACATGATTTGCATTCTGAGCGCTTGACTCCTGACTTCAATCCATTCCCAGAACATGTCTTACAGGTAGTCAGAGGCGTTATCGTTATCGTTTTGCTCGTTCCCTTGGCAGCCTCCATAAACGAAACCGTTGTTTGCACCTCAATACTATCCCCAACCAGAATCTCTTCCTGTTGGAAAGGACTTCGACCCCCACCACGAGCTCTTCGGCCGCTACCAGTAAAGCCCCTGAACAAGTCCTCAAAATTAAAGTCGGCCCCAAAACCTCCTCCAAAGCCACCTGGAAAGCCCCCAGCGCCTCCGGCGCCAGCAAAAGGATTGCCTCCAGCAAAGGGGTCACCACCTGGACTCGGGCCAGCTCCGCCGCCTTGGTCAAAGGCCGCTGCGCCGAATTGATCCCATGCCGCCTTCTTTTGCGGATCTGTTAACAGCTCATATGAAGATTGTGCTTCTGCAAACTTGTCCTTCGCTGTTGGGTCCTTGTTTGTATCCGGATGAAACTTTTTTGCCAAACCATAGTATGCTTTCTTGATCTCAGCAGCCGAAGCTCCTTTACTAACGCCGAGGACATCGTATGGATTCTTCGTGGCTTGAAGATTTGAGGTTGCGTGAAATGGCTATTCGAAGAAATCATCAGCAAACTGCTCATCACTTGAGATTGGATGTACACACTCTGCTTTGTGTCGCCCCTGCAGACCTCGGAACAGATGTTATAAACGTGGGTCGCCGCGGTATGCTTGTCGTCGAGGAACATATTTCTCGTGTCTGCTGCTTCTTGGATATTTCATATCTGAAGTGCTGATGTCGTGAGGCCTGGGCAGGACATATTATCCGACTCGTTGTGGCGGCCTTGGTGAGAAGGGTTGTTGTCCCAGGTTTCATCGTGCTGCGGTACTGGTAAACATCTGTGTCAACCTTCGGGCTTAGTCGTGGCAGCAATGATGCTGGAATGAGATGGTGCAACAATTGTCGTGGAAGAAATGCACGAAATTGTAAATTTCAAGATCAGATGTCAAAATGTTGAAGCTTACAAAATTTTCCAGGGATAGTCAGCTTGATGCTGATTGGCCGAATTATTCGATTCTGTTCGGGGAGCTACTGGAACTTTCGAAACAACATCATTGATACCTTGAATTGTTCCCAAAGCTGAAACAAATTCCATCCCAGGAATTCAGCTGGAATTACTGATCTTTTGACATGTAATTCCTTGGGCGAGTTTGTTACAAATTTGGAACCGAGGCTCGACGTGCCGAAGTTTGATATTTTGTCAAATCTCCTTATGGTTTCTAAGTGCCTGTGTGGTAGCTGAATGCGTCTTGAATGAGTGAATAGAGTATAAAAGAAATAGAAGATCAGGGCGCGGGCCTTTCTCACTTGTGAATGTTTATGATTATTTGCATTGTATCCGGTAGTGGCTTGAATTTTTCTTTTTTTTCTTTCTACTCACAGTCCTGGAATCGGAACTGCTCCACAGTTGAAAGCCTCCCATTGAAACCTCCAAACCTTTCCTTTATAACGATGAAGCTCCAAACGACTGTTGAGTACAGCGTACAATACGCAATGATGAGGAGGCATTCACAAATGGAGGAAGGCACTTCCAAAGTGCTTTTCAAGAGCAGCCAGAGAAGGCTTATCACAATGAACCCGGGTATCAGCCACGCCAATGCGGCTCCCAAAACGCCCCAATTTATGCAAACTCCGTCACAAATCCGTCATCGAGGTCGTTGAGGCGCAAATCGCATTCGGAAATTCTTATCTGATGGACAGTCAGTGCTCGAATGTCCTGGCCACACACTCTATGGTCAGATTACTAACCTTGCCACCGTACCTTGTACAGAAAGTCAACCACGACCTCGCTCTCAATTATCCCCATACTGTTGAAGTGTTTCCGCACAGAGTTCGCAAGTTGTTCCTTGCTCTGCCGTCGTTCTTCCTTCCGCCTAGCCATCGTTGGAGACATTTTCCCAATCGGTGAACGAGAAAGCACAAGCTGATTGTACGGTTTACTGAAAGCTGCAGGTGTATTCAATCGATAGTCGTATCGATAGCCGTGCAGAATCGATGGATCAAAGCTGGACCATTGGAGCTGTGAGAACGTTAGATAAGATGACGGCTGTTACGCCGCGGGATATTTACTCACGCCTGGATTTGCTTCGGTCACGACAGTATTTGGATTTCCTACAACAGCACTGCTCGGTCCCGCGGTGACTACGTCGCGTAGTGAGCTGCCACCAGTCGTACTGCCCGGAACGCGCCGATTTTTGCCATTGAGAGTGGTCGAATTGATGGCTCCCACTTTCTCTTTCGTGCTCGACGCTTCTGACCTCGAGTCATCCGGAGGGGGCTTGGATTTTGGGGGCGCCATGCCAAGAGATGAGATCGATCGAATTTTGGAGGATTATATCCTCGCGCAGCGTCGTGGGTTTGAAGCAATGGGTCATCTAGCTACAGCACATAAGGGTCGTGGCTGTCGCGTTGTCCCAGCCATTTGGTCAACGAGACGCCAATCTCGCCTCGCGCTAGGATGTCTAGTTTTTCCGTTCCGGAGCGGAATCAGTTCCTCAACCCCTGCCTGTTTCATTTTTCCTTGCCATCTCTCATGCTCATCATCAAAACCAAGTGGAAAAACACCCTTGGTTTCTGATAAATTATCCCTCACTGTTGCCTTGAAGCCGGGGCGAGGTTTGAGTTATTTTCTGAATTTTTCATCCTAAGGAAAGGTCTGCTGCCTCTTTTGTTCAATGACGATGATCACGATTGAGATTTGCGAGAGCTGTCTCGCGCTTCCCAATTCTGCTGGGCCTGCATAAGCCAAGACGCCAAAGCAGCCTCAGTTTTTGGCCCTGACGCACTGCGGCCACCGCCTGTCAAATCACGACCGTCCTAAAGTGGTCAGATGCAAAAGAAAAGCTTGAAGAAATTTTTCCCCAGTCTCAGCCCTCTCCTGCTCCAGGCCATCCCCACTGCCCCAGATTAGCGTCTGTCAGAGACTCAGAGACAAGTGTTGCCGAGCCTGCCGCCAGAGGTGTAAAAAGTCAAAGTTGGGGCTGGCCTGCCCGGAACCTTTCAACGCGGAGATGAGAAATATTTATCCAAAAAAGCAATTATCTCGTCCACATCAGTGCACATCGACATCAAGACGAATTTGAACGCCTCCGCTATGCCCTGAGCCGCCCCGATGACGGCGAATGATCGAATGCTCCTGACTTTTCCTTGCACTTTTCCTCCAGCTCACCAAGGGAGGCTCTCCTGAAGAGTCGTGTTTCCTTTTGCTGAAAAATCTTGCCTGTTCTGTTTTGAAGGATCGTCCAGTAGCCGAATACGCTGCACTGGTCAAACACTCCACGGCCAGTCCTTAATGCAAGCGATCTGGGGCTCTTTTGTCTGAAGCAGAATGAAGTGGAGGGAAATCTCGATGAGCAACAATGGGGGTGGGCAGCGCAGAAAGAATCATGGGGAAGTGCCTCTTATGGCGGAGAGGAGCATCTAGAGTGGCAAGGAGACAGATATCTCCGAGCTGGTGCAAAATGCAAAAAGTGAAGTGATCAGAAATGGAGCAGAGGCACGAGACAAGGAGGCAAATCAGGCAATGAGGGCGGCATTTTCTCCACACAAGCGAGCTGCTGCACGCCACCATTCATGGACAGCTGTGGCTCAGCGATGGGGGGACTCTCGGACGTGCCAGGGGAGGCGGGACTGGCGAGGTGGGGGGTGGGCTGGCGGAGAAACCAAATTGCAAGGTTGCAGTCGAAGAGCTCCCGAGTCTCGAGTCTTGATCGTCCCGTGCCCCGGGTCCCTTGACGCGTCGAGGTTTGCAAGGAGCGCAGCGAGAGACTTCTGTGCACTCCTCTTCGCTCCTCTTCACTGCTTTCTCCTCCTCTTTCTCGATATGCGGAGCTGTACAGTCTTGTACTAGAGCCATGGCCAGCCCCCCTCACCCACTTGGCTCGAGGGTGCATGGTGGCCGGATTGAGACACGCGGCAGGGGCCAACCTGCTGACGATGCGAGCTTTTACCAAGCGCCAGCAGCATGTGGCTTTCCCAAGGCTCCCGCTCTGCCTCTCCGCACCCCCCTCCCCCCTCCTTTGGGGGTTTCTAGTATTCTAGAAGGTCCGTGGCGGACCGTCCAAGAGACGTCGGAGCCAACCGTCCGTCAAGTGCAAGTAATCCGGGCATATTGCAGCAGCCCGCAAAAGACGAGGCCTGCCGGTCATCGGTCCTCCCAACCAAGCGGCTGGCTCGAGTTGCCCAACTTGCCCTCTCCTCCCCAATGCTCCCTCCTCCCTTCCCATTCCCTTCCGGGCTGCCTCCAAAGGTCCAAGTGCCTCGCTCGCGCGCCCCCCCCCAAGAGAACACAGTGATCCCAGATGATCCAGATCCCTGCGTCGGCCATCACACGCCGCCAGCGTAAATAGCCAGGAAGCTCCCGCGCTTCGTCACAAAATCACCCCCACTGAGCTTTGTCCATCCCCATCCCGCACGCACGCAACGCACCGCACCGCACCGCATCGCACCGCACTCACGAAGCACAAGCACCGTTCTCGACTCCACAATCGCATCGTGGGTTGAATTGTGCTCTGAGCCTCAACTTAAGCTCGCCGTCGTGCCACTCTGTACCACGCGGTGCTGCGACGCCTCGCCGCATCGGATTGCCATCCGGCTGCACGACTGGCAGCGACTGCCCGGTCGTCTGCTCGTGCCCCCAGTTCTCCCGGCATGCCATAGTTGACTCCCGGGTCAATTGACCACCCGGTTACAATTCGCAAGCCCCTTCAACAACGGCTCAAACGGTGTTATCTGTTCCTACTACAGCCAAAGCGACGCTTCTGCGCGCAGTGCAGTAAGTCACCTCACGTTTGCCATCGCTCAACCGTCTCCCCTCGCCCCGCCTCAAGTCTTCCGTGGTGCTGACCCTAATCAATGTAGTCGATGCGATCCACTCCCTCCAGTTACGCCGAAGTCGAGGGTGATTTTAGACCAGAGACTGCGACTTCCTGAACCGAACAATTCGCCTTTCTCCGTGGGACTATGACTTCAATTCTTGCAGCACAGCCGCTCTCGTTCTCTGCGAATAATATTATGAACCAGATCGATACACCCGGGATAGCTCAGATTCACGACCCCGCACTGCAGCGGAGACACAAGACTGAGATGGAGGATAAAAACCGGGGGAGACGTCGGAGTCGGCCCAACAGCAAGAGTAAAGATGGCAGCGGGGAGGGATCTCCAAACGAGGGCGCGGACGGCCACTCTTCTGGAACGGATGGCCCCTCGAGGAAGCGCCGTAGGAGTCGCAAGGGCTTGGACAAAAAATTCGAGTGTCCCCAAGAAGGCTGCGGGAAGAGCTACTCAAGGGCTGAGCATCTGTAAGTCGTGCTAGAGCATCCTCAAGTCCTTTCCGACACTAACCACAACCATCTTATAGATATCGCCATCAGCTGAATCACACGCCTAAGCAAATTTATAATTGCGATTTCCCTGACTGCTCTCGTACATTCGTCAGGCAGGACTTGTGTAATAGACATAGGGACCGGCATACTGCTAAGGGGTCACAGCTTCACCGCAAAGATTCCATGCTAGGCCATGCTCATGCTTCACCAATGGTAGAATCTGGTAAGCCTTTGTCAATGCACGGCTCCGCTTCTCCAGAGGTTATGAGACCAGGTCTGGCTGGTGGTAAATCGCGAACTGGCCAACTTCAATACCAGTCTCCTCAAGAGATGCACCCCAGTTCCTATTCGCCCGCGACCAACCCCTCGTCTGGAACATACTCCGGTACAGCTTCCTCAAATGGCGGGGAGAATTTTCCTCAGTCCAACAACTTCATCAAACGCTCCAATAGCGACAATGTCACTAGGGGGCATGATTCGGCCACGGGTACCCCACAAAGTAGACCACAGCGCCACTCAAGCTTTGGAGTATCTGATGCAAAAACGGCCGATTTCTCGAGGCCTCCTCTGCAGACCACTGTGGGGCCCTATGGCTTGTTGAATTCTGCTTCAAGCTCCCAGAATTATCATGCCAATCAGAATAGTCCGCACACATTTGTACCCCAGCAGAATTTCACACCATTCACACTGCCACCTCCCGGATTCTCGACGTCCGTGACTGCAGCTTCATCCACGCGGTCAGCTGAGCCGAGTTATCCTACTTCGATGTCCACAGACTATCCCAGCGAGTCAACTCATCACCAACAATCCGGCCCAGATATGATGCTATTGGATCAGATGACAGCACCTAACACTATGCCTGTGTTTGGAGGCGAAGGTTACAACCGCTCTCCTTTTGCCATTCCTGAAGATTTCGTGGCATATTTATTCAGTGGTCAACAAGTAGACAATTCTTCGCCCATGCAGATTGGACAGCAAGGTTATACAAAGTAAGATTCTTCTCTCCCGAGTTCTTATGGTAATACTGACTTCTCTCCAGCTATCCTGATACGAACAACCAATACTATGCACCTTATTTTGCAAATGACATTAATCTTGGCGGATTCTTTCCACCAAATCATCAACAACCCCATCATCCTATGGCTGTTACGAGCTTGCTTGATACAAGCCTTCCCGAAACAGTCCTGTCCGAAGAGAAGAGCCAAGCGATTGTTGACTTGGTCAAAGAGCGCTTCAACGAGACGGACCATGCACCGGTTGCAAGACAGAAGGAAGCTCTTCTGGAAGGCGACCGCAGCGATGACAGCCATATGCTGAGCCGGAAGATGATGCAAACTTACATTGGGAGTTACTGGTACCATTTTAGCGAACAAGTCCCAATTTGTGCGTGCTCCAATTCCCTCATCTGAGGTACCAAATGCTAATAAGATAACAGTGCACAAGCCAACATTCTCGCCAGACAAAACACCAAACCTTCTTCTGATTGCTATAATGGCTATTGGTGCATCTTGTTTGGACAAGATTCATGGGTACGAAATGACTCAAGCCGGTGCAGAGCTCTCGAATTTCTTGGCTTGGCATCTGAGATGGGAAATCTTCAGCGACTATCATTTTCGCCCTCCGGCGAAGTTGTGGGTATTCCAAGCTTTACTGCTCTTAGAGTTGTATGAGAAGAGTAAAGAACCCATTTCTTTGTCCCCTTATGTTCACTGGCCCGGGAGCATATTTCAGCTCCCGGCTCCTTCCCGGCTCCATCCTCGTCGAAGAAATCGGTTGCTAATTTTTTCTAGTGTATTCGACTAGAGCTTTGCATGAGCGAGCACATATCCATCACGCAACCACGATCACCTTGATGCGTCGCGGTAGCTCTCTCATTGGAAGATCTGCTTTGGATTCTCCTCCGAGTGTCAGGGATGATAAGCAGGGCGTGAATGGATCTAGACAGTCCTCGACTTCTGGGGCAAATACTCCAGATGAGTGGTGGAACCACTGGATCACCAATGAAGCCACACGACGGGCAGCCTTCGCAGCATTCGTTACTGATTCAACACATGCAACGATGTTTGGCCATTCTACCGTTATGGTCGCTCACGAAATGCGGCTCCCACTGCCCTGCGATGAGGCTCTCTGGACTGCCACTAACAGCGCTGAAGTCGGCAGAATCGAGGCTAGTCTTCAAGCCAATGGTGTGAAGCCAATCTCGTTCTTAGAAGGCCTTAAGAGGACTCTCAACGGGCAAGAAGTTCGCACAAACTCGTTCGGGCGGACCATTCTGATGGCTGGCCTGCTAAGCGTGAGCTGGCATATGAACCAGAGAGATCTCCAAGTCAATTCGCTTGGTGTTTCACAGGCTCTGGGAGGACGAGATAAATGGAGAGGATCACTGACCCGAGCATTCGATCTGTGGAAACAGGACTTCGACAGGTCTTTGAGCGTCAATTCCGACGGCATCCCTGGACCCTATGTATACACCGAGAAGAAGGAGGACAACGTTGTGTTTCAAAGCAGGACAGTTCTCCATCATTTGGCACACATGGCGATGCAGTACGTGATATACCCTACAACCTATTCTCCTCTCTCAGTCGTGCCGCGAGGTGTTTTTACTCTCTAGATATTTCTTTAGAGTAAAGAACTCGTGAACCATTGTCTCGACCACCAATACTCTTCCTAATTAGGCAATGCTGACTCTGATATCATCTAGTGTCGATATCGTGGATTGCCAGATCTTTGCTCGGGCCAAGCGTCTTCTCGGCCGTACCATTGGTTCCCAAGATCTGAACAGCGCTCAACGGCGGATGAAAGACAATTGGGCTCCCACCGCAAAAGCCAGGGACGCCACGTGGTACGCTCTACGCTTCCTGTGCAGCGTCCTACTTCCCGAAGAAGTTGTCACATCAAACAACATTCACAGCGGTTACAATGACCCTCCCTTCGACTACTCAGCTCGAGACGACCCACTGCTTAATAGACCATGGGTTATGTATTTCGCAGCTCTGATTGTCTGGTGCTACGCCTATGCCCTGGAAGGCCCAACCAGTGGACCCGTCCCCGCGGCCTACGATTTCGAGGAGCAAGTGCGAGACATGCGCGCGTACCTGCGGAGAGTTGGCGGCGTCCATGATCCCGAACAGCTTAAATCGATGCGCGGATTCAACGGCTGCAGTGGTATGCTGATGGTGCTTCGCACCGTGTTCGAGAAGACGAGATGGGAGCTGTTGCACGAAGCGGCGCTCCTGTTGGACAACTGTGTTAAGTTGCTCGGGCAAACAACCCAAAGTAACTAAGTTCTTGGATGAGTTTTGTTGATAGAGTGTTGATGGAGGATATGAAATTTCTGTGTAAATGGCGAACTATTGTATTTTATGGGCCGGGAAACTGGACATGTTTGGCATTGGGGTGGCTTGTCAAAATTCGCATGGAGTGGAATGGGGGCTTTGCGTCGTTTTTTGTAATGCTATCGCACGTACCTATACCCAACACATCACATTTTTCTTCCAAATACTGCTCTTGCCCATACTTGTTGTGTATAGTCTTCCTTCCCCTGCTAACTTTCAAGCCATTTGATTGCCGGAACCGGGGATTGGACTTCTAGCGTAAGGAAATACTTGTTGCATATCACATCAATGTTCTAAGAGTTATTGTACATTGGGGATTGTGAGTTTCCACAACCAGGTTCTCTGGAACAATGAGACTCAATTCCTTCCGTCTCTATGTCAAACAGATGGAAAGGGGTCATCGGACAAGTAGCAATTTCAACCGATCTCGCCCTGATGGCCCTTCTGGCCCGGTAGGCCTGATCCTCAGATGACGCTCCGAGTTGGTTTCTGGTGAATCTGAGAAGCTAGTGTCGTTCCCCTTCGATCCCCGATCTTTCCTGCCCAACTCACTCCTTACTCATCTTACCTCTCGCAAGTCCAACATCAACACATTCCACCGCTCAGGATCCAGTTCAACCAGTGACCAGCGAGTCCTGAGTACCGCGTCCTTCAACTCGCCTAATATGATATCAAGTATCTTTTAGCTCTTTTGATACGATGTTAACGTCCTTCTGCTATCACGAAATCGTCCAAATCGACCCCTCTACTCGCAATCTACAGACTTTCTCAGATGGCCATGGCGGCCATACATCAGGGCCTCCTAGCGCCAAAACCTGAACCGACAGTCACTGTATTTCACTTCAATGCCGTCTTTGGGAGAAGACTATCGGCCAACGCACAGTCTCGGTGTGTAGGCAAAGTTCATATTCGCAGGGGTTGCGAGAAAAGAACTTATTAGACAAAGTACGAAACGGTTCACCACGAACCCCCCCTGGCTTGCGAATCCCGAGTATTGGGACAAAGCTCGGCAGCAGGATTAAGTTACCGTGGAGTTGCCAGTGTGTCAAATGAATAGATTAGATTAGATTAATGGCCATTAATCTAATCTATTCACGAAAAAAAAAAACTCATTAATCATATTCTATTCACGTGTTAATTAGATTCATCGTGATTAATCTGATTAATTATTCTAATCTAATCAAATTATTTTAGCATTACATTAATCATATTCTATTCACGATTAATCATAATTAATGTGATTAATTTGATTAATGTGATTAATTTGATTAATGTGATTAATGTGATTAATTCTTTGACACACTGGGAGTTGCAAATAGTTGTACTAATCTTCCAATGAGCAGTTTTCTTCTCGAGTGGAAGCCATCGTTGCTTCTGGCTCCACAATGAACACGGCATCAAGGTCCGATGCCCAACTCGCAAGGACATCCTATATACATTGACAGCTTCCCACTTAGCAGACTCTTAATGTTTGGTACCCAGGCTCTTACGGGTGGAACAATGGAGAGTGAATTGTGCGTGGAAGATTTTTGTTGCAAATTAACTCCATGTTCCAGAACCTCTTGAGCTTGCTCAGGATTCAGGGATGCCAAATCGCCAGGCAGCATAGTGAATAAATAAAAACCACTCATTGTTTTATGACTTTGAATCCTTTGGTATTCTTCGTGTGCTACACAGCTCCAACCACATACTTCTACTCCGTTTCACCTAACGCCTGAATCCCCTAGTCTACCCAAGAATTTTCCCTTCCCCAAGTGGGTTTGTCTAAAATATACAAAGAATAGAAGTGGCTCTGGCCAGCCAGAAGGTCTCTCAATACTGTGCTTCACATCCCTCAATAGTCACGGTTACAACTTCAGGTGCAGCAGAATATGTGGCCACGGGACTTGGACTTGGAGCTGGAGTAGTGATATTCGAGGAGGGTGAAGGTTGAAGGAAAATTCCTGGGGAGACGGCGGGTGTAGATGTGGAAGAAGAGGTAGACGCAGCAGGTGTTGGTGTTGAAGTGGTCGTTAGTTGAGCGGCAGGTGAGGATACAACTGGGTATGAAGGGGTGACAGCAACAGGCGATGAAGTTGCAGGGGCAGGGGCGTTGGCTGCTGGTGAGTCCGCCGCTGGTGCTCCTGAATCATCAGCTCTCGCACAACCGGTTTTGGCGGTAAGAGCTGCTGGACAAGCTACTTGTTTGAATGATACACTTGGGTTGTCAGCTCCCTTGAACCAGTCGTATCGCCAGTAGCAGCCGTCTTTGAGAGCAGCCGGGAAGCTATCACAAGAGGATCTCGACGCAATACCACCATATTGCGCACCCCAACCAGAACTTGGGGCTCCAAACATGTTTGTGCAACCATTGAAAATGCCAACGCCACCACCTGGGATCTGAATTGAACGTCAGAAAAGATCATAGCTAGATTGTGGAGGGGAGGGGGACGTACGCTGATATCAAACTGGTTCCCAGACAAATCTGAACCCGTGTTGGTAGCTTGCACAATCATTTTCTGTCCAGCAACAGCTCCGCTGGTGAAGGTCAACTCATAGCAAGCACAGCACCAGCTTGCTTCTGATCCTCCCGCGATGTTCACTGCTGCGTAGCCGTAGGCAAGGTTGTCATCGACAGCCCATGGTGACTCGTTGGAGCATTGATAGGCCGGTCCACCAGCGCAGCCAGAGGCAGCGTTTGAGTCCAGAAGAGGTTGGTCCTTGATATCGCACATTTGTACCGGGTTGGATCCAGCGGCAAGGTTGAATTTTCCAGGCCAGGCGCAGCTGGGCTTACAGCAGTCCCAATAGCGGGTCGTGGTGCCTGTCCCGCTTGCCCCCGCGTTTGCCTGGAGGAAGTAGGGGAGGAGGGCGAGGAGGGTCTTGGTTGAGAATTGCATTTTGAAGTCTTTTCAAGGAATGATGGACTCAAAGATAGAGCAGTGTTGTTTCAAGGTGTGTTGAAATGTTCAAGGTACCTGACCAGTGAACGTGATTTTAAAAGGAATGAGTGGTCCAGCGAATTTGAAAGGAGTGTCAAACTCGACTAGGAACAAGGAAGGCTGAAGAGCTGTGAATAACCTCGAAGTTGGGTGACCAAGAAAAGAGGGAACAGAAGGGGGAGAGCTTCAATAAATCACTTATTCAGATCTCACACAGACGTGACCGGCCGCTGGGGACCTCCCCTATCACCTTGCCCATGTCACACATCGCCAATGAGGAAGATTGAGCGCATCCTACGTACTATTTTCGAAACGGTGGCGGCCGGTTGGTCGCGCAAAAAACCTTGGTCTCCTGCGGAATGCGGGTAGCCCCCCGATTTAGCGCCACTAACCCCTGAATCCGCTCACCAAAGCTCGGTTCCTGCGCCGGGGTGCTGGGTGTTTGGTTTATCCGTGGGGTGATTGGCGCGGGGGGGTGTTTGCCCCTTTTTCTTTGGGCGGATGTTCTCGTTTCATGTTTCAACTGACTTTTTTCATCACTCTTTGAAGATCAGACGAACTCTGATTTGTCCTCGGCTCCCTCACGAACGCGGCGCCACAAAGAACCACTTTTTGGAGGAGTTTGTTCGTGAGCACAAACCCGATGCGGTGTGATGTGGCGTCAACTCGAAACAGAATGGGGTCTGCGTCCCGTTGGTGAATGAAGCGCAGGCGGATTTTCAACCTCAGCCTCAAGCCTCATAGGCTCCCTCGCCCCTGGCTCGGCCAAAAGGAGTCCAGGCGGCTTCCTGGGCCGTCGAGGTGCGTCTGTACCTGGTTTGCGGACATGATCAACGCGGATCTATTCCAAGGTCGCAAATTTCTGGTAAATGTTGACGGGAATGATGGTTGAAAGATTCTCCGTTATCATATAGTGGCTTCCTCTCCCAAGCCGTCTGATTCTCTGGATTCTTTGAACAAATGCCTCACGAATACCCCGAAGTTATTTGTTTTCCATAACTTTCGATGTCTGCCAAGGAAGTGGACCTTTTCCTCAAAGAAAGAATTCCCGGCAGAAACCTATTCGTGGCCCTGTGGTAGTCCTCCATTCGTTTCCAAATTCCTTTTGCAACACTTCTTGCTCCTCTCTAATCCTTACCATCACCATGAACACCGGCAACCCAACCTGAATTGTTGGCGCTAATAAACAAGTTGACTGCGCCTTGCAATAGGAAGAATTCTGTGTAACTTGGATGTTGCACGTATTGGTAAAGGCCAGTCTTGACAAGACACTGCGGCTTGTGGATCGCGAAAATGAAATTCTCTCCAAGTTGTGCAAATGACCAGAGCCAACTGGCTGCCCCCAACATGAAAAGCATGGTGTACCAGCTCCACGAGAACAGCCCCCACCGAGGAGTTCTGGATTCCGACAGAATTGAGAGCGATTGTTGGGAAAGAGGACCAGGCTGATATGGTGAAGTAGTATGAATCGGAAAGTGGCCGTCGGCTGGTCTGACGGCGACTTGGCTCACGCTGGCACCAAAACATAGGGCGAAGTTTCGTTCGGAAGGAGCCAACCACCACAAGACTGCAAAATATATGTTTAGCAAGACCTGATGTTCCATAAATGGCCATGCCTGTGGTCAACTTCAGACCTTGGTCGAATATTCTTTAATTCATCGACCAAGTCCAGTGGCACAGTTTTGTTTGTCCCACAGTTCAGTCAGTGGTATGTGGGCTTCAGGAAATTTTGAGCATTGTGGAACGGGGTGTGAAGGCTCCTCAGAGTAATTCAATGGGTCGTCATAATAGTCTGTTGCTCTCGTCCTTGTTAGTCTCTGTTCTGTTACCCCATACTAAACATTGCCTCTTTCCCTTTCAAGATCTGACCTCCTGCTCTCAAGAGCAAGCCAAGTGACGGATGACAATGTCTTGCGGGTCGGAAGGTGCGTTGCTCAAGTGCCAAGCCTCTCTCGGATCCTTCACCTTCACCTCCCTTTCCTGGAATCTTCTCCCCTTCACTCTGAATCTCGTCGCTCTTTTCCTCATGACCACTCTCCTCAACGACATCCCCTTCTTCACCACAGAACCCAACAATATTTGGTCTTCAAACTCCTTCCTCTCTTCCTAGTCTTCCCTGTCTCGATCTGTCCCTCGCTCTCAACAACAGTTCCGGTCGAAGCGGACGCACTTGCAATCCATTCTGACCCAAATTGTACGAATGTCGTGATTCCTGTGTCGATCACGGCCAAAAATGCGGTACGCCGTCATTACTTTTGTCATTTCTCTACTTTTTGCTCCCTGTGAGATGCGGATCGTAGCTGCACTGGAGCCACCAGAACCTCCATGCCGTTATAGCTCTTCTTAATATTTTCGAGTTGGTACCAATAGAATTCACTCTCGTTTCCTCGTTCAACATTGTTGCTCGCCTCGTCAACCACCCGTTCGCATCTCTTCTGAGGGCCAACTACAACATAGCCGGAACGTTCTGCGAACCAGCGATAGATGTCCCCAAGAAAAGAAATAATATCCATTTTCTAGCACATCCAGCAGCTTATGATCGCACCTATGAGAGTTCAGACTGTTTCCATCACTCAAGACTATGTTTTATGGCCTGAGAAGGTACCCATGTCTTGGATAGCTGACACTATTTAAGTGGTTTGATGGCCTCCACTCAGGAGTTAATGGAACGCCCTACAGCTGGGTCTCTTATGCATCGAAATTGGGCTGCCCGACCTTCTTGTTCGGCCATCTAGGCAACGTCGGCTCCGACCATCCCAACTCCATCACTACTGTTCAATGTACAGTCAAGCAGCAACAGTTCACGAACTGGTCAAAGTGGCCAGAGCAGGAACTTCACGGTATCCTCGCAGATTCTGCAACTTCGTCTTCGTAGGGGAAAGCCTGGGGTCGGTCGATTGGTTGGCAATTTCGCCAATGTCGAATACCCTAACAATTTCAACTCGACCATCCTTGGTGGCTTCCGCAAATTCTGGGCCAATGCTGTTCCAGGTATGGACATTTCCGCTATCTTTCGAAACTCCCACGACTTGCTGAACCCTTACATTACATTCTTGAAGAACTGACTTGTGATTCTCAAGGCTTTACAGTTACTGCGGCCCTCTTGCCAGCAGTGCTGACTGACCAGACCAAATACGGATTTCTCAAGGCAGAGCTTGGTTATCTCATTACCAATAGCGTGACAGGAGCTGACCGGAAACAAAGATGTGGTCTTTCGTGGTACATTCGACATTCCGATTGATGGCCCGGGAAATTGCAAGAGGTCCAGTATACTTGCACAAACGAAGCAGTTGTATCCCAGAGCCAAACCTTATTGGTGGTTCTCACTTGACAATTCTGGCCTTTGCTGGCAACTTCAGTACACGGCATAGAGCGGCTTCAAGTATGCGCATGACAGGCTGGCTAAACAAGGATTTGAGAGAAAGGGGGGTTTTATTAATCAAATCTTTGAGGGTGTTCGACAAAATGGAGGAGCTACTTCTTCCTGCATAGAAGTATGTTTTGCTTCTGTAGCTTGTGGTCAGATCACCCATCCCTATCATCGTTACCGGTCGTATTCGGGGGGATGTTACTCTTCCGTGACTTGTAGTCAGTTCATTAATCTCTATTATTAAAGTCAAGTAGGCTTTAAGAGCACTCTCACTTGTTATTCTACTTTGCCACATTCAAGTTTCTGGTCAAAAATTGCATAATCGACGAGTGATTCAAGTAGCTAAACATCACTCGGAAAGCGATCATCTGTTCTCAGGTTATTTATAGCACGTTAATTATTTCGCTGGTGAGGTAATAAGTTATGAAGAAGGGGAAGTGAGGTAAGAATGAAACTCCGAGAATTACCCCGCCCCGATCTCATCCTCCCACCATGATAATAAGCGGGCCAATGTAACAGTAGCCTCAACCTCCACTTTCAATCCATCTACTAAAAGGCTGTGCATATTTAATTCAATCCTCTCCTTACCTCAATCCGTTCATCTACTCTATCTTCCAGTGTGTCAAGGTCGCTGTACTTTCCTTCAGTTTGATGCTTGGTTGACGTAAAAGCAAGACCCCGCGCCTTCCCCTCTCAAGTCACGAGGGACAGCTTGTCACACTTCGGCTGCTCCTTCCCATTCCAGCCTCTTCACTGCTCACTCTACTATCAACTCATTCGCAAACATGGGCGAACTAAGTCCTTCCCAGCACCCCGTTAAAAGAGCATGGTGGAAAGAGTCCTCCGTCTACCAAATCTACCCCGCCTCCTTCAAGGACTCCAACGCCGACGGGATCGGAGATCTCCCTGGAATCTTCTCCAAGCTCGACTACATCAAAACATTGGGCGTCGATATAATCTGGTTATGTCCGATTTACAAGAGCCCGCAAGTCGATATGGGCTATGATATCGAGGATTATAGGGAGATTCATGCTCCGTACGGCACGGTAAAGGATGTTGATCGCTTAATTGAAGGATGTCATGAACGGGAGATGAAGTTTGTGATGGATCTGGTGGTTAATCATACTTCTGATCAGGTGAGTCTTGCTTTTGAATGAGGATGAGGGGGAAGATGTTGATTTGGGCAGCATAAATGGTTCAAGGAGTCGAAGAAGGGGAAAGGCAATGAGTTTCGGGACTGGTACATTTGGAAGAAAGGGAAGTATGATGCTGATGGGAAACGGCACCCACCGAATAATTGGGCTGCGGCTTGGGGAGGTAGGTCGCCTTTCGTTCGGCTGTTTGAAGGAGCTAATAATGGGTTAGGAAGTGCATGGGAGTATGATGAAGCTTCAGATGAATATTATCTGCATCTTTTCGCGCCACAGCAGCCGGATTTGAATTGGGAGAACCCGAAAGTCAGAGAAGCTGTTCATGATATTATCCGTTTCTGGCTGGATAAAGGAGTTGATGGCTTCAGGTATGTGTAATATCATGATCTTTGGTTGTTGAACCTGACGTTAGAGCTTCTAGAATGGATGTCATCAATTTCATCAGCAAGGTGCCAGGCTTTCCTGATGCGGAAATTACGAGGCCAGATCAGGAATTTCAGTCTGGCCACAAGTACTTTGCCTGTGGTCCCAGACTGCACGAGTATCTTTTGGCACTGGGTAAGATCCTGAAGGAATACAGTGCTTTCTCCGTGGGCGAAATGCCTGGTGTTGAGGATCCGCAAGACATTTTGGACGCCGTTGGTTTCGACCGCGGTGAACTCAATATGATCTTCCACTTTGAAATGTATGTTTCCCAATCCGAACAAGCTCAGACCGCCCATATTGATCATCTTTCGTAGTGTCGATCTAGACCATGGAGATGGTGGAAAATTTTCTCCCAGAAAATGGGAGATGTCGGGCTTGAAGAGAATTGTCAACAAATGGCAGACCTTCATGATCAATAATGATGGCTGGAACGCTCTATACCTCGAGAACCATGACCAGAGCAGGTCCGTCTCACGATGGGGATCAGATCTACCTGAATTTAGAGCGGCTTGTGCGAAGATGTTTGCTACCTTTCTAGCACTCCAGAGCGGAACCGTATTCGTCTACCAGGGTCAAGAGTTGGGTCTGATCAATCTTCCAAATGACCGACCTATCTCAGATTATCGAGATCTTGAAACCCTGAATGCGTGGCGTGAGTGAGTATACCACCAACTCCTTAAGGAATACATGCTAAATGAAAATAGCTTGCTTGCAAGGTACCCCGATGACAAAGAGCGCCAGCGTATCATGAAACGGGAGATAACTCTGAAGTCGAGAGACAATGCCAGAACCCCCATGCAGGTAAGCGAAATCTCAAGCAGCGTGTACAACTCAGCTAAGTATAAACCAGTGGAGCAACTCCAAATATGCCGGGTTCTCTACAGCTAAGCCCTGGCAAAAGGAGAACGAGAGCTACACTGAGATCAATGCGGAAACGCAGGTCGGTGTGAAAGATAGCGTCTTCGAGTATTGGGCAACTCTCCTGCGTTTGCGTAAGGCCCATAAAGACGTCTTCATCTACGGCGACTTTGAACTTCTTGATGCGGAGCACAATGATGTCTTTGCATATACTCGCACTTTCGAGAACCAGAAGGTTATTGTGGTCACGAACTTTCGAAAGACACCGGTTACTTGGTCACTTCCCAAGAATATCACATTACGGAAAGATAACATCTTGGTATCTAACTATTCGGATCCCAATATCGAGGAGGGATTATTGTCTTTGCGTCCGTTTGAAGCACTTGCTTGTTATTTGGACTAGATAGCTTGTTATTTGGACTAGATAGCTAGTTATTTGGACTAGATAGCTTGCTCATGGATTTAGGCACAGTTGAAAATAAAAAAGCAATACACAGAAACCTAAGAGATGTCGCATAGAAATAGGTAGAATCTAAAATGTGAGTCATTATCGAAGATTTAATCAATTCGGAGAAATTGTGATTTGGGTTAAAAGGGATCCAGGGATCGTGTCATTTAAGTAAACGAGGGTCAATGTAGATAGATTCTGAACGTGGAGGCGGCCGCGAGGCACGTCCAGTGAGATCCATCGTCATATCTGAGACCTCCCAACATCTTCCTTCCCTTGGATGGGATTGCGAGGGTCAGCCTTAAAACCGCCATAGGCTCCCGCACAGCAAAACGTTCTTTCACAGAACAATGTGATTCCCTCTACCATCTGCAGTCCACGATGATGGTGCTTTCGGGACTGCTCAAACCATCGAGCCATAATACGCCTCGTCGACACATCAAACCCTCACCACAGAGGCGGAGCTCAACGCATAGCACCGACCAAAGCTCCCCGGAATCTGCATCTTCTCATGATCCTCCGGCAGAGCCATACCTCCATAAAGAAGCACAGCTTGCACCCATCGAATCCGAAGATCCGGACCTGAGAGAGCTCAACAACAACCTTGTGGCACTCGCGGCGATCTTCCCCGATGTACAAGTCGACGTTTTCCGTGAGATGCTGTCAAGCTTTGATGAGGAATCGAGACTTGCAGTAGTTACAGAGACTTTATTGAAGCACAAAATGAAGTGGGTTCGGGGGCGCTATAGGGTGGCCGTGAAGGAGGCAGCCCAACCAGAGCAAGAGAAAGAAACACTACACGGATCTCAGGGAAATGTGCCGGCCGAGGAGAAGTTCAGGAGTGCGGGATACAAGAAGGCTGTCAAAGCTATCACATATCAGGAGTTCAAGGGTCTGTCGAAGTCAACGATCAATGCAGTGCTGGCCGAATTCAACCACTCTTATACTCTCGCACGACCGACCCTTGTTGCCTTATCCTCGAAGTCCTGGCGGTTTTCGCTGTCCTCCATATTCTTACGACGAAAGCCGATATCTTCGTCCGAAGCTGAGCACCATCCTCTTGTAATTTGGCAGTCAACAGGACAAGGCTCCATAATTCCCACCCTGAAGGCCACCGGATCTCCGGAGCTGGACAAGGAACTCTTCGATTCCCTTATTCGGCCTATACAACAACGCCGACTTATTGAACTAGAAGAGAAGGATCATACACTGGCCTTGGAGCTCAATAATGCCGAGGCTGAGAAAAATGAAGGACTTCACGATTGTGAATGTTGCTTTACGTCAGTAACATTTGAGGAATTGTCGGCATGTGATACTGGTGGACATTTCATCTGCTTCCAGTGTGTCAGACGGTCAGTCAACGAGGCAGTGTTTGGACAAGGATGGCAACGAAATATTGATCTCGATTGTGGCACACTTCGTTGTGTTGCAGCAATGTCAGATGATTGCCAAGGCTGCATTCCACAAGAGCTCGTCCGTCGAGCGTTCAACGAAGACAAAGCTGGGCATGAAATCCTTCGAAAACTCGATGAACGTCTCGCCGAAGACAGCCTCCTCAAAACGAACTTACCACTTATTCGTTGCCCCTTCTGCAGCTATGCTGAAGTAGACGAACTCTACCTTCCGGACTCCCAGCGATCTTGGCGACTAAAACGCAACGGACCTTCTTCTCTATATACCCTTGTAATCTTGATTTTAGGCGTTGGTATGATACCCTTTCTTTTACCGGCGTTCTTGATATTCTCTTTCCTCTTCCTGCTGCTCTCCTCTCAGCAAACCTTCGGCGACTTTGCTGTTACCTACTTCAACGCGTCTGTCATTCGCCTCCGCCGGAAACGCCTTGGTCTGAAATTTGTCTGCCAGAGTGAGACGTGTGGACGTTCATCCTGCATCTCTTGCACCAAGGCGTGGAACGATATCCACATCTGCCACGAATCCTCTCTGCTGGCTCTACGGACCCAGGTGGAACTCGCAATGTCTCTGGCAATCAAGCGAACCTGCCCTCGCTGCAACACCTCATTCGTCAAGTCATCTGGCTGTAATAAACTCACTTGCGTATGTGGATACCAGATGTGCTACGTCTGCCGCAAAGACATCGGAAACGGCGAAGGCTACCGACACTTCTGCGAGCACTTCCGACCAAACGGCGGAAGAGGATGCACTGAGTGCTCGAAGTGCGACCTCTATCGATGCGAAGACGACGAGGTGGTGGTCAAGAAAGCCAAAGAAGAGGCCGAGAGACAGTGGATGGAGAAGGAAGGCAATGTCCTCGGCGGTGATGAGAAAATCCGAAAAGTTTTGGAGGAAAAGTGGAAAACCGATGCGGATGCAGCTTGGTGGGATGCCCGGTGGCTGCAATGGAAAATGCCAAATTGGGAGCTGATCTTTGACTCTTTGATAGAGTCTGTTGTAGAATGACGTTTATGCCTTTATGCTTTATGGCTTGGGATGGGATGGGATCGGTTTGGGCTGCAAGCGTGGGATGGGCACTTTTGGCACGGATAGCGTGGTGTTCATGGCACTCAATGTATCTGTCATACGAAAGTAATGGCTAATCTCGTCTTCATGAATGATCATCTGTATTGTGCGTGAATCGGGTATCTAGTGAGAGCTCTATCGCTCTTGATGTCTGTCCTACAAGTAGACCTATGAACGCCATTTCCATGCTGTAAGTAAAATCCGAAAATACCTGGGGAAGATAGGACGAAAAGAGCCTTCACAAGTCATATTTCATCCCATAGTTAGGACGCAACAGACATTGCCATTGCCAACTCCGACGACTTGCTCCATATCCCACTGGGTTCTCGTCTCCACAAAATGAGCTTTCCATCATCACCAGTTGAGCCCAATACCTGACCATCGTGATCAAAGTCGACATTCCACGGAACCCTATTCGCAGCCATCTTCGAGACCTCAGTCGCAACATGAAGCACCTCTCCCTCCTTGCCCTGATTCTCTGGTGCCCTCGAGCCACTTGGTCCCGGTCTGGCATTCGCCAATCCAGCTCCAATACCAGAAGGCGTATTTCTCCCACCATTCTCAGCCGCCGACTGCGGAACCACAACCTTTTCCGGAAGCTTCGCATAATCCTTACTCCGCGGTTCCTCGCCCGCCTTGCCCGGCGTCTCAACCTTAAAGACCCGAACAAACCCATCCTTGCACGCCGTAGCCACAAAATCATACCCTCTAATATTACCCGGCGCCCACGCAATGTCCCTCACCAAGCTCCTATGCCCATCAAACCTGCACGCCAGATAAAACTCCTTCGATGTCGACGAGCCGAGCGTGACGCTGTGAGAGATCTCCTTCGTGCGCCACAGACTAGCACGGTTCATGCTCGCCACCACCACCGCCAATGAATCCCGTGGAACTCCCAAGCGGAGAGCGTTGTAGCACGGCTCGAGATTCGGATCAAACATGACCTTGAAGCTCACTTCTTCTCCACGCGCCGGCTTATCACACACGTTAACCTTATCCATCTCGTTCCAGTTCTCGAGGTTCTCCGGCTGGTCGTTCTCGAAGACGGCGAGCTGGGCGTTGCGGTTGATGACCGCGAGGTACGTGTGCCGCGTCTCGGTGTTGAAGGTCATGGAGAAGGAGAGGAAGGGGGCTCGCGACGGGGCGCGCAGTTCCCAGACCGGCTTGTTGGAGTGCGAGTTGAAGCGTCGGCCTTTGTTGGGCGCGATGGTTGGGTCTTCGACCCAGAGTCTGAAGCGGCCATCGGCGCCCACGGAGGCGATGAGGTTGGGGTGCAGTTGGGGGTGGAGCCATTGGATCTGTATCTTCGTTAGCTGTAATCTCGAATGTGGATGGTGGGGGGGGGAGTGTACTTGGTAGACTTCGGCATTGTGAGCTCCCCACGTATCGCAGAGAACCCAATTACCGGCATTATTCTTATTGTAGACTTTGATCTTGCCGTCAACGGAGCCGGTTGCAAAGCGATCGCCGTAGTAGTTGAAAGCGGTTGTTGCGATCATATCTCTGTGGCCATGGCTGAGGAGTTGGAAAGCGTCGGACAGGTCGTCCAATGGGTCATCGTCTTCTTCCTTTGCTGATTTTGCGGGATCTTCCTTCTTCCGAGGCTCTTCTTGCGCGGGCGCCATTGTGCCTTCTAGAGTTGGTACAATGGTTGTAGTAGGAGGTTGGTTGCAGTTGAGCCCGGAGAATTCCGCCTCGTCATCAAATGCAAACAGATGGTCCGTGCCCGCGAGGCTGTCGAAGCCAAAAGCGCATAGCGTCGGCAGATCGTCGGAAGCCATGAATATCAACAAGTGCAATGCAAAGATGTGATGAAAGTCTTTGCTTTCGTCTGTTGTCAATTGTGTTGTTAGAGACAAATTTGTAAAAAGAGATGTCAATTAATTTTCGACTTCACTCCCAGCCTTTTAAAAGGTGACATCATCGGACAGGACTGGGCCATGCATAAATTAGTGAATATTGAGATGAGAACCCAGTAGCTAGTGAGCTTCAGACGATTTCCAGACATTCAGATCACAGCAAAGGAATAAAATCACGAACTTTGAAATGACCAATTACCGTCCTAAGGTCTAAAGACATTCACAAACACCAATTGGACGAAAATTATCTTTTTAGAAAGGGCCATTTCCTATCAATTCCCGATCCAAGCATCACAAGTAAGCCATCCTAGACAAGTGTCTCTAGAGCTATGTACAACGAAGTTAAGGTACTCTGCCGCTGGACTCCCGTGCAACTCTTTGTAAGCCATCAACGTCAACAGCCAACAAAGAATGCCATTTCCAAGGAAGCTAAACACATCTCCTCCAACAGCTCTATCCCTACCCTTCCCTCCACCATGCGGAATATCTACACCCACGCTTCTCGCACACTTCACTTCACCAAGTTTACAAAGCCATCGCAACAATACCAGCCACAGCACCAACAAGCATGCCGCCGACCTTGTTCGCACGAGCAGCGCCAATGATCATGGCAGGCTGGGTAGGATAGACCGCCGTTCCAGTTGCGAAGCCGCCGTTTGGTGTCATGATCGGCGCAGCGTTAGTGATGGTCAATGGATTCGGGTAAGGTGGGTTAGCTGGCGTAGATGCCGGGGGAGCGTTTGCTGGGGAGGACTTGGCGCCCGGTGGGCAAGAGGTGTAGAGGACTGTTGAAGGAGTGTGCATTGGCTTTCCATTGTGTTAGTACTCTTAAAAGGAAGATGAGAAAGTTGAGGCAAGAGAAGAGGGAAACGAACATGAGTGACAGTGCATGGGCAATCCGTGATAGTCAGTGTAGTCGCCTCGGTGACGGTGTACGTTATCCCGTTGTGAGTGAGCTCAGTAGCGTACGGGCAGAACGTGGTCAAGGCTGTGACAACCATTGTGGTGTACGCAACAGTGCCATTCCCGGCAGCAAGAGCACCAGTGGCCGCAGCCAGAAGTGCAAGGCCGTACTTCATGTTGAATTATGAGATTAAAAAGATTAACGAGTGTGGGAAGTTAAGATGGCTGAACAGTGCAACTGAAAGAGCGACTTCGTGCAATGTAAAATGGAAAGGAGAGAGGGCTGGAGAGGAGGAACGGACATCTTAAAGGGAACGAAATCAACTCGGGTCCGGATCACTGATGTCTAGCCCTTCCGCGACCTCCAAAACTCCCCCCAGAGATACCCGAACCTCTCTAGTTCAGTACACCAGACACCAGGCTCTAGAGCTCAGCCTAACCTATTCACATCCAATCACAGCCTCCTAGGGGAATTTAAAGTAGGAGATCCGCAGAGGCGTTCCTGAATTGGCGTGTGCTTAATTTCATAAAATACACTGGTATTGATGGTTGTTTACAGCGCGAGGAATGTGGATGTGGAAGAGTTCTGAGTTTCTGACAAACCAACGCATAAAAAGAAATTAAGAGCTGGCTTGAGGAATGACGATCCATTCTGGATCGCGTCAACGACTCGGTCCCACCTGGTCACTCGACCCCAGGGCTGGAGATCTCATTCCTGCCCGTGGCTGTAACTTTTCGATTCTTCCCAACACTGCCGCAGGGGCTAGGCTTCATGAGTTTTCATTTCGTCTGTCCTTTGCAGTGGATTCTAGGTACACCGCTACTTTTCGGGATGAAGTACACCGTGATTTCCTCCTCAGACCTCGACACCGAAGGCTACTAATGTTGCCAAGAAGCATTCTTGCCCTCGACCTTTCGTTTCTTTCCCTTCCGATCTTATTAAGGACTAGCTTTCTTCTCCCTTGAGCCCTCACACCCTCCACAATTGGATGGGGGATCTTTATCTAAATAAACAAGTTCTCAAAAGCGTCTTCAAAAGCCACGACGCCTAAAATGCGTGGTAACAAACAGGTTCGAGTATCCCAACGAATCGCCAAATGCCAATGGTGTATCTATCCTCTCTCCAGGGGATATCTCAAGCTGTTATTGACGAATTCGAGGGCGCCCGATGTCCAAAGGATAATTGGGAATCTATGCAATCGCTAAAACAGCAAAACTTGGCTTGTGGTCTCGTGTGAAACCGACAATTCCGAAGTCTCAGTAACGGGTATATATATGCGTACTCGGAGGTTCCGGGAAAACTTTTAGGTATGGGAAGAAAAGTCGAATCAAATTCATCGGTTGGATCGGCTCATGCTGCGTTCGGGGAGGTTGACGTTGTTGTAGCGAGGAGCGATGGAATCGAAATCGTAGTTCTTGAGTGTCTGTTCATATTTGGAACTCTTCATGAACTTGGGAACAGAGTCCTGGGAAGAGAATTAGTATGGGAGAATGCTGAGAGGCCAGGAATACTCACACTCGCCATGAGCTTGAAAACGGAGATTTGGGCCTCCTCGAAAAGCTTGGTGACTTCCTTCAGGCTGTCGATCATCGCACCATCCTGCCCGACGGCCTTAGTCATTCTTGTCGCAAGCTGATTTCGCAAAAGATGGTCGATGTTGAGTTCGCAAGGTGAGCCCGGGGCGAGAAACGCGTTGTAGATGCCATACGCAGAAGCCATGGTCTCTTTCACAGAATCGAGGCTCCCGCTACTGGAACTCTTTCCACTCCTCGACGGCGAGTTAGCTTTGATTGCGATCTTGCACGACTTGAGAAATTCATCGACATCCAGATAGAAGGACAGATTCTCCTCGCAATGTGTGTCTCGCAAATTTTCTCGGAAGAGCAATCGAAGAGCGGCATCATTCAAGATCTTGTCCAGCTTCTGGGTATTCGAGTCTCGAGAAACACCGGCTCGTGCAATGACACTTGAGCCTTCGCTCTCGGATGTTCGCTCCTTGTTGACCATGTTCACGACATCCTTGCCCTTCTGTGTCATCTGGTAGATACCGTTCTTCGTGGGCTGAAAGATAACTGCTTTTTCCTTGTCCTGTTGCGAGAACTGGGCGAGGTAAGTCCTGTCCTGCTGCACACACCAGATCAATTCGTGCTCCAGAAATAAGCCTGCGATCTCGCTTGTCTCTCTTCGATCGACTGTTGTACAACAATCCATCAACCAATCCGTGGCGGCTTTGCCGGTGAAGGTTTGGTACACAGCACGAGGCGGAGAGCCAATCTTGCGTTCGTTAGCCATTCTAACACCGGCTATTCCGTCCTTGTATTCACTAAGTGAATCAGAATCGGCAGAGCTGGTGCTATTTTTGATGTTAGGGCCGTTTTGGCCAATGAATCGGCGGAAAATGACCTCGATGGTACTACGGTCAGAAGACAGCTTATCTGTAGCAGAGTCTCGTTCAAGAATCACTAGCTGCATTGTATTCCTAGGAGAGTTGACGAGTTCAGTGACATGCTTCTGCTGAATGCCGTTCTTCGCACAAAATCTCTCTAAGACGTGAATGCCCTTCGGGGTCAGCTGCCAGACGGAGCCCTTCATAGTGAACTCCTTAGCCTGCTTCCCGTCCGCAGATTCGACGAATCTTGCATCTAAGAACCGCTGGCATACGGATCGAGCCATTTCCCGCGCCATCGAGAACGTGGTTGTCGTCGTGGTGGTTACTATCCGCGAGGGGTCTTTTGGATCTGGCATTCGGTTTGATTGGGAGAACTTGAGTGATCCTAGGTTGTTTATGGCTTCCTCTGACAAGAATGAATGGTCGACCCGACTCAATCGGACACGGTGGGGTGCTAAAGGTAAGCTCACAACCAACGTTGCAAATAGATCCTTGAAATCCTTTGGTAAGGTTAGCCCAAAGGCTCTCTTGAACCTTGGCAGAATGTCCGCTCTTAACTTACTCTTGTAAAGGGTCTGTCATCGCTGGTCATGCGCAATAAGCGCGAAGATGTTTGATGCATCTTGTTGGCGTTTTCAGATCGGGGTAACTGTATGGGGGCAGGCGTGTCGGCGGCAGTATTCGAATACGCCTGAGAAGGAGGGTCCGTCTCAAGCAGTGACTGGCGAGCAGCTGACGAGTATCTGGTTCCCGATCTCGTATGGGTGGACGACGAGGTATTGCTGCTATGGTGGGGGCTAGTATTACCCTGAATACTCGTGTGCGAGTCTGCCGATCTGGGAAGGCTGCTGCTATTGTTCAAAGCAGCAGTGGGGGAGCTCTGGGCGGTGCGGTACAAACTGCCACTCGACGGCCGCGAACGTACCGTAGGTTCAGACAGGCTGGCAATTGCGTTTGTTGTTTTGTCGCGGGCCAATGCAGCCAATGTGAAAAGGGTGCCTCGATTTTGTTTCGACGAGCTGGTAGAAAGTGTGGACTGATGGTGCCTCAAATTGTTGATCTGGCGATTGGAGAGGTCGTTGAGGGTGCCGCCGGGAGAGGAAGCGTCCGCAAGGACTGGGGAGGATTGAACGATAGTGTTGTCCTGGAGAGCAGGAGCAGGCGATACAGTCTGGAGGGAGAGGTGGTGATCTAGGCGATCGACGGATACTTGAGGCAGATGGGGGTGAGAGGGTGAAGGTGAAGGCGAAGGTTGAGAAAGAGCCATCTAAGGCTGGGGGCCGCTGGGGATGTTTAACGACGAGGCCCTAATCAGAATCCTGGTCAAGGCCGAGTTAGTCAGAGACGAGACTAGGGCAGGAGCCGATGTGGAAGGCGCGGGGGGGGGGAGGGGGGGAGGCCGCAGTCAGTCGTCAGTCAGCAGCCAGAGGTCAGAGGTCAGAGAATTGCAAGTAGGCGCGGTGCGGTGCGGTGCGGTGCAGTCTGTACGGAGCACAGGAGGCCTGCAAAGGAAAGGCGCCACCCCGGCTCGTGGTGTGGGCCCAGTTTGGGTGGCGGCGAGCAATGAGACTTGCTTGTAGACAGGAACCTTCGAACAGTTTGGCCTCGGGATCGCTGGGGGGCGGTTCGGGGGCCGTGACTGGCTTGTCCCTGCCGGGAGCTCCTCGGGCGCGGTGTGGTTCGTGGTTCGTGGCTCGCGGCTGCGCTGCTGTCCGTCGTCAGAAGACCGCAGGGAGAGTGAAGTGGAGCGGAGCAGAGCAAGGAGGAAGCAGCAAGCAGCAGCAGCAAGCAGCAAGCAGCACCCACCACCAAGCAGCAAGGGGCAGGGAGCGTCGCCTCTTCCCACCGATGGCTAGCTTCCGCGCTCGTGGCCAAATCGCCTGAGGGACAGATCGGCTGCGTGGCAACAAGGATGTGTCGACCCGCCTGCAGAAATCGGGCTCGCGCGCCCCCCTGTGCGGCCTACAGAACACGCCAATAGAACAGCGAAGCCTTCGACGCTCGGCGCCCGCTGCTGGGGCGCTGCCCCACTGCCCAGAAAAGCAACGCTGCTCCAGCGGAGCCCGGCGGAGCTGTGCTACAGTACTAGTACGGAGTACAGGACGGTACTTACAAGAATCGCTGCACGAAGTCCCTGCTGCAGTGCCGCAGTGCCGCCTGTGAGTGAGTGCCTGGAAGATGCTGGTTGACGCTGGTCCAAGTGAGACAGACACCCACCGCAGAGCGCCCTGTACACGCTGCGTTGCTGCCCCCCCCCCCAACCCTGAAACTCCCTCCTTTGAAGCTTTCTAGAATTCTAGATTATTACTGTATAGGCCACCCGCGTTTGGGACTGCCCCCGGCCTATTCATTCACCTGCGCCGCTGGGTCAGGCTAGATGCGCGCAATTCAGGCTTAAGGGGGACATACCGAACACGCGTGGAGACAGAGGGGCGGCTTGGGTAGATGCCGGATGCGTGGGTGTTTGGTGTGTCGCAGATCGCTGTCACGCCCCAGGCACAGGACGTCTGAATTGACGATACCGTACCTGAGCGAGATCTTCTGGTCTTCTGTTTTGTCTCAGTCAGAATCTTCCCCAATTATTAATTTCGATCTCCATTCCGTCGTATCACATGTCCTCTGCCGCGCTGGCTGCGGTGGCCAAGCTCCTCAGCCTTTCTTCCCGTGGGAAGAAGGAGAGTTCCTCCGCTGCAGTGGCTTCCGCCGAGTTTTCTGAGCTTGATGCTGGACGAGGTTTTGCCCCAAAACACTCGACGCCAGCTGCAGACTCCCGTCAAAGACAGACACCTGTTGCTGTTCGCCCGTGAAATTCCACTTTGCGGATGGGCACCGGGCACCTGGTCCTTGAACGCGTGCAATATTGATAGGAGAACTTTTTAAGGAGATCCTCGACGACTTACTCAATCTCTCACGCGAATCAATTGGGGTTCTGCAGCTCGCCGTCGTCTCTGGTCAAGCCGAAACTGAAACGAACGGCTGCTGCTTTGCGGCCAATATCGAGACCCAGGCCCCAGCTGCGGTACCGTCGTGAAGGATTTGTGCGTCTGTAGGGATGTATCTGTCAGCAAAAGCGAGTCCCGGACTTGCTGTAGCTCCTGTAGCTCTCCTGTCGTACCGGACGCCTTGGACATGCAAGCGTTCAAGGACGTGGAGAGCTCTCACACGATGCCGTCAAGCTCAGCGTTTCAATTGAAACCCGAAGTTGATAAGCCACCGCCTCCCCAGGTTGTTGGATATGTTGCAGCGTGTCGATCTCGTCCTTCCAACGCTCTTCTAGAAGGCGACGCAAGGCTGGGGCAACAGAGCGGGAAAGCATGAATTCCCTACAACGTACCTAGTCTGAGCTTATTCCCGACGTTCCAGAAGATGGTTTTCCTGGTACGAAGATCGATATGCCCGGAGCGTTGGAGTTGCTGTTGTCTTGCGATCCTTGTTCTTTGACAGCGAGTGTTTCGCAGCCTCGCTGGTCCCTGTGAACGGGGCCGCCCTATCAAAGTCGCGGGTAGATCTGAGCGACGATCCTGGCAGCAATTTTGTGGCGGAGCGAATTGAAGTGAGTGCTGGAGAGCAATTGATCATACTAATTCAGCTCAACGTTGCCCTCGTTCGAAGGAGACAAAGGAGAGAAGGGGGAAATGAGGTCGAGAGATATTACACGGCTCTCGGTTCAGACGATGATCACACACCAGGCCACTGCCCAGTTGGCAGTTGCCCAGTTGAGAGACGCGGTGCTCGAGCACTGAGGAGACCTCGAAGCTAGCGTGGATTTGGCTAGAGGCAGGTTTTCCATGTGCCTTCACACAGGCACAATGCAGGCGGGCGGCAGGCAGGTAGGCAGGTAGGCAGGCTGCGTTTGGAACTCTGGGCGGCGATTGCGGCGATGCCTCCAGGCGAGAGGACACAGCATTCCCAGTGGAGGAGCTCATCCGAAATGTCGAGGGCCTTTTGCAGTGGGGGAAGGGCCAGCTGTGTACGACAGTACGACAAATACGACACAAGAGGACTACCTGTCGAACCGCTGGCCGACGTCACTACAATCGACACTCTGCAGACTCCGACGGCACGAATTCTGCACACAAAGGAGGCATTTCGTTCGCGAACCCTCCCCACACCTCACCACTCTTTACGTCTATCATTATTGATCTCCTCGGAACCCGGAGGATCGACTGACATCTGCCAGCAACAGCGGTCAACCGCTGTGGGCACGTACATGAAGTCACAGACTCGCGCATCCAGTCGTCGGCACCCGCTCGGCCCTCGATGCTGTACTTTAGTAATAGCAGAGTGGATATGATATGATAGGGGATATGGCGATAGTCCCGCCTCTGCTCTGCACGATTGCGACGGTGTGGCCGGGGGGAAGGACTAACATGAGCTACAATTGGGGCTTGTGTTGGTTTCTCAGCATTCGCATTCTACCAGATCATATTCTCAAGTCTCTGATATTATGCTCACTCCTGCCTCTTCCTAATATTAGGTTTAGAGTTTGTCGAGCAAATAGGCTCAAATGCGCAAAGGCGCCACCGAGGTGCCAGAACTTTGGACCGAGATCTGGTTCGACAACGGCCAGGACCGCAATTATTAATCGCAGCCAAAACCAACACCAACACCAACACCAACCCCTCATCCAACGACTGGTAAAAGCGGCGCATTGAGGAAGCCAGCCCCGTTTCCAGACGGCGGCCACGTTGTGCGATGCCATGTGCTGCAGGGATCATTCAGCCAGTCAGCACTGCGCTCGGTGAGCTTGCTCGTGCAGGAGAAAGCCACGCGCCATAGCTGGTGCGGTGACATGCCGGGGGGTAATATTAGCCTTACTAATCCTACTCCGTACTCCGACTTGGGGAGGCCTGCTGGAGATCATGGCGAGCTTGGCAAACATAGGGGGCCGCTCGGTACTTACTTGCAGTGCAGAAACTTTGATCACCAGCAGTCCGTCAGCATCGCTGCACCGGCCACGCTGACTCGACCTCGAGCTGAGAACTTGGCACCCACGTGTCCTCAATAATACACAGTACCTCTTCGACTTGCAGCCTCTGGTGCCTGGCATCTGGGTACCTGACAGACACTGTACCTGGCTGGTGAAGAGCATTTCCCGTGGCAGCAAAATCGTCTGATCTGTCCTGTCAAGTAAAGTCAAGTCATGTCAATTCCAGTCAATCTCATCATAGGACGGCGTGACTTAGCTTTTACCTGGATCGGATCGGCATACCATGCCATGCCAGGTCGCGAGGAGCCCGAACCGGAAGCGAGCCCCTTTTATCCAGACGCCCTCTCGTGACTTCCTCCAAGCTTCCAAGGATGCTGAAACCTCTGTCTCCTCTGCATAGCCCCCAATTCATGCCTCGGAGCCGAGAACAGCTAATGCTCACTGCCCAGAGACCGCGGCTCACAGATACCTGTAGATCAGTCTTCAAATTCCCTTTCTTGAGCCTTCCGATGCGACGGCAATGGCAATACTGTGCAGTATCAAACGTCCGCACAGGTTTCCAGCCACACAATGCCACAAGCGCGACACCCTTCTGACCATTGAAAACACGGCGCCCCTGCCACTTTCGGTCCCACTCGTTCCAGAGCCCACCACGCATCTTCCACGAGCCTTCTCCGGGCCTTCTCGAACGTCCAAACCTTGCATGCACGCGCGCAAATCGCAAAAGAAGCATTTCATCCGCTCAGCCATAACCTCCGGCATCGAAAAGATCGCCGCGCGCTTAAAGGAGTGCAGCCCTTGTTGAGACATCACCACCGTCACACGAGCAAGAACCCTTCTGAGCCTTATTTGCCGCCAAATAATCTCCGCAGAATAAATATAGAACCAACTCGGGGTTCGGAGATGGTCGAGCCTCGTCAACTAGGGTCCCTTTCCCAATTTCACTTTTCCGGCTTGGCAATGGCATGACTTCGAAAAGTTTTCTAGAATGTCTCGGGCGAGCCCCTTTTCTCCATTGGCCCCCAGGGCTCCAACGCCCACGCTTTATTTAGCAAGCTCCGCTACTGTAACAATAATTACTCCGAACACCATAACCGCAACCCACGTGTTTCCGGGAACCAGGTTACATTTTTCCTTGTTTCTCTCACAATTAAGTATACGTGGAACCCTGTCGGGGATTCTGGCCGATGTTCCGCTTGAAAGCAGAAGTGGTCTGAGAATTGCGGATAGCGTTTAAAATGTCTCGGGGGTTGAAAACTTGAGATGAATGGATGCAACGTAGCTTCCTGTTAAACATCGTGGCGTCTGGACGACTTTCCTCCTTTGTGCTCTGTGTCACCAGCCGTGCCGAAGAACCTCACAGAGTCACATGTAATAATGACTTCAATCTCATACCTTCGTATCTGCATGTCCTAAACCACCCGTTTGCACATTCCCGCTTTCAAAAATCCCTCAAGCCATCATGGTTCTGTGTTGTAGCACAACACCACGTTCTCCAGTTCCCCCTCTCCGCCAAAACCTGCTCCATCCGAACTGCTGGAACCTCCACGGTTCGCTGCATGATCTCCCGATTATCTTGCTCGGTTCGGTCCACGGGAGCGAGGAGCAAGAGCCACGAGGCCAGAGTCACACGGCGGCCAGCGGTGCACCGTTACGTTCCGCAGGCGGCCACTGGGTTGGATTTGGTTGCCACGAGGTCAGTGAGGAGTGGCGGACGGATTCTCACAGTAGTCTTACCTTGTGCAACATTAGAAGCGAAAAAGAGAGGACAGCAGGCGAGATGCCTTTCCCGTACCGTCATGCATCAATGGCTGTTTTGGGGATGGGAAGATACGTTTTTCTACCGTATGTGCATATGATAGCTGCTTCGGGGCAAGCAGTCTTGACTCCGCGGCAATTGCAGATGACAGGCGTTTGTGCTACCGCTCTGAGAAAGCGATTAGGAAAATCAAAACCGGTAGTGCCCATCCCGGCTGGCGTGGCCGTGCTAGGAAGGACCTCGGTATCCGAGAGTTTGGGGAAGAGAGGCTACCTTTGCAGCTAAGCTGCAAGTTCCAAAGCAGCCCCGCTGCTTGAGAGTACAGCAGCGGACAAAATTCTGCACTGGAGGTCGTCCATGATGGCCAAGGGCTACCGGGATCCTGCCGGCAAGAAGCCTCGAACATCTAGTGTGTTTGTTCGTGACATCCGTTTGTTCATGTTAGAACCGTTATGGTGAGTCCTGCCAAACGAATCCGCATGGGTTGAAGGCTCTAAGCAGGTGCCGAGTTTTATGCGGTTCGCATGCAAGCTCATGACATGAATCCTTGTTCTCATGGTTCTTTTTGCCGTAACTTGTCAACATCGAACTCTCCATGACGGGAAGGTGCTCCATCTTTCGTGAACTCGCAGCCTCGGGGAGGAAGCATCTTGACGCGGGCCAATTATGCAGGTCGTTCATTTCAGCGTTCCGAGTCTATGCAGAAAGCCATTTCGGACTACTCTCGGGCTTTGAGTGCACGCCACATGCCGTGGGGAAGCCACGAACGCACAGGCTCCGGTCGCTTCCAACGGCTCGGAAGAGTCCCTCATTCTCATTATGCCCAGTATGCCGAAAGGACGGTGTCGGGACTCGGGAGGCATTTCACGGCTCAAACACTATGGCTTCAACTTGACAGGTGTTGTGGCTTAAAGGCCTTCTAGAACATCGGCAAGTTGAAAACTGCAGGCGCGGCAGCTTCGCCAAACTCTTTTTTGGGCCAATGTCGGTGCTTGACTGGAGCAAGTTTTCAAAATGAGCGGTGGACGGAACCCTCTGTTCGAGTGTCCAGACAGCTATCGGCATTTCAGAGATTGCCAAGCGTTTTCAAGGCGCGAAACCAGAAAACTTTACCAAGGTCTCCATTGTTTTATAGCCGTCGTCGTTTAAAGTCCAATTACAATGGGCACAATGATGCTGCTATACCGTTCGACCATCAAAAGAAGGGTCTGGGAAACAACCCATGTCCACTGATCTTTTGTTAAGAAAGTATCAAAGTAACACTTCTAGGCTTCTTTCCCGTCGGCTCTATTGCTTATGCATATCGGAGACTGGGGCAGATTAGCATGGGGCACGGAAACCAGGACATCTCTCAAGCTTCAAATCTCCGATTAACTTTCCCCAAAGTTGTTTTTGTACGTATAGGTCGATAGAGTCCTTATTTCCTATTCCCAGCATGACCCAGGTCCCTGGAAAAGCACTTCCGGGGAGGCTTTCCCGGTGCTTTAAACACTCGTCCGAGCACAAAGCTTGCTTCAACATCTCCCGCACAGCGGCTTCCCGCAAATGCTTCCAAACCAACCAACATCCCAACTTTCCTGGTTCTCAAATCACTCCTCAAACCACCTTCCGATCACTAATCACCAACTTCCTCCAAATGCACACACTCTCGGAAATAGATCCGCGCGAGCCCTAATCTACCCGACTCAGAAACTCGCAATGCAGGATTGTCCACTCGCCACAACAAACGCCAAAGCTTCAGCCTTCCTCTACCCCTCCCTCCAACTCCACTCGCCACAGCTTCGACGTCCCTTATCCGCTTCCCCAGGGTCAGAGCCGCAAAACAATGACGACGTCCACTTGAGTCAAGCACCGCCACTTACTCCACCATCAGACCACGACGCCGCAACTCCGTGCCCGGGACACTCACTGTTCAGCCCTCTGGAGATCTAGACCTGGCCACGCTTTGACCGCCTTTGCTTGGGGAAAGATGTCTAAACCCAGAATAATGGAGAGTTCAAGATCCAGCTGGCTGGGAAATTCCGTGCTTTCCACGTGGCGAGTGAAACATGGGCATTTGCCATTTGGGGGATCTACGGCTACGGCTTTTCTTTTGAGGAGCCGGTTGTGATTGGCGCTCGAAAGGTAAAGGTGAAAAGGAAGGCGGAGGGGTTTCGGATGGAAGCTTCAGTCACTGATGACATATTGACAGACAGAATTCGATATCGATCTTCAAGGGTACATCATCCGAACCAGAGAAAAGGAAGAATGTCACTGTTTGAGGTTGCGGAATCGCTGTCTATAGGTCTGTCGGGCCTGCAAACCTAATATCCAGGTCATCGCTTTGAGGCACGAGAGACATCGCACTTTCAGTCTAGGAAACAAATTCTGAAATAATGGGCTTGACTAGATAATATTCTCTGGACTTTGCTCCATGGATCCTTCCATCCGGATCATCACCTTGTCCATCCCAGAAACACCAAACGCCATTCGGAAGCTCGCTTCCTCTAAACAACCAGAGGCCCGGAATCCCTCTTCCACCCCCTATTCCTCATATTCTCCTCGACCGCCTTCCAAATCCCCTCTACGACCTCCCGATCCCGCCATCTGCTCGCGGGTCCCGCCCCAGCACTCCACTTATCAACCTGCGCGCTCAGCACCCCCCTTCCCCATCCCTTTACCATATCAGGTAACTGATCTCCCCTCCACCCAAGATACACACCCAGCGTATGTCTAAACAGCTCCTGCGGCGTCTGCCACTTGTAGCTCTTGAACTGCCAGACCTGACCCGTGGTAAACACAGCAACGACCCGCGACCAATACTCGGGCTTAAACTGCTCCGGCGTATCGACAATAATGAATCGAATCGGCCGCGTGGTGTCTATCGAAGGCAAGAGGCGCGCGATGTGCAGAATCGACGCCGAAGAGCTGGATGTTGAAGTCGAGGATTCGGGCGGGATGTAGATCCCGCTCTCGAGGAAGGACTTGATGTTTGACATGCGAAGGAGCGAGGAAGCCGAGGGCGAGAGCAGGATGATGGGGTCGGGGCGGCGGACGGGAGCTTTGGGGTTGTGGGAGAGAGGCGCGGTGCTTGCTGCGTTTGCGGCTGCTGTGTGGGCGGCTTTGCGGGTATTGAATGGTGCTGCTAGCTTTCTTACATGTGAAAAGTCCTGTATTGAATGTCAGAAATCATCTCGTCTTGAATAACATGAAGGGGAAGTGATATACCGTAGGCTTGATCCCCCTCAACACACTATTCCTATCTCCCATCCTCCTCTCTCCATTATAGATCTCCGCCAGCCTGGGGTCAATACTCTTTCCTTGTCTTCCCCCAACACTCGTAACCGGCACAAGGCCCCCCTTAACACCAGCCGCAACCTGCGCACTCGCTGCTGCACTCGACACATCGCTCGCCAACGGCTTGATGTACTCTGACTCCTCCGATGCACCTTCGAGCCATGTAATGAGATCCAATCGCTCTACGAAAGCGAGATTCTGGACTTCTCCTCCTGCACCATCTTCTGCTGCGAGCTCCGCGTTGAGGGAGAGCGCCGAGGCATTGTATTCTGGGATGGCGGTCTCGCGCTTCAGCCAAGCAAAGTAGATGCTGCGGAGGTCAACGGGCTTGTTGGAGGAGATGAAGCGCGTAGGTGTGGTGAGTGGGATGGAGACTGAGGCGGAGGGGAATTGCAGGAAGGTTGCGGTGGCTAGGCTGAGGTCAACAGAGGACGCCACAGAGACATCTTCGGTCGTCGTTGGGATGCAAGGAGCGTCTAATGCAATTGAATTTCGCAAAAGTAAGAGCGGATCTTGCTCTGAGGTTGCCATTTTGTTGTTGCGAATGCGAGAGTGGTCCTGGAGAGGAGAGTTTGATGGTCACAAGAAGGCTGAGAAGATGAAAAGAATACGGTGGCCGGCTTAACCTTGTTTTGCAGCTCGAGTTAGTCGCCTTATCACGTGTTAAATACTCAACGTCAGGTGAACTTCAAGCTTAAACTCGATTCCGAATCGCATTCTTAACGTCATGCGGGATGCGTTGTATCCACAATATTGCCATTGCATAATTCAACGTTCAGTGGCCATTACAGAACTCTCCTCATTCGCGGTGCTTGCTCTCCTCAGGTGCTTTAACCCAACACTTTTCCTCCGTCCGTGATACAAGCAGACGCCTGTCCCTCCACTCTGATGTTTTGGACTTTTTGGACATAACGGGCTGCTTGGCAAGTGCTCTGGCAAATTTAGTTCAAACGTCGTTGGGGACATCAGATCCGAAGGCGGACTTCTGGCAGGTGAATGAGTTGATTTGTTCCCCGTGTTAGCATGCTGAGCATCACCCTCCCACCATTGTCGGGAGGGCGGAGGTGGACTCCTCGCTGGGCCACCAAGCTCTGCGCTAGTATGTGACGAATGTACTGGGGGCCCCATATCGTCCGGTGCGTTCACATCAAAGAAAAACCCTCGGGGCTGGACGTCCGGGGTACCAGGATATAAGGGAGGTGTGTTGACTCGTCTTGCTTCCTAAATCAACATAGTTAGTCGCTGCGAGCTGAAATCTGGCTTATGGTTTTCATAGTTTTGCAAAGCTCAATCCAGCTGCCGAGATCTGTCTTCCCATCCCCAGTTTTGATGTTCCGCATTTGTTAGGCTGTGCCGAGTTTCTTTCATCGTCCGATGCAAACATGCTCGCAAGGACAAAGTGTTTCCAATTTCTCTCTTGTGCCAGTGCTCTCAGTCCCGGTGCCTTGGGGTAAAGGTACTTACAGATGGAAGAAAAGTTGGTTCGTGTGGGTCATCACTAGCCAACTGAACTGAGATAAAGAGATGAGCTTCATGTTCTTCAGCATTTGCGCAGCTAAAATACCTGTGGGGTAAGTCTTTCCATCGGGGCCTACATAATGCTTTTCAGGTGTTGGCGTAGCGATAGGTGTCTTACCTAGCAACAAGCTGCGCACAGAGCTCGAAACAGAAAGTACGGAATCATGTGAATGTCTGCGGTGCCAGGGAGCAATTCCTAATCGTGGACGAGATCTGCTGCCTAAGGAATGGCTTGGTGATATTTCCGCATGGCGATTCGATCGACGTTGCGTGAGATCGAAATAGTTGCTTGCTCCGTGGAGAAGAATCGTTGTGCGCGAGGCCAATGTGCCAGGACCTTCAAGTGAGCTCATGGATAACTTGTCTACAGACTTTGGGTGTCAGCTGTGCCATGCCTAGATGGGCCAGGCTCTTACTATTTTGCGGAATCGTGCTTCAATATTCCGTTTTGTCCGGCAGTATAGCCCCTCTCGCTGCTGGGCGGATTCGGTAGCCTCTTGATTGCCTGGCTTGCTGAAATTGAAACGCCAAAGATTGCTGCTCTTCTGGGAATCGCCACTAGTATGCCGAGAAGTTCGCCGAGAAGTCAGGGCTATAGACTTTAATGATACGCTGCCAATCTTGATCTGTGGGATGAAAGATGAAGGAATTTTGCTGTCGTTCACGTTGTCCTCGTTTGCAGCCTTTGGTATGCTCTGACTCTTCTGAATTATCTGGCTGTTGTGGCCAATGAATCTGTTCCACCATTTCTGCTTCGTCGCATGGCTCGGTGGTATGAATCCGCGTATCTCTCGCTCAGCCCAGTATCCTTCTGGAAACCAAACCCATTCATAACCCGGCTTTGGGGGCCGAGGAGGATCAACTGGATTGCGTTGAGGGGGCCCGAACGAGGACGGACTCGTAGCACTCACCCCTGCGCTCCAATCCGTTATGCGCGGGTATCTGCTCGAAGCTGACAGTGAAGAATCGATGGAGCGACGCTTGCTGATCTTGCTACGTCTCGAGTCTCCCGACTTTGCAGAATTCGGAGACTTCGGCGACTTTTCGCTTGACCGGTGTCTAAAATGTCGTCCAACTCGTTTTTGGCGAAAAGTGGAAACAGTTTCGTTATCTTGCGTACCGCCGTCTTGTTGGGGAGCGGAAACCGTTTCGCTATCTTGGTGGTTGGAGGTTCCGGGTACGAGGAAATAAGAAATAATTTCGGGATCTAGACTCTCGGGTTGGGTTGGACCCTCTATGGTTTGCGAACGGCAGCCCACAAGACAACTGCTACTACCATTGTGGTCTTTCATCTTTTCTGACGGGATATCGACGCCGAGAACTCCAATGAGCGATCCAGAAGATTGGTTGGAATACCCAGGCGAAAGATAGGAACTTCATAGGGAACTGGTAGGAATAGGGGCTGGGTTACTTAGGAGTGGTGGGAGAGGGAGGTAAAACTTCATCCCCATTGACTTCGAAAGTCTTGGAGAGAGCAAGAATACATCGGAAGGAGGACCCTGAGCGCATCGGGTCTAGCCCAATCGATGAACTCAACAGCTCCTTCCGCTTTGGAAGCACCGAGGACCTGAATCGAAGTGCAATGGAAAACTTTCCTGGAGACCACCGCGGATTGAAAAAAACGATTCAACCTGATATTGAGAAAGTCGTTTCTCATCCATTGTTGAGAACCAATCCATCAACTTCATGAACCACGTCTGAAAGGATGAACCAAACGATCTCGCAATTCTGCATACCTCGCGGCAGTTCCTTCCTTGGAGGAGATCTTTTCAAGAATAACTAAAGCTTGTCTTTCATGCGTGTAATTTGGGTCGATATATTAATAGCTAATTTATTTGTGATATAGCATGATGAGCAAGGAACCGTCATGTATCTTCTTCGGTGCACCAGGCATGGTGATCTGCTCCAAGTCATTGATCTGATTACCCGTGAATGTATTACCGGTAATAGCTGTAACGAGAGAGTCCTCTTCTTTATTCATTTCTGCTTCTCTATCATCAAGGAATGGCGAAAGTATCGAGGCTGTTGGAGCTGCTGTATTATGAAGAGCAGGAACGGGAGCACTGGCTGTAGGAGACTCCAAGTCTGAATCAATTATGCCAAGGTCGAAACAATTAGTTAAGGGGGATGGGGTTGATGAAGCTGACTAAGAGACTAAGGGATTGATGATATTAAGTGTGCTTCTTGGTAGTCGAGAAGATAGCGTTCTGATCCATCTGTTCGAGGGCGTGGAGGGTGTTAGAGGGAAGATATTGGAGGTGAAGGTAGGGTAGAGGACTTCCATGATAGACAGGAATTGAGTAATAGTCGTCCTTGTAGCTTAGTTGTTCGGCTGTTGCTTAATCTCTTTCCTATTGCGTGCAGATAAGCGTTGGGAAGCTTAATTTCAGTCCCGTTGGGTTCTTTGGATCTCCATTCTTGGCTTTAACCTCTGTTGTAATCTCTTTGGGAATGTTCTTTGTGCACCGAGGCTTGGGTTGGGGGTCTTCTGTAACTTAGATTCCACGATGTGTGAATTCTAGATTAGATATATTTCGAGATAGCTAGAGACGTTCTTTGTATGTGCTCACAAGAGAGCTGCCGCTGTACATATCTATAACGCTATTCTGGAGATTTTTGGAGGGATGGCCTGCAACTCAAGCAGTTGAACCCTTCTTCCTAACGTTTTTCGAAAACTCGAAGCAGAACATAGATCCAGTATCCGGACATCATTTCTACTGCTCCCAGTCATAAACCCCTTTTCACGCTCATTTTTATTTGAAGGAGCGAGGCACATCGTTGACCTTGACCACCCTAGACATTGAAAAGTTGCTCAAAGGATCTTGAAAAGGATAGTGGAAGTATAACTTCATCGATTCTTCTTGAACAGTGGCTGAGGTTTCGATCAAAGCAGAATCGCTCTTCCAATGTTTCGAATGGAAGCAGAGGATGAATCGAAATGCTACTTGAAATTCCCATTATTGTGCCACAAAACAATAATCATTTCCTTCAGTATCAAGAGGACCCACCTGTATTCAAAGAAGATATTCTCATCACGGAGATACATCCTCAAAACGACTGTGCCACGAAATATGGGTCCTGGAGAACAAGCTTTGCACATATGTTTCCGAGAATTCCACTTGGAATAATTCATCTCAGATGAAAGCTCGAGATTATCTTGGCAATTGGCCTTGTCTCAAGTTTGAAGAGAAAACATCGCGAGTTCACCCTGCCACTTGCAAGAATAAAACAATGGGAAAATGTGAAGACATGTCGCGACTTCGCGAATGTCAGGATCAAACTTCATCGTAGCCGAGACAGGGAAATTGACGGACCGCTTTTTCGTTTCCGGGTTCGAAGTTGAAGCACTTGTGGAGCACAGCAGCAACTTGATTAAGCTTCCAAGGGCCTGGGTTTCATGCAAAGGTCAGAATAGGGGGTCCTTGCCGCTAGTCCCGCAATAAGAAGTAAGTTATCTGCATGTCGATTCCAGTTTTGAAGCCACCGACAAATTGTGCATCTCCAGCTACTGAAAGAGCACTGTAAGAACGATCAAATATGTACAAGTCTATAGTTGCAGCTCTGGGCGTTGTGGGCAAGGCCTCTGCCCAAGGGTCGGTTCTGAATTTGTTCCTCCTTGGGTTCACGTCCCAGAGAATTGTTGGCTCCATCATAATATCTGTGAGTTCTGCTGAAAAATGTTCGACAAGCCTCGCTGATTTCCAAAATAGGACGCAACAGCGACAACATATTCACTCAATTGTGGTGACCCAAACAACTGCGAAGGGCTTAGTGGTATTCCCGAGACAGGATTTGTTTTCGCAGAATGGCCTCGAACTATAACTTACAACTATGTGAATACCGACATAGGTCTCTTCAGCGTCATGGTGCTATTGTACGGATACCTCCAGTCGACTTATAGCCAGGCCGTAACTTGTCCTTAGGACAGTTGAAATAGGCTACTCATACTCCAGCTTAACAGGCGCTTGTTCGGGATCAGGAACGGCAGATATCACAGGTTCTACAACCACGATATCAGAAATCTTGACCAGTTTCACGGATGGAGGAGCTGCCCTTGGTGGTGGGCAGGATGTCACACTCACAGCTGGTCCTCTTCCAACGAACTCTGCTGCAACAATAACAGCAACAGCAACAAGATCGGCGTGTACACCGGCATCGGCATCGAAATCGTCGACGGACAAGACTACAAAGACTTCGTCGTCCTCGAGAGCAACGGGAGTTACAGGGGCTGGAACCGAGGGCAGCTCGAGCTCGACCTCAAAGCCGCTGCTCCAATGGCCACTCAAGCCCCTTGGCTCTTTGGAGGTGCTGCTGCGGCGTCCGCCTATTATGCCACAATGCCATAGGAGCTGTTGGTCTTCGATACCCGGGAGGGGGGATAGCTTGGAGTGCTGAAGACTAACTATTAGCTGCACTTGAGCTGACGGGCACATGCACGCAAGCATAAATCTAAAAAGATGGAATCAATTACAGATACAGGTCACTCTTCCGTTCTCACAGCACGACTTCGTCTGATGTGAAGAAGTCTGCAGGTGGAGGAGTAAGCAATGCGACGTTGAAGATAAAAGATGCACGTCTCGCCCAGCAAAAGCTCGAGGAATGTCCGATTCCAAAGGATGGTCACGCAAATTGACGCCAAAAACCACAACGAAGCTAATTTTTGTCAGCATCAAATGAGAAAACAACACGGTCCAAAATAATAATCGGAATGGTTACACTGACGGATGCTGCGCCTTCTATCTCAGAATAGCGAATTTCCGCCTTTGCGGCATCGTGGCTGAGCTGACAAGCTCTCGAGTCAGGCCCTTTCAGCACGCCTCTGGCATCCACAAGTGTGCATTAAGAATCCTCTGAAGAAATCCATTTGTTCGCTTCATGTACTTTGCTTGATTCAACCTTTCTTGTCGGTCAGCCACACACACTCGGAAGATGCTGAAGCCGCGAGGGGCAAGCAAGTGCAGCAAGTGCCCGTCATCCGTATCGGCCGCCCCCCACCAGCGGCCTTCCCGGGGCTGTGAAGCCAAGAATAAACCAGGGGCTGCGAGCTGCTGCAAGGATCACAAAGCCTAATCATGGGGTGCCCGCCTGTCAGATTTCTTTAAAGCGCACAGCTTATCCCCCTCCATGTATCTGTTGACTTCAACCACGTCTTCCTTATTCTCCACAACCACTTCGAGGTCCTCCCCGAAAAAATCCTCATCCGATATCTGAAACACTTCCCCACATTCAAGATGTCGAAAAGAACCGTGTTCACAACCTTGACACCCCTCCCACCGGGCATCACTCGTGAAACAGTGATGGAAACCCTACGCAGCCACACCGAGATGATAGACCTGAATCCCCTCGTCGAAGAGCGGCATCCGATCAAGCCACCTCCAAACGCCACAGCCGAAGAATATCACTGTTTATGGTACTCCCTGACGGATCGTGTTCAATACTTGCCGGGAGGAGTTCTGTCAGGAAAGGTCTCCTACAATGCCTGTTTCCACGACCTTGAGAATGGTCTGCAAACACATTGCTACGCACCAATGGGCCTAAACATTAAAGGCAAATGGACTTTAGGGGGTTCACTACCGGGAGAGCCCGTCGCGCCTGTCGAGTTGGGAGTCGGGGCACCACTTCACGGACTATGGCTGCGAGAGGATGTGGACATGAAATGCAATATAATGATGACTTCATTCGTCAAGAAGACTCTGAAGAAAGCACACTCGAAGCTCGTCGACAGACTCCTCGTCAAGGCGCAGATCCTCGACGCCTCAATCAAGAACCAGCAACTCGAAAACAACAAGTTATACGGAGGCTCCTATAGCGGCTCTCAAGCCTCGGACTACTCCCCCAGCGAATACACACCATCCACCGACGATGGCTTTCTCCCTCCCCAAAGACCTATCTCGGGATTCCGTGTTCCAGGCTATTCAGCTTCAAACGAAAACGTCAACGACAACATGTACCCGCGAGCCCTGAGCATGCACAGTTCTTCCGCCTCATACCAAGGTACGATCTCAGAGAGCCAAAGAGGAGGCCTAGATCCAGCACAAGGGACACCAAATCCCGCGAGAGAAAGGGTCTCATGGCACAACCTACAACCGAATCGAAGCCCCTCGATGCAAACAAGCGAACTTCCAGCGTACCCAAGCAAAAACTCTTACCAAGCACCACCGCCTGGACATCCATATTACCCTGCACAGGGCCAGGTTCATCCGCTGCAGATGAATAATCCGCAGCCGACACAGAATGTTGGGACAAATGAGAGTCATTCGGGACCAAACTTTGCTGAGCTGGAATAAGTTGCTGATTTTGAACGGAGTTGAAGGACGATGGAACTGAATGATGGATGATACCCCGATTCGTATGTGTTTTTTTGGGGGAGGGGGAAAGCGAGGAGTTCTGGCGTTATTGGGGTTGCCCACACTTCGAGGCACATGTAATGGAGTTCAAGCGTTTCGGGGGACCTCTTTCGGTCATAGAGATTGAGAGGAAATCCAATCTTTTAATCCTCACACAAAGCCCGAATTTGGATGTGCATATTTCACTGTTGCGATCGAGTCTCATGCCTGGCGTGCCTGGGTATCATAGACGTACAATGAATATATAAGCAGATTCAACGAAGTCATGAGGCATCAGGTTCCGGCTCCTCATCTGCATCCTCTATACCAACCGACAGTCTTTCATGAAATGAATCCTGTGTCTGGGCATAGGGAGTTGTGGCATCATCCTCCTCCTCCGCCACTGGTTTTAAGTGTTCCTCCGCCTTCGTCACCTCGTGCTCTGGCGCTTCCTGCTTATCTCCTAGTGATTCGGAAGACATTCGGTCCCAAGACGCCGTCGAAGTCGTTGATTCAACGGATTTGGGTGAAGTCTCACTCTGGCTTGCTGGCTCGGGTCCTAGCAGATCTCCGGTAGCCTCTCCCTCATGGTCCTCATCCACCTCGTAAGTCTCCACGATGACAGGCACTTCAGCTTCTCCTTCTTCCTCTGAGATTTGCAGCTCCTCTAGTTTCTGTGTGACATCTGCTTCTTCCTCGTCAGATTCCAATACCGTCGTGACAGCCGATCCAACAGAAGGCGATTGTCGAATATGGCGCCTCGTATTTGTCCTTCCCACACTGACAAAGTCCTCCTCCACAGACAATGAATTGCCTGCAGTAGCTGCAGACTTCATGATCGAAGGTACGGGAGACCTGTGCTCCTCAATCGGTTCCAAGCCTTCTGCCTCAGGAGGCAACTTATAGTTCTCCGCTGGCAAGAGGTCATACGTGTCGCACACAGTCTTGAACAGAACATACAGCCCCGTCTGTCCCTCCACTTGCCAGAACACGCCTCGATGCTGAAACCACGCATGTGCAAAGATCCTGTGTAGTCGCCTGAAAATATTCGTCAAATGCTTCACCCCGGCACCTCTCTCATCTACCGCATCTCCTGCCCCCAGGCTCAACCGACTAGGAAAGATCTTCTGACTCGTCACAATGTTTGTTGCCCAATCAAGCGTGTGGCAGCAATAATCAATCGCGCAACAGCTCTTTGGTGATTCATGCACAGCGCACAAGAACTGCCACTCACTGGCCCGCATTTCCGGGCAGGTCGTTGCGGAGCAAGGAGGATCGTCAAACAGGAAGCCGATGATGAGGTCGTTGCATTTGTTTATTAGGAAGCGGCAGAGTTCGTAGAGCCAGAGAGCGCGGTCGACGCCTTCTGGTTGTGTGGCGATGAGGATGGCAGACTCACGTGTGATGGGAACAATGTTCTCACTGTTGGCGGGCTTGGAGTAGTGGTAGTGGAGAGCTTTGAGGTGCTCTTGCAATTGAAAGGCGGAGTCGAGCTGTGATATTGTTAGTTCTTGAGAAGGGGCTGGAGAGAGTGTTGACTTACCTCGTTCAGGGGGATGAGGGGAGGACCAGCTGCCATGTCTGCAGACTTGGTCCCGGGGTGTATTCGCCGACTGGCATTTGCTTCAATGATGCTCTGCTCGATGGTGGGTTCTTGGGTCGTGGCGTTGCCTAGGGATGGTGATTTGGGGCCGATTTGGATCTCTGTTGGGGGAGGTGGACTTGGAAGCCTCGGAGAACTGGGCGGGAGGGACATGTTGCTGTTATTCTAGCAGCTTTTCGTCAGCAATAACCTGTCGACAAACTTCAGCTTCGTATGAAGCTTTGAGGTTGAGAAGGTTGATGTATGGTAACAGCTTGTACTTTGTTTGAAGAGAGCTTCGTCTTGGAGCTCGAGCTCTGCTCTCCGAGTCAGCCTCCCGCGCTAAATTTTACAAGGGTGGCACAAGGCTGTGATTTGCCCCAAACCTTCTAAAGAAAACACAATTTTCCCCGAGACATTTGCTTCACCTTTTCAAGCCTTACAAGATGGATTTTGATGGGGAAGATGGTCCTCCTCTGTTGGTCGATATTGAGGCTAAGGAAGATGACAGTCTTGAAGAGCCAAAACCAGTCAAGGTACCCATCACTATAGTGACCGGCAAGTCTTCCAGTACCTCATCGTCGAATGGTATTGACACAGAAGACCAGGATACCTGGGAGCCGGTAAAACCACCCTGATGAATTACATTTTGAATGAACAACATGGCAAGAGGATTGCTGTCATATTGAATGGTATTAAGATTTGAATCCTGCCTCTGTAATCCTGCTAATATTCGTTCAGAGTTTGGTGACTGTGAGTGGGAAATTTCCCAGTAATAGACTCTAGTTAATAAAGTTGCTCAGCCGTGGATATCGAGAAGTCCTTGACAGTCAGTAAAGGCGGTGAACGAGTAGAAGAATGGCTCGAGGTTGGCAATGGTTGCATTTGCTGTTCAGTGAAGTCTGTACATCGTTTTCCAATCTTGCTAGCCTGCGCTCACACTTGAAAGGGACTCAGGAGTCAATGCAATTGAGTCCTTGATGGAGAAAAAAGGTGCCTTCGATTACATCCTCCTCGAGACCACGGGTTTGGCGGATCCAGGAAACCTGGCACCGTTATTCTGGGTCGACGAAGGACTTGGCAGTACCATCTACCTTGATGGCATCGTCACACTGGTTGATGCCAAGAACATTCTTAAAAATCTCGACGAACCTGTTCAGGAGACCATACAGCATGAAGAGCACGACGAGCATGGTGGCCCTGTAATGACGACAGCACATCTGCAAATATCACACGCCGATGTTGTTGTTGTTAACAAATCCGATTTGGTCAGTGAAGCTGAGCTTCTTGCCATACAAGAAAGAGTGCAGGCCATCAATGGACTTGCTAAACTCCATGTGACCGTACAAGGTCAAGTACCACGTCTCGAAGGCTTTCTATTAGACCTTCATGCCTATGATGAAGTTGGATCGCTTGATGTTGCCAGCAAAGGCCACAGCCATCTAGATCCGGTATAGTCGATCTCATTGTTGTTCTTGTTAAGAGCTGACGTGCCTGTAGACCATCGCTACAGTCACGATCAACGTTCCAGTCTTGCAAGTCGGACAGCTGCCAAATCTTGATGCTTGGCTGAGATCCATCCTTTGGGATTCCAAGCTACCTACTCTGGATCACGGAAGTCTTATAAAGGATGACAATCATGGCAATATTGAATTACATAGGTTAAAGGCGAGGCTCCCCCTCTCAAATGGAGAAGTAAAGATTGTGCAAGGAGTTCGAGAAGTGTTTGAAATCTTGGACTCCCCAGAATCCAGCCACTCAAAAGTGGACGTTACTTCTCGGACAACGGGCAAGATTGTCTTGATTGGAAGACGTATCATCGATATCCCGTTCGAGAAAAGCTTCCTCGATACAATTGGGTCATAGCAATTGCCTTGCGGAGGTCTTCGCTCTTTCAATACAATCTCACTGCGAGCGATATTGCACCTCCCGACTAGACATTCGATCCCGTTCAAAAACTCACGAAGAATGAATTCTCCGATGGACTTACAAAATTCAAAAGCAAGGTGAGATATGAGATATCAAGCTTGCCAGGAATGTTTCCGATCCATTCGTTAAACTGACTCAGAGCGTGAAGTCTCGCGGCGGTTGGTGCTCACATGGATCTCGCTTGACCGCCATGGTCGTATCTGGTGCTAAAATGCTTGCTTTACAAATTGTTTTAAACAGGCCTCATTGAGAACAACTCCAGCAGCTCCTATTTACGAAGTATCAAGTTGGATATTGCTGACATCAATGTTTGGAAAGAAGATGCGAACTTACAGTCAACTTCTTAACCGCGAGCAGCAGAGCAACACCATGAAGGGAATTGCAGAGCTGGTACTCAGAAAACTCAACCACGGAACAAGAAACTGTGGTACCTAATTCAGAGACTCCTCAGAGTTTTTCTGGACAGATGAAGTATTTGTGTCAGCTGAAAAATGTGTTTCAATTCAGAACAATTTACTGTTCAGCTTCGACTTACGTTTTTCAGCCAACCAATTTTATCTGATCCGTACCTGGAGACTTTGCTGGCTCACCTCACAACCCTCACAAGAATGCTCTTGGTCCTTGCTGCAGCAAGCATGGGCCTCCCGCATGCCAAATGGTGTTTAAGGGGGCGTTTAGGTATTGTCCGGTTTATGGTTGGCCGACAACCGCTTTATGCAGCAAACCAATTCCTTCCCGCCCCTTTCACATACCCCGCATGCGTAACATTCGGCCTACCTTCCCTCCTCCTGTGTGTGCCTTACAAAACAGGGTGCAGGCGCATCCCAATTCAGTTGTCGGTAGGGCGCTGCAGAAATGGATGACTGATTCGATAGATCTCTTGAGAGAAGGCTTTCAAGAAGTACTTGGGCACACTGATTATTTTTATCCTTGAGGACGTGCATAACTCAGACAGAGCAGTTTAGATATCAACCATTCCAGGTATGGACTACTGAAGGAATGAAGTTGTGACTCCCCCCAAATTCACATCAGTTATCTGTGGATCGAGACTTTCCTATCACATGAAATGCTCCTCTATTCCTATAGAGGCGGGCTCAGGATGCTTCCCGATGATGTTCTTCATACTTCTACTCTGGAGGTGTGTGATCCATGGCTCTGCCCTGAAATGGATCGAAGAAACGTTGATTGAAGGAAGCAAAATTTTACCAAGGATTGAGCTCTATGTTTGGTTCTCCCAACAGAGGCTCACATATCACGGTCATGCAAATTCTCGAGAACGATCTGAGCCGCAACATGGGTTAGTCTAACAGCCTCAAGAACCTACCTGAAGTGAGTTTGGCCACTGACATTTTGATTGGCAGCATTGATTTTTTCCGGAGTGAAAGCAGAAGTCTATTTTGCCCTTCCTCTTGAGTTCCTAACCATTGATAGTATGCTGCAGCCCTTACCTCGTTTAGATTGGATACGGACCGACCCATGCTAATGGCTACAAGATTGGAGTCCAGTTGAGCTTTATCCAAGAATCGTCAAACTTATGGCCAGAACTTCGGGGAGGACATTTAGTGGCGAGACGCTTTGCAGGAACGAGGAGTGGCTTCAGCTTAACTGCGACGTTAGTAGTCTCTTACCCGCCCCTTTTCATAATTCCATGATTTTCTCCTCCTCGGGGTAAACAGGTCTCAGGTACGTCCACTAAATAAATCAGTACACGAGGGATGGTTTCCAAGCCGCCTTCAAATTGCGAAAATGGCGCCCCTTTCTTCGGCCAGTAGTGGAATATTTCATACCGCAAGTTCAAAGGGTGTGTGCAGTTAACAGAAAAGCTTTGCTGCCGTTGCGTCCAATCATCATGCAACGGGAGCAAGGCTGAATTTTTCTAGGCTGGTAGCGGCTTGGCTGACCAGTGAAGGATTGTGGCGGTTCTAGTAGCAGACTTAGTCTCTGTTTGGCAACCTTTGAGAAAGTACTGTTTGTGAAGAAGACCACACTCAATAGTTAAGGTCTCGGAAACATGATTCAAGCATCTCGATGAATGATCTTCGCCTAGGATGACGTCCAAATTTGTTGGATAAGGCACCTTCAAGAAACCCGCAGTCGAACAACCTTGACGTATTTGACAGAAGGATAGATATCGCGGTGTTCCGATCCAGGCTAGGGAGAGTAACAAACTTCAAAAGTTCTAGTGGCACAATGCACAATGTTGTGCGAATAAACAATCACTCGCCCTCTTGGTGTACAATTCGCATTCAATACACCTCGAGTGAGAATTTAAGAAAAACTGGAAGGCGCACTGGGTCTTGTGTGCTTACCTGTTCTTGCCCTCAAGTGTCACCGTGTCGAAGAGCGGAGGAAGGAACGAATTTCCTTCAGGCGAGCACTTGCTCCCAGATCGCATCTTCTACATTGGATGACAACCACCCTTTCAACCTACACACCCTTGAACTTGATAAACCCACGGACATGCCCTCCTACTCAAACAACGGTCGTTCTTGAGAAGTTCTTGGCTCTAACGCCACACCTCTTTTCTCACCTCCACTTTTTATTCCCACCCATGCCCCCCTTGAGTGAAGACGGCAAAGTGCAACACGTTTTTCTGAATTAGATAAATAAACACGGAAACATGAGGTTATGAAGAGACAAATGAAATTGCTTGGCAGCTTGTATTACCTATCATTTGCGATCGTCAACTCTGTACAGCAATTCTCCAACCTCTTTCCAACGCTCGTTGCCCACACAAGGCGTACACCAGAACACATCATCGGGATCGAATCTCCTCTTGATATCCAGTAAATGTGGGTAGTTGCTTCCCCAGAAGGCTTGCTGGAAATTGGATTCGCTGGCAGAGTATACCTTCCAATATAGTCCACTTCCCTCTACCTTCATGTGGTCGATTTCCGAAAATCCCCGTAACTTGCTCTGAGGAAAGGAAAATGCCTTCTTCTCCCCCTCTCTCTCCCTCTATAAATGTTCGTCTCTTGAGACAGGAAGCATAGCAAGTACTTGCCTTGCTTTGTTCTGGAAAAATGCGAGGTGTAGGAAACCGCATTTTTGTAACCCTAACAGTCTTCAGTCAAGAGTCCAAGCTAGTGTAGGAGAATCGGACCTCAGTGTTTACTCGACGAACCAAGGGCATGGTGATAATTATTGAATTGTTCTTACGCATCCTCAATGAAACGAGGCTATCTACAACTTTTAAATCCATGCAATGCAAAAACGGACAATGAAAATATCTTCCTATGCATACAGATCCCCACACACCTCCTCATAAGGTCATAATCAATCGCGTTCGTAGCTTAAGGGATGTCGAAAAGAGGCTTTAACTTCTTGATCAACAACCACTCATCATTGGAGACATCTGTTCGGTAGAACTCTTTCAAAGTGTCGATACTTGCTCTACTGATGAGCGAGTAAAGAGTATCGGACTCCTCGAGATGTCTACCGTAGGTTGGCTGATGGCCGCCCATTTCAATCTTTACCGCTACTGACGGTTGTCCCTTCTTACAAACTTGGATCTGCTTGTGGTCACGTTCAATGCCAGTTCTATCATCCAGATTAATTTGGCTTATTGACAATATTGGGATAAACTTACACTCTTCCAATGCTGACTATTTCCTTCACGTTGGTGACTGGGTTCTGCTTCACAGCAGCGATAGGTGTGTGCATTTTGAGATTCCCTTCAATAACATCGACACCCACAACGATCGGGCCTGTTTTGTTGAACACAGCTACAGGTTTCAAGACGCAAGGGAAGACAGCAAGTAGCTTGGAGTCTTCCTTCTTCTTCTCAACGATCTCAGCCATATGCTTCGTGAATGCATCAAACAGATGGTAGATGATATCTGCTGTAAAGATCTTGATGCCTTGCTCATCTGCATACTGCTGTGCTTCCTTGTCGATCTTGACGTCGAAGCAGAGCATGACGGCATATTCCTTGTTCTTCTCGAGCATAGTGCCACAGTTGATGACATCTCGCTTGTAGACAGGTCCGATACCTACGTTTGCCACGGGAATCTTCGACACCTTTAAGAAGTCCAGCAAAGCTTCCAAGGATCCGAGTGTTGATGCTTGCACGGTGACACCACGTCCAGATTTCTCGACACGGCTGAACAATGCACCAAGATCAGATTCAACCTCTGCTTCGATATCCGACTCATCATCGTCAGGACCAACGACCATGAGTCTTGAGCCTGCAATTGCACCTTCAAGATTGGGTGCACTAATCTTGACACCAAGAGCAGCTTTGACTTCCTTGTTGTGAACATATTGAGATTTGAGCCGAAGTTCTTTCAGTGGCGCAGGGGTCAGCAGAGCTCGGATGTTGGTGGTAATAGCTCCGTCCACACCACATAGGACGATCCGATCACCCTCTCGAAGAATACCGTTTGACAGGATAACATCGATCGTCATACCAAAGCCTTCGATCGCCTTGACTTCCAACACGGTAGCCTGGACCTCGGACAGGTACATGAGTGAGCCAACCATTCTCTCCTGGGTGAGCTGAACAATCAACTTGAGCATGTCGGGAATACCCTCACCAGTGTGGGCTGATGTAGGAACCAAGGAGACGAATTTCGACATGGACTTATTTTCGTAGTACAGCTCGGAGTTGAAGCCTTGCTCGGCGAAAGCGACTTTCGTATCGGCCAGGCGCTTTGCAAACTCATTCTGAACACCCTTGTTCTGCAAAGCCAGACTCTCTTGGAAACCGTTGTTGTCAACTTTCTTCCAGCCGTAAAGACGATCAATTTTGTTAAGGGCGACGATGAAAGGAGTTTTCCTATCCCGAAGCAGCTTCATCGACTCTAATGTCTGGGGCTCGAGACCATGCATGATGTCGACAACGAGAATGGCGATATTGCAGAGAGATGAACCACGGGATCGTAGATTGGAAAAAGACTCGTGACCAGGTGTGTCAATAACCAGAAGACCTGGAACTTTGAACTCGAAGCTATCGTCTCTGTTGACGACTTGGGTTTTTTGTTTGATAGCCTCAACAGGGAAGTATGTAGCACCAATCTGCTGTGTGATACCTCCAGCTTCGCCCTCTTGCACATTGGTTTGTCGAATCTTGTCAAGAAGCTTGGTCTTACCAGTATCGACGTGCCCAAGAATACAGCAGATGGGCGATCGGAGGTTGTCTGCTGATCGAGCCGCCATGGCTTCCTGGTGTTGCTTCTCCCGTCTCTCGGCAGCCTCCTTCTTTCTTAAGGCTGCCGCTTGCTGGGCCGCAGATACCTCTTCATCTTCTGATGATTCATCCGAGTCTGACTCAGACTCAGACTCTTCGCTTTTCTTGGTCCGTGAGGGAAGGCTTGTCGATTCTGTTTGGCCATTTGCGACAGCAGCCTTTTTGGCAGCAGATTTCTCTCCTTCCTCTTCTGAGTCAGCATCCCAGCTATCTTTAACGTCATCCTCGGAATCGGCTGCTGCTTTTTCCCAGTCATCATCAAGATCACTCTCCTCATTTGCTTTCGCAGCGGCAGCGGCAGCCTCAGCCGCCTCCTTTTCAGCCTTCGCGGCAGCTTCTGCCAACTTGCGCTCTGCCTCTTCTTTGGCTCGCTGAGCTGCCTCGGCAAGAGCTCTCTCTTCGTCCAACTAAAGGATATCAGTTTCGTAAACCAAAGAGCATTTTCATAAACGAACCTTGGCTTCTTCTGGATTCTTGCGGCCTCCCTTCTTCTTCTTATTGTCATAAACAGCTTTCTTCTTCTTCTCATCTCCGTCAAGACCTCCAACCTTGACTCCAGCCGCAATCATTTGCTTCAACTTCATCTCATTTCGAAGCTTCTCCTCTCGTTGAGCTTTGGTGAGATATGTGCCTTCTCTCTTTTGCTGATCGATCCTCTCCTTTTCCTTTTGCTTCTTCAAAACCTTAGCTTCCTCCCTCCGCTTTTCCTCCTCTGCTTCCCTACGCTCTTCCTCCTCAATCCTTGCCTTTTCTTCAGCTGCGATCCTAGCTTGCTCCTCTTGCCGTCGTTTTAATTCCTCTTGTTGTTGTTGTAGCTTTGCTAATGCAGCAGGCAACTTTTTCCCCTTGCCACCCGCAGCAGGTTTCGAAGTGGTAGGCTCTTCGGTCTTGATTTCAGCAACTGGCTTCGCCGCTTCAGGTGCCTTTGCTGCTGGAGCGGAAGTCTTCTTCTTTGCAGCCTGAAACACAATAAAATTAGCTATTGAAAAGCTCTTCCTATTGAGAGTGAACTTACATTCTCCTTCTTCCGCTGCTTCTCTCGCTCCTTCTTCAGCTTTTCCTTTTGTGCCTTGGTCAAAACCTTCCCATCTGCCCCTCGCTCATCATCCTCATCATCCTCCTTCGCAGGTTCCGCAGACGCAGATGGAGCCTTGCCCTTTCCCTTCCCCTTCTTATCCGGTATCGCGAACTCATCCTCTATCGAGGCCTCCACGGGAGCCTTTTCGGCCAGATCGGGCAGCTCTTCGGCAGGTGGATCCTCTCCTTCAACGAGGTCTTCATCTGCTTGTTTGCTCTTCTTTTTCTTTTGTCTCTTGCGCATCATTGCCATCAAACCACCAGCTGGAAGTTCCTCCTCAGCATCTGCTTCGGCCGGCTCATCTTTGGTCTCTGGTGCGGCCGCAGTTTTTGGCGTCTCACCCAGCTCTGCCTCCCAGTCATCAGCTGCCTTCTTATTGTTTTTTTTCTTAGGCGCCATGGCGGATTATTGAGCGTGCGTGAAAGGAAAAGGTCTGTCTAGAAGGTAAAGAGATGCCAAGTGAACGAATATTGAGAGCGAATCTGCCTGCAGCGATGTTGGCCTGCAGCGGTCGAAAGGAAATGGCTTGTTGAAGTAGTTCGATATCCCAGCCGTGGAGGCTGAGGGTCTCAACGTGGTAAGCTGAGAGGGTTGGGAGACACGAAGGAAGGCTCGACCTTCGACGTTCGGCGCAATTTTATGAAGGTGCGGAGGGGCAATCAACACCATAATCGTGCATCGACTTTAGCGAGGCACGGACCAGGCACTAGACCCCCTGCCCCTCCATGCCCCTTTCTTCGTAGAGGGCAACAACACCTTCTTGTCCAAGTTTCACTTATTCAAACATGCCTTCGATCACCGATTTGAGAGCCTCCTTTAGGAAAGATTGGATAATTATTCTTTGGTCATTTAACTCACAAGTCTTTGATGCCATTGGGGTAAATAAAGTCCAATTAGTTACAATACTGCGCTCTGGGTCACCACCTTCTTTGCTGCTCTTCAACTAGTACCATCAACAACTCCCGATGCCTGACTCTAACATCCTCACTTATAAATTGGAGCATCTAGTCTGTAAAGCTCTAGTTGGTAGAACTGTATGACAATCCTGTAATGATGAACGCAAATGCACTTGAGTACCACATGCCCTTCACACAAATTGCGTCTGTCGTCACGGGAAGCGTTACATTGGCTGGGTAGCTAATAACAAACGAGGCGTTAACACCAAACACATTGATGAGCCCTGGTCTTGCTGTCATACCAGTGGAGAGCTCCAGTTTCCCGCCAAAGAAGCTCACACTAATTTCTGCGGTGAGTTAGATAATGGGGTTGACTTGAGCTTCGGCTGCGATTGAGGTGTTGGTCTCGTGAGTATAGACTAGTGTCTACCCTGAGGTAACGGTATTTTTGCTGTCTATCAAACCCAGATGAGCACTCCCATCCGCGATCGTCGCAGAAAGGTCGGCGCTGAAATCAAATTCGTCTGATACTATGACTTCGACCCTGAATGAGAATTTGAGAACTGGGCCAACATCCAATATTCCAAGGATACAGAACGCGGATACAGAGACTGAAGCCGGCGTATAGGTATAGACATCTTTATCCTAAGCAGCTCCGGCTGCCGCTTTGATGTTCGCGGCGGCTACGAGAAGAACTCGCCAGGAAAGTCTCCCAGGAATGTTACGGCTCGTTTGGAAGTAGCAAGAATTGGCTTGGTGAACACGATTTCCATCTCACCCGTTGAGTTATCGAATATGGATTTCGTAGTTGCGGCAGCGACGGTGAGAGTGTCATTTTTGAAAACCATGCTGTCGACAATGCAGAGACCGCGCTCGTTATCAGCATCACAATCTCCCAAGTGATTTGTAAAGAGGACGAAGGTAGACTTGGGCCAAGTGGCCATGCTCTCCTCATAATCTGCCTTAGTATGAAGGTCATGTCTACGAAAGAAGTAGACCAATCGACCGCTTTGATGGATGAAATGTCCTCACAAAGAATTGAGGGATGCTTCAATGTGGCGTTGACAGGTGCTAGTGGATTGGTACAGGAGTGCGACATTGGAGGTGGGAACGATGGCTGAGCGTTTCTTGATTGAACCCAAGTCAGATGGAAAGCCGGATCCGGTAATCAGGCTCAATGTTATAACTGGTGCTGCTGATGGAAGTGGCGACGGGACTGTTGTGCACTCATCGAATGAATTCAATTCTTCCAAGGTCAAATTTGACTCTGAGACTGGATCCAAAATGATTGATAGACCTGTAGATTAGAATGGTGCTGGCGCCGATGTAGTTGGAGCAGCTATCGAAAGTGATGAGAAGGTAACTGCCATTAAAGTAAGCGTATGGAGGAGTTGGACTATCTTGAATGCAATACATAAGCGAAGAATTGAGAACCAGAAGGCAAGGGGAAAGCGGATAGTACGAACGTTGAAAATTGAAATCAGCGTGAGATCAATGGTGATGAAGGAGAAGGACTGGCCCATCTGTATACTTATACATTGCTTTAGCGACAGATTCATTTTAGACCTCTACAAGTCCGGCCGTGAAGGTTGTTTGACTCTAGTGGATAATAATTTGGAGTGAAATGCTCAAGAGACAAATCTTAAAGCAATTTTGTTTTCGCTTCGTATACTCAAATGCTAAGGAGGACCTCACTATCTTCGATGACATCAGCTTCCCGAAGAGGGATGCTCTCACGTGTCAAAGCTTGGTACAATAGTAAAAATAGGGGGTCCCCACAACAAGCTTTGGCTTTAGATTGCCCTTGGCAACAGTTGCTCACAGATTACCCGAGTTTCAGCACTCCGCATTCTATAAAAATAAAGAGAGTGAATGCAAAGTAGGTCCTTTAATTGGCTGCAAATTTCAAGTAACGAGTGTCACCCAGTGAAAACCCAGCATTAGAGTTCTTCTGGAAGTGTTAAAGTCAGTTCCCCTCAATGAAATGAGAGAAGTCATGTGATGTGATCCCTTCTCCTTAAATTCTTAGATTATCATCCATAGCATCGTTACTGTAATGATACTGCTTTCAAGGGCTGTGACCGAGCCCTCCTGCACCGCGTCTACCTTCGTCCCAGCATCAAACATGAATTCTACAGTACAGGGCGGAGAAAAAGTTCCAAGAAAGCGTAAGCTTGGTCCACATATGCAGCCGGAGTAGCGTTGTTCTCCAGCTTTCCACAATCTGCTGCTTGGAGGAGTTCACAAAATGTTTCGAATATTTTGCGAGCTTCGGCTGTATCGTGACTGACACGAAGTAAATTCTCCAGGCTTCGTCCTTCTAGACATCTTTTCAGGATGTCCCCATCCACGTGCATCATGAGCTTCGGCTCTACGGCCAAATCTAATGGTACAGGATCGTCCTGATACGTGAACTCACACAATGATGGTGATCGTATAGCGAGATTGATTAGAAAGCGTAAGAACTGCCACGTTTTGAAATCGAGGAAAGTGTAGTGGCTGAGCACTCCTGTGATGGATAGCCCAAGTAATTCTGATCGTTTCCTTGGATCTTGAAGTTCAGTACCCATTTTACCCAAGCCGTTGGTATTTGAATTGATGCCCTTCGATATACGAACGTCATCCCAGACGGGACGGCAATCTGCAGCACGAAACCTCAGCACCGAATACGAGAGCTCTGCTTCGAAAAGTGTTACCAGAGTATCGGCTTTGGTGTGATAAGCAGGCCACAGTCCGACTATCGAGCAAAGTTTGTCCGAAACTAGATGTACTGGACGATTTGCTAAAGGTAGAGACACCATGGCGTGATGTAAACTCGCTCGAGAAAGTGGGTCACCGTGTGTCCGAACAATCTGAAAATCTCCTGATGTAGCGACTAAACGGAGCACTTCGAGCGAATGAGCTTTAGTTAGAGCATAAATGGCACCGTTGTTGTAGGAAAGATCAATGGCGGGAGACGGAAGTTGATGCTGAGCAGCGCGTTTGAACCTCTTTTCCCCCAGGTCGAGGACATCACAAAACAAGTTCTCGCCAGCACACCACAATAAACCATCAGCGAAACCAGTTACAGAATACACTGGCTCAGCACATTTGAACTTATGGCGTGTGTAATAGGAGATCTTCGACCTTGTATGGTGGCTATTTTCGACTTCGCGGTGTGAAAGGCCTGCACGTAGAAGATCATCTCGAACTCGTTCTTGGTCAGCAACCGATATGATCAGAAGACGCCCAGTATCCGTCGACACGATGATAAAGTTCCATGTCTTGCCGTCTTTAGTGTAAGGCCACTCAAACATCCGGAAGACTCTTTCATTAGTGTTGCCGAGGCCGGAAACAAATTCCACACATTCCTTGGACTTCTGATCAACCGGCTGTGACAGGTCTTCTCCCGTATCAGGATCGATAAAAAGGAGGGTGGATCCTCCTTTTATGGACGCTGCGACAATGAGAACTTCCAAAGTGTGAGAGTATAGCAACCGTGTTGGGGTCCCTTTAATCGATATTTGGCGCGGTACGGCTTTGGGCTGAGTGCTTAGCTCTGCTAGCAATAGCTGAGAGCCTGCAATGAGAAGAAGATTGCTGTCCGCACTGCTGAGACCATTCGGTGGCAGTCTGGCGATTGAGGTTATTTTTGGCTGTTGAAGATCAGGCTTCAAAGCATCAGTTAACCAGACTTGGTTGATACCGAGACTGCGTAGACACCGTTCGGAGCTAGTTGCAGATGCTTCGGGCGTATTTATTGTCAATGCGCAAACCTTCGAGTCACAGCTCACAAAGAACAGGTCCCCAGAATGTGAGTATTCATCTTTGCACAGTATAGCGGTTGTAGCCCCGATACAGTCGCACCTGGAGAGAATGATTTCAAGGGTGCTTCCACATATCTCCAGCGTCAGGACCCTTCCGTTCCGGGTCCCGCAGAGTAATAGGAAGTTTCCGGACGGAAGTGATGCTGTTGCCATGCTAACGATCGATTCCAGAGGGATTTCTTCATCACCAAAAGAGTAAGGAATTCTCAAAATCCGTTGACCTGCGGTGTGGATCGAATGAAAAGACAAGATTATCGACTCTTCATCCAATCCGGCAATGACAACGAAAGGACCTGCCTCTACCTGGCCGATGGTTAAGCTTGTTACCTGACAGGAAATCTTTGTAACTGTGCGAATACTGCTTCGTGCCGGAGATGTCGAACTATCATCAATTTGCATAATATCATGTGTCGGAATTTCAGGACATAAAACTTGGACGTAAGTGCAACCTCCACGAGAAACGGTGTATATGACAACATCTTCACCAATAGCAGCGTCGTGGATCATCGGATCAAGGCCCGAGGGAACGTCCAGTCTTGACTCAAAATGTAGAAGCTCTTCCAATTCATACACATGGCTCGAGTCGAGTTAGCCTAAGCCGTTCTCACAGACAAATTTAGAGGGTTCAGTGGGATTCTTACCACTGAGTGCCATATATCACAACTATCGACTGTTCTGTGACTTGAATCGTGTATTGCTCTTGCGTAGCTGCAGCGATTGTTCGAAATCGTAGGTCTAGGCGCGTTGATGTCACATCAAGTTCCATTATATCTGACGCATCGCTTGAAAGCAAGAGGGCTGCTGAGTGATCCCCCAAAGAGAGCAGAAATATCGAGCCACTCTCCTCTTCGAGTTCATTCGAATCTTGAGGAAGCACCCAAGACTGCAAGATTGGAATTTCGTAATCCATCTCGAGCCCCAATTTGCCTTCAATGCCGTATCTGAACTCGACAATAGAACTCTTTATGCCTTTACCGACACAAGCAAATAGTCGATCTGGTTTGGTAGGTGCATTTTCATCGTTTCGGACTTCATCGTTCGCAAGGTATTTCTTCCCTTTATCATAGGACATGATGGCCAAGTCATGTGCCGGCGACCAATTCGGAATTGGTTGAGTCAATGTAGGTATTTTCCTTGCCTCGTTCTAAGGATCACGTGGTTAGAAACATTAACATCGAAAAAAAGTCATCGGGAGGCGAAAAGAGTAGAAAATGGCTTGCTCACCAAATATGTCCCACTTGGACACGAGTCGCCCCCTGTAACAAGAAGATCACCACTCTTATTGTGTTGAGTTTCAAAGTCGAGGCAAGCTAGTGCAGTTCCACAATTGGCTCCAAATTCGCCAATATTGTTGTCCGCCTTGACAAATTCGTCTTCTGTTGAGTCAATCTCCAGAAATTTGATCAGACCGTCCTCTCGGGCGATGTATATATCGTCCCGAACTCTTGCATATCCCGGCAAACGCGGCGGTCGGGCCCATGCAGTCCACAACGGTCTCCCAGATCCATGGTGAAGCTCAGTAGGCACATCGATCCTATTGTTGAAATCTATGAAAGTTGGTGAACCTTGAAGGATACCCTGACAGACGGCCATTGAATCTTCGCAGACGAGAATGAAAGACGATTTCAAGGTCAATGGAATGAGCAAGAGCGGCATCTGTCGGGACTGCTCCAGTAAGTGGCCCTTGTTGCTATGTGCGTGGATCTGCTTGAGATCGCTGCCTGTTTCCCACTCGTATAGTAGCATTCGAGTCTTTCCCTTAATGACGACTAGCACTAGCAGGATGGTGTGACCTTCATCATCAGGTGATGGATAAAGAAACTCCATCTTTTGAATGAGTCCATTCAAAGACATGATCGACTCGGATTCGACATGGCGTAGCTCTGGTCCCATAGGAGACTGCTCTTTCAGTTGGTCCCTTGAATGTAATGCATAGATCGTTAAGAGACGCTCAGAACAGCCTATGGCCATGTACCGAGAACTTGGGTCAACAGCAAGATGTATGCCTGGCTGTAGGGTGAGCATCGGTTTTGTTACCCGGTGACGACTGGAAATAAACGCCAGTTTCCCATTTTCCAGTTGATGAAGCCTTAAAAACACGGAATCGCCAGTGTGCAGTTGTAGCAGAAGGAACTGAGGCGGCAGGGCCGACCTGCCGAGAGGCTGAGCTTTCGACTGAGCTTCGCCGTTGTCCATAGAGACGTCGTCATCCTCGTCCTTCACTTGCGTAGCTTCAAGCTTCATGTCCTCTTCGTATGCCTTGACCGATCCAACAACACGTGCATTTCGAATACGAGCACCGAAATTCTCCTTTCGGAGCACATCCCAGAGGTGTCCATCAGGTCGCAACTCCTTGATCTGGACAAACTCGTCCTGTGACAATCAGCATTTTGAGGTCAAGAGAAACAATTGATCCATCAAAATAACATGGCCCTCTTTCGGGTACACTATTATAACTTCATGTAAACCACCAGCTAACTTTATTAGGATTGTGCCATGTATTAGAAACGAACGATGAAGTTCTGAGCAGCATCGATGATCAAATGGAAAGTAATCTTACCCCAATGAAGGCTACATGCTGTGTCTCGAGGTCCTTGAGCTTGACGGGCAGAATCCAGTGGACCAAGGGGCTACGTATGACAGTTTGAGTCAGGATCCCAATGGTGGGAGCTGACTCGACTTCCATAAACGTTGTAGTAGCTTCTTTATCCTTTTGGTCATAATGCCTAAGGACGGTGTCAACATCAAGAGTCCGGGTGGTCCACTCGCCGTTCACGAGAGTGCTGGTCTCGAAGGCCATTTTGGCAAGCCAGATTTACCGTGATGCCATCCAATCGAGAGAGGGTTTTCCACTCTGTCGGGTACAAGGGGTGACACGGGCAGACGTGATCGACCCTTCTGAACCGAACTCCTGGGCCCCAGATGCTCTAGGCCGACGGGTTGAGGTACACTTGCAAAACGATCCAGTAAAGTTGCCTCTCAGTGAAGTGAAGTAAGGGAGTCGCTGCAGACCGCGTGGCAAGAGTCCAGCCTTGCTTGACGGTGGTCGATAAATTCTCCTAGCCTTGGGCGGCAAGGCTGTCGAGCTAGGCGGTGGCGGCAGCTACAACAGACAAAGAACGGTGCGAATAGCCTCAGAAAGCACTTGTTCTCCGCACGTGTGCTGGGAGCTGGGAGCCGCTCATGAGAAGATCATGGCAGACTGTCAGCATTCGAGAATGCGGCGTTGGTTGCGGACTTGACTGATCATTTTACTCTTTCCACATGGATGATGGATTCAGAGCAGGCTGCATGCGCGCTAAAAATCGCTTGGAAGAAGACACCTGCTGTCCACGAGCTGTCTCCTTCCACCCCGGAAGCCACGACCACGCCGGCCTTTTCCCTATCGAACGGCGATGAGAAGCGCATCGATGGACTGTCCAAGAAATGGAGCCCAATGGAAGAGTCGTTGAAGAAACTGAGAAGCCGGAAGACCTCCCGAGCGACCCTGACGCCTCGTCTCCGCCCCTGAGATCGAAGGAGAGCAATGCGAAGGTCGCGAGCATCCTGGACGCCTGCAAATGGAAGGATATCTCGATTTTGAGGACGCTGGCAACTTCTGAAGGCGGGCTGGTCTCGGACGAGGTTCGACGGCAGGCATGTCAGTGTTACAGTGGGAGCGTTCTGTTCGAAACTGACCTTCAATAACAGGGCCGCTGCTCCTGGGCTATATCGATCATTATAGCGAGGAAAAAGAGTTCCTCAAGGACTGGAGAATGCTCCCAAAGCATCGCGACGAGGACCAAGTGCGGCTGGATGTTGACAGGTCCTTTATATACTATCCTAATGGTGCGTCATGACCACTATATGGTCACATATCACATGAAGCTGATACTTTCGCACAGACCAGTCCTCTGAGGACCTCGACCGACGCAAAGAAGAGCTTTCCAACCTGATTACAGAAGTTCTACGGAGCCAACCATACTTGTGCTACTTCCAAGGGTACCATGATATTTGCCAGGTATTCCTACTGGTCCTCGAACCACGAAGTCGTGCAGCTGCTGTGGCACGGCTCTCAACACTGCGAATAAGAGATTTTATGCTTCCTACACTCGCACCCGCGTTGGCTCAATTACGTCTGATACCGGTAATATTGGATGCGGTTGATCCGAAACTCTGCGCGCATCTGTCTCTGACCCAACCGTTCTTTGCGCTCTCTGGAACCCTCACCATGTACGCCCACGACATCCAAGAGTACGGTGAAATCGCAAGGTTGTTTGATGTTTTGCTTGCACGCGAGGCTGTCTTCTCTGTGTATATGTTTGCACAAATCGTGCTTCAACGCTCCGATGAGCTCTTCGAAACACCAGCAGACGAACCAGAGATGCTTCACTCGATCTTATCAAAGCTGCCCAAGCCACTGGATATTGAGAAATTGATTGCAAGTACCGTGTATCTTTTTGAGAAACACCCGCCGGAGCGGTTGAGGACATGGCGGTCTATATCGTCGTCCAGCGTCTTGAAGACCGCTCGTTGGCCGGAACAAACCAAGGATCAATCGCTAGAAGAGGGAGAAATGTATTTTAAGAAGCAGGTGAAAGAGCTGCAATGGGCAGAGCAACGCGAGAGGGTCTTGAAGGTGGTATGGAAATACAAAAGACCTGCTGGCACGATCGGCGTCGCTGTACTTGTAGGAGTATTATCTTTCTACTTGCGGAGAGGTTCGGGACCATCTGGCTTGTTTGGGGCGTTTTGGAGACAATGGACAGGATACAAGGGACATTAAGAGATACCATTTGCATTCGTGGACCGCAAGGTTCTAAGATAGATCCGATTCTATAGTTGTACAACAAGTCACACCACCGTTATGAGCCCTCAAACGCTTTTTTCAGACCTTCAAAATGGTCCTGCTGTTCTGAGGCTAGCTTTCCCTCAAGGTCTCCAATAATAGTGAGAATCAATGAATAGTTGTTGTAGAGGAACCTCTCCCGCTTCCTCGACTCCCCAATACTCTTGCTCGACCTAGTGAGGAATGCTTCGATCTCACTGCGCAGTCTGATCAAGCTTGCGGAGACAGGTTCATCATCACCTGCCTCTGTGCTCAAGGTAAGGATGCCCTGCATGAACTGTCCGAAACGCTGTGTCATGAAATGAGGCGCGGCTGATTGCTTCGCCTGCTCGGATGCCGATTGCTTTCGGGTGGAGATGGCATTTGTAACTGTCCGGACCGATTCGCAATGTTGGTCCATGATAACTTGGAACCGAGGCCAGAGGAGCATGCCGGTCCCATTTATATAGCCGTCCACTGCAGGTATCTTCCGGCGTTGAAGCTCGAAAGCAAAGTGTTGGTTAAGCCTCACACATAACAGGAGGCCTAAAGAGTCGAAGGTCTCATGGACAAGGGATTTGGTGAGACTTTGGCCAAGAGCAAACGTCGGCTCGAATATATAGTTGAAATGTCGTGAGATGGCCGCAAACGATAGTGCTGGCGAGAAGAAGGAGGTGAGAAAAGAGTATTCGGCCGAGGCATTATCAACGAGGGCCAGGTTGAAGTTCCGAAAAGGAAACTCGAGGTAATGAGTAGCCTTGTCTTCCTCTGCGAGGAATGAGGGCAGTGCTGTTTGATTTGACGTCTTCAAAAGATCGATTCGACGACCTAAATTGAATGCATCATGGGGTGGACCTGAGGACTTCGTGCCAGCTAAGAGATTCGTCTTCCGGTTGCCATCATCTCCACCAAGAACGTCATGCCTATCAATGACATGAAGCTTAATTTTTTCAAGCGCTTTCTGATAACGAGTAAACTGGTTCAGGAAATACCACCGCATGGTATTCATGTAGGCCTGACCGATCTCCTCAGCTAGTTGTGAGTGGTGCTTATGCAAAAATTCATACAGGTCTTTGTATCGAATGAAATGTTGCTGTTGTATAATCTGAGCGTTGATGTTTGGAGACCTCAGCGCCTTGATTTGGGCTACAAGAAAATCCCGAATTCGTTCAAGAGCCTAGTCCAAAAATCAGCACTTTCTTTCGACGGTATCCATGTATCTTACCTTATTGACGAGATTCTCTAATAATGGCTTCAAGTCTCTGACGCCCTTGATGTTGCGTTGCTCCTTCGATTTGATGTCAATAGCTTTAGACCGCTTCTCAACCTCAGCCAAAGCCCTGACCCAGGCTTCATCGATTACACCCTCCACTATTTTCCTCACAACGGTAGGTGAGACACTGATCTCTTCAACGATCGGGCCCAGACCACTTTCCACTAATTTCCGATTCTCCAATCGTACACTCAAAGCGGTGGACCGCGCTTGTAAGGTTTCTATCTCTGCGGAGACTGTGGCAAGGTCATTCTGGAAGCTCGCTAAGTTGCTTTCAACTGAGCTCAGCACATCATCGCAGGCACGTATCGATCGATGAAGATCTTCGAACTTCGCTTTATCTCGCTCGACTGTTAAGCAGGGTTAGCGGAGTCTTGCGAAGCCGACTTGCACAACCTACACTCTTCGATCGTCTGTGTTGCATACGCGTGCCCCTTCTTGGCAGATAAAGACTTCCTCGAAACAAATTCCCGTAGACTCAAATCTTCAAAGTCCAATTCAAGCTCCAACTCATCTTTAGCCACATTGCCCCCATTTGTATGTGGTTTCGCGATAGCCCCTTTTCCTTCAGTCCCTAGAAGCTTTGCCAACACATCTAATGGATCCGGCGCATCAGTCACTGTCACCGACTGCTTGAGTCCTGATCCATTGGGTCGCCGAGACGAAGCTAATAAGGATGTCGTAGAATCATTTGAGTGTAGAGAAAGGGAGGATGATCGTGGGCTGAAACCGGGTCTTTGAGCCGCAGCAGCGGGCCCTAAGTGACTAGGTCTTCGAGCAGCTGGAGAGTAAGACCTATTCGCGGGTAGAGGGGGGGAGGCAGAGGGAGTTGCTGCGGGCGTCGAGTGTCCTGACAATCGGTCGAGCCACATTGCCTCGTCGTTGTGGCATTTAGAATCCAACTGGGGAATTACAGTAGGGTGTGCTACCGGATTCTCAGAGTCATGATCATAAATATGGGCGAAAATACGTTAGGCCGCGTGGGTCAATGTACGAGAACTTTGAGAATACTGAGGACTCTTCAGACAATACATGAAGGGTCAGCCTCATGTTGAACGGCCCGCAATTCAGTCCAACCAATCAGGCTGAACCTTTAGAGGCCGCTAACGCGAGGTTAACTTGTCAAATCCCACACGATTTTCCTGCAACCTCCTGGAATTCTCCAACCCACCACAATCTACCCGGTCCTCTCTTTGGTCTTTTCGACTTCACCACAGGCGCAGCCCTCTCCTCTGCCCAATCCTTACATTACGAACGCAGTCAAGATGGCGGATGATGCCCAGGTAATTATTTGTCCAGAGATATAAACCCCGCACACGCCCCGCCTCCGGTTGGGCGCATACTCGAAGTTCTCGACTTCAGTTACCTTCGACAGCATTTTTAGAATAATACAAACTAATCATTCGTATAGCATGAGCACACCTTCGAGTCCGCCGATGCCGGCGCCTCTGCTACCTTCCCCATGCAATGCTCTGCCTTGAGGAAGAACGGCTTCGTTGTGATTAAGAACCGTCCTTGCAAGATCGTCGACATGTCTACCTCCAAGACTGGCAAGCACGGCCACGCCAAGGTCCATCTTGTCGCCATCGACATCTTCACTGGCAAGAAGCTCGAAGAACTTTGCCCCTCCACTCATAATATGGATGTCCCTAACGTCACCCGCAAGGAATACCAGTTGGTAAGCTCATTGAAGGCGAAGGCACTGGGATTCTGCTAACGTAATACCCCTCCAGCTCGATGTCTCGGATGATGGTTTCCTCTCTTTGATGGCTGATGATGGTGAGACCAAGGATGATGTTAAGGTCCCCGAGGGTGAGGTTGGCGAGAAGATTGATAAGCTTTTCACTACTGAGGAGAAGGACACCAGTGAGTTTCCACTTTGCCACACAATGGCTGATGGTTTTGCTAACCCGTATCCTCTCTTCTAGATGTTATTGTTCTCACGGCTATGGGCGAGCAGGCTGCTATCGAAGCCAAGGAGGCTCCGCGCGGTTAAATTTCTTGAAGCCAAACCTACAGCATCGACCTTGTTGTCAGCACCGGCAAACCTTCTTCGTCTGCAGGCCCAATTTGCTTGGAGGGTGATCTTTTACGGTGGATTCTTGGAGCGTTGGGACACCTGCATTCTAATGGTCGTTGCGTGGGCACCTATCTGGACAAATGATATCACTGGTTACGTCTTCCTGGCTTTGCGAGCAACATCTTCCTTTTGTTACACTCGATCCTACCTATCACACTTGGCCGGCGTAGTCAAAAAGTGGACGCTCGGAGCGTGGGCGACATCATCTTGTAGAAATCGATGGTTTCTGATACTAACTGACCTCGCCTTTTCATGTGAAAACTGTTGTAATTCCGTTCATAACTTGTGACTCCAATAGTTTCAGCATCTACAAACCAAATTGTAACATCTGCATATTTTGAATCCCTTCCTGTTCGAGGATGAAGATTGCCATGCTGGCCCGACTTTCTACCGCCTTTCCCGGAGGCATCTCCAGATATAGTAAAGCCGACGAACCAGCACCAGCAATACCAAACTTCGCATCCACAAACATGACTCACAGCGAAACCTTGACCTCGATGTATGAGCCTCGAAATTAGGCCTAGATCTACCCGACAGATGTCTTCACACGTAGAGTACCAGAAATTTCGGCGCGGGGAATCCTGCACCGAGGAAGGTTGCCGGGCGCGGAAATTCTACATCGAGGACGGGAAGAAATTCTGCCAGAGAGGCCACGAGCAAGCCGTTCGTCCTCACACTTTCTCTTCTAAATAACAGCAAACCCTAACGAAAGTAGGGATTCACACAAACTCAGCAAGATGAAGATGATTGGAATGCTCAAGGCAAGAAAACGCGAAGGGCGCGCGAGCAGAGAGAGCGTGTTGAGACGGTGTTGAGTGGGGGCGAGGCACGTGTGCTGTTTTTGGAGTGCTATCAGTTGATTCTGTGGAAGCAGTGTCACTGGTTGGTTAATGTGAAAGGCTTCCCTCGAGAGTTGGAGACGGTCATGAGGGATTTGTGGGGCTTGAGGATGGGCATTATCCAGAAGGTGGGGGATGAGCGGGATGGATATGGCTCAGGAACGGGCACGATGATGTTCAGTTCTGCGAGTGAAGGGGAGAGCCTGGATTCTGATGCCACCGGGGGAAAGAGCTTGGGATCGAGGAGGAGTAGGAAAAGCGTGGCGGCAGAGGAAAGGCTTCCACGACTGATTGAGACATTGGGACTTTGCTACCTTGGAACCCTGCTTTTGAGATTACCCACAAGCCTGGGTGAGTTTTACAAATGGGCAGCCCACGAGGAATTAGTTTATACACGAGCTGTAAGTATATGCTAGGATGTGTGTTGGTTGAAGCCCAGTTACTAAATTTGTCACCAGATCAAAGAAGTCCCAAAAGAGATGCGATCCAAGCTACCCGGTCACTTCTTCTCAGCTCTTGAAATTAGAGCTCCATTGAAGGGAGGAACTCTTTACAGTGCAGCTTTAGATCTGGTTGAGTTCTACAACCTCCATTTTGAGATGGTCTTCCCACCATTGAATTATCCCTTGCTCATATTCAAGCACATAAGAGATCTTGGACTTCCAGGTAGGTTTCTGGACTACAGTATCATGACGAGTGCTGAATAAAACAGTTGAGATCTATCCAGCTGTTCGCCGCCTAGCTACTTTACTCGAGCTGGATTTCTCGTTTCCGATATTGCACAAGAAAACTTACAGAGTTTCTGGTTATCCCGAAATACAGTTGATGAGCCTGATTGTCATTGCGACAAAGCTCAGCCACCCATTTGATGACATTAAGCGGGTCCCTTATAGTGAGACCGATCCCACGACGGTCAAAGTAGATTGGGCAAAATGGAGGAAAATAATGGCAGAAGCTCCGACCAAGGGTTTGAGAAGAGGCGAGGAGATTAAGATCACGGACGCAGACGTCATGAAAATGAGTGGGAAACAGATGGATGATTATTTGGACTGGTATCAGCGAACGTGGATTGATGATCGGAATCCGGAGAGTATGTTTCTTGATATTCCTATTTTGAACTGGATTACTAAACGTCCTTAGTTGCTGAGCAAATTCTCGAGCTGTTCTCACTTTCAGATCTACCTCCCTCACTGGCACAAGATTCGGATTATGAGCAACGTGTGGAACACTTGAAGGAGGTCCAGAGAAATTTGACTCTTCAGAATTGGAAGCCTGTTAAATTTGGTGAGGGTGATGAGATCCGGAGGCCAGGTGAGCTTTACAAACGTTATCGACGGGTCGAGGAGCTTCACGAAAACGCTAAGGAGTTTCACGAGCTTGCTGGTGGGAGTTTTCCTTTCATATTCGAAAGCAAAAGCTAATTGTGGATAGCATTAATTGCGGGAATCTCGCTGAAAATGCTGGTTCAAGGGGTATTTCAGTTTGAAGTTCAGCTAGACAATTGGCTTTTGGCGGAAAGGAAGAAACGCTTGATGGAGGAGGAGCAAAGGCTTGCGCTAGGGAGTTGATGATTCATATCGAGCATATCGAAAGTACCCTTGAATCGGAGGTCGGCATCGGTAGTGTTCTGTTTTCGGTGTTCAGGAAGATACCCAGAGGTGAGGAAAACTTTGATTTTCCAGTATTCAATTAAGAAATCCCATTATAAATCGTCGATTCATCACTTCATTTTACGTAGAATTCGATGTGAGACAATAGAAATATTAGAACATATTTCGAGGTAAGCAGAGGTCGATCACGTGGATACACTTAAAACTCGCTTACCAGTCCGCACAAAGATACCGCCGCGATTTTCAACTTCAACCTCGAATCAACGACACCACGACAACGACGTAGAAACCGCAATCAGTAAGTTCAACCCCCCTTGATCTTGGATTTCGTGCCACTTAGGATCTTTGCTAATACTTTCTCTCAAACAGTGCAGATGTAAGCTCCCCAAAAAGCTCCCACAAACTGCCCCGCCACTACAGCGAAATTGCGCAATCTTCGAATTCGAGACTGACCAACAATAGCTTCGTCAAGACCCTTACGGGCAAGACTATCACTCTTGAGGTTGAGTCCTCTGACACAATCGACAATGTCAAGTCCAAGATCCAGGACAAGGAAGGAATTCCCCCGGACCAGCAACGTCTGATCTTCGCCGGAAAGCAGCTTGAGGACGGTCGCACCCTTTCGGACTACAACATCCAGAAGGTATGGCCACATTGTTATGGTTAGGAATGGTCAAAGTCTGCGGGGATTTGGTGGCGGAGGGAGAAAGCAGATATGGTTGAAGGAATTGATGGCTGACTGGGCTTTCAATAGGAATCGACACTCCACCTTGTTCTCCGTCTCCGTGGTGGTATCATCGAGCCATCGCTCAAAGCTCTCGCTTCCAAGTTCAACTGCGACAAGATGATCTGTCGAAAGTGCTACGTATGTGATCCCAGGAATATTTCAGATTTGACATTGGAAACTAATTAGCTGTACAGGCCCGTCTCCCACCCCGCGCTACCAACTGCAGAAAGAAGAAATGCGGCCACACCAACCAACTCCGACCAAAGAAGAAGCTAAAGTAAATGGTTCGCTCATTTGGCGTTTGGGTTGGGTCGAGAGATGGAGGGGACAGTCAGAGGAAGGTTTCTTTGCATGGCTGGCTGGTTGTATTTGTCACAATAGCATGAGCAGCAATGGGAAGATGAAGACCATCTTCGATGACTTGTGTGATACTGGTTGTCTCAACACGTGAGCGTTCACTGGATGTTGTTGGTCCGCTCGAAACCTCTAAGCTATGCCCTTCGTGAAGGTTCGTTCCGTCTACAACTTCGAGTGGAATTGCTCAATGGAGCAGGGTTATTAGGTCTTCTAAACGCTCCCAGGCAGGACGGTTTCAAGCGGGAGTTGACGATAAGGTCCAAGGAGTGGTATCACAGCTTCTCATCCTTCCATTCTATAATGCCAGAGCTGAAGATAACGTTTTGATTCTCCTATCCAAGAGCACTAGGCGGAGGCTCTTCAGGCGCCCCCCTCATATCACGAGACACTTTCTGGATGGATGCCGATGGTGATTTGATGTTAATGACCTTATTTTGATTCGCTTTTCGGTGTCCGAGTTCGTCTTGGAATCGGAAAGTTTTGGCAACTGCCTTGACTGCGCACGTGGAAGGATGTAACACTTCTGGAGCTTCCTGATCTCCAAGTAAACAGTCGCGCATACTTTGCCGCCAAACGTGGTATCGAGTTGGCTTATGCGTTTGCTTGAGATAGAGCTTCATGCCAATTTGCCAATTTTTCATATTGCGCCTAACTTGAACTACAGCATAAGAGCAGTCATCCCTATCCGCTTTGATCCGTTGTATCAATTGCTGAACATTACTGCCAACAAGATCAATCAAGTGTTCTCGGAGTTCTTTGACCTCCATAGCACTTCTGATCTTTTGGTGGGTTCAGGGCTCATTTAGAACATCAGGGAGAGCGGTAGGACTTTGATCATTATCTGAAAGGATTAGACCCTTCGCTCGAGACTTGTCATTGCTGTCTTGCTGATGAATTCCAAGCCGGATGACTTGTAATGTGGATCACATCCTCCAATAACTCTGCGGATCTTGGGGGCTTGTAGTAGTTTGGAGCCGAGTATTTCAGTCTTCTTGGAAAGACAACATGAGCTGAAACTCGAGATATAACGAGAAAATTGGTTCTTCTTCCAAATCGTGACGCTCTAATGGACCTTCCTGGTCACCGAGGGGCTCTGTCCACCGTTGTAAGAGCGCGGTTACTTGGATGTGAGAAATACCGAAAATCCCGGGTTGACGAGATCAAGAGAAGCACACTTTTGTCATGAGGGCAACACCGATCTATGTTGACTTACATCGACACCAACTTGAAGGCTTCGATCTAGTCTTCGGGATCCGGGATTGCTGCTCATGGAGGCTCGATCGTACGGGTGCTGTCAATGTGGCCCTTGCCCGGTTGGGTTTGCAAGATCATGGCAGTGAAAGTTGAATATTCCGTCAATATGCAGAGGAAATCCTTTCACGTATTTTTGGGGCTGGCCATCGGCAAATATGAAGCTCCGATGGAGCTTTTTAAAAAAAAATTAAAAAATGAGCCCTGGAGTTTAACCGGGAAGGTTGGGCGCATCGAAATTCAGATGAGAACGGAAATAGCCGTCTGCAGGGGCTGGGCTAGCTTACTTGCCGTCAATGGATTCGCAAGCTGTCCGTCTCCAGGCCCACAGCAAACATGCGATCACCCAAAATCTAAGAACACCACTCTTTCCCTCTTCTAAGAAAATGTCCGGAGCTGGGTATGATGTTGTAGTCGACGTCGACGAGGAGGTAAGCGCGTCGTGAGTGTGCGCGGCGTGAGCCTCAGTTAATCACAACGCAGGGCGACCTTGGACATACAGACCTTCAAGAGGACCTCGAATTCCACTCGTCCAACTTCAACACCGACGCCTCCACCAGCTCAAGAAAGCTTCCTGGTTCTTCCCCAGGATTGCCACCTCCCGCAACAACTGGAAGCGGCTCTTCCAAACGCTTCCTCTGGACCCTGTCCTTCTACGCGCAATTCTTCGATGTGGACACGAGCTCCGTATTAGCAAGATGTTGGGCGGCGTTGTACCCACGGGCGAACTTCCTCGATGTTCTAGAGGGAAATCCTGACCTTTATGGGCCTATTTGGATTGCAACAACTGTGGTTTTCATTTTGTTCCTTGGTGGGACAATCAGCAAGTACTTGGCCGAGACGGGCCAAGGGCATTTTGTGTATGACTTCAGACTGCTAAGTGGTGTGTATAACTCTTATGGGAGAAATTTGGCATAGCTGATTTTCAAACAGGTGCTGCTGGACTCATCTATGGCTACACCCTCGTCATTCCCATCGTCCTCTTCCTCGCCCTGAAATACTTTGGCAGCGAATCCGCCAACCTCCTCGAATGCTGGGCTCTCTATGGCTACTCGAACCTTATCTGGATCCCTGTTGCTCTTATCTCATGGTCTCCTATTTCGATCCTGAACTACGTCTTTGTCGGAGTTGGGTTTGGTTTGAGTGTGGCATTCTTGCTCCGAAATTTATACCCCGTCTTGAGCGCTACAGATAAGCAGACTAGCAAGATCTTGCTCATCTTAGTAGTGGTGTTTCATGCATTTCTAGCCATTTTCATCAAAGTTCTCTTCTTCGCACCTGCGCGGAAAACGACAGAAGACCCTACACCAGTCAAAGACGGTGAGAGTACGAGGCTATTTATGTTTTGATTGAGGGGGGTTGGGATGTAGGATTTAGTGCAGGCTTCAGCTCGGAGCATCCAAAACAAATTTATCTCTTTGCCAGAATCTCCACGTGGTGCACTGTGCCGTAGTCTAACACTTTACCATTATATCAACTCCGTGATCATCTCTGCTTTGTAGCCTCCCTTAATCAAACCAGCCTTTACCTCACAGCCTCCTTCTCCCCACCCCTCTTCTCCCAATCTAACCAACTCCCTGAATACTCCCCCACCCTCTCCCACCCCGCCTGCCTCGCCAGCTCCGCGGCCGCCCGACTCCTCACCCCCGCCTTACAATAAAAGACCACCTCCTTCTCCTTTCCTGGCCTCTCAAAGCCCATCCTATCCTCAAACTCTTCCGGACTTATAAAGAAGGCGTCTGGTTTTGATGTGATTGGGATGTTGATCGAGCCGGGGATTGTGCCGGTTGCTTGCAGCTCCGAAGGCTCGCGGGTGTCGATTAGAATTCGGTCCGTAGAGGGATTGGAGAGGTGGGCTTGTACCTGGTTGGTGTTAGATGGGTGAAGAGAGGGGAGAGGTGAGGGGAGACGCACGTCTTCGAAGAAGTAGATTTTGCTGGCTTTGGGGACATGGGAGTATGGTCTGAAGTGTGACGATGCAAAAAGAGAGGGTGGGGCTGGAATTCGCGCACTGGGCAGGACTCTCAGTTGTCGAGCTGCTTTTGGGAGTGAGGACCTTGAGGCCCGTAGTATGATGGAGGTGGCGAGGCGTGGAGTGTTCATTTTGAGGTTGTTGTGTTGGGACGTTGGGCTTGAGGCGGTGGTATTCCAAGCAAGCTCTTTTCTGTACCAAGCGCTAGAAGCTACCCCGGATTTCGCCTCGGCTGCATTGACGACATGTAAGGCACTAGACTTCTTGACAGTAGCTTGCCAGGAACATAAGCTCTCATAGTTGGAAAAAAAAATAGGTCTGTATCAGTTTATACGAGTAGAGAGGATTTTAGAAAATGTTTAATCTTAAAAGTCTGTTTCTCATTCAGACTATTTCTCTGATGGCTGAGCTCCTCCTGCATCTCATACTTGTACTGCATGGCACGTCGCGGTGGACAGAAAAAGCGGCATTAGTACTCAGTGTCCCAACTCAAGATTGGGCATTCAATTGTTACCAATAGGGCCACGAATTGAAATTCTAGAATTTCCGAGAGAACCGAAGGGGTATACTTTGAATGTACAATACTGCTGAGCACGTTGGGAGAGGAAGTATTTGTCATGTTCAACTTCACTTGGGACATTGAGAATTAGTGCCGCTTTTCCTGTCCACCAAGAGGGCACTTAAAGAGGCTGAGAATTCATTTAAAGTCAACATATTAGAGTTTTATAACATCCTCGACCAGAACCAACAGTTTCTGCCACACTTTTACTTGAAAACGAATACCACCCGTCTTCTACAACGAGCTGTGTAGTTCCAGAGTCTATGTATACTTAAATCCACCAGTTCGAGTAGCAGAGAATCCCTTCAGACCATACTTCCCCTGAACCGCCTTCAACTTGGCGTAATTATTTCCCGGATAAGTCTGATATGGTACTTGGTTATCCGCCCCCCTTATTATCGTTAGTAACAAGGACGCCACTCTAATAGACATCCGTATGTGCTCTTTTTAATCACTGCGATTAGGAACTTTGGGTACCAAGATCCAACTGGTACCCATTGCCACAATAAGTCCGACTAAAATTGGCTGCAAGACTTTCACACCTGCCGAACTGGCGATAAAACCTGTGATGGAGGGGAATAACGAGCCTCCAGCCTGAGCCATGACAAAAACGAGCCCTTTGAAAGAATGTGTTAGTTCGTCAGAGTGTCAACCAGGTAGAGGCAAGACCAAGACTCACCGAGCGCTGAAGCCTTCACTGAGTTGGGAAATAATTTTGTGCCAACCGAAACGCCCTACCCACCAACGTTAAGAGTTTGCTCAACACCGTTCAAGGGGACACATTAGGGGCGACTCACTATCGGGAATAGGGGACCGAAGAAAAACCCTAGCAAACTCAATGCAGTAGCGTTGGCGATAATATTTGGCACCAGCCAGAATATTAGCTGTAAGCCTAAGATAATGACGCAATACAGCAGAATCATTCGTCTCTCCCCAAAGCGATGTGTTGGTTCTGCAAGCAATAACCTTCCTAGAAATAGACCTCCATAGAGACCGGCTGGAGTGTAACCCACTTGCGAAAGCTTTCCGTGGCGTACGTCCACAAGATACTCAACCACCCAGCCTAGTTCGTATCTGTCAGAGATCTAATGTTGCCTCCTAGAGATCGGAATTTGACGTACCACCTGCTGTAATGCCAACGCCTAGACTGAAAAAGAAGAACAGGCTCAGTATCCAAACTACACGAAGCCGAAGGGTGTTCGCCATTCCGCTTAATGCCTCCCTGCCTCTGCCAGGGGCATTATCATCTCCAGAAGTAGAGGCCTGCTTTGGAAGTATCCGTATAGAGCCTCGAAATGCTACGAGGACGCCGACCACGTTGACCACGCCAAGCCCAACGAGAAAGACATAAAACATACTCCACCTTGACTGCATTGACGACGCAATGGGAGTGGCGACAAATGGTGATACCAAAGCTCCAAGAGCATACATGGCATGAATAAACCCGAGCCATCTGTGCGCCCCATTGACGGTGCTCACAAAGGTGTTGGAGTGCGAATCCTGAACCCCCATGCCCATGGAACAGATGAAGAAACTTGTGGCAAAGAGTCCAAAGGGAGGGTTCCAGAACCGAAGAACATTGGAAATGAGCTGAAAAACAGCCCCAATCGCTAGAATGGCACCAGTATCTAGATATTGCAACATGTGACTGTTTGCCGCCGCCGCAAGGAGCCATCCAACGAAGGACGCAGCGTAGCTATATCTCTGTGAGTGAGTGTTGTTGAATGCTACGAGCAAGAGAAAAGCAGGTAGAAGAATTTGGTGGGCTGCTTTGGAGGTCATTGCCTACATGATGGAGATGAAGCTTGTCCCAACATTGTAGCTGCGAAGCATGTAAGGGATGAGCGGGCCTAGACTCCCATCAATTGTTCCAGCAACGAAGAAAGAGAAGCCGGAGCTCAGGAGCTTGAGAATGACCTTGCGGCTCAAAGGTGTTGGTTGCTCAGCGGACGCTACATTGCGTGCATCATCGAGAGATGTATTCTGAATGGTTTGGAGTTGAAGGCCACCAGAATCATGGGGCATTGCAGTGGCGCTCATTGCGAAATGAGATGTCTTCCGTTGCGAGGGTATTGAAAGACACAAGAGCTCCCATTAAGTAGAGTTATATACTTTGTCTGTCGCGTATACTCTCCTTCAATGGAGTCCTGGGCTTTTGAGACCTTGGACTCTTGAACAGAGTGATGGGAACCGGGCCGGCGATCCGTCGTCGATCTTCGGAACACGGCAACTGGAGGTGGCTGTCACATCGCGATAACCAATTATCTGTGGTCCCGATCTAAACGCGGTGAGTGCCATTGCATTTCGAGTGGGCGGAGTTGATGTAGAAGCAAGGGTAAATTTACAACGAATGAAATCTTGGCGACGTTGAGCACTCAGGGGCAGTTTTGCGGGGTCGCTTGAGAAAAGCCGGGGTTCTGCCGAGCAAAACTCAACGCGACCAAGACGCGTTCAAAAATAACAACGAACATCACGAATCTTGAGCATCAACCTGCGCAACATGTCTCAGTCAAGCACATCAGCAGCGCGACCCTTGTCTCTCACCGAAGAGCTTGAGAAATTGGAGCAAAGCATCACATTAACACTCCAAGAGATTGACCACAATTTCAGCCGAGCACACCGAATTGTCACCTCCAGTATCTTGCCAATTGTTGAGCAGTATGCAGAGCATTCGAATGCGGTTTGGGAAGGGTCAAAGGTTGGCAGATTCTCTCCACGTCTGAAAACGCAAGCTGATCCGTGGGTAGTTTTGGAAACAATTCTTTGAAGCAAGTGCCAATGTTTCTCTGTCTGGTGTCGAAGAACGAGATGAGGACGATGATCTCTCTTACACCCAGTCCCACGAGAATGCAAGCACGTACGCAACTTCAACTTCACAGCGTAGAGATGATACACTTCATCCTGATGGCGAAGAGCACGAAACCTACGACCAGGCAGATGATTCTCTTCTCGATAATGTTGACATTAGTGGCAGCACACCTCGGGCTCCACGGCCAAGGAGTGCCACAGAGGAGAAGCCCAAGTTTGCCGATTATCCGTCACCTTACGAAGAATTGAAGCAAGAACTCAAGGGTGGAGCGAAGGAGCAGGATGACGGTAATACACAGATTGCTCCAGCAACACCAGGCGCTCAATCTCGGATTCCGGATATGTCTATGACACCAACTTCATCGCCGTTCGATCCGACTTCTTACTTTCAATCTACTGTGCAGCGAAAGCCTGGGCAAGATCCTCTGCTACACCGAATTCTGGATAAGAACTATCGCGTGCAAGCTACACCCCATACCACTCGCAAGGAGCACAGAACCCCGGCGAGCAAACCCTCCTGGCGAGACACGACGTCTCCTATGTCTTCCCCACCAGCTGCGGCACCACAGTTGCACGCTGAGATCTTCAGTTCGCCAATCAGACAGCAATACAGCAAACCGACCGCACCAAGAACTCCGGGAGTGAGCGTTCTGCCCTCGAGGAGCAAGGCAAAGGAGGCGGCAGCTAAGCCTCCAAAGAAGGACGAAATCAGTTGGGAAAGCGACAGCGATGAAGATGCCGAGGGTGTCTACAGAGAATTGGGGATGAGCCCACCCAAGACCATTCAATTTTCACTGCTTCAGTCAAGGCTGCTACAAACTCCAGGCAAGTACTCTGGACCTTGGGATTTCTTTCATGGCTGACACGAGACAGCACGCGAAGCTAGTAAGCGGATCGTTGAGGACTTGCTTACAACCGCAGGAGCAGGACTGGATGATACAGATGGCCTTGATGACAGTCCTAGTGTTGTAGCTATGAAGAACGATTTGGATGATAGTTTTTAGGGAAAGCCTTCCATTAATGTAGTAATCTATCAAGGACTTTTAATTCCCGAAAGCATACCAAGACCTGGAATGCCCGTACACTTCCTTCAAAACCCTGTCGACCGTTTCCATTTTACATTTTGCCAATCTTGGGCCGACCGAGATTTACCAACTCCTTGACGCCTTGCTTCCGAAACCTTGTGTCCCATTGCTGATATAAACAAACAAATTTGAAGAGGGTGGCACGCCGGTCATTTGACGGAAGCAAGGTAGAAGAATGCTGCCCCCGTTTCTTTTCTCGCTATATCGACAGTCTGATCAGCTCTAGTTTCTCTTTGGTATTAGGTCAGATCGGCTCACCATTATACTCAGGTAATTGCTTAGACTCACGAGTCTTCACGACCTCCTTCTCCTTGACAACATTGGATGCTGCCTCGGCATCCTTCCGAGCTCGGTGCTCCTTGTAGGAGACCGGCAGCTTCCTCTTGACGGAGTCCTTGATTAATCCGACAGTCGAGGAGAAGGTGGATGTGCTGGCCATTGAGGCAGCGTCTACATCCTTTGCTGGCTTGGCGGGTTTAATCTTAGGTGAGGCAGGATGAAACCACGATGGTGGCTTTTCGTTGGGATACTCTGTTTGATGTTAGTAACAAAATTGGGAAGCTCTGGAGTGTATGAGAACATACGATTCGCAAGGGCGGCTGGGAATCCGTTAGGCATGTTGATTGATTGTGAGGTTGTTGTTACTTGAGTATTACGTATATCGAGAGTCTTATGACTGGAGGTGGAATTGCTTGTTGCTCTTGCGTGATCTTGTTCTTTAAACTTATGACAATATTCTGATGGACAATTCCAATTCAAAGGCAGGAAGCCCTTCATATATAGCTCAGGTAAGAGTCACAGGCATCCCATCTCATATGCACGCCCTGCACCCCAACTACGGCATGTCAAGCATCAAGCCTCAAAGCCTTTCCATCCGCCTCCTGAGACGCCTTACCCCGAACTGCTCTCCGGTATCCATTCACAGCCTCCCTCCTCTCCCATGCGACGCAACCGTGAAAGCCGACTGGCTGCTCTAGCGAACTCCGGGGCAGCAAGTGTAAGCATCGCCAAGGATCCACAACGTTTTCCCGACCGGTGACTCAGGCACGACACAGCCTTTCATCAAGCTTTCTTCCTTGTCAATTCTCGCAATCACTTTGGTCAATTTGGGTTATGGTGCTTGTCAGAAGCCGACGGGATGATGTTACTGTACTGGAAATTCAGCTAGTTGAGGCTATTTCGTGTGGAGATGGTTCACCACCTCGTGAGACTGTGAGACTTCAAAATGAATCTTAGAGGATGGGATAGATGACAGTATCCAACACAGCCCCTGAGCCTTTTCTATTCCCAGGCCGGCCAATAAGTGCCAAGATATTTCACCACCCCTTCGACCTCTCTGCTTTCGTAGCTACTCGGCCAGCCTTGGCTACGCTTTCTTCCCCTCATTCGTCATCACCCTGCTTAGAAATCCACACATTCAATCATCCCATTTCCAACTCCCATTCGGTGTCCAAGCATTGTTGCCTAACGGAGTACACGAATATACGTTCATAATCGACCAGGCAAACAACGGAGTTCAAAAGCTTATGTAGGTTAAGCTACGCAGGTACCTGCTGCCTTTTGGTTGACACACTTCCGTAAACCGGCTCGACCTTAGGTTATCAGATTGTTAGTGGATGGAAGAGTGGACCGTGAGGCCATGACATAGCGTGGCATGCCGAACCTGCTTTGAAGGCTGCGGGTCTGAGGCAGAGTGCTTATAGTAGAGTTCGAAATCGGCTTCAGTTCCAATACTCAATGATTTTATTTTGACCCACATTTTATGCGGCACTAACCCTCTCTGGCTAGCCTGATTCAGACCCGTACTTCGTACACTCGCTTAATTCCCTGTTCTGGGTGTCACGTGGACCACTGCCTGAGGATTAGCCGATGCCGGCGGATATCACCTCCTAGCACTTGTACCTCGAACGGCCTAGGACCTACAACCTCATCCCAACCCTCGTCGCAACAGATGGAAACAAAATGGTACGGTTGAAAGATGTGCAGGGCAGGATTTACCGCTTCAAGAACGAGTCGGAATGCTTAAAGTTGGGAATTCTTACTCCTGTTATCCAAGACGTCGTGCGCTGCCACATGGTCCTGGTCTTGGATGTTGTGCCGGCGAAGAAAGATTACGTGAAAATAATGACAGTAAGTGCGTAAAGCTTTACAGTAAGCTAGTTATTAGTAAATAACCTTTAACCCTTCTTTGAATCCGATAATAGAAACTCTCCCTGATAGGTATCCTAAGACAAGACTTTGGTTCCAAACAGCTACACAGCTTGGTTGTCGGTATTCAAGAGGTAGCCAGAGAAATTTTGTGCCCCCTTCTACTACCCAATTATTTGACACAAGTAGAGTATTCACCTGCCTGCCGTCCGGCGAGAAGGCAGCTAAGCAGACCCAGTCTCTATAGCCCTCGAACGTCTACAGCGCCGCTCCTATAACGGCGTCCCAGAGCCGGACTATATTATCGTAGGAGCAAGACACGATCTGCTTGCTATCCGGCGAGAAGGCGGCTAAGTAGACCCTGCCACTATGGCCCTCGAGCATCTGCAGCACCGCTCCTGTAATAGCGTCCCAGAGCCGGACTATCTTGTCGCTGGAGCAAGACAAGACCTGCTTACCGTCTAGCAAGAAGGCGGCTGAGCAGACCCAGCCTCTATGCCCCTCTAGCGTCTGTAGCGCCGCTCCTATAATAGCGTCCCAGAGCCGGACTGTATTATCGTAGGAGCAAGACAAGACCTGCTTGCCGTCCGGCGAGAAGGCGGCTAAGCAGACCCAGCCTGTATGGCCCTCGAGCGTCTGCAGTACCGCTCCTATAACGGCGTCCCAGAGCCGGACCGTATTATCCTCCGAGCTAGACACGATCTGCTTACTATCCGGTGAGAAGGCAGCTGAGTAGATCCTGCCTATATGGCCCTCGAGTATCTGTAGTACCGCTCCTGTAATAGTATCCCAGAGCCGCACCGTCTTATCGTCTGAGCTAGACACGACCTGCTTGCCGTCCGGCGAGAAGGCGGCTGAGCAGACCCAGCCTCTATGTCCCTCGAGCGTCTGCAGCGCCGCTCCTGTAACGGCGTCCCAGAGCCGTACCACCTTATCATCCGAGCTAGACACGACCTGCTTGCCGTCCGGCGAGAAGGCGGCTGAGTAGACCCTTCTTGTATGGCCCTCGAGCGTCTGCAGCGCCGCTCCTATAACGGCGTCCCAGAGCCGGACCGTCTTATCGTCCGAGCCAGATACGATCTGCTTGCCGCCCGGAAAGAAGGCGGCTGAGTAGACAGTGCCTCTATGGCCCTCGAGCGTCTGCAGCGCCACTCCTGTAATAGCGTCCCAGAGCCGGACCGTCTTATCGTCTGAGCCAGATACGACCTGCTTACCGTCCGGCGAGAAGGCAGCTGACCAGACCCTGCTTCTATGGCCCTCGAGCGTCTGTAGCACCGCTCCTGTAATGGCGTCCCAGAGCCGGACTGTCTTGTTATAGGAGCAAGATACGATCTGCTTGCCGTCCGGCGAGAAGGCAGCTGAGTAGACCCTGCTTCTATGGCCCTCGAGCGTCTATAGCACAGCTTTTGTAATAACGCCCCAGAGCCGGACCGTATTATCGTCCGAGCTAGATACGACCTGCTTGCCGTCCGGTGAGAAGGCAGTTAACCAGACCGTATCTATATAGCCCTCGAGCGTCTGTAGTACCGCTCCTGTAATAGTGTCCCAGAGCCGTACCGTCTTATCGTCCGAGCTAGATACGACCTGCTTGCCGTCCGGCGAGAAGGCGGCTGACCAGACCGAGCCTGTATGGCCCTCGAGCGTCTGTAGCGCCGCTCCTATAACGGCATCCCAGAGCCGTACCGTCTTGTCGGTCGAGCCGGACACAACCTGCTTGCCGTCCGGCGAGAAGGCGGCTGACCAGACCGAGCCTGTATGGCCCTCGAGCGTCTGTAGCGCCGCTCCTATAACGGCATCCCAGAGCCGTACCGTCTTGTCGGTCGAGCCGGACACAACCTGCTTGCCGTCCGGCGAGAAGGCGGCTGAAGGCGGCTGAACAGACCGTATCTGTATGGCCCTCGAGCGTCTGTAGCGCCGCTCCTGTAACGGCGTCCCAGAGCCGGACCGTCTTGTCGTCCGAGCAAGACACGATCTGCTTGCCCTCTGGCGAGAAGGCGACTAAGCGGACCCTGTCTGTATGGCCCTCGAGCGTCTGTAGTACAGCGTTCCAGTTTGTTTGCACTTTCGGTTTTCTTTGAATCCAAGCTAGTATATCCGCCTTAAACTTTCTCCGAATAAGACTTCCTTCTGGAGCAAAGACAAGGGCTAAAGAGTATAGTTGGAGGGGCGCCTGTTCAATCACTAACCGGTTGGATAAGGCAAATCGCTTTGCATCATGGACGAATGCATATAGATTAGGACTTTTCTCGGTCTTAATATGTATTAATCAAGATTTGCTAGAAATATCGTAAAGAAAACTTACTGAAATTTGAGCCTCTAATAAGAGTATTGCACGAATCCCTTCAGAAGTCTTACCCATCCAGCCAAGTGCTTTAAGCCAGTGAAGGAGATGATTTTGTAAGAACAGATAAACTTGGTTATAGTCGTCAAGCTTAGCATCACTCTCTTGAAGATGCTGAACCCAGTAGACACAGCAGTATTGGAGTCCTTGTAGTGAATCTGGGCTTGGGACCGTTATATCTTCTAACCCGGACCCGGGGTGCAGGGCATAGATATTTTTTCGCAATTTTGACATGTCATCGATTGAGCGTCTGCTGATGTCCGCATGCCCTTGAACAGCCCCACCCTGCTAAAGCTTCGATTTGTGATTCGCTTTCAGGTAGTCCTTGGCTGACTGGTGGATTAGATAGATCGTATTCTCCTTAGTTGTCAGAAATGAGCCGCATTCCTCAACGATCGTCTGCGGGTCAATCTCAGGTCCCAAACCAGCGAGTAAGGCAAGCTCAGAGAGTGAGAGAGGTCGATATGCAAGAGAAGTAACCACCAGGACATTCTTACAATATTGCAGATCCATCGTATCTCTCCCAATTCTGGTCATCATATGATCGTACAGCTCTGGCAAGCCAGGAGGCATCTCTTTGACAATCTTGATAGCGTACCATCCACGCTCCGAGTCGAGTTTTTTGAACACGAGAGCCACCCAGAGGAACGTGTTCTCTGCTCGTCGACAGACTTCATCTGAAACCTCGGCCAAAACACTGTCGGTATATCCTTTTTTGCTCTTAAGGGTAGAGAGCTTGTGGTTGATGTATGCGTTGACAGGACGTTCCAGACTTTGAGCATCCAGCTCAACTAGGGCCCCTGTTGTGTCTGGATTCTTGAGCTCGACCTCCGGACGGCTAGAGACTAGCCACTTTACTTTACCGGAGAGAGTAAGGGAAGTTGAAATGAGCTGGACAAGGTCTGCCAATCCCTGGTCACACTCGTCAAGGGCATCGACAATGAAATACATTGGTAATAAACCAGGATCTTTCAGCATGCTCTCGAACACACGAGTCATAGCAACCAATGCATTCCCATTACTAAAAAGAGAACGGCCCTGGTACTTGTACTTCGATCGTAAATGCGAGATGAGATGTGGTTGCTAAACAAGTAGTATCCAGACTAGAGATCTCAGGATGGCCGTTGCGCTATTATGAGACTTGTTATCTGTGCCTTGACAGAAGAAGTGCGAAACATTAGGTGAAAGTACGGCGGGCTAATCCGAAAGTTGGCGAATAATCCCAATTAAGAGTATCGTCTTCCCTGTACCGGCATGACCCTTGACCCATAGCAGTCGACATAACGGTAGGGACGATTCGTCATTACTCCAATTCGTAAATACTATATACTCCTTCGTATTAAGGATCCACTTATACGCATCGTCGAGCAATTTATCCTTTTTCTTCTCAATTGTGTCTATATCATCTTGCGGATCCATCACAAAGAGGTCGTAGAGGCATTCTGTATCCTTGTTATCCATTTGCATCTCCTTCTGCAAAACGATGAAATCTCGAAGGGTCTGGCGAACGTCCCCAAGCAGTTCCTCCATTGTTTTAGCAAGCTCGACAAGCCGCCCCAGGGAGCTTTTCGCATGCCAGCTATTATACTGGTTCGAATCCGTTTGAAGAGCGACTTCTGCATCCGTAACACTCTTCAGATCGTCATCCCAGTTATCCAAGTTCGCGAGGCCACGGAAGAAGACTAGGACTTGGCTCCGGTAGTAGGAGCAGATGCTCTTCATCTGATACAGGAGGAGAGCCTTGTAGAGCGTAACAACCGTCTTTTCCAACTGCTATAGGATTGTCTCGAAAGACTCGCTCCCGACCACGATGTTGTCCTTGTTCAGGAGATGTTCGGTCAGGCCGCAATACCAGTCCATTCTGGAAACAACATGTATAATGCCCGCGAGGTTGGATCTTGTCGCTTTCGCAGGATTCAAGAGGATCTCGATAGATATTAGTTGACAAGAAACCAGCTTTTGTGATAGAGGGGTGAGTGCTTACTTGCAGCCCAATACAAACACCAGCCCACGGAAGGGCAGCCTGTGGTATGTTCTGGATCGCCAGGTCGACCATCCCCTTGGCCGAAAGAATAAATTGGGCGACATCACCGACTCCCTTTGCAATATTCGACGCTGTGAAAACTTTCGCCTGGCCATCTTCAAGCAGTTTCTTCATGTGCATCTGTCGCTTGATCGGGTCTTTCAGTTCAGTTGAGACATCGCTGGCTTCAGTAGCGGGGGTGTCAGGGGTTTTCTCGGCCTTGAAAACCATCTTCAGGGTCTTCACGTAAGCCTTGACAAGCTCTGCAGTCTCGTTGTCACTCTCAAGGCTGTCATAAGCGGCATTCCAGATTCTCTGGGATGTGGAAATAGCTTGGGTCTGTTGCACCGCAAATTCTGTCGCTGGCAGAGGCTCTTTGGCCCGCGGATCGTCCCCGGCATGACCCGCCTGGGCATTAGTGACGGGTACAACTGAAGGTGGAACTTGAGCGTATGCAACATGGCTGGAAGAAGCTTTCAAAGTCTCTTATACAGCGGATACTGGGAGGAGAGGGTTTTTGGTTCCTGCGTCTGGGCTAGCGGGAGTGCCTTGAGCATCAATAACGATAGGCGGTTTTGGAGGACTGTGTGGCTTTGTAACGCTGCTGAAAGCGACTGTCGTATTGTCTTTATCAAGGGAAGCACTACCACTCAGGTTTTGAGCCCGAGACAGTTCGGGAGCCGTCAAAGTTTCCGCTTCGCGCTTAGACGTCTCCGACGCTACAGGCGGGGTAGTGGGACCGTCTGGTGGATGCCCGTCGTTCTGCACCTCCAGATTCCCTACTCGCTTGGACCTGAGGCTCTTGAAAAGTTTCCGCGGCGAGAAATTGGCAGACATGGCTTCGACGCAGATTGGCGAGACCGGTAGGGATTGTAATGAGGTGGTTGATGGTTATGCGAAGTCGACGCGCCGAGTTTCTCGAGGCAACTGAGGGCTGAACTGCATGAGAGCTGGCCAACCTCTGCGGCCAATAGAGCTGAGCAGAGATGGTAACACGACCATTGCTCGAACAACTGGAGATACTTCTATACATACGAGAACTTCGTGTCTCCAAGTGAGGCAACACTGTAGTGACTATATGGTACTGCAGCGTTGTATCTGTTCCATCACGTGAGGGGATTGAACTTCTGCCTGAGGATTGTTTTGGCCTTTGTAGAACATTCTAGCAATCTGGCTCTGAATTACATCCTCCATTGCTGTCCTTTCCCTAATTCTACTCCCCCTAACAGTGCTGTCGTATTATTGACTCTGGGTATTCCTCCCCTAATATCACCATAAACCAATCGACTCAGGGCATAGCTCTCATTGGCAAGTCATGGCTTGGGAGACAACGTTTCGGCGACCTACTTATGATAGCACAGGATTGGACAGCCAACCTACAGCACACTACCAGCGTGCTCTATTGGCAAGTTATCGTCTGCTTGGGTGACGCTCTAACGACCTACTTATGGTGACACAGGCTTGGACGACCAGGACCCCTAGCTCTGGAACGCGGTTGTCCGAAAGGCAACGATGAGCAGCCCTACCCCTTCCCTCGACCCTGTCGATTCATATGAGCAGTGGGATCCATACGATGATGTCAGTCAGTAGCAGACACAGTCGAACTATCTTAAGCTATACCAGTTTCCCGACTGGGATAGCGAGGGGATATACGATAATGATATTCATATACATTACTCAATCGTATGGAAGGTTACACGGAATAAGAGGGCAGTAGTAGGACCAGATACGGTACAAGATACAGTTCTGGCCCCTTCTGCCTTCTGCCAACACTTTATCCAACCAAAGATTGACAGTTATTAGCAAGGGAAAAAAGACAAACCAGTCAGGTCCGAGGATACGAATGTTGTGGTTTCGGTCACACAGCGCAAACAGGATGGCCTTATAAGACGCTTCCCTAATACTAGTATTAACTGGGCAGTTATAGAAAAACAACTCGTTGCCTGGGGCGAGTTTTATCGCACAGGTAAGAAACTAATACTCAAACTCTCATTCAACTACATAGACGTAACTCCGTCCTCGACTACCTTATCAGGGAGGCCAGCCAAAAGAGGCTTCCGATCCATAACCCAGCAGATACTAGCCGAAGGAGCTCTGCAGGTAGATACAGAACAGGCATCTTCCGGACAACCATCCGTTTGGCGGAAGGTATATAATACCATACGTTGCCCTGGCCCTCCCTGTAAGAAGGGACATTACTGCTGGGTTGACCCTATTAGTAAAAAGCATTACCCACTGAATACGCGCCAGCTAAAGAGCCTCATTATATATGTACAAGAGAGTCATATATTAGAAACACATGATGATATACCCGAGAATGTTCGGGAGGAGTTATACACAGAGGAGCAGAAGTCACTCGAGAGGAGTTAAAAGGCTTCTGGGACATCTATAGCAACCCCTCCTGCTATTCATATTACAAACGTACTGCCCCCGCCGTCTGGTCCAATACCCCACCTGACGTCTTCAGATACAACTCTAGCTCTGGACATGCCTTCAAAATCTACTCCTCCAAATCGTCTCAATATTCCCGGCTTTCGAGATAATACTATAGAGGAGTACTATAACTGGCAGAAATCACAAAACAAGAGGCCAGAACTAAAGCTAGAGTACCAGAAAGCTTGCGATATAATAATTAAAAAGGGAAAAGACCTTGGACTGATCCGCCAGAATCCAGACCCTAAATTTTTGATCGATACAGACGTTCTGGAAGGGATTGCCGAACATATCGTAGGTGATATCGACTACTAGTTCGAGAATATCAAGCGACCTAGAATTGAGGAATAACTAGAATGAGATAGTATGCGTTGCAAGTAACTTAGTCTGGTTATTTAAGATTTTGAATTTGAAAACTGTTCTGTTACCATATGCCAAGCTATGGCTCTTTAATAATTAATCCTGTATGCCTAAAATGTCCTCTAGCACTGTTCTTCTTTTGACCAACTACGTTAATATACCACTCCAAAAAGCTATCAAAGCCTTGCTCTGGATTTTCCTTATAAATATACCAGTTCCGTTTAACAAAAGCTTTTAACTCGGCGAAGAACTCTTTAATTAGATTAAGATCTGGTGAGTATATCGGCAGATATACCAGCTTTATACCTGTATTACGATATATCTGCTCGATCCGCTCCGTATAATGAATAGTTATATTATCCATAACAAGAACCGACTTCGGCTCTGGCCATCTACCATACAAAAGAAGGAGCTGCTCTACGAAATCCTTAAAGACAGTACTGTTTGTGGATCCCAGGAAGACGCGAGCGAGGATAATGCCGTCCTGTATATATACGGGCAATATCTGATATCGCTTCTTATATTAGAATCGGGCAATTTGAACAGGAGTCACACCAAGGGAAGACCATCTTATCTGTCTAAATCCACTCCGTTTGTCATAGCCAGATTCATCTACGAAAACATAATAATACGAGCGGAAGCCCGAATCCCATGAGTTATACATATACAAGTCTCGTAGATCAGCATTTCGTCCCTTTGCTATACGGCGAATTGTTTTCTTAGTCCAACCGCAGGATTTCAGTGCTCTCCCAATACTAGAAGGTGTTACGTGCGTATTGAACTCATCCAGTACGAAGAGCACCATCTCGTCCCGGTACAAATCAGGTTTCTCGAGCAAGTATTCACACAGAGCGTCTAATATCAGAGGTATAATGCTTCGGGGCCGTCCGACACTATTCGAAGGGGCTTTCGTAGAGCCAAAATGGCGAAGGTTTGACTGTATCGCAAACACGGAACGCTCACTGCAACCTACGACGTCAGCTATTTCAGCAGGAGGACGGCTACTAAGGATCATGTCGCGAATCTGCGCATGCTGCGACTCTGCAAGGTTCGGCGCCATTCTGGGGAGTGATGAGTGTTCGAGCAACACTCTCGTCGACGGTGCTGAAAAGGACAAGTGGTTTGTGCCTGAGGCCATAACACAGATGGTTCTTGAACCTCAGTATTGGAAACCTCACGCAGCGACGTCTTCCTGACCTTCCAAGCAGGAAACACACCTCTAGTCTCTAAAGCACCGCGGTGGTGCTGCCAACAAGCACACAACATTTACCCCCCTCCTAGGACTTTGTAATCCTGGGAACGTCCCACCAGTTCAACCCATACCTGCCTATTGGAAGAACGTCCTCTTGGTTTGCTTGCTTAATCCGCCGTAACAGAGCTCGTTGGGTTAACTTCATCCTCTGACACAGAGCCGACCAAAGAATAATGTCCGTTCTCGGGGTGCCGGTTGACCACAGATTGAGGGACATCATCCGAGAACTAATAAAGCTCAACGGAGCTCCTACTGCCTCGAACCTTTCGTCCAACCACAACGAAAATCTTCGACAGCTTTCTCAATTTATACGTGACCGGGGATAGTCGATATCGGAAAATGAGGTCGACTTCGCCTGCTATCTCGCGGAGCCAGCAATCCGGGGTGGCATTGTCGTAGCATTAACGCAGCCGCCCCCGAATCAAGACTATAGTATCCCATTTGACGATATTGTGAAGGATTATAACACCTTGCTTGCATTACGAGAGTTAGTAGAGTTCTTTAGCCTGCCCTTTGACAGGTTGAGCATCTTCAATGCGTATCCCTTTATTACCGAAAAGGAGCTTGATCAAGAAGATATCGACTATTCCGAATCCTATACCATATTCCACGAGATAATATTAGAGAAATAGCTAACGGTGGTATTAATAGGTTAGATATCCCCATATTTCGGGGGTTTTATAACGAAGTCATTACGGAAACGGGCTATCGGTGTAGTATTCCCTTCGCCGACGATTCGCTATTGCGGGTTAACTTTTTCTATGGTTAATATGCCTTATCCTAGCTACTATATGAACTACCACCCTACTAAGAGCTATTTCCGCCAGTTATAAATTCTAGAGTTTGCCCAAGCTTGTGGGCGTTTGTGGGGGACGTGGCAAGAAAAGGGATGGATGGCAGACTTTCGGGGAAAGTGCAGGGCTCGAGCCAAGTTTCTGTTTAATAGTAAGTTTGACTCGTCTAGTATATTTATCTGTATTAATAGAGGAGACCGTTGTGATTCTTCGGATAAAGCATTCGTTACCAAGCGTCTTACTCAAACCTTGACCCAGCTAGAGCCTGTACTTATTGGGATACGTTATAGCTTCTCTTCCAAAGCTCAGATTAAAGACCATATATCCAAAAATAATATCTTAGAGCTATATACAGATGCCTCATTAATCTTACGCCACGTCGACGCAATATTTAGTAATACGGAGAGTGTTGAGTGTGCTAAAGCAAGTATGACTTTCCTCTATACCTGGTACGAATATCAATGGCCAGCATTAAGCGAGTTCTTAGTACCTGCCTCCGCCGGACTTCCAGGTATATATGCTCATGGTTGCTTTGACCGAATTCCTGTAGTGGATATGCCGCCCCTGGCACGGCAGATCGAGTCTTGCCTTATAATCTTTGCCAAGAAGATGAATCTAAGTTAGATATCTTATGGGGATAACGATTTCGAAGCGGACTTTGAAGCTCAATCTTCAGCTTTCTTTTAGCTAGTAAAAGGCATTAAAGATATAATGGATGAGACCCCAGATAATACCCGTATCTGGGGGAAAACTCGGGATGAGCTCGTTACTGCTCTAGAGGCTTTGAATCTTTGAAAGTAGGCCTCCCCTAAAGAGGGTTTTAATTATTAATAGCTTGTGCGGAACCACGATAATGATAGTGAAGCATCGTTAAAGAATCATGATACTAAAGGAAACTTAATTAGATCAGGCGAACTGGGCACTTGGAGCGGGGTACTTTAGCTTATTAACCTGAGCTAGGGAATCTGGTAGTCTGTATATGGCCTCGACGATCGATATTCGAATTACTAATAGTCTGAGTAGAACTAGGGTTAATAATGGTTTAGTTTGTGGTCTTGTATTGCCAATAAGCCACGAAACCATAATTAGCACATTTAAATAAATTCTTCCCAATTATAATCTCGCAGATACCGCATTAACCTCTCCCTTTCTACTTTAATAGCCCTAACGCCGAGTGAGAGCATGGTTGCCATTTAGTCTCATATGGATTTTGTCTCCGTACTTCTGCTTCCGCCTTTAACTTACCCTAACTTTCCCGAGTAGTATCTTGCTTCTTCTGGTATATAGTACTAGCAGGCTTTAGCTCGCCAGTACTAATCTGTTGCTTTTTGGTTTCTTCTGTTTCTCTTCGTAGTCATTCGTTATCCGCTGCTATCCTTGCCTTGGCCCAGCTTTCTTGAATAGCATAGTATTTCTTATACCTCGAAATATTAGCAAGCCTCTTCTTCTCCACTCGATTTTGGTGCTCTGCAGACTCTTTTATTTTTCTTAATAGTTCTTCTTTCGCTTTCGCATTCGCTTTCTTTTCTGCCTCCCGTACCTTTAGCTTCGCAGCACGTTCGGCTGCGAGCTCGTGGATTTTACGGATCCTCTCCTCCTCTCGCTCTTTCTTTTTCCGCCGCTATTATTAAATGGCTTGGTCAAGTAGAATAGCGTCATTAAGCGTAGTATTAGTTATGTCCTGGAAGAGAAGCTTAATAATAGAGTTCGGATTTCTCTTCGCAAAATCCTTGGGACGCTAACCTGATTTATCCCAAGAATCCTTAATAGCTTTCTTCTCTAATAAGAAATTCATAGTTATTATGTTCCTATACCAGATCTCATTCTTCTTATCAAACTTTACCGCATAGTATAAAGGCGTCTGCAGGTTCCCATCCTTAACTTAAATACCCATTCCTCTATTAAGAAGTAGTTATATAATATCGGTAAATCCGAAGTGACTTGCGACGTAAAGGATAGTCGGCCGATTTCGTACTAGGAGGGGTTTCATGAAGTCTGCGCCGCTCTCAAGCAAAACACGTATAATATGCTCATGTCCACATATAACGGCTCCATAGAGAGGTATAATACCTTTAGATATTCGCGCATTAATATCAGCATCACTTTGGATCAAAATCTCCACTATAACTAGATATCCACTTTTTGAAGCCAAGTGGAGCGCCGTTGCGCTTTTGTCTTTATCCAACATTGCCTGAACGTTTGCTCCCAAGTCGAGGAACTTAAGAACAGTATTAGTGAGTCCATAATGCGCAGCCCAGGGGAGGGCTGAATAGTCGCTTGTCCGTATATGATATTGGTATAAAAACGTGTTGAGCAAATAATAGAGCTGGCTATTCGTTCGAGCAAAAGCATTAATGCCACTTTCGCATCTCAAACTCTCTGCTATAGACAGGAGCAACTCATTTGGAAGATCCAGCAGAGACATCCTAGCGATATAGGAAGGTAGAAACGGTGGTCAATGCCGATATTAGGGGTGTTCAGTCAGTAATCTTTGTGAGTGCAGCCGTACGTTGAAGCAAAAGTGGATGGATGACGCTATCCAGGAGCCGCACATCCCATTAGTGCTTGAGTTCTCAATTCTTAGGCAGAAATTAAGTCAGCATCCGCCGACATCGGCTAATCCTCAGGCAGAACAGGAGTTAAGCGAGTGCATGGGGTTCGCATAAAATGTGGGTCAAAATAAAATCATTGAGTGTTCCGACTGAAGCCGATTTCGAACTCTACTGTAGCTCAGCATATTGACTTCGATTCTAGAGTTCGGTGGAGGGGAGTGGAGTGGAGTGAGTAATTCACGAACTGCGGGAAAGTTTAGCAATGTAAAAAGGTTTACTCCGAATGCTTGATTTCGTCATTCCAACGGGACTTAGTTGAAAGCCGTTTCTAGCCAGTATGACGAAGTGTATTTATCCCTTCAACAAGAAGAAGAGGTTTTGTCTTGGCATTTGGAGTCATATTCCCTACGTAGGCCCAAAATACCGCAGAACCTTGAGGTTGGTGGAGACTTGAGCCCTTCTTCCTTCGTACAGTGCGATTGGACGCTGACTTTCTGGAAATTCCGAAAAGCATGTTCACTTTTACATTTACTCCCCCCCACTAATTAAATGTAACGGTGGGTCAAAGTGCAGGGGTTTTTTTGTCTGGCAACTGGACCGTGCCAGGCTGGTTTTGCGGGGACCCACTATTACATTTATTTAGGGGGGAGGGGGAGAGTACCAAATTCGGTGAGCGTTGAAAAAAAAAAAGGGGGGGGGGGGGGGGCACTCACCTGAGTGTGGAACGCTAAGCCTTGCGGACGCGACGCTGTGTTGATGTTGTGATTTGCTGGGCCGTGGAGGTCGGAGTAGGGTATACTCATGAATCACTTTGATGTTGCTCTCAACTTAGCAAGCAATCTTAAGGGATATGTGGACTTAGAGGTGAAGGGCAATTGGTTTGGTTTCATCGTGAACTACATGTTGAGTTAATGGAAGGAGTTCGCAAGACACCCTTCTCTCGAAGAGGGAGAAATATATACGACTCAGTCAATGAGAAGTCTCTCTCACTCGGGACATTCAGGACATTTGGAACGACTCAATGGTCACGATTGGTGGTGAGAATGTACTCGTCCCCATCGTATGGTTGCTTCCAATCCGAAGCCTGGACCAAAGCTCAGCCTTGCCATCCCATGCTTGGATTGCCAGAACCACAGTCTTGCATTACGTCGATGTCAGCCATGTGACAGCGAGTCGGAAGAGAGACTATTTGCTCAAACAGGCTCGAAGCCCTTTTATTAGAATTATTACAACCTGATTATTCTTGATGGCATCACCATCGACTCATGAGTAAATACAATGTGTGGACTTCTCGGAACGCCTGTATACTTCCCTATTTGCAATGCAGTGGAGGCAGAATGGCACAGCACGCCATATCTATAAAAGCAAGCCCAAGCCGGATTGCTCAGATACAGAGATCTTTTTGCACCCCTTCACACCAAACTCCATGACTGCTGATTTCATGCTCGCTTCGAGAAAGTTAAAGGACAATCGTCCTATGGTATGTTAGCATGAGGCTAATACGAACGAGGAGTCTACACACCATTGGGAAGATAGTTGCAAACACCTTGATCTCCTCTGAGCGGGGCGTTGGGTGGTGAACCCACTCGAGAGACATTGAGGCCTTCCCGATCATAAGAGCCAAGTTATTCTGTGCATAGACCTGTCCAAGGCAGTAATGGGGACCAGTTCCGAATACCAAGAAGTTCTTTGCGCCCTTCACCTCGGCGTCACCCGTTACATAACGATCAGGATTATATTCATCGGGATTTTCGTAGATCTCGGGATCACGGAGAGACGGATATACAGTTGGAATTATCATAGCGCCTGGAAGAGAATTAGCAAAGGCCAAGTTTGGAGAAACTAGTACTGACCTTTAGGAACGGTATAGGTATCGGTGATTGGGAAGGGCTTCTTGGCAACATACGGAACCATGAGGACTGGGGGGCGATATCTCAACAGCTCTCTGACGGAACCCTTAGTATAAACCATCTCATCCAGCATATCCATTGTGATAGCCTTGCTTCGATCACCTCCTCGGACGCGCAAATTCTCCTCGCGAATCTTGTCCAAGACATCTGGTCGTTGGGCCATGGTTTGGAACAGCCATGTGGCCGCGCTGCTAGTAGCGTCCTGGGAAGCAAACAAGAAGGTAAAGACGGTCTGTGAGATCTCGTAGTCCGTGAAATCGCGCAGCAGAGATGCTGGCTTCTCGATACCTTCCATGGAAAGTCCTTTCGCCTCACGTTCGCGCCAGGTTGCAGAGTCCAATTGAGCCTTGACCCACCCATCCATGATGCAAGTGATTTCGCCTCCAGCTGCCATTCGGACCTTGCTCTTCGCAGCACACTTTGCGAACTCTTCCAATACCATATCAGCGGCTTTCTTGCCATACCAAGTCTTTGTGAATGGTATTATAATTGGGAAGTTGACCAGTTCCAGGGCCGCGGTGATATTGTAGTAGTCGTCGGCAATCTTCTTGATAGCCTCATCGGAGATATAGTGGCCAACAAAGGTTCGGCATGAAACTGCACACATGAGTTCACGGAATTCGGGCATGAACGGAACTGGTTTTCCCTCCGCATCCTTGGTGACCTTAAGGAACTTCTCAAAGTAAATGTTGTACACGTCCTCTTGCCCCGGCAGATATAATTCCAGTGCTTTGCGAGTGAACAGGCCATTGAGACCTTTGCGGAAGTCGACATGTGCTTTTCCATCGAGGAAGACCCAGTTTTTTGCTCCAAGAAGCTTGTGCGCCACATCAACAACGCAGGGCTTCACAAAGCTGGGAGAATTGAAAACCTTCCTGGACATGTCCCGGGTGGATGCAATAACCACGAATCTAATAAGGATCAGCACTGGGTCTCGTAGAACCTACTCCGCCACACTTACTTGTGGAAAACGGAGACGCAACTGAGAGGCCCACTGGCCCATTTCGCCATGTATTCTTCGAACTTCGGATCCATCGACTGGAGGAAAGGGCCGATGAACGGAGTCTTCCATGCTGGGCCAACAATCGAACCTTTCTGCCAGAGGTAGGAGCCTGTAGATGAGTGAGCTCGAGGCTAAGTGGTGTGCTTGGCATGCATAAAGCTTACATTGATCGTATGCGATCAGGACGAGAAGAATGGTAAATGCAATTTGCCAGCCGCTGAGCTCTGCCAGTCTTCCAAGCAATCCATCGATTTGAGGGTGTCCGACGATTTGCGCGTACTTCGCGTCTGCCAGGGGCGAGGCGAAGCTGACGTTCGATGCCGTAGCCATGGTGCTGAGGTTCGTGCGCCTTCGTTAGGGGTCCTATCAGCGGTCAGGTACAGTCTGTCAAATGGTAGTGAAGGTTTGTGCAATTGGGGACGCACGAGAAGGAGTCTGTGGGCGAGACAGACGTGAACGAGCGAGCGAACGCGGCGGATGGCGGGAATTGAGAAGGAGAGGATATATTTGCAGATTGTTTTAGGGTGAAGTGAAGTCGGCCGTGGAGAGATCCACACCGGGAAATTGCCTCCCGGCTACAGGCGAGTACCAGGTGGGGAGAAAACCGCACAGGGGAGGATGTCCTGATCTGTCTCAAAATTGCACGAAAATTACGCGCTAAATGTATGATTTGAAATTGATGTCTGATTTAATCATTTAACTGTGGACGAGAGAGGATTTCGGTGATTATCAATCCTGTACTCACGTTCTATGAATATGTAATGAAACGTCCTCAACATCTCGCCCTCGCTTCAGTACATTTGTGTTCGGATGCTTGCCGTTCTCTACGGAGGAGAAATAAGCGGCGGCCGATATTGGCCCCTGCGCCAACACCAAAACCTGAACTTCCTACCCTCTTTTTGAGACAACACAAGTCAATTAAAGGTGCAAAAGACGTATGTAGGACTTGCGAGATCTGGTATGACTGTAAGAAGTTGTAGAGAGAAAAGAAGTTAATTTGCTGTCTAGTAAATACTGATTTTCTGGTGTCTGCTGAATTTGTCAAAATCGGCCATTTTCTTCTCCTCCCGCTAACCGTCCAAGCCATCAAACCAGGGGTCCAGCGCGATTAGCTCTGTAGCTGATAAGGCGTCCTGCTCACCGCACCGCAGTATCCTTCCTGAGAACGGCTTCTTCTTCTAGATTCAGATCTATATTTTGGGTGAAAAAAACCTCAATTCACGAACGGCAGCGGAGACAGAACTCAAGGGTACTCCGTCTCAGTGTTTCGTGCTTTCCCCATGATTTTAATTACTCAGCCTGCAAGCAGGTTCGGAGCTATCTCAAATGTACCCTCACCGCCTTTCCAAGCATCCTATACTACCTATGAGGAGAATGCGTCCAGCCACGGTAAAGACATCGCCTGACGATTCGAGATGACCATCTAGTAACTAGTTGAATCGGGAGGTCTACTTCGTCTTTCTGTTCATGTTGGTGGGGTACGGCACACTACCGACGATGTCACCGCTTTGTCGCTGGTTCTGTTGCAAGCTCGCAACTTATGCTCTATTTACGAGGTATACCCCTACCCTGTGCAACAGCTGCTCGAGCTACTGGCTCATAATCCTTGCAAGAGGGTATGATAAACCAGAGCTTATTGTGCACTTTGAATGTTATCGGGCTTAACTGCTTCGTTTCCTCAGCCCTTTGACATTTCTTCGAAATCCTCTCATCAATTGCTCTAGCTAACAGACAGCATAATGGTTAAAGCTTGAGAAAGTCGGCAAGCGAGACCTGTTACGGGCATTTAATTAGCACGTGGATGCGTCAGACACCAGATCTCCAAGCCCTACGAGATTCCATTGAACACCTACTTTAACATCCTAGCATGCACTTCTGTTGCTGTTTCCGACGCTGATTCATTAGGCCCTATCAAGTCCGGGATCACGAGAGTACGAGGGCGTTTCCGAAGCTTTAGAGGCTTTAGCAGCCCCTAAAAAGACGAACTTGGTGAACTTGGGTATGGAATGGAATGTGTGCGCTCGTCGATGCATATGGGTTGGGGTGACACTCCCGGCCATGAACTTTTCGATGCTGGGGCTGCGAGTTGTCACCACCAACGAAAACGCCGAATTTCAAAAATAGAAGATGGTTTAATTTTGACACATGTCGAAGAACATACATTCGAACGAGTTATTCTTTTCCTAGAATCAGAGGATGAGTTGAAGGAGTCCCTCCTTTTAGGTGATGAGATCGATGGAACTTTTAGGATGGGAGTATTCACGGATGTCAAGCTTCGGGTCGTTAGTGATCCGAACTGACCACTCCTTAGTTCTGCTTGGAAGGATTTTGTTTGTTGCGAGAGGCACTTTCTACTTTTAGAAGGAGACAGGCTGGCATCATATCCTTGACCAATCCATTGGTTCTTTTTTAATTCGACTCAAGTAATGCTATTGAGACTACCACAATTTATGGCAGCTCATTTGATGATTGATCGAATACTTCCAAACTTCTTGCCGTCGTGCAGTACATTCACTTCAAGGTCATGGAACTTGGGCCAGGCGAAGTATTCTCTCCTCCATCCACCTCAACGCTTCCTCTCGTCATCCCAACGCACCACGCATCAAGTCATCGACTAACCATCCGCTCTTCCCGATGTTACCGACAAAGTCATCCTCGAAAAAACATCGCGTCTCCAAACCCTCCCCGCTCAATTACCACGCCTGGAGCCCCCAGCAAGCATGACCGAGTTCACATTTCCCCAAGGCTCCCCTTGAGCTGGGCAACAAAGTCTGGAAATACGCTTCGTTCGAGCCCAGGATTTTCACGTCGTTCGAAAATCAATACTGGTGGAACGATTCAGGCACCAGAGAATCGAGGGGCTGTACTCGCGAGACCTTCACGAATACAATTTCGATCCCAAAGTCCTGAAACAAATTCAGTATCTCGACTTCGACCACAACTACAACATCAGCGATGAATTTCCGATAAGCGGAGTATGGATGAAGTTGATATCCCATATCACGGCGCTGGAAGATCTCACGGCCTCGTTGGATGGTTGGGGAAGATACAGAAACGACAGAGAGAAGGCGTTAGGCCCGGTCAGCTTGGATTTGTTGCGTCAAAAAATCGAATTGGATGGCCTGGAAAATATTTCATCTAACTCAAATTGGGGAATCAGTTGTCCGATCATGTTCAAGTTCATGCTTCTCCAGGACGACTTCGACACAGCACCGTGGCTAGTCGATCAGCAGCCCAATCGGTATTTCGGTGATTTGACTTTTTTTTTTTTCTCGGGGGAGGACCCTTCGAGATTAAGGAGATATTTTATAGGTGCTGAACAGGGTTGATCAGTGGAGAGCGAAACAACCAAGAAGATTCGGAGATGGATTTTGTGCAAGGGTCGCTGAGGGGAAGCGAGTTGTATTGATGCTTGATGAGAATTTGATTGGCTTGAGCTCTGAGACGGGAATTCAACGATCTGTTCCAGTCTTAAAATATTTCAATGCTTCGGGGGAAATATTGGCGTTACTGCTGGTGGATCTGTATTGAGAGAAAGATGAAGGTGGCTACACAAATGACATTTTACTCGAATCGAAGAACCGGAAGGCACTCTGAAAAAGTCTGTACTTGGTAGGAATCTCCGATCTAAACAAATACCTCGCTGACGCGTCTGAAAGGTCTGCAAGACTGTCTATCTTATCTTATCTCTGCGTGCATCTGGCTCGAGCCTTTCTAACCTGCAAGTCTACCTTATGGTTCGCCCTTTAACAAGTGCCAATGCATGGATGAAATGAAGGAGTATCAGAAACTGGAACAGTCAATTAACTTGGTAAGAGTATCTAGGAGACTTTCGTTGTCAGATAATATGCATCCAATGCGAGATGGTGTAGATGATTATCCTAAGTTCGAACACGGAATTTCCTGGCCCTTTTCGTTTGGAGCTTTCATCTATCAAAATAAGCACTTTCCCCTAGGTAACGGATCCAGTAATATGCCAACGCAAATAACTTCCTGAACATGCCTTAAACTTGCGTTATATCCTCCACGAAGCCTGCCGACCTCGATTGTCGAAATCTCCTAGCCGGGCTGCCTTATGTATTAAATAAGAAATTTTCAGTTAGCTAACAAACAAGCTCGCTTGTATGTTGTAAGCCTCCACCTCAAAGTGGTTAAACACCCTCCGGAATGGTATAGAGGATAAACTAGTCAAAAAGCGCACAAGCTTCAGTCAATATACCCTTTCACGGTCGACACAAACTCAATTTGTCTGGTTTGTCTCTCTGTTCACCCTTTCCGTGCGCTACACGACTGCGTCGGATTGGCTGAGCAGCAAAGTTTTGCTGTTTTGGCTATTGCAAAAGAATAAAAAATTGAGGATGCGTGTGCCCACTCCTAACCACAACTAAGGCAGCAACCAGGGTAACGACTTAGAAGTGATGTTCTGCCATAGTAAACTGAGCGACAGGCAAATTCTTGAGTCCTCTAGGATTTCTTTTGCTTCTCTTATTTATTAATATCTTTGCGTCCTGGTGTTTTGCAATTTTTTGGCAATTTTTTGCAGGCTGTGCTAAGCGAGGGGGTTTGTTGACTTTTCCTTGTTCCGACTGCTAGACGGCGAATTCGGAGTCCCAATGCAAAAAAGACCCGCAAAGCGAGGCCTCACTCGAGCCTAACAGAAATTTGTCTCTCTTCCTGGTATCGGGGTCCTGAAAGTGAAGTCGCCGCCGCCGTTGCGCGAGGCTAGAGGAAGCCAATCTACAGCCTTCTTTTCTGTCAACGCTTCAACTTTGCTGTCCCTATGCTCATTGCGTCACAACGACACTCGCCTACTGTCCGCAATAGATACTCTGTGAGCGCGAGCTTGTGTGTTGGTGTTGCGCAAGACTCGCATTAAGGAGTCCACTTACTCCTCCCATAACACTCTTTGTTCCCTCCTCGAAACTGAGACCCGCCTCCGGCCAGGGAACCTCTGGTCAATCTAGACATGACGCGTCTTCGAGAGCTACTCACGCAATTGCAACCTCTCGACCTCAATTATGGCCGACCTCTGGAGGCATTCACCGTGTTCCCCAAGCTACCACTTGAGCTCAAGAAGAAGATCTGGAAGTACTTGATAGATGAGCCGAGAATGATCAGACTGCATCAAGTGACATGGGAAGATGACAACCTGAGCAACCCTGTTATGATAAGTCAGCTTTATCCTCCCCGACATGTTTCTTGTTTCTTTTGCTCGGTGGGAGTGGCTAACTTTCATAATAGAAGGACTCCCCGTACCAGCTATACTCCACGTTTGTCGCCAAGCCAGGATCGAAGGACTCCCTCACTACGAGTTAATCCATCAAAACGGCTTGAATAAGGATGGTGAGGATGATCAACTTGAAGCAGCTCCAGCAAAAATGCTATACGTCAACTTCAAAGCGGACCAGTTCATCTTATACTCGGTTTCGAGCGATGTGGGGTTTATTGACAAGCTCAATTTCGACAAAACTGTTCTCAAGAAGATTCAACATCCAGCCGTCTACTGTTATGCTTGGAACCGCGGCATGTCAGATACTCAATCGGCGCTGCTTAGAGCAAGACTGTTGGCAAGCATATTCCACACCTACAAGGCGAAGGAGTTGACTGTGATTTATCACAGGGCATGGGCATTGTCAAGGATGGGAGATTCGCTCGCTAGACATCTGTTTCGTCGCACAGTTCTGGACAGTCTCCCCTCTCGATTTGAGATGCCTGCAGGAGAGAAATGGTGGTGGGGCTGTCCGCAGACGATCACAGACGACCTGAGCATGCCTCTCAATGTCTTGTGGGACGTTATCGACGATGATGATTTATCTCCATGGTACACGATGGGAGAAACTGCCGTGTCCCACGGGCAGTGATATTCGCTGGTAGGAAGTTTGAGAGTTAAGACGATATTGAGACAAGCTTCTTTTTGGGAGGGAAGTCACAAATGAAATCCTGAACTCGACAGCTGCAACTGCACTACGTGGCACATTTATGATGGGATGCATGGGATTATGCGTTTGAGTAGGGCGCAACCGATTTGAGGAGCGTTGAAGATGTTTTACGACGAACTCCCGTAGTGGAACGATAATCGAAAGCGTCAGAAGCAGCTTCAAGATTGATAAAAACGAGAAATTTGTTGCAGAAGCAAGGTTCATTTGAATTCAGAGAACCCCTTTCTACTCTCGGCAATTCTTTCCCTGTGGTTGTGAATGCATGACTTTGATTCGGAGAAACTTGAGTTCAACCACTTGGCTTTTTATTACAAACTTCCGGAGCAGAGACTCATGGCAGGCAAGTGTTGATTTCAAGGCTGCAGATGATGTACTAGTCAACATGGCTGTGGCCTCCTAACGGTCGGAATATGGCTCCCTATTTGGTCGGCAAGCTGATGCGCTTTTCTCCAATTTGGCCAAAATGGCACGCGACCCTTTCTCCGTAGCGTCACCACTTTAACCAGACGCATCAGAGTAATTCAGCCTTCGAGCCCCGCCGCCAAAACTCCTACACCTAAAATAGGTTCCTTTCTCAGTCACTTTATGATGCTTCCTTCGGCTGCGGGCCTCACTGCCCTTTGCGACCTCGGGAGCTATCCACGTCGTGACGCCAGTCTTTTCTTATGGGGCTGACGGAGAATTGAACGTGATGAATGTGGGAGAAAGAACTTGAGTGGCAACACTGAATATATGAGAGTGAAAATGGAAGGCAGCACCACGTTGGGAGCGTCCATTTAAGTTGTATGCATCACCTTCTTCCTCTCCCAATTTCCCGTATCCACCTCAACCCTCTCGCCTTTCCCTGCTCTCTTCTTCACACCAGCAACAATATCTATATCTTTCACTCCGTTACCGATTATCTCCCTTTCTGCTCTTTCGACTTCGTCCCCCAGTCTAGAAGAGCTTGCACAACTTGCACCTCGTCTCGACGAGTTTTTCTCCACGCCCCGGTTTTGCATATCTCACCGATCTTCCCCTCACCTGTACCTATGAAGGTGTGTTCGGCCTTTGCGATGGGTTCTTCGGTTCGAAAGGAATTCCAATGGAAGGGAAGATGAAGCTTGCGAAGAAGACATTCGTCAAGACCAATGCCAATACATGCCGAGGGTAATCTTCCTCTCACATTTTCAACCTGGCTCGACTGACCTGACTTCCAGATATTTCCCACCTCAAGTTGGTGATGACAATTTCAAAGAGTGATTTGAGCTTGGCAAGACCCCCAGTAAACCTCTGGCTCCTGTCCCAAGCGTGGAGTTCAACCTCGCAGAACCAAACGTCTTTCCTTCCTCCAAGCCGACCTCCAAGTTTGGCTGTGAGACCCTACACACCGAGCTTCAAGAACTCTCGGCCCGCCTTCTCCGCCTACTTGCCCTTTCCCTTGGGGAAAGCTTCTTCATTCTTTGATCACTATCCCACCGACTCGCTCAGCACTTTGAGACTGCTGCACTACCCACCGCCCCCCGCCTCTCGTCAACAAGAATTGATCTGTACACCCCGCACTGATTCCGATATTCTCACTCTTCTTCACCAAGATGAGACTGGTGGGCTCGAAGTTAGAGACAGCACCGGCGGATGGATCCCAGAACCTCATGTTCCTGACAGTGACGCCTGTCAATATTGGTGACTTGATGGCGAAGCTTAGTGGGAACAGATGGGTAGCCACTTTCCTCAGAGTCAGATCCTCGAAAAATTGGGTGCCGCACCAAAGGGGGGATACTTGGTTATATTCTTCTTTGAGCCCGGATTGAATTGTGTGGTGAAGAGTCTTGACGGTGGTAAGGTTGTCTATGGTGAGCATGTGCTGGAGAAGATGAAGGGATGGGTTGAGTTTAGGGATGTTGACGAAATACCTGGTATGATGAACGCTAAGAGAATGGAGGTGGAGGTGTATTGATTGAAGCACCCGGTCCAAGGCTCTAGAGACTTGACGATACCTCTTGGCGATCTCCTCTCGGAAGGCACAATTACTGTGCAACCTTTGAGGGTGCACGATCTCAAGTTGTGAGTTGCCCCTTGCGTTGCTCACCTAACGATGTGTTATCGATCGATGCGGTATCAATTCGCCCTTCATTTATAATCAAACGCGCGCTTGCTTGACTCGGTTTGTTTTTGCCAGATATTCATGCTCCTCATACCTGCCTCACCATATTTATGTGTTGTGGTGATGCGGTGATGCGGAAAAAGCTAGTTTGCCTTCCTCTGTAACCGTATTGCGTCGTGCGAGCACTGCGAACCTGGCCTTGTTTACCCTGGCCTTGGCTTTTGAAATGTGCTCGTTTCTATTTCATCAGTTTTCAAATTGCGATCCGTTGCAGGAGGCAACCTTTCCACCATGCTTGCCTCATTATACCTGGCAAGTGTGGCTGATGCGGTCAAAGGATCCTAACAAAACTGGAACAGTGCTTGAAGGAAAAAGGAAGGGACATCGAGTCAAGCTTCATGTTGCAAGGCCACCTCTTGAGCGTGCTTCTTTCTTGATCTGTAAAGTTGCCAGGGTGCTCAAATCACTGATACACGATATAACGTTCGACAGTAACTTCACATGCAAACAGAGTCAGCTCATGTCGCCAGGCTAATATTAGCTTCAAAGTTTTTCGGAGGCGCCCCTGAACCTTGTGATCCCGTGGGGGTTGTTCAATATGATGTGGTACAACCAGGGGTGGGGAGCAATCGTTCGAGCCAGTAACCTCGCTAAACTCTCAAATTAACCCCTCTGGTTGGCCAAGTTACGAAGAAGGCTGTGGCGCGATTGAGCCCGTTATCTGCAAGGCTACAAAGCTCCCAAGCCTACTTGGAGGGTCAATTGGAGAAAGTGCACCTTTCAAAGAGATCTTTCGGTCTCTCACTCAAGAAAACTCTTCACCTTATCGTGCAAAAGCAAAAGTCATGTAAGTAGACCATTTCGGAATGGAAAATCAAAAACAGCCCAGCTGACGACTTTCAAGCGTATGTTACGAAGCATTTGACCTCCACCTTGCTTCAATTTTACAACTCTGCTTCGATTCTACAGTCTTCGAAGCAGGAGGCAGGGAGATGGTGGGGGCATTCCAGAGCTATTTCCGATTTGTTTCAATTTACGATCGTAAATTAATGTTCGTGTGGCCAAGCTTATCGTTCGTGGGGTTGAGAGACTGTTTGCACGGGGCCAGAAACTCCAATCCCCTGCGCCGTCTGCGTGTGACATCGAGCCCGAGTATAAGGAAGAAGGCCTGACTCGGATTTTGACTTGGCTTACGGACTCTTTCGGCGCTTGCAAATGGTTCCGACGACTTGGAAAAAAACCCTTTAAAGGCGGGCCGCCTCAACCTTGTGTAACACAAAGCTGACTCGAGGTAAAAACCGCCTTTCTCGGATGATTGGCCAATCAGTACCTATGGAATCGTGTTCGGCCGGGAAAGACACATCACAATTTTGTCCAAGGGCTTTTGAAGGTGAGTGGTGGCCAGGGACAGCGGGGTTTCAGCCATTTCAGCCCTCTTGTTGTGGCGTTGCCCAAAAGGGGGTTACAAGAGGTCCGAGGGAGAACTTTGGCTGGCAAGCAGTGCAAACATGCCGGTAATTAAATACAAATTGACAAGCCTGTATCTGATCACCAGGGGAGCAAGATATTGGCGTCGCAGATAGAGTTCAAGAGGGCCCGGACTTTTTGCAAGTATGCATGATATTGGATGATCCTCCGCCCCCACCACGCCTGGATTCTCGTCACATTTCTTGCGCGATTTTGTCTCTCGTAGGCAAGCCACCGTTGCTTCTTCAAATTCCCAAACAATTTCCTCCGCTGAGTCCTTTTGGTCAAGGATCAGATGAGCCCGGTACAGTCGTGGGACTTCCAATGTGGCGTCCAAGCCAGCACTGGTGAATCTCTCGAAGTCGTTGGCACACACCGAGTCAAAGTCACCCATGCTTTGTGAATTATATGTCACGGTAGAGGAAGTCTTCTACCCCCCACACAGGTTTATATATCGCAGGTAGTCCTTTCATGTTTGCTGGAGTCCATTCTACAACGAGGTTGTGGAAGACTCATCAGTTTCCAAGTCCTTCATACTTTCCGAGGCGTCAAAATACGTCAGCAAGTTCCCTTGACCACTGATCAGCCACCGGTCACTATAGTCCTGCATTCCATTATCCATTACCATCCACTTCAATGAAGGAGCTGGATCGAGACTTGGAAAATCAACAAAGCCCCAGAAAATAGTAAGCCCCGCCATCTACAACTGTTCAGGCAGACTTATACTAATATTTTCCCTTTAGATATTCGACTTCAGGTTCTTCAGAATCTCATCCTGTGACTTTCAACCCACATCCAAAGTCTCTCTTACGGCAAATCCGGCAAGCACTTCTCCTATTGCTGCTGCCAGACTTCCTGAGATGGATGCCCAACTAGATCTAGCTCGTTCCGAAGCCGGCAGGTCCACCAATGCAGCCGAAAACGGCTCTGCTGCCACCAGTAGCGAGCGTCAACCAGCTCCAGAGCCTGGCAAGAAGACTCAAGCCGCACCTCAGCTGCATAAATGGGTCTATCAGACAGCTCAAGCGGACCTCACACTTGCGGAGAATTTGGAGAAGTCTAAGTGGGAAGAGGGGTTGCAAGTGTGCGGGGAAAAAACGGGGGAATAATTGTGTAGGGAACAAGTGCAGGATTAGAGGGCTTGGGACTGACTGATTGGCTTCTGGTTTCTGTTTTTTCAACATTTAATGTTAATTGTCCTTGGTTTATATGCAGAAGAAAAGGGGTCGTTCTGCTTTTGATCTTTCTAGATGGTGTCTATTCAGTGGAAGTTCTCTCCGATATGTTTATAAGAAGATTTTTGTTGCATTAGGGAATTGGGTCATTTAGGGATATATGGTGAAAAAGACGAATACGGTCTAGTCGTGAGGATTATACAAAAAGCACTAGAAAAATATATTTCCGTTGCGGACTTATCCAGAGTTATCTGTAGAAGCTAAAAATCCCTGGCTGTTCGAATTTTCATTTATGAGATAGCTCCTTGGAGATAGGTTTCAATTGACTTCTAGAGCACTGGCTCCCGAAGGCTACCTCGAAGTTTGAGAAAAAGGACCGGAGCCCTCTCCATAACTCTGAAATTAATCCGGATTGTTCTTTCATTGGTTAGGAACATTAGTTGAGATGCTTGACGTTCAGAAACACATGGGACAGCCATTCCACACCGAGTATGCAACAATCTGACTGACAAGAAACTTGATAGGCATTGCCGCTGACTTCTGTCGTACTCTGGATATCAGTCCAGAAAAATTTCGAGTTGGGGGGGGGGGACGATGCCTTCGGCTTGCAGCAGCCCCCTGTCTATCACCCTGCACGTCGTTAGAACAGGATTAGCGCCCAGTAATCTGGACTTCAGGATTGGCTATACACAAGGTGGCAGAGCAAAACAGGATTAGCGCGTGCCTTCTGACAGGCTGCCCATTGGGTACTCAATCACAGCCCCTGGTCCTCCCATATATGGTCATCCCGAGCAGCCGCACATTCTCTTCATTCGCAGGAAGTGATATCAGAATGAGAGAGTAATTGGGCAGACCTGAGTGCGGCGTCTTGAAGATGTTGTCTGCCTGGTTGTAAACCTGGTTCGGTTGGGTTCAGTCAGTGAAAGCTGGTGCACTTAAGGCCGGAGGCCCCCCACCAGCTCAATTTCCGTCCCCTCATCTCCTCTTCTCTGACAATTCCTTCTAACTTCAGATATTTCAACACTCGACCTCTGCTATTAATTAAGTTGTTCAACCAGTCAATTATACCTCTTTGAAAGTCTGTCAATCTCAAGATCTTCATCCATCTATGATGGCGAGGAGACATTTCAAGCCTCGAGCAATTGGTACGAAGAACAATAAGCGGTATTGAGCCCGTACGACTGTGAAACAGATATAACAACGCAACTGACACTTTCCAGCAACAAGTCATTGCGATCCACGGCTCATGTTGGCAATGACCGTCAGGCGGATCAGGGGCAAAGGCTAGAGCAAGCTTCGAAACCGATAAAAGCTGCCAACATTACAACCACTTGTCAAGAAAACGATCCAAAAGATCATCGAAAAATTGTCCTCGACGATAGGGCGAGCAGCGATTGGTCACAGAACCAATATCGAGCTTCTGCAACTGAAGGAAAGGAAGTTGATGCAGGAAAGCTGTCCAAAGTTGTCCCCTATCAGCTTCAGCAGTGGATGTTTGAGACTTCGAATCCAAACATCACCCTTGCTGAGAGGCTCGAGAAGTCTAAATGGAATTGTGGGGATGCAGTTACTGAGAAATGCTTGAATATGGAAGAAAGTTGTGGGAGTTGGGGACGGAAGCCATATGACTGGATTCTCTTTGATGAATAATGGGTGATACACGGAGTAGATGAAATCAAATACCATTCTTAAGCAATTTATAACTATTGATGTTCTATACGCCTCCTGAAACATTTCAGAAGTTCCTGTCTGCCTAGAAGGCCCCGAATGCACACTACGCCCAACGTCGGGCGGTCTGGGGACTTGCAAGGTGCATCAGTCCTCATTGTGAGGCCTAGCGATATTCTTATTCCTTCATTGCTTCTTAGATCGCACTATCTTGCTGTCCGACGACGCATTAAAAATCATGGTTATTGTTGAAGTTCAGGGCAAGCGAGAGGAAAAGGGGAGGCAGTGAGGAGGAGACACTAAACTCAAAGCGGGCAGCGGCTGCAAAATGACCAGGGTCGGCATTTTTGTCACGGAACTCCGAACTGCTTCAGTTCTCAACTTCCATTATTAATCAATCGAAGGGTAAGATTTGATTTGCAATCGAGTTCTGATCCACTGAGATAATGGCTCATTTTACGGCGGTGTTGTTGAGCCATCAATTGTATACATAAAACCAGCCACAGGTTTTCTGGGTTCTGGTTCAGCTCCGAGCACCATTTTCTCATTCAACGTCGCTCCACTCCTCATCGCCAGCTCGAGTTACAACACCCCAAAGACATCATTTTAAAACGGAAAACATGGTCCTCTTCCAAATCCTTCGCTTTGCCCTCCCCCAATCTTCCGCCATCTCCGCCCCCGCATTTCTCAAACTCCGCGAGTTCGTCAGGTCACATGGGCAAGCTGAAGATCAATACTTTGACCACATTTTATCGGATCCTCAATTGCGGAAACAGAGTGATGAGATGTGTTGGGTTATCCGTTAGCTCCCCCAAGACAATCTTGAACCCTCTGAGCCAAAACTGATTTCAATCGATTACAGAGTGGCCCAATGGCTCTGATCTCCGCACGAATGCTTCGTTCAGAAGCAAGTTGAACGAAGCCACTCAAGACAATTACACAAAATCTCTGCTGTTCGAGTACAATGAATCTCAAACGGCGGAATTGAAGAAGGGATTAGAAGCGCCTGTCACTGAATTTGTGTGTCCCTTCTTCTTACCACTCCTGGTACAATGGAAAAGCGGCTAACTTAAAGACTTGGGTAGGCAATCATTAATCTCTCGCCCACTGCACCTCTCCAGGATGCAGGCTTGCAACGTTCTATGCACAAAACGTACACTGATTGCTATTTCGCAGGAGGTTTCAGCGGAGGGAACTGGGCTTACAGCTTAAATACGAATGATGTCGATGAGCTCCTGAGGGAAAACACGGGTGAAAAGGCAATTCCGGCAGAAGGGAGGAGGTTGGCGGTATATCCTCTCGGATGGGAGAGCAAAGAAGTACGTCTCTTTTCCATCCCCCAGAATGATGGCTCTAACAGTTACTAGCATCACACGGCTTATTCTTGTTCTCCTCTTTTTGATGAGGAGATACTGAAGTTGGCACCTTGGTTTGGGCCGGGGACGGGAGCGTGGTGGGTGACTTTGGAAAAGCATAGAAACAACCAATTGCCAATTGCCAATCCCTCTAGCATCGAATTGCTTGGAGGTTGAATTTTAATGTCCAATCTCGTCAGTCCCTCACGCTTACTGCTCCATGGTGACAGCCAATCCCTTCCAAAACGCACACCGCCGCCTCTGATCCGCCGGAATTTTCTCCATAACCGTCCCGTTAGTCTGCAAGAGAATCCTCCTCCCCCCATCCTTCCCATGCCCAAAACTCTCCCAATGCGGCGCGCTGCCATCCTTATACCGATTCGGCGTCAGCTCCCTCACAAAGCTAATCCAATACGACATCACTATTGGAATTATCTCTGCATTATAAGTAGCATAACTTGAGAGGATGTTATTGTTCGCATATCCGAGACCGAAGATCGCGGGAGACTCAAAGGTGTGTGGGACACCAAGACCAGAGGCGACGTTATTGGCTTGCAGGACGTTGTATCGGTAGTTCCAGACTTTGGAGCCGGAGAGGGCATTGGCGAAGGTGTGGGTGATGAAGTTTCCGGGGCAGGTGAAGGTTGCCTCGCCATAGGCTGCCGAGGCGGATGGAAAGTAAGCGGCATGCTTTGGGAGTGGTGACACGAGGGGGTATTCTTTATTTATTGCATCTGTGTCTGCTGTTGTCAGGTGGGGATAATTGTTCTGCATGAAGGTTGCGACATCTGCTGGAGATGACGCGTTGACTGCGAAAATTGAACCTTCATCTGTGTCGTCTTGAAGAGGTCACTATCAGAACTGTTTTTAATAGCCAAAGGGAGGCGTTTGGCCTTACCTCCAAATATGATTGGGACTTTTACGAACTTCCCCTGTTCAATTAAGCGATAAGGATAGTCTTGAATGAAGTCGCCATCAATGGTTGGTGTCCAGTAAAAATTTGGTGCCGAGTTGCTGCCAGGATAAGGGCTCGGGATATTTGCAGCTTGCAAAACAATTGTATCTTTTGACCTCAGACATTGAAGTTGATCAGTTGTTCCAGAACATCCTGTCGCATTCGCATATCTCTCAAATTGCCATTCGAGTTCTGAAACTTGCGGCTGTGTTGGGAAGAAGACCGACTCGCCAATTCCACCGACGAACAAACCGTCGTCACGTCCACCGCTAATGTATATTAGAACAGCTGCCTAAGATTGGATTCAATCAGACTCACTATGCTGTAAGATGCAATGCCACTGAACCTGCACCGGCTGAAGCTCCATGGATTACCACATGCTCTGGATCGCCTCCGAACTATCAGGAAAGTCAGCCGCTAAGCTCATTTACAATTTGGGAGTCCCTACCTCTGAGATATACTTCTGAACCCATTGCAGAGCAAATCGTTCATCAAGCAGACCGGCATTCAAATTTCCATTACTTCTGACTTTCTCGCTGGCCAAGAATCCCCAAGCTCCAACCCGATAATTGAAATTAACAAAGACAATATTCTGGCCGGAATTCTGTACTACAGTGGAGCCATTATAATTCGCATTCGAGTTCGATATATAGCCTCCACCTTGGATATAGACCCACACAGGAAGGTTCGAGTCGGCAGTCGCTGAAGCAGGCCCCCATACATTGATAAAAAGACAATCCTCGGCCTGGGTCCTTGACGGAAGTTTGGTACTAATACTAAGGCAAATAGGTTGAAACTGTACGACCATTAGCGGGTAGCCAGCAAGGGCAAGAAATAGCCATTTACTGCTGTAGCATTTTGCAGGCTAGTGGTTGTTAGAGGCTCTGCGGGTGCCCTGAATCTCAAGTTACCGACTGGTGGGGAGGCATATCGCATCCCAAGATATTGGTTGACACCTGAATCTAGTCTTATGCCTTGGTATTTGGAGTACCCAAGGTCAACAACTGGCTGACCAGATGTGTCGAGTTGTGAAGCTGGCAAGCTATTAACATTATTAACTAGCAAAACTATGGACACAGCCCATTCAAGGAATATAACTGAGAGCATATCGAAGGGGAAAGTAGAAACGCGGGCGAAGTGCGAGTAGAGAGAAGACGCGAGAGTGAACATGAACCTCTTCCTGGTGTTCGGCTAATTGTGCCTTAAATAATCGTCCGGACTACCGGTTGTCGGCCATGACGGACGAAACTTCTCGGTGTAGTACTACACGAGAGGAACAAATTCGCTCCAATGATTGTAAGTGGGAATGCGGTTCTTTTATCTGCGCCTGCAGTAGAGCCTCTCTCATCCTTTATTTGACAACACTGGTGACATAGCGGGGTAAAGTTGGACTTAGCTCAACGAACTTTTGCGCGGGGTACCCGTTCGTACCTTCCACTAGTTCCACTGGTGGTTCGTGAAAGCGACCTGGCCAAGTATTTCACATAGTAATTTGTGTAGGAGGTACTTCTAGCTAGCGGGTCTGTGCTGGTCTGCTACAAATTTAGCGAGGAACACCAATTTTGGGGGGTTGGCCAGGTCGCTAGTGTGGCCAGGTCGCTTTCACGAACCACCAGTGGAAACTAGTGGAAGGTACGAACGGGTATGTCGATCATTTTCCGTGTGAGGACAGGGACTTATGGGAAGAGGAAGGGAAGAGAAATGATAACACCAGTAATACAAAGAGCATCTCTTGTAAGAAGATGAGCGCATTACATCTCCTATAAGCTTGAACGGAGCTGTCTGCGGCACAATGGCGCAGGGAGATCGGGTATTCGGCATCGAGCCTGGATCTTTAGATTTGTTGACGCAATTTGCCGAAGCGAATGAGAAATGTTTGGGTAATTGGCATGAGACTGAAGAGTTCTGTGGTAATTATTCCTGAATTCAGGAGGTTGGGGGAAGGAGGTCCGATTCTTAGACCCACTTTTTTTTTTTAGCACGTCTTCCAATCCTACAGTAACTTAACGCAGCCCCACGTTTTCTTCCTTCAATATCATCAACGACATCGACACCAGCGTTACGGTCTTATTCAACATCAATCCGGATGGGAACATCACATACCTTTCGCAGATATTCAGACTGATATGGCTATCAGCTGGATCGTCAATGTCGTGTCTCTCGTGCGAGTTCCGTTTGGAGGATGCTTAATTCGACGGCAGATTTTCCGGCCCATTAAAGATAAATCGACCGATACGCTCCCTGGCCTTTTTCTTCCACAACAGCTGGGCGAAATGGTGATGGTGTCTGTTGGCTGCCTCATTGCCATGGCCATTGATTCACCCTGGATCTCCTCTGATGATCGGCGGCAGCTCGGCTGATTGATACAACTTGGATTGCGAATTTAAATTTGGAGTCCGCCGAAGCCACCGGCCACACTGGCGGGTCGAAACAAAGAGGCGCGGATAAGGCAACGGTTTCTCCTGTCGTCACGCTGTCAGCGGACCCGAGCACGCGGATATGTTGTTTGCATTTGGCAGCGCCATCGGCCCAATAAATTTTCCCAAAACGTGGATCACCCACATCGAAATCCAGAACCGTCAGTCCAGTCACGCAAAGGCAGACTTCTCCTTTAGCTCAGAAAAAAAAGCATCAGACACGGTTCTCCATAATGTCCATTCCCTCCCGGAGCAAATACAATCAGAAACGTCAGACTGACAGTGTATCGTTCATTAGCAGGCGGGCCAGTCGAGTGACTGCAGTGTGCTGAGCTTTTGATATCAAACTTGCAGTGTCTCTGAAGATCCCATGTTGGTTCGCACAAGGCTGGACAATGGCCTCCTGGATTTTGTTGAAGAAAACAGAAATGGGGAGGAGGGGGACGTGATTCTACCGGTTCTGGTGGTTCGCATTTTAGCGAACCCACACAGGCTCATTGCCTTGTTCAACCGAGGGAGCGCCTTGGGACTTGATTTTTGATGTCACGCGGGGGCTCGAGTGTGGGATCGCGGGCAAAATCCCAAGAAAAAAGAAGGGGGAATGGGAGTTCAGCCCTCAAAGTGGTTCGCCCAAAAAGCGCACCCGTCCTGGTGCCGATGCCTCAATCCAACCGAGAGGCAGCCATGCAAGGCTGATAAACAGCCTCGCTTCTCGAGTGAGAAACTACCAGCAAAGTGTGGGATGTGCCTTCAGTTACAACGTGTTTTTGCATTTTCCCCGTTTCCGAACTGGACGCCTTGTACCATTTCGGCACATATGCTGCATACGTGGAGTTATGTTATCTCATCACCAACTGACACCGAGAATGCCGCTCCTGCAAAGATATAAAGGATCGACCTTCCTCCCTTCTATTTTCCCTGGCCTTCTGTGTTGCCAATCGAGTCCGCAAATGAATAACCCATTTTGCCATAGTTTGTGATCTTCAAATTCCACCTACCCCATCCCCCGAGTATATTTAACGGAGTACGCCGGTCCGTCACCAACCTGGCACACACCAGTGGAACCACCAAGCCCACCACAATGCCTAAATGCAAGATCGATCCCAAGAAAATTTCCAAGAAGTCTAAAAAAGGGTCAGGAATGATAATTGTTGTTGGTTTCGTCTTACGCAAACTGATTCGTCTAAATGCAGTGCCTCTTCGATTTCTATTATCTTGACCCAGCCTGCCGACAACTTTGTGGCACATGATGCTCAACAATACCCACTTGAGATCCCTCGAGACAATGATTCGTATCGAATGCACGAAGAAACCCACCCAAAAGATTTGCGTCTTCCTGATGTCGCCGAAGCCAGACTAACCATTTCGGGATCTGGGCTCACAGATGAGCTTCCGTACCTTCATTACGCAGTTCACTCCAAGAAAGAGGCCACGAGCACGATTGCCAACTTTCAACAGGGATTTGACAACGAGTTGTGGCAGCTTCTCCTTCCTCCGTCCGTGGTTTCCCAAATCGAAGATACTCATTTGCTTAGCGATCGATTCAACGATGGAACTTCCGTTGCCAACCAATCTCTACTTCAGCGGTGGGTCTACGAAACCTCCAACGCGAATATCACATTCGCCGAGAGATTGGAAAAGACGAATTGGGAAGGGTCAAGAATGGAGAGATTGTAATATGGTGAGATCTAAATACCTTGAATCCTCCCAGAAACAACTAATGATTGATATCCCAGGGGGTTTAAAAGTTTGCTTACCCTGCTGTTTATGCACCTTTGATGGATCATTGCTCCTCAAGTCAGACGCCCATGACAAGGAGGCTATGCTTAGTGTACAGTATCTCAAGTGAGACGTTCAATGGGTTTAAAATGCATCCTTTCAAAGTTGCTCTTAATTTGCTCCTCGCAGATTAATCTCATGCATGCTTTGATTGGACCCGTGCTTGTTTCTGAGCGTATGGCTTTACTGACATCTTTGAACTTGAGTTGGTCAAGGAATCCAATGGCCCCCCAAAATTTACTAAAAGTTGTCGATAGAGATGTATATAACCAACGATAATGAACCGAGCAGAAATAGCACCGAGTCATCTTCATAGGTGCTGGCAGGTATTCACTGCGCATTCTGCCAGGGATGCTTCGCATGCGAGAATGACTCACGACTTAAGAACCAGTGGGATATAATTTGGCCCCCACTCGGGCCTCACTCGGGACGATTCACCTGGACGGGTCCTGCGGTGCAGCTTCGGGAAATCCCGAAATTTATGCTCGGGCCGAAGGTGGGGCCAACTTGTCTCAAGATTCAAAGCATTGCTACCGGTAGTGTGTAGGATGAAAAGAAAACCCCCCCTGCCTGCAATGTGTTTCCAGCACATTCGCCCCACAAAGCCTTGAATTCCAGCTGTCTTATTCGTTAGTACCCCTTGTTACGGCGTCTGTGGATCCAGACAGGACATGGGATCTTTTTTTTTACCCAAGTCGCCAAGTAGCAAGCAATATTGGCAGTCCATGCGGGACAGCATGTCAACGACGGCCGACGCTTATGGCGGTTGTTGATGCAATTAGTTCAGTTCTGTCAACCACAAAGTAAGTATTGAACTCTCCGTGCGGCATTCTCCGTTGAAGATCACCGTCATGTATTCGCCATCCCGGAATTCCAGTCATTGAGGACGCACAATACAGATCCTAGGCCCCGGCCTTGTGAACGAAGCATTCCCTCCTCACCTTGTTTGCAAGGTTGACTTCTTTGCAATGGAAATGAATATACGTTTCCAGGTGATTCCTAATTTTTAGATTCAATACCGACAACAATCGCTCCATTCTATTTTGAGGAGCCTGCATGGCATTGCCAACCCGCTTCGTAAATTGGAGCTCCACAGACGACCGATAACCGGCTCCCCTGACTTAGTCTGGGGAATACAAGTAGCCCAGTTCGCGGGGTGATCCAGCACCTATGCAGTGGTTGGTGGACGGCTGCAAAGATCGATCAGTGGCTGGCGCTAGTTCCAATCTTCTGGGTATGGTGCATTAGTGCAAGCTGAGATCGTGTCGTGGGGGAGAGATTTCAGTCACCAAGCTCGGGAATACAACGTATCAGATCCACGTCCTATCCACATCCTATCCGCGGTATTGACGATTATTGGCTTTTCCGGGAACATATTTCTTGCTTGTTGTATATGCCTCAATGCCCTTTCATCAATCGAATCGATCAGTGCGGTTCAAATTTGTCATCCGGGCCAGGCCGAATATGCCCACACCTCTTCATTCCTGCAGCCGTTTGCAAAGGCCACGTAAGCACTCTTCTCATGCACGGCTTTGATCAATTTCTTTCAGTCGCAGTTAAATCACCATTTTTGGCCAATTCCAGCACCATGGCATAAAAGCAGACGGTCCCATGTCTCGAGTTCCCCTTTAGTTTCATGCGTCGCATACTGTAGGGATCAACCTAGAGCAAGCTCAGAGGAGGATTGACTTGGGTGGTCTGACCTACGGCTCCCGCGGATTCTGGGATCAGGAGTCGGGTTATCCATGTGGTTGGGAAAGGTGGAGGTGTGTCACCATCCGTGCCTGACGCCTGTGCAGCATCGTGGCCCGGGCTTGAACTTGAAGACAAACGAAAAGGCTTGCAATGGCTTTTTCGGAAGGAAACGCTTAAACGCAACCCTTTACCGCCCGAAGCCGTCGATCACCAAATCGGACCGCACTGACCACAAATGTTCGCTTCAGTCCAGGAGCACTGCAGGAGGTTTCTTCATGATCCCGGCCTGCACGGCTATACAGGCTCTGAACAATCACTTGAACACGGGAGGTAGTCGGGCTCCCCTACGGCGGAATCAAGACTTGAAGGCCCAAGTTCTAACATAACTCAAACATACAGACTAATGGTGGCTGGGTATATGAAAGCGTTCTGGCTGTTAACGTGTTTGGTGTCCGTGTGTGAACTGCCCCCCTTGTTTCTCTCCTATCAGACCTTTAGCTCCGGAAGACTGAATCAAGAACACCTAAACCCCTATAACGTATAAATGCCACCGCAGTTCCTCGATTAATTCCAACTCACTCTCAAAATCCTCGTACATCCTTCCCTCGGAGCTTGGCAAGCCTCTTTTCAAATCACTTTCAAAGTATCTTTTGCGAACCTATTGCAACTCAGCGCCAGCAAACCTCCACCTTCCAGTCATGGGAAAGGCGATTTTCCAACCAAAGAAAACGTCAAAGAAATCGAAGAATAGGTAATATGTCTATACTCACCGCTTTCACGAATATTGTTGACAAAGCCATTTCCAGAGTCACTTCGAAGAGCTCTAAGGCCAAGGGGACCCCACTAATTCCTGAAGAATCTCCCAAGAGAAACTCCTCCATGGCGACTCCCGCATCCACCAATCCTCCAAGCTTCAGCAACAAGATGTATGATCCATACACCCATGAGCCAAGCCCCGTATCTGGGTCATACTCTCAAGCCGCACTCCAGCACACGACTACCATTCTAGCTCCGCATCACCAAATCAACGCTTATCCAAACTTTCAAAACACAAACTATGCTTCCACACCCTATGCCGCCAGTGGCAACTACACATCATCGAACACGTACCATCTGCAGACCGCTCAAGCACAAGTGTCCGACTCCTGCCCTGCCGAACGGCTTTCTACAACAGATGTCTTCTACACTTACGAAGAATCGTACAAGAACTCGTCCACGATGTTGGAATATTCCTCCGAGGCTGGGGATCCTGCAGACCAATATCAGCCACAGAGCCCTCAGCTCCAGACATGGGCGGAGGAAACGTCGAATACGAACTTGCCTGTCAATGAGAGACTGGTTAGGTCTAACTGGGAATAGAGCCAATCTCAATTGTGAGGTAATGTGAGTCTACTCCATGTATGGCACTATGCTGGCATCTTGCGTGGAGAGGGTACTAAGCGATCGGACATTTCTGGGTTTGCGTTAAACTTAAAAGGGATTATCAATGATGTACTAATAGAGTATTTGGATTCCGTGTGCTTCCAATAGCTCAATCAGTATCATGCTGATAACGGAGAGTAATCAGCAAGTGATATAATTTCAAGCTGCGAGTGCATTTCCCATCACCGCTGCATCCCATAGCGCCGAGCACGGACGGCCATGCAACTCTTCAAGATACGAAAACTCTTTCATATCCGTCTTTATCCTACCCCATTCTCATAGCTGCAACGCGTCGGCAACCTTGGATATTCTGACCCCGAACCAGGCCTTGTGCGCCGCCCCGACATCTATGATGCCACCAACAAACAACAATCACTTCACGAGTACACCAATCATCCCATCGGTTGCAAAGCAATTGAGGTTGACGCCATCAATGCACGACTTGAGCTTCTCGGCAAGAATTTTGCAGACCCGATCGTGGACAGGATAGCCTAGGGGGGGGTCTTATTGTAGATTAACGCACTGGGCGAGGTGGTCGTGGGCTCGTCTGTATGTGAATGTGGGGTTTGTGTTGAGATCGATAAAAAGGTATGTGGACTTTTGAAGGTTAAAGAAGATGCCGCTGAAGTCCGAGCCAGAGTGGAGGTATTGAGTTCTCGACGGGGGGCTCAGTTGTGGGATGAGAGACAGGGGTGTCGAAGAACGGAACTCGTGGAGGCAAATCGACTTCGAGGCTGCCAAGAAAATCAACCCGAGTCCCGTCAACAAATGAATAGTAGAATGTCGAGATTTGTGTAGTTGAAGTAAGCACGTTTGGAGAATCGTTTCGGGTTAGGTTGCTTTCCCTTTTTCTCTGAAATGGCTAGCTTTGTCTGCAACAAGCTTCCAACTGCGTTGGACTTAACCATCTCCCCATGAGGACTGCTCAGACTTGAACGAGTGAACGAATTGCAAGTTCAATGGCTAATAAGCGGGATGGCATTGGGTAAAGGCAGGCTGTTCATTATAAGCCCCTCCATTCCTGTTTTCTTTCTCTACATCTCGCTTCGTCAAATTTGCTTTCTCGTGTCTCTTCGTCATATTTACTGGTATAACCACCATTCTTCGAGATGTGTTCGAGCGGGAAAGTCAGTTTTAGCACCGGCGTTATCACAGCACGCGACATACAGAAGGGGCGTCTTGCTGTTGTCGATATCAGAGCTGCTGTTCCTGATGGCAAGATCACTGTTTTTGCAGGTGGACCTTGCTTCTCTGAGATCAGTTCAAAATGCTGCCAAGAAATATCTCGGCTCGTCGTCACGTCTCGATATTCTATTTAACAATACAGGGGTCATAGCCGCCCCTGCGGGATGGACGGAAGATGGATACGAAATTCTCATGTATTGGCACCGTGGTTGGTTTCGACCGCCAGCTTGGTGGTGCTAGCTACTGTTCAGCACAGTGGCTTGAATAAGCTGTGGGCAGCGGCGAGCAAGGACTTTCAAATTGGGGAGTTTGATGTTCCTGTTGGCAAGAAGGCTGGGTCAAAACTTCCTAATGACACGGAGTTGGCGAAGAAGCTGTGGGATTGGACCGCAAAGGAGCTTCACTCGTGTAATCTGTGAACGTGGACTGGATGGAACGAGGATGATGGCACTTCAGAAACTTCACGACACAAATTACATGCTTGGTGACGATACCAGCTACATTGGCGAGGTCAGAAGCTAGAAGCCATCGCCGTGAATATGATGTAAGTGGTCACCGCCGAATGTAGTAAAGAATGCTACTACACTGAGGGCAATATATAGGTGCAAAACGATATCATTAATGGTTGGCTAGGCCTAATTAAGTAAAGTACAGGCAGAGTGAAGAAGGAAAGAGGAGAGGTGAGGGTACAACGCCTCGCTCTTATAGCCAGTGGCTCCAGCGATGTGTGTGTTCCAGTGTACGTGTTCCTCAGTACATGACGATATAAATGACGATATTAATAAGCTAATAAGCTCTCGCGAGTGACGCATGATAAATGAGAATGTAGAAAACTAATTAGTACTTGAACCTGGTGCTGGAAGGAATGGTAAACTGGTTAAGCTAGTGTGCCGCCAATTCAACAAATACCTTGGCCTCCAGAATACGAGTAAAGAGAAGCCCGCTGTCGCTGAAACAAGAGTCACTGACCCCCCTTTTAAGCGAGTTAACGATTACCGCCTTCTGATGTTCCGGACGCCGCGACAGTTACAGAGCTCCCTTTATAATACCAATTTCCGATAGCAGGCCACAATACCCTGAATGTAGATAGTGGAGTGGATCTTTGCTCGGACTAAAGTGATTATGGACTAGTGTTCTATCCTTAATCAACTCCTGTTGGGCTCTGGTTGTTCTTGATACAACGGCGCCAATTGCAAGGTAATCCATGCCAAGTCGATGGGGGGTAGCGCTGAAGTCGGAAGTGAAGTTTGTGACAGTCACTGCAATTTCCGGCCAAATCAGGAGGCAGCTCTCGGAAGGGTGTTGTTCACAGCCACTGCAAAACCGGTGAAGGTTGTTGGTGGCGTTTAGGGCAAGGACCTAGCCTTACCAGTGGGTCGGGCCACCCACCTAGCCCCCAACTTTACGAGGGAGCCTTGGTTCCCGTGCGGAATTGCTAATAGTATTTTGATTGCTTCTTGCTCGCTCTGATTCCGGGAATGGAGCACTGAGCTGCTTCGAATGTGATAGGAAATGATGGAATGTGACGGATGTAAGGTTCGCGGAAATCTGCAAAGCTCACACGTTCACCCCACTTCGTCTGTGGCCTCTCAGGGAAACACCTTCACTTCGGAACCTGGACAACTCAGCGACGGGCTTAACAATACCTCTACTATAGGCAGTCTGTTCTTTCTCTCCCTCTCTCCGTGTGCTCAGTGCGCCATGTTCTCGAAACCCATACGGTTGTGAGATGGTGTGATATGGGCTCTTCTCTCGGCTCCTTCCTTTTCTGGAAATGGATCCCCATCCTGCGTGGTTTGCGTAAGGAAGGCGGGATCTTCTCGGGGAGCGGGTGCGTCTAGAGTTGCGTCTGGAAACGGTTTCAGTGGAGAACCCGTGGCTGGAGTCCTCCTGCCCCCCATGGGCTTACACCGCTGCGCGCACCCTGCCTTCGGAAGCACGGTATCTCGTTCCATGGGGACTATTCCGGCCTTCCCTGCTCCGCAGCAGCCAATGTTCACGTCTCAACTCGTCCATCTCAGCTTGTTTTCCAGAAGGCTTGACTCGAGCACGCGGAGGGAATCCCAACATCAGAAAGAAGGGGGTTTGGTGTGCCGGTAGGTTGGGTTGATTCGGTTCGACGCGGATAAGAGCGCTTGCTTCCCCATTCAGTCTTCCTGCAGCCCCATCTCGCCACGTGTGCATTGATCTTCTGCGAGCCACAGTGTCAATGGGAAGCCTGCCGAGAGGCCCCGGGTAGGAAAGATCCTGTTCCCCGGGGCGGGATTATGTGGTTGTGCCCCAGCACACACCCCACGGGACGTGAATTCGCAAGTGACTACAGTATGTAGAGTTGATGGGACCAACCCCCTTGCCTAACCGAGATCAACGGTCGAAGTCGGCAGTGCGTGTGCATGCTGAAGGAGGGAAAAAGAAAAGATACCGATTAATTTGCACATGGGTAGTAAATATCCTTGAATGTAATGTCTGGTAGTCCAGTCCGGGATGGCCATGACAAAAAGACGCAAATGACAGAAATGAGCTGCAATTTTCGCAAGTCCTCGCTGAGATCGACTGAAAAGGAAAGGATGTGCCGGCTTTCATGTCAAGTCAACGGTATGGGACCCTTGTCCAAGGGAGATATAGTAGCTTTTTAAGATACTCGGCTTTGAAGAAGGCTGTCGCTCAACATTAAATTTGAGAGGCGGTGTCAAGCCCAAGTTCTAAGACCCAAAAATCAGAGTCCCAAATGCGTCGCTCATCAGCTGAATGGTATTCTTTCTTTATCGGCGCATTTTCCTTCACCCCTGATTAGTTGTCCAACTGAGTTACGGGACGAGAAGAAAAACTAGCTAGTTCTAGGCAAGTACATAACACCCACCCTTTCCCCAGCTCTCCCTCAACCCAGTATCTGTCACTTTCCAGATACCTCTAATCTTCTAACTTGGGTCCGTTTCGCCTCAACTCTTTGGACTTCCCCTGTTGGTCAGATGGCGGGCTCAGATGACAAACTTCAAGCAAGTCCCAGTAAGTCGGACAAGAGGTATGAAATCTAGCGTAGCCATTCCCATTAGATGGACACTTCCTAACATGCCATGCAGTGCTATTTCAAAGACGGCTCCAGAGCCAATAAACGCACCCACTGGAGACAACAGCTCACCCTCCACATCGAATGCACCAGCTCTCCACTGTAGCCTCGCCCCAAATAACAAGAATGGCTACAGCAAGACCACTGACTCTGCTGCACACGATTCCCGATCTGACATGCACTCGCTTGCTCTATCCGAAGACCCCCATGAAGTTGCTCCTGCCGACGAGCAAAACCAACACCAGCTCCAACGGTGGGTTTACGAAAATCGTGACTCCGTCGTCCCTGTATCCGAAAGATTCCAGAGGCCTGGCTAGGAGAATAGGGAGGGACAGACTTGAGGCATACGAAGAGCTGAGGGTTGAGTCACTTGACAAAACCTCCCCTCGGCTAATCTGCCGTAATGCCTCAACAAGATCTGAGAACTTCAAAAAAGGGGGGATTTATTGCCCGAGTTGATGGATATAATGGATTTATGCATTCCGGCCAGGCCAAAGCACAATCACTTCCGTTTCACTAGATAGGTGGTCTTGTACCGCACTTATCTAAAGAAGGGCAACAAAAAGTTGTCATGTATGGCAAAAAATAAACTGTGTGGCTGGGGGTTCTGCGTAACAAGTTTGGAAAGTGTGAAGATAGAACTCACTCAAAATTCCCAACTTCGTAGAACCGAATTCGATGAGAACATGCAACCTTTCAATGACAAATCCAGGCATAAATTTCCCCCCTCAAGCAATCCTCCTCTCTTCCCTAATATCCTCCCTACACCCCACCTCCCTCAACTCCAAGATATCGTCCGCTTCCCTCGCACCTCTCCCTTAACCTTCCTTCTCCAAGAAACAAAAATTCCAACAGCAAGAATCACAATGACCAGCACCATAACCCCCCCAATAACACTACCAGCCACAAACTCTTTGTATTTCTACTGCGGCACATACGACCCCGCCTCGACTCCATCACTCTTGCTGCAGTGCGTTTCCCGCTCCACCTCCCCCTTCGCAGTCGCCGCCGAGCCTGCAATCGATCTCGTAAAGGCTACCCCTGCGGAAAGAGAAGTCGAATACAACGTCTGCGTTTCCTGGAGCGTGAACCCCCCCGGTCTCAGTAGTCTTGACTGATACGCGGGATCCGGGTAGCGTAAGTGATATCCGCGTCGTCTCCTAACCAGCGTGGTAAGTGTCCGATGGTGGTTTGACCGTGGTACGTTATGTGGACGTAGAAGGGCTCTTCGTGGCATGTTGATTGGCAGTGGAGGATTGAATAACTTGCTTCGGGCCCTACACGGGGCGTTGCATAGTGGGGGAGGTCCGATCCGCTAGCTGGAGTTAATTATTCTGCTATTAAATGGGAAGGGAGGAAGTAGTGACTGAGATGCTTTTTACCATCGTATTGCGCTGGGATTGGCAAGGCAGTCGGCGTAACACTCTTGCAAGGCACGATAGGGTACGCATGATGGATGTAGTTAATCGAAGTTGGGTTTTCCGCAACCGAGTACTTTTAGATGAGAGTTCCAAAGACAGGTCTTGTGGCTCGCGCAGGTATATGGATTATCTGGATTATGTTCAGCACAGGAGTAATACGAGAGTCCGAGAAACCTTTCTCACATGATTCGAATTGAACATAGCCGCAAATATGAGGAGGCTCGTAAGTCGAAGGAGTCTCGATGTGGGTTGCGCGAGTCGCGAGACGGCGCTGCTGTATCCAATGACGCCGCTGTAGCATGAGAGTGCCTAGTCCTAGCCGTCGACGACGGTCCCGTCCATTTTATAGCAACTACGAGTGCTAAATGCAGGTACCAGAGTAGGATGCCGTGAGGCCGCTCGGCGATGACATTTGGGCGACAGCGAGGTCCCTACAGTGTTTACAAAGCTGGGGTAGGCCCAACAGATAAAAGAAAAGGGATTAAGGGATAGAAGCACAACAACCACGAAGTGTCACTGGGTAACGTGATACATCCCAACCCTTCGGTCGTGGCGCATTGACGCCAAAACGGGGGCTTGAGAGAATGCAGGACATCAAAAGTTCGATGTAAAGGTGCGCTGGGGTGGGCGAAGTCTAAACCATAGCAAGCTGACATGCAAAAGCAATTTTTACTAGAGCTCATGTATCCTTGATCTCAACGGAACCAGCTCCGTGATCCCGGGATCCCGACAGCCCGGGCCTTGTGTGATGTGAAATCGTGAGGAATGTAGATCATTGGTACCAGGCGAACTCCGAGGACAATTACAGAAGCCCTCATATCATCGACTATCGATTTGACTGGTCAATTTCTGATAAAGAAGCAAAAAAGAATGAATGAAAGGTTCTGTAAAGACAACGGCAAATTCCACCGACGTCTATTTTTTCCCCCATGACGCTCTCCAAACCAGGTTTAGCCGATTGAATATCTGGAATCGAAATTTTCCACTCCACAAACGCCAGCGCCTGCAATGCCAGGAAATGGATGCGAGTATCATGATGGTGCAGCAGCAGCATCTGATTCCTCTATTGGGACGTCAGCTAATGCCGCCGCTGAGCCAGTGGCGTGAAATCCATCCAAAGTCACAGTGACAGCTCCGGCTTGAACAAGCTGTTTGGATATTAGTTAGGCTGAGGGGTCAATGAATCTCGAACAAGGCACTTACTGCTCTGCTTAAATCGTCAATCAAATCATCTGGGTCCTCGATGCCAACACATAGTCTGATTATATCTTCTGGCATCTTGCGTTCCTTCCTCGTCTTCGCATCGATGCTCGCGTGACTCATCTGGCATGGCATGCTGATCAAGCTGTTGACACATCCAAAGCTCACACTAATACCCCATAGTCGAGCAGCCTCGACGATTCTCTCGGATAAAGTAACATCCCCAGTCTCGAAGGACAAGACAGCTCCTGCTCCTCTTGCCATGGACCAATGGAGATCATACTGAGGGTGGGATTTCAATCCAGGGTATCGAACTCGGAAACCGTGTGCTTCAAGGAACTCTGCAATTCTCTGTGCATTCGATTGCTGTTTCTCCATACGGATTGCCAGAGTTTTGATACCTCTCATGAGCAGAAACGCGTCATTGGGCGCCAATCCACAACCAGTCGAATTGATGGTGAAATACATCTTGTCTCCGATCGCTGGGTCATTGAACGCTAAGACTCCAGCCATGATATCGTGGTGTCCTGAAAGATACTTCGTTCCGGACTCGTAGACGATATCCGCGCCGAGATCGAGGGGGTTCGATAGCAAGGGAGAGAGCATGGTGTTGTCAACCACTACTAAAGCCGTCGGGTTCATCTTATGCACAATCTTCGCAATCGAAGGGATATCTACAATCTTGATCAGGGGGTTTGTTGGAGTCTCCAATAGCACCATAGCCGTCTTCGCTGAGACAACTTCCTGCACCCGCTGCGGAATCGTGGTATCGACATGGTGGACGATGATTCCGTGATTGGTGGCCATATACGTCAACAGCCTGTTTGTTCCTCCGTACAGGTCATCACCGGTAATAACCTCATCTCCTGGTCGCAAAATTCGCGTAATAACATCCAAAGCACCCATTCCTGAACCAACAACCAGTGCTCTCGAGGCGTTCATGATCTTCGCAAGATGTCTCTCCAAGTGTGTCCGAGTTGGGTTTCCTGACCGAGTGTAATCGTACTCCGAGCCTCCCGAAGCAGAGCTCTGCTTGAAGGTCGCCGATTGATAGATTGGCATGCTTGAAGCTCCATATTGATCCTTGCTCTCTGTATACACCAACTCCGTGGCCAAGGCGTATTTTCGACCATTTCGAGGACTCGAAGGTGCCGGAGAGGGCGGCAGATCATGACCATCCAGGTCGATATGAGGAAATGCTTTGCCTACGGCTCCATTGAGCTTGCTCTCTCCAAACCCTTCTGATGGCCGTGGCGGTGTAGACATTTTTCTCTGTCCGAATATCGGTGGGACCGTGGTGGCAGTGGGGTTGTCGTGGGTGATGCTGTCCGTCTTCTTCAGGTCTCGAATGCGACTGAGGTTGAGCTCAATCGATGCTACCAATTGCTCCACGGGGATTTCCCTCTTATGTACCACCAAAAATGATTGTGGAAGGTTGAAGTTGAGTTTGTGCCTGGGAGTCACCAATAGCGGTTTCGTGGGGTAAAACAGCTGCCGGGATCGCGGTGGCGTGCTCTTTTCGCTGTCGTCTGAAATGACGTGCTCAGACCCGCGGAGCCAATACCACACCAGGGGCTGTGGCACGCAAGAAAAGAGAACAGTGGAACTGTTTACTCTTTACGTGGAAAAGGGTGAGTGAATCTAGAAAGGGAAAGAGGTTTGCCATGGACAAACTACCAATATTCATGAGAAGAGATGAAAGTCTTCTATCCTTATTTACCCTCACACGAGCTCTGTGCTCCAGCAACTCCATCGTTATCTGCCGCAGTTCTATTTGAAACCCGAGAAACGCCCCCGCCATATGCTACACAACTACACAACTATCCAAGTATTACAGTACCCAACAAGTTTCCAGGCTCAATCCATTGATTCCGCTGCATCATTATCGTCGAAGTCTTCGTACTCATCGCTTGAGCCCTCAACCTTCTTCTCGGCCCGCTTGGCTGATTGCTGGGCATGATTATCCTTGATAATCTGTCCACCCCCCTTCCGCCCGAAGAAGTCCTCTGTCCTGACGCCCCTTATGGAATTGGCATCCGCTCTAACTCCAGCCATAGTAGCACCCTGCTCTCTCTGCTCTCTCATGAACTCCCGTACTGGCACCATAGCTGCATCTCTGCATGCTTCTTTGATATCACTGCCTGACATGCCGGCCATTACCCGAGTCAAGTATTCGATATCAAATTTGTTAGGATCGATCTTGGTGTCTTTCAGAATGAGCTTCAAAATCCGCCGTCTCTGTGAGTTCGAGGGTAAAGAAACCGGGAATTTTTTCGGCATTCTTCGTAAAATGGCCTCGTCTATATCTTGTATTCGATTTGTTGCACCAAGAATCATGATTCGAGCAGGAACACCTGCCTCGTTTGCAGACGTCAGACCATCCCACAGAGTCATAAATCTTGAAGATGTTAGTAGCAAAGATGTGGACAAATATGAATACTCACTCTGCCTTGACCATACCGCTTGCCTCGTGCTCTCCGCTTCGTCTTTGCCCAAGAACAGCATCTATTTCATCGATGAAAACAATCGTCGGTTGTAATTTTCTGGCCAGAGAAAACACAGCTCGTACGAGTTTGTTCGAGTCTCCATACCACTTCTCTGTCAGGGTCGAAATATGAAGATTGATGAAACATGCTCCGCTCTCGTGTGCAAGAGCCTTTGCGAGCATAGTTTTTCCACATCCAGGAGGACCATAGAGGAGAACACCTGAAGGTGCAGCCAGGAGGGACGACGAGTGCGAGTATAAATGTGGCATTGTTAGGGGGTATATGACGGATTCTTTGAGCTCCTCGATAATATCTTCAAGACCACCGATATCTAAATTTGTTAGTTAAAAAAACAGGAAATTCTTTGGGTAAGACCGACCATCAAATCCAACTGGTATATCTTCTGGCGCAACAACCTCCATCGCTATTTGACTCTCATATTGATCCAAATCGAAGTCCTCCTTTCGAGGTCGCCGTGAATTATCCGTTCCTCTCCCTGAATCGTCCCCCGAGTCCGTGTCGTGCTTTAACCTGTCGAGCCTTCGAAGATTTGCCGTCGCCTTGACACGTGCTTGCTCATGCTGCTCTTTCTCCGAATCCGTCCCTAATGGTAGGCTGGACACTACACTCTTTGCAATATAATACATGGAGAAGCTCTACAAATATAGCCACAATTAGCAAATGTGCCTTCCTTTCTCTGAGGGCATGTGGTGATATAACTTACAGAGACAACGATGAGCAGGAGATCCTGCAGCAGGCCATACTTTCTTGACCCGCCATCACCCATCGTGATGATGTTGGCAGGGCCCTCGGATATTCTTGGCTTCGTGTATGGGAATTTCGAGATGATTTGCCTCGGTGTCGAGCGTGTAAAGAAAGCATTCGCGTCCGCCACAACTTTATCGGAGGCTGATAATGATATTGCTTTGTCAGTCTAGGGCGCATTGGGACTAGTCGCTCTTGCCTTACTCCGTAAGTTTACGCAGATGAACGCCGACGTTTTGCCGGGCAAATCAAGCGAGACAAAAAGGGGTCGTTTTTCGTTATCGAAATTAAATTGCGATAGAGTTTCAACTATTTCTTTCTTTAAAAACATTTATATCCATCATCAAAGGTATAGTAGTGTAAGGAAAAGATTAATTATCTTAATCCAAAAGCAGGAGCTTTGCAGTCGACCGTCCATTTTTACCCAACACAAGAGCAATAACCATTGTCTTGTGGATTTCTGCTTTGCCTGTGGTAGCATCGACTTTAATATCACTCTCCGTCTCCCAATTTGTACCTTGAATGGCAACGGCAACACTTTTGCCATCAACAGTCACAACTAGGGTATCCACGTCGTCAGTCTCCCCAGCTTCAAAAGTCCCACTCAACCTCAGCAGAGCCCGGCCATTGCCATCTACCCGCTTCTGCCCTTCAATTGTGACTATTGGCGGACTTGCTCCTCCTTTCGCAACCCTAGTCTGGGTCTGAATCAAGTCGCTCTCTAATTCCGGCGTCCCTTTAGGCGCTCTCCTATTCTTACTCTTCTCTTCATACGCAAATGCATACTTCAACAGCTTCGTATCATCATATGCCTTTCCAGCAAAGGTCAATCCGACAGGCATCTGCGTATCCGCCATGATTCCCATGGGAACCGTAATTGTTGGAATTCCCAAATGTCGGATCACGCGATTGCCATTGGAATATAGAACCCCGTTCTTCCACGCTGCATCTGCGGATGCTTCATTTGTGTCTGTATCAGCGCGACCCACGTCTGCATTAGCAGGAAAGACGATGCAGTCGAAGTTTTCTACCTGAAGCCAGAATTCGAAAGACTTTCGCCGATTTTCGAGGGCATGAAGTGCAACTTCCATGCCTGGAAGGGAGTTGATCGATCCTCTGTCTTCGGAGACAAGGGACACAACCGTGGAGTATGGTATCGGAGCACCCAGCTTTCCATATCGATCCTGGAGGGCGCCAGGAGGGCGAGGAAAGATTTGAGACGCGTCGACGCTGGAGAGTGATGGATAGGCAGGGTCACCGTTCTGGCGCAAGAAGTCATCCCAAGCATAGGCAACAAGCTCGCGTCTTTCGATTGAGTTCCACTCTTCCGTGATGCCATCGCTAACAGACATGTTTCGGAGTCCCGTATTATTTGCTGATTGTGGAGACTTTGCGGGATTTAATGTGCTGACGGTATCGTACTCGGTCATGAGAGGAAACTCCGTCTCAACCACTGTTGCGCCTAATCTCTCGAGAGTCTTCTTTGCTTGATACCAGAGGTCTAGGATGGATTGACGGGTATTTATTGGGTTGTTCAAGGTTTTTGATTTTCTAATATAGATCTTTGGAACACCGATGCGTTTGCCTTGTAGCGTCTTAGCGTTTGTCAGGGACTCGAAGGACGGCGGTCTGACATCGGAAAGGGGAGGGAGTGTGACAAAAGGCTGGGCTCGCCAGAAGTCTCCTGCTCTGCGCTCATCCTTGACCAGAATAATGTCCAAAATTTCGAGCAAATCTTGTACATTGCGATATGTGGAACTACCACATCACACGTAGGATATAGAGGCCAGTTTCCCCGTATTGAGATTAGTCCTCTCGAGGGTGTGTAAGCTACTAGTCCGTTGTTAGAGGCAGGGCTTCTTCCCGATGATACCGTCTCTTCAGCCATGCCAAACGCAGCAAAGCTGGCAGCAGTAGAGGTTGCCGATCCATTAGAAGACCCCGAAGCGAATGCGGCGGTAAGATAATCCTTATTGTATGGACTTTCGGCTCGCCCGTAGACACCGCGTTGCATCCCACCAGCTGCCATCGGCGGCATGTTTGTTTTCCCAATCAGGATAGCGCCAGCATCTCGAAGCTTTTGAACAGTGAAGGCGTCCTCGTTGGCTACGAGATTTCGAAACGCAGGCGAACCGGATGCTACAGTCATGCCTTTCACCTTATAACTATCTTTGACAGTGAAGGGAATGCCTTCTAGTAGTCGTATGGGAAGGCCACTAGCTCGCCGGTGATCTGATGCAGCCGCATCTTCGAAGACTGATAAATTCAAGACAGGTATCGAATTCAGCTTCCCCTGTCGATCGTAAACCGCAATTCGATGCAGATATTTTGACACGAGCTCAACACTGGTGATCCAGCCCTGATCAAGTGCTCTGCGTATCTCGTTGATTGAAGCTTCGACTATGCTAAGACCATTGCCGTGATCTGACACAGGGTCAGGAATCTGGAACAGAATGAGACCGACTTCTGTGTGGTTGAGGAGGGAAGACACTTACAGATGCCATTATCTGCGAGCGCGTAGGAAGTTGAACATACACCAACTATATTCGTTGTTGGTGTCAGAAGAGATGAATCAGGCCAATGTACGAGTTAGAAGCCACTAAGTAAGAGGATATAGTCCTCCAGTGAGTGGGGGAAAAGCGTTCCAGAGATCTGAAGGCTAATTGCCCACTCTTGGAATTACTCAACCCGTCGTAAGCCGAAACTTTGCTCAGATCTCAGAATATGAGAGACGCAAACCTCTTTGAATCAATGACAGAAAGGAGAGGAACGTGTTTAAGTATTCGATCTACCATGACAAGTTTAGGTCTCGGTCCGTAAGAGTTTTCTGACTTCGGAGTTCGGACTACCAAGACGGTGTTGTCTTCGCGATTTCCTCCCCTAATGGTATCCATATTCGTTGGCCACTCGGCATTCGCCTCCCACTCATGGCCAGCAGAGCTTAACATCTGATTCTGGCTAAGAGGGGAAGATTTGGGTGCTTTGTTGAGGAGATGCAAGTGCACTGGGTTTCGGGGGTTTCTCGTCGAGGTTTGATGTGGCTGAGCTCCCTAGCCGAATATGGACTAGTTTCCGGCTTGATCGTGGCTACCGATTCTATTTGTTTACTTCCAAGTTCCCACCAACCCATCCCCTCACTCGTTGCTATCCTTGCTACAACTTCTCAACACCCTAGCATTCATCTTGCGCACGACATCCAACGCGTTGATATACCGTCTGCAACTCAATTGCTTTGCTTCGCTCTCGAAAGTAACATCCTTTCGCTTCGTCGCGTGTTTCCAATTTAATACTCGCCGCGACGCGGTAGCAAGCATTTCTGGCTAACATCAATCATCATCCGACCCAATGCCGAAACCAAAGCACGCACACTCGACGCTCTCTGGACTGATTGACTCGGATTCTGAAGACACACAATTCGTTGACGCGATGCCTACTCCAGATTCAGCTGCCGAGAATAGAGCTCCTGGGAAGAAAGCGCGAGGACGGCCTAAGGTTGCGCCTGCGAAAGTAACGAAAGCCAAAGCCCCAGCTCGCCGCACAAGCGGCCGTTTGACTTCGAAGGCGAAAGCAAATCCCGCAACGACGACAAGGAGCAAGAGACCAGCGTTGGCAGACAAAACGAACCAGCAGTACGCGAGTGAGACTGAAGAAGTGGAAGATTTTGATGCGAACGAAGATGTTGATATGGGAGGTCAAGATGTGGAGGATGCTATTGTTGTAGAGAAGCAGACAAAACCCAAGACTACGACGAAGAAGACTACGACGAAGAAGGCCACGACTTCTAGTAAAGGTAAAGCGACGAAGGAGATGTCATGTACAAACAAAAACATCGCGGATACTCCCGATGCATCGAGGCCAGTGTCGCGCGTGACGAAGAAGCGAGGTCCATCAAAGAAGGAGACACCTGCAGATCCTTCACCGGAGAAGATTGTAATGGAGACACAAGTCCCGCCAATGGACATTGATGCCGAAGCTGAGGAAGATGAAATAGTTGAGAAACCCATCACCAAAACAGCTCATAATGCTTCTCGTGCACGGTCGAATTCGAGACACCGCCAACCGTCTCTACAGCGGCGACAGGTTGGGAGTGCATCAGACACTGAAAGAAACGACCCGGCTTTGAGAAGAAAGCTTGGTGAAGTTACAAAGAAGTACGAGAATCTGCATCTCAAGTACCAAGACCTTCGAGAAATTGGGTTGAAGGAGGCCGAGAGGAATTTTGAACGCCTAAAGAAGCAAAACGAGGAACGAACGAAGAGTATGTCATGTGCAAATTCCATCATGGGTATTAACTAACTTCCTTAGTTTCTAACAACCTGATTGCAACTCTCAAGGCAGATGTTGCTGCACAGACGGCATTGGCTAAGGATTCAAGTGTCTTGAAGAAGAAACTCGATACTCAGAAGAATGAGATTGCTTCCCTACAAGCACAGCTTGCAAGGATGACCGTTTCGTTATCGGAGGCACAGTCAGAAAATAAGACATTGTCTGCAAAATTGGCTGCAAATCGAACCGCTGCTACCTCAGTCGAGAGCACAACCAGCAAGGTCCCAAGTAGTGCGGTCAAAGCTAATGGTGGCATCCGGATGGTTGGATCTGCAGAGGCTGCTCAGGTAGCACAAGCAGCCCAGCTTAAGGAAGACATCTACAGTGATCTCACTGGTTTGATTATCAGAAGTGTGAAGCGTGAGGCTGAAGAAGACGTTTTTGATTGTATTCAGACCGGTCGTAACGGCAGTAAGTTGATAAGCCTTGTTTTGCCTGAACTTTACTGACCAAGTTCGCAGCTTTACATTTCAAATTAGCTGCCGGAAACGAGAAGTCCGCCGACAGCTATGACGATGTGCAATGCAGTTACATCCCACAGCTTGATTCAAGTAGGGATAGAGCTTTGATGGAGTTACTTCCAGATTATCTTGAGGATGAAATCACATTCCCAAGACCACAAGCTGCGAATTTCTATGCCAGAGTTGCTAAGGCCTTGACGGACAAGGCCGCTTGAGGAATGTTTTGAGAATAGTGAGGAGTAATGAGTTTGAACGGTGGGCATGAGGAGTTAAGGAGCATTGGACGTCCATGTTAGACTTATTGGCGTAAGAGCATGCATTTTTGATTGTTGTATTATACCTAGTTCGATTCCGCCCTGAACATGGAAATTCCCTGAGGCTGGTCTATTAATCTCCTCTGAAAGTCGCATGAATTCAGTGCATTGGTTTGTTACCCTTTAGCTGGAGACAGCCCGAAACAGAAGTCCGAGTTCCTTTAAGCGAACAGATGCATACGTTTCCCATGACGTTTTTATCGTGTATTAAAACGATAAAAATTACGAGAATAGACTTGCTTAAGAATGACTTCCAATTCCGAAGTATGCTTCCAGAGTTTCGATATAATTCAAGGCTGTATTGAGCGTCGAGAAATCTCAGAACCCTATTTAGCCTTAGCGCGCTCTTTTAATTTTTCCGAGCGAGATGACGGTTGCGTCCCATCAAGGTAACAATTCGTTGATCTCCAAAACCTCCATCCTCCTAATTCTGAAGACACGCTCTTCAACAAAATTTACATATGCATTTGTCCATCCAAAGGACGCGCCATTCTTTTAGTAATTTCAGAAGAGACCTGATTTTACGGGTTCCAGACCATTCAATTATTTTCTGAGGACGACGCGGTTCACAACTCTGAAAGAGAACAATCAAAAACCCATTTACCATGGCCCGAGTCAATCGCTTTGGCTTTTTAGTCATTGCGCTCACTTTCCATTTGGTCTACATCTTCTCGATATTCGATATCTATTTCGTCAGTCCCATTGTCTCTGGCATGCGAGAGTTCGAGGTGGTAAGGCCAGAGAGTGTTGAAGCCCCTGCAAAGCGTCTGGTTCTTTTCGTCGGTAAAGTTACAACTTTCCATGATAATATTTTCCTATTTACTAACTGCGATCAACTGCACAGGTGACGGCCTTCGAGCGGACAAAGCTTTCCAATCATTTCCGGAACCATATCCCAAGGACGATGCAGATCTCGTCCGCCGACCTCTTGCCCCCTTCCTACGATCACGCGTCCTCGAGCACGGTACCTTCGGCGTATCGCATACCCGGGTCCCTACAGAGTCTAGACCTGGGCATGTGGCTCTGATTGCAGGGCTATACGAAGATGTGTCTGCCGTGACGACTGGATGGAAACTGAACCCAGTCAATTTCGACAGCGTGTTCAACAGGAGCAGGCATACATGGTCTTGGGGAAGTCCAGATATCTTACCAATGTTTGAACTGGGCGCTGTACCTGGCCGGGTCGATACATACACGTATGCCGCAGAAGAGGAAGATTTTTCTCAAGACGCAGTTCATTTAGATCTCTGGGTCTTCGATCGGGTCAAGGCGCTTTTCGCTGATGCGGCCAAAAATGCGACCCTGGATGCTGAATTAAGACAAGACAAGCTTGTCTTCTTTCTGCACCTTCTGGGGCTGGATACGAACGGGCATGCCTACCGACCATATTCGAAGGAATATCTTAACAACATAAAAGTGGTCGATGAAGGAGTGAAGGAAATCACCAAGTTAATCGAAGACTTCTATAATGATGGCAAGACTGCTTTTGTCTTCACTGCAGACCACGGAATGAGTGATTGGGGTAGTCATGGCGATGGACACCCTGACAATACTCGCACGCCTCTTATTGCATGGGGTTCAGGTGTTGCAAAACCGGTGACGACCACTGATACGATTGCACCAGGCCACGATGAGCTGTCTGCAGATTGGGATCTGGATCATATCCAAAGACACGATGTTTCTCAAGCAGATGTTGCCGCATTGATGGCATATCTTGCTGGTCTTGCTTTCCCCGTCAATTCTGTTGGCGAATTGCCGTTGTCATATTTAGCAGGAGATATTGCTATTAGATCCGAGGCTTTTCTCGCCAATTCAAGGGGCATACTTGACATGTATCGCGTCAAAGAAGAGCAAAAGAAGGCCACTGAGCTGCGATATCGACCCTTCAAGCCGCTTAGCGATGAAGCACATTCTATGGAGCACCGCTTTTCAGTTATCAGAAGTCTAATCGATCAAGGAAAATACGAGGAAGCCATACAGGAAACCGCCGCCTTTGTCAAGGTGGGTCTAGAGGGGTTGAGATATCTCCAAACCTATGATTGGCTTTTCCTTCGAGCATTGATTACCACTGGCTATTTGGGATGGATCGCATTTGCACTTACAACAGTCATCGACCTTCACGTACTTCACGGCAAAACCGAGACTTCGAGGACCCGTCTCGGAAACATTTTCTTCTCTTCCATTCTTGTATCACTTTACGCTTCTTTCATTGTATCAAAATCGCCGTTCACATACTATGCTTACGCCATATTCCCCGTTGGCTTTTGGGAGGAGGTTTATGCCCGCCGGAATGCTTTGATGGAGGGGAGGAAAGCCTTGTTTGGTCACATCACGTCAGCTGGCGGTTTCGTAGTGCTCCTCTTGAAAGCTGTCATTGGCTTGATTCTTATAGAATCTCTAGTAAGGCTGCCGAGCTTCCCTCCGCTGGCAGTAATTGACATATGCTCTAGGCACTTGGGTATACCCATCGAGAGGTCTTCTCTATATTATGGGCAGCTGCTGCCTCGTGGCCGGCGTTTTACGGAATGGCTTTTCTGCAGGCAAACAAAGAGCTTGCAGGAACTTGGGTAGTATCTTGCTTAGCCATGAGCTCATTTACTTTATTGCCTGCTATGAAGGTTGAAGATGTCACCCTTATGTGAGCAGGGTTTCCCCATCCCACTTGTGTTAAAACTGATGTGGTCCAACAGCCTATCCGGCGGCGCCCTAATGGTTACAATTGGCGTCTTGTACCTTGTTTTCGAGAAAAAGTTGCTTTCGAAGTCAAAAGTAGCCAGAGATTCAACAGCAGCGGCGGATAACGCTTTGTCCAGATCGCTGGTCGGGATTCAGGTGAGATACTCGGAGATCGGCCTATGACATGTTTCTGACAGAAGTAGATTGGCCTCATTATCCTAGCCATGATCGTCACAAGGTCGAGCGCATTGTCCCTGCAAGCCAAGCTAGGACTTCCACGTGGAAACCAGATTGTTGGGTGGGCTGTTCTAGGTATGCATATTCTTATTCATGCCCAGATCCTTACTTAATCTCAACAGTTCTGCCTTTAATTATGCCATTCTTGCATCGTTTGCAACCAAACAATCACTACCTGCACCGATTGATGGTCATATTCTTGACATTTTCTCCGTTATTTGTCATTCTCACGATATCGTACGAGGGGCTTTTCTATTTAGGTTTTTGCGTAACCTTAATTACCTGGGTTCGCCTCGAGCACAGTGCTTACACATACGACAAGCCACAGCTCAGACCCACCCCGAATGGGACTGCTGCTGTCCCTGGCTCTCTAGCACCTTCTCCGTTCCGATCGCTGACCTTATCCGATGCACGAGTCTCATTCTTCTTCCTTACACTGCTCCAGTCAGCCTTCTTCAGCACCGGAAACGTCGCATCAATTTCGGCTTTCAGTTTAGAGAGCGTTTCTAGGCTGATCCCTATCTTCGACCCCTTTTCCCAGGGAGCATTATTGATGTTGAAGCTGATGATTCCTTTTGCTTTGATTTCGGCTAACCTGGGGATCTTGAACAAGAGGTTAGGAGTAGCTCCGTCCGCACTCTTCATGGTGGTGATGGCTATCAGCGACTTTCTCACTCTGCATTTCTTCTGGGTTGTCAAAGACGAAGGATCGTGGTTAGAGATTGGATCAACGATCAGTCACTTCTGCATTGCAAGCCTTCTTTGCATGTTTGTGGCCAGCTTGGAAGGGGTGAGCGAGCTATTCATTGCTGGTGTGGAGGTTGAGGATAGTTCACCACAGTTAACCAAAGAAAAGGAGCTCGGTGCAACTGTAAATGGAAAAGCTTCCAACGGCATACCGAGGAAGCCTGTCCCGAATGGGAACAGTACATAGTGTAGACGAAGGATATACGAGTGTCAAGTTCACGATCAGGAAGCGGAGATGAGGTCCTTCACATTGTCACATTATTTCTGTTTCACTTGTGACGTCATAACATAATACTCCGCCCACACGCCTCACAGTCAGTTGAGCTTCGCCGCAAATAACGGCGCCCGATTTTTAAGAAGCTGACACGGCAGGATGAGGTATTCAAGCCAGGATGGTGTTTCAACCTCGGCATCTCCACTTTTAACTGTATCCGTTCCGTCCTTTAGAGTTGCGCACCCCCCTACTTTCTGGGGTACGCCTGCAGGGGAACGATCTACGGCGCCTTGGTGAGGTTTGATTTGAGTTTACGAGCAAAAAGGGGGTGTGGAGCGGGTAAAACAGGGAGAGCTGACATCGGAGGATTCCCATTGCTGTGGGGATTCTGATCTGGGGAAGGGAGAAAGCCAAGTTGTGAGCCGAGCCGTCAAGGGTCAGGCACAGATCAACCGCCTTCCCCTCTCTTGTGCGTGTAAATTACCATACAGGCACCAGGCTCCTCACTTAAATCTTAAAGCGGAATCTCCCTCTGCTCCGCCAGAGATATATGCTATCTAGGGGCACAGAACGTGGCTAAGGCTCTCTGCCACTGCTCGGTATCACAAGCTTGTCTGTTGTCTTAGTTGTTTCGAGTGAGTCCTTGGCTCGACTTGCCTCCCACCGGCTTTCAACTGCCTTGCTCCCGCTGGATCCGCACGCTCCATCTCCATCATTTCCCCATCGCTCTTGTTGAATTCTACGTAATCCGATTTGATCGGAGCCAGCCAGGGGCCGTTGGATCCAAAGTCCAGAAGTGGTCGCTCTCGATTTCCAACCCGGATTCTCCCACGGCTGGCAAGGCTGTTAGGCCTCCCCGGTTGTGTAAATACTCAATGATGTTATAATTGTGTAGAAGAGCGGTCTCCAGCTTCATCCATCGTGCCCATCGAGCCACGTACAGCAGAACTAGCATGAAATCCGGGTTCAGGGCAGCTCCATCCCCGCACGTGAGGTGTTGGAAGGCTCGACCCCAACTTTTTTGCTGACTGACCTGACGTCCAATTCGATTCCCTTCGCTTCCGGCCTTTGCCCAAGCCCCTCGAAAACCCCATCAACAGCATAGCATCAACACACAACCAACCTACAGGGCAGCTCTGCACGACGGCGGCGATAACGCAGACGCATTGAACGCGGCGGATGAAGACAGGACAGCATCATGGACATGGCCATGGCCTCCAGCGAGCCGGCCGCGCAGCCGCGACCGAACGGATATGCAGGACCGTCGAGTAACGCACCACAAGGATCGAACCCAATGCCAAACAATCAGACTCCCGGCCACCCGAGCTTTAGAAGGTGCGTTGAAAGGTTGCGCATGCTGCTTGGAAGTATTTATCGCTGACACGCAGGTACAAAGACAACGTGCGTCGCGAGCTTGTGAGGTACGAAGCCATCCCATTCCTTTTGTACAGGCTGCGGTCGAAGCGTGCCTCGGCACCGAGGATCGAGTGTAAGTGAGATAATTGCTAATCAGATATCATCCAACAGACCTGTCATGCGAGAAAGGTAACCAATAATTCCCCAAAAAGCCTCATGCTGTGGACACCGATCACATTCATATCTTGGACGTCGCGCCGTATAGGGACACATGGTTGACGGTTGTAGGTTCGATGCGATGCCGCCAGCTTGGGCGTGCCATGCACAAACTGCGTAGCATTCTCCATAGAATGCAAAATCCCGACGCCGAAACGGAAGAAGACGGCTACTGGGAAGGCAAAGGATTCGGATAGGTATGGCTGCCGAGGATGTCATGGGAGTCCTCGAACTGACACGAGCAGTGACCGCGGCGAAGCTGTCGATGAACGTTCCCCTCGAAATGACTCCCCCGGTACAGGCCGAAGCGCCAGTGTCTACAATTCACAGGATGGAACTCCTGCTACCTCTCTCACCGAGGCACAGTACAAACAGCGACAGGATGACGATGGTATATACGCACAATTCATGAAGCCCAAGTTTACAAGAGCTCCTATCAAGGAGGCCGGTAGGGTGGCATATCTCGGAGAATCCTCGAATTTGACCCTTCTCGTTCACGACAGACACGGAACTGCGGATGTTGTGCACTACCCTCTGCCTGAGCATGTCAGAGGTTCTAGGGCACGATTGACCGAGTTGGACAACGTGGAAATCGATATCCTCCACCAACGAGGCGCCTTCTTACTGCCACCGAGGTCTCTTTGTGACGAGCTGGTGGATGCATACTTCAAATGGGTTGCTCCAATTGTCCCCGTCATCAACCGAAATCGATTTATGAAGCAATATCGAGACTCGAAGAATCCACCCTCCCTGCTTCTCCTCCAAGCCATCCTGCTTGCAGGATCCAGAGTCTGTACGAACCCTCAGCTTATGGATGCCAATGGATCAACCACACCAGCCGCTTTGACGTTCTATAAACGCGCGAAAGCACTTTACGACGCTAACTACGAAGATGACCGAGTTACCATTGTCCAGGCTCTTGTACTCATGGGCTGGTACTGGGAAGGTCCCGAAGACGTGACGAAGAACGTCTTCTATTGGAGCAGAGTCGCAACGATCGTGGCCCAAGGTTCAGGGATGCATCGAAGTGTCGAGGGTTCTCAACTAAGCAAAGCCGACAAACGACTATGGAAACGAATTTGGTGGACACTCTTCACACGTGATCGATCAGTTGCTGTCGCTTTGGGCCGGCCGGTTCATATCAACACCGATGATTCGGATGTCGAGATGGTGTCTGAGGAGGACTTCATTGAAGATGATAGTGGAGAGCCCCCAGAGTTCCCAGCCGATCCGTTGCACATTCAGTTTTTCTTGCAATATGTGAAGCTGTGTGAAATCATGGGGCTTGTTCTCTCACAGCAGTACTCGGTGGCGTCAAAAGCTCGTCGACAGAATGCCATTGACCTTACTCATAGTGATATGGCTTTGGCAGACTGGCTTCAAAACTGCCCCAAGGAAATCTATTGGGAATCATCTCGGCATCATTTCTGGTCTGCTTTGCTTCATTCAAATTACTACACTACTCTTTGCTTGCTCCACCGGGCCCACATGCCACCGGCAACAAATCAGCGAGGGGGAGGTTATTTGGATGAGCCCTCGTATCCGTCGAGGAATATTGCGTTCCAGGCCGCGGCAATGATCACATCTATCATTGAAAACCTTGGAGCACATGATGAATTGAGATATTGTCCAGCGTTTATTGTCTACAGCTTATTCTCTGCGCTTATCATGCACGTATATCAGATGCGATCGTCAGTACCCTCAATCATCCAGGCTACCCAGGAACGGATGCACATCTGTATGAATGCCTTGAAGGATGTATCAAGAGTATGGCTTGTTGCAAAGATGGTGTACACACTTTTTGAGTCTATCTTAGGCAATAAGGTTCTCGAAGAGAGACTTCAAAAGGCTGCTGGGAAAAGGCATAAGAAAATGGCCCAGAGTCTTACCCAGGGCATCGACCAAGTAAAGAAGGAAGAATCCACAAAACGAAAGTACGATGACATGGCTCTCGATTTCAACGTCAACAATCCACCTGCGCCTCAGGAATCGTATGAGCGATCGCGACCTCAGACACCAAGTCACACCCCAGGACGCGAGATGGGTCATGGCCTTGCTCCTATGGCAGCACCACCGATTGCATCGCCAAACTCGACACGACAAAACCAAGATACTTTCATGGGTGGGACAAATTCTCGTCCTCATACCAGACCTGCGACTCCATTCAACCCCTCATTTTCTGTTCCAGCAACGCCTCCTGATTTGTACCTCGTCACTCGCAACTCGCCAAACCTTTCACAATCTATCTGGGAGAATTTTCAACCAGACCAATTGTTCCCGGAGGGATCGGCTAGCATGCAAGCTAATCAATTCTCATCTCCACCGCCCCATAATCTGGATCCAAACTTAATGCCTCACATGGGAATGCATCAGCAAATGCCAACTCCGGGTCAGACGTCTCAGCTACCTCAAAGGATGAGAACTGGGCAGCCTGGAATGAGTGGCAGTCCTCCTCAAGGGAACATGCTTCAGCCCGGAGTGGCAGGTTATCAGGTCCAACAAAATATGTGGCAAGGAGGTTTTGATCCGCCGATGCAGGATCCTCAAGGCCATAGTCCCAGCGACACCTTGAGCAATACATCTGCGCAAGCAGTGCCTATGACTATGAATGTCGAAGACTGGTAGGTTGTTCGTCTAGTTGATTTCAATACACGTCACTGACTCGAGATAGGTTTCAATTCTTTGGCATTAACGGTGATCTTAGCGGAATGAACGGGGACGTGCCTCTTGCTTGAGGGCATTGCCTTATTGAACTTGTCAAAGGTGTCTTGGTCGTCTGGGAAATGAAGCGTTGGGATTTTTAATTACAAAAGCCAATGGTCGTGTTGATCGTGTTGTACATTAGGGGTGGCATTTTATGAGAATGAGCTTCGTAATTCAAGGACGATGGCATAAGACTTTTGTGTTTATAAACGTACCTGAAGGTGAATCGTGACCCGAACTCGTGCGGTGATGTTTCTGATGAGGCTGAATGCGCGGATCCTGCATCCCCGCAAGATCCCGGCTTCTGATAGCCACTTGTCCCCTTCATCCACGTAATCAACGTCAGCGAATTAACAACCAAATGCACCAACATCCCATCGGAATGCTATCACCATAATATATCACGTCGATCGGATGCAACAGGAAGCCAGCACTCATGCAGGCACACTGCACAGGAGCCGCTGCCGCTGCCGCTCATACCCATCATGATACCGTCGTCCTCGATCCGCGCGGCCACCACCTCGAACCTCCGATCCGACTCGATTCCGCGAATAGACAGTAGTGTGAAGAGGGTAGAGGGAAGCAATGGGGGTGAAATCAGACCTAGGAATCGGCGGCTGGCGACTGCGGAGCAGGAGTTGGTCAGTACGAGTGCTACGAGTACGCCTGGTGGCAGCAGGGCCGTGAGTCCGATTCCGCAGAAGCATCCGAGTAGGAGGGTCGAGAGGGGAGGGGGGAATGGAAGGGGTGAAGGGAGTGGGAGGCCAGTTGGGGGGTTACTGGCTCCGCCGAGGGAGACGGGAGGCAGATCGAGTCCGATCTCCACGGGCGTGTCGGGCATCTGGTGGGGGGCTTTGCAGGAGCTTGCCAGTTCGGTGCTTGGGGGGGATGTGGCCGAGGAGGAAGGGGCTGAGAATGGGGAGGGCAGTACTTGGGGGAAGAAGAAGGCGGCAAGTGGGTTGGGAAGGATGAGGCTGCCGGATGCTTGGGGACCGGAGACAGGGTTGCCGAAGAAGAATGATGGGGGCACTGGCATAGGGAGTACGAGTGAGAGGGATGCTAAACTGATGCAGAGGAAGAGGCGGGGTGTCTTGGAGGGGAAGGACGAGGATAAACAGGTTATGGATACGAGTGGGAACTATAAACGGAGGACATCGACGGAAGAAGCAAGGCCTGGAAGCTCGCAGGAAGACGACTACGCGCTGGTTTATATACATCATGTCAAGCCCCACGATACACTGGCGGGTGTGGTGCTGAAGTATAACTGTCAGAAGGAGGTATTCAGGAAAGCCAATCGATTCTGGCCCAACGATTCGATACAGATTCGCAAAACCGTTGTCCTACCGGTTGATGCTTGCACGATAAAAGGACGACCTTGCGAACCACCTACCCCGAACTCTCCTCAAGGAGTAGATCTCCTTGCTCCTACACCAGCTATCGAAGATCCTCCCTTCTCGAATGGAAGCACATGGCCAGGAGCCTCGTCGTCACAAAACGGGACGTCTGCAGAACGTCCCGAAGATACTGAACACCCTTGGACTCACGTCCGCTGGGTTTTACTTGATGCATCGCCAAATTCGAAACCGGTCGAGATAGCACGAATGCCTCAAAAAACATTGGGATATTTTCCGCCTCGGCGAAGAAAGAGCCAAGCCACACTTTCCTCAGTCTCTACACCTCGTGGATCCATGGAATTTCCACGAGTATCACAATCTACTTCGAATGATCCTTCCAGCAGTACAGCAAGTACACCGTCACGACGAACGAGTAATCTTGGACCTCGACCTCAACAACCTATGAACACCATTGGAAGCTACTTTCCTCCTGTGCAACCCGGCACTCGCACACGCCGCGAAAGCGTGAGCGAAGCTGCGGGTCGATTAGGATGGTTCAGTGGCCCTGGTGGCGTTGGTACATTTGAGAAAAACGTGAGGAAACCTGGTCCAGCACAAGACGGCTTGAACAGCTGGGCAAGAAAACACATGCCCGGTCTGGCTATTGATTCTCTGCCTTCCACCTCAATATTAGGCGCGGAGACTGCTCATTTTGGATTTACCGATGAGCTGGCTAGCATAGCTGAAGGTCCTGTCAATGGTAGGGCAGTTAGTGGTACTAGCACCCCTAAAGGCGGCCAAGGTCTCGGTCTCGAGAATGCAGCGTCTGTACTCGAAGGTTGGGTACGGAAACTGGCTACCAAAGTCCCTGGAACACCGAAGATAGGTGGCAGGGCAGATCATCCGGACCTCATCGAACTCTTAGACGGAGCAGGCAGCGATGACGGAAGAGCATTCGACTTAAACCCTGGTGTTGGGAGGAGTTCAGCGCCAGCAGGTACAGGGAGAGAAGATCTGGATGGGATGATTAGAGGCAGAGCGACTGCTGGTGCGAAAGGGGGCAAGAACGATTGAGTGGGTGCGCGAATGTTGGATTTAGGGGACACGGTATGCATGAGATGAAGGCGCATTTGGACACGGCGTTGACTGAGCGGACTTATTCTTTTCGGGCTGGTTTCTTGAGACCGCTGGGTTGTTTGAATTTGAGACATAGCGAGAGGGTGGCAGATGACACTGAATAAGGTGTTGATTTGAAAGTGAGAAATGAAATTCATTTCGAAATTGAATTGTTCATGCTTGTCCTACATACCCATTACCCTTGATTTGATTTGATTTTAACTCGATTTGGGGCAAGCGCCTTTTTCATGCTCTCAGCTTATTTTCTTCGGATACTGTACTCTTTCTGATATCGAGGCTGCAGCTACGGGACAGGTGATTGGGTCATCACTAGTCCACATGCAAGGTGCTTTTGTGTTGCAATGCGCACAGTACTCTTGTACGATCCGCCAATCACCTCGCCACTTGAAGTTGATCCTGTCGCCTTATGAAAGGGGTTCTCCTTCAACCTTGCGAAGGCGCTCTGCTGCGCTGCAACAACATGATGGAACTAAGCTAAATAATTCCGCACCTTGCTGACCTGGACATTTATATCAGCCTCGCCTGGGAGTGAGAGAATCCCTATTGTCACCCAAGTCTCAGTCATGACCAAGTGGCTCTGTTTCCACCCCAGAGTCCACCGAAAACTCACGAATTGTACTCCTTGGAGTTGGGACAATATGAGCGAAGACGAAAATTGGGTGAGTCAGAGGATGATATGGATGAACGCAACCCCCAAAGTATGGGGTCTCATGCCACCACGATAGAGACGCCTGTAGCAATCCCAGCAATCCTCCTACTAAGAACGATTGGGAGCGATTCCGAGCTATTTTCACCCAATTGTACTCGAAGGAGAACAATGCTTTGAAGGATGTTTAAGAGATTATGGAAGCTAAATATTCCTTCCGAGCAACGTCAGTATTCGCAATGTGGCAAATATTGATTGTGCTGACGATTCTATTTGTTTAGAAAAAGAATGTTCAAGAAGTGGATCAAGGACTGGAATTTATTCAAGAACTTTAAGGAGTCCGAGAAAGAGGAGATAATACGCAGGCTCCAGGAAGACGAAGATGAGATCGTTGATCATGCCAACATGCTGATTGAAGGTCGACCAGTTCAGTTGCACAAGATTCGGAGGTATCAAAGGACAAACGCGTCTCAGATTCGTAAATACATAGAAATCACCCTCTTGGCGCCAACGAGTGTTTCGATCGGCAGTAACGCAATCCCCATCCTGGTAGTCCGGCGCAAAGAAGACTACTTCAAAAGCGAATATCTGAGATATTGGAACCAAGCCGTTCAATTTCTACTTCCGGCGAGAGAAGTGAAAGTGAGACGCTCGTTTGGCACATGCAAAATTACTTTACTTCTTATTTTGAAAGGGAACCATACAGTCCGCGTGCAAGGCGATTTCAAACCCGGTTCGACTCACCGTCTAACTCCATTGTACCTCTCTGCCCCACGGAATGTGTGGGCCCCAAACCCAGCACGGCTACTTGATTAGTACACGGCATCGATAAAGCTCATGAAAAGAGGACAGGGCCAAGCTGGATGGAAACTGATGCACGACCTCCATGAGTTTGCTAAACAAGTCTTCAAAGATGAGCACCCAGGACTAATCGGCGTCCTCATCACCATGGCCAGAACTCCGCCGAACGAATTCCCCAGATTGTACGAAAGAGTATGGGAATACTTTGCACGCCTTGCAAGTATCATATATCAAAACGATCATCATCCAATTGCCCTCCTCTGCCACTTCTTGGTCCCACAACCACAGACCACACATCAAAAGAGCTATTGTTCAGGCATAATTACGACATATTCCGACAGCACCTAGGTGGAACCCACGACAAGACGATTAGGACTAAGCTTAATCTTTGCGACTTCTTGCTGGATGGCTATGAAAGATGACCAGAAGTGCGGTCTATGCGTGAAGAGACTGTCAGAGATTGCAAGCAGAACTACGACGAGAAAGATATCCTAGTGCGCACGATTTTGTATCGCACGGCCTGGATCTACCCCCCAAGCTCAATGCGGCTCCTATGTTTTGGGCTTGGACGCACTGGCACCGCCAGTCTACGGATTGCTCTCACAGAACTGTCCATAAGCTTATCACGGGTTCTCAATGATGGAGAACCCTCCTGACGCATTGCTCTGGTGCGTGGCGTTAGATGCAGAGTACGACGGGAAAGGAAAGATGTGGAAGAGAATGGATTTCGATAGAGTCTTTGCGGGGTATGATGCGTGCTTGGATATGCCAGTGAGTCTGTTTGTGGAGGAGTTGGTAGACCTCGATCCGGAGGCGAAGATGATTTGTACTGTGATAAAGGAATATGTCTTTTATTATGATTATGTTTTCTTGTAAGACATTGGCAGCGGAGTAGCGCGACGGCAAAAGAGTCAGTGGTGGTTGCCGCGGTCCATATGTGAACTGTCCAACAAGAATTATATACCTAGGTATACAAGTCTTGATTACCGCCGCCTTTCAAAAATAATGGACTGAACTGTGAAGGCACGAGAACACCACTAGATCGCAGCGTAACAGCTCGATAAGACACAGCACACGCATTAAAGGCTACATCAAGTTCGAGCTACACCGACGACTCATGGCGGCCTTCCAATATCTCGACACGATGCCTGGCTACACTAGTCCTTCCTTCGCTCCCTCGGCGGATATGATCGAAATGAAGAACAATCTTCTCACCGATGTCGAGATAAACACTCCAATCCACCCACCCCTCAAAGAACACCGACAAACCTTCATCATTCTACATGGGCGTGGATCTTCAACTGAAGAAATTGCGCCTGCCCTACTATCGTCTACAAACTCAAAAAACGAGGCGCTTCAAAGTGCCTTTCCTCATGCCAAGATCATATTTCCTACTGCAACAAGAAGCCGACCTTACATCTTCAAAGAAGTCCGAACAGAAAGCTTCAGTTCATTGCTTATACATCAATGGTTTGGCAACTGGTTTCTCCAAAATTACCTTTCGGAACGGGAAAAGCTTTCTGTTCCGGGATTGTATGCATGTTGCTCTTATATGCATAAGTTACTCAAACGAGAGATTCAACCAATAGGCAAAGTGAATATCGTACCATGGGGTTCAAGGCAGGGTGCTGTGCCGGCTTTAAGCACACTGTTCACTTGGGATGGAGAGCCTTTTATTGCACTGGTTGGAATGAGTGAGTGGCTACCATTCAGCAACTGGCTGTGGGATTTCACCCATGGAGACGATTCAGATTTACATCGCAATCCATGGTATGATCCTGATTCCTACTGCCGAAGGAGCATGAAGACAGCCCAGATTTCGACTGGCCAACAAAGGCAATAAAGTATTTCCGGTGTAAGTAGTTTCTATGGGGCAAAAAAGGTGAGGTCTTCAAGCAGATCCCAGTGTCCATGGACCAAGGCAGAAAGGGAAAACTAGTTGAAGTAGGAAGAGAGGCAAAGGAGTGTCTTGAGATTGTTGGAGCACAGGTTCAAATGGTTGAGCATGAGAGTTTATCTTCGGTTCATGGGTACTCTAAGGAAATGTTGGATGGTACATTTGACTTTCTTCGAGATAAGCTGAGAGGAAAGTCTGATGTCTAGGGGATTGGGAGGTTTAGAAGCTGTGGAGAGTCAAATTCTGAACGCCTCGGAAAACAGGATAGAAAGACGTAGAAAATGGAAGAGATCAACCTATGAACGAGGTGTTGCGCTCCTGACACGGCTCAATTATTTAGGACTACTTATCCATCAATGTCACTTCTGTGGAAAGCAGAGCAGTGCCCTTTGATGCAGTAGATATTGCTATATCCCGTGGCCTTTCGCTCTTTGGCCACCTCCCCTTATCTTAGCTCACATCGGGTTTCCGATGCCGTAGCCATTGGAAGGGCTCAGAAATATGGATGAAAATTAAGACTAACCAATCGATAGTTAAAATGCTTGCGGGACAAGCATCCGATCGCACATCAAGAACCGAGAGTGGGGTATTCTGACAAGGAGAAAGTTTCATCGACTTTACTTATAAAGCAATCCCTCATCCATGAGACACAGAACAATCATCAGGACATCGAACCCGGAATCCTCGATATAATCTTGCAAATGACAATGTCCGAATTCGATAAGCTTGCAGGTGAGTTTAATCACGTGATATTAGAAAGGCAAAGTCTGACAAAAACAGAGAATTATAGCCGCTGTTATGGCAAAAATCAATTGAGATTCGGGTCGAAGCCAGTATTGGTTGTGATCGACTGCGTGAAAGCGTATCACGATCCTACCTCGCCCCTTTACGCACCCAAAAGATTCGACGAAGCACTGAAATCCATTCTACGCTTGATAGAGAAATGCAGAGCAGTTGGAATCCCCGTCGTTTACACCTCTGTGATCTATGAAACGCCCCAATCAGGAGGGAAATGGTATACCGAGAAACTTCCCAATGTTCTTTGCTGCTACGATGCGGGAAATCCGTTCAGAGATTTTGCCGAGGGAGTAATGCCGAGAAAGGACGAGGTTGTGGTGTTGAAGCAGTACTCGAGTAGCTTTTTTGGGACGACCTTGAGTAGCTTGCTGGCGAGTTGGGGGTGTGATTGTACGATTTTGTGTGGATACTCAACTTCTGGATGCGTGAGAGCAACGGGTAAGCAGTTGCTTCCTCTTAACAATGTTGATTGGCACTGACATTTATAGCACTTGATTCGATGCAGTATGGTTACAGCCCGTTTGTAGTTAAGGACGCGTGTGGGGATCGACATGCGTCTGTCAATGACAGTAACGTAAGGACAACATTTTTTTCTGAATTCCCGTTTTTCAGCATCAAGGACACTTGCTCTCTTCTTTCCCATTTCACACACTAGTAGAAAGCTCTCGTCTCGCCATACCCTTGACACCTTCGAAAGAGGCAATGCTGACTTCTGTTCTTCTAGCTGTTCGACATGCAGGCAAAGTTTGCCGAGGTGCTTGCAGAACAGGAAATGATGAAACTGATCGACGGAATTAAGAAGCAGTAAACTTCTCAAAGCTGGAAAGCACAGGCGATTTATGATAGGCTATTTGTACACTAGGAACTCTAGCCTTGACGGGATCAGACTCCAAGCTCCAGTTTCTTGGCAACAAGCTTTTTGTAGAAATCATGATCATAGCCGACGCATTGCAGGTATTCGTAGAAAAATCTCATCGATGGGGCAGTATCAGTATCGGCCTTGACTTATTAGCGTAGCACGTCAAATTAAACGCAATAATTATACGACCTACAGTTTCGAAGGCTTTTAATATCTCACCTTCTCCGACTTCATCAGCTTCGTCGGCGGTAATTGGTCGAGTAACGGGGTACTCTTCGAAATCGTCATGGAGCTTTTCCTGATACGGGATGAGCCTTTTGTAGTTGTCGGTCAGCCAGCCCACAGGAACTTTGGGCCATGCTGCTCGCATGGCATCGTTGTGCTTTGGGATCTTGCCGTCACGACGCATGGCACCGATTTGCGAGGCCCAGTGCTTCTTGACGTACTCTGGGACCTGTCTCATCTCATTTCCACCAAGACGGTCAGAATAGCGAGGTTCTCGGTATGTGCCATAGTATTTGTAGCCGCCTTGCCCACAACGAATGAACAGGGGAAATGTAAGGTGCTCATCGTCAACTTCTGCCAGAATACATGAGAGTTGTGCACCATGCTCTCCCGGACGACGTGGCAGCAATGGATCGTAGTCGGAATTCAAAGTTCTGAACGACTTTAACTTCGGGAAAAGGCGCTTTTCTCTGGTCTTTGGTGGAACTACCCACCAACCACTGGACACTGCTTTGCCTCCAAGCACCCTTCTGAGGAAATCAAAGGTGAACGTTTCGCTTGGTTGCTGTGGAAGTTGCAAGTCAGGTGCTGGAGGCAGATTCTCAATCAATTCGGGCATTTGCATGCCGTCGTACAATTTGATGGACGCTAGTGTAATTGTTGGTAGGTTCAAGTCTTCTTCGAATCCAACATGCCATTGTTTAGGGGTCAGCTCATGGGTATTCGACTGCGAACCTTCTCTTGGCTCAGGTGTGCTGTGTTTGAATCAATATCATGTATCTTGAGAAAGTCAAGTGTGGTTCCTCACGCGTCGTAGAGATTGGTCTCCATATCGTCCTCCTCACTTTTTACAGTTGACTCCTCAGACTCACTTTGCCCAAGACGTTCTTGAGTTGGCGTTCTCCCTTGGAGGCAACCATCAATTGCTCTCCAAAGATCTTCCAGTTGGTTGTTGTGAGCGTTGAGAGCGCACTCAAAGCGTACTCTATCAATTGCCTGTTGACGACGTAACTCAGTGATCTCAGCGCGAAATTGCTCCACAACATCAGGTCCGGTATTGCGATTCCCTTGAACAATTGGAGCCGAAGGGCCTGGGGAAGCAGGATTTTCAAATCGTCGAAAGTTGCGATTGAGTGCTTGAGAGTCTTCTAGAATCTCAGGAAAGCTTCTCCTGAACCTCTTGCTTTTTGAAGAAGCGGACGCTGAAGCCATCGAGACAGCATTCCGCTTTTTATTCACTGCATCCTCGTTTGCCATCGTCACGCTGAAGGAACAGTCAGTGTTAGTATCAACATATTCACCTCCGCCACTTACTGTCGAGATTCACAGGTGACTTGGTGAATGTAATCTTACCTTGGGATCCTCGCAGACTTCCTTAGTGCGAATCTGATCTCATTGAGGAGGATAATGACATCCAATTCCTTTACGCGGCAGCTTTGCGAGCAGATTCCAATCACTGGTTTGCTTTCCGTACAAAAAGGCGTATCTTGGGTAAGATTTAGGGAGGTTGGATGCTGATTTAAGACCGCGGATTCTATCTCCATCCCAATACGCTAAGCCCCGTTTGACCTTACTTCACGTGATTCATTAAATTTACCCCTTTATGAAACTATCCTCGATTCGCTTGCCTTGGAAGAACAGCCTGCTTCTCTCTCAAATCGTTAGTAAATGGTCAAGATTCGCGTTATCTCCGCTGGCGTCGCGACATTGAGAACAGATTTTGGCCAGTGGATATAAAGTTCATATTCTGGTGAAACCCAGGATTTGGTTCATAATTTCCTGTAACCTTATTCTTGATGCCTGTCAAACTTGCTCTTCGAATCATGAATCACATGAGGTTCACAACATCCACGAAAGCTGCGCTGCTTCATAGATTGAATTTGAAGTCGTCTTATTGCTTTCTTCTTGAGTCGAGTGTCTTGTCAGCCCTACCCAGGCTAGGGGCAGGGGAAAGGACTCGTCAGACCCATTAATCCCCGTGGCGCAGCCTACTCCCACAACTACTCCGTACGGAGTAAGGTTGCCGAGTGAAGGGACAGGGGGTGGTGCATCGTCAGATCCACGCCCCGAAGCCTTCTCATTCGCCCACAATTGCGACCCGACCAATAAAACGCGCTGGCTCGAAAGAAGTCGCAGCGAAGGCAAATGACGGGGCTGAGGCTGGAGGTCGTTTTAAGATCTTGATAACCTCTGCATCGGTGGGGTCTGGAAGGTCATCTTATGTTGTCTGCTGATTTGTACGACTTAAATCGTCTTGATTGAGATGGCTGCACCAACTTCAGAAATTGAGAGTGGGGAGGCACCGGAACAACTAGCTTCGAAGAAGAGGTCGAGGGCGAAGGCTCCAAAAGTCAGGACAGGTTGCTTGACCTGCAAGATCCGGAGAGTAAAATGTGATGGTGGGTCTTCAGCGCAAAAGAAACTCAACTTCTACCTTGAAAGATATCATAATTTGAAGCCACCTTGTCACGGCTGCCCCACTTCAAGAGTCGGGAATGGTGTTGCAGAACTGACGTCGTTTTAGAGGGAAAGCCAGCCTGCAAACGATGTATTCGGTTTGGTACGACGTGCGATGGGTATCTCCAACCACGACACGAGACAAAAATCACCGAAGGGAAACGAAAGGTGCAAAGGCCAATAGAGCCGAAACAACCAGGGATACTTGCCCTCTGTCGATCACTATCCAGCAACCAGTTTTCAAACGATGGAGAATACTACTACTTTCGATTGTTCTGCCACCAGACGGCGCCACAGCTTTCTTCCTGCACGCAGTGGACGGAGAGTCAATTATGGAGTAAGATTGTGCTTCAAGCCAGCGAAACAGAGCCTTGCATTCGGCATGCCATTATTGCAATCGGTGCGTTGGATTTCAAGGACTGGGCAGCCTGGAGTAGCAAACCAGAATTGGCGAGTGCTCGACGCCAAGTTGCTTATCATGAATATCATAGGTATGTACAGTACTTTCGATGGCTATACATCTTGCATGGGCCACTGACAGGGAACAGAGCCATACTTGCTCTCAAAACAGGGATCGCAGAAGAGCGAATTGATCTTAGGACCAGAATCTTAGCATGTGTCTTGTTCGCATGTTTTGAGTCCTATCATGGGAACAAAAACGAAGCAGTCTCTCAAATTTTCGCAGGGACTGAGATGGTTGGAGAATATCTGAGAGTCAAGGCTACGGAGGAACCTGGGAATACAACCTTGTCTCGTCCCGGATTGGAGGAGTCGATCTACATGACTTTTGTAGTTGTGGAAATTCAAGCAATGACCATTGGAGGTAGAAAATGGTATGGCTCCAATCGATGACATTCACGATCTGAGACCTCACTTGCTGATGAAGGATCTAGTAAGGAGTGGCACGCGGAAAGAATGAAGAATAGTCGGGCGGCGATGCAGCCCATACCTTCCGAATTCAGCACACTTCAAGAAGCAACCCATTCATTGGCATTGATAATCCTAGGATCCTGTCATTGGTGGTTGGCGAAAAGAAATACCATGTTCAGCCTCGCCGCTACTCACGCCACTTTGGTGGAAGGTGTTCCTCCTTCTGACGAGTTGCCAACCTCGCAATTGTCTATCTTCATGACGGAACTTGAGCAATGGATTGTCGCCTTCAAAACATTGTGGAGAAGAGCTAAAAGCCGACAAGGTGAAGCCATATTCAAAAAGGCCGCGCTCGTCAGACTCTTTTACCTTTCTAGCTACTTATGGCTTGCAAGTGGAGCTTCAAACTCTCAAGTATCTCATCGGTTTACTCGGGAGCTGGAGGAGGTGATCCATTTATCGACGACATTGATGGAGCTTCCTGGCGATTCGGTCATTGATGCATCCTTCTCACTCGACACTAGGATAGTGCTGCCATTGACAATTGTTGGTTTTTTCTACAGACATCGCGCTTGCAGACGAAGGGTAATCGACATCTTCTCGAAGCTCTCAAGAAGAGAAGGATTATGGGATACACTCTGGACAGGAAAGGTTATTGCCTGGGTTGCCCAGCAAGAAGAAGTGGGCCTGACAGATGAAGAATATGTGCCTGACGATGCAGTCTTGAGGGTGACCTCTTTGGATACGGACACAGTCAAAAGGTCCACTCTGGTCTGTGGCGTTCAGAATGTCAGAGGGTCAAAATCGAAAACCGGACTGAGAGAGACTGTAATTTATTGGTAAAGAAGGGAACCATGCAGACATGTAACAACATGATCAGGAGCAAGACTTTAACCGGCGAGACTGATGGGTGTTGATCAAACGAAGTCTTCTTCAACCTTGAATGTGAACGAAATGTGACACGAACCCTACTTGGGATTCTTATGATCTAAACCTCTTCTGGTTGTTAGTTCCATAGGCATTGCCTAAACGCTCAATCGAGAAAATAGGGAGAGGGTGTTTCCAAGAGCAAGATACTTGGAGCTTTTCATTGAGTACGGAGACCTCGGGCGCTTCTTGGTGCAACATCTACGGAAACGCGTCTCCCAAATCGACTCCAGAAAAACACTCTAAAATAGAACATCACAATATGTTTGCACCCAAAACACGGTCCAGCTACAGATGAACCTAATCCATTTATGCGATGCCAATCTGCATAGAATGTCGCTATCCTGTCAAGACCCTTTACACCGAATACTCCGGCGCAGATGATCGGTCCAGCGGCCATGGAGTGCGGCTCACAGTCTGCAAGAACTGCGGACGCTTCTGCGACAAATACGTAGAGCATGACGCCGTAGTATTGTTCATTGATCTGGTGTTGATCAAGCCGCAGGTATGTTGGGCAACCTTTGCGCCAAAGCTATCGCTGACAAGCCAAAGGTCTACCGACATTTACTACACAACACGTTGATGAGAGAGCAGGATCAATTCGATGCACGTACACTTCCCATTCTCACTGCCATACACTGACACTCGATACAGCCTTCAATAATCCGCCTCGGCATCCTCCTCCTCCTCTTCGACGTCTACCTCACCTGGGCGCGCACCGAGAAGCAAACCTCTTCCAACCCCTCCATCATCACCGATCTGAACGCCAACAACTTCCTGCGCCTAACACAGCAACCCATAGTCTTCCAATACGTCTTCTTTCTCCTTCTCTGCGCCCTCTCGACCCTCTCTTTCCACGTCTCGATCCGCTTCCTGACCTCCTCGCCTCTCTCCCCTCTGGTACTATTCGGGTTGATACCACGCTATTCACGGCCGAATTCTGTCAGCACGGCGTTGTTGGTGAGCTCGAGTACGAAGCTTTTCCCCATTTTGATGGTGATTTGGGAATATGATGTCCCGGCTGCGGCGAGGAGTCTGGGCTGGGCGGTTGTTGCCAACAATGTGGAGGCGTTGAAGATCCTGTTGGATTGTGGGTATGGGACTGCCGCTGTCCTGGCTACGGTTGGGGCCATAAGTAGATGGATGGTTGGGAGGGGAATCCTCTGGGTGGTGGGCTTGGATGGGGTTGATACTGTGGGGGATTCGGGAGTTGCGGCTGATGGGAAGGCGTTGTGGGCTGTGGTGGAGCTCGGGAGAGAATGGGGAGGGAGATTAGGCCTTGGATAGTCAGGATAGATATCAAGTCATGATGGTTCTCTGCCTGGTATGGTGATATTTGTCGCCTCCGAGCCGCTCTCAATGTACCACCTTCATTCAATGACTGAGCAAACAAAACTTCTCGAAAGAGCCAGGCTTTCATCCAATGTCCAAATCACCAAAACGCAGGATCAAGATTCGATGGCAGCGACAAACGATTCAATAGCCTTCTCGCTCATCATGCCTGTCGCCCAATTCCATATTGATACACCACTCTCAAATCTGACCTTGTAATCTGCCAGCAACCTCAACGCCAAAAATGTACACCTATGCCACGCGAATGCCCCGACTGTCCTTATATCTCTTCCCTCAACTCTCGTGTATTGCACCTGCTCTTAGGTCGCCGCGTCGAGGTACGATGAGTGGATGCCATTGTGCGAGGAAAGTAATAGCTATAAATCACTCAAGTTAGGACCGATGGTGCGTGATGGAAAAGAATCATACCCCACATGATATAACAGCTTGCGAAGGACAGGATCAGAGAGCTTCGCCAGATTCTGTTGATGGTCAGCTCAGGTTTGGGTTTGAATCAGGAAGTACAGCTTCGAAAAGCCTTTGGGGACTCGTGGTAGAGGAAGTGTGCGTACGTTTGTGTTTCTCCTTTAGGTGAGAAGAACCATGCTGCTCCGCAGGCAAGCAAGACTACCACGAGGCCGATGATGATACTCCAACTACATTGAAATGTGAGGGTTAGCTGTGTTATCTCAAGTTTGGGAAAAGAGCTGGGGAGAATATAGTCATCTCGCATACCCGTTCGCCATGGTGGTGAGTGTTTGTGAGCTTGTGATGAGAGCTTGGAGATGCTGTTGCGATCATCTCGAAATCGTAGGCAGTCGGATTGGGGAGCTTTGAGATTAGTCAGCGTGGCTTCAAACTTAAAAGGCGATTAATTTTCTTTACCCAACACTTCACTCCATACCTTCGAAGTAGATTTACTTTTTTACATCAATTAAAATGTTCTCGCGGATTTTTATTTTCTCATGTCTAGTTCTCGAATCTTAAGCCTGCTTCTTGTCTCACAGCACCGTAAATTCCAGCAATGTCACCTGCCTCCCCTTTGTGCTTCTTCACCATCTCTAAATGCGCCGCACCAACCTCAACATCCTTCAATCGTGTCCCGGCTGCCTTTGCCAATGCCATGGCATGTCTTGCGTCTTTCCTCGCCAAATCTACCGCGAACAAGGGCTCTTCTCTTTTATGGTAATCACCCGACAGCATTCGAGCGCTGTACGCAGCATATGGCCCTGGAAACATCGTCTCAATGAACTGATGAAGGTTATCAGTTCCAAGCCCAGATTTCTCGGCGAGGACATGGCCTTCAGATAGCGTTTCAACCATGTTTAAGACGAAGGTGTTCCCGATAACTTTCAAAAGCGTAGCCTTTCCAACTGGTTGACCCCCGAAATCGACGAAAGCTCGTCCCATAACATCTTTAGTAAAAGGCTTGACCTTCTCGACACTTTCCTTGGGTCCAGCGAGTACGCAAATCAATTGTCCGTTGTCGGCCATAGCTGGAGCCCCAAATACGGGGCAGGCAACGAACTCAGCACCAGCTTCTGTGATTTTCTTTGCCAATTCTTCTGAGGTATCTGGATGTACGGTGGAGCAGTCAACAAATAGTTTTCCTTTTGTGCTGCCCTTCAAAGCCGCATCGATAATATCGTTGATTGCTGCGTCATCTCCAACACATGTGAAGATAATATCTGCCTTTGAAACAGCTTCGTCGATGGAGGAGGCAACGGTGGATTTGCCAGAAGGCAAAGACTGGCTGAGATCCATAGCCCGCCTTTGAGTTCGGTTGAAGATGATCAGGGGCTTATCAAGGTTCCCTTTCTCAACGATATTCTTACACATTCCCTTCGAATATTAACAAGCGCTCGGACGACTAATACATGAAGCTTACTCTGCCCATGTTTCCGAGCCCAATCCACGCCAATTGAGGAGCCATACTGTCTTTCCCCCTCTCTAAATTCAGAATGTAAGTCTTAAGAAGGGTTTGAAGTTTCGAGTGAGTAAGAGAAGGGAAGAGTCAATTAAATAGTCTCAATGCGCGGACTGAAAGCGGTTATTGCGGACCTCAAACAAAAGCCGATCTGATGTCACTCAGCTGACGGAGAAAATGCTTAGTAGTGGTAAACAGATTCTTACAGACTCTTTTCGAACTAATCACCTAATCCTGGACGGTAACTTTTAACGGTATTTTCATCCAATTGACTTCGTCTTCAGGTCTCCTTATTGTCAAGTCAAGAAGGAGCGTTTCTCTCTCTCCTGATGTGTGGAGTGAGAGGGAGGGGAAGCTTATCGATAAGACGGGCCGATTCGCCGATTGCGGTGGATGACCACCTGGAAATTTCTTGTGCAGCCAAACAGCCCATTTCCCCACATCTGAGCCATGTGGCAATAAATGTCTCTCCAACTCCATATACCCCTCAATCAAGCTGCAGAGATAATATTGTGCCAACATGCACAATGCTCTTGCAAAATCTAGCCTCGAAGGAGGGCAAACAAGTGGTTGGTCATAATGTGAGTCAACACTGACGTGAGCGGTGAGAATGTGCCTGACTTGACCAGATACAATCATGGGCGAAGCATAGGAGACATTGCGGAAGTAGCCAAGAGCATGGCGCGCGTCATTACAGTACAGAAAGGGGACCGTCGAGTCAATTGAGGGAGGAATGGGCGCGAGAGCATGTGAAAGACCTCTCGAACAAGCAGAAGGCGAAGAAGGAAGCTAGGGCCATAGACAAGGTAACATGTCTGTCAATGAGACTGGAATGCGAGGTTGATGTGCTCTAGGACTTTTTCATGTCCGTCCTAGGCTCGTCTGCCACGAAACGAGAAGCAAAGTCCTATATTCAACGCTTTACTCCTTTGAAAGATCCCTCGCCGGCCACGAAACCTCCCGTTGACATTGCGCTGAAACCACAACCAGCACGCGGATGTGGAGTGAATCTTGGTGGATTCTATGGACCTGCTGCTGTGGAAGAGAGCCCCAAGTTTGTTCAACAACCAGAAAAGAGGACGAAAATTTCCGTTAGACCTCAGCTTCATGTTGCATTGGTTAAGCTCAGAGCCCCGCAGACTCTGAACGATGAAATATTGAATGGCATTGGAAGGACACTTTCTCAACTCGGAAGGCTTGGCTTGATTAGTGTGGTAGTTGTTGACAGCCAAGATGGATTGAAGCCTCACAAAGCGGACGCCAATTGGCGAGCCCAGGAAACAAAACAAGCAAATCGAGCTGTAGCAGCTATTGACGCAAGTGGAGAATCAGGCGCACGACTGGTGGACAATATCATTGGAGTTTATGAAGAAGCCTCGAAGCAAGGCTTTCGCCAGCACCCGACACACGTAACTCTGCGAAATTTGTTAATGACTCCTCTAAGGCGGGGCGTCATTCCTATTATCCCTTGCGTTGGTTACTCAGACATCACTCAGACAGCTATCCCCGTCTCTGCTACTGATGTCGTACTGGCTCTTACAAGAGAGTTGGCTGGGTTGCCGTCAGAGCTGATGCCGGATGAGGACCCAAATGTTGTGAGAGAACGTTTACAGGCTCTCCGGGAAGAAGTGTCGCTCGACCGATTGATTATATTAGATCCTCTAGGAGGCATTCCTGCTTCTGATCAACCTAGTGGCTATCACGTTTTCCTAAACATGGAGCAAGAATTTGAAGCTGCAAAAGCTGATTTGCAGCGTGATTTACAGCTAGAAGCTGATGAAGCGCATGTGCCGCGTCAAAACAAGGAAATACACATATCAGACCCCGGGGCCAGTAACCCTTTTTCGTTTCTTGAAGTCGAATTTGGTGGCCCACAATCATCTGCCGAATCACTGCCGCAGCAGGAGACCCTTGGAGATGCAAAATCTGGAAATATACATCATCTACAAAATCTCGAATTAGTTAGACGGGTACTTTCGATACTACCACCCAGCTCGTCCGCATTGTTGACCACTCCTGAGGAGGCGGCGAACTCTGGAAAAGATGCGCCATTCCAAGCGGCCAGGGTAGGGACTCGACGACAGCGAAATCCCTTGATACATAATCTCCTCACTGATAAGCCTGTCTTCTCTTCCTCCCTGCCCATGGGACGTCTCGGCGGGCAGACATCTGTTAAGGGACCGGTATCTCCAGCAGAAAGCACCACTCCGACAACTTTTGCTAAACACGGAATGTCTGTCACAATCTTTCCAGATCCGAAAGTTGCTCCTTGGACGCCGCCAGTCCCAGGACAACCCTATCTGACCTTGACAGATTCCAGAATCGATCTTGCTCGCCTCGTTCATTTGATCGAAGACTCCTTCGGCCGGAAGCTTGACACCCAGGAGTATCTTGAAAGAGTCAACGGTCGTATCGCAGGAGTCATTATTGCTGGAGAGTACGAGGGCGGAGCTCTCCTGACTTGGGAGATACCGCCTGGAATGAAAGATGACGGCTCTCCAGAAAGCAGAGCACGAATGGTACCCTATCTCGACAAGTTCGCGGTTCTCAAGAGATCACAAGGCAGTGGCGGAGTTGCAGATCTGATATTTAAGGCGATGGTCCGAGACTGCTTTCCTCATGGCGTTGTCTGGAGAAGCAGAAAGACAAACCCGGTGAATAAGTGGTACTTCGAGAGATCTCGGGGTACTTGGAAGCTACCTGGCACAGGGTGGACCATGTTTTGGACCACGCCGGAGCTGAGCATGGATAAGCAATTATTTTTGGACTATGAGGGAGTTTGCAGAGGAATAGAACCCTCTTGGGCTGACAATAAGGCGATCTTAGACTAAGTCAATGAATGAAGAGCTTGAGCATGATACATTGTTCGACTCCGGCCAGGGGTAATTTTAGGTCTCCTTATGAAATGTGCTTGGCCGATTCTCGACGCTGAAATATAGAATTGTAAAGCATTTGGGCTATAGACTGGAGAGAAACAACAAGGACAGAAACAATTAAGTTCACGATTTCATCGGCAATATATTTAAAACAGTTCGTCATGCGGCGCAGAAACGTTTATCACGTGAAAAGCAGGGTTCTGTTGCTAGCGTACGACATTGTAAGGCCCGTAATCATCTCGAAGCTCTCGAAGAACCACACCTCTCCACAACAAATAAACAACTATTGAACACACATTCCATCAAATCCGTTCACACTTCAATCTGCCAAGATGGACAAAGTTCAAGCATTTGGTAAAAACTTCACGTAAGCTCCACTAAACGCCAGGAATGTCAACATCAACAGAACTGTTCATCTGTCTGCCTTAGCTATATCATGTGCTGATGACGATCGCAGGGCCTCTTTCACTCCCTTCGCAGCTCGCACGCAGCAGTATGTGAAAGAACAGCTTGGTCAAGCTGAGGATAAGGTCAGATTGATATCAAGTCGCCGGCGCAAGAGCGTTTGCTTATTTCCTGTCTACAGACCCAGCTCCCTCCGGATTATATCGAGCTGGAGAAGCGGGTCGATGCTTTGAAGCAGGTTCATCAGAAGATGCTGGCTGTTACGTGCGTACACATTCCTTCCCAGATCCCCGATCAATCACAACTAATGTCTGACTATTTCCCTCAACAGTAACCAGTACTCACACGAGGCTTACGATTATCCTGCGAACATCAAGGAGAGTTTCGGTGACCTCGGTCGCACAGTCAGCGAGAAAGTACACCTTCTATCAACTGCCACTTCACCCGCCGAAGCGCAAGCTGCCCTCACTGCGCCTCCATCTGCGAAGCCACAACCTAAAACATTCAACCACGCAATCGCCCGTGCCGCATTGGCTAGTAGCCACCTTCTGCAACAACAACATTCTGGCACGGGAGAAGATCCCCTTGCGACTGCTCTTGAGAAGTATGCCTTGGCGGAAGAGCGTGTTGGCGAGGCCAGACTTGCCCAGGACTCTCAAATCCAAAGCCGCTTCCTTGCTGGCTGGTCGACTACTCTGAATACCAACCTGATGTTTGCGACCCGGGCCCGGAAAAGCGTTGAGAACTCAAGGCTATTGCTCGATGCCGCAAAGGCCAAGGCCAAGAACCCTGGTTGGAAAATGCCAGGCCAAGCCCAAGCTGCCGGGCGTGACGACGAGGTTGCCAGTGAGGAGGCCCGAGTTGAGATTGAGCAGGCTGAAGATGAATTTGTTGGCCAAACAGAGGAAGCCGTTGGTGTCATGAAAAATGTATGTTTCCTTATCCTATCGAAGCATCACAACTAACGACAGACAGGTCCTTGATACCCCTGAACCTCTCCGAAACCTCGCCGACTTGATCGCTGCCCAGCTCGAGTACCACAAGAAGGCATACGAGATTCTCAGCGAGCTTGCACCAGTTGTTGATGGACTCCAGGTTGAGCAAGAAGTACGTCGGTCCGAAGCCTTCTCTGCATAAACGCGGTCGCTGATGAAGCTATCCGCAGGCCAGCTATCGCAAATCTAGAGATGGAACTGCTTAAGAGTGAGCTCTAACTGGGCCTGCAGGAGACCAAATCTTCATTTTCGTCGACGAGGAGTGGCGGTGATTTGTTCTGATTTATCAGGGAGAGCTGGATGGCTTACGAGCTGATCTCTTCGTGTTTCCCTTCGAATCATTATCTGGGCGTCGTTGTAAGGTTTATTCAAGTCAATCGATGAGATTCCCCTGGTTCCTTTTTCCATTTTCGTGAAGCCTGGTAGGGCTTAGCAATCAATGAATTTAAAGCCGTTGGCTCTCAACATCTTGTGAACGAGACCTCAGAAGGTGATTTTCCTTTCCGACGAGAACAGCCTGTAGCTATCCTGAATTGGGGTATTTTCAGGAAACCTACGTGTCTCTCGGCATAATTATATAATGTGTCCCTATGTTTTCTACTCAATTGAACCATCAACTTTCATTGTTTTTGTTGCCTCATCCCTTACTGTCTCCAAGCAGCAGTTTCCGCTTTCCTATCCCAGCACGTCAACGCCTCATCTCTACTCAGCACCCCCTTCTCCTCAAACCCAGGCAATCTCCAAACAGTAAACCCAAACCCACTCTGTTTCAAACTCGTCACCATAGGTCCCAACGTCAATCTCCTCACAGTAATCCCCCGACTCTCCAACTCCTCAATAGCCAGCTCTGCAAACCGAGCAAGCACCTCATCAGAAGTACTTCCCGAACTATTTACCAGAAGAACGGCTTCACTCTTGCCATTCTTGGGGAAGGGGATAAAGCCTCGATCGGGATCAGATGTGTCAGTGAGGAGGTTGATCATTTCTTGAGTGAGTGATTCTGGACTGGGAACAGGCGAGATTGACCTGAGGCCAGGCTCGCCATGGCAGCCCAGGCCCAGCTCGATGGTTGCTGGTGGAAGGATCTGGATCTCTGTTATGACGTTGTTTGGGAGTGCGACTCTGCCATCTGTCAGCGACCAATCCTGTTATCCTTGGAAAGTATAGGGACGAACCTGTCAAAAGCGACAGCAATCGTCCCCGAATTGGCAGCGATGTATTCCATCACATCTCCTACTCTCTCTAAAGACTCCCCTTGATTCGCCAACGCACATGCGATCTTCAAGCCTACGACATGACCACTTAACCCGCGTCTACCGACTTTTCCACCTTTCTTCTTTCCGACTGCGACGTCGTCGCCGATGGGGATGAAGCGGACTTTGTATCCCGCTGCTGTTGCACGCGTGATTGCCAAACCAGCGTTGAGAATATCGCCTGTGTAGTTTCCACATACGACCAAGGTACCTTTCGATGGTGCATTGGGTGGTTGGCACAGTTGGATGGCGGCGAAGATTTGTGCGGCTGTTGGAGATGCGAACATGTTGCCCGAGACGGAGCAGGAGAGGAAGGAGGGCCCAACGAAGCCGGCGAACATAGGCTCGCTGATGGCTTTAGTAGAGGGTCACATTTTTGGGGTTCTCAAAACTTACTGCCCTCCTCCGGCGAAGCCAATTGTCGTTACATGGTCTTGTCTGAACGCATCTAAATCGCTCCGGTACACAATCTTATGCGTAGGGGAGTAGCTGAGATTCGGATTGTGCTCTGTGAGCCCAATTGCTGCTTCATTTATTGCATCTCCTGGGTCGTTGATGAAGTGGAAAGTTTCCCTCGCTGGCTGTTTTGTTAGGGTATCTGCAACCATCGTGAAGTGAAGTGTGGGGTTGGAATGCGGGGTAAGATCTGGAGCTTTTGAAGGTATCTCCTCACATACAGGTACTTGGGACCTTATGTCCGAGGAAGAATCATGGAAGAAATGATTGAAAAGAGCAGTTCACTGAGATTGAAGTATTTGCCTACAAGAATGGGTTTGTAAGGATACGAGTACCTCGACCGTTCTTCGGATTTCCGTAAATAGGAAGCCGCGAGTTGCCCCGCATGCTGATCTTAGGTGGGGAGCTCGCACCTTCCTCCTAACACATTTATGACAGCTGGCTGTGTCCCATTATTCACTTCATCTCAAACCATTCAAATTCTTCGTCTTCTCTCGGTCGGAACATTGCCTCATTGTCAAACTTTACATAATGTCGGTGGTTGTTGAGCAGACTCTCCCATACACTGCCGTAGAGCTCAAGCTCGAGGACCCTACGAGATGGGCCCGCTTATTTCCGTTGATGCGACCCTCGATCAAAGTCATTGAGACCACCAATGAACAGACTGTGGTAGTTGACACCGCTCTTGCAGGAAGCAAAAATGTGTTGATCGCTGCAATTGGAAGCGTGGGGAATTTCTCCAGCAAGATGCTGAGCGAGTCTCACCTTGCAGCTTTTACAACCGAGCGGCCTGGAAATCCAACTATATCAGCAGAAGAACTTCAAACGATCTTGAAAGACAATGGATTCCCAACACAGAACGGTGTTGTGGTCCTGAGATCGAGTACAAACCAAAAATTGAGAACGTCACGGGGAATAGTCGAGTTTTCTGTGGAGGGAGAAGTAAGGTTTGACCATGTCTTATCCTTACTTTCCGCAATGAAGCCAGACATCAAGTACGTCGTTCATCTTTCCCCCAAAGACCGAGCTTATTGAAAGAAGGCTGTCACTTGACAAGACACAAGCTCTACTGGAGCACTTTGCAAACGCGGCTACACGAACAACATCCACGTTTCGAGAGAATAGGATTGGAAACGGACCCTCAGTTTCTCATTCTCTAGAAATAGCGGAGTTCAAATCAGCCAAGTCAGCTGTAGACAAGGACCTTGGCAGACTGCTGAGCTCTGGACCATTACTGGGTGGTGATTTGATTTATTCCATCCATTGCTCGGATATCAATGGATTCTCCCGGCTTGAAAACAATATACTGGCTCATGAGTTATCAGAATATCTCGGTATGCAATGGATTAATTTCGTCTTGTTCAAAGTTACTGACTCCTCTTAGCCAACAAGCAACTAGCTTCACATACTTCACACTCAACCATCCTTGATCGTCGTTCCCAAGCACGTGGCTGGGCGATCTCACTCTGTGCTATGCCTTCAATATTTTTGAGTCCACGATCAATGCCGACAAACTCCATCAGCAGCAAGAATGAGACCATACCATCGACCAAGCCAAGAGAAGGCACTCCCAAGATCCAACTCTCCGATTCTCAAGTCCGAAAGATCATCATAACAGGATGTGAGCGTGTCATCAAGGAAGAACCTACGATCACCGAATACGATACTATCGTTGGAGATGGAGACTGTGGGTATACACTGCGGGATGGCGCCAAGCAAGTCCTGAGCTTCATCAGGAATGCCGACCTTTCAAAGCTTCCATCAACGCTAAGTGCTCTCGTCGATGATCTTGAGGTCAACATGGGCGGAACATCTGGTGCACTATATTGCATCTTCTTCTCGTCTCTTGCACAGAATCTCTGGGATGCACCGAGCCTTCCCGCGGCTTTGAAGGCTTCGCTTGACCACCTATTGAAGTATACTCGAGCGAGATTGGGTGATAGGACATGTTTGGACTGCTTGATTCCGTTTGTGGATACATTGGTGAAAACTGATAATTTAGCCAAAGCCCTGGCCGAGGCTCGGAAAGGTGTCGAAACGACGAAGAAGCTGGAGGCGAAGTTGGGAAGATCAAGTTACTTAGATGAGTCTGCAACAAGAGGTGTCCCTGATCCTGGGGCCTATGGACTGCTGATGTTGCTGGAAGGGATGGCTAGCGCGCCATGATGTTTATTTAACAGTTCATCTTAACATGTTCGCTCAATTAATGTCTCAGTACTGCAGGATTTGGATGCGAAAAGAGGCAAGCGCATGTATCACGTGATTGCCATTTTCTTTAGAATCGACGCCCTCAAAATCTCCTTTACGCCGTTAAACCGCTCATATGAATATCTGCCCCGCATCTTGTCATCTCAAGTTTAAGGAGTGTTCGACCGAGATCCTACCACGAAACGAAACCATTGGTCGATCAGACGTCTGATGTTGCTAAGCGAAGCATCTCAGGGGTAATCTGATGGATCTGATACTCAATCGAGTATCATAAAATCTGATCTCTCGAAAATATTCCACCAATAACCTGACTCTTGCTTTAGTTATGGGGGCGTCTATAATCTTCAGTGCATTTCGTTATCGGTTATTCTTAATCTCGGGAAGCTGATAAACGGCGGATCGCCCCCATCTCGTTTCTTTTGAATCTACCACTCTTTCGATCTTTTCTATTTTTTTCCTTCTACGCTCTTTTCTTATCTATTTTCATTAGAAATTCAATCACTCTCATTCTCCCTATTCTACGGTTGATCCGAGATCCAAAATGCAGCCCCCTCTCCTCATCTCGCTCTTCGCAGCAACCACGCTCGCAGTCCCGACACTAGTACAGCGAGTCCCGGCACCAGCTAACACGAATGTCAATCCAGCTGCAATCACAGGCACAACTTGTACCGATAAATCAACGTACCCTCCCCTTCCGGCCCCTAGCCCAGTCTCTAATCAATAAACAGGACGCTCGTCTCCCACGACATCAACGTAGCCTTGCTTTCCATCTGCGGCAGCATTGCAGGCACGATCGAGCAATGTGCAGGGAACCCAACAAGCACGACTGGCGCTTCTGGAACGGCGAAGTTTAGTTTGAGTGCGGCAACCCAGGGACAGACGATTGATATTACCAAGGGTCGATGGGAGGGCTGTGTCAGGGCGGCGAGGGCCGTGTGTGGGGATACGCCGTTCACGAGTACGTGCATCGGGGGTGCGGATGTTAATGCTGGGAATGTGGATTTTACTTTATCAGCGAATTGAAAGAGGTTGTTCTGGGGCGAGGGATGTAGAAGTGTGAGATATAGACATGGCTCCTAATCTCTCGCTTTCAATCCACGACTTTGTCAGTCGGATCGTTCTCGTCGATCTCTCGCTCGATCTTCCGAGGGTTTTAGCTTCTTTCCTCCCTCGTGATGAATTTCATTTAAGAAGGGCTGTGCGGGGAAAGACCGGCAATTCCAGACGGGAGTGATGGTCTGGATTTCTTTTCCAGACTAAAGTTAGTCATGGCATTGTTTTCTAGATACAGCAGGAATGTCAGTGGGTTTTGACAGTAGTGCAACTTAAAAAAAAAAGCAAAGTATTCAAATACTAAGAGCATACGTACCTTCCATTTTCTAGCTAGCAGCTATTTAGTGCGCCTTAGTTCACGATCCGGGGAGATAAGTGTCAATCCCCCACTCCGCAAGCGCGGGGTAGCTGCGGAGGAAGCCTGCGTACTACTTCGTACTACAAATGCAGTAAAACTAGTTGCAAGAGCGCCCAGACTGCGTTGACAATGTTCTAGACGCTTTTCTATATAAATCATGCGGCTATTGTTACTGCAGATTCCTACAAGCATTCAACACTAAACTCTTCGAGGACTTGAACTATCTGGTTCTTCTATCCAATGCTCTCGCAGCCCACAAAAGCCTCGGGCAGTATTACGACCCTGGGCTGAAGACCTGAAGGCAAATAGCTCTGTTGGGTGTATATGTAAACGTCTAAAGAGAGAAGAGAGCAGGGAGCTCGAGCTAAGTACAGGGTGCCATGCTAGGGCCAGGTCATGTAATACTGATATTATAATATTCCCTCTTTAATAGTAAGAGTTCTCCGAACTCGAGTAAACTAGGTAGCTAGCCTGCAAATTCTTCTTATAAGTAATTATATTTTATAAAATAAGAAATTAGATATCTAGTATATTATGGTTTCTAAATAAGGTTTTTCCTAGCCTAAAAAGTATTATATTTTAGCTAGTAATATAATAGATAAGAATCTATAAAAAGTAAAAATAAGAAATACTTAAATATATTTTAAATTATATTAGTAAATAAAGTTTTATTAGTTTATATTATAATTTAGAAAAAAATAGGAAATACTTAAGTATATTTTAAATTATATTAATAAATAAAGCTTTACTAGCTTATATTATAATTTAAAGAAATAATAGAGAAAATATAGCTAGAAAAAATATAATTAAAAAAGATATAGCTAGAAAAAATATAGTTAAAAGAAATATAATTAAAGAAAATATAACTAGAGAAAATATAGCTAGAAACTAGGAGATATAATTAGAAGAAATATAATTAGAAAAGATATAACTAGAGAAAATATAGCTAAAAAATATATAGCTAAAGAAAATATAACTAGAAGCTAGGAAATATAGCTAGAGAAAATATAGCTATTTAAGATTTTATTTTTATAAGTTAAAATATTTAAAATAATAAAGAAAATAAAAAATAGATTTAAAATAGGAAAAATTAAAGAAAATTATATTTCTAAAAAAGATATTGTCGGTTTACTAGTAATGCATGGCACTGTTATATAGGCGTGGAAATGCTGGTTGCGTTAGTTGGTGAAGTTGTTTTTTTTCAGAAGTAGGGATTATAGTATCGTAGTATTAATATGCGATCCCTAAATCTGCTAAGCCTAAAGGGGTCTAGTCTACTGGTCGAGTCACTAATGGGATGCGAGGTCACATGACTATGTCCCGTATCCCATGTCCCATTACCTATATCCCGTGTCCCGTATCCCGTAACTACGTATATAACTCCTAAAGGAACAGCTGTACCAATACTGGAAACTCTCTAAAAATGCGAAAAAACAGTATCTCCCTCCGATTATATGCAAATTCCCTAATCCGGCCTAGTACCAGATTTCTCAAACGCTCTGTATATCTATATCGCTTCCGAGGTTTTGGTTACATACCAAAGGCCGCGGCCTTTTGCACGTGACTTCCCCTCCCATAATATCCTCCCATCCCATATGTCCATTTCTCGCCCTATCCGCGTTCGACCCATTCCTCTACGTCCAATTATATGGTATTCGTATCAATTAGGCACTTGAGGGCGTTTATTGGCTTCGATTTCGATTGTAGATTTGACTGAAGCGCCCATATCAAAGCCGTGAGCCATACCGTAGAGTTCCGAAGCTAGAACGCTTCTGGTAACTCTCTTGCATTTGGTGGAGGACCAGTGGATAATATTAGCGTATCCAGTTCCGTCTGCTAGAACTAGAACGTATCCGATTTGGGAGGAGAGATCTCTGTTATTTGCAAACAAAGCGTCCGTAAAAACGATTAAATATAAGGACTCCTTTGCTAGCTTTACGAATCTCAGTCCTCTGGCGGCATTCTCAATTTGCTATTAAATGTGCTTATTAAGTGCCTTTATATTAGTTTCCGAGGGTTCGATAGCTTGAGCGGCAATTAACAGGTCATATAAAGCTTCTGGTTAACAGACTAATGCAATATACGCTCCTCTAGTATATTGGGTAATATATTAGTCCTTAATAGAGAGATCTTAACAAATAGTGCCCCTACTACTTATAGTAGTAGTATTCCTTATAGAAACGGTTCGGAGGTTTTTATACTAGCATTCCTATATAAGGGTAATTCCAGTAGTATCCGTATAAATAATACCTCTATTAAACTTGAGATTATAGTTAATAGTAAGGCATTTATATTCCTTGGCCAAAAACTTAGCCTCTTGGAGCTTTAGTTACTCCGTCTTTATAAAATCGTTATTTCCGATAAATAGGGTATTATTAGTTTAAAGGCTAATGATTCCGAAGGGTTACTTGTTATAGAGGAGGCAAGAGTTATAAGTTAACTATTCTATAGAAAGCTTATTAATATAATAGGAATAATAAGTCTTAAACTAGTAGTTCCCAGCTTCCGGTATACTATATAGTAGTTTTATAACCTTTAGAACCAAATCGTTATTTAGATTTAGCTTTCTAGTAAACTTGCAAGGTGAGTTAATATAAAAATTGCGGTTAAATAAGGTTATTAATTAGATATAAGCTTGCGAGATATTATATAAATATAGCTCTATAGTATCTATTATTATAGTAGTAATACTAAGGATAATTCTCTGGCTAATATATTAAATAATAGGCGATTATATTAATACTATATGTTTTTTACTATTATTATAAGTCTAGACGACTAGTTTCGATTTCTTAAACTCTTTCTCTATATCCTTATTCTTAATCTTATTAATAAACCGGGAGTTAAAGATATATACTTCCTTTAGTACCTGAGATCTGGAAATAACCTCAAATATATCCTTTTCTAGGAGGCTAGTAACTTTAACTTAATAGGAGTTCTTATATAGGTTATTATCTTATAGGAATACTATAATATCCGGGTTCTTATAAGGGTATTCTCTATTATACTTTAGTAGAATAGCGGGAATAGCAGGAGAAATTATACCTATATTACTTTTGGTTTTACTATAGAGTTCGGGAACAGGTTCAGGTTCGGGGCTATTAGTAATAACCTTAATATCTCCTATATAAAAGGGCTTTACGGAGGTTAAGTAAAAGGTAGTATTACTATATAATAAAGCTAGTATATAGTTCTCTCTATTAATAGCTACTAGCTTATATGGCCTATCCCAACTACTAGGTTAACCGGTATTTCCTTTATATTATATGAGAATATCCGAATTCAAGAGAAGTTTATAGATATTAGTAATACTAGAACTATTTCGGGTATTTAGGGTATTTGTAATCTGGTATCTAGCTTAAAGCTTTTGAATTTCTACTATTACCTTCTTGAGTACTACTAATTATTATAATATAGTTAGTAATAGGGTATTATATTTGGTTATTCGGGGTAAAGTACTATAAACCAAGAGAATTAGAATAATACTATTGGGTCTAGTAGAATTATTAATAGCCTTAAAAGCCATTTGGAATACGGTATCCTTATTAATTCTATTAATTTCGGCTATAATAATAAGGTAAGTATATTAAATCGGGCTATAGTAGTATTCTATAATTCCGATAGAACTATAAGTTTCTATAGAAACGATTTTAATCTTAATTCCTATAGTATTTATAAGCTAAGTAAACTCCTTACTAGTAAACTACTTTCCGGTATCTACTATAATCTAATCGGGAGAGCCTAAATAGGTATTAATCTAATACTACTTTAGGGTATCCCAAGTATATAATATACTAATATTTTAAAGCTATTAGTCGGCTTAATATCTAGTATTTTTATTAATAATATAGAGTATAGGCTTACCGGAAATATAGAAAATATTAATAATAATAGAGTAATTAAAGCTAATATTATCTCTCAGGTTAAACTTAAATTATTCCGGTAATTGTCTGAATTTCTGGTATTATTTATAGTACTTTATAAGGTATTTAAGGGCTTCTATATTAATATTATAGCCTGCTCGTTTTAGTATATTTCGAAGCTTACTAATAAATAAATAACTAAAACGGCAATATAGATATTATAATTCGACTTCTATAAAAAAGCAGGGGTTATAAGTAAAGAATTCGGAAATAAAGCTTTATAGAGTAATATTCTAAAACAGGAAAGAGTATCTAAAATATTATACTATAGATATAAAGTATTTATTAGAAGTAATGAGATAATTAGTAAGATTATTAAAGTAAACTTCTAGCTTATCTATATTAGCTAAGCTAAGTAAAAATAGAGTTTTTATAGGTATAATATAGAATTATATTTGCCTAATTAGTATTCTTATTATTATAGATCTAATAGAGAATATAGATCTAATACTAAACTAGATATTAACTTGACTTTTAGTAGTTTTATTAAGTTAGATATTACTATTAGTCTATTATAAAGCTTGGAATTAGTCAGAACTAGTAATTGAGAATCTAGAGGCTCTGGTATTAATTATAATTCCGTAAAAGTAGTAAGTATTATATCTTAATATATTATTAATTATAAATATCTGGATATTTTCTATTTATTTAATAGATTCTAAAGTATGGTTTTTGCTTATTATCTAATATATAAGAGAAATAGAAGTAAGGTTATTTATAAGGGTATTAATTATAGGAATAGTAGAAATAGGGGCTATAAGAGTAATTAGGAAGCTCTTAATAGAAGTGAAATAGGAATTAGAATAATATTTCTCTCTTTTATCTATTTCTACTAGTAAGGTTTTAAAAGTATTACCTACTAGTTTGTTCTTACTATTTTTATTATTCTTTTCTCCTTTAAATTCGGTAATATATTATATATAAGTACTACTAAAGTATTTATTAAAGTTACAAGTATTTCGGGATCTAAATTAGTAAATATTTCTATTCTTAAATCGAGCCTTTTTAGTTTTT